GAGCTTGAGATTCTGGAGGGCCACCAGAGGAGTCGAGCAAGCGGGCTGGAGTGACTTATCCAGCCTTTGGGAGAGGAGTTGACGAAGGCTGTCCAGAATGCTTGCGTAAGAGTCGATGCCATCATCTTCGACGAAATTGGGTGAAATTGGCGGTCTGGAAATATCCAGGTGGTAGTACTTTAGCTTGTGATGCAGGTCCTTTATGAACTCGAGGATCTTTTCAAGATGCTCGCGCTTGCAAGTCCGCTGGGCAATTGTGGAGCCAGTGTTTGCTTGTCCCGGTGTAGCACTCTGCCCAGAAGCTTTTGCCTCTCGCGGGTTCCTGGTGTTCTCATCAGTCCCCGTCATAGCGTGGTCGTCGTTATGAGTTGTTGTAGGCGCTGATTGGGGTTTAGACTGCTTCTGCCCGGTTCTAGTCATGGTGTGCTCGTCGCTGTGTACTGTGAGAGGCATCGACTGGGGCTATCTTTGGGTGGACGGTCCGATCCGCTTGAAGTAGTAGAGAGCAAGAGAGGAAGGATAGTGCTTAAAGGAAGCAGGTGAGGTCGCCATATATATTCCAACCGGAGCAGAGGACGAACTGCTCACCGCTCCTGCCAAAGGTGCGGCCGCGAAATCGCTCACCGCCGCGTTTGAACTCCTCTTTCACCGTGGAGAGACGCGACTGTAGGCCAGAACTTCACCGCGAGTCAATACGACATGGCAATAACAATGCTGTAAGCGAGCACATGGGATTACCTCTTACGTGAGCTTAAGCCATACTCTTCCGTTTGCAACTGTGGATTACTGTGACCGGCATGGGTCATGCTCCTGTAGTGCAGTTCTTCATGGTCACAGAGTGATACTGCTGCAGCAGTACGTGTGATGCCAGGTGTAGGAGGTTCACACAGTCACAATAGGGGTTGTAGATGTCAGTTTAGGCGGACTATTTCGGGGCTAGATTTGGGGTGGGACTTGAGCACATAGTGACTATCTATGGAAAGGATGTTTGGTGTTACGTTGAGGGGTCACAGTTGGACTGGTTGTTGAGGGTAATAGCGTATATCTGTGTTGAGTGTGTGATATATGTTGCTATATCCCGTCTCCCGCTCAAGTGAATAAGAGACGTTGAAGGACGCATGTTCAAAAGCGTATAGATGTATATCCCACCAGATATTGCCTGCCCCTGTTCACTATATCCATACCCGCTAAAGCCGTCCAAAGCCGTCCCAAAAAACCTTTGCCCAGTAAAATGATGTAGGAAGTGTCCCATCATCTTCTGAAGCAGCGAACCGGATCTTTTCCTAAGCTAATGCTGCCGACGATGAATTTGAGGGTGCAAACACTTAGAACTAGAAATCGCCCCTCTGCTTCATTTTCTGTACAATCTCCTCAATCTCCGCCGCACATTGCTTTACCAGATTTTGCTTCTTCCTCGCACTATTTCGCATTTTCGTTGCTGCATCAAAAACCTCATCGCCGAAACCGGTCCATGCATCCTTCGCACACAGCGATGCCGCTGAATCTAGTTTGTCCGCGAGGTGCATCATGTAGCTGAGAAGGTTCAACACTGTGGGCCTGAGGATCCTTAGGATGTGGGGGCAAGGGTAAGGAGCTGTGTCCTGAACGCCGGCTGGCGTGGCGGTGGTAAGCTCGTCGCCGCTGCAGTGACCCATCTCCTGGAATATTTCTAGATAGTTTTGGAGACCGTCGTCCAGCATATGATGGTCCCAAATGATGCTTTCCAGCGCATGGTAGATATGGAGAGCGAGTGAGCGGAGGTTGTCGATGTACATGCGATCTGAGAGTTCTTCAACTTCGGCGTCGGTGCTTGCAATTGCCCTCTCTGGCATGGTGTTCTCGTTGTTCTGCGTCGTGGGGTTGGGAGGCATGCTTCGCAAGTATCGTTCGGAGTAGGCTATTAGAGCCTCACGGTTGTAGGGAAAAAATGGATTGTAGGAGAGGAGAGGGGATGCTGAGGTAGGGAGGAAGTACTTTATATGTTGTGAAAGAAGCTAGTCTCACCTGGTTACCGCCTTTGCGAAACAACGAGTATACCCCCACTCACCGCCGTTTCTCACCTCTGCTTGGCCTTGGTGAAAGCGAAGTTGAATCGTCATAACTCGTCAAGGCAGTAACAGATGGTAATGCTGTGGGCGGCGTTACCACTTCCATCGATGCCAGGCAGTGGTTCTCCTCTGCTTTCCGCGGACACATTCAACACTTTCGGAACGCTGTGCATGGACAAGGTAGAGGGATTCGTCAGACAAATTGACCGAAGGCCAAGTGGCAGGCTTGAATCTGCGCAGGACATTTGCAAGCAAAGAGAGGGGCATATTGGTCATTGGTTTTGTCCAATGTTGAAAAGTTGATTTGACCTCATGTATATATCACGATTTGTGAAACCGGTCCAGAAACTCCAAAGATCTCAGTTCAGCGCGCCTCATGTCGTTCAGTATGTCCTGCCTCATTCCGTTCCGTCATCAAAATGTCTGCCCCAGGGTAATTCCCACCCAAATTGCCAAATTCCTTTCTCAGAAAATGCACCTCTGGACTGCAAACCGATCCGAAGATGTTTCTGTGACGGGGTTTCACACCGTCTACTCCCACACCGCAGCTGGCGGGAGAGCTTGCTTTGGAGGTTGTGCGAACAATTCCGGATCCCAATCACCTCTTTCCTTCATTTCCTTCATGCGCTTCTCCATGTCGTCAGCCACCTTCCTTACCCATTCCGCAGTTTCTTCCGCAGTAAGTATCATGGTCTCGCTGTGCGGTTCTTCCTCCCTTCGGACGACCCATGGATGCTTCAACCACAAGGAATTCATCAACTCCATCTCTATACCTAGTTGAATGAGGTAGCTGCGAAGATTCTCAATGGTGTGTTTAAGGATCCGGAGTACCAGGTTCGGAGTAGAGTAGGCTGTGTTTGGCTGCCCATGTAGCTCTTCTTCGAGGAATTCGAGAAGTAACGATAAAGTGTCTTCGTAGTGGTCAAGTCGGTCATCTTCCATGTACATCCCACTTTGTCCACCGCTTAGCCAGCCGTGGAGTTCCAGCACAAAGTCGGCAATGTTTTGTAGGTGCTGTCGCTTGGATAGCGTGGTGACTTCGGAACCAGTGTTGGTTCCTTGATTTTCGTTGGACGACATGGGAACATCCAATTCCAGCTCGAGTTCCTTTCTCTCATTTCCTATCATAATGTGCTCGTTGCACCGTACTGTCGGAGGCATCAACTGTGGTTATCTTTGGCTAGAATGTCCGACCCGTGTAAAGTAGTAGAGAGTGAGGAGGAAAGAATAGTGCATGAAGGAGGGGGAGAGAGGGCCTTTATATATACGAAACCTGACAAGTAGCGGAATGATCACTGCCGTTCTCAAAGGTGGTTTGGAGTGCTTGCTGGGGAGGTTGCTCACCGCCATCCCCCAACCCTATTTCACCTATCCCTGCAGGAGAGAACGAAAAGGAGAACTCCACCGCAACTTACACGAGATGACAATAGCAATGTTGTGAACGAGCACATGTGATTACCTCTCACGTGAGCTCAAGCCATACTCTTCCGACTGCAAAGGTGGATACCTGTGGCTCGCATGGCTCATGCTCGGTAATGCAGTTCATCATGATCACAGAAACAGACCACATCTCATATACATGTAAGTCATTCTTTCTCGTTCAATACACAGTCACACCTCCGTTCCCGACGGAAATATCTGTGTGTACACTACCAAAGACAAATCATTCGTTTACCATTTCATATTTTGAGATAAGAGACACCACTTCCACAGCAAGGTTTGTGCAGAAAAAGAAGACCTGGGCAGTAGAACATTTCGGGCTTTATATAGAGACTCCAGCATTGCAGCAACCGCCTGACCGAGCTTTCCAATGTTCCAAAGCAAATCATGTTTCGCTCGATATGGCGATGCTCATCATCACCAAGTGACTACTCATTGAACATCAAGCCTTTTCGGACATACGAGATACCGAGAGTCACACAAGCACATAAGGTTGGGATCGTGCACTTTTGATTATCTGGGGCAGGTAAAGGAAACATAAGTGACAGAAATACTGAGGCGCAAGAGGGCTTTATATACCCTTCCTAAGACGCTCACTAGATTATTGTACGGGGGATACTGAATATGTCCATAGATTATATGCGATGATGATGTTTATGGTGCATACATATTGCATTACCCTCCTTGATATTAATGTACATCACCACCGTTGCCTTCCATACCCTGACATTTGTCGCAACACAAGTGTATTTGGTCGCTCAAGTACTGCAAGAAAGCACATACTCTGGATCATTTCGCATTTTAAAGCGAATAAGCAAAAGCAGAAGCAAAGTGAGCGAAGAAAAAGAGCGCTGGGAAGTTGAAAGAAGGGCTTTTATATGGCACCGTTCCCAAACAAGCCCAATCTACAGAGTGATTGACAACTAACTCGCTAAACACATGAACATGGTTTCAGGCTTTCGAAGTAACTCTAACATCCTACGTGCTCTTCTCTTTTTCACAATAATAACAATCATGATCACCATAGGCACCATATTCTATTCATCATCATCACACACATGGACATGTGGACAGCCACAATCATCGGCCTCAAACATCCCGATGTCGTATTCGCACGAGAACAGAGAACAGAGCGTCTCACACAAGGTCATGTGCCGGTTTTTCCGGGAATTACGGGTAGGAAGCTGTTTTTGATAGTTGTGAGTGAGCCAGTTGTGAGGGAGGAGAGCCGGAGGACGGCCACGGAATGGGGTTTACATACGTACGGGAAGCCAGACTCCACTTCCACTCCAAGGACTAGTTCTGGTATAGCAATACAGGTGGTTAATCGTACTGTTACGGCGGCAGCGATAGGCAGGTATGTAAGAATCGAAATCATTGTGCGCTCAAATAACTGTATCATGGATCCCTCATTCGATGATGCTGTCGACATTCCGAGGAATCTTCATCGTCATCATCGTCGTCATCATCATCAAATACACGCATACCCAAATATCCCTTCCACTCCATATGTACCAAAACTTCAGAAAACGCCCCCAGCCACATAATTTCGCCATTAGACTCATTTTAGAAATTCCGTCACCACGAATACCTCAAGTTATAGAAAAGGAAGGAAGCTAGTAAAATACCACCCTTATGTAACCACGGGCCACGGCAAGCATGCACGCCTGCGACCCAACGTGCTCTCATTCGCGTGTGAAATCGCAAACTAAGCGCTTAAGACATACAGTCGTATAATCTACATCCCCTCTCAAATAAAGATACCCATCAGCACCATCCAAATAAATAACTCAAGAAACGCGCACTCCTTTCATCATGGGATAAAGGGACATGAGGCCATAGATAACCCTACATACCCAACATACCCTGCACCTACGTATCCACTCCTTTTCACTTCACAAAACAAAAAGCCATAATCAGAAACGGTTTTCCATTTCAGAGTCTCAAGAAAGACAGAATCGCTTCCTTCACATCGCGGTTTACCTCTACGGTTTTTAAAGAATGACTTCCGTCATAGGATGGAGGATTTTGTAGTAAAAGAGAAAAGAAAAATCTACGAAAAGGAAAATCGTAGCTTTATATATGCAATTTTCTTTGATCACCTGCCCGCGTCGGCGACACATGCTCGTCAAAACTCTAAATCTTTATGTCATGTTTCCCGGATCGTGATCATGATAATCATCATCATCAACTAACCACCCAGCAGCAAGCTGAAACATAGATACGGACTTCTCGCCCACGTGCTCAATACGAAAAGAGGTCGCACCAACACATCCATTTGCTCGGGCGAGAGTTTTTAAAAGGGAAGAAAACTGCAAGGAAACTCTAACTTGCAAAGTAGAAAGTTGCGCGTTTATATACTCGGCGCCCATAACACCTGCAGCGGTAACGCCTACGGAGCCGTCTAGTCAAGTTGCAAATCTTGGTGCCGTGCTTTCTATCTATCGTCGTGAGGGTGGCGATCATCACCAATTCCCTGGACATTTCAGCCACGTACTCAAAACCCCAAGAGATCGCACCAACCCATCATATTTCCCACTATCAATTTTGAAAATAAGGAAGAAAATTGCAAGGAAATCCTGACTTGCAAAGTAGAAAGTTGCGGGTTTGTATACTTGGCGCCCACAGCCCCTGCTTTGACGACGCTCACGGAGTCGTCCAGTCAAAGTTGAAAAACATCGACGTAATGGTTTCCCGTCATGGTGGTGGCGATTATCACCAACTCCCTGGACTTCTCGCCCACTCACGAAATACCGAAAAAGGTCACACCAACTCATAGTCTCTTGCTGTGCGTATTTTCAAAGAAGAAGGAAAACTGTAAGGGAAAACTGGAACTTGCAAAGAGCAAACTTGCAGGTTTATATAGTCTTCTCCCATACCTACCCACCCTGCAGCGGCGACGCTCACGGAGTCGACGACGGTGAGTCAGAGCTGCGAATCTTATTATTAGGTGTCATGGTTTCTCGTTGTGATGGTGGTGATTATTATAACCAACTCTCTAGTTACGAAATTGGAATATTGTTTTCTATGAGACGTGCTCTACGCCGAAAATCGCGCCCAACACATGGGCACTTAATTCTGTCGTTTTTGGGTTGAGGGAAGAGAGTTTTGTATGCAAGATGGAGGAGGAATCATAACGGACCTTAGGTACAGGGAATTTATATCTCTCAGAGGCACTGGCTTCGTGAAGACCAGTGATGCGGAGAATGGCACGCACGTGAGGATAGTCGAGGTTCAATGATGTGCGATTCTTGTGCTGCATGAGGTGGGTCACATACATCAAAAACAAGTTCGAATTCGAAAGACCTTGTAGATTATGTGCCTATTCGAAAGAAAAGCCATATGCTGCTCTGAATCTTCTCTTCCCAGTGCCCTGTTTGCTATTGAAAGAGGGCTTTGCTTCCCAGCTAAGTGAGAAATGGAAATAACCGAATGATAACCCAGAGAATGTGTGATAAAAGAGATGCTTTGCATAGCCATGCAAGAAAGTTCATGTGAAGACTTCCTTGCTCGTTGCCGGCAAAGTTTCGGGGCACATCTGTACACTGTTCGCTGTGCTATGCAACCGTCTCAGATTCCAGTATTCATCCTCCACTTGTGCATAGTTTGTCACTCCGAAGGTTTGTTTTGGTTACTGGATGATAGGCGAGAATCCTGGAGACATGATGTAAGCTTTGTGAATGAAACGAGGTGCAGCAGTAACTTACTGGTAACTTGCAGAACTCTACAGTTCGGAGGAATCTTTGCGCTATTCTCCGTTCAGATGGCCCAAGTGCCTGAGGTCATCTAGAATGCCGCAGTCCCTCAAGATCTTGCTTGTTTCTTTGTCGACGATCGTTGACAGCTCCTTCATCCTCTTCTGAAGTAGGTTCCGGATCTCTTGTCGGGTCTCTTCCGGAAGCCAACTGGCGAAGTTGGACAGCTGTTTCTTCAAATACACCTTAAGCATGGCCACCGACATCCCTAGCGAAATGCGGGAATTACGAGCCACCACACAGTAAGGATCGCCCGCGCCGACATGTGCCATGTTCGATACGTTAGCAGCCATGATGCCACGTTGCATCCTGAGGAATATGTCAACCTGGGCCTCCACCAAGGGAGCATACTTGACGAAGATGTCGAGATGGTTCATGACTAATTTTCCGGATGAGATAATGGCTCCAAAGCGCTTGGCCTGCTCAGCCCTTTGTTCTTCGACGGTATGGATGTCCTCAATGCACCGCCGCTCTTCCGGGTCATCATCCCCTTCTCCCGGCGGTTTGGTCGCCTTAGCAGTGCAGGTATCCTTGGGATCGCGCTGGTCGCCAAGCAGTAGGCAGAGTTCACTTGGGGTAGCTCGATCAAGTCTAAGGCGGGGCGGATCCATGTCGTCAAGGTGTCGGAGATATGAGAGTTGAAGTTGAGAGAGAAACAATTGGAGGGGAAGCGGGAGCTGACTGATAAAGAGGAAAAACTAGAGAGAAGATTGGAAGGAAGAGAGAGCGGAGAGTGAAGATGAGCTAAGCTATGTGAAGTGAAAAGCAAGCGCTCACCGCCACAGATAGCTCACGGGTTACATGCACTCACCGCTATCCTCGTGATATCCATGACGAACACATTCTTTTACCTTGGTAAGTGGAGGAAGAAACGCGTGATGAGCTCGTAATAATTTGGTAACGGCATGTTATAAACGAGGCATCCAGGATTTGACCCCTAACGAATCAAGGTGCAGTTGCGCGAAGTTGTTAGACTGGCAGCAAACTTGCTCAATTCGTGCTACACTATGCTACAAGAAGAGCTACACAGATTAAATTAGTCCTCCATTCCAAAAGAGCGGTATCGTTTCAGCACTTCTTCATTTGAAGCGCTTCTCAGCGGCCTGCCAGTTGATGACGTCCCAAATGGCCTTGAAGTACTCGGCCTTACGGTTCTCGTATTGGAGGCTGTACTCGTTAGTCTCTGTTCTCCAATCTTTGCATGATAGGCGAAAACATACTAGTAAGCGTGCTCCCACGCATCGATACCCAGAATCGGACGGAACTGACCCACTACAGGGTCCTGGTTCGCGTACGTCTTAATCTGGATGCCTCCAGTCTGCGTATCCTGAACCAGCCATGCCCAGCCAGAGCCCTGAATGCCCGCGAGCGCCGCATTGAACTTCTCCTTGAAGGCATCCAAGCTTCCATAATTGTCATTGATGGCCTTGGCGAGCTGGCCCTTGGGGGGCTCGCCTCCGCCCTTGCTGGTGGGCGCCAGGTTCTCCCAGAAGAGACTGTGGTTGATGTGGCCGCCGCCGTGGAAGTTAATAAGGGGCTGGAGGGCGATCTGGGTCTGGATGTCTTCCTTGTGCTTGGCTTCGGCCATCTGCTCGCTGAAGTTGTTGAAGGAGGTCACGTAGGTGTTGTGGTGCTTGGAGTGGTGGAGTTCCATGATCTTGCCGGAGATGGCGGGCTCGAGCGCACCGTAGTCATCTATGGTTGTCAATGAGTAATTTTTGCAGGAAAATGGACAGTGAACGTACAGGGCAGATCAGGGAGAGTGACCTTTGAGCGCACGAAGGTCGTTCCAGCGAGACCAGCTCGGGAGGAGGTCTTGGGAGCAGCAGCACGGAGCGCCGAGCGCAACGCAGAGGTGCGGAGGAGCGTGGAGTTCATGATGGCGTACAATTGATGGGGATGGTGTCAATTGGGCGTATATTAGATGGGCTATGGGGCGGAGATGTGTATAGAAAGGTGGGAGAAACGACTCTATATCTGTTTCGTCATCATCTCGGCCTGGCCCGAGCTCCCGAGCTCTCACCAGACAGCTCCCCTCACCTCCGAGGTCCGCACCAATCAGAGGACGCGACTCGTTCGATGATCGATAGTTGGGACGATACCTTTTAGGACTTCTCTCCATTGTTCTTCCTCAACTTCTTCTCCAAGTAGGTCAATTGCTCCTCCTCCGCGACATCAAGTTTCTTTTCACCGTGGATTCCTCCCTGGCACCAATGCGTAGAGGGGCCCACCTGGTCCCCCATCACTCGATGCATCCCGCCAGTGTCAAAGTGGGCAGACACATATTCCTCATTCCTTGGTCGCGTGCCTGGCAGAAAAGTTCCACAGCAGCTAACTTGTGCTTCAGACCATGATCTCAATTCCACTCGCTTCTTCCCCGTCCAGATAACATCACTCCGCCAGGCAACATGGCAACCACCTCCATGGTCCGCCTTCCCAATGGCCAGAACCTCGTCGTTACACCAGTATTCGGAGGTCTCTTCTTCAAGTCCCACGAAGTGACGGGCGCCCACTCGCCCTTTCCGGCCGGTTGGACGATAGTCCTGCATTCGATTGGGGAATTTGACGATCATGGGGAAGTGGCTCACGAAGAGAAGGACAAGGATGCATTACCCGAGACCGAAGAGAGGAGACGCAGGATACACCCGTACAGACATCCCACACGGGAAAACGATCACCTTTTCATATCCTCAATATCCTATCCCAACAGTCAGGAGTACGGGCCTGCGTATTCCCCTACAAGACACATTGCAATGATGCTCTGGGCGACGCTGTACTGGTACTTTCACCAGCCCGAGCCCGACCTGCACATCACCAACGACACTACCAAGCATACACCGCCGTCGGGAAGACCCCAGGGAGAATGGAGAATCAATATAAACCGGGAAGGCATATTCCAGGGCAAAGTGATCCTACCAAAGCTGGAGCGCATGGGCCTGATATCGAGCGAAGAATCCTTCGTTGGCGAAAACCTCGAGGGTAAAGAAGGCTGGACAGAGATGTTCGTCTCCCGGCGCTCCTTCTGGCAACTCGACCCTCGAATCTACCTCTCCACCCTCCCCTCCACCCTCCATGGGGGCCACTCCCCCTTCCAAACCGGCAGCCCCTACAACTCCCGTCCCAGCTCCCCTCACCCAGGCCACGAACGAGAACCTCCCAAAGAGCATCAATCGGGGCTCTGGTCCCCAACCGCTCCAGGGCCCTTCCACTCCGGCAGCCACCTACCGACCTACTACCCTCCCCCTCCACCCCAATACACCCTGACGAACACCGTCCGACATCCCATCCGGCCCAAACCCCCTCGACAAGGCGAAGTCTTCTACACGCGCTACATCCCCAGCTTCGGCCAATACATCTCCTTCCGCGTAGCCTCCCTATCCAAAACCCCCGTCCGCCATCTCGGCCCCGTATCCCTCACCCACACCCCGCACCACGGTCCCTCCCCCCTCTCCGTCTCCGACTCCGACTCCCACGTCCCAACCCCCTCAACACCCAACCCCGGAATGACAGACACCGAATACCTCCACAAATGGATGAACACATCGCGCGTCGCCTACTTCTGGGGCGAATCCGGCCCGCTCTCCCACCAAGAATCCTTCCTCCGCAGGGTCCTCACCTCGCGCCACAGTTTCCCCGTCATCGCTTCCTGGGACGACAAGCCGTTTGGCTATTTCGAAATCTACTGGGTGAAAGAGGATCCCGTGGCGAGGTTCTTGCCGCACGTGGGCGATTACGATAGGGGGTTCCATTGTTTGGTGGGCGAGCAGGAGTTTAGGGGCGCGGCGAGGGTGAAGGTCTGGTTGGCGGCTTTGGTGCATTATCTTTGGTTGGCGGATATTAGGACTGAGACGGTGGTATTGGAGCCTAGGGTTGATAATGAGAGGTATGTTATGTTGCTCTTCGCTGGACTCATTGCTCTTTTCGTTTTTTTTGGGTCATTGTGGTGAGGATGTGAGGGATATTGTAACTGACAGCTTTGCTAGGTTGACGCAGTACTGTCTCGATGCGGGTTTCTATCGCGAAAGAATCGTCGATATGCCGCATAAGCGGGCGAATATACTAAAGATACAGAGGAGTACGTGGGAGGGACCGGCATTATGAAGAGAAGACGAGGTTTGAGGAAGAATATAGACAATGATAATGTATTTATGTGCAATGACCAGCGCTGAAACAAATGCAATGCAATTCATGGGTATCATATCTATAAAACAAGCCAACATCTCCCTTCAAACCCGCTCATGAATCCAACCACGACCCTGCCGCCCAAATCCCCGCAATCCCCACCAACGCCGCAACACCCACCGCCTTCTTCCTCCACAACCCCTCCTCATCCACCTTGACGGCGCCCTCGCTCCGTTTCAGCCGCCTCCCTTCCTCCTCGCGTGCAATCACCTCCTCCATAACACTGACATGCTGCGGCGCCACTCTCAAACTCTCATTGTGCCTCCTCTTCGCCTCCTCAATCATCTCCTCAATCTTCCTCAGCTCCTCCAACCACTCTGTCTCATTCCCCTTCCCCTTTCCCCCACCCTCCTCGTTCTCATCCACAACCACGCCCTGCGCATTCCCGAAAAAGTCCATCACAAGTCTACTCCTCGCTCCTTCCTCGCCGCCGGGGAACAAATCGTACCGAATCCCCGGCTCGCTGTGAATCAGCGCGGGGTCGTAACTATCAAACAGCTCGCCCATGGTGACTTTGGAGTTCCTGTCCTTGACTCTGTTTTCCAGGAATTCGAGATTGTAGTAGGTGAAGCGGTCAATGACGGCGACGCCGACGTCGGCGTCGGCGTGGTGCGAGTACGAGGATTGCGAGAGGGCGGAGCTGCCGGTCGCGAGGATGTTGGGGGAGTAGAATTTCGAGTACATGGTGTTGGCTTGGCAGGTATCGATCATGAAGAGCATTTCATGATAACTAGCATCCATCAATTAGCATGCGCCGGAGATAGGGGAGTGTTACGTAGGTAAAGCGGTAATCCGACTGGATGAGAAGAAAAATGACATACCGCTTCTTCTCCCACATCTGCTCAAACGCATCCGCCAAATCAAACGCACTAATCTCCTCGGCATCCTGGAACTTGAGAAACTCATTCCCGCCATGCCCCGTCATGTACACGAGGATATTGCTCCGCTCATCCGTCAAGAGGCGCTTGCTCCGCGGCATATCCTCGCCGACGCGATCCGTCATCAGCCGTATGAAGTTCTCCACCGTGACTTCGTAGCCCCGGTAGTCGACCTCGATGTTGTTCCCGTAGAGGTCGAGGGCGCGGTCCGCGTTGTTGTAGACGGCTCCCGGGAAGGCGTTGCGCGGGTTGCACGCCATGTCGTCCGGGAGCATGAGGATGATTTGCGAGTCTGGGATGCCGAGGCGCTTGACGGTGCGGTAGAGCGAGAGGACGTTGGCGAGGTGTCGGTAGTTGAACCAGAAGCGCGATGTGCCGACTAGGACGGCCCAGTTGGACGTGTGTTTGGAGACGGCGAGGGTGAGGAAGAGAAGGAGCGGGAGGAGGAGGCGGAGGGGGGAGAGGGGAGACATGGTGAGGAGGGGTGAGGGCGTCCCCGGCGTGGTGGAGGAGGAGTGGAGTGAAATCTGGTGGGTGGTATTGCTATTTGGACTTGGAAGGGTTGGTGTTTGGGGTTTGGGGGTGAATGCTGACAAAGCTCGCCCCCCAATCGCCCCGTCACGTGGAATGGCGATAAATGGGGCCCGCGGTTTCTAATTGATCTGTGACGACATTGATATTACTACTTTTATGTAACAGTAGACGAGCTGATTTCGTCTTCCTACGTGGAGTCTTGATCGTTTCGCCGCGATTCTGAGCATCGCTCTGTCGACTCTAATTCCGTCCTCTCCCACATCAGATGCCATGGCTCCCGATCGGGGTGAATTCTCCACCGGCATGCCAACACCCGACGGCAGGGAGGAGCCTTATCCCCTCGAAGTCGAGGACTCGAATCCCTCACCTCATACCAGCAACCTATCACTATCAGCAGAAAGCCACTACCTCGCGGAGCAAGCCTCCCAACCTCAAAACTTCACCCTCCGAGGCGTCCTGGTCGGCCTGGCCATCGGCGTCGTAATATGTTTCTCCAACATGTACTTCGGCCTGCAGACCGGCTGGGTCAGCAGCATGGCCATGCCCTCCGCTCTCATTGGATTTGCGTACTTCAAGACGGTCTCCAAAATGCTTAGTGTGCCCTTTTCGCCCGTGGAGAACGTGCTCGTGCAGTCGGTCGCTGGGTCGGTGGGCACGATGCCCCTGGGCTGCGGATTCGTGGGTGTGATTCCCGCGCTGAATTATCTGCTGAAAGCGGAAGAGAATGGGCCGTTGGATATTGGGCTGTGGAAGTTGATTGTTTGGGCGGTGGGGATTTGCTTCTTTGGGGTCGTGTTTGCGGTGCCGCTGAGAAGGGAGTTTATTATCAGGGAGAAGTTGAAGTTTCCGAGTGGGACGGCGACGGCATTGATGATTAGGGTGTTGCATGGAGACGAAAAAGGCGGGGAGAGGAAGAGCGTGCATAGAAGACATACGAGTGCTAGGACCCAGGAGCAACAGGGAGAGCAAAGGGGTCTACTCCAGCGATCTCATGAAGAGAATTCCCGGGCTGAGGATACCTCTCTGCAGAGCGAGGAGCAAGAGCTAGCTAGCAATGGTGACTGGAGAGCCCAGATCCGACTTCTGCTATTCTCGTTCGCCGGCTCAGCTCTTTATGTGGGTTTACCCTGAAAGCACTTCACCTTTGTGTCTAACGACAACAGACTGTTATCTCATACTTCATTCCTCACTTGCACGACATCCCGATCCTAGGCCTGTCCTTGGCCCAGAATTGGCTCTGGACCCTAAACCCATCCCCGGCATATGTTGGGCAGGGCATCATCATGGGTCCAGCGACAACCCTACATATGCTCCTCGGAGCCATCGTCGGCTGGGGCATACTCTCTCCCCTAGCAAAGAGTCGAGGTTGGGCACCCGGCCCCGTATCCGACTGGACCACCGGAAGCAAAGGCTGGATCGTCTGGATCTCCCTCGCCATCATGCTGGTCGACTCGCTCATCAGCCTAGGATGGCTCATTCTCCGACCCACCATCGCTATAGCCCGAGCATACTACCCAATCCTACGAGAAACCCTTCGCGAACACACCTGGACCGACATCCTCCGCCTCAACATCTCCCCCAAACAAGGCTACACGCCCATCTCCGACCCCTCATCCACCCTCAAACCCCACGCCGAACCCGACGCACCGCCCTCCCACCTCATCTCCAACCGCACCACCATCATCGGCCTCTTCCTATCGCTAATCCTCTGCATCCTCGCCATCCACATCTCCTTTCCCTCCCTAATCCCCCTCCCCCTCACCCTCCTCTCCCTCCTCCTCGCCCTCCTCCTCTCCATAATGGGCGTCCGCGCCCTCGGAGAAACCGACCTCAACCCCGTCTCCGGCATCTCCAAACTGACCCAACTCGTCTTCGCCCTCGTAACACCCACCTCGGGTCCCCAGGCCAAAAACGCCGTCATCATCAACCTGCTCGCCGGCGCCGTCAGCGAGTCCGCCGCCCTCCAAGCAGGCGACCTCCTGCAGGACCTCAAATGCGGCCATCTCCTCGGCGCGGCGCCCAGCGCGCAGTTCTGGGGCCAGATGATTGGGAGCGCCGTCGGTGCGGTGCTGTCGGCCGTCGTGTATAAGCTGTATACGCGCGTGTATACGATTCCGGGGGGGCTTTTTGGGGTGCCGACGGCGTATGTGTGGGTGTTTACGGCGAGGTTGGTTACGGGGAAGGGGTTGCCGCCCATGGTGAAGGAGTGGGCGAGTGGGGCGGCGGTGATTTTTGCGGTGGGGACGGTGGTGAGGGTGGTTGGGATGGCGAGGAAGAGGCAGGGGAGGGGTGGGTGGTGGGTGGATTTCGTGCCGGGGGGGATTGCGGTGGCTGTTGGTATGTCCGATGCTCTATTACTTACCCTTATTTTCTCGAGGGCGGAAGAGAGACAGTGAAAGTGCTAATGCGGAAGTAGGGATGTATAACACGCCTTCGTTTACGCTGGCGAGAACCATCGGCGGATTGATTAGCTTGTGGTGGAGGAGGTGGAAGGGCAGGAGCGAGACGCCGATTATTGTGCTAGCAAGCGGATTGATCCTGGGAGAGGGACTGTTTAGTATTGTCAATTTGGGGCTGGCGAGTTTGGATGTACCGCATCTTTGACGCATGTTGTCGTTACAGATTGCTTGCTTCTACATATATGGATGCCTATACGAAAGTCTAGGAGAATCAGTCCTTTTCGCATAACTCAACACCCTTAATCGAAAACTCTGTCATGCCCGGTCATGCATTAGACCATCAGCGCGGAATGAAAGCTAGACCATCTCGCCCGCGCAACCATCAACTCCTGTGCACCGGCATATCCTGACCGAGTCTATCCAACACCACGCATGCCCAAAAGTAAACGAGAAAGAAAAAAAAGAAGTGCCAACCCCTCACAAATTCAAATTCCGACTCGGCCCCGCCAACCTCGACTCCTTCTCCAACCTCTCTCTCTCCTTGATCTCCTGCAACTCCTCCTTCGTCGCATTATACGCCGCACTAGCCTGGTTGAACGGATTATCAGGATGCTTCTTAAACTCATCCTGGATCTTCCGAATCTTCTGATCCCGCCTCAAGCTCTTATCGTCCTTCATCTCCTCCAGCCTCCGCTCCTCGTACTTCGCATACGCCGCCTTGTACCTTCTCTCGGGATGCCTGTCAATCTTGTCCGAGGCGTTGGCCGTGAGGCTGAGGGCGTCGAGGGCGTTGTCGATGCCGGAGGCGTTGAGCGCGGAGGGTGCGTCGAGAGAGGCAAAGGCAGAATCGATGCCCCGGGTCTTCTTGACGGCGTGTTTCGTCCCTGCGCCTTTGGGCTTGGACGGCATGGATTCTTCTTCTGCGCGCAGGAGCGCCTCCTTCTCGGCCTTCTTGCGCGCGGCTTCGGCCTGCTTGGCGGCTGCTGCTTCACTGCATCGGGTATCAGTATGAGGCACCACCGAGGCGGGAGAGAAGGAAGAACGTACGCTTTGGCATTCGACTTTGCGCCCTTGGACCACTGCTCTGCCTCTGCGGCTTCGGCGGCACGGTCTCTGGCGGCTTGTTTTGCCTGCGCGGCTTCGGCTTTGCGGGCGTTGCCGGCGGCCTTTTTGGAGTTTTCGGCGCCGCCTTTGGATTTGCCCATGGTGTGGGTTTGGATGGTAGGCTGCGGAATGGGGGTTTGGTGGTTATTGATCTCTAGATGATAGATGGAAAGCTGGGAGCTACTGGATGAGCGCGTCTGGGAGATCAGAGAGCGTGAGTTTTGTAGTATAGGAAGTTGAGTCAAAAGGATACAAAGGCACGAAAAGGCGAAGCGGCGGGGAGAGTCGAGGCACGAGGCAGCCACCCGCACTCAACCCCACTACGCTCGCGCACGGGCCGCTTCTTAATCCCACGACGCCCACGAAGCTTCAACGCTTTCATCTCAACTGTACAATCTCCATCGATCAACTGCCTTTGATGCTCTCAATTCATTGATGAAAGGAGCAGTCTTGTATTTCGCATCTAGCTGCGTGCCCCGGTCCGGAGTGGTACCTACACACGTATTCAATATGTATACTTCCAGGCTCCTGTGTCGAGGCCTGGGGGTGGTAGCTCGTTCCATACGAAACGAATGCAACGTCTCTCAATCGACAATGCTGTCTACTGTAACTCGCTGATAAACTGTCTCTGCAGGTTTCAACAGCGCTTACGTAGACGACGGACATGCCAATATGGCTGCGCAGCAACCCAGATACCGATCTAGAGGGTCCAACTTGCAGTACGAAGTGTCTATATTGCGCCGCTGCAACTAGCCTACACCCATTGTAACACTAAGCCTGCAACCACAGGGGATCTATCATGGACCGGCTATACTGCTCTGCCTACCCGAGTTTACATCGCCGTACTAGCTCCGTGGGATTTTGATCACCGACACGGCTATGGCGATGCATACGACATGGTTCGCTCCGCTGTACTATATAAGACAGGATTTCTTTACGCCTCATGACCTTGGTTCCTTCTTTCAACAGGCACCTATTTTCTGGGTCCATATGTACTTCCTAACTCACGACCTACCCCATCTATCCCCCTCTCAGCAGCTACAACTCCCTACTCCCTCTCTCATATTTTCCGCTTCACAATCACCCACACATACACGATACAATATTCATCTAGCACAATGTCATCCCTCCTCACCGTCCTCACCACATTTGCAGCCCTCCTAACCCCATCCTTATCCTCCCTCACTGTCTCCCCCCGCCCCCCAATGGGCTTCAACAACTGGGCCCGCTTCATGTGCAACCTCAACGAATCCCTCTTCGTCGAAACCGCCAACGCCATGCTCAAAAACGGCCTCCACGCCGCCGGCTACACCGCCATCAACCTCGACGACTGCTGGCCTCTGCAATCCCGCTCCCACTCCGGCGAACTGCAATGGAACTCTACCCTCTTCCCCCACGGCCTCCCCTGGCTAGGCGACTACCTGCACGCCCGCAACTTCACCTTCGGCATCTACACCAACGCCGGAAAGATGACCTGCGGCTGGTACCCCAGCAGCCAGGACAACGAAGAAACCGACGCAAAGACCTTCGCCCGCTGGGGCGTCGACTACGTCAAAGTCGACGGCTGCCACATCGAGCTGCAAAACGGGCGCAACTACTACCAGGAGTTCGAGTACCGCTACAAACTCTGGCACGCCGTCCTATCCAAGCTCGACCGCCCCATGGTATTCTCGCAATCGGCGCCGGCCTACTTCTCGCCCAACTTCCCTTCCCTGGACCACCCGGAGAAGCCCCAAAACGACAATTACACGGATTGGTATAAGACCATGCAGTACATCTATCGCACGGGCGAGCTGGCCAGACACTCGGACGACATCAAGGTGTGGAGCACCAACCCGGACAACAGCTTCATGCCCGGCGGTCACTGGGAGAGCATCCTGAACAACTACGACAAGCAGATCCGACTCAGCCGGTTCCAGCAAGCGGCCGGTTGCGGCTTCTACAACGACCCGGATTTCCTGATTGCGGATTTCCCGGACTTGACGCCCGAGGAGAAGAAGAGCCATTTTAGCCTCTGGAGCGCCTTCTCGGCGCCCCTGATTATTAGCGCGTGGATCCCCGGTATGAGCGACGAGGAGGTGGCGTATTTGAAGAATGAGGAGGTCATTGCCGTCGATCAGGATGCGTTGTGTCAGCAGGCGACGGTCGTGAGCCAGGATGCCGTCTTCGAGGTTCTGAGCAAGAGTCTCGAGAATGGCGATCGGTTGCTGGCGGTGTTGAACAAGGGCGAAGTGGAGAAGTCGACGGTCGTGCCGTTGAAGCGACTGGGCATCGAACCTGAAGGTACGTATAAGGTGAAGGATCTGTGGAGTAAGCGGACGAGGACGGTGGAGACGAGTGTCGAGGTCCGGCTCAAGAGGCATGAGACGGGCATTTATCGGATTTCGGTGGACAAGCAGACGGAGGTTGCGCCGACGGGCCAGATCTTTAACACCTTCTCCATGCGGTGTCTCACAGCGCATAAGCGCGGGGCGAGGTTCGAAGAGTGCAAGGGTGGCGACGAGCAGGTCTGGTTGGTGCGGAAGAAGGGTATCGTGAGGCCCTTGTCGGCGACGAATCAGTGTCTTTTCCTCGGTGGGGATGACGCTGTTGTTGTTGAGAAGTGTGATGGCAGGCGGACGTATCACCAGTGGAGCTATGGCGTCGATGGGAACTTGGTCAGTAGGTACAATGGGTTGTGCCTCGAGGAGGGCGAAGGGGGGGAGGCGGTTTTGAGGAAGTGCGGTGTCGCGTTGAATAGCCAGGTTTTGGCATTGCCTGGGGGGGTGGAGTTGGAAAGGTAGGAGAGGGGGGGTCATCAAATGCATTGGGGGAGGCGGGTCTGGGGAAGGTTATGCTGGATGGTTTCTTTTCGGAAAATATCTATGCTCGGTATGTATAGGCACGCTCGTTTAGGGAAGAATAGAGACTTGTCAAAATGCTGTTGCGAGAAAAGAATACGGTCCTGTGAACCTCAACCGCAATATCAACAATGCTCATCGCACATGAATGAAAATGAAGCACCCCGAACGCCGTAAGTGCAAGCCATGCCCGCTAACCCGCGACTCCCAAAAAGAGAAAAATATCATGCCTCGTATCAGCCCAAGTCCCTTTCCAAGAAGAACGCAGACCCATCACCCAACCACAGCCTTCATACTCAGCCTCTCCAGGAAGCCGCTCAGATCCTCCTTCTTGATCTCAATCACGCACGCCTCAAAACTGTCCATTCTCACCCTCGCCCCCGTCTCCCTCACAACCTCCTGGAACGCATTGCCAAACCGATTACGCCCGAACCCCTTCCTCAGCTCTTCCTCATCATCATCATCCTCCTCACTCTCACTCTCCTCCTCATCCTCTTCTTCCGTCTCATCCTCAACCTCATCCTCCTCCAACCCAGCCGCAAGATTCCTCGAAATCCTCGCCTGCCTCTTCCTCTCCCTCTCCCTCTCCCTCGCCACCCTCTTCTTCTCCCTCTCCTTCGCCCTAGCCTCCCTCTTCGCCATCCTCTCCCTCGCCGAAACCGTCGCTCCCCCTCCCCCCAACCCCACAACCACATACAATCCCCTCGTCTCATCCAACCCAGCCATGACGAGCTCACTCCCCCTCCCACCCTTGCCCTTCGTTCCATTCAGCTCCACAATCGCCTCGGCAATCCACAGCGCGAGTTTCGTCAGCGCCCCCGGGTGCGTGAAAAGCTGTACATCGGGCCCCTCCTTGACGACCGCCATGCGGAAAGCCCTCAAGTGCCGAATCTGCTTCTTCTCGATCAGCGCCGTGCCCGTGCGCAGAATCGCCCGGTGCAGGTGCTGCGCGGTCCGGATATGGCTGACGAGCAAATCGATCGAGGCGAGCGCGTCGTACGCCGTCCAGAAGCGCGCGACGATGTGTTCCTGCGCGTCGCGCAGCATGGCGTCCCGATCGATCCGGTGGTCGGCGCCGTGTGCCATTTCCGCATTCTCCTGCACCGTCGTCGTCGCCGTCGTGCCGACGAAGTCGTTGGTGCCGTCGAAGCCGGATTGCTGGAGGCTTTTGGCGTCGCCGACTTCGAGGATGGCACCGAGGATGACGCCCACGTCGATGGCGCTCAGGCACGCCTTCCAGCCCCAGCAGCGCACGAAGCCCCACCCGTCCTTCATGTCGCCGTTGCGTGGCGGCGGCGGCACGAGGCCGTCGAGGCCGTACATGGGCGCGAAGCGGAGGAGGCGTTCTCGAAGCCCGCGCTTGAGGTCCATGTCCATGTGCGTATAGTTTTGCTTGCACTGCGCGAGGCTGACGCCCATTTTGGCGAGCAGCTTGTCGAGCCGGCGGCGTCCGGCGTCGCTCCAGATGTGCAGGCGGGCGGACAGGTAAGGGGAGTGCAACATGCTTTCGTAGAGACTCCAGTGGCGGAGGAGGAGGAAGCGTGGTTCGGGGGAGAGCCGGATCGATGTATCTGTTGCGGAGCGCGCGCTCGTGGGTATACTCCCGCTCGCGTCGCCCATGCTCACTTCGCGACCGACGTCCTTGAGGTCGACGTGGTTGAGGCGGCGCACTTCGTCGCGGAAGGCGGAGCGGATTCTCTCGCCGCGGTCGCCGTTCCAGCCTGCGGAGCCGCCTGCCGTCGAGAGCGGATTCAGGCCTACGCCGCTGCCGGTTCGGCCGTACAGCTCGAGGCTGCTCACACCTACTATGGCGTTCCAGAGGAGGTCGTTGTCTTCGCGGCCGAGTTCTTCGGCAAGCGAATACGCGATCGAGGAGACGGGTTCGGCGTACGAGGCTCCGAGCTGGTAGTACGAGTCGAGTATGCTGGTGTATTTGTTGCGCATGTTGAGCAATTGGCGGCGAAGACTCCTGACGGATTGCTCTTGCGGTGGAGCTACGGATGGCGAAACCGAGCGGTCGCTCACGGAATCCGAGCGGGATATGTCCGACGATCCTCCCAGGGCATTTTGCATGAGTCGTCGTCTTCCAGGTCTTCTTTCGGGGGACGATGGTATGGAGCCGCCCTAGACACGGTCAGGAAAGGATGGGCTAAAATGCGAGGCTGTACCTACTGAATTACTTCGTCGTCTCCGAAGTGGTCGCTCGTTCTCAGAGTCTTCCATATCGGAATCATCATCTCCTCCCCAAGACTTCCTTTTCTTCGGCGCTTGCCCCGACCGAGGTGGCTGCCTGTCTTCATCGTCGCCGTCCGAACCATCGTCGGAGAAGTCGTCCTCCCCGACTTCAGGCATCTCTTCTAGTGCACAGTACGCTTCACGCTCCCTCTCCAGCTCCTCCTCGATATCGCCATCATCGAAGACTATAATCCCTCCCTTCCCGGACTGGTACGAAGGCAACACCTTCCCCTTCTCCACCCCGGCCTGCCTCCTCACCAACTCCCCCGTAACCGGATCCCGACTGAGAGGCGCGCCAAACACATTCGATAGATTCCAAGGCCTTCTCGCATCCATAATCCACACTTCCACATCCCCCGGGCCCCCATTTCCATGCTCATCCACCTCAAGCCCCAACATCTCCTCCATATCCACCATCCCTCCCACCCCCAAACAAATCACTACTCCCCCACTCCCACCCTCCGACGTCCGCATAGGCCGCACCAGCTCCTCCGCCGCGCGAGACAAGTCGCCATATCCGGATATCGGCTGGATCTTGTGCGGTATGTAGTCGCGTCTCAGCAGCGCGGTCAGGATGCGACAGGCGCATAACGCGTCGGGCTCGAGCGCGACGAGGAGTAGGACCGGAGGTGCGGCGGCGTGGTTACGTTTTATGAGGTTTTGGTAGAGGTGCGATATTAGGCTTCGTGGGAGGTACATATTTCTGTCTTCGGCGGAGGCGGGACAGTAAGTAGTGTTTGCGGATGAATAGATGTGGAGAGGCGCGTGTGGTGGGACGCGTCGGGTGTTGTGGTGGAGAGGTTCGAGGGTAGTGAGGTTTAGTTCATGGTTTATTTTGTGGGACCGGTTCAATTGTAATAATATGAGGCGCAGAGGTATTTGGGATGGTTCACGAGGGGTATATGTTTTGCGTTGGTGGGAAATGCAGTTGTGAGCGATGTTGGTGACGGAGGTGGGTGGACGCGTTGAACCGCGCTAGGCTGAATGGGGAATGGGGTGGTCCGCGTTGAGTTCAGCTGGGTTCCTTGCTTTCCCATCCCATCCTGTCTTCGAATTTGTCCAAGGTCGACGCGCAGAAGCAATTAAAGCTGCCGCACATATTTGAGGTTTTAATCCTATTTCCTGGCTCTTATTATCATGCTGTAGAACATATATTTGTTCGGCTTTCTCTTTCCCCGTTCGCGCTGCTTGAAAACTCTGGCAGTGAAGTTAATAGGAGTGGGAACTTCGAGCCTACACTGAGCGTGTTTACTGGGCTTGGGTTCGTGGATGAACAGGTTATACAAAGAAAAAAAGTGCGCTCTGGGCCAACGTCGACTTTCCAAATATGCTGTTGCCAACGTTTACATTGTGCTGTGGAAGACATTGTCAGGCCCATGGATTTGATTCGTAGAATATATCTGAACGCAACCAATTATGTTTGAGAAATAATTGGCAATGCTAAAATCGTGAATGGGAATTATCTTAGTGGCCGGCGCACGGTTCGGCTATTACTCAGCCGTCAACCTCACCCATGCCTCAAACCAACCTCACCTCTTCTCTCATCCACCACCACTGCGCGCAACGTCCCCGACGTACTTTGATCGTGCTTTTACAAGTGAGGATTGCTTAAGATGAGGTCCGGCGCGTCCTGCATACCTTCAATACGCAGATCGGATCGCATCCATTTGCGGACTATGGCTATCTTGTCCCTGACCAACTTTTACTGTGATGCAGAGCTTCAAGGGCTAAAGCGCCGTACCAGAAAGTAAAAAGATATGAGGATGTGCATATCGTCTTGTAACACAGTCATCCCGTGGAACAATGACATCTGAAAGGGCAAAGGGCAAGGGCAGCCAGGAGACGGTACGTTCCTCCCAACAATTCCCCTCAGTTCCTTTTGTCTTCACTTCCAGGACCGCCTTTGGTACTGCATATCTTTCCAACCTTTCTAAACTACTCTTGATTTCTTTGAAGGGCGTTTGACTCCCCGAATATCCCTTTTTCTATTGTAATGCCTGTTTCCAGCCCACACATCATCCCCATCTTTTCGATGCTTTCTCTCCTTCGAAGTAATTGTCCGGCATATTTACCATCCTATAATTTCCTTTCTTAAGGTCATTGCGTTCATAAAACTACTGTTGGCTGCGTCGGATGCCTGCCTATGTCCTCTGTATCGCCAGCAGATCTTGGTGGCCATTCCTGTCATGAGCTTCTTCATCCAGAGAGTGTGAGTGGACTTGTTTATGACTAACTCTATCTTAGATATGTCGGTGTAAACTTCAGGCTCACTTTGGCGAAGCCCACCGTACTGGCATCGCTCACGACATCTTGCTGTATCCGTAAAGCTGCAGGCATCGTAAATAAGTCAGGCAAACGGCACAAACCGCGAGACCACAATAGCAGAGACCCAATGTCCTGTCAGGGAATATATCAGCACTGCTGGGTCAGACCCAGGCTTCGACATCGGAGCCTCGTCGGCACCTGAAGGTGCGGTGCAAGGTGTTGTTGTGGGTGCGCAACACCTCGTCGGTGAAAGACGCCGCCCACGCAAAACATCGGTCACCGCTCGCTCAGGCACGCCGACGCCCGCCACTCCACCGACGTCATTGGGTTCTTTCTTCCCGCACGAACCGCCGCTCTTTTTCTGGGCCTATTTAATCATTTTGCTAAACTTTTCTCAACAAGCCAGTTCGCAGGATGATGGTTCAGTGGTCGTTTATGCGGCACTGTTACGGAGGTGTCGTGAAAACCCCGAGGTCATCGAACACTGCCATTAATCCGGAACTGGCCCGGGTTCCAGCGTTGAAATACACTGCATACATGGTTTCCCTAAAATATGCCATACGGTGGGCATATTTTTGCTGTTTTTGCGGGAAGGTCCCGGGTTCGAAACTCGCCGTCGTCGCTCGTTTTACGGCTTTCTTTTTGGTTTTGCGCGTGTTTTTGCTCCGTGGGTTATTATTGCTACTCCAGCAGCTGGCTTTCACTCCCAAGATACAGAAGCGGCCTGGGTCCCGCCTTGTACCATGTTCATCTTCGAGTCGAAGGAAGGAAACGGCTCCAGTGACTCAAGGGTGGCAGTTATATATACTACACTGTCTGTCAACTCTGCCTCTGTGCCGTTGGCGGTGCGTCCATGGGCCTCCAGGGCTCTTTACCATCACGTGACTCGATATGTCCTCAGGTCGAGTCGACCTATCATAGTGGATTATACGGTTATGGCTGACACCTGCATGCAGATGCATTAAAACCCGTGTTGGTGGGGTTGCCCAAACCTTCGTCACGACCTCGGGACACTTCTGGCCGGTAGCACGACCACATTGCAATCTACGTACGATAGAAGCGCACAATGGATTGCTTGCTTTGCGCAAAGATTGCGCGCAGCACGCTTAGGACAAAGTCAAATCGAGAGCGGGCCGACAGGATTGCACAGTTCAAGGCATTCAAGAACAACAATGCGTGCCCGACATGCCGAAAGGTCGTTGATGTTTTCTCTGCAGTGGGCAGCGCCCTCATGGATGATGCTGAAGTGACCATAGCATTTGAGGAGTCCCAAAGGTATTACAGAAGATGCTGGACACTAAGCATTGCCCAACATGGAATATACATCGAACTTCTCCGTCTGAATCGTGAATTGGGTGTTGATGAGGACTTTGCAACGCCAGTCGACGATCCCCATATCAACCTGGATCAGCCGAAGCGATGGATCAAAGACTGCGATGAATACCATGGCGGGACATGCCACACAATATGCGACCCTTGGGCTCGTATGGAATATCCGAAGGAGCTGATCCTCATCGACGTCGAGAGGCAATGCTTGGTGCGACAAAAGGGATCGCGGAGATATCTGGCACTGTCATATATGTGGGGCAAACCTGTTGCAGGCTTCGAGCCCTTCCAAACCAAGCTCAACAATTTCGACAGCCTTCGTCAGGAAGGGGCGTTTAACTTGACCATGAATGCTTCCCGTTTACCGAATACCATCAAAGATAGCATTCTATTGACGGGACTCCTGGGTGTACGTTATCTGTGGGTGGATAGGTTCTGCATCATCCAGGACGATCCGACCACAAAGCCGATGTTTCTAAACATGATGGCGTCGATATATGCGAACTCCTATTTTACTATTGCTGCATGCGAAGGCAGCGATGACACGGCAGGATTACCTGGGATAGGCGACCGATCGAGGCCTCTACCATTTCAGACTTTCGACTTCGGACCCTCATGCCGCATGATCTCAGTTGAGCCTATCCGGCCGATCAATTCCCCCAACGACCTCTATCATACGCGAGGGTGGACATATCAAGAATGGAGTCTAAGTACAAGGGTGCTTGCGTTCCACCATCATACCGTATCCTGGATGTGCCGGAAGTCACGGGAGCGTACCGAGAATGGTGCCCAGCCTGTCCCTTCATATATCCCCACCGTCATAAACATCGAAGAAGGGGAGCACCTCTGCTCCAGGTGGCCCAATTTTAAGCTCTATGCTACTTTGGTTTCGGACTACAGTGAACTCAACTTGACATACCCTGAGGACGCCTTCAGAGCGTTCTCGGCCATGGTTGCAGTCACGGGACGCCCGATGGCGGGAGGGATTCTCTTCGGATTGCCGGAAGTCATCTTCAGCGGTGCTCTTCTCTGGAAACCGCGAGGTTTGATTGAGCGTAGGAAGGACAGACACGGTAATGTCATGCAAGAGTTCCCGAGCTGGAGCTGGCTGGGCTGGAGTGGGCACATTGACACGGAAGCCTGGGCACAGGCTCATGCTTATTATTCCGTCGACAATGGCGATGTTCTTGCTGGTACTCCTTACAGATTTACTATACGCCCACTGATTGATTACTTCAAGACGAGGGGATTGGTTGTTAGGAAGAAGATACACAACGGCTACTACGACACCGCCAAACGGACGGATCTCGATCTCCACCATGAGAGCCTCCCGCCAACCTGGAGGCTCCGGCATCCTGTACCCCTCCTGTCTCAGCCTGAGCCACCTGTCGACGAAGAATGGGAAACTGTAATCGAGTTCCGAACCAGCCGCCTTGTTCTGCGCCTGGGCGATTGCAGAAACGACAAGCACGGCAACACAGAAGATTGCGATCTACTGACGCCAGACGGAGACGTTGCAGGCCTGATGACCTATGGCCAGAGGGGCACCCTAACTCCAGGCCATCCTTGTGAACTCATCTGCATAGGGCAAACGGAGGCGGAATGGATGTGGCAGGCGACTGGCACGATTTTCAAGGAAAGTCAACATTTCCACAAAGACTGTCCACCGGAGTGCTATTGGGCGCCAGAATCTTGCTTACTGGGGGAGAATTGGATGTATGAGTGCTATAATGTAATGTGGATCGAGCGAAAGGATGGAATTGCGTATAGGAAAGGGGTAGGGAGGGTCTTCAAGGCGATCTGGGATCAGGTAGAGACCGAGGAGGTAGACGTGAGACTGGATTGAGTCTGGGGTGCACCTTGCATCTAGGTTCAGGGTCATTCTTCGGTCTGGATGCCTACTCTTTGCATCCCTTGGTCAGTTCGATATGAGTGCTCTAGAGGTGACTGCCGCTTTTCACATCGACTGAATACTCTCTGCGCTTTGCCTGTTTCCTTGTGTATTGAGAATTTCCTCCTACAGGTGAACAGCTAGGAGCCGCAGCGATATTATCACATCTTGCAATTGGCTATGTAGCGCCTCTATCTGTGTACAATAAGATCTAAAACGAAACCCTAGTTATATCATTATTATATAGCAGTCAATTGAGTTGCACCCACTTCGTGCCCACCTACTCCATTCACGCTAACCGCTTCGAGGATCCAGAGAATCTCCGAAAACTGCCCCGCCATGGCAGCACCACTTGGAATTCCTCACAACAAGCTGTCAGGACAATCAGGTTGCTTCCCAGACTTTTCTCTTTAGCTGTCGGCAGTCGGCATCTATCGATACGAAAGGAATCATGCATTTTTCACGCGCCCGTTCCTGCGGTGCGATGACTCCCCCGATTGAGGAGTCACCATCATATCAGTCGGCGATATAACATAAATTCCCGCCGTCCGTACCTTTTTCTCCACTTGACACAACCACCAACTACTCTACAACACGCGCACAATGAGTCCCAAAACCTCAGCCTTTGATCTTTCCAAATGCGCGCGTCCAAATATCCTCGCACTTGAACCATATCGGTGCGCAAGAGAGTGAGTCAAGGCGCAATGCTTATTCGCATCACCACCCGATACTAATCACGCCAACAGCGACTACAAGGACGATGGCACGAACATCCTCCTCGATGCGAACGAGAACGCTTACGGACCCGGCCTTGCGCTGAATGAGAACGGCAAACTCTCTGGGTCAGCGACCAATGGTGTCTCCGGCGACCTTGACGTCGACCTGCTCGGCCTGAACCGATACCCAGACCCGTATGTCCCCTTGAGCTATGAATGCACCTATACACACCATTGACGGCACAAAGGCACCAGATCGAGCTTAAACAAGACCTATGCAACCTCCGCAATACCCACCACCACACCTCGAAGACCCTTACACCAGACAACTTGTTTGTCGGTGTCGGTTCAGACGAAGCGATCGATGCTCTCCTGCGCGCTTTCTGTATACCAGGGAAGGACAAGATCCTAGTGTGCCCGCCTACCTACGGCATGTACAGCGTGTCCGCGCAGGTCAATGACGTAGCCCTAGCCAAAGTCCCACTACAAGGCCAGGACTTCCAGCTCGACGTCCCGGGCATCATCGACGCCCTCTCCAACGACCCAACCATAAAACTCGCATACCTCTGCTCACCTGGGAACCCCACCGGCTCTCTCCTAAAGAAATCCGACATCCAGCAAATCCTCGAACACCCAACCTGGAACGGCGTCGTAGTCGTCGACGAAGCATACATCGACTTCGCGCCCGAGGGCTCTAGCCTCGCAGAATGGGTCACCGAGTGGCCCAACATGGTGGTCATGCAGACGCTCTCCAAAGCCTTCGGGCTCGCGGGGATTCGCCTTGGGGCCGTCTTCACGGACCCCGCGATCGCACGGATCCTGAATTCCCTCAAGGCGCCGTATAATATCCCGAATCCTACTAGTCAGCTGGCGAGGGCGGCGTTGAGCCCGAAACACATGGAGGTTATGCGGAAGAATAAGGAACTCATTGTTAAGCAGCGAGACCGACTGTTGGAGGAGTTGCCCAAGGTCCCTGGTGTGGGCAGATTCCTGGGTGGTACGGACTCCAATTTCCTACTTGTAGAAATGCTCGATGCGCCCGCGGACCGGGGTGGTAAACCCTCCAATGAGACTGCGCTGGCTGTGTACGAAGCTCTTGCCGAGGAGAAGGGCGTCGTCGTAAGGTTCAGAGGCAAGGAGCACGGGTGTTTTGGGTGTTTGAGGATTACAGTGGGGACGGAGAAGGAGGTGGATCGGTTTCTGGAGGAGATTCGGGTGGTGTTGGCGGGGATTTTTGAGAAGGGTGGGAAGGTGAGTCCGAGGGAGGAGGAGAGGAAGGAAAAGGAGGCTAGTGCGGTGGTGGCTTGATTTGATGAGGGGGTAAATCTGGCATAGATAGATGTTCAAGAGGTGGTTGATGATGTCTTTCCGCATGCTATGATGCTCGAGGAGTTGCGGTTGTTTGTGTGTCACGACGCAGAGATTTTGTTGGACCATGAAAATGGGTTTGTCGTATTTGATCTGCCTGAACGAAGAATTTCGACCTCGATCTGTCGGTGATGAGCTTATTATCTCACATGGACACATGTGCAATATTTTAGACGCAGCATTCCGCATCATCGGCCTCCACTTGTCTATATAAATACCCTCAGCACCGTGGCTCCGTTCCCATCTCTCACACCAACTTCTTCATCCATTCAAAACTTGAACAGGATCGATCCATGTGCTGGAGCGGCTCTCAGCATCTTAACGTGCTTTCCAAGATTTTGGAATATTCAGCGGGTAGTAAAGCGGTGATGATCAGTGATATCATCACGATATCATGACGATCGGACATTGTTGGGGGCATTATGCTCCTATTAGAGATTTTAATAATTACTCATCGTCATATTGCCAATATGGCCACCAAGCATCTCAAATGTTTATATAAACCCCCCACCTCCGTAGCTCAGTTCCTATCCTCTACACCAACTTCTTCATATATTCAAAGCAAAGAAGCCAGCTATCCATGTGCTGGCGCGGCTGAAACTGGCTGTAGGTGTCTAAACGGTATTTCCAGAGCCATGGGATATTGAGCGGGTAGTGAGGTGGTGATTATCATTGTCATCTTTACTATCACCGATTAGACATAATCGAAAGATCTTGCTTTTATTGGAGATTTGATCATCACTTATCGCCGCTGTCCTTGTTCCTTCGGCTCGGGAATAGGTATATAAAACCTCACCTTGTGCTCGGTCGACTTTGTATTCTTTTGTTTACACGCCCCTCTGGGATAACAATCTCAATAAAAGCATCGGTAATACCATTTCATGGCGTTGTGATTCCGTTCTTGCTGAAATGGGGGGACAAATGCTCAGTATGATCGGCCACGCGATGTGAACAGCGGTGAGGGGATGTCACCTTCTATCATCGTGCTGGTAATGCATGTAGTGGAAGGGATTTGATGATGAGGAGCACCGTCGTCGAATGATGAAATGCGACATCGAATGTCGAATTCCCGCAGCAAACGGTACAGGTGTAAGTATATAAGTTCCGAGAAATACCTTCCTTGCGGCTTAGCTACCATACTACTTCTCTTCCATTTACTACCTAAAGCTTTTCAACGACATCCTATATGTTTGCCTGAGTCCCCACCATATAACCTGCGCCTTAGACTCTCGCATCCGCATGTGAAGCCAGGAGTCATCATCATCATCAGCATTATCATAAAATAATAGTAAAGAGGTTCCTCGGAATCTCGACAAGATTCTTCTGCGTCGCTAGCGTTGTTTTAAAAGCCTCTCGATGGGTATATAAACCTCCAGCTTTTCTTCCCGGCTACGTTTTCTCTTCTCTCACAATTTTCCACTGGGTTCCAAATAGAAGCCAATACTTTATCCGCCTATGTGGATTCGGTGGTTGCGACTCGCTCAGAATTCTGAAACGTTGCCACCGATGGAACATGAAGGTTGGCCGTGATGGAAGAAAGCAGAAGTCAGTGTGCGATATGTCGATGGCTCGATGCGTTACTTTAAAACGAGAGCGAGTTTGATATTCACGTCTCTGCAAAAGTTTCCCAGATCCGAATGATACCTGTCATGAGCTTACTTCCAAACATACGATTCACATCTAAATTTCTGGAACTGAAGCCACCGACGCCCGTCACGGGTATATAAACTCCCTCCTTTCCCTTTCCCCTGCTTCCTACTCTGCGCGATCTGTGTCGGCAATAATCATTGAAATAAAATGCATGGCGCGAGTGACATGGGGTGTGGTTGTGGTGACAGACGTGGTCGAAGGATGGTACGACTTGGGGCTTGATTGTAAATGCGGATTGGGCAAATTTGAACAGTGGTGATATTGGTGACGATAATGGTGGAGAATATCATCGTTGGCTCAGTGCCTTAAAAGATATGTACATTTAGATGCACGATTTGCACATGCCCGGCTTATACATGTACGGCGGCACACATCGGTATCGATCGCACTGTTTCGATCCAAAGCCGTGAAGTGAGAGGCAGGGTTTCCACGTACACGTATATTACCCCGCTTCTTCTCCTGCTTCTTGTCTATTCCTTAACTGTTCGCTTCGGCCACAATGCTCAAACCCTAAAATGCAGAGACTAAGGTGCAATGTCCGGGAACCTTGGTATTTCCTGAAGAATATAATGCATAAGTGCGTTACTTTTTGGAGATCTGGGAAGATGACTACAATATTGGTATCGTGGCCATGCATATACGTGTTGGTGATTATGAACTCTATAAAGAGTAGCTGTAGGTGCGCCGAAGAACGATGATGACTTTCATCCTCTTGAAAAAGTATCCGTAGTAGGTTAGACCTGCGTTAAACATACTAGATTCGAGCATGCATGCTGAGTGGCTTCGTAGTACTCTAACGCGATTTGAATTTTAAAGTTTAGTTGGAGTCCAATACAGAGTAGGATTCAGCCTCATTATCAAGAACAGAGAACCGATACAACATATCGCCAAACACATGCAAAGTTTCTTATCAACATCGTCTGTCTGTGTATATAAACCATCCTTAGCACGACTAAACCCTAGGGCATCCTATAAACTAGTTTTCCTTTGAGTTATCTAGAAACAAAACTGGCTCGCCCTAATGTGCCGGTGTACATAGGTAGTTCTAGGCATTTGTACATGTACGTGTCCACCAAGTTCTTGATAAATCATCGCTCTGAAAAGAACACTGATGAAGAACAATGCCATCGTTTGAGAAGTTCCATAGGCGTTCGCCGCTGCCCCTGATGAGCTTGATTGGTGAAAATGTATATTTGACGGCAGTGGGGACTGCAGATGGGGAACGTCATCATCGAATAGTCCAAAACAAAAGTTTCACGTAATGTATGCAGTCCTGATACAATTCATCGTGTAGTGTTAAGCATTACCTGGTAGCATACTTTAGCACATAGACCACTTAAACCTGTGGACGCCAAGTCGATACCATGGTTGTCGTCACTATATAAGACCCTCTTGTCTAGCTTCACCTACTCCTGTTTTTCACCTTCGCGTTAAAAACAAACGTAAAAGTTCGTTGCCGCTAGAAAATAAACGTCACTTCCAATTAATGTGGTTGGCATTCTCGTTGCAAGTTTCAACCGCGTACGGGGTCACACATCATGGGTTTTTTTGTATGCAATGTTGGCGATGATGTTTACCAAAGAAGGAATAGATGATGGTGTTCAGCGTCAGAAACACCGATATGTGGTAGACACATCGCACCCAATTCCTGACACCATGGTCATGTTTTTTGCGGCTTACTGACAATCGAACGCGGGTCAGAAGGTATATAAACCACCTTCTTTCTGCTCACTAGAGTCGTTCCTCCTCCACTCAACGCAGTAGTGCATTGTCGACTTTCGAAAATAGAAAGACGACAAAAGTGATGTTGTTCTATCCTTGATTCCAACATGGAAACGCGCTATGAGTACCATTGTGGCGTCGATTGCAACTGAAGTGAGAACTTTCAATCGCAGTTGCAGAAGTGATGATGGCGAAGATCAACGTCGTTAGAATCGCAAGTCCAGCTCTACAATAGTTCAGCCGGGCACTACCCATTGTGAACCATGAGCTTAAGAAACTAAGAATGATTTCTGAACCTGAGTGCCCTCGCAAACTACAATCTGCTCCTGTTCGCTCATAGCTGGCCAAAACTCTTTTATCTCATCATTTCTCGTATCTCCTATTTCAATTCGTCCTCTCTATATGCAGCCGAGACTCCGGCCTTCGTACTGGCTCGGAGACTCAACGTCTACAGCGCTATTGCGCTACTAGCAAGGAATAGGATGATGGGAAGAGAGAATATGAAGAAGATCCTCCCCCTTGTCAAATCGGACAAATGTACAGAAGATTATCATCTCGCGTGTCGCATGTTATTCTTTACTTCTCGAAGCCTTGCAAAGTGTTACCTAGGTCCTACCTATGTCAAAACTCACCAATGCCACAGCTGCGGGCGCGCTGAAGTGTGCGATCAAGAAGCGGGTCAGTGCGGGGAGCACCCGCTCCAAAATACTGCACCATTCACTGCACAATAACTCCACCACTACGTATGGTTTTTTGCTGTAGAACGTTGCTTTCTGTAAATTAGCGTACACACTACAACCTGAATTTTTCAGCTCGCGAAACATATGATGTTGTTGTCTTGTTCTCCACGCATTTCTTAAGTGCCTTCTTGGACCGGGTGGCAACCTCACCCGCCGGCAAGCCAGTTTCTACAGTTTTGTCACGTCCGACTGAACACCGCGCGACACTTCCTCCGTAGGTCGCATTACCTGTTTAGCGCAAGCTCTCTGCTAACGATCTGTCTAGGCAGAGGCGCCTTAAAGCCTATTGCTAGGGCCGATATATCTGTGCAACTCCTCGCTTAAATGTATATAAAAACCTGCAGTACTAAGGAAGTACGGGGCCGTGTTTCGTTTGGACGTAGAAAGTAGCAGGCAGTACTTTGATAGAAAAGAGGCGCTTCTTAAAACGAATACGACGTCTGCCATACCTCTGCGACCACTGGCTGGTCGGTCGGATGTGAAAAAGTGCAGTGCCACTCCTTGAATGTGAATAGGATCCAGGAGGCCATCCGATCGTACGAATAGAGGGCAGCTTCTCCCTACGATCCGCAGCAGCTGCCCAGAGTCTCTCTGCCCATCGAGGAGAATTGGGGCTACATTCACCTGCACTCCCGTGCCGTAGAACCAGCAAAAAATGACTCAGCCGAGGTTTGAACTCGGGACCTTCAGTGGAACTAACACGAGTGTTAGACTGACGTGATAACCAACTACACCACCGAGCCGTTATTGGTATAATGGTGTGAACAAAATTTGATAAGGCAAGAAATTCCAGCTCCTACGACAGCTCTAATATGTTTGTTGTCCCAGAGGAAGGCAAAGGAGGTGATACTTAGTCGATAATTCCATGAGGAGGGATACCGTTGTGTGGCGGCAAAGGTTTTCAGGGGCTAGTGAGTCGACAGGCTGGGGCGAAGAACAACCGGCCCATGTTTGGTTCTTCCTCCACCAATAGGATTGCGGACAACTCCCGTGGTACAACACTGCACCTTTTCTTCAAGTTCAACTGGACCTGAGGAGGTCGCAGGAGTATAACAAACGCTGTGATTGACCTGGCAGTGCCTCCGTCCAGGTATAGCTAGCCATAAACGCGTGCTCTATTGTAGTAGCATAATTAGACTGTGGCCATTGAATTGCTTGAAATAGGTGGTCTGATCTGGAGCAAAGAGCACATGAGGGTGTTCAGTCGGATGTGAGAAGGTGCAGTAGAGGGCTGATCCGGCGGGCAAAGCGGACTGTCATTGTTAGGACGGACCTGCGCATAGAAATGGTGCATGTGTAGTTTGAATTGGCTGTCGAATTAAGCGTGATTGAAGGTTGTTGCTAACTCAGAAGCGGACCGTCTGCGGCCCAGGAGACCTAGAGCTGCGAATTGGAAGGAACAAACAGTACCGATTCCTGAACGGATCTGTAGGAACACGGCCTCAGAGATAAGCGCCAGATTGTCGAGAAAGAACAGACATCGAACATTGTGTAGGAGGGCCGATATGGAAGCTGTCAACCCATCCACAGGCGAACTTCTGGTTTGGGCGCACTACCAGATCCTCTTCGCAACCATATTATACCGACTTACATGTCCGTAACTTGTACCTTCCGTCCTCTCCTTTTCTTCCTTTTTCTTCTGGCTTTCGTCCTTCTCTCTCAGTCTCTTCAGGCTCTCAGGGTCATCGTGATAGATCCACCTCCTCTTCTCCTCATCAACATCTACGACACCCCATCCACCAATCTTCTTGCCGCCCGTCTCGGTATCCAGGCGCTTCCGCTCCTCCATTCCGTGATATCTGTTGCGGGCGATGGAGAGTAGCACCATCCCCAGCGCTATCTTCATACCAAGCAGGAACAGATATATACCGAGGAAGACAAGCGCCTTAGTAGAGAAGGCAATGAAGTCATCAATGTCCCACGTAAGCCACGCTGTCCAAGAAGACTGTTCACCAACACCTGCGCCAAATGAAGAGCGTCCGAGAGCTCGACGAAGAATATTGTCGATGCGCGCTAACGCTGCAGTCGTAGCGGGAGAAGTTGTTGAAGCAGATTCTGACAGAGAAGTGACTGTGGAAGGCAGGGGCGGTGGCATATGCGCCGCCACAAACATGTGGTATGTTTGAACCGCAGCCCGTATGAAGAGGCATGCCAGCGGAATGACTGGCAAGCCAAGACGCCGGGTCAAATTTGGATCTGTGAAAGCGTCTGAATAATAGTCCTTCGCTAACACGTCTAGATATTTGTCGTAGATGTTGGGCTTGGTTTGGTTGAATTTCGTTATGTAGGCATGCTTCAACCAGTCGACTAGCATCTCGCTTCCCAAGACCAGTAGAAATGGATTCAAGACTGGACCTATCCATCGTGGAAAGACCTTGAAGCTCATTGGTATGATGCTGGACGCTGTTAAAGGCGCAGTAGAGTTGCTACGGCCGAAGGCGCTGCGCCACGAGGAAATGTCACCACTGCGTATGCTGAAGCCGCCCACCTCAACGATATTGCGCATGGCGATAATGAGCAACATAAGCCACAACTGAAAGCGCTCCACAACATCCGCGCAGGTCAGCTGGAACAGATTCTCCTTCTCGAATTTCTTGAAGACGGTTCCCTTGATTTCAACAAATTGATTCGATAAGAGTAAGGTGAGCAAGGCATTCGAGTAAGAGTTGACAGCCACATTGAGCGTGATGACTTGGTAGAAAAGTGCTGTGGCGTGGCCCACATTGTAGACAAGCGCAAGGAGGAACATCCAGAATGGCCGCAAGACCTTGCTCCGGCCATCCGGATTCCGATCCAATGTCTCGCGAGAGAAAAGGCACTCCAAGACATCCTGCCCGACAGCCGAGAGTAGACGGTCGCAGACCTCCAGCACATTGTAGATCACGTAAAGCTTGATGGCCGCTTGCCCACGGATGCCATGATACATCTTGCTGGCATCAAAGCGCATAAGAACAGCGCAGCTGGTGATCACGAGAAGACCTTTCAAAATATCCGCTTTATGACTGGGCAACAGAGCTGAAGGCGTAGATTTGGTTCTTCGATGTCTATATCTCGTTCGTGTGCGTTTCTCTCGAGCTTCGGCTGCGGATAGGGTTGGCACTGTCTTGCCGTGATCCCGAGATGAGTTGACAATGCTGGTCCCATTGGCAATAGAGGCAGAAGGTCTTCGCGACCGCGGCGGTGGTAGCTCCTCCGCGGGAGTACTTGCAACAGGTGTCTGAAGGTAGTTATCGGTCGCTGCCCTTCGCCGTCTCCAAACCCTGCCTAATCCGTTGTACACAAAGCTCGACAGATCTCTTATCTCTCTTAATACAACAGAGCCCCACCATCTAACCAGTATCCAAACAGCAATGAAGAACCGCAACGGAAGAATTGTAAGAATATGCATCCAAGCATCCAAGCATGCAAAGGCCCCAAAACCTAGAACACATTCTAGCTTTTGGGGTAACATTAAGAAATTGACCAGACGGTCGTATTTTATCTTGGAAGATTCGTATGGAAAGTCTGTGCTCGATGGTCGATATATGTACAATGGCGATGGTCTATCAGCGGCTAACTCGAGAGCGAGAAAAGTGGGGATGGAGAACGGAGGTAACGGTATGGTTGCAGGCACTTGAGCGGCGTTCTTGTCCCTAGATATCTCCCTCTGTGCAGGTTTCCTAGTCGACGCACTGGAAGCGTCTCTTATCTCCTGATTGAGATGAGACGCGGAAGCTCGAGATCTTGTACTGTCTCCATCGTCTTCAGGCATGTAGCCTTGGTCTCTTTGATTGGACTGCTTTCCTCGTATGACCGGTGGCGTAGATATTGCTCGTGATGTTAACGCTGGCCTTGCCTGCCGCGGTCCTCCAGCATTGACTTTCGCGGCCACCGGTTCGCGTCCATCAGAGTTGTTAGAGCTCCTTGGCTCCGTAGTGGTCCTCCTACGGCCGTCCACTTGCCGAGTAGTTCTAGGTTCGAAAGGTGGCCCCAGTGTGCCCACTACCCCCTTATTGCATGGTTTTACGTCCTCCCCTGCTGTCTCCTCGAGGGCATGTTCCGGTATTGGCGAGGCAGCTCTGATCGGGATGCTGGCGGGTTCGCTAGTCAACTCATGTATTTGCTTCGGACACAACTTGAGGGCCCTCTCATGCTCTGAGACGCTGCTCCTTCTCCTTCCATCACCGGGTCGTCTGATTTGCCGGGTGAATGTCGCCTTGACGCTACCGTCAGATAGACCGGCGTCCTCATTCGATGTACTGGGTCTTCTTGTTGCGATTCGGCCCTCGTTCTCCGTTCCGCTAGCGACTGGTTCTTCATTGTCCAGATGTCCGTCTCCATAGGCATGATTCAACAAAGCCACATGTTCCGGCTCAGGTGTAGCAGACGGAGAGGGAAGCTGTGTGTTCGACCGGGAATTCCCGTCTGACCTCTGGTTTAGGCTGCTCATCGAGGAGCGAGAGGAACTTGACTCTTGCGAGCATGATGCTATGGCAGAGCTGGGTGGGACATAATGGTTGGAGGGGAACAGAGTGCACACAAGAAGCTTTGACCGCATGAATTCTTGGCGCCAAGAATGATTCTATCCTCCTCTCATATACTGCACCTTCAAATGTTTTCACCTCCAACTGAACAACAAGGGGTTGCAGGAGTAGAGCAGACGCTGTGAAGCCCCTAGCCAGGTCTCACCAGGTCTAAAGCACTCTTCCCTAGTGGCGTAATCAGGACGTGGCCAGTTGAATTGTTTGTGGTAATCTAACTTTAAGTAGAAGCTTAAGTGAAGGGAAATGTTCGGTCGGATGCGAGAAGGCGCAGTAGTACCTTAGATTGGAGTATGTACTCACGCTGTATTTGGAATTTCTGGACTTTCTCTGGCCGCATCCACGACTAGCAATATCTGCAAGCGTTCAAGCTCAGCGCACACTGACAAATATATCTGCCGGCAAGTGGTCGTTGACAGTACAGCCGAATTATGGACAAAAGCTGTCAAACCAAAAATGTGACAGCTCATGGTCCCATTGATTTCGAACTACAACGTTCTAAATCAAGGTACTGGTGCGCAACAACTTGAGAGGATGTAGGTCAGGTTGAGGAGTGGCGCCCTTTATCCCTCCCGCAATGGCCTCGAACCGGCACTATCCTCCTTGCCGAAGGTATATCGATCGGTATTTCTGAAGCCTCATCAAATCACGGCTCACTCGGTAGATTTCAGGATCAGTTTTTCATTCTCACCCTTTTGGCGTATGCGAGTCTACACCGCTGTACCTTCGTACTTTCGTTCCGTCGTCTCGGTTGACCTAGTCTGCTTTTCCCACATGCTGAAATACCTTCCTCTCAATCTGAGCAGTTCATCATGAGTCCCCTTTTCCACCAGCTTTCCTTCGTGGAGCACGAGAATCTGATCACACCCAGTGATCGTCGACAAGCGATGCCTGCATGTCTCCATCAATATTTGCGGGTAGTTTTTAGGTATCATTTTACACTTACGCAATTGTAATGGTCGTACGTCCTTCAGTTACCCTGTCAAGCGCACCTTGAATCTGTTTCTCCGTATGCGAGTCCAACGACGCTGTAGCTTTGCAAGAAGGTCAGTCAGTCAGATCTTCAATACACGATTGAGCTGACTAACCTTCATCTAAAAGAATTATCTGAGGGTTCTTGAGTATAGCTCTCGCAATGGCGATCCTCTGCTTCTCGCCACCAGAAAGGCGTAGACCACGTTCCCCTACTTTAGTCTGGTAACCCTCGGGAAAACTCAGTATGCGTTCATGTATGCTGGCTGCCCTACAAGCGTCGTAGACTTCCTCCAATGTTGCCTCCGGTTTCGCGTACTGCAGATTGTAGAGAATGGTCGTATTGAAAAGAATGGTATCCTGCGGCACAATACCCATATGGCTCCGTAAGTCCTCAAGTTTGACATCACGTATATCGGAACCATCAATCTGAATAGACCCGCTCGATACGTCATAGAAGCGGAAGAGAAGCTTTAAGCATGTCGACTTGCCACTACCACTCTCGCCTACGATGGCTGTTGACGTACCATGCTCCGCGGTGAAGGTCACGTCCTCAATAGCCGGCTTTCTCTTATCGTATGCAAACGAGACGTTAGAAAATGTGATACGGCCACTGCAATTTGGCAAATCTTTCGCGTTTTTGGAGTCAACAATGGTCGGTTTCTCTTTGAACTGTGATCCAGCCGTCAGTTCAGACGCAGCTAATTGTTCGGGACTTGGCTTGCCACTTACCAAGTCAAGCATGCGCTCGGCATCGACAAGATTATTCTGCACTTGGCTGTAGAAGCTTCCAAAGAACTGGAGGGGTGCCTGGAGCTGCGTGAAGTATCCCAAGATGCTGACAAACATAGCGACCGTCTGCAAACCGACCGAGATCTGAAGAGCGGAGATAAGAATGACAAGAAAAATCCCAAGGGTAAGTACCAAATTCTGCGTGATGTTCAAGAGATTCAGCGAGAAGAGGACGCGGAATTCGGCTTTCTGGTATGCATCCACATGATCGCCAAAACGATCAGTCTCGACCGGCACTGCACCGTTGTGATGTACTGTTTCGTAAGACATCATGGTATCCATCCTATAGCCCCAGTTAGTGAAAGCTCCGATTGAGTGAATTTATCCACGAACTTTGCAGCGTCCATTTCCCTGTCTTTCTGTGCCATCTCTCTTCTGGCCTTTGCCCGCCACATAGCCATATATATAGTCATATAGATGTAGCACCACATTACCGCAATCAATATGACGGAGTAGAACGGATCCAGTCTGATAAGAAAGTAGGCAGCGGCAACGCCTAGATCAAAAACCATCGGGAATAGTTGAAACGCGAAGCTGTCGAGAAAGGTATTCAAAGAACTACCCTTATTGAGTGCGCTAAGCACCTCACCAATCCTCTTGCTGAGATGGAACTCAAGCGACAATGATAGAACGTGCCGGAAGGCTGCCGTAGTGAGTCTTCGGAAGAGTGACTGGCTTAGGGGTATCCAAAGTATTGCGCGAATTGATCCTAGTACACCTTGTTGGCCTTGGAGACCGCGGTAGAGAACATACAGTCCAGTCTCCTTCAGCGGCATTTTCCCTTCACCCATTCCTTTAATCAATTGCTCCAGTTGATACGGAACAAGGACGTTAATCACTCTCTGACCAATAACAAGTATCAGAGAAACCACTAATATGAGTTGCTGTTTTCGAGAATCGGAAGGCCTAGCAGATTAGCCAAGTGCGCAAAGTGACGGCTGGGAGCTTACCATAGGTACGGAAAAAGTATACGGAACCCAATGAAATAATCCAACCACCCTCCTTGTTCCCTCTTGGGAGCCGTGTGCGACACTGATGAAGGCTTATTGCTAGTTCCATACCCTTCAGAATTAGTATTAAGTAGCGCTTCTGTCTCCGATGCTTCATTCCAGTTTAGGGTAACATCTATTTGCAAATACAGGTGAATTCCGGACATGCAAAGGAGAACTGCAATTCGGAGACTTGCTAAGATGGATTGAACTAAGCCGAAGGCGACGATGTCGAATTTCAACGACAATGTGAGTACTGCCCCCTCCATTGTGGCTGCAGTAATCCATGTATAACAATGCGCTGCGGATGGGTGGAATGGTCCGTCAGGGCTCGGTAGGAGGCCTGCCGCAAAATAGAGAAATATGGCAGCGTACGTGATCTAGAAAAGTTAGGCTATTCGGCTCCCAGATGCTCGATGGCTAAAAGATAATCTTACGACGTATCCCCCATTGAGGCGAATTTCCTTGTGGCTGCGAATCGATGAAATATATCCAGGTGTACTGAGGATAGCGCTGGCCAGAAAGCACAGGGCCAGAAACAGTTGCAAGATCCAGATAATCGTCCAAACTCTTCTTTCTTTAAGTCCTTCAAGTACCCATGAAGATGTACGGCTATGCAGGATAAGAGAGCAGACGAACAAAACTGCCCACAGTGACAACGGGTAAGCATATAGAATTCCCACCAAGACCTCGTATGGCTCCATCGTCATAGATTGGATGAAAGGTCCTAAGGCAATTTTGTCACATGAGTACTCAGGTATAGCCGTTTGTTGGTTGAGTTTCGAGGTCGGGATTCCAACCCCGTAAGCGGGCCGAGCGCGATTGCAATCTAGCCGCTCCGGCCACCGAATAGTGTAAGTACAAACAGTGGGCACTTTGACTGTCAAAACCAGCTTTATTGTGCCAATAAGCAGAATTTACATCGGGAAAAACTCAACTTTAGAGATATAGGAACACCATGGCACTATCTAAACGGGGCTGGTCAAATGTTGAGGCTATCATGCCCAAGATCAAAGGCGCCGTGACCGAGCGTATGGCAAAGACAACCACGAACATCGACCTTTCGACCGCAGAGAATTGGTTGCTTCGACCGGAATTAGTGGAGATTTGTCGCAACGCCGTAAAACAAAACCTGGATGAAAAAGTAAGCCACCAAAATTGACAGAAAAAGCATGCTTAGCGCTTATCACTCCTAGCACTTCTCTTATCCAAGGGGATTCTCCGGAGATCCCGACCTTCTGGATGCTTACTGTGCTTTCTTCAACAAATACTTCAAACCATACAGGATTGTAGAGCCGTCACATCTGGCCACAGCTCCAGGTGCAATGGCGGGTCTCGACACACTCCTGTACAACATCTGCGATCCCGGTGATGGTGTGCTAATACCTGGTCCATATTGGAATGGATTCGACTTTGGAGTAAGAGTGCGATCATCAGTAAATCCGGTTCTTGCGATCGTGCCGTCGATTATGGATAATTTCGAGGAAGGTCCGTTTCTTAAGGCTTTAGAGGAAGCGCTTTCATCAGCGAATTGTCCGGTCAAGGCCCTGATGTTTACGAGCCCGCATAACCCTTTGTCACTATGCTATACCAGGCCACTGGTGGAAGCATGTGTTCGGTTCTGCGAGAAACAAGATCTTCATTTCATCTGCGACGAGGTATACGGAATGTCGGTGTTCAATTCTCCGGATATGACGAATCCGCAGGGATTCGAATCAGTCCTCTCATTGAATCTCGAAGAGCTCGGCGTCAACCCCGCGCGAGTTCACGTCGTATGGAGCATGAGTAAGGACTTTGGGCAAAGCGGCTTCCGGATGGGTGTCACAATCACGCAGTCGAACCAGGAGATGGCAGTTGCTGCCGCGCTAGCTGCGCAGATGCAGGTCTCTACGCTTTCCGCCACCTTCGTCACTGCATTACTTACAGCGCCTAACCTCGATGAGCTTATTCAACTAAATAAGAAGCGATTGGCAGAGGCCTATACCAAGTTGACTAAATTTTTCAAGGAGCATGATATTCCATACATACCATGCAACGCTGGGTTGTACGTCTTTGCAAAGATAGCGCCAAATGCAGAAACCTGGGAGGATGAGAGCGCAGTCATCGCAAAACTGAAGGATGTGGGAGTGCATGTCAGTCCAGGAAAAGCATACCATGGACCAGAGAATGAGAAAGGTTGGGCCAGGATAGGGTTCGCCGTGAAACCGCAAGACTTGGACGAGGCCATAAGAAGGATGGAGCCTGTTTTCAGTAGGCCCTGAATGACCGCCTTCTTACAAGATAAGGAAGTGGAGCTACAATCCAGATACGGGAAAAGAGAGAAGAAGAACCTCACTGAAACTCTGCTCGCCGTCGCCTAATACTATTTACTAAAATGGCCTAAACTCGATAGCACATGGCCATGCATTCCTCAGTGGAAAGATCTTCGTCAACTGCCAACCCGACGCCTTCGCTAGTTGCCTCCACTGTTCTTCATCTCTTTCCTGCCCCGAAACTGCAACCATCATGTTCATATCACCATACCTTGACATCCTTCCCGTGTGCCCATCTTTCAAAACACACTCCAAGACGACTAGTCGACTGTCCTCACTTTCTCTGATCGCCCGACGAATCGTCTTCAGGATGAGAGTAGCCTTTTCATCGTTCCAATCATGTAGACACCACTTCAGGGTGTACACCTCGAACGACGGCACTTCCACCATGAAATCTCCTGATATCAAGTTTTCAGGCGGAACACGACTGCCGACGTCCGCATATACGCCTTCTTTATCATGGAAGTTTGCCTTTGCTTGTTCAATCACATGCGGCATGTCGAACACTCCCCCGATCATTTCAGGATATGCCCGGAGGAGCGACGCGATGAGGCCACCTCCGCCACCACCAACATCCAGGACAGTCTTTGAGGCGACCTCATGCCACGGATAATCTTCCACAATTCCAGGAGCTTGGGCAACGGCACCGCCGCTTAGAGTTTTGTGAAGCTTTGGAACCCAGCCACGCTCAGTGAAGTACTTAAACATGCTGTCATCCGTGTCGTAGTTTATCTGCGCAGGAGATCGGACGGCATCACTTCTGCATGACTGCTGGATTCCTCGCGCCATATCGTAGAATTCGTTGCCGTAGAGGTCTACCCAATTTCTCCATTGCGTCCAATGATCTTTCAGAAGGAGCGTCGATGTTGAATTGTTCCGATAGGTTTTCTTTTGCGCATCGTAAGAGAAAATGCCGTTGTTGCGCATTGCACGCATGACTTGACCCAGACGATCTTCTCGAGCTTGACTTGCTCTTGCAAGCTCTTCAATCGTTTTCGGACCTTCCAAAAGAATATCTGGGATATTGAATTCAACAACTGCACAGAGGGCTTTGGTGTTCATGTAGCCTAGTTGTCGTTAATCAGAATCGTGCCCCTCATACCCTAGTAAAAAGTTGCATACCCAGGAAATGATCCGCAAGAATCAACTGGCGAGGCTCCAACTTGAGACGTAATTCATCGAGAAGATCCAAGGCCTCCGAAGCAAGTTCAGCGACTTTCTTGTCTGGCAACTTCTCAGTGTCATGGAGCACCTCCTCGACATTGCTTTCGTCGAGTTGCGTGGAAGCCGTCCGGAGTGCATCGATCAGGTTTTTTAGAGCAACATCCATCTTGAGATCAGTCAAAAAGTGCATAATACGACAATGTAGAGCCTTGTGGTGGCCATTTTGACTATTTACATCCGCGTATGGAGGGCGAAAAACCACCGACGCTGATTGGTCAGAGCGCCTGGTTTCGGTGCCCGACACTCCACTACCCTTAACCTCTACTCTAATCACAGTGACAATGACAGTACGCTAAAGGATGTATTCTCCTCGCTGAGAGTAAAGCAACGGTGAAACGCAATGTCCAACCATATTCCAAACGATGCAGATGAGGAGTCTCCCCTCATTCGCGATGAGATTCTCAATCCTCACTCTAAGTCCGACTCTGCTCACCGAGACTCCACACCAGAACATGTCCTTCCAATCGCGCTCCTTGCGTCATTGGCAATGGCCTCAACGGCGGCGACATCATATTATGCCTATGCCACACTTCTATGCCGCGATCCTGCGCACTGTCGTGGAGATGAGAAAAGCCGCTATGCGGGCACGGTGGCAGTAGCTGTTTCTGCCGCTAATGTCTTCGGCATACTTGCATTAGGACACTTACAGAAACTCTCCGTGAGTAATCAAAAGCTTGGGCTGTTGCTCTGGATGGGTACGAGGTCTATGAGCGCGGTAATGCTTTTGTTAGGCGGTAGGTATATACATCCGTCTCTCTCCAGGAAATGAAAAGCTGAGTGCCCAAATCTAGTGTTTTTCAAAAGCATCTTCATAGCACTGTCCGGCCGTATATTTGAGGGGTTGGCATCTGATAATCTACTGCACTATGTTCTCAATGCCATATACTCGCAAACGAACGATGACAGAAGAACATCAACACTGATCGGCAGCTCCATGGCGCTATACCTCGCGGGCATATCAATCTCGCCTTTTGTTGCGGGCCTGTTCCAAAACTTCACCATCAGCTTTTTTATCGCTCTGGGATTGTTCGTGTTCGCTATTGTTTACCTCCAAATCTTCATTCCCTCACGCTCTGGTTCTACATCAAGGAAACCGACCAGTACAGAAGAAGCCTTCTCCGCTGCAGTACCTCGCAATCAGGACCGCGATGAGCCATGGAGAAATCTGATGAGAACAATCTCAAGCCCTCTTATCTCATTCCGACAACATCCCAAGGACCTGACCTTCGGACTCTCCCTCCTCGCATACAACCTCGTTCAATCCTACATGTTCAGCGCTCTGCTAGTCCACACATCTCTTCAATTCAACTTCACGGGGCGCGAAAACGGGATCCTGATTTCCCTAGCACACTCAGTGGCAGCTGTCTACTTGGCACTGGCTCTCTATATCCTCCCGAGCGTGCTCAGAGCATGGAGATCAAGGTCTTCGAACGACGCACGGTCATCCTCAAAACGTACAGCGGTACAAAAAGACGCACTGCTAGCTACGTTGTCACAGATCATCCAAGTCTTATCGCTCATTGGCCTGGGCTTTGCGTCCACCGCGAAGCAGATATATGCTCTCACTGCATTTTTGGCGCTTAGTTTGCCTGCATCCTCTTTTATTAAGGGGGCCTTCGTGGCGACTTGCGAAGGAGAAGAGAAGACCAGAGGCCTAGCGGCACTAGCAGCTATGGAAACCGTGGGCAGTGTACTTGGGCCGTTGGTCATAGGTGGATGGCAAAGCTACTCAGTAGCCGGGCCAACGGTGTTCTTCATCGCGGCAGGAATTGCGGCTTTCTCGATGGTGTTATTCTGTTTAGGTGTTGTGGGCAAAGGAACGTTTAGATAGGCACAGTGATTCTGGTCGCTGACACCAATGTCTTTTGGCCTTTTTTTTTGAGCTCGGAACTACACTCCCTCTAACAGACGACGCTTCTCCAACCATGATTCAGGTTCAGCAACATTCTGTGAGCGATCTGTACAGCCGTCCCCTCTCCCAAAGATCGGTGCAAACAACCAGTCATGCGTAATCCATATCAGACGCATCGTAACCCGCACAAGCCAAATCGCAAATGCCGAAGCATAGCCATCGTCACCAATGCTTCCCATAGTAACTCTCTCCAACAATTGCATAACAGGGCCCCATATTGCTAAGAAGACCCAAGCCCCCAGCTTGGTCCAACAGGTTGATGGAGGCCGATAGACCGGCAATCTCTGGAGGTACTCCTGATATTCAGGAGGCAACCGAGCTTCAGCAGCCCCGTCGACTAACAAGCTCTGGTCGGAAGATTATCAGGAGACTGCCAAAAAATCCTTCTCGATGATCAATGCTTACCATGTACCGCAGACTCGGAGTTGGGACCGGGGATCTTGTCATTCCCGCACTGGTAAGGGTCCTAAGCATGCACCCATTCTGCAATTTCTCCTGATCCTCCGGCCTTATACCCTCGCCAATGACCGCGATATCCGCGTATGCTGTACCTCCTCCCTCAGACGCAATGACGTGCCGATATTGTGCCTCGGTGATGAGATATGCAAGACCAATAACATCTGGAACGTCAGCAGCTTCGGCACGCAACGTTCCACGGCGGCTAATGCTACTGAATGCCGGCTCAGAGTAAGGCAGACCTGGAATCTCCATTGATAGAACCCAGCGCGGAAGGCGTACTCGGGCCACGTCTATCGGAGCGATGCCTCGGCCGCCGGTGAATTTGGCCGCACTCATGTTGGACCCGTAAGCGACGTACCAAAGGGTACCAGACTTGGCTTCCATAACCGCGGGAGGATCAGCGCCAGACAAATTGCTTGTTCAGGTCGATAAGGTTTTTCAGTGTGATGGGGTGGCTTGCAGGACATCCAGAATTTGAGTTGCAAGACCTCGCCGCGCCAAGTGTTCCGGGCTCCGGTCACCCTGATCCACCGGCATAGCAAATCGCGATGTGACAAAACATCGTTTGTGGCACAGGAGGTCGGTTTCGGCTACAGTCTGAATGAATCACCACGAATGCGGTCAAGGTCAGGAGTATGGCCGTTGTACGTACCTAGGGTACCCAGCTTCCAATTCACCTTGCGAAGTCCTGTGTCACCTACCGCCTCCGTCCTCCATCATCGTTGATTTTTGTTTGGTGTGAAGAATGTCTTCACGAACCATGACGCCTGGCGAAGCCTGGATCACTAGACTTTGCTCAAGTCTACACATCTGCGTCGTTCAGGAAGTGGCCTTGGCTTTGAACATCCCGATGCTAAAAATCGACTTCAACTCAAGTTTTATTGAGAACGGCGGAGACTCTTTATCATCCCTCAATCTCCAGTCTTCTTTGAGAAATCTGGGAATATATGTCACCTTCGAGACCATTCTTACTGCCAAGAGTATTCTGGAGCTGGTACATTCTGTGACCTCCAGTCGACGCCATGTTCCCATTGATGGAGGGCCCTGGGAGTATCCCAATCGAACGGGAAATAAACGTCGCCCATCAGTCTCTTCCACGTGCATCGATGTTCGGCATCGCAAACGAATTCGTAGGGCCTCCTCATCTGCAAGTACCGGTGGCCAACAATATCCTATGACGGAACTGCAGTTGGCCTTCATACATTCTAGGATTTCATACCCGGAGAGGAACGTAATACTGTACCAAGAGGTACATAAAACCGGCAACATACCTGCCTTGAGGGAAGCTTGGAAAAAGGTGTTGAAGTCAGAACCAATTTTTCGTATGCGATTTGAAATCAATGAGAGCGGAGGATTCATGATCCAGGAAGAGAATGCGAAATTCGATTGGGAAGAGATCATTGTCGACAGTACGGAAATGCTAGAGCAGCAGACTGCAGGAAATGCTGATGACCTTGACGAGCAGGATGGGCTTCTCCTCAATCGCTTCAAAGTGGTCACTTTCCGTGAGCGAAGCTACGTCATATGGCGGGTACACCACGCCTTGATTGACGGCCATTCGCAGGCACTTTTGCAAGAGAAACTCCAGAAAGCGTTGACAGGTCAAAAAATCGTTTCTGGGCCGTCATTCGGAGAATTTGCTCTACAACTCCGGGCATTGCAAGAGCGATGCAAAGACATCGGGAAATCGTACTGGTCGAAACAACATCAGGAGCACCCAGCGGCAACATCTGAGCTGTTGCTGCCAGCGCCAACCCCATCTTCTATAGACCGGTCGAAGCATGTTCAGGAATTTGTTCGCTTCAACATCGATCTGCCCGAACTTTCGCTCTTCTGCAAGCATATTGGCATAACCCTTTCCTCAGTGTACTCGGCAGCCTGGGCGTTGACAATCTCCCAGTTCATGGATTCGGACGATGTGTCATTCGGTTCGGCGCTTTGCGGAAGGACCCTTCCAATCCCTGGGGCGGAAAGCATCGTGGGACCTACTATCAATACGCTCCCTGTCTTTATTCGTATCGATCGTACCGTGTCTGTCATGGACTGGCTACGCTATGTTTTGGAGCAGCTTGCACAGCTTACATCCTTCCAATGGACGACGTCGGAGCACGGCGTTTCCCGAAAGTTTAGCACAGCTCTGAATGTACAACTGGCTCATCCGGAATTATGTCGTACACAGTACGATCCTATTGAGCATCCGCTGGGGATTGTGCTTTCAGATGTTCCTCTGCACGTCGACATCGCCAGCAACGGATCAATCCAAATCGGTTACCATACTACCAGTTACTCCTCAGCACAGGTCGAAATCATCGCTGAAACATTCCGAAATGCTCTTCAAGTGCTCCAACGCCCTTCCGTGAGCATGAGTGAATGCCTTGGCAGGGTCCTTCCACGTACGCAGGCGACTATGCTGAGCCGCTTTGGGAACTGGGAGGCTGCGACTACCCGTGAAGACTTTTACAACGAAGATCTTGTATCCTTGTTTACCAAAGCGGTCGCTGCTTGTCCGGAAGAGATCGCCGTATCACGCGGGTCACGTCAATTGACGTATCAGGAGCTGGATCGGAAGTCCTCCATTGTCTCTGAGCGTCTTCGGCAATATGTCCATGAAGGGGATGTTGTATGTGTTCACGCAGACCGCTCCCTCGAATGGATAATAGCCATCTACGGCATCCTTAAAGCCGAGGCTGTCTACTGTCCGTTTGCTGAAGATATGCCGTCGGCAGTCAGAGATATGAATTTCCAGACGGCGAAGGCGAGGGTTTTCTTGACCCCGACCGAGAATACAAAACAAGCTAAACCAGAGTCCTGCGAGGTTTGCTTATCGGTAGAGGAGATATTCTCTGTTGGCGGCCCATCTGCAGAGGCGGAGAGCCGTCTAACGACGAGCAGACGCCGGCCTAATTCGCCAGCGTACCTTTGTTTTACGTCTGGCTCTACTGGGAAGCCCAAAGGTGTCCTTTGTCGACATAGAGGTCTCGTGGCTTTTCAAAGCGATCCTGAAGTCCGTCTGTTTTCACGACCAAAGCGCAAAATCGCTCAAGTCATGTCGCCTAATTTCGATGGCAGCATTCATGAGATTTTCTCAGCCCTAAGCTACGGCGCTGAACTTGTTCTGAAGGACGCCTTCGATCCTTTTGGTCACATCAGATCCGCCGACAGCGTGATACTCACACCGTCTGTGGCGAAGGCGATGAATCCAGACGACTATCCAAGGCTCGAAACCGTCTATCTCGTCGGTGAAGCAGTTCCACAGAAGGTATGCGACGATTGGGCCTCGAAGAAGATCCTGTACAACATGTATGGTCCTACCGAAGCAACATGCGGCGCCACCATCAAGAGACTGTACAAGGGGCAACCGGTAACGCTTGGAGTGCCCAATGTTTCGACGAGAATATACATTCTGAACAAGGAGAAGCGCCTTGTGCCCCCAGGAACTATCGGGGAGATATATCTAGCGGGAGTGCAAGTGGCACTGGGGTACGTCGGTCGGCCTGCTGAAACCAAGGCTCGATTCTTAACAGATACGATTCTTCCTGCTACGTGCGAGTATATGTACCGGACTGGCGATCGGGGTTTCTGGAGCGAAAGTGGTCAGCTGATCTTCCTGGGGCGTAGTGATCGTCAGATCAAGCTTCGTGGTTTTCGGGTCGATCTTGATGATCTAGAGATTCGTATGTTGGAGGCTGGTTGCCAAGTAAAAGCAGTAGCGGTTGCTGCCCAAGATGATCATCTCATTGCTCAGGTGCAACCGGCGGACATTGACCTTGTGGCATTCAAAGAGGCTCTCCGGAAACACATTCCGCCCTACGCAATGCCACGCCACATAAGCGCAGTGGACGCATTTCCATTGACAGCAGTTGGAAAGCTGGACTATAAGAAAGTGATAAGCCAGGCGTCAAGCCCAGAAGAATCGAATTCGGAAGAGAGGCCGCTTGACCACACGGAGAGAATCATCGTTATGGCTGTCAGAGATATCTTAGGCTTTCCAACGGAGGCAGACGTCAATTTGGATGCCAGTTTTGCAGATCTGGGAGGACATTCGATCTTTTACCTCCAGCTTTCGCACCGGCTTGCCAAGATTCTCAAACGCCCAGTTCCGCTGCAGCTCCTCCTCGAGACACCCTCACTGCGGGCGTTATCAACTGCATTGAGATGCTCCGATGCGAACGATGACTTCCATTACCGTGTGCCATCCCATCCACTTGGTGAACATGGTGTGTCGCCCATCGAAAAAGACTGGTGTGAGAAGCACCGTGTAGGCTCGTCTTCCTCCTTCAACGTCACGTTCGCCAGCCGCCTGGACGAGTCCGTGAAGATTGGGAGATTGAAAACATCTTGGGACCACGTTTTGCGGCGTCATCGCATACTTAGCTCCACATATGATCTGACAACGTCAACCAAGGCGTTGATATTCACAGGCCTTCGGCGCGAATATTTTCCAACACCTCCGACCGCTGAAATCGTGCCCACGATCGATATCGACCGCGAGATTAACATCGCCTTCGATCTGCACAGAGATTATCTAATCAAGGTGCTGATATCACCGAAATGCATGCTAGTGGTCATTAGCCACATTCTTTGCGATTACACCACGCTGAAGCTACTTCTACATGAAGTCGCTGAGACGTATGAGGATAGACCCTTGCCGGTGGTCCGGAAAGAATATTCTCAGGTACAGGTTCCCATACGACCCTCTCCTGGTAAACTCGCCTTTTGGGCCAATTATCTGTCTGGAGCCGAACAATCGCTTGACTTGGGGTTTTGCAGTAAGCCTCGTGCAACATGGGCGGGAACATCTCGATTTGGCAAAATACCGATGAATACTCACCGTCTCCTGCGTACTTTTGCCACGCGTCACCAAGTGACCATGCACCAGGTCGCCCTCGGTGCCGTGGCCATGGCATTCACCCACCACGCCAAGATTTGCGATATCACATTAGGAGCGCCGTATTTGAACCGCCATTCGGAAGAGGAGCAGAATGTCGTCGGTCTGTTCCTGGAACCTTTGCCCGTAAGGATATATCATGACCCGACAGGCAGCGGCACTTTCATTCAATCGGTGAAGACCGCGAGCAGAGCGGCCCTCTCGAATGCTGTACCCTGGCATCACCTGTTGTCGCACCTCGGGATCAATCCAGCGTTCCCCAATCATCCCATCTTCGAAGTGATGGTCACGTTTCACGACGTACACGACAGCGTCGAATTCACGCTCCCGGGCTCGAAACCAATTGAAACGTGGGCGCAAGGGGCCAAATTCAAGCTGATGGCTGAATTCACAGCAAGGAGTGACGGGGCTTTGTCTTTGAGGCTGGAGTATAGCACTGAGTGCTTCAATGAAGATGAGATCAGAAAAGTCGAGAGACTGATCAGGTTGGCTTTGACCGGTTTGGCAGCAAATGAGGGTTTTGATGATGTTCGGATGCGGTTGAGGAACGCAGCCTGACGACAGAGAGCGTGATCAAAGATGATTATGTAATGACCATTATGTAATGTTGGCCAAGCTTGCCGCCACTGTCAAATTATCTGCTTAAGAACACAAGATCGGGGGACCACTCAGGTATGCTATAAACATGGGTATAAAGTAGCGAGACGGTTTTTCGTCTCGATTTTGTTCGTTGTCACCCTTCTTGACAGATTAATCGTGTCGATTGTTTGCTACTGCTTGTCCTTCACCGTCTCCAGCTCAACCACGCCTTGCAATGCGGCCAGCAAGCTCGGTCAATCGTAACTCCAAATCCACGAAACACTGCTCCCTTGACCTGCCTTGCGGCGTTCCAGACTGAGAGGTAGGCTTCGATCCCATTCCAGCCAACGTCTTCATACTCCTGAGCACTTCACTAGCTTGGCGTACCTCCTTTAGCACCATTTGCGATCTCCACGCCTTCTGCTCCTCAGCATCAATCCCGAAGTCTCCAAGTCCGAGTCCAGGAAGCAGTAGACCGGACGGCCGAATACTGAAGCTTGACACGCAGTGTCGGTCCGTCTCTTCAGATACCATTGTCTGGCAGACCTCCAGAAGCTCCACGATCTGGTACATGATTGCGGTTAGGAGAATAATGCAACGCATGTTCCGAGAGCCTTTCTGGATATCGCTGAGCTGCGTGAGCTTTTCCAATGCTCGCTTGATCAGTCCTAGCACGATTTTGAATGACTTAAGATCAGCGACGATGTAGTTCTCCAAATCACTGATGATCTGGGTGCAATCGATGACAAACTGACTGTCAGACGGATTCTTGCTAGGTCGAGCCGATTGCGATTGCACTCGGGGATTCTGCTGTCTGTCGCGATCGGGGGCCGGTTGCGACAATGGAGGCGAAGGCGGAAAAGGCTGCAAGAGGTGGTCTAAGTTAAAGTCGATTGCAGGAAGCATGAAGTCGTCGGTCATGGAGGTCATAATGTCACTTGTTGAGTTGGAGACCTGGCGTCCCATGTCCGCCGGCCCGTTTCTCATCGGCGACTCCTCCAGGAAGTCCGTCTGGTGGCTCTCTCCGGTACCAAGGCTCGACCCGGTGGTCCACCGTCCCATGCTTTCGCTCTCATCGTCGCGATATGTGCTTTCATTGGAGGTGATGGAAGGAACGGGTCTCGACGCCAATTCCGGAGCAGGCTGTGCAATATATTGCGCTCGTTGGTCAGCCCCATTTCCTTCCTCTGGCAGACGCCGTTTCTTTGCCCGGATGCCTGGGACCCGGCCAACGCGTGACTCCAGGTAGATGCATTGTAAACGTCCGTTCCGGCATCTCTCGCATCCCGTTCTTTCGCCGCTGCATTTGACTTTTGCCGCACAGCACTGGTTACATGCTGTTCGGAGCTTGATCGGTCGAGAACTACCACTCCGTGGCAAACTCGACGGACTGTTACGCATCCGTCAGCAGTCCGCTGTCGAAGTCAAGGCACTCGATCACGAACCTGATGGGTGTTGGGAGCATTGTGAGACGCCGTAGCAAGTGGGGAAGACGGTCAATGGATACGAGGATGATGCGCGCGGGCCGGTCGGACATATCTATCTCACTGCCAGGAAGGGGTCAGGCTGAAGCCGTTGAACCCTGCATGGCCTGCATCTTCCACACACACAGCGCTATTGCCGAGAAACATCATGGCCAAAGTGGCCCATGGAAGATGATTCCAATGCAAGACATGTATTGGCCTGGACCCAAGCTGCCGTCAGCGCCAACGAAACGTAGCGCCAATCGATTCCAGGATGGGCTCAATCATTATGTATGCCGTTGGGGCTGTGAATGTACAGCGGGAAGGATTTGCAGAAGCTGACAACGATTATTACGGGCCCTGGTGCTCCTCGGTCTTCCTGTCTTCTCTTTGCCTGTGCAGCACCCATCATCCGAGAGTAAACCACACCCCGCTAGGAAGGCTCAACTCGCCGACTTCGCGACCTTGCATCATTCGGCGCCAGCTGTCGGCGGCAGCTCAATGGGTTCCCTGTGGGCGGGGTAAAGATAGAAGAAGCTCAAGTATTGATAGCATTGATGCTGGGCGTGCGTGTCCATCACCTGCACTACTGTGTACACAGTACATATCACGGCGCCCCGTTTCGCACATCCGTCGGGTTGGTCCCGGTCTACTAGCCGTAGAGAGTTAGGGGTTTTTCAGATAAACCCCGAGACTGATGACATGACAGCCTCTCCTGTTTCAACGACGAGGCGGGGCAAAGACCCAATGCAGTCCTCCGTAGAAGCCCTCAGTTGGACGAGCGTCTGACCCTCGGTGAAATTTACCCGGGTGCGTTGAAGGCTTCGCTGATGGGAGGCGCCGTTGATGAGTTCGCCCGGGAACAGAGAACCAGGGGCCAGAGATCCAGCCGTTGGGCGCGGGGGTCCTCCGGGCCTGGTCGGTTACCAGTGAAACAGGAGTGACTTGTTCACTTGGTTCCCGGGGTCGTATACTTAGACACGGCAAACCAGGATCCAGCATAACCGACGACTCCGCTGGCGGAATAGACTTTGGACTCTCGTGCCTCCACGCGTCGCACTCTTTATTACTCTCTGCGGAAGGATATGTTGCTGTGCGGCAAAGCAGCGTCGATAAGTACACAGCAACTGACGACCTTCCATATCTATCCAACGCGAAGAATGTCGTTAACCCTTGGCATCAATGGGCACCGCACAGGCGCAAGCCACAAAAGCTTGTCGATCGAAGGCTCTGATCCTTTCCATGGATTGCGCTCCAACTCAAGTCCTGCTTCGCGGGAGCTCCTGATTGGGTGAATGTCCATTATTACGGCCCTGGTCCACAATCCTACGGTTCCCCTCGCAAATGACAACCGACTCTTCGACCACGATGTATGTGGTCCGCCATGGGATTGAACCGAGCTTACGCAGTTCGACGAGGCGGCTTGGACAAGGGTCCATCAGAGGATTCTCAAAATTGCCGCCTCCCAGTCTGCACGGTTTCCAAGGTCCCACAGTACAGACGGCATTTGCAGACTGCTGCGAGTTTGTCAACGTCCTGCTCCGTTTAGATGTCCTTTGACCTTGGTGCAACATATATTACAGTGCCACGCCCTGCAGTGTCTGGTACCCCGCAATACGTTCCGTATTCAATTTCAACTATATTAAAGCCCGTACAGGAATACAAAAATAAGAAGCAACTCAGGTGTTGGCCGTCAATCTCTCGCAGCGGATCTTCGTATCCGGGTGAGAGATCCAAGTCTCAGGATTTTTCGTCCACCTGCTGTCCTCATGAAGGCTAAGTTGATAGTTGGCCAAGAGATGCGCCAAAATCGCCCGGATAAGGAAGTCAACCACATACTTGCCCATGCACTGCCGCGGACCAAACCCAAACCGCCAGTAATGGTACCGGATTTCCGATGGTTTCCGATCGAGGAATCTTGAAGGCCGATAAAGCTCTCGGTCATCTCCCCAAAACGGGTTGTGAATGTTCAATGAATGAGTGTCGACCATGAAGTTCGTCCCGGGAGGAATCACGAAACCTCCGACCGTCCGAGCTGTTGGAGCGGACTGAGGCACCGAAAATGCTGCAAGTGGTTTGAGCCTTGCCGATTCCAAGACTGATGCGGCCAGTAAAGTCGATGGGTCTTTGATATATTCCTCCCAGCTTGTTCCGTCATGATGCATGTCGTTGAGCAGCGGAATCTCTTTCCGGATGTCATCCTGCGCCTCGGCATTGCTGGCGAGAAACATCAGATTCCAGGACAACCCTCCCATCGTAACATCCAGATTCGCAAAAAGCATCTCGTCCAGCGTCTGCAATAGTTCCTCCTGGTTAACCTCGCCACGTTCCATCGCGTCGTACATTTCGACGATAGGAGCTGAGCTACCGTTCGATTTCTGACTGATGCACAGCTTCGTGTTAAACGCTGTCCAGCGGTTTTTGAACTCTCTGAGATCCCTATTGATGCGTAACGGCAGATAACGGCTCCAAGCCAAACGAGTAGTTCCACCCTGAATCATACGCTTGAATAATTCTTCTCGCAGTGGCACGATATCCATCAGCTCGCGTCGCTGTTCTGTGTTGAGCTTGCCATAGATGATTTCGGCTATTATCCAGAAGGGGATATATCGGAGGTCTGCGACAGGATTGATCAAGCCTCTCTTCAAGTTGGTGGTCTCTTGGAGCGACCGGAATTCTTCGTCAACCATCCGGATGATCGCTGGGATATAATGTGTGGAACTTTTATGAGTGAATGGAGGATTGGTCACAGAGCGCAACCTCTGCCAGTCTTCACCACTTATCAGACCCACACATTTCCCAAGCAGTTCGCCCATTAGCCAACCAGCGTTGTTGTTGATGGCTTTTCGATGTTTGTCTGAGTCCTTGAAAACAGTTTGGATGTCTTCAGGGTGACTGACCACGCTAGACTCTGTCAGTGTGTTGTTTGGTCTTGGGACAATTGACCTACACTTCTGGTGTCATCCCATTCCAGATTCGATATACGCCGCCGTACTTCTTGCTCCATCGCTCACTGTTCTTCTCGCCTTCAAGAAATTTTGCTACGTCGCCTTGGCCATTGGGCCACTGGTACGGGCATGTCGGTATACTTTGCGAACCGTTCGAGGATCTGATAGGATGAGCCCATAAGAGATACGCCTTGTACGTGATTAGTATTCTGGCTTCGTGTTACATTATTGACTTACATTTATTACCGAAGACAAGACTTGCACAGTAATAGAGTACAGCCTTTCGCGGAGCTTGGCAGTGAAACCGAGCAGCGCACATAGTGCGGCACAGAACGCCAGGGTCACGAAGTACGTAGAAGCCATGCAGACAAACACCAATCTTTTGGTCCCTGGGTCCTTTTTGATCCAAGACTGTTCCCAGAACTGGCGAGGAAAGACGTGGGTTAGCGAGACATCATCCCGCCGGCACGGTATCCGCGCATCAACGAGCGATCGCATACCACATCCGGACACCGAATCTTCGCTTGGCGTGAAGGAAGAAACCTTCCGGCGCATGCATCATGTATATGGACACATTGCCAACGACAGCCTACAGAGTTTCAGATTTTTAAAAGATTTTGACCATTTCGTTGAGTCTCGACTCGTAAAGCATAACTACTTCTGTCACTCATCCATGTCATGTCCGTACCTGGGCCCGCGTTCCAGTATCCGTTGCACAGCGGGACGATTCAGCATCCGCTTACTCCACGCCTCAATATGTGGCCAATCAGCTATGTCTACGCCGAGAAACTTGAACATCCAGGGCATAGCGAACGGAAAATAAGAAATGTCGGCAACTGTTGGGCGGTCCGGTAGACCAACATAGTTCTGCCCAGCTTCTGAGAGCCGCTTGTCGAGTTTATCCCACTGAACAAGGCAGTTTGAGTGCAGTCTGTTGAGTTGCATCAGCGTCAGCCGCAAGACCTCGAAACAGCAACTTCTCGTGCGTCTCCTCGCTTGGAAGCAGAAGAGGAGAACCACTCACTTTGCGACGGTCTTTGGAAGTACCTCCGGATTTGCGCGATTCGGATACCCCTTTAGGAAATAGAGCCAATACTTCGCTGTAGGCCTGCTCACGGTCTCAGCCTTTCAGCTCCCACGTCAACGACCATTGTCGGATGAAGATGGCATACCCTAACCCAGCAGTTTGGTACGCTGTCCATGACAGTACTTGAGCCCTTTCCCAAGCAGTTTTGCCGCTCCACTCCCCTTGCGGATCAAATCGCTCAGCCAGATACTGCAAGCATGCTGTGCTTTCGAAGACGATTACCTCCTGCTTTGTCACAGGATCCTGGTCCTTCAGAGCGGGGACATATCGTTCCGGATGGATTCGATAATACCACTCCTCCTTGGTGTCGATGACTGAGATGACGTGGGGGAATTGCAGCTCCTCGGCCAGAATGAGAGGTTTGATGTAGTTGATGTAGCTTGTTTGGTCGGCTGCAAGCTTGTCAGCAGTCAGCCTTACTGCTGTAATCCTGCAACCGATATATTGGACACAGTCTGATGATATGGAACTACCGGAAAGACTGGAGCGGTGTGGTCCACATGCGCAGGGTCTCTCGTGGGGTTCTTCGGCTTCAGCAAAGCAGACTGCAACTATGCCGCAGCCTTGGACCCGAGACGACAGAACCTTTGCCAAAAATGTCCACTTACCTTTGATAATGTACAAAACGACTCGTCCATCATACTCCACGTCGCCTCTCACGACTTGACCGTTCGTACTGGTATTTGCGGCTTGACTCGTAGGCTCGTGGCGGCGCGTTGATGTTTCGGCCATGCTGTGGATTCCGACGTCTTTTGGTCCAGGCACTCCGAGTATCGGTGCAAGACGGTAAAGCTCAATCAATCTTGTCTTGCTACTTCACGCCCACTCTGGTTATACGTACCGTTGTAGCTTGGTCCGGCCGCCATCATGATGTGCGCTCAGGTGTGCTCGGGCTCCGCTATGACCGGCGTCCGGGGTGCAAAGTCCTCCCCGGTCTCGGGAGTCACCACAGAGGGTTTTCAGAGGACTGTTCGGTCTGATTGTCAGCCTTTGCTTCGACGGTCTCACCGCTCTTCTATCAGGAAATATTGCCGTACGTACAGCCATGGTCAAAGGCTGAGGTTGGGGGTATCCGAGGCCTTGCACGCGTTGTCTGGAGCATGGGGCGTAGTTGTGATACTGGAATACCTTGGGTACGCTTCCCGTAATCGATGAGAGAAAGAGGAAACACTGTCGAACATTGACTTATTCGAGCATTGAAATTAGCTGGAATAGTCACTGTCTACTTTTTACTTTATCCAAGCAACAATGGAACACTCACAAAGATGGATTGACCTCGAGCATTTTGCTAGTTGCTAGTCCTATGCAATGCTACGCAAACCATATCAACTAAATTCCAACTTCGATATGTTTACTTCCACTCCCGCTACATTTTGCCCTGATCGATCCGTCATGATTCTGGGTCCTTCTGCTTCTTCTCTTCCTCCAGTCCATATTCCGTATTCAACTGCGTCCGCATAGGGACATGCTTCTCGAGAAATGATAGCAGGAAACCAAGAATGCTGAATGCCACCCCACCATACCATACCGGCTTCAAGCCCTCCGTCAGCACGTGAATGACCTCTCTCCTCGTCTCCGGAGCTAGTGATTGTACGAAGCCGCCAGTGACAAGCGAGTACGCCTTTCCTCCTGCCAGCGCGGCTGCCGTTTGCGGGTCTCTGACAAGATGCAACAACCCATTCGTTTCGTTATTGAAGATGATAGCCGGAATAGCAATACCCCACATGAACCCAAAGCTCCTCATGAAGGAGAACAAGGCAGCCGAGGACGCGTTATCCGCATCACTGAGGTTGGCCTGGATGCCTGGCAAAACGGTGATCATCAAGATGCCCAGGCCGATCGAGGCGATGATCTCGAAACACGCCCACGCTGCTTTGCTTGATGACGGTCCCAGAAGGGTGAAAAGTCCAAAGCCGATAGCCGACAGTGCAAAGCCCACGTGGTGGAAAGGCTTATACTGCCCTAACTTGGCCATAAGACCCCCGGCTACCATACCTGATGGTACATTGAACAGCATGAAGGGCAGAAGGTAAACGCCGGCGCGTAGTGGGCTAGTCTCCAGCACACCCTGGTAGTATACGGGTAAAAAGACGCAGGCCCACATGAGTAGGAGAGCCGCATCGAAGCCGAGAAAGAATCCGATGAGAGAAGTACGATTCGCAAAAAGATGCGGCGGTACGCTGGGCTCTTTGCAGAATGGCGTGGCCTCGTAAATGTGGAAAGCGATCCAGCCCACGAAACCCAGAACTAGGGGCACGATGATGTTGTATCTCGACCACAGATATACGGTGCCGCCCATGGTCAAACCGAGAAGGATAGCGCTCATCGATGCAATAAACAGAAAGCCTCCGATGTAGTCGATTTTGCCAAGAGCATGCAGCCAGCTGGATTGCTTCCTGTAGTTGAGGCGGAGGAAGAAGGTTTGCGTCACCAGACAAACACCGCCAATTGGGAGATTCATGTAGAAGATCCATCGCCAGTTATTTTGGGCAATGACGCCGCCGATGATGGGGCCAAGGGTTGAGCCCACGGCGCCGGCTGAGAGAACCATGCCTAGGTATTTCCCACGCTCCCGTAGAGGAACCATATCGCACGCGATGATCTCCACGAGGACGAATTGCCCTCCACCTCCAAGACCTTGTACTGTCCGCCCGCCGATTATTTGGTTGACATTGTTGGCACTTCCGATGATGGCGCTACCGACGATGAACAGAGCGACAGAGATGAGCATGGGCCAACGTCTGCCGAAGATGTTGGCCAACTGGCCGATGAAGGGTTGAACAACCGTTGAGGCGAGGAGAAAAGAGCTGGAGATCCAAACGTATTGTTCGTCGGCGCCAGGAACCGCCTTCGCGATTGTCGGAAGCGCTACGCTCATGATGGTGATGTCGAGGGAAACAATAAGGAGAGCGAGGCATAGCGAGACGAAAACTAGCCAAAATCTCCATGTTCGAGACTCTGTTGTTTGTTCGTTTGCATCTTCGGGTTTGGACGATGATACCGAAGTGTCGATTTCTTCGACGGCTGTCTGAGGAGCACTGGCGAGCGGTTGCTCCACATTGTCAGGTGATTTTACGTCGGCCATTTTCCACAGACGGAAATTGCTGTAGACTCGTGAAGGATGAGCGCCTACGTTTTAAAAGACGAATATGTTGCGGTGTGCTGCGTTGCTCTGGCATTCACAAACGCCACCAAGCTTCGATCTACAAGATCGCTTTACCAGAATTGTAGGAGTTGGCTTGAGCAAAGTGCACACTATTCCGTAACGGATCGATCTTTAACAGGAAGGCGTTTTGCCAGGATCTGTGGGGCCACTAGGATTTCACATGTCGTTTCGGTCTCCGATCCTTAACGGTTGTGCCACAGCCGCTGCACGAATCCTGTCAAATCAATTTTCCACGCAGGAACATGCATAACACTTTATTTTTCAAAGCTGGATGGACGGAAGAAATTTGCGAACCGAAATTGGCTTACCCGTTTTTCTCGCTTGGCGCACGGGCTCACCTGACGCACACTTTTTGTAAAACTCCTACAAATGAAATCAAGTTTGCTCCACCAATATGGACCCGATTGAAGAAGCGCTAGCAGCGTTGAAATCCTTGGAGCTTGGAGAAAAAGTTAATATCATGCAGACTGCAAAAAAGTATGGTGTTGAACGATCTACGCTGTCGAGAAGGTGGCGTGGGATACAGGGCTCCCGTGCAGCTCAATATGAGAACCAGCGACTTCTTAATGACCGTCAGGAGCTGGAGCTCGTACGATACATTGATAAGCTCTGTAAGCGAGGGTTACCACCTACAAGAAGCATGCTGCGCAACTTTGCTACTGAAATAAGTGGCAAGCAGGCAGGTAGCTCTTGGCCTGACAGGTTCCTCAAATGCCACCAACTTGATCTGGTATCGAAATGGACGACTGGTATGGACAAGGATAGGAAGCGAGCTGATTCTGCTTTCAAATACGCACTCTATTTCGAGCTCTTGAAGCGTAAAATTGATCAGTACGATATTGAGCCTCAGAACACCTACAATATGGATGAGAAAGGCTTCCTCATTGGAATACTATCAAAGATGAAGCGGGTCTTCTCTCGACGGAGGTATGAAGAGGGGGGAACTAAGCAGATCGTACAGGATGGCAATCGCGAGTGGATTACAACAATTGCTTGCATATGTGCTGATGGATCATCTCTATCCCCAGGCCTTATCTACCAGGCTGTTACGGGTAATATTCAAGACTCGTGGCTACAGGATTTTGATCCTACGATACACAGGGCCTTCTTTGCTTCATCTCCTAGTGGATGGACGAACGACAACCTCGGGCTACAATGGTTGAAGACTATCTTTGATCGAGAGACTAAAGCAAAGGCTCGACGGCAGTACCGACTGCTTATCCTCGATGGCCATGGCTCACACATCAACATGAGCTTCATCAAGTACTGTGACGACAACAAGATCCTCCTAGCAGTCTATCCTCCTCATAGTACTCATACATTGCAGCCACTTGACGTTACTTTGTTCCGGCCTCTCTCACAGGCTTACTCGTATGAGGTAGCACGATTTATGGAGGATTCTCAGGCTATCTCAGCAATTACAAAGTGAGATTTCTTCCGTATGTTCTGGGCTGCCTGGGAGAAGGCTTTTACAGCTAAGAATATCCTCTCTGGCTTCAAAGCCTACGGCCTCTATCCTTTCCAGCCTGACATCATCCTCGATCGTTTTAGCAACTCTGAGGCTGAGAGACCTTCATCTAACGAGAGCTCAAAGTCAGTCCTCATAGCTGAGGATTGGAGGAAGGTTTCTAAGATCCTGAGAGCCGTAGTTGATGATGTGTATCATTCTAAGGCCCAGCAGCTCTCACAGACCATCCACTCACTATCGACCCAGAATATACTGTTGAAATTGGAGGTTCAAGGCCTGAAGAAAGCGCTAGTTAATGAGAAGAAACGGCGGCAGCGAGGCAAAGCACTCCAGCTTGAACTACCTCCAAATCAGGATGGTGGCGCGATCTTTTGGAGCCCAAACAAGGTGCAGATAGCACGTGAATGAGAGGTGCAAAAAGCAGAGGCAGCTAGGGCAGAGAGACTCCAAAAACAGGAGGATATCCAGCGCAGAGCAATTGAGAAAGCTGAGAAGCAACAGGCTTTGGAGGAGAGGCATCGTATGAAGGCTACTGCGAAGGAGATACGGCTTCAAGAGCAGGCACGGAGACAGCAGGAAAAGGAGGACAGCAGACATGACCGGCTTGCTGCTGCACAGCTCCAAAAGGACATCCAGTCTGCTAAGCAGGCTCAAAAAGCAAGGAAACAGCAGTTAATTGTCCCTCAGAAGCTTGATAGCAGCAAGCAATCTGTTGTTGAGGTCGTCAAGGCCCCGCAGACGACAAATCGTCGGGGGCGGCATATCAACCTCCCTACAAGATATTGCGATTAGCTACCTAGCTAGACCTTTTCTCCGTACTTGATTGCCTATTACTCTTTCAAATCAGGTGATAGAAAGATTTGTGTGAGGCCTAGTAGCTTCAAAAGCCTTTGAAGCTGCTCGGTGAAAATCGTGCGCCAGGTGAGCCCGTGCGTCAGGCGAGAGAAACGGGTAGTCACTTGCAGAATGGGTGGGTAAGCAAGTACCTGTGTTGTGATACATCGTCACCAACGCAACCTGGATCGTTAATCTGGGACTACCTGGCCAATCATGGAAGAAGATGAGCCAGATATTAATTCAAAGGATTGGGACGATGCTCCAGAAAACAAAGAAAGCGCCAGAACCCACGCCCAAGGATTCCAGATTTAATCTTTTCCAGTCAGCCTTCAAACCAGACCCTGCTGTCCGAATGCATCTGCAATAATCTGGTTCGATACACCGGCTCCCACAAGGCTGCCTCCATTCTGTGCCTCAGGCATAATCTTCCTCATTTGTGAATTATCTCCGCAGGCAAACACGCCCCTCACATCCGTCTGCAGCCACGGCGCATGAGCCACAATATCGCCTGTAGGTGTTGTCTGCAGCCCCAATTGCTCTGCAAAGTTGCCTTTAGCCTTCCACAGCGGGTAATGTCCGATGAAGCTCTCGCTGGCCGTCGAACCATCTTCAAACTCGATGCCGACCTCTGGTCTGCCGGATGAATCCTTTACGAAACGTGCAATCTTGCGGGAATCCGTCTTGAACATGGGTTGTCCGTTGAAGGCTTCTTCGAATTTCTTTGCGAGCTCCGCGTCCCCGTTTGTGTAGATGGTTACGAGGTTGGAGATTTGGGTTGCGTAGCGTGCAGCGTGCATGGATTTGAGCACATCGGTCATGATGTCCACGGCGAGAATGCCAGACGAGGGTGCTTTCTCAGGCGTGTAGCCTTTGTAGAAGTAGCAGTGGTAGCTGCATATCTTTGTCAGTTCCAATCGCAGACAATCTAGCTATCCAGGTACGATCCACCAGATTGGCAATATCGTGCAGATCGCGACGGTTTGGACTTACATCCCCTTTCCCCAGAAATCTGCGTAGCCCTTGATATCTGGGAAGATGTCCTGGCAACCTGTTGCCAATACGAGCTTCTTTCCCTGCCACTTTCTGCCTTGCGCATCCTCCACCTCGAAACCGCCGTCGTCCAATTTCCTCGCGTATTTGATGTCGGCTTCTTCAAAAGAGACCTTCTTGTGTCGCGACAACAAATTGTCCAAGGCTCTCTGTCGGAACTCTACAGGCGTGACTCCGTCCATGGTGATCATCATGGTCATGGAAGGCATCTCTTTATTTCGAGCATCGTTGTTGTCGAAGATCTTGACACTGTGGTCAAGACGGGCAAGAGTGAGAGCTGCGCTGAGGCCGCCTGGGCCGGCGCCCACAATGAGAACTTCAGGATTTGAGGCCATGATTTGGGATGTGACTATAAAGTGAATGTATTTATTGCAGTAACATCTGTATATAAGTCTTCTCATGGGATAGAGGACGATATACCTCTGTCAATCTTGCAGGACGAAAGTCGGGGACCGAGTACACCTTGGCCGTCCTGTCGCAAACCGTTGCTTAGATCCAGTTACAATTGCCCACATCTGCCCCGCGTAAGACGCCACCTTACGTTAAGACACCATCGGTAAGCCCTATGCTTATTTGATCCTGTGTATAAAAGGATTTGGACCATCATTGGCTATCATGCGAAAGTTCTAGCTTTAGTTTTACATAAAATGCCGCCTTTAAGGTATAGGCTAGTAGTCTAGACCGGTAGGTGATTTTTCCCGGAAGTCTTCCTCTCCTGGTTCACGATTTCTCCCACTTCACCTGTGAATGTTTCGAAACAATGTACAATAGGAGCTGTTTGGATTCTTTAGGTCCTAGTACTTTGTGATCGAGGGCGGGATCGGAATATACTCCTCCACAAAGCCCCGGCTGATGCTGAACGGCAGCGGATTCTCAACTCCTACCCTCATCCTCAAACACATATCTCCTACCAAGGGAAGCCCAAACCACATGACCAAAATGAGCCAAGCATATCCTATCCACCTTCTCATGGCACTGCCTTCCCTTTGGAGTTCTCCGGAAGTGAAGTTCCTAGCAATCCACTGACCAAAATCTTCAACCGTAATAGCAGCAACCTGCCATATGAAAAATAGGAAGAAACCCAGAGATCTCTCAGTTGTGGAGAGATTATCGGGTGCTGGCATCATGAGCGAGCAAATTCCATGGAAGAAACCTGAGATTAGAAAGGCAAGGTATAGCTTTGTGTATGAGGAAAGGTTGGTGCCCTTTGGGATGTTGAAGTAGTCCGCGAAAGCATCCACATACTGAGTCAGGAACTAACGTCCAATCAATACGAAATTTGATACATGAAGGCGTTGTGTACGTACCAAGCGCAATTGCTGGTGCCAATATTTGCCCCAGAAGTCACGCACTGTAGTCGTACCTCGAAGCCTACCAAAAGTAGGTGGCCAATCCTTTATAAACATAAGTGTATGTTCAAAAACTGACCATTCAGACATACCTCAGGTTGGCTAAATCCCAACAGAACAGCTAAAAATGCAAACTGTGCATACTGCATACTCATCATGAAGTATGGAGTTGACCCAAATACCAAAACCTTCAAGAAGCTCCATCCAAGCCCGCCACTCATCAATGAGAGATACTTGCTGTTTATTTCCCCGACCCTCCCGTCAGGGGTTGTGTAAAAGAATCTTCTTCCCAGCTCTAATAGCAGATCTCCTATGACCATATTCTTGACGAATTGAAAAACTTGCGATATCAGAAATTGCGTCTTCATTTGTTTGGGCTGATACGGGATGTTCTTGACTTGATAATTCCATCTTATCCCACGAGTATTCAACATCAAGGCAATTGCCCATTTCAACTTCTTAAAACCGAATGCTCCATAACTTGTCGCTTCCTTCGCTGGTTTATCGATTCGCCAGTAGTGTCTTTCTGGAGCATCGTTGAGGAGCATCTTGGCCAATGTTGCGAGATAAAATGACCAACTTATATTGAACGGTTGCGCGAGAGCGAAATCATTGGTAAAATGTGGGTGGGTTAGTGTCCAGACCGCGAGTCCGATGATGGTTAAGCTGAATAGAAGGCGACGACCGCGAAACTCTGGTGATGCCAAAGCCACAATTTGGACAATGTAGAGCGCTACATGAGGCACTATCGATGAGTCTGGGTCTCGCAGTTTCGTGTTTGGTGTATCGAGATCGATGTGTGTCAAGGTACCCATTCTGTCACCGTCGACTGCAGAATTGTCACACCGGAGATTGTGTCTTGACTTTAGTCGGCTGCATGTTGCTCTCAGGAATGCTCAGAGCTGTCAAGGTTGGGGGCGGTTTGTTCCTGGTGTCCGAAAAATGGGCCCAACCCCCAGCCTCGCCGACGGTTACCGTTGAGGCTCGGCATCCGTTCGTACAAGGTTGTGTTGGCTTGTTGCTAGGATTTGATTCCCTCTCAAGAAATTGCGCAAGATGGTACCTTAGTCCCTCCAAGTAGCATAGCGATGCTGCAAAGAGCCGGCCCAAGCGGACTTCGATCTTCGCATGTTTTTCACCACCACACGGATTCCTGTTCAAATGTATGGAATGTGTTGCCCGGAAATATGATCTACAGAAATGGAAAGAGGAAGCAGCTTGTTTTCCTATTGGAAAAGCGTAACAATACGAGAGAGAGTATGCTGGGAACCGGAACTCGGCACGGGCAACTGCAGCGCAGCGCAGCGGAACGGCTCGGAAACGAGTCGAGTACTGTTAGTGAAGACTGCTCCATTTGTGTTTCAGCACTCGATTTTTATTCGAACTACAGTGCTACATGACAGTTGCGGCAATCCCATTCGCACTGTTCTCAAAGACCAAACGCTTTGTTCAAGTCCACCCTAGTTCTCTGGCTTGCGACCCCACAGGGAGAATAGCGTCATGGTAAAGCCTCGCTCGTCGATCTCTTTGGCCAGCTTATCCGGAAGGGCATCCAACTCCTCCCGAGACAAGCGAAGAGCTGCAGCCGGAAGGATCTTCGTCGTCATGCTCACTCCCATGGCCGTCGCATACAAGCTCTTCCTGCTGATCTCGCGGACTTTGTCGCTGGCATTCTTACCAAAAGGAATAGGGAATTTCTTATACTGCACATCCTCCAGCCCCGCATCTTTCAACATGGGGATCAGCTTATCAAGAATGTCGACGCCCTGGCCCGCGCTGACCACTGTGAAGAGGTCGTACACGGCGTCGTGAAAGGCTTGGCCTGCAGGTCCCGCCTCCCACTCATTCCAGTCCATCTCTACAAACTGGATGTAGCCCCCGGGCTTAACGAGTTCAACAAGGCCCTTAACGGTGGCTTCCAACGGATTCGTACCCACGCCTGGGAGGGCCATACGGGAGTGGACAAGATCAAAGGTACCCTTCCACTCGGTCGGCCAGGGCTCCGTCATGGACTGGTGGTGATAGGAGGTATCGGAAGGCGGGTCCGACGGGAAGTACGAGTCCTCGATATCGGTACCAACCCAGGTGTGGCTACCAGAGGAGGTGGCGCGGAGGTCCCGAATCCAGATACCTGCCGGAAGGGGTTAGCGCGATGTGTAAGAGTGAATCGGGCCAGAGGGCGGACGCACCACTTCCGGTCGCCTGATCGAGAATGCGAAGACCGGACTTCGAGAAGTCAATGGGCGCTTGGACTTGCTGAGGCATGGCGTCGTAGACGACCTTGTGTTGCATGTCGAGACGCTCTACTTCGGTTTGATTGGCGCCGAAAATGACATTGTCATCATTCTTGCCCGTCTTGGACGCAGCGGTTGCAGCATCTGCCATATTGGAGGGAGGAAGTCGTTGGTATGAGAAGATCGAAGATCAAAGGCCAAAGGCGGGGAGGTGGGAGGAATTGCGAGGTTGGAGCTGATGGAAGAACGAGAGGCAGAGACGCCTTGCAGGTATACGTCTTTCACGGAAAGTTTATCTGGTTCACGTCTACGCCTCACCCATGCCGCACGCCGCTAAAATATCGCGGGCCGTATGATCGCACCCCGCTGGTGAAACACCAAGTACGTGTGGGTGGACGGCAGACCTTCAGGCGCCAACGATCATTGATAATAGAAAACTCCGGCCCTCCTCCTCTCCTCTTACCTTCCTTGTAGTAGACATACCGTTGTCCGCATCCCTCGGCGTCTCAACAGAAGCAGGAGGCAGCTACCCTCCAGGTTCCCGATCATCCTGGGGCGAATCCAACCCCGATAATTCGCGCCTTCTCATTTACCCTAGATCCCAGCGACGACGGGAATTGCATTGCAGCGCGTAAGAAGTGTTGGTTGCAGATACGGACTCCGGTAGCAGGCCAGGGGCAATGCGGACGAGGTGTTGTGTGGTAATCGGATGTAACACAGTCAGCGGCCAACTCCTCCAGCTGGGCAATTCACCACATGCTCTCCAAAATGAGGCCTGTGCGTAATGCTGTGATACATTGCCCTTTGATCCCACATGTTCGCAGGACTCCTTTTCTCCTTCAAAGGCCTTTCACAGAGTGCCGCAGCGTATCGGTCGAATCATCGGTGTCTTCATTAGCCACCTCCGCCTTTCGAATCAAGACAAAGGAATCCAGAGAACTTTATTAGTTGCTCGCGAATCATAATCGCACCTTCCCAACGTCAGACGACATCCCGACTCTAGAACATTTACCGCGTGCAAGACTCGGGCAAGAAAGTTATGTTCAGCGCTCCTCATTCCAGCTACCGTCTTCACTATTCTAAAGTGGTGCGCGTTCGCTGCTTCTCATAATGGCGCCAGCAACGCCTCCGCCGCCTCAGATGCCCGACTACAGGGTTACACCTCTGCTGCCGTCGCCGACGGGCCACTCGAACTTTGTGAACCCAGAAACGCGTTCGCCGATGGCACTCGCTGTCTGCGGCGTAATGTTGGGGTTCATGGTGACAGCCCTTTTGCTGCGGTTCTATGCGCGTCACAGAGTGTTGGGAATTGTTGGTGTGGACGACTGGGTGGCTCTTTTGGCAGCAGTGAGTGGCAAGCGCCCTGAGATGTCTTCAATAAAATCTGATTGCTGTAGGTTTTTGTTGCAGAATACACAGTATATGCGATGGTGCTGTTTACGATGCCCGGAATGGGCCCGCACATCTGGGATATTCCTGGCATCGTCTTCCTTGACCCCAAGTTTGGGCTGGTAAGAAGAACTGAGCATGAGAAGTTGTTATCCTGTTAACTTTTTTAGCGACTTCTGTTTACTGAGATCATGTATGCGCCATCAGCATATCTCACCAAACTTTCCATCCTCCTCCTCTACAGGCGCATCTTCGTCGCTCCCGGCGGGAAAGCTAAGTACTTCATCAACGCCGGTATTGTCCTCGCTACAATCGCCTACCTTGCCCTTTTCATCTTGAGCTTCGCTTTTTGCACCAAAAGCCAAAGCCTCGTGGATGGCGGCGAATGTCACTCGAAAGGCGCACAAGTGGGCTGGGCGCTGGCAGCTACCAACCTGGCCGCGGACCTCTACCTCCTCGCAATCCCGCCATTTATTATTGCTCATTTGCATCTTTCGGTTACTCGGAAGTGGCAGATTGCGTCAATTTTCCTGCTTGGTATCGGGTATGTGGTCATTGTGAATGATGCGCTTCCGTCCCCTAACACTTCTACAGTGGCACTGTGTCAAGCGTAGTCTGCTTGTATCTTCGCGTCCACGTTGCGGCAAACAGCACTGATTTTTCATGGAACATTATCCCACCTGCAATCGCGAGGTGAGTTTTTTACCTTCTATCACTGTTCGGCACCAGTCTCTGACGCCACCTGCAGCGTTGTCGAACTGAATGTAGGCATCATCGTTGCCTCCCTCCCCGCGCTGAACGTCCTTCTGCACAGAGGACGCAACGCCGGGACCGGCAGAGGGTCGCACCCATCTCGAGGAGGTTGGTCCCTCCAGCATCTGGTTTCTCGAATCTCCAACCGTGCTCGCGGCAAAGACTTGTCCTACGGGGATGCATCTGTTGCATCGCATAGCCAGAGCCAACCCGGAGACAGGGATATCGTCAAGCTCCTTGAGATAAACCAGTACTCTACTAATACGCACACGGGTTCGGTAAAGAGCGGATCGCCCGCTGCTTCGGCGCATCGGCATTCGTCAATATCGAATTAAAAGGTGACTGTGCGCGTGGTCCATTTCCGGCTCCAGTCTGTTATATTCTCGTATACTGTTCTCGAATGATCTGAATCCCTTTCTCCAGGGGGAATGCCTCTAATGGTGGGCTTGTATATATTCGCTTGTGTGGAGTAATGGCCAGTTTGTCAGTGACAAAACTAGCAGGGTGTGGTATATAGACACAACTTCCGAGAATAAAAGTGTTATTCTCCATTTACTTCAACGTTTCATGGCCGTGCGTACCTCTTTTCGAAGAATATGAAAGCTTCAGTTCTCCCATTCGACCTTTGGTGACGTCCAAATAACCTCTGTTACGCCGCAAGGCCGCATACATCCGACATTGACTTACATCATTTGCACCACTCCAAAAGTCTCCGTTCGCTTGCCCTCGTCTGTGATCCGCATACCCAATCTACAAGGCGTACCTGTAACGTGACACAGGAGTGTACGCGCCAGCCTCGCGCTCCGTGGGCAACGGTTTCCGGCGCCGGAAGCCCCGACCAGACATGCGGCCCCAGAAGCGGCACCCGAGAAGTGGCGCACTCGTCTCATGATGGATCGAGATGATACGTTCGAAATTTTATGCATTCAGAAGAAGCAACCAATAAAATTTGTCTGCGCGGAGCGGGGGCGGATTTGGCATTGCCCGTTTCTTTCCCAGGTTCGTTCATCCCTACACCGATACGTGACGGTACCGTACATTTCGGGTGATTATCTTAGGTTATGTTAAAAAACCTCGAAGCTCTGTCGTTTGGGAAATAGTACCGAGAAAAGGTAGGAAAAAAAGAAGCTTCGCCGTGCGCAGTTTATACGGAATCATTCGAGTGTCTCAAGATTGCCCGATCAGGCGGGAAATTGGAGGCCAACGCGCCGTTCCTTGCTAAACAGAAACTTCTGTGAAATACAGGCCCCCTTAGCTTCCAATGGCTTGAAGGATAGACTGATCACCAAGTTGACTTTTTCCGTGCTACTGGATCTCGCAGAATTCTGCTCTTGTATATCCTCGCCACGAATGCCAGGGCGTTCCAGACTTCCCTGGGCCCAACTAGAGAATAAGGGTATGTCCACTCTGGACGGTGCAGCTCTTATTCTCATCACGATACCGCCTATTCAAGCAGATGATGGTCGGTTGGCCCGGACACATGGTGGTCATCCGCGATGCGTTCCCCTCGGACTGTTCTGCTTCGCGTTCGCATGTTACTCCTCGCCTTGGAGGGTTCTGTTTCGCCCTGAGGAGCTCTCTCAGGGCTCGAAAGTTGGATGCGATTATTAAGAACCATGCATACTGATGGGATTGAATGCGTATGCACTCACACAGACTCTCCACCATGATCATTTTTCCAACTGCCCGCGTAGTGGTGCGTGACCAATGCTGCAGGAAGCTGTGCTTCCTCCTCTTTCGTATATCTGTTTGATGAGGCAGCAAACGATCGTCCTGGCATGACGAGGACGTCGCCAACTAACTTCGGTTGCAGGAGTTTGGACATGTCTTTTTCGCCAATCGTTCTCTTCAATGTCTTCCCAAGGCTCTTGTAGATACTGTTCGTCAAACGCCTTGGACCAGTAAAGTCGACAACGTCGCCGACCATGGAAAGTGTAAGATTCCCGATTGTGACATTGTTGGATGCCATTGTGGTACTCAAGGAGTCCAGTATGTCGACAATGACCTGCCACATATGGGGCGAGCCCGGCTTTGCCAGAATAGTCCAACTTGCGAACTGGCGGACGAAGGGCATATCCCACCCCATATCGAATTCCCATCCCACAACGAGTGCAGCGTCTTTGTACTGTGGTAGTACAAACGCGTCAAATGGCACGCCCTTGCAAGATACGTCTAGATCGGACCAGATGCCGCCTTTGTCGAATAACAATAGATACCGGAGAAAATCGGCTTTTAGAATCGGTATTGTCAGGCCCAGGTAGCTCTCAACAATACTTGAGACGGTCCTATCGTCGATGTCGGAACGGGATGCGAAGGTGTTCTTCACATATGCATCAGCTGCCTCATCCGTCATGAACTCCGCGGTATAAGTAGGATTGAGCTCGATGCAACTCTCTGTCCAGGCTCTTGTGTCTTCATTGAGACCCTTTGGACCTAATTTGTACCAAAGAAGTTTTGGTATTCCGACACTGTCTGAATCTCCTTCTTGCACAGATGTGACGCCGTTTAGATTCTCATTTTGTACAGGAGAAACTCGTGAAAAATGCGGCCTTCCAGTAGCCCACAGAAAATAGCAAACAAAGACAGTTCCTAGAACCAGCACAGCAAGACCTTTGTACTGTTTGGAAAGCGCTTGTCTGGGGAGTTGCATAGCTGAGCGTGGGAGTGGTTTGGTGTAAAGAGAGATGAGGGGAATAACATGCCAGCCAAGATCTGGAGGGAGCCCACTGATCAATTTCACGGGAGGAATTCATGGGAAGGAGGAAACGCGATAGAGGGCAAAGAGGCAATACGAGGCGCGGAAGAAACCCAAGCGCGAAAGGAGACAAGCCGCAATGCCCCGTGCACGTCGTTTTATGGAATGATTGGCTGATTGGGGGGCGTGCAGACTGGGCCTCAAGATGTTATAGGCTTAGCCGGTGCTAACCCTAGCTGCCAACAACTGTGCCGCTGTCAAAGATCTCCTATGTGTACCGAGTACATAGGCATCTTTCTCGTACGTGTGCCCTCCAGACCAACGCCCATCCTACCCGTGGACACCAAGGACTCTGTCACCGTCGAACTGTAAGCCAATGGGTACCTGAAATCCCACTTTCGCGTCCCCCTGTCTCACAGAAACCTCGATCTTCCGAACTCGCTGTCTGTCTTGGTACCCTCCAACACCATCAGTTGCCGACTTCGCATTCCGTCGACCTTGCTCTGGCGACGAATACCACGCATAGCAATTTCTGAGACGTACTTCTTCATCCATCATGCGATAGATATGAATCGTAACACTACCATCTTGGTTCCTTCCAGGGGCGACAAGTAGGATGAACTTGCTTAATCAACCAACATACATGGCAATGCTACAGCCGAGAAAATAAAATCGTAGGGCAAAAAAACTCGCGTAAGGAGATTAACAACACTCACCAACCTTCTAGGGGGTATGAGGGAAGTGGGAATGATACTGGAATTGGAGGTGAGAGAACAGAAGGAGATGCCTCAACCCGACTATACAAGTATATTCAGCAGCGGCATCGCAGGAACGAGCTCGTGCTGGGTCACGCAAATCACATTAATATAGTCAGGACGAAAAGTGTTGGCGGCCGTGGATATCAGGTTATTCAGGGACACCCCTTAGTAGATATTCCTCTATTTACCCTAATTATTGAAGATGTTTGTATTCAACCTCTGTGGGAAGAGTTGTTCTAGAGTCGCTGTATCTATTGAGCAGCTATACTTCAACTAAAACCTGTGCAAACCTGTTCTTTGCTGGCACTTTCACAAAAGTTCGGGATCCACGTCTATAGAGGGGAACAGCGTTAGATGGTCGCCGTCATTTCGCTCTCTTTCTCTCTATGGAATTTTGTGCACCACGAGTAGATGCAAACCTTACCCTATGGTATACATCCTCGTGGAAGAAATGAAGGCGTTGCAATTACAATTCATGATTGCACGATACATGCTGAAATAAAACAGCCCTTACACCCAGGATTAGCCAATATAATACGCATGTAACAGGCATGGAGTCAGCTGCCCCTCCAACATTACCAATATTTCCGGGATGCCAAGAATGATAGCTTAGGTGTGCTTTTCATGCATATGAAGGGATGCAAAGCGAATCCAATAGCTTTGACAGAGGAAGAAATGTCTCGATACCTTCTTTGTTTGGACTGAATATTGTGGGAGACCCACATCTAATTTGTCCCTTGGTTCTCGCCCATCTTCTCCGTGATCCTCCCATTCACTCTCCGACGTCTGAAACGTACTGCAAAATATTGAATCCCCAGTCTACCACAGTACCGGGTAGAGAGCACAGCATGACGGCCGCAACGACTACAATGCTTTTCATGGAGCCCTGGCCACCAGAACCCAGTCCAAACAATGACAGTATCATTCCGTCCTCCTCTAATTCAGCATCGGACAAGACCAACGCAAGTTCACAGAAGGCGTATGAGCGTCCTTACTTACGCGGCCAACCTACCCCAGCATTCCCTGAAACCACAAACTTCACCAACACTGCCCACACCGTGACCGTCCACCCAGCACGCGCCCAAAGGGACACTTTCACTCTTGACAAACATGGATTTGCATTTCCCTCGTTCCCTTCGGACTCACTTTCCCAAGATGTTCTTGCCTCAATTCGTAATGGAGAGAAAGAGGTAGTCGAGGAACGATATTATCCTATCGTAGAAGCCTTTGTTAAGAAGGAGACGGGAGCAACAAGGGTAGTCATATTCGATCATACTTACCGGAAGAGGGACCCAGAAGTGGATATGGAGAAAAAGGAGAATGCGTATAAGAGGGGCCAGCCTGCTACTGTTGTAAGTTTGATGCACTCTCAACGAGAACCCGTTTCTAACCTTCTGCCGCTAGGTGCACTGTGACCAGTACGTTCGAGGTGTCCATTAAGCTGAAAAAAGGACTTGGACTGACCAACTTAAAACTCAAGATCCCCTTGGGGTGCCGAACGCCGCGTCCACCGCCATCTAGGCACTGAGGCAGAACGGTTATTGAAGGGACGCTGCCAGATTGTGAAGTGAGTCCCTACGTTCCTTCTCTTCGTCCTTTCGCACAGAAATTCGTTGCCGTCCACTCCTTCAGCTGACCACATTTCCTGTACAAGTGTATGGCGTCCCCTAAATGGTCCAATCTACGACTGGCCGCTGGCCGTCATGGATTACCAAACCCTTTCGCCTTCTCACATTCACCCAACAAATCTCTATAGCAAGGACGAAGAGCTCATGGGCCAAACCGTGGGCATCAATCACAGTCCCGAGCAGCGATGGTACTATCTTGAGGAGCAAACTCCCGATGAAGCGATCTTGGTGAAGATATGGGATAACAAGCAGGACGTGGCGAAGTGTGAGTTTCCTCTCTCCAGTCGAATTTGATCTTTGCGGTTTCCCTCACGGAGCATATAGGGGAAGTAGCTGACTCAGTGTAGTATGCGCGCATTGCTCGTTCCAGCATCCTGACTTCCGCAAAGCCGAGGCGCCAAGGGAGAGCATCGAAGTACGGTGCTTGGTGTTTTACGAGGGTGACGTTGAAGACTGATCGGAGCCGTCCGCGGTCGACGTGGCTCAGTTCAGGAAGGAATGTGACCGACTTGCTTCGGCTATGAATGTTAGCGAAAAACGCGCCATACCCAATGAGTTTCTGCTTGCATCAACACCGTCTCCTAATGAAGGAGGGATATTATTTATCCCAATGTCAGGGTATCAGTCCAGTGTTCAGCTCGGTACTTGTATGTAGCCTGACGGCTTTAACTGGCCTTCGCGTTATTGTCTCCTGTCTTGGGAAGCATGCATAGTGGTTCGAAGTCGGGCAAACCCATGTCAAATTGGTATATTTCTTCATGTTGCTGAGCCCGAACGCCGACACCATATGTGCAAAATTCGGAACATGCCGATGACCAAGTCGCCGAGACTTGATTTGCCTTACAAACGCTCGTATAATACAAGCCTCCGTCCACGCAACTCTCATTGGCTTTGCAAGACCTTCTTAGCTCCATCTACGATGTGTTTGACCTCCCCATGACCCTTCTTAACCACTTCCTCCATTCTCTTCTTTGCCTTCTGAAGATCATCCGGTAGAACGGCCTTCTCCAGCTCAAACTTCCTCAACTTCTTGTGGTGTGCGGCTCGTGCGTTCTGAATCGCCTTGTCGGCCTGCTCGGCGGCCTTCTGTGCGGCTTCAAGAGCTGCTTGCCGCGACTCGCCGGTGGGCGGGGGGATTGGGACAGGGATAGTAAGGGGCGCATCGGGATGCGGCTGCTGAGGCGCGAGATTGTGGTTTGAGGCGTAGATAGCAGAGGTGACGGGCTTTATATGCTGGGTGACCATTAGTGTAAGCTTCCTGCAGCGCAAGGACAGGCTCCAGCGGTTGAGAAATAAGGGAGAAGGGAAGATCACGCACATCCTTCTCGCTAACCATGACGTTCAAGAACCGTCCTTTAGGAATAACCTGCGCGATGTCTCCTAACCTCACGGTCTCCTTCCCATCCTTCGCAGTCCCCAATTGCACCCTCAAATTCTCCACCACATTAGGATTCAATCGTCCTCCAGCCCTCAGCTGTGCAAGTTCGTGTGTCAGGCGCTCGATTGCCCTTAAAATCGCAGCTTCGAGCACAGAGACATCGTACGCTTCATCTGTAGGCGTAACGGAGATATCCCGGTCCGGCGGTGCAGAATCGGAGCGAGCGTGCGCTTTGTTTGCCTTTCCAGCTTTCTTATAGAGTGCTGGAGAGGATGTAAAAGGTCTGGAAGGGCGAATTATCCTCTGCGCCTGGGGCGCAGCTTGTATGATGCTGGTAAGAGATGAGCTTCAAAATGCGACAGGACGAATGTGTCGGACGGCTAACCTGCGATATGGGGGTTCAATCGCTCGCTGTCGTAGCAGGCGAGATGTGGAGAAATTGAAATTCGCCGCGGCGCGTGGAATAGCGCGATGCGACATGGTATTTGGGCGTGTTGGATTAACGTTGGCGGTTCGACAGCTTCAAAGTATTGAGACCATGAAATGCACGGACCATTATAAACAGGTCGGGACTGCGTCATTGCTCCCCATCGACATCAGGCTAGGTATGCTAGGTATGACAGAGGTGAACGACACTACTATATAAAATCAAGACCGTAGCGATCTAAGTCTTTCCGCTATCTCCCCAGACATCTCTCCAAAACTGCCGAAACCCATACCTCCGCTCAACCTTTTCGTCACTCACCCTGACCTTCTCACCCACCAGCCTATCCATTACCCCCGGCGCTGCCCCTCCGCCTAAACTCGTTGCAAAACCTTCTGTCTTCTTCGGCCTGGTTGCTCGATCACGGATTGCTTCTGCTAGCTGGGGCGCGACATCAGCATAGCAGGCGTTGAGTTCGCGGGCGAGCGAAAAGTACGGCTTCTTCGCAAGGTCGGGAGCTTGCAAGTTGTAGGAGCGGGTCAGAGTATTGAGTTCCTTGATGGCGACGTTATGGTAGGCCGATTCAAGTGCTTCCCAGGCGGGGTCGCGGAAGGGCTGTCGCGCTGGTGCGACTGTTGACGTTGCTGTACGTACCGGGATCTCTGTAGTCTGGGCATTTGATGAAGGGGGAGCATCCGCAGCCGTACTGTTCGTTGTGCCAGGAGCATCCTGAACCCTAATAGTAGACTTCTGGGGAACCATCTCCTCTGTCACACGCTCGTCGTCCGAAAGGTCCTGGATCTTCAATTCTCCTGCCAATGAAATCTGGGAAATGTGATCATAATCATCCAATGTGTTTGGCGTATCCTCCTTTGTCCTCAAAGGGTTTACTGTGAGCTCAGCCTTTGCATAAGCTTCCGCTCTCTGCATCTGTTCCTGCAGTGTGCCACCTTTGCTAGCGATCACGCGAGCGGCATGTCTTCTCCAATCACTCCGTAACCTTGATCGAAACTTGCTCGCAGCGGCTACCAGTTCCTGCTGCTTCTCAATCCAAGGTGGGACAATCTCCTGTTTCTGAATCATCTTGTTCATGAAGTATTCCGTAGTGTCAATGAACGGATTAGACGCATTGTAGTCTCTCTCAATCTTCTTTCCTCTAGGGAGATTCTTGAACTGTCCACGCGCAATAGCATCTTCTATGCGTTGATTTGCCAGGTTTGCCAGGCCTTGAACAGTGCCTGGGACGACGGAGCGTGCCTCAGGCGAATAGCGATCCTTGAGTTCCTGGAATCTCTTCTCCCTCTCGGCCGCATCGATGTCAGAATCTTTGAGGCTGCTGTATATGCCGCTCCTGTCCCTCGCATTTGCGAGCCGTATCCCACTGCCAGCTTTACTCCTGCGCCCCGTATCAATGGACCGCGGTGGTGCCGCTGCTGGTCCTGGTATGCGTGGCCCTCTTCCCGACCGCAACGGCTTATGCGCATCATTCAACATGCGCAAGCTCGCATCATGGATTGACTCCTCTCCCACCCACGGATCCGCGGTGGCTATATCACGAGTACCCTGGCCGGCGTGGGAAGGCAGCTGCGCTTCTGTGAACGCACTGCGATGTTCAGCACGGAACTGTGCTGAAGCTATCCGCTCTTCGAGTTGTTTCCTTAACTCCTCGCTGAAGCCTGCTTCTGAGACTGCTTTTTGGCTGCTCCGACCCCCAGATAACAGAGCCTCTTCACTCATATCGCGGAGACGACGAGTCATTGCACCTTCATCTTTGTCCTGCTTCGTCTCCTCAATCTCGTCTTCCTTATCCTCTCGATTATCCGTATGTTTCTCATATGCATCATGATCCTCCCGTAACCGTGGCGCCGAGTCTGCGTATTTTCGTAGGAAACCGTTGCGGCGAATTGCTAGCTCAACTGAAGATGCTCCAATGCGGGGGCTGACGCGTAGGAAGCAGGAACAGATATAGGGTGCGGTCGGTAGACTTGCTGGCATCTGTATGCAGAGCTGTCGCAAGAGAAACGCAATGGCGTGGAGGCAAAGCTCTCCGCCACGAAGAAATGGCCTATGTCCCGGACGTCATCAAATGGCCGGATCCATGGGGAAGGTCTGGCAGGGGTCCTACTGAGTCTCTTAGCTTAGTCAGCCGCCATTTGAAAACGCGGAGATTAACTAAGTTTATTCATCTCCATTACTATTTCAAATGTAGGATGTTTATACTGACCAAAGCTTAGAGAATTGCTTCTTATGATTCTTGATATCAGTCATTTCTCAAAGCCCCAGAAAAATAAGCGCGGAAGAGCCCACCTCGCTTTCGAGCTCTACTAAACTTTGATATTCATGGTGCGGAACAGGAGCCCAAATTGTACGTCTGCCCTTCTAGACTCTTCCTCTAGCCACTCAGTCGCTGGTGTAGGAGGGCCGTCAAGTCGCTACATTCCGGATAACCATATCTTGGTGCTTTTCTAGGTTGCTCACTGTTGCGGCACTAGTGTGGAATTAAGGATACAATTAGTCTTAGTCTTGCCAACAATCAGAGCTTTGTATAATAATCAGAGTTTCTACTCATGGCGTGCTTAATTGTAACTTCCCCAATCTCTTTCTCTCCAGCCCATGGCAAGCTTCGATTAGTCCTAGCAACTTGCTCAACACAGATGCCCTCGCCAAACACTCAGCATACATCTTATTAGAGGGGAAGCGAAAATGTAGTGACAAGGCTTTTGCAGTATCAGCCTCTACCGCTGCAGCAGAGGATTGGGGTGGGCCACGCAGATTGTGTTGCGCTCGGCACCAATGGCGGCCATAGGTGGAGGTACGCCGAGCTACTTTAACGTCGAGGGCATGCTAGATCGTACGCCGCCTGAGATGCAAATGAAAATGGCGAAGTCTGGATTGTGGGGCCACGGTATTGAAGATTTCATACGCGTTATCGAGTTATGGCGCAGAGAGGGAAGTATGCGGGATTTAGAGATACCCGTCATAATATTCTTACAAGTGTTAATTTCCTAGATACATGCGTTAAACTTAGTTAAAGAGACGTTAGGAGACGGCGGCTTGCATTTACTGCAGTCTTAGTCGATCCGCTCTTTGTGCCGTTAGCAGATTGAGCGCCGTTGCATTTGGAGCAGTAAACTTTCTTCAAGGCCTGGATGGCGCTGAAAGTTGCAGGACCGGCCATGAGGATTCAAAGTAGCGTAAATAAATTTTTGTAAATTCGCAATTCTGTATCTCCTTAAGCAGTTATGAGGGGGGTAACAACTTTCCGTTTGTTATACCAGCCTGAGTCTCTCGAGTTCATATATCAAGTCCAAGTGACGAGTGTTGCGACTCAAGTGGCTCTTGTAGATACAAAGGAGTTATCTAGGCATGGCTTCGTTGGCCCTGTTATAGGGGTACTTGTATCTAGCTGTGAGGTTTGGATAAGCAGATCTGGTTCGAGAATTACCGTGTCGAGTTGTTATGATAATTAGAAACACTGCATAAGTTGATCCGTTCTCGTTTGTGTCATACAGGAATTAAAGTGAAACATTTCGAGAATACATTGAAACGACGCAACAGATCGAGTACCATAATAGATAATCTGTTCCATAACGTGCATTGAGCATACCGGGACGTTATCTAGCATGTTATCTATCCGTCTCATAGCACCTTGTTGCTTGTTGTGTATACCTCCCGACCCCGGAAACATAGTACGAGTGATCCCGAATCTGACCAGCTCTACAGGAAGAAAACACATTCTTACCATGGACCTCCAGGTTGGCAGATTTGAGTACCCTCTCTCGCTCTGCCAACAATTTCAACACTGCCTGGCCATCCGAACCAGCCGGACATATACTGCCCACATTTGCTGTTCATCTGATTATGCGCATACCAGACATCATTGCTATCAAGGTTTCCAACACTGTTGGGCCTGCTGATGCAATAGTATGTAACAACAGCTTCGACATATATACCAACAAAACCCACTGTGTTCGGACTGGTCCGGAGTTCATGCCCGTTGCCGGCCCATTGAGCGAGACTATTAATTGCTAAACAATAGTTAGTGGCCGTCGTACTTGAACATTTTTTTTAGAAAACCCATACATGTGTCTACGCCAGAAACGTCCAGAGGGTGGCCCCAGCAGTCCGTTCGGCGTTTCTCATGCAGTGCCGGTTCAGCAGCACGGCCAAACTTGGCGCTACGCGGATGTACCGTAGGGTCGTGAGTGACGATAGGAACGAGGCCTGAATTGGACAAAGATTCAATGACTGTAGTCCCGTTGTCGTAGCTATGGCCTACGAAAATGCCAAAATTATCTGGAATATGTGGGATTCGGACGGCGACTGTTAAGCTGGTAGTCGCGGCCAGGGCGAGTAAAGTCGAGAGAAGATGCATGATGGGATTGAAGCCGATGGGCAGAACGAGATGTTTGAGAGTGGGATAGTAGAGTACTGTGGATTTTTTGCGCTGGGAATATTTTTTCTTCTTCTGCGGATAGACAACCCTTTTTATATACCTAGGTACAGGACCTGAGTAGTAGGTTAAAGTGAAAGGGGACACACGTTCAGACTAATTCACTTCGAGCTGGAGGATCTATTGCTTCTTACCTACCTTACATTAACCCTTGCTGGTATGTAAAGCAAAGTATATTCGACGCCTCCAAAGCTGATTAGAAGTTCTGATTTGATAAATGACCTTCCCGCGCTTACTATACTTTATACAGGGGTTACTATTATACGTAGCGCTTACTATAATTTATACAGGGGTTCTATCCTAGGTATCGCGTAGAAAGGCGATTCGCGAAGACGAAGGAAGAACTAATACAATATATTAAGGAGGACTCGGCAGCAATCGAGCTCAGAGACACTCAAACCCACTGGCAACCCGCACATGTACCCCCCTTGTAATTACCATAGTGAATGGTCGAAGTGCCATGGTAACCAGCGGCGGCTGGAACTCCCGTATCTCGGTTCGCTAGGCGCGGCTGCTCTTTTCTTGTAACACACAGCTGACAGCTGACAGCAGGCAGCAGGCAGCAGTTTGCTCACCGGCGCTTTCGCTTTGGGATGTATATGCAGTTCACCGGTTGTTTGGATGTAGTGTTGCTGCACGCGGCCGAGAGACTGCTTGTCAACCAGATTAATTTCATGAAGGGGGCGCAGTCTGGGTTGGGGGCGGTTCTAGGGGGGAACGCCGCCATATCGGATGAAGGAAGAGAGGGCATAGATGGTCAGCTCCAGCGTCGGACGACAGAGGTGTGGGTGTTAGAAGGGGAGAGGTAGTGCTAGCTCCATCGTCACCAAGATCATCAGTAATACTAGCGTACACAGTAGGAAGAGGGGGTGCCTAGAAACGGCACATGACATACGCAGGTTTACGATACAGGCGGTCAGTGCTTGAGGGGGTCGATACGGGGCGGCCGCTGTGGAGACTTTCCCCTAATTTGTTCCGCCTTCATCTTCGTACCATGTCCTAGGTAAGATCGAATCATTCTGTTCGATCTCGGACGCACAACATGGCACAGGCAAATCTGCAAATCTGTGAATGACGAGGGCGACCAACCTCTTACATAGCCTCCTGCAGGTGAATTGTAGCAGATAGCACCCGATGACGCCTTCGTTCCCTGGCCAACATTGCGCTCCAAGTTTATTTGTACCGTCACTCTCGAAATGCCTCCGAACACTTCGTCGAGGTAGGGTTGAGTTATGCCTTCAGTGCACATTTGGAGACCCTGACACATTGACTGAGAACGATATAACAAAGAACCCACTTGTATCATTACAGATGATACGGTTCCTTGTCGACTACCAGGATTCTTCTGGCACTTTGACAGGTGTAGAGCACATCATCTTTCGAAGTAAACATTACCTCTCTTATAGATCTGCTGCCTTCACACTACTGATACAAGGTCTGGTACCCTATCCCGCTGGAACAAGACTAGCACCGTGAAGGAGACGAAAATATTCCCGGAGACGCTGCGAACTAACCACTGAAACTTCTCGTGTATGTATCTATGCTGAGCAGGTTAGGAACATCCAGGCCCATACCGGGAATGGCAGTAAGACGGAACTCGACTTGAGGATGGGGACATGTGTGGGAAGTGCGTTGGAGGAGGGAAATATAACCATATAAAAGCTAAAACCGTGGGGAGAGAGAGAGACGACCGCAAGAAATGAGGCCAACAAGAGAACTAATCATAGAGAGGTCTTCCTCGCAACATGCCGCCCCTCCGTCGCGACGCAGAAATCTGGCACCTTGACCCTCCTTAATGAGCTAATCGCTCATTTCACACGCGAATGCTGCCGTGGACTCTGCCATCAACCCATCAACACCCATCAGAAAAGTACAAGGATTCACACGACAAGAAGATAAGCAGTCTCACTGGAGTGAAAAGGTCACTTGATCCACACACATGTAAGATCTCATGACAAATTGAAATTAACAGTAAGCCCCTAAAAAGAATGATAAAGAAATGCACAAATGTTGCACTCAGGATGAACCCTCTCTGTTGGGACACAGTCACCTGAATAATGCAGTAGTCGGCGATTATATTCATCTCTTTATCGATCTGTACACATTCCGGTGTAAAGATAGCCCGGTCTAAACGAGCAATACGAAACTACCTGTATGCGCATTTACGTCCTGGTCGGCTTTCGTCCGTCCAACAAGTCCTTCAGTGATACTCCACATGTCTGCAGCAGTTCGTAAGTCTGACTACCGTACCCATAACAGACGCAGCCAACAGCTCATGAAGTCGCCGACCAATCCAGTCATACCATGTTCCAGACATTCGGTCCGAAGCGACCATTCAGTGAGGAAGATGATCGCCATTCAGCTTCCTCCATCAGCGCCACCTTTACCCCTTCTCGTCCTGCGATCCTTGCGGGTACATGCGCCACAGCATCAGGCGGTGAGCCTGCATAATCGTGGCAAGCCTCGCTTGCACTGTTTCCAGCGACACGGACGAATCCCACGGTTGGTGACAGTTCCGCAGGTGCCGTTGCCCCATCCTGAGGTGAACAGAAGCACGCGGTAAACATGCGTCCAGTCAGGCGTCCAGGACGAGTTTGCTTCCTTTACATGACCTTGGCATAGACATAGAGACGCTCCATTGGAGGTGATGGTTGCCTTTGCTGCTGGTCTTGCTTTTTCCACTGCTGATGCTGCCGTTTTCGTGGTTGCCATATGCAGCAAACCCGTTTTCACTCTTCGTTCTCCATTTCTGGCGCCGACCATTTGAACTCGGGCTGCAGGACACTACAGCTTCTATACGCGCCCTCAGATTGACTGACGGACGAATTCCATTGTGCCAAAGCGTCTGTTGATCACGCGGCTTTAGAGCGGGCACCGTTCCGCTCTTCGGCGCGAAGTGGTTCATGCTGTCAACACTGTTGCAGCTCGACGCACTGCTCGTTTGGGCTGTTCCGCAAAGAAGTTGCGAGTGATTTTTCCGGTAGCTTGATTTATCATGTTTGAGGTGCGCTGACAACACTATGCAGGAGCGAGGTAGCGCAGTGGTGTTGAGAGCAGCAGGCGTTGAGGAAGTCTCGGACGCAGCTAAGGCGTTTTGGTAATATTTCGCTGCTGGAAACGATGATATCGGACTCTCAACTACTTGGATAAGACTGCCCGAAGGCGAGTAGAATGACAGAGTGGTTGTTGTCGTATTGACCTGCACAATGCCCGCTGCAGCAGCAAGGGGAAGCAACACAGGAAGAGCAAAAGAGGTGATCGACTTAGGCGGTTTAGCATTCCGGGTGGGTATTGGTGTTTCCAGCTTTTCTTGTGAAGGCTGGTACACAGGTGTTCCGGAGCGGTTAGGGGATGGTGAAGGTCCATTCATATTGGGGAACTCTTGCTCAAGATCAACATCGACCCCAAGTACTGTTCCCGAGTACCGTGTGGAAGCGCTACAAGAAGGGCTCACTTCTCGCGCACACTTGAAGTAACCCTCCTCCACCGGGGTAGTATCAGACGTCGATTTTCTCAAGATTTCAATTCCACCCCGGTGGTTCGCTCCAGGTGCCTCTGAACCATTGTAGGCCCGTGAGTCATATTGGTCAGCGAGCGGAGTAGTCCAGAACGGCGAGGCTCGCGCGAATGGGTGTATGCTATCATAACTAGCATTCTCATGCCGATGGACAGAATGCTCAAACTTCCTGCTGCATTCGTGAGGTGTATGAGGACTGCTAAGGAGCTTCCAGGTCGAGTATTCGCTCAAAAGGGGCTGACAGTTATCTGTCCCTAGTTCCAAAAATTCGTCTCGAGACAGCTGGGCGCACGCTTGGTTCCTACCCATCAATTGTTTTCCTTCTCCGGTAAGAGTCTCTGGCAGTTGCGAGGTCACAAGAGGAGACCTTGCCTCGCTATGTCTTGAGGCGCTTCGGAAATTCTGCAGTATGCCTCGTAGAAGTGCCTTCAGTCCCTTCTCCTCGGTACCAATGCCCACTCCCGACCTTTTGGAACTCCCGGCTAGCTCACCGCCACGTGGTTCCTTTTTGATTGGAATGCCTTCTGAGCACTGCGTTGTGAGGTCTGCATTAGGACCTGCCCGATCGCCGATCTGACAATTCCCACGTCGCTCTTGGTTGTTCACTCCGGCTTCATCTTTTCTCCTGGATGACATCGAAGGGCGTTTTGTAGTGGAAGAAGTGCTGTAAAGAACTTGTGCATGATGGGGCCGACGGGCGACATTGTGAGACGGATGTGATTTCAGGGTCCAGTGGGACGTCCTTTCGGCAATAGTTGCAAGCGGTACATTAGGCTGGCATGAAAATCGTGCAGACACGTTGTATGGGATAGATTGCCCATTGCAATGGACCCGACCTGTGGAACGTCAGTACCCGTCCCGTCTGCATGGGATGTTTGAAGAGCATTGGTCGTGCTGGAGCACAGCGAATAGTCCTTGCCGAAGGCTGCAGTAGTCATCTTGCCCAGGGTCGCTGTGTATTAAAAAATCGCACCATGATTGTGCATGAAAGGGACCTTACCTTGGCAAGGCAAATAAGCAGGTGTCGCCGAATCGGCTCCGTAGTTTGTTGAAGGGTGGTTGTATGCAAGGCTTCTGTCGTTCGTATATTCCGCCGTGTCGGGAGCCCAAGACTCTGAGGTACTCATCTCTTTGACTTCCGTGGGCAGCAGAAAATATGCGAGGAGTAAAACGTGATGCTCTAGACTAGAATGGCTGTAGGAGATTCTGCTTCGCAGGGAGAGGGGTGGTAGGAGAACACGCTGGTCATTCTCTTCACAGTGAAGAGTTAGAGTATTGGCTGCAAGCTTGAAGAAGCGGTGGGTTCTCTTTCCCGGTTTCTAGCTCTAGCCCGTTGGGAAGCACCGTAGCTTCCCTTAGTGGATATATGGGAAGCTGCTCACCGCCTTGTCTCTGGTGCTACGTGACGTTTAAGCATATCTTCAAACCCAACAGATGGCGTCTCGTTGTCACCGCTTTCCCAGATACAGGCAAGCGATATGAGAGCCAACAACGCAGGTATATTTGGTTTCCACAAGCACGAGTAATCAGTGTGCTCATGGTAGACCGGTTAACGGGCAAGTCCGGAATAACCCAGGCAGTCCAATGCAGGTGGAACTGTCAGGCACGCCTTCGAGTCTTGCCTGCCCAGATTATCCCGGCCGCCCAGAGGAGCGGAATTCACACAATGACTATTCTGCACGAGCTAATGCAAAGAAATTCATCAATCGGCAGTAGACAATCCAGCTGGCTTTCGTGGGGGCCACCGGCCAGCTGGTACGCAATGTATGACAAGACCAATCATGCAGTGATTCCTCAAGTGTTGGCTCACGTCTCCTGCGCCAATAGTCCCTGCAGACGCTTTGAATTGCGCGGAATGTAGAGTCGTTGCACGTGTAGCGGCAACATTATCGTGCATATTGCACGAGCATATACCGAAAACAGCTTTTACCTCCGGATTTGGCGTGGGATCAAATCCCCACAGGAGGGAGCATTTGTGAGGCGTGAGTTACACTGAGATGATTGTTCGATTTGCGTGCGCCTCGTTTTCACCTTACAACCGATGCTTGCTTTTTACACAGCACAATCTAGCTTGGCACCGATCTCGATTTACGGAGCAAATGCCAACCAGATCACCGACGCTTCCGATCAAACATGACGGCAAACCCGTATCAGCGAACATGGAACCTAGGTATTGAGCGCGCAGGCGCCTATCATGCTAGCCTCATTCCCAGCCCTAACAACAAGTCGGAGAACTCGGTACCGATCCGTAAACCCAGTGAGTGGGATCCCATCGATCAACATCTCAATAATGGCACGCCTGGGGCCCCACCAAGCGCCAGCCTACTCCTTGGATACGTAATTGCGCCAAAGACGCTCGGAGACACCGCCATTCGTTCCGACAGTCGGCGAAGGCTCAAGTGATACAATGGCCATAGATTGTTCAGCGCCAGGGCAGGTATAGTGCGTCTCCTGCACTTTCGGAATCCTCGAGTACATACCAAGGGAATAGTGGAGTACCGCGTGCAACAAACCAAGCCGTTCGCATTCGACCCAGTGTGTCCAACTATATAGGAGGCATAGACAAAGCCCAAGGAAGCGAAGCAAGAATCTGTAATCAGAGAATCCATACCTTCAAGCAGTTCTGTCCCACGCTCATAAGCGACTGTCAGATACAGAGGTTGTTCCTGATGACACGACCCGACGTAGCCTGACTCGAAGATGCCCGATACAGAGTAAATCGACGGCCTGGTCTTCAGCTGTCTGCAGCTGCTACGAGAACGGTAATGAGGATGGCGGTCACACTGGCTGCCGGTCAATCCCTTCGGCGACTCGTCCAAGGACTGCAAAAGAAGGGGATGGCGTGACAAAAGATGCTGTCTCTTTTGACGTTCTTTATCTGAAGCGTTGCGGTGCAAATGGGTCTATTGAGCGCCATTGGTCTGACGTTACCTGTGCCGTCTGCTCTAAGCGCGCTGAATGCCGCAGTCCCAAACTAGAAGGCTAGGTGTAATGCAATTCCAAAATGAGTCGGGCTAGCTCAGGCTGCAACACCGCCAACGCTATCTATAATACCGTATGCTTTTGTTGGCCGAACGCCAAAACCCAGCAAGCTGGCTATTTGTCGGCGTTCCAATCCACTGGACAAAACATGCTCATTCCTCCTGCAACGGCTCAGTTCGGCGATATATGCACCTACGGGTGACGATCCGTACCGTCTCAAGGGCTGCCGCTGAAGTCCGGCCCCAGCTTTACGGAATACCATTTCCTGCCCCTTACGCCTAGCGGCTCGGGAGTGTGTTCATGCCGAATTCTTCTGAGGAGCATAAACGGGAACATAGGTCCCTGATTGGGCAGTTAGGCTCCAAGAGGGCGAATAAGAAACCGGATGGGCGCTTGGCACGAATCAGTGGCAGATAGAGTCTCCCACCGTTGCAACAAGGCTTTTAAAGGACTGGGTTGGTGCGACCACCTCCTCGAGCTCGCCGAGAACCGAGCCGGCGTGGAGGTCCCCCGGTTTTCTTTGAGAAATCCTCTAGCTGCGTCTTGACGTCGCTGTTGGAGTCACAGCCACGTCAGCTCAGGGTGAAGTGAATGGCTGAGGAATGAGACATTACCATAGGTCCATGGACTATTTTGCAAAGATTTTCACAGCCGAAGCCGTATGCAGGTCGGGCCCATCCATCCCGTGAAGATGGTAACATAGTCCTGGGAAGGTGGGATGCATTATTCCGCGATACGTGTCGTGGGAAGGGCGGACGATAAAAGGGAGAGGTAAGCCTTTACACGGACGTTTCTAACCTAATCAACAGCATTCTTGCGCTTTCGACGAACCCTCAATTGCCGGAACGTGGCGGTGCTATCAGAGCGTCTCCATCTGAATTGAGGATTGCCGTCCAAATGAGTACCCTACCCCTTGCCCAGAGCGAAAGGAAAGGTATCCTCTGGCAGCGTTTGGGCATTCAATCTGAGGCCGATCATAGGATGATGCTGGTGGGTACACGTTGTTAATCTCATGTTGTAGGCGGCACTGACCATTAGCCTTAGGACGAGGCGGCAAGGGGAAGAGACCGTCTGAGCAGGAATCCCGAGAATTTGACCAACCTCTCCAGAACAGACCCGAGAATCAGAGCACCCTATCGTTGGGATCAGCTTTCTGAGACCGCAAAGCACAGAGAAATACTGAACATTTACCACTTGGCCAGCCCCCGCACCAGATCCTTCTATGATAGGGCACGTTATAGGGCCCGCGTAAAGCAGGACGAGTGGGTCGAGGAAAATTGGGCCATCAGATGGTTCCTATGGCACAGCTTCCGGTATCGCGACAACAGGGAAGGGGTGTTCCATTCCCAGAGCCACGGAGGTAGAACGCGTTTTTCATTCCTTGATACCAATCTATCTTGAATCAACCGCTGACCCTGCCCAGGCAGTCCGAGTCATTACTATGACCCTGCTCGGGATCGCTTCCAATGGCGTCACCCGCCGCCCTAGATCGACTGGCCTGGCAGTGTCATCAAGTGTCGCAAACAGAAGAAAGCAGTCAGAGATCGATTGGATCTGTCCGCATGTAGATGTGCATTGCGTTCTTCAGATGGATATCGGACTGAAAGAGCGAAATGTAGATGTTATCGCTCGTGCTTCCGTGTTTATCTCAATCAAATGGGTCGAACCATTTTCTTTGTATTTTTGGTGATGCAGGACGCTGCTCTCTTTCGGTCATTGCTCATCGTCAAGCTTAGCGGATGCCTCTAAGTTTGTCGATGTCAGAGCCGCTATTGAAGTTGCTATATCTCTTGTAATCTAATGGTGCGTCCCTTGTCATGATCGTGTCTCAGTAGAGGTCAAGCCAATGCTGCTTAGCACCGCGACGCATCCACCATAACCGTGAACGAAGCTCAATGACGACACCAATGGGTGGAGGTGACAAGGTGTGTCTGTTTTGAAGAGGCTGGAGAAAGTTGAAATCAGGAGGTTCGAATTTCTGAGAGGTAGGCCGGGAGTGGAGAACCCCTGGTTTGGGTATTGCTGCAACGAAATCTTCCAAGTTATCCCACCCTATTCCCTAAACGCCATCGCTATGCAATCGTAAATACTGGTTGTCGCTGTCTATCTCCTCCTAATGGTTGCTGACTACTTCGCTTGTCCTACTTGTCAAGGCAGCAGTTTGTGCCATTGCCTCATGAAGTGATTTCTCAAACTGGTCCTTCGCCGACCGAATGGCCCGTTTCAAAGGGCCTACCATCTTGTTTACTGCTTGAGCCCCTCCTTCAACTTTGGTCGGATCGAACCTTCTCCTCTTCCCAGTCCGCTTCGCATATGCTTCGTTCTCTTTCATCAACAGGTCGATCTTGGCAGAGCGTTCACTTTCTGCGCTATCAGCTATCGCCTTGATCCGGTCAAGCGATTTGTCCAGAGTTTCGATGAGCCTTCCGACCTCACCCGCCCGGTCGGGGTCACCTGAGAGATAAACACTCCAGAAGTAGTGCAAGAACTCTACAGTGGTATTGTGAGTCATCGCGAGGGAGTCAAAGAGCTCTTGAGACAACCCGTACTTGGCTGCCTGCTCACCAGATCCTGCCGCGTGGAAGGCGAGATGGTCATCGTTGTGTAAATGTCGTTGTTTGATCGCCTTGATGATTTGCGAGGTGGCAGCGGAACGCGTAGACCTTGCCCCTATTCGGACTACCTTCCTCGGCTTAGCTTCATCTTCACTGCTGCTGTCGTCCTCGACTCCAATGACGGTCTCTAGATTGACCCCTCCAGCTTTGCTTCTAGCAGACATGATCTTTCCCATGTCATGATTGATAGTCGACAAGACTTCCGCTGGGGTGCGTTTTGCGTAGGCAGCCGCGCTACTGGACGTGTGCAGGCCCTGCCCAGCAGCAAACAGTTGGCTTTGATCTTTAATCTTCAGAACTACCCTGTTGTCCTCTTCAGATCGTTGCAAATCGCGAAGCTGGAGCTCTTTGTATGTCTCCTCGTCCATACCGGCCGGCGCATGTTGATGGGCATCGGATGGCGGAACATCAGCCATCATTTTCTCGCTCATACGATTGAGGGTACGTAGGATCGGGACCTTGTCATAGGAGTTGGGTTGCATGGTCCAATCAGGTCTGTTGCCCTGTTTTTGGCTATGATTTTGCTCATTGCCCGCAATATCGATAATACGGGGCACGGTAGGCATGGTTAGCTGACGTGCCTGCCCATCATCATCGTCGAAGTCGAGATACTTGTCGAGCTTCGGATCCAAGTTGTCGGTATCCGTGATCTTTTCTCCCCTCAACTTTTTGATGAGACGGCTATAAAAGAACCTCGACCAGAACTCTCCCTCCTTGATCTGAGGTACATTTTCATTGTACACACGCTTGACAAGGGGATGCTGAGCGAAGATAAGCTGGATCTGCTCCTTGGTCATGTTAAGCTTGATGCTACCGTCCACATGCTGTGGCTTTACCACGGACAAAACATTGTAAGTCCCCAGGCCTTGGGCTTTCTCTGCAGCATGGGAACGCAATAGGTGTACCCGTGTGCCCCAGAACTGTGTCGCAAACTGGGCGATTGTAATGGTGTCCGGTTTGTCTCGAAGGGCCTGATCGAAACGTTGACGGAGCGCGGGACTGGAATTGAGTAGCGACCTCTGAAGTTCTACGTCCTTCAACAGCTTCGCATCATCGTACGTATCCTCCTCCGACCTAGTGGTTGCGGCAGCGCCCGCGATTGCTCTGGCCATGGCCATGGCGCCCGATTGTCCACCTCCCTTGTCGAGGTTGGCGGCTGGGGTAGCCGGGCTTCCAGCACTCTGCGAAGCCTTCGCCGCCTCTATCCATTGCCTGAGGGTGTTTGTTACGAGCTGTTGATCTTCGCGAGCGTTGCCGGAGCTGAATGTAAAAGTGTAGTTGTCTTTGGCGGTAATCCTGATCGAGGCTTTGGCCGCTGTGGCTGGCGTCTGCTGCAGATCTGAGAACAATCAGCCATCAGCTTCCACTTCCTGTCAGGCAGAAGAGAAAAATTGCATACTAGTGATCTCAGGAATCCGGACGTTCACTTGGGGTGAACTTCCAGACACAGGCGTCCAGGTCACCGACCGTGCACCCTCTGCCACAAGCTTGAGCATGCCATCCTGCTTATTGAACTTCGCAGGAACGGAAACCATGCTGGCAGGAGACGGCGACGTGGTGCAGTCTGTTGCTCGGATCGAAAGCCTGCGTCGTAGGAACATTCAATGTTGGAATGTCTTGGCGCCCGTCATGTGCGGTAAAGTATGACTAACGACAGCGAAGCCAATTACAAACGGCCAGCCTTTTCACACAACTCGGCCCGACCATACAGCGGCTTCCACCGCCTGCCCCAGCAATAAGTATTAGTGAAGATCCTTAGATCGCAGATATTACTGTAAGAACGCAGAATGACTCACCAGTTCCATTTTCCCTCACAAGTGCGCAGTCAACTCATCTCGAAAGTGCGGCATTTCCGTGAATGCTTATGTAATGCTGTAGCCACCCAACAGCCGCTCTAGCGCCGTTATCTATTCCGAACAGCCGAGCTAGTGCAACCAGAAGTTGCCAGCCGGTGACCGCATCCTGATTCTCTTAATAGTCTCTTTGCCTCTTCCAGTCTTTTTCCCTCGACAACAACTCTTCTTGCAGAGCCATCTGCCTCGCCCTCCTGTCGCTATTCTTCAGCGACTTCAATGTCACCCATCGTTTTGTACTAACCTGTCAGTCCCTCAGGTACAACATGTTGCGCGGCAGCCTTCGGAAATGCGCTGGCCAGCTCGGCAGCTGCTCCTCGAAAGCAAGCCTCTCCTCCATTGCCGCCTCGCCTTCGAGGACGGCTCTCGTCAGTGGCCGGAAAGCTCTTGCTGTAGCATCACAACGCCGGAGTTATGCTCTGACTGCGGAGGACACCAATAAGGGGGTGGTGCGTTTCCCGTTCGCCCACATGTCCGGCTTCAGAACTGCCACTCACACTTCTGCTCAGGACCCCAACGACTCCTTCCTGCAAGGAAACACTGCCAACTATGTCGACGAGATGTATTTGCAGTGGAAACGCGACCCTACATCCGTACACTACTCATGGCAGGTCTATTTCCGGAATATGGAATCCGGAGACATGCCCGTCTCGCAGGCGTTCCAACCTCCTCCGACAATCGTTCCCGCGCCTCACGGAGGCCTCGGGCCAGATCTCAAGCCTGGACTTGGAATGAGCGCAGGCGTAGGATCCGATGTCCTGAACCATCTCAAAGTTCAGCTCTTGGTTCGCGCATACCAGGCACGAGGCCACCACAAGGCGAGGATCGACCCGCTCGGAATCAGGAGTGAGGCCGAACAGTTCGGCTATAGCAGGCCAAAGGAGCTGGAATTGTCACACTATAATTTCACTGAGAAAGACCTTGATCAAGAATTCAACCTTGGGCCTGGTATTCTCCCACGATTCAAGACGGAGACCCGCGACAAGATGACTCTCAGGGAAATCATTGCCGCCTGTGAGCGCCTATACTGCGGTTCGTATGGCATTGAATACATCCACATTCCGGACAGAGAACAGTGCGACTGGTTGAGGGAACGAATTGAGATCCCTCAACCGTACAAGTACTCGGTGGACGAGAAACGCCGCATTCTGGACCGTCTCATCTGGGGCACCAATTTCGAGGCGTTCCTGGCTACCAAGTATCCCAATGACAAGCGTTTCGGTCTTGAAGGTGGCGAATCTCTGATTCCAGGTATGAAGGCCTTGATCGATCGCAGCGTCGACTATGGTGTCAAGGATATTGTTATTGGCATGCCCCACCGCGGTCGTCTCAATGTGCTCAGCAACGTCGTCAGAAAGCCGAATGAGTCCATCTTCAGCGAATTCGCCGGTTCAGCCGATCCTTCGGATGAAGGTTCTGGCGACGTCAAATACCATCTGGGAATGAACTTCGAACGTCCTACTCCCTCCGGCAAGCGTGTTCAACTCTCTTTGGTCGCCAATCCTTCCCATCTCGAGGCTGAAGATCCCGTTGTTCTGGGAAAGACTCGAGCAATCCTCCACTACAACAATGACGAGAAGGAAGCCCGCACCGCCATGGGTGTGCTGCTGCACGGTGACGCTGCCTTTGCTGGCCAGGGTGTTGTATACGAGACTGTGGGCTTTCATTCACTGCCCAGCTACCACACCGGAGGAACGATACATCTCATCGTGAACAACCAGATTGGCTTTACTACCGACCCTCGGTTTGCTCGATCAACCCCTTACTGCTCCGATATCGCCAAGGCTATCGATGCGCCAGTCTTCCACGTCAATGGTGATGATGTAGAGGCTTTCAACTTTGTTTGCCAGCTTGCTGCTGATTACAGGGCGGAGTTCAAGAAGGATGTTGTCATTGATATGGTGTGCTACCGTAAGCAGGGGCACAATGAGACCGACCAGCCCTTCTTCACTCAACCATTGATGTACAAGCGCATTGCCGAGCACCCCAGCACTCTAGACATCTACATCAAGAAGCTTCTGGAAGAGAAGACGTTTACGAAGGAGGATATAGAGGAGCACAAGGCTTGGGTTTGGGGTATGCTTGAGGAGAGCTTCAACCGCAGCAAGGACTACCAGCCGACCGCCAAAGAGTGGCTGACGTCCGCCTGGAATGGCTTCAAGTCACCAAAGGAACTCGCCACCGAAGTGTTGCCTCACTTGCCCACTGCCGTTGAGGAGTCAACTCTCAAGCACATTGCTGAGAAGATTGGCAATCCGCCCGAGGGATTCAATGTTCACAGGAACCTGAAACGTATTCTTGCTGGCCGCACTAAGACGGTAATGGAAGGCAAGAACATCGATATGGCCACCGCTGAGGCACTTGCGTTTGGGTCCCTGTGCTTGGAGAAGCACCACGTGCGTGTTTCTGGACAAGATGTGGAACGTGGTACTTTCTCGCAGCGCCATGCCGTTCTCCACGATCAAGAGAATGAGTCTACCTACACGCCTCTGCAGCACCTGAGTGAGGACCAGGCCACCTTTACCATCTCTAACTCATCCCTTAGCGAGTTCGGAGTGTAAGTCATCATGACATAGGGCATTGTCAGGGATTTTACTAAACAGCATCCAGTCTCGGCTTCGAATACGGCTACTCCCTGTCCTCTCCGAATGCTCTGGTAATGTGGGAAGCCCAGTTTGGTGATTTTGCGAACAATGCCCAGTGTATCATCGACCAGTTCATCGCGTCGGGTGAGACGAAGTGGCTCCAGCGAAGCGGGCTTGTCATGAGCTTGCCGCACGGTTACGATGGACAGGGCCCTGAACATTCGTCTGGTCGCATGGAGCGTTACCTGCAGCTTTGCAACGAAGACCCCCGCGTGTTCCCCTCGCCCGACAAGCTTGACCGTCAGCATCAGGACTGCAACATGCAGGTAGCTTACTGCACAAAGCCGTCCAACTACTTCCATCTTCTCCGCCGCCAAATGAACCGCCAGTTCCGCAAGCCTTTAATCCTCTTCTTTTCCAAGTCTCTTCTACGACACCCTCTCGCCCGCTCTAACATCGAGGAGTTCACTGGCGAGTCTCACTTCCAGTGGATCATTCCGGACCCGGCGCACGAGACTGGTGATATCGCCTCTCACGACGAGATCAAGCGTGTCATTCTCTGCACCGGACAGGTCTACGCAGCCCTCGTCAAGGAGCGCCAGGCCCGCAACCTTAAGGATGTGGCAATCACCCGTATCGAGCAACTTCACCCCTTCCCTTGGCAGCTGCTAAAGGAGAACCTCGACTCGTACCCTAATGCGCAGAATATCATCTGGTGCCAGGAGGAGCCGTTGAACGCAGGTGCCTGGAGCTTCACGCAGCCGCGGATCGAAACGTTACTGAACCAGACTGAGCACCACAACAGGAGGCACGTGATGTACGCGGGCAGGAACCCGAGCGCATCTGTGGCTACCGGTCTCAAGTCTGTACACCAGAAGGAGGAGAAGGACTTGCTGGAAATGGCATTCACCGTCAAGCAGGACAAGCTAAAGGGAGAGTAGGGTCATTCTGTTTCAAGTAGCGTGTAGGATACCAAGGTGGAGTATATATGAGTTGGGGGTTCCTAAGATTGTTTCTTATGTCGCGAACGAGACTATCTTGTTGTTTTATATGCCCTTTTGTCAGTGGTTCCTCTCTCCTGCATGTTTGAAATTGGGTGATGGGAGGGGTGCCTTTTTTGTCTGTCTAGGGGCTGGGTGCATGTGTAGGTTTGTAGCGCATGTACTTTAGACGAAAAGTTTCCGTCAGTATTATCTTACCCAGTACATGTCTGATGCCATTGGAGGTGCTCGCTGTTCAGTGAATGGACCGAGGCTATCCGTACTCGGATGACAGTGTGGAGCCTGCTCCACTTAGCCCCATTGCGTTACTTGTGTGTGTATACTGGATTGATCATCTCCACGACTGGAGCTCTAGGTCTTCAACATATGATTCGGACGTTTTTCGAAGCGGAGGTATCGTGGATAGTTTTATGGGAAAGTATTATTTTTATGTCTACGGGCTTGGGGTGCTAAGCTTTTGTAAGGGCTAAGCTTTTGTAAGGGCTAAGCTTTTGGGGCTTGTCGAGGGATTTAGTTTCAATGGCGACATTACTGAAGCCTCGATCGATGGAATACTCTACCAATCATGCTAGTTTGTATAACTTGTACTGCCATGATTACGGTTACCCAGGGAAGGAGAAAGCGGCCACGTCCTCGACCATAGGAGTAGTTTGAGATGCATGTTAATTTATCATGTCCTATAACTTTATATCTTTATTTCCTTACGAGTGAGACTATTTTGGGTTCTGAATTACGAATGCGACTCATCTCGCGTCGTGGGATGGCTTCGCGGCACAGTGAAGGATGCTAGATAGAATAAAGCTGTTGCTCAGCGCGAGCTTTAGGAGCCAGCTGCCAGCTGGTAGCGCTTCTCCGTTGGCTGTTACTACTGCCCCAGGGTGTGTACATACTTGTAGATGGCAACAACCCACTGGCCGCAAGCTTATGCCAGGCCTCAGGAACCCCAGTTACGAAACGGCTTGGCAATTCACCGATTAGACGACTCTATGCCCGGCCGCTAAGGTTATACTCCAACGGGCAGTAGTCAAGCACGTTATTCACCAAAGTATGCGGTAGGCGACGGGAAAGGTATGCTATTGTGCTATCTAAGCTCGCAGACAACAAGGCACTCTTTCTTCAATCTTCCCCGCCTCCATCCTAACGGCCATTCACGTCCAACCTGAACTGAAGACCATCATCGAAAATCCGCACGCAATCGATGAGGCCAGGAAGGATAGAACCGCCTCTGCCTCCCCCGACTCCACTCTTACCGGCCAGTCACGTCGAACCTGAAGGTAAGGCAATCGTCGAATTGCTGGTGTCCTCCCTTGGCAGTCTGAAACGGCCATTCGCACCAGTCGATGAGGTTAAGGAAGATCTCGCCGCAGTTGTCTCCGACATAACGATCGTGGTCGCACCTGTTGGTAACCCAGTACTCGATCTTCACGGTCGGGAGCCACTTGACGCTGTAGAGATCGCCGCGGAAGTTCTTGAACTTGTTGGCGTTGCAGAAGTCCTGGCTGCCCCAGTAGGAATCGCCGCGGGAGGAGACGGCGCCGAGGCAGTAGCAATATTTGTTATCGTGCCAAGCGTCGCAGGTACCGAAGTCTATGCGTTTTACGAGGGCAGAGGTGGCATTTCCAGGGTTGACTGGGAAGTTGCCCCCTATATCGGAGTCATTAGCTTCGGGACTGGTTGGAGGGGGCGATTCGAGGCTCTCTCTTAGCGGAACAGGCGATAGGCAACTTACCCTCCACATGGGGAATGATGTCGGAGGTGATGGTGTAGGGCTCGCCCTTCTCAGTGACACCAGTGGCGATAATGGTTCCGGTGATAGGTTCGAGTCCCTTCGCCTCAGGCGCAGGAAGCGCAGAGGAGACACCGCCAAGGGTGGAAGCAACAAAGAGGAGGTCGAGGAGCTTCATGATGGGCTGAAGACGAGGGGAGGCAAGGAGAACTGTTCTCTGTGAGGTTGCCCCAGTCCACTGTTCTTATCGTCGAGCAGACGACGGGATATTAGCACCTTGTTGAACATACGTGCGTACAGTCTAAGGGTTCTCTGGAAGGTGGTATCGTCGCATTGTTGGTGGCGGTCAAGATGGCTCAAATCAATACACTCCCTTTCTACACATGCATTGCCGTCATGCGTTGCGCAAAGAATGGAAGTTTCCCGAGGCTAGACCCAACACCAACTCCCTATCTCTAGCCCGTAAATCTTAGAGAAAAGGCGTTGCAGGTCTGCGCTTGAGTCACGGACCGAGTGATCCAATTCTTAGCCAACAGCATTATAGTATTTTGTTCGGCTTAGAGCACTTTCGCTTCGCGGTTTGTGCCGTGCGCAAGCGAGCGTAGGAATCGATCTGTGCTCAACTCTGTTGGTCGTTATTCTGAGAAGCACGAGAGCACTGCAAATCAACAGAGGAAGTAAATGCAGTCTACTCGGTACAGTGATGGGCATGTCTTCGCTCTGTGGTTTCTACGATGGCTGTGCGGATTGGAGGCAGTGTCTAGGAAATTTTTGTGAGGTGTGGTCGATTTTGGCAACCCTTGCTTTTCAGGGTCTGGAGGATTGGCGATTGCTTAAGGGTCTTGGAGGATTCGCGATTGGGCAAGAACAGCCCCGGGCGAGGCCTCAAACGGAAGACTACTCTTGCTGTGGTATGTACCGTATGTACCGTATATACCGGCCCACTCGGGTATCTGCCATAACAGTTGAGCGGCAGCGGAGCGATACCCGGCGGGAGGCTGCCATATGCATAGCAGTTTGGCAACAGCTTCGGGCGGAGCGACGGTCCGGGGGAAGTTGGGGAGTTAATGCCAAATGGTACACAGTAAAGTGCAACATGTTGGAAACATGGATGGCTTGATTGGTGGATTGATTTTGTTCCTACAAGTACTCGGCCTACTTAGTTGTAGCCGCGATATGTCTCCGTAGGATGCCGGTTACACGGACTTGGCAGACATCCCACGTGGCCAGAGGATTCAATGTTTGTGGTACGATAGGACAAAAAACAGGAAGAATATTCAGAGGTGTCGGACCGTGAGTTCTACGGAAAGGTCCTGACTAAGCAGCTAGTCACGTGCTACGTACGGTGCCAAGTAATCCATGGATGGGGATCGCCACATGTTGCTTTGCTGCTCTGCTCCGTCCCACTCTTCTCCATCCTGAACTGTTCGAACCAGCTGGCCCCCAGGGACCTGCCTTTCGTGTTTCTTCCGCAACCACTCTCTCTAAATTTGTTGCCAGACCCGTCTAGATGATGGTTCTGATACTAATGTACGCCGCCTTATAGGTTTCGTAGAGGCGTTCGCCTCGTGTGCCGCATCCGCTATACCTACAGTCTCTCCCCAGCACTTGGCTTCATTTACGCGTCTCTGACAAGGAGGCCATTCAACGAGTGAATGGTTATCAGTACGTTACCAAGCCTGTATGGCGCCGGAAATCCGATGCAACCCGAGGCCTTCTTCTTCAACAGCACAAGTCCGGAATGTACAGAGACGGATGGAGACCCAGGAGCGATTCTATATGCCTCCTAGCAGTTACACCATTCATTGTTACTATCCTACGTACTGTGTACGCTGCAGATTCAATTCACAGCGCGCACGCCACCGACGACGGTAAACTGCGGAGAAATTTCCATCAACCCGCTCAAGACGTTTGTATTGCAACAAAGACCAGTTGACTGCCGACCCGAGCTCCGCAAAGGGATGCAGCATGCTGGAGGTCCCTCCCGGTCTGAGCTCGTGGTCGTTCGGTATTCACAGCCAAGTCGCTGCACGCCCGGCCGGCACTGCGACTGCGTCTCTCTTGCTGGAGCGCTGATGGAGGCATGCAGCTTCATTTCTGTGTACTTTGCTAAATCATGTCCGCGGCCCGGAAAAAGTCGGGAAAACAGGTTCCGAAGGGGCCGCCCCGCAACATGGATTCGGCTGCCCCTCAGCGTCATCTCTCCACGAGCCAGCAACAAAGCACCTGGGCGATGACGGGCAAAGCAAGCGCCCGTAGTAATGGGGCTCAACGCCCCCACTAGGTGCCTCGAATTTCACACCAGTAGCTTCCTCCAGGTCGCGCATTGTCCTCGTCTCAGAGTCCGGTGCCCCAAGTCGCCCTCGTGACGTCCACGGCCTATGCCGAGGACTACAGCTATCCAACCAGCCCAGAGCAGAGCTACCTGGGACGTAAATACCGCCTCCCTCCGCGTGCCCGAATTGTAGCCTCTTGATGCCCTTTTGCTGCTTTGATTATCCATCCGCCATCACTTCACCTCAGCTTACCGACCTTACACAGCACTTGCGATAGCATTGAGCATCCGCCATGGCTTCCAATGCAAACGGACCCGGAGATGGAGGTGCTGTAGGCAGTGAGGCCATCAACACCGACATCATCACCCTGACGAGATTCGTCACCGAGGAGCAAGCCAAGCACAAGGAAGCCACCGGAGACTTCACGTAGGTGTTCGTCTCTGAACAATTGACTGGCAGTCGCTGATAATACCATTGTAAAGAATCCTCTGCCATAGCCTTCAGTTTGCCTTCAAGAGCATCGCATACTACATCCGGAGAGCAACATTGATCAATGCATGTACTCCCATCCTTGTTCTTTGATTAGCAGATGGCTGACAATACATAGTTGACCGGCCTCGCTGGCTCCGCAAACACCACAGGCGACGACCAGAAAAAGCTCGACGTGATCGGAAATGACCTCTTCATCAGCGCCATGAAAGGTTCCGGAAGAGTCCGGCTACTAGTCTCGGAAGAGGAGGAGGAGGTCATCACCTTTGATCAATACCCGCACGCTCGATACGCCGTCGCATGCGATCCCATTGACGGCTCGTCGAACCTGGACGCCGGTGTCTCGGTCGGCACCATCTTCGCAATCTATAAGCTAGCGGAGGGAGCGAAGGGCACAAAGGAGGACCTCCTGAAACCCGGCACCGAGATGGTCGCCTCAGGCTTCACCATGTATGGAGCTTCGGCGCAGCTGGTCATCACCATGAAGGGCGGTGCAGTGAACGGCTTCACGCTCGATACGTCGTTTGGCGAGTTTATCCTCACGCATCCCAATATGCGCATTCCCAAGAAGCGCGCCATCTACTCGGTCAACGAGGGTAACAGCTTGTACTGGGAGGAGCCGGTCAAGGAGTGGGTCAACAGCCTCAAGTATCCTACCGAGGGCGGCAAGCCGTACAGCGCTAGGTATATCGGATCCATGGTTGCCGACGCATACCGCACGCTGCTGTACGGAGGCATCTTTGCGTATCCCGCGGATAAGAAGAGTCCGAAGGGCAAGCTGCGGATTCTGTACGAGTGCGCGCCCATGGCCATGGTGTTTGAGAATGGTAAGTCTGGGGACGGCGATGCTTCGTTGGGAGAGCCTGTTGCTAACGCATGGTGCAGCCGGCGGTCTCGCAGTCGACAGCAATATGCGGCGTATGCTGGAGGTCGTGCCGGAGCACATCCACGACCGGAGCGGCATCTTCATGGGTAGCGAGCAGGAGGTGCAGAAGGTGATTGACTTCCACAAGAGGCATCAAAAATAGAGAAAGATGAGGAGGGGGAGGAGGAGGAGGGTATGGTTACCGGAATGAGGGGTCGAGCATAACCGCTTCGGAAACTCGAGGATCCATAGTAGTTTGTTTGCGGCTATTGGTTGGGCGAGCAGAAGTGTGCTATTCTTGTTGTTGCAGCAGTGAGCGTTGCATTATTGCCAAAGTGTAGAATCTGCAGATACCAACATTGAAGATTTGACGAATGAAGCTCTTGGTGCGATGGGAGGGTGATGTTGTGTGTCGGGAGTTATTTCGAAATTTGTTGGATTTCTGAGGGGAGAGGGCCTTGGAGGTGGCCCCACCCACGTGACGCTCATCCGTACAGCGTGTGGTACGATAGGACAAAAACAGGATGAATATTCAGAGCTGTTGGACCTCCGTAAGTTATACAGAAAGGTTCTAACTAAGCAGCTAGTTACGTGCTAACGTGTTCCACCAGTGAGCTGGCCACACCACCGAGCTGGCCACCCCACCAAGTCACGTGCGCCTTTTTGACAGATAACTAAACAATGACTGAATTAATTCTATACAAATATATATACAAAATCTTCCTAATTGCTTCTACATTGAGTCCTGTTATGGCCTTGTACGTGGCATTTCAAGCAGGTTGGTGGTGCTCGTCGATAGACCTGTGATGCCTGAGCCTGCGCATCTACTTCAACCAGCCTATCAGCCTCTGTAGCCAGCCTTTGACCTTCCTGGCCTGTGAGAGTCTTTCCTGTAGCAATATACTGCCATCGCTGTCTCCTCTTCTGCTCTTGGTGGTCATTGGCCTGATGTAGCTTAGTGTTCTCCTCTGCAAGAATTGTCACTAAATGCATCACCATCTGACATCCTTTGACAAGCTGGGCGATTGCCTGGCTTGTAGGGCTCTGCGATTGACGACCAAGGTGGTTACAGATTAGTTGAGCCTGCCGCTGGAGCTGGGCAACTATATGAGGTGTCTCTGCAGTCCAGCATCTCTCACTATCAGCTTCTTGTGCTGATGGAGATGGCGTTCAGATGACAGTAAATGATGATAAGACACGATTAGGATAGTATAGGATCAAGCCTGTGGCTTGAAAGCCACTCTTAATGCTCTGTTCTGTGAATATAGTAGGCCTGATATGCTTGTAGATGCTAAGAAAATCTTGCTTGTTGATGTGGAAGATGTGATTGTGTGTAAGCTCTGATACCTTACATCTATACACTTGCTTGAGAGGCATGAAACAGCTGACATCTAGAGGCTGTAGGAGATGGGAGCTGTGAGCTGGTATATAGAGACTGATAATCTTGTTCTCTGTACAGTATTGATCGAACTCGGGCATTGCATGGCTACTATGGCTGTCTAGGATAAGCAGGTGATAGGCTCCTGCTATACGTAACCTTGTTTGATTGTCGAAGTGCTTTAGCCAGGTTAGAGACCAAGCTAGTCAGTTGTCCAACCATTGTCGCTCACTGCAAGCATCCAGTCATCCAGGATATTGTAATACCAGCTAGCCTGGTGCAGCTTTCCTGATAGAATGATGAGAGGTGGGAGCGCCCAGCTAGATATATTGATACACTCGATTGTTGTAACCCAGTCGTGATTGCCAGGCTGTACAGTGACTGCTCGACTAACAGTGTCAGAGCTAGTCATGACCTTCGACATGCTAGCAACTCCTATCATAAACTCTGTCTCATCGAAGTTGTAGATATCTTGATCTAGTATCCTATATGCCTAGTATATATTATCTACAAGCTTGAACCACATGTTAAACTTGACTGGATCCTGACAGAGAGCATGCTGGGAGTGCAGCTTCCTGTCCCATTTAGTCTGGAGCTCTGGCTGAGTATTGATGAAGTGTGACACCCAGTTCTTGCCTACAGGCTTGGGGGGAGGCTGCTCACCATGAGCAGCAAGCAAAGCATCTGCTATTCATCGTACATCGATGATATGTGGTGGAAAACCTCGTTGGTCAAGGTCTAGGATCTAGCAAATAAGGGACTACTCTTCAACAGGTGATAGCTTGTGATTGACAGGTATAGTCTCATATCATGAGGGAGTACCGTTAAGATGTGTCTAGAGAGTCGCTCTAGGCACGTTGTATGCTACTGTGAGCTTCTGTAAGGACTGACAAGGATTAGACTTGAAAGAGTGAAGAGCAAGGCTAATTCTGCCCTCTTTTGATAGTAATTGAGCTTGTGGTTGTCGAACCATGATCAAAAAAGTGGATGCATTTTGGCGTAGTTTGGTGGGGTGGCCAGCTCGGTGGTGGTAGCCAGCTCACTGGTGGAACATGTTATATACAGTGCTAAGTAATCTATAGGAATTACTATATCCTCCCCTACTAGAGTGTATTTTAACTTTAAAATATCTATAGAATCCTAAAGTAATATAAAATGTAATTCTTCTATATAATGCTATTGTCTTTATAGTAGTAGAATAGATAATTTCTATTAGTAGCCTAGTATTAGCTACTAAAGATAGCTAAAACCTATTAGAAATCTATACAAACAGTCCTTTAAATAGGTACTTATAATTCTTGCAGTTATAAGCAATTGTAATGGGTTATCCATAGGGCTAGAATGCTAGCAAGCAAGAGTAGATTATATAGCAAAAATACTATGCTAGAGAGTAGGAGTAGGAGTCTATACGAGAACTATAAACCAATATGCAAGTGAGGTCATGTGACTAGGTCATGTGACTGCATGTGAGCCTCACAAAGAGCAGGCATCATATGCACATGTATCAGATTTGATGGTATCTGAAGATGTCATAGTGTCAGAAAGATTGAATGAAGATAGGTTGATTGATTGTATTCTGGTGTATGCTTGTGTGTGAGGCTGGGGCCTGACACTGGTTTTGATGTTCCTTCTCTGGGTGCCAAGGCTGTGCAGAGCACTAGCTACTATATAATCACTAGCCACATATCCTTAGACAGTACCAGTACAGATATCTTCTCCCAGTTCTTCTCTCCAGTCCTAGATAGGATATCCATAAACTGGCTTACTATCTGATAGTAGTAAGGGTCTCTGTCTAAATCTCAAGTGGTCTACGAATGTAGTGCTCTTAGTTCAAGAAGACTCCTTTTGCATAGAGCTTTCAACTCCAAGTTAACCCTATTGCTCCTAGTTGCCTAGGTAGGGTGAGCAGGGACTAACAGAATAGTGCCTTGGTCTATACTGTCACTTGGCCTCTTCCTAGAAGCTATGACTATAGCTTTTTCCCTAGAAAAGATGGGTGCTTTGCTGAAAAAGATCCAACTCTTTTCTAGTATAGAAAATCCAGAGAAAATCGTATGGTCTCGTCCTTGTGGTGACAAGGGTAGCAGGATGTGATGAAAAATGTGATGGTGGTCGATTTGTTTTGTGATTTTTTGTTGAATTGTTGTGGTTGTTTTTGTGGGTAGGTTGTGGTATTGGCTGCCGGCACTGGTTTTAGTGTTTCCAGTGCCAAGCCCTGCCAAGAATGGTGGGTGGCCTGTGCGTAAGGCTGGAAAACTCTGCCGGTCGATGATGGGATAAAAAGAACAACTGCAGGAGGCTGTAGCACCTGCAACAGATGCTGCAGTGAGCTGCAAATTGAAAGGTGTATTGAGATAGGATGAACAATCTGTGCGAGTTTCAAGATGAAATTCCAACCAGAAAATCTATCCCAATTATGGTGTTGCATTCTAGACTATAGTTAGAACTAATATAACTATATAGCTAATAGCTAAAGGTCTCTTTTAGTCTACTTTTATTAAATTAACCTGTCTAGCCCTTAAGCAAAGAGGCTATACTATTAGAGGATTTAGCTAGGGCTTGCTAGAGCCCCTTTTTTCCTAGGATAGTAACTCTATTATTAGAATAGAGGCTTTTAGAGAGAAAGATAGTCTTTTAATATTATTGTAGTAGTATAGCTCTTTATCTTAAGCTTATTTAAAGGGTAAATAGTAGTCTTTTTAAAAGATAGAACTCTTCTAGCAGGTATATACAGATACTAGCTTTTAGGGAGAACTGTTAGCTATACAGGCTCTTAGAGCTCTCCCTATGGCAGTAACGTTGCTTTAGTAAACTAGACTTTTAGCTACTAGATATAGTACAATAGGATAAAAACAGGATAAATATTTAGAGGTGTTAGACCTCTGTAAGTTATACAGAAAGGTCCTAACTAAGCAGCTAGTCACGTGCTATGTACGGTGCCAAGTAATCTATAGGAATCACCACAAGCGGCTGCAGCCATCCTGCACCAACCCCATCCTTCGCGTCCGACACCCACACCCAAAAAGTGAGGCCGGTACTGCGGAAATGGCCCCAACCCATCAAATCGAATACAGCACGGCTTCAACAAGTCTCAAGCTTGCGAACCAGGAGCAGAACAGAGACACGGAGAGGAGAGGCGAGACACACACTGCAACAACCTCGAAGTTCCGGACCACCGCATCTGCAACCCATCAGGGCCGCCCCTCTATTTATATGTTCGGAGTACAGTCGATTAAACTAGGTTTGTAGAGACTAGGGTAGCTGCAGGCTAGAATTGCCTATACGGACGGCTTAATAAGGGTCCTCCCTCACGACATGCCCCCCAACGGCTACACTCGACTCGACTCCCCGTCTCGCGACGGGGCATGGCAATCTTCAAACGGAGCGCGACGATTGGATGAGATTAAAAAGAGTCGGGGATTTCTTCTTGTGTGTGGTAAATTAATGAAGAGATGCGGGTGTCTCCAGACTTCATTTGATGGGCGACTTGGTGCGAGGGAAGCCCTCTTTATTATTCTTAGCCGCCGAATGCCCCCCTGGCCTAGGTAGGTGTGCCTTGGATGGTGCGAGGTGCAGTCCCGTACGCCTGCGATTCGCTGAGGATGCTGGATCTCTGTGCCATCCCCGGCTTCATGAGATGGAGTTGTGTGGCTTCTGGTTAGCTGGAACCTGCCTGTGGCCTTTACGATGTGCCTCCCCCAACCTTCGACCTCGAGCCCGGATCAACTTCGCGGCGGACAGCGGACAACGTGCATCTTCGAACCCTCCAATAATCGAGGCTCCCATGCTTCCCTTTCCTCCTCTCCAACTGTTTCTCCACGGCTGCCCCCAGCCTCCGCCTCCCCAAATCTGCGAAAGAACTGCTTCTCTGCGTGCACGGCATGCGCAAGGATCCGCGACCATTCCCGGCCCAGGTTGCTTTTCTGGCCCGCTCTGCGTGACAGACGGCTGCTCAGGCCTGCACGTCTCCTCCACGTCGCCCGTCGCAGCGACTTCGGATTCGTTGCTGTAGCCGCCGGGAGGCGTTGGCGTCAGGCCATCGAACCCCAAACACATCGTGAGCCATGTCTTGCGATCACGACTTCACGGCGCCGCATTCTCCTCTGCCTCCACCACCACCTCCGCCTCCACCAGCTCCACCACTCCACCCCCAAGCCTCGCCTGGCCTGCCTGGACATTCTTCGCCGCAGCAGACGTCGCCCCTCAGGCGCATTGCTGTGCAACCTCCCATTATCACAACCGCCCTTGCGCCGCCTCCGGGACCCTCTACACTACAGACACCCGCCTCTGCCATCTCGTTAAGCGTGCCTTTCTCGCCCTACGCTCCGTCACCTTCGACCTATGCCGCTTCACCAGTAGTCGCCTCTCCCATGGCGATGAGGAATCCGTCCTCGCTCCCGTACAATCCTCAACAATGGGGACGTCAAGGACCTACCGGAGGGGTCCATGTTCCCCATTCAATGACCCAGACACCAAGTAACACGGGACGCGTCCTGGAAATAACGGGCATGGAAGGTATCTAAACCTTTCTTGATCTACGTTTTCTTTCGTCCATGTGTCCCAAGCATCGTGTCCCCTCCGTGGACGAGCAGCCCCACGTCTGCTTAGTCTGCATAGTCCTACGACACGCTTCTCCCATTATCCACTCCCTCACTGAATTGCGTATCTAGCATCCATGCCCTCCCCCCCACCACCGTACTCCCCGGGGCAAAGCCATTCCATATCGCAAGCCGTCACTTCCTCTCCTCACCTATCAGGCCATGCATTCCCGCATGCGCAGAACCAACCCATGAGTGCACATGGGTCCGACTACAACCCCTCCAGACCCGTCTCGAGCTTCACAAGCAGTCGGCCAGGATCCATGGTGGTTCCTCAAAGCGCGACGAGTGTCACGTCCAATCCCCAATTTCCACCTCCGCCCCCTCGTCCTGGGGAACGATCAGCGTCTCGTGACAAGTCACACTCAAAATTCAGCCTATCTGCGTTTAGGAACAGGAATTCGGAAGCTAGTGCAGGCCCTAGCAATATCGAGTCATTGCGTGTCAATACTACAGAAGCCATTTCCCGTGCTCCGGCATCTCCAGGAATCCCGCCGAATAGGGCGAACCAAGGGTGAGTGCATCAGCAACGAATTATGGCAATCATAATTGACCCAAAGATCCAGATTCTTTTCGAATACATTTCCCGAGTCACCTATAATCAGGCCTCCGGCTTCCCGTCGAGCAGTGTCGGCCGGATTTGCGGAAACCAGGACACCAATTGAACAGTCGCCCACGCCTATTCAAGGCGCATGGGATCGTAGTATACCCCTCCCTCCACCTCCACCGGGACCGCCGCCTAGCAGTTCAAGATCCCAGAGCCTAGGACCTCGCGGCTTCGAGCCTTCGTCGAGTCGAGTTGAACCACCGGGGCCGTCCGCACCTCCCACTCGTAGACCAGGCCAGAGCGTTCTCACCCCGATTCCCCCAACTCCAATAGGATGGCAAGAGGAACAATCTCGAAATCGATCAAAATCACCAGCCGCACGTGGGTTGTCTATTGATACCAGTCCACAGGTAATACTCTCGCGGACACGGCCTCCGCAAGTCCAGGAAGTCGAGGATACTTCGGTGTCGTCAGGTCCTACCGCATCGACATCACACTCCAATGGCACGCTGTACCGGATCCCAGGTAAGCGGGAGTCCAGCACCCGTGGCATTCGCGAGCGTCGGAGTGAAAGCCGTGCCGCCCGTGAGCGCGTCGAGCCCAGCAATAATCCCTGGGCACAGGATATGGAGGCCGCCTCAGCGAAACCCGCGGATCTGGTTATAGGAACTCCTGATGGCTCTCTGCATCGTCGTGGCGCTGTCACCAAAGGCACTCCGCGCAGTGGCGGTTTCCGATCTCCCAGAAGCTCCCAGCTGATGGAAGATGCCACATCGGCTCATTCGACACCGCGAATGATTGATTCCTCGAGGAGATTGCCATCCGGCGCTTCCGCACCAACCCCTCCTTTCTCGCCAGGTACGGATACTTTCTATAACAGTCAATTCCGAAAGGCTCCAGCTTCCTTGCCTACGAAAGCCCTTCCTACTCCTCCTCTACGCTATTACGGCGACGACCATGGTGCGGACCTGACTATTGACTCAGCAACTGCAAATCGAGCGATATCTCAGACGTCTCAACTCTCGGATGCGAGACCGGAAGAGTCCTCTGCAAGCACGCCAAGGCCAGCACATCCCGATAGTTTCGCTCAAGCATCGATCGAACGTCATCGCCAGTTCATCGAGAAAGAACTTGCTGCTCAATCAGATGCTGAGAAACTCGAGCTTTTCGCACAGTTCATTGTCGCCGAGTCCAGGCTTCGGCGCGACAGGTATTCGCAGGCCTTCGACGCCATGGCGGGCGATATCCTCGACTTGACCAGAGACCTGTGGCGGTCATACGGAAATACGGGACGGAGGTCCACAACTCCTGCTGGCCAAAGTGCATCTGTGCCCAGCGGTCGAAGATCTCAGGCATCTACTGTGGGAGAGTCGCCAGATGCCCGCTTCTCACACTCGGTTCCAACCACTGCCGCTAGTCCCGCGTCGTCTGTAGCTAACTTTACTCCTTATACTGAACCAGCTTCGCCCGCTAGCGCATCCAGCCAAAGAGGACGCGACCAACCATGGAACAACAACTTCCAGCCTTGTCTGTCGCCCATCCCTAGCATGGCCATGAGCACCGTTCCAGACGAGGAAGACTCGCGAGGCCGTTCTGCAAGCCGGTGGTGGGAAGCTAGCAACGATGGTGCATCTTCGGGCATTGGCGGTAGAAGACTAGAAAGAAGCAAGAGAGAGTCAAAGTACATGGGCTTGGTCAAGGAGGCACGAGAGTCTCTTCAGTGGGCCGAGGACACTCAGGCATCACCTGCATACCGCACAGGAGCCAGGGACGCACACACATACGGACCCAACGAGTATCCACCGGAGAAGGTTGGGCTGCATGAAGGGGCACAATCGTCATCTACTCAATCCCAAGGCTACTATCATAGTCCTGCACCCACGACGCCGGATCCACACAAACTAGACGTTTCGAGGTTGGTGACGCTTCCGCCCCCGTATCCGCGACATCATCCAGCGGTCAATAACAGTCATCCTGACCTTGCTTCCATTCGAAATCACCTGCGAAGTCTATCAGACCTCGAGGAGGTGAAGACTACGAAAGAGCGATTCAAAGCCAAGATACAAACGCGCAAGGAGCGGGAATCTGCGGCTCTGGCAGATCGAAAAGCACAACTCCGGTATAACATCCAAGAAAACGTGCAGAATGGCGTGATGACGTTTGCGGAGGCGGCACAGGCCGAAGCCGAATTCCAAGCCCGCGAAGACAAGACAGCTCAGGATGCGGTTCAGAACATCTTCGACACCTTCCAGACCGAGGTAGCGAACCCTCTTCATGCACTATTCTGCGAGCGTATCACCAAAGTGTCGGCATCCATTGAGCATCTGAAAGGGAAACTGTCGAGCGATGCACAAGAGATCAATCCGAACCAGACGCAGGAAGAAGGCGATGAACAACCAGAACTGCTCGAGATGCTGACGTTGCTAAAATGGCTTTTTGAATGCCGCGAACAGCTCCACAAGGAGATGTTCGAGCTCGAAGACGAGCGCAACGATCTCTACAAGGACATCATCGTGCTCCCCTATGTGCAGAGCAAAAACGACCAAAAGGTGAAAGAAGCAACCGAGTTCTTCTCCCGCGATGCGCAGGACAGGAAAGTCGTGTTCGAGAAGGAGATACTCAGAAGATATGAGGATTTCCTCAACGTCATCGAAGCGAATGTCACAAGAGGGGTGGAAGCGCAGTTATCCGCGTTCTGGGACATCGCGCCTGGGCTGCTGGACATCGTGCAGCAGGTGCCCCGGCGATTGGAAGGGTTCGATATCGTGATCCCACCGCAAGAGTACGAAGAAACGCCTGCCTATCACGAGTTCCCGCTGCAGTATCTGTATACGCTGCTCGCGCATGCCGGGCGCTCGGCGTATCAATTCATTGAGTCGCAGACGAATCTGCTATGTCTGCTGCATGAGGTCAAGACGGGAGTTATGACGGCGAGTTCGAGGTTACTGGAGACGCAGCGGGCGATCGAGGGGGAGGATCGTGAGAGCGTGGACCGGGAGACGAGAGCTATTAGGGAGGATGAGGAGAGGAGGTTGACGGAGGATTTGAAGGATAAGGTTGGCTTGGTCGAGAGTCAGTGGGATGAGGCGCTGGGGAAGGGGCTCGAGGATTGCAAGGCTAGGGTTGAAGCGTTTTTGTTGCAGCAGGGAGGGTGGGACGATGGACTGCAGGAGTGAGAGGAGGGTGTCACTTGCCGAGTAGAACATGTCGTACGGTTGCATCTGGGAGGATCTGGTTACAGTACGATGATACCCATTCTTATTTGTTGTAAAACGAAGCATAGAGGTAACAAGCAAACAAGGAGCAAGGAACAGCTGGGCGCAGCAGTGGTACTTGTTCCAACAATGACAAAAATATCGACCAAGGAGACCTAGGTCGAGATTACCTATGTAGGGGGTCACGATGCAAGACGTTGGAAGGAGGAATCGCCTCCCACCGCTCTGGCATCGGCGAGCGTCTCTTGTCCCTTCCAGTGACTGCTCTGCCCCGGGCGCTTGTTGTGTTTTGCCCGTTGAAGGCCCTTTCTTCCCTTTCTTCACCGACCGGGGTCGCCCCCGCTAGAAGCGGCTAGCGCGGGCCACACGTGCCACCGAACCTTTCAGTGGCGGACGTTTGGACTTTCTACTTGAAGCCGTCCCTCGCTCCCACCAACCCGCCCACCGCTCATCGCCAAACCTCACCCGCTTCTTCTCGATTCTCTCGAGAGAAACCTCCATATCAGAATTACAAAAGCCTCAGAAAAAAAATCAGAAAAACACCAGAAAACCCCCTCGGCAGACGAACCCGCCCCGCCTCTCTCACCGTCGCCCAGTCGCTTGCTTCGGACACGGTCTCGTCTCCTCCAATCTCCCGCCTGCTCTGCGTGTGCTTGAACCCAGCACGCACCGCCCATCGTTCTCTCGAACCGCACACCCGTTGCTTCGCTCGAGTGCATTTCCCTTCCGCGCAGTCTCAAATACTAGAGTTGTAGCACTCTAACGGTACGTGGGGATAACTTTTTTTTGTGAAGCGAGGCCCGCCCGCACGCCGCCCCCCCCAAAACCCTGCCACCTGCCCACTAAAAAAATTCCGTGGCCGCAACAACAACAACAACTGGATTGCAAGTCGCTGACCGCACAGCACTGTCAACATGTCTGCTGAAGTCGCCACCAACTCCAACCCCGTCCAGGACGCCGGTGCCGACGCTGGCGCCAACGGCACCTCCGTCAACACCAACGTTGCCGGCGCTGCTGGCCAGAGCGGTGATGTCGCTACGCCCACGTCTGCCGCACCCCAGACCCACCACAATTCGGCTTCGCTGTATGTTGGCGAGTTGGACCCTTCCGTCACCGAGGCCATGCTCTTTGAGCTCTTCTCTTCCATCGGCCAGGTTGCTTCCATCCGTGTCTGCCGTGACACCGTCACTCGCCGCTCGCTCGGCTATGCCTACGTTAACTACAACAGCGCTGAGGATGGCGAGAAGGCGCTCGAGGAGCTCAACTATACCCTCATCAAGGGCAAACCCTGCCGTATCATGTGGTCTCAGCGTGACCCCGCCCTTCGCAAGACCGGACAGGGCAATGTCTTCATCAAGAACCTGGACCAGGCCATTGACAACAAGGCGTTGCACGACACCTTCGCCGCCTTCGGAAACATTCTGAGCTGCAAGGTCGCTCAAGACGAGCACGGCAACTCCAAGGGCTACGGGTTCGTCCACTACGAGACGGCTGAGGCCGCCAACAGGGCCATCAGTTCCGTCAACGGCATGCTCTTGAACGAGAAGAAGGTCTTCGTCGGTCACCACATCCCCAAGAAGGATCGCATGAGTAAATTCGAGGAGATGAAGGCCAACTATACCAACGTCTATGTCAAGAACATTGACCAGGAGGTCACGGATGATGAGTTCCGCCAGCTTTTCGAGAAGTATGGCCAGATCACTTCCGCTTCCATTGCTCGCGACGACCAGGGCAAGAGCCGTGGATTCGGTTTCGTCAACTTTGTCCAGCACGACGATGCCGCCAAGGCTGTTCAGGAACTCCACGATTCCGAGTTCCGCGGCAACAAGCTGTACGTCGGCCGTGCGCAGAAGAAGCACGAGCGTGAGGAGGAACTGCGCAAGCAGTACGAGGCCGCGCGTCTTGAGAAGCAGTCTAAGTACCAGGGCGTGAACCTCTACATCAAGAACCTTGATGACGACGTTGATGACGAGAAGCTCCGAGAGCTCTTTGCTCCTTTCGGCACCATTACCTCGGCCAAGGTCATGCGCGACGCTATCCCCGCGGACCGCGTTGAGACCCCCGGCGAGGACAAAGAGAAAAAAGAGGAAAAGAAGGAGGGTGAAGAGAAGAACGAAGGCGAGGAAGGAAAGAAAGAGGGTTCCGACGAGGAGAAGAAGGATAAGAAGGAGAAAGACAAGGTTACTATCAAGGGTGAGAAGAAGATTCTCGGCAAGAGCAAGGGCTTCGGCTTTGTCTGCTTCAGCAACCCCGATGAAGCGACCAAGGCCGTGACGGAGATGAACCAGAAGATGATCAACGGAAAGCCCCTCTACGTTGCTCTTGCGCAGCGCAAGGACGTGCGCAAGAACCAGCTCGAGGCTACCATTCAAGCCCGCAACCAGCAGCGCCTGCAACAACAGCAACAGCAGCAGTTCGGCGCCATCCCCGCACCCGTGTTCTTGGGACCCAACGGTCAGCCTCTCATGTTCCCTCCGGGCGCTCGAGGCCAGGTTCCTTTCGTGCAGCCGATTCCTGGCGCCCAGGGCCGCGGCGCCTTCCCCGGCGGCATACCCGGCCAGCAAGGTGGACGTGGTGCACCCAATGCGCAACAGATTCCTCCCATGTACATGGTCCCTGGTATGGCCCCCGGTGCGTACCCTCCCATGATGGCTCCTCAGTTCGGGTATCCTCAGCAAGCTGCTATGGGCGGCCGCGGTGCTGGCGCTCGTGGTCCGGTCCCTATGCCTGGCATGCAGCCTCCAATGCCCGCTGCTGTTCCTGGTATCCGAGGCGGTCACGTTCCCGGTCAGCCCGGCCGCGGCGGACCCGCTGGAGGCCGTCCTGGTCAGGCTCCTGTGCCCGGCTTCCCTCAGGGTCCTCGCCCCGGCCCCGCTGGTATCGACATCGCCGCTCTGAACGCCGCTCCTCCTGGGCAGCAGAAGCAGATGCTGGGTGAGGCGTTGTATCCTAAGATTCACGAGATGCAGCCTGAGCTCGCTGGCAAGATCACCGGTATGCTTCTCGAGATGGACAACGCCGAGTTGATCAACCTGTAAGTTTTCTTTCCCACGTCTGAGGTGTCAATATACTAACTGTAATAGCACTTCTGATGACGCTGCTCTCCGGGCAAAGGTCGACGAGGCTATGAGTGTCTACGATGAATATGTCAAGCAAAAGGGAGAGGGTGAGGCTGCTTCCAAAGAGGAGTCCAAAGATGAGTCCAAGGAGAACAAGGCCTAATTTGACTTGTAGTCTCCAAATAGGTCTCCCTCTCTCTTGGCTCATCGGGAGCAGTTCATGATTCCCGATGCATGACTTTCCTATGGCGAATGGCGCACGGATAACGGTTACTTCATGGCGGCGGATGACATTCTTCGGTTTCTCTTCCCAAAAGTTTTATGCGGTATTTTCCTCTCTACGGAGCCGAGCCCTATCTTTTCTTCTCTGTTCTCGGCTTCTGGCAACTATTTCCGGCAATACCCCCTTGCAACGAGTAACAGAGACATGATATGACGGCTGTTTCCCCCTCCACCTTCTCCCCTACCTTTCGTGCCGTCTACCCCTTGACTGGACGTGGATGGTTCTTTTTCACGGCTCTTTTAGTTCTCTCGACTTTCTCTCGTGTACAATAGACGGTCACGGTCTGCGAATGATGACCTCTGCTATGGGATGGACGTTTTCTCTCTCTTCGCCCTGCACAAAAGACGACACCGGCTGATGCATACGGTTTACTGGTGCGGCGAATATGACTCGTGCGGATGGGTGAGAACGTGGTAGGGAAGGGATGAGGGATGAATGGGATCGGATGGGATGGATGGTTTATGATGATGGATATTAGGGACTGGGAATATGAGATTATTCTGAGGTATTTTAGGTGGGGGGAGGATTTGAATGAGGCGGATGTGGAGTATGGGAATGATGCACGGAAGCTAGATATGGCGGATAGTGCAAGTAGATCTTTTTCTCCTTGTCTTCGAGGATATATGTGTGCATCTGTGTAAACTTTGGTGATGTGATGTGAGGTGGTAACCCCCCTTGCACGCGAATGAAGTATGAGCAACGAACCTCTCTGAATGCAAGACTTGGTCTACGCTTGTGGAAGCGGAAAGCTTAAGAAGAAATGGATATGAAGGGAAGTAGAGAGAGGTGTATGGGCGTGAGGATGATAAGGTTTTTCTGGGTGAAGTTATGGTGTGGATGTTCTGGCATCGCGGTCACATTTCCAATTTCCCTTTCAGACTCTCGCTCCCCGCTCAGCTAGAGGGTTTCCCCTACTTAGGTAACGTTTCCTAGATGGGCACGCTGGACAGATGGTCTTTTGTGTGGTTGTGTGAGTGTGTGTGTGCGTGTAGCAACGGGGTGGAGGTCTAGGCTTTGCATGCGTGTACTGTGGTGTCAGGCATAAGTTTTGTACATGGCCCGCGCACTACAGGGGTATTTGCCACATGCCTTAAAATGATATAAGCCCGACTCCATCCAATATTACATACAAATTTCAGTACTTTGTGTGACCACCTTTGGCGTCGATCACCGCCTGACATCTAGCTGGCATACTGTCAATAAGCTCACGCAGAGTGCTAACAGTAATTGACTCCCAGGCTTCCTGTACTGCAACTCGTAATTGATCATACGATAGCTGCTTTCCCCCATCTATATCTGGATAATTCAGCTTGATATAGTCCTTCATCTTATTCCAGGCAGTCTCAATTGGATTCAAGTCGGGGAAGTAGGCTGGCCAGAAGATAGGCTGAATATTTCGCTCTTTCAGCTCCTCTAGAGTGTACGCTGCACAGTGGCCTGGTGCCCCATCCTGCATGAATTGAAGGTGAGGATTCAGCTGGAGCCAGCCATGTACTAGAGGTACTATGCACTCACAGTAGCTCTCCTTGTTAATACTCCCCCACTCCTTCTCCCAGAATAAGCAAGGCCCCTTTGAGATACCAGAGAAACAGGCCCAGAACATCCACCCATGCTTCTTACACACCTTTTCCACGATACAGGTCAGCTCAAGTTCTTCACCAGTTTTTCTAGTCACCCAGACCTTCCGGTGCCTGCCACCTGTGACCCAGGTTTCGTCACTCTAGAGGATGGCCCACCACTGCCTGGGCTCCCAGTCTTTATGAGCTTCTGCCCATTCGAGCCGTATCTGTTGATTCTGCTCAGAAAGAGGTGGCTTTGTACGAGCTACATAGCGTGTGTACCCTCTACTTCGAAGAGCACCTCGTATTGCATATTGACTAACTCCCCAAGCCTCAAAGGGACCTTCAGCAAGAGCTAGATAGCTCATCTGTTGTGCAGCTCGTGATGAGCGTATATAGTTTTCAAGCTCATCAATCTGAGCATCAGTCAGCTTCCGGGGTCGGCCATTTCACTTTCGAGATGTGACGCGTTCACTAGCAATTGCATAGGCAACCTGTCTGCGTGATATATTAAGGAGGCGGGATATCTCAGTTTGCGTATGCCATGTGAGATGTAGGGTCTGTACTTGTAGTCGTTTGTCGCGTGAAAGGTGCCGTCGCTGAGGAGGGGTGCATGGAGCCGACATTGTAGTATGATGAATGAGGTGACGCATTGCTGTAGCTGGCGACAGCATAAGTAAATTCAATACTAAAGTATGTAGGAATAGGTGTATATTTGGCATTAGAGGCATCTTGTAATACCTTGGCAGCACCCCTGCAGTGCGCGGGCCATGTACAAAACTTATGCCTGACACCACAGTAAGTTGTGAACCTCGATGCCATTACGTTAACGTTAACGTTATCTTACTCGATGGATCTGATAACGGCTTCTCGTGATCCCTCAAGGCTCGTTCCGTCCAAGAGTGAGTGAGGGGAAGAGAGAGGTGTTGATGAGATGGGATGTTGCACTACTTGACGGATTCAACAACCAGGGCCAGGGCCAGGGCGAGATAACCTGGGGTATGGTATCGGATTTGAGAAAGTGGCTGGTAGATGGTCCTGTAGTATAGACGGCGTTCGAGACGACGAAGAGGGAGGGGAGGAAAGGGAGAGGGGAAAGGGGACGCAGGCGGAGGGGGAAGGCGATTAATGAATCGCTGGTTTTGTACGAAGTCCATCGCCATTAGATTGTTCGTTAAACCAGCTAGCATGCAAGTGCAGCTGCGCGAGTCCTTCCTCCCAGCCAATGTCACAGGCACAAGTACTCTTGACCTCTTCTTCCTCCGAAGTTCTCAAAGAGGGGAAAATCACCACAGCAAAACCAAACAAGAAAGCAAGCATTCACTAAAGAATTCGAAATGAATGCGCAATTCAGATTAAATTACCAGCAAAACTAATGCATGCTATGCCAATCCTCTATCTACCACCATATAACGATGCATTCCAGCGAACAAAACGTCGTAGATTTCCATTTCCAATCCCATATCAAACCAAACCAAACCAAAATGTCACAAACCCGCCCTCTCAATCCAACAACGACTTCGGGGTATCCATCCATCCATCCATCCAACCATCCATGTATATGCCCGCAACAAACATTCCCATCAAACTCAAAATCAGTAATCCAAAACCCAGAAAGTTCCATCCTCCTAATCATACACTCCCCCTCTTCCTGTCAATCGCCACAATCGCCAATTCTGGAACCCTCACTATGTCCCCTTAACAGGTTGGCTAGGCTCCGCATCCACAGCCCCAAACTCCTTCTCCCCATCCCCCTCGGCATGCGCCTCACGCCCCTCTACCGAATCATCATCGTCATCGCCGCGCCAGAAATCCTTCTTCCCCCTCGCCACGCGCCGCATCCACGGGGGAAAGAAGCCACCAGGGATCCGCCACGTCCAAGGATCCTTCTCGGACTTGTTGGCCGGCACGATGCGGCCGCCCGAGAGCTTCTCGATGACGAAGACGAGCGTGTTGATGAGGATGTACGACATGATTCCCGCAATGAGGCCGTAGGCGATGGAGTAGGTAAAAGGCATGATGGCGATGGTGAGGAAGGCGGGGATCGCGTCGCCGATGTAGCGCCAATTGATATTCCTCGCCGCCTGCGCCATGAGCGAGCCGACGATGATGAGCGTGCAGCCCGTCGCCCAGGGCGGTATGGAGGCGAAGATGGGGGCGAAGAAGATGGAGATGAAGAAGGCGAGGCCGGCGAAGATGGCCGTGAGGCCGGTCTTGCCGCCCTCCGAGATACCGGCTCCGGATTCGATGTATGCGGTTACTGGAGGGGAGCCGAATAGGGAGCCAATCGAAATTCCGAAGGCGTCGACCATGTAGGCGATGGACGAGTTTTCAAAGTCCTGCGTGCGCTCGTCAATGGCGCCGCAGAAGCGAGCCATGGAATAGAGGGTGCCGGTGCCTGCAATGGTTAGATCTAAGGCTAGAAAGATCCACGCACACGATACGTACAGTCCAAAATGTCGACGTAGAGGAAAGTGATGAATGCCAGTCCAAACTGCCCACCATGTTCCCCGACGGTCCAGTCCAACACGTTCAAGGTCCGGGAGATGGGGTGGAAGTAGACGACCTTCTTGAAGAAATTGAAAGCGGAGTCTCCAAGTTCGGTATGGGGAAAGTAGGTGACGGGGGTGGAACGCGGCCATGAGATGATCGACACCAGCAAAATGCCGGCGATGATGGCACCCTTGACACGGTACATCATGAGCATCACTGTGAAGATTCCGCCACAGAAGATGCCGATCCACATGGTAGGGCTCCTCATCTTGTACGCACTGGGGCAGAGGCCCTTTTCATTAAAGTCGGCCTGGTTGCAGCCAGCCAGTTCCAGAGGCGTGTCCTGAGCACCCCTTATGAGACCAATACCAGCAGAGTATGTCAAGCCGATGATCGTTAGGTAGAGGCCAATGCCGACTCCGGTAGCCAGCTTGATGGATGCAGGAATGGCTCTCGCAAGCCATTGTCGAATGCCCAGAAGCGTCAATCCAACGAACACCTGTCGACATATTAGCTTTTTAATTTGAGCTCATGTGTGCGGTGCACATACGAAGCCTTCAACAAAAACAGCAGTCAGTGCAACCTCGTAAGGGACCATGCCGGAACCGTGGTAGCTACAGCGGGTTAGCGATGTGTAACGCAACACAACAACGTCTGGTATTCTTACCCAACAACAGTGAATGCAAAGTACGCGTTAAGGCCCATTCCAGGCGCAAGGGCAATAGGCATGTTGGCGAACAAGCCCATACAGAAGGAAGTCAACGCCGCGATAGCTGCCGTGGCAGTGACGAGATCCCTGTTGACTTCTTGAACGCATAGCATATAGGCAGGATCGCTGTCGCAAAGGTCGGGGCTGTCCGGTGGGCAAACGCAGGTACCGCCGCTCTGGGATGTAATGGATGCTTGGTCGCGTGTCAGCGCAATCCCCCGCAATTGAGGAGCGATCGCACATACCATTGACGGAGATGATGTAGGCCATGGCGAAGAAGGTCGCCAGACCCGCGCGCAGTTCAGTGAAGAAGTAGCTGCCCTTCCGCTCCTTGCGCTAATATGAAGCCATCAGCATGCCATCGCGGCGCATTCAAATGTCCATGTAGGGACCATACGTGACCGCTCCCATCCAGGCGAAAGTATTTGCCCACGACCGACTGGGCGATCTTTCGGTTGGTATTTTCGACCCAGCCCATGGTGAGTGAAAGTGCCACAGGCCTCTTGGGTGAGAAGGAGGATGTCTGCGATTAATGACGAAGGTTCGTGCGGAGTGGTGAGCCTGTGAAGGGCAGACGGACGCCACAGTGAAGGTATTTAAAAAAGAGTGATGAGCTCTCGAAGCACCAGGATCCCGGTATCTGTCCGCCCTGGCGCCAGTCCCATCCCGCCCCAGCAGATAAGGGTTTGCTCGGAACAGCTTGGCCGAGTGGCTGGGGGGTGTGCGAACGATGCGCTGGTCCTCCTTGCCAGAGCGTCTTTTTACATGGCGATTCATACGCAGCCTCGGCTGCTATCCTTGCCTATCTACGGAACACACGGTGGACGGTCGCTCGCTTGTTGTACGCCGTCGAATAATGGCAAGTTTTGAAACGGCATATGGGCCGGCCAAGGCTGGATGCAGGTCGGGTCCAAAAGCCAAAAGGATAGCGAGCGGTGACGCTTGCTTTTGTGTATCTTTCGCTGTATCTTTCATCCCTTCTCCCAGGATGCGCAAATGGTCATCTATCTTTGGCGGCAGCGGCTCGTCGGAGGCAGCCGATATACGGAGTATCTGAGGTGCCATTCCTATCAGTCTCGAGGTCACTCTGACGCCGGAGTGAGGAGCGCAGAACTACAGATGGGGGTAACGCCAATGTAGCTGAGGATAACATATCCCAGCAAGATACAAACTAGTGGCGCATACTGAGTGAAGTGAAGTGTGGCGGGCAATGAAAGCGGAGGTGCAGAACATCAGTGAGGTCGTTTGCCAAGACCAGCTAGTCTAAGATGGGACGGAAACGCACGTGGAGGCAACTCTAACCGGACACCAATCGCTTTCACCATGGGTGATGGGATGATGTTACACCATGCCTAGGTATGAGCCAGAAAACCTAGCAGCTACGCAGAGTTGTCTATTGCAACATGTCTTTGCTGTTACTCTGCTCATCTTGTTTTCGCGGCAACAGCGAAATCATCTTTCGTCCGTTTCGCATGGTGTGTGAAGGAAGGGATATGAAGAGAGCTAGGCAGTGAATCACTGCTCCAGAGAGAGCCATTGACAGCTCAGATCATGCACATGATGGCGCTTTGTACAGCTCGCAGCTTGCTGCTGCGTCAACTTCTTCACTTGAGACCAGCGGTGCCTAGAGCCAAAGATGGACGCAATTGATGAGATTGTAAAGTACTGTTACCCACTTACTCCCCACGATCTGATCGTTGAGATCTAACATCCTTTCGTCTTCACGCCAGTCGTGGCGCACGTAACACCATCAGGCGCAGAAGCCGTCTTCGTCGGCTCTCCATCCGTCACTCCCTTGTACAAATAGCAGATCTTGCTGTTGAGAAGGCATGAATCACTAATAGAAGTCTTATCTGTCCGCCTGTTAGCACGCTGGGAATTGACACATCCAGAGGCCAGCGAAGCCTTACCTCCAAAGTTCCCATTCACGCCTGCCACCACCTTGGCGTTTTCCACCCGGATATTCTCAAACACGCTCCTCCTCGCTGTCTGCTTGTCGCAATTCCCGCAGCTTCTGTACAATTTGCCGATGTCCTTTGCGTAGAAATTCTTCACCACGACGGTGCCTCCGCCGTTATGCTGCAGCACCTTGTCCTCGGCGTTCCTGGCTCCGCCGCCGTTCACGTACGATGTACCAGAGGCTTGTTTGAAGGTTGCTGCGTCTTCGCAAACGTCTACCCACCAGACGTTGTTGAGCGTGCAAGGGCCGAGACAGTGGACGCCTTCGCCGTTGTTGGGGCCGATGATGGCATTGGAGAGGGTGGCGCCGGATTGGAGGAGGAAGACTGCATCGGCGTCACCCCCCTCGGCTTGATCATTGCAGGTTGAGGCTGGTTAATCGTCAGTGACGTGTCGCGAAGAGGATATATGGGGTTCGGGAATCGGAATGCATGGCTGAGCGTGGTGGGGGAGGCGTACGATTACGGTCCCACTGCATCATTTTACCATCGAAGGATTGTCCTGCAGCAATGGTCTTCACAGCTGCTAGATGGGTGGTTGATGTAGCAGAAGGGAAGACCGTTTGCAGATTCGTATTGGTCGTGGCTGAGGCCACGATTTGGGAGAGGGAAGCGAGAAGGATGAGTTTGGAGTACATGATGGTAAGTCTGCAAGTAGTGGTCTGCAATGCTATGCGTGTTCCTCCGTAGGTTGATGGGATAGATCCGGTTGACAGTGCACAAAGCCTTGCTTCAAACGACTTTTATATCTGCAGTAGGTTGCTCTGGCCATGCTCATTTCCCTCCGAAACAACGAACAGGATGCAGCAATAATCTCTCCCGCTACGGTCCCATTCCCGGGATATGTTTCCCCGAGCAAATCCCATCAAGTTTCTCCTCTCCCACGGCTTGAAATGAAAGCCCATGCCACTCTTCCGTAGTCTTTCCGTGCACTCCTTGTTAGGACCGACAGCCACACTAGCAAGTGGTGGCCGCAGTGCAATATAGCAAAACGTTGAACTCCCTCAGATCGGGGAATATAGCTGAATAGGGAAGTTAGAGGTCTATGGTGCTATGTATTGTAGCATCTCCATTGGAGGGAAAATTCCTGAAACATGGTCCGTACACTTGTACCCCGGATTCTGCGAATCGAAGGGGTATGGAGTGGGTGCATATAGCAAAACAGCGGGTTTTCATGAATCATGCAGCGGCAGCTATGCGGAGTGCGCAACGCCAGCAACATTTTCATCTACTATTCTAGAATTTCAAACGAAGATATGCTGGAATATCGCCTGGCGTGCCGCGTGAAGTGGCGTCGCTGCTGCGTGGCTTGCGCAAATGTGGCTTGACATTCAACGCCACAACCTACCTATGACGTAGCCAACACAAACCCCCTTGTCCGGCAATGCGAGATCCAAGCATGCCTCAACACGCTCTATCTCCCGATCGCCTAAGGTAACTGTCCCTCTACCTACTGTCGTTCTCCGCCTGGGAGTGTGGGAGGCATACGACGACTGTTGCGACCACCAGATATGAGACCCTGGGTTTCGTCCATCCAGGGCATCTCTCGTTCACAACTTGCCGGTGTGAGAGCCAATGGTGCGAATAAGAGACTCATTGCGACGCCGAGATCATTGTACTTTACGATCGGACCGAAGAACAATTACAGGCAGGGCCTCCAAATCAGAAGCTTTGCTCAGACACGTCTCCTCAAACATGTCCAAGGTCCCCAACCTGACAGCTACGACAACTCCAATGCACGACCAGCAGTTGACCTGAACCACAACATAACGCAGGAGGAGAAGGATCACTATGCGCGCAAACTGCACGAGGATAAGGGAAAGCAGATACGCACACCATGGCATCGCGAAGGAAGCGAAAAGCCACCTGTTTCCAAGTTGGAGAGTGATAGTGGGACAATGACGAAGGGTATGTTCACGCGTTAAACTAGTAGTCTGACACTCCTTCTACATTCACATATTCAAGAGGAAACATAGTCAATCACTAACTCTATTCTCCCATAGGCAAACTTCTCACCACCCCCTCACGTATGCTCAAACTCATTCTCCCCCTCACAACAAGAGACTCCACCTCCACCTCCTCCGCGCCCGAACCCCTCGCCCTGCTGGTCCACCCCCAACAACCCCTCTCCTACCTTGAACGCCTCATCCAAGCCGAACTCCCCTTCCTCAAAACAAAGGATGGCCGTGAACGCATCCCAAACGTCTACTTCCGCGCCGAGGACTCCCTACAGGATTCATTAGAACCCTCGAAACCTACAGCGACCCCCGTATCCGAAACCAGCGAGTCCGTCGTCGAGGATGAATACGTCTTCCAGAAAGCCGACGAGATCCACATCGACGGAAAGACGGAACGCACCGGCAAACTCGACTCCCCATCTTCAACAACAACTCCTGAAGGCTTCCCACCCAACCGCCACCACCCTTCCGAAGCCGCCGCACTCCGCGGCGGCCATGGCGAAGGAGGCGTGGAATCCTACTCGGGCCTAGGCCACGAAGCCCCCTCCGATTCAAGGCGCACGCGCAACTTCGTCCGCTGGTCCTCGTCGACGGAGATTGGGGACTTTATCCGCGACGCCGCGCGCGGGCAGGAATTCGCCATCGAGATTGAGGGCGCGCCGCACGACATCCGCGTCGGGGTGCCGAGCTTCAACGACAGGACGTATTACTTGCGGATGCGGCTGCGCAAGACGAGCAAGCGGATCGCGGACATGGCGAAGATCAAGAAGGAGTGCGACGAGTTGGCGCATAGGGCGGCGCAGAGAGTGGCCATGGGCGGGTTCGGCGTGCTGTGCGGGTGGTGGTATCTCGTGTATCGGTTGACGTTTGAAACGGAGTTGGGGTGGGATGTCATGGAGCCTGTGACGGTATGAATGCTTTTGGTCCTACTCTCTCGCCTTCTTCCTCCGCCAACGTACACAGCAGACCGATGCTAACATCTGAGCTATGCAGTACCTCGTCGGCCTCTCTTCCCTCATAGCCGGCTACGTCTGGTTCCTCTACCACAACCGCGAGGTCTCGTACCGCTCCGCCATGAACTTCACCATCTCGCGCCGCCAGCAGAAGCTCTACAGCCAACGGGGCTTCGATCTACAGAAGTGGGAGGCCCTCGTCGCCGAGGGGAATGAGCTGAGGAAGGAGATCAAGGCCGTCGCGAATGAGTACGATGTAGAGTGGGATGAGCTCGAGGATGAGAAGCATGAGGAGGTAGCGGAGGCGTTGAGGGAGGAGAGGAAGAAGAAGGAGAAGGAGGAGGAAGAGGAGGGACCGCAACCTGCGGGTACGAGGGCGAATGAGGGGCCTGCGAAGGGGTCGGATGTAAAGTAGAGGGAAGAGGTGGGGTGATGGTTCTGGTTTGATGGTTCTTTCCAGTGAAGATGACATCTTGGAGAGCGAGGAGTTTGGACGCATATCGAGTGGAGATTATACCTCTTGGACAGCATCTGCATAGGCGATGCTTCTCAGTAGCACATGCATATATACCCTTGGCATTGGGCGGAGCAGCATATGTGGAATAATAAGGAGTTTAACGTCTGCATCATGTTCCATCAGGTCAATGGTACCATTACATGATTTACATGCTAGAAGGACACTACGGCAAGCACAGGCAACCCATTGCACGAAAAATAGGGCAAACTCCTGATTCCCATTCCAGATGATACACTGAGGCTATCTTCAGTAGGAGAGGTATTACCCCTCTTTCAGCGACTCGCACGATATCGTCCCCTATTGTGGCCGGGGCAAAGTCGGCCGAAGACGTGTTCTCCAACTCCGTTTCTCGGTCTCTTCTCCTCACTGCAAGTCTTTCCAGCGAATTGGGCAAGGGCCTAGATGATGCATATACCTCACACATATCGAAGGACTACGTCCTAGCCTCCTTCGACCCTTCCTTCTCGGAGGGCGCGGGGGCATAGCTGAAGACGGCGGCGGTTGGTGAAGGCTTCGCCACGGGCTCCATTACCCTCTCCGCTTCACTTGCCCCAACGCCGTCGACACGTACTTTCACAGCATTACCAACTGCCTTAATCCACGCAGAGGACGATTGTTGAGCCGTTCTTCGCAACAAAGGGGAGGAAATCTCAATCGTTTGCAAATCAGGCACAGGGCCCATGGTCTGGCACGGCCGCACTCCTGACTGGTGTCCGAGTGCAGGTTTGACGAGTTGTTTTCACGGCGTCGGCTTTCTTGGGGAAAATGGCAGACATGGGATGCAGGCACGTCGATAGGAGATGGAACCTCTTTCGCTGCACCAATTTGGTCGACAGTCTTGCAGCGAATGACTACCCGGGATCGTAGGCGGCAAACGCGTATGATGCATAAGCGACCGCGGCGATACGTGTATATCCAGTTTAGCGAGCGGCAGTAGAGCTGCATGCGAGGGCGAAGGAGTGAGCTTGTGCGCGCTTCTTGAAACTCACACCAGAAGAAGAGTTCCAAACGTAGCTGCTGTGATGATCAGATACTTCTTGAGACGGCCGGTTCGCGCTCTTTCGTTCGTTGGAGTAGAGCCGATCTTGCTCAAAGGAGAGAGGTCCTGCCTCTTTTGCACCTGAAAGGGTATACTTAACCTGGAAGCACCAGAAGTGACTTTTGGTGTTTCTGAGGCGGTGTAGACACCGGTAAGAGGGACAGTAGATGTGCTCATCTGGGCCTGTGTAGGTGTAGCCGTTGGAGGACTACCAGGTTTGCCGGCGAGGACAGAAGTTGAAAGAGGCGTATAGTCTTTTTCATCAGCGTAGAATACCCCATACTTTACAACACCTTTCGACTCGGACATCGCCGACACGTCATCCTGGTTGCATGTTTGCGCGAAGTTCCTGATCCAACAGGTATGTTTCTGCAGCTCCGGCACTTTGTTCTTGTGCTTCGAATCCGATGGGCCCTTGGTTTCGAATTCCGATAGATCGATATCTTTGCCCATCCCGATATCCGTGCCTTTGAGGATGCGAGTAAACACAGTGAAGGCGGTCTCTGGCTGGTACTCAGGTACAGTGTGCCCTGCGTCATAGATGCGAGCGAAGGAGAGATTGCCGAACTGACGAACCTGCCCACCGACGTAGGAACTGTTGACAACGATGTCGGCGTAGCCCGCAGCTGGGAATTTCGGGCCATACTCGGGTAAGAGGCGGGCTAGCTCTATGGAAACAGCTTCGCCTCCTTTCCAGTTGCAAATAACATCGCTACCAGCAGTTTAGATACCTGTATGGAGAGGACAAGTAAGGATCGCGGGTAACTTACGCATCACCGTATATGAATGCTACACGGATGCCTTTGTCAAGCAGTTTGGAGAGTGAAGTAAGTTGGGTCCCTCTAATCTCGTCGCCAGCTGTAACAGTCAGTATATGCCCATACTTCCCGAACTGCAGGAACATACTCTTGATAAAAGCATTGAGGACGCTTTCGCTATCTGCCGTAAAGTTCACCTTGGCACCGATAGATTTCTGAACATCAGCCGTATTCAGATATTCCAGGAAACCACCAGGGAACAATTCAACACCCTCGTTACGAATGTCGTAAGGACTTCTACCTGGAGCAAGAGCCGCCGCCAGAAGTGACCTACACGCCTGCAGAGCTTTGGAGCAGAGCTCGTTGGTGTCCTTTTCATCCCCTTCGCCGAGGGGATCAAGAGTTGCCATGCTCCCACGGCAGCGCTCAACCAACTCATTGCAGCCGCCGGACCGTCTGAAATCACTAAGAATGTTGAGCTCTGTTGTCTGGTCGATGGCTCGTATTTCATAAGTGTTCTCATAGGCGAACTTGGGCCACCACGGGGCCTGAATGAGCGTGTCAAGCATTCCATTGATGATACCAAGAGACGCGAGTTGGATCTCCAGCGTGCTGTTTGAAATCTCCCCGCGAGCGCGTTTTGCGTTCTGCGTTTCAAAGAAGTCGGCGAAAGCGGGACCATACATGCCGCCGTAGCTCTCAGCAAACAGGTGAATTCCAGCCGCTTTTATGACAGTATTGTTTGGATGGACGCCAGGATTGTACTGCGGAAAAGTGGAAAGGAAGCCCTGCAGGAAATGCCAGGATGCGCTTGCTGCGATGGTGCTTGTATTCTGGGTCTGTCCTTCGCGGTCTGAGGCGAAGGTACCGTTCAGGAACATAAACGGCGACATACCCTTGGGAAGAGGTTTTGGAGGCTCATACCGTTCATTGTCAATGAGTGAAACCGACGCATTTACTAGATCGTCGTACGAGAATCCCGTTTGTGTTGGCTGGTCAATGAATAGTACATTGGAGCTGCGGTCCCAGCCCCACAGCCGAGCCTGTGTCCCGTAGCTACCGTCAGGCAGCTGGACAACTTCACAAGGCCCAGATTCAGCGAACAAGCCGTACATGCTGCTGCTCCCCGGTCCGCCATTGAGCCATATTGTGAGAGGTGCTGTTTCCGGGCTCTCACGAGATTCAATAAACCAAAAGAAGGTATTTATTGAGTAGTTCTGCTGATAGGGCGTGAGTGTATAGGGAGGAAGATTGACGTAGCCCGTGTACTGTTTCTGGTATGGGAAGGCGGTCACGCATGTACCGTTGTCAGGTGTCTTGAATGAGATGGTTATGTTGGGATTGATGGGCGACTTTAGGACGGTATCATAGGTAACGGGTGGGGGGTATTGCGCAATCGAAGATTGAATGAGGCAGAGGGCTGCTATGATAATGATTGGCAATCGTTGGGGCTGTTTCAGTAGACGCATTAGCTTGACGTTGCCAGCATAGTAAATGGGAATTGTAACCTACCATGGCGACAGGCCGTACAGCTAACGGCTAGCACATAAGATTAGAGCAGCAAGCAGCATAAAAAGGTCTTGCAAAGAAGCGCAGCTGTGAGGCCGGACATGCGTGGGTTTGCAGTCCGGAGCGCGGGAATCCAAAGGCACAGCGAGAGAAGAGGGCAAGCAACGAAGCGATATCTCAGAGAGTGTGACTCGACATTACCCGAGCATTTCTGCAGCGACACTACCTCGGACGAACTCCAGCCGCATCTTCCAGCGCTGGAATGCGCAATTGCAATCGGTGGGGAGAAGACATGTGCGAGAGAGCTGTTGTCCATTTCGCGTCGCGCCAAGATATTCAGCCGCTAGTCCTCATTCGGCCTCACGGTCATCCCCAGCACTGCCCAGGTGAAAGCCGCAGGGGATAGCTTCACTAGGTGTTAGTCTTCTCTATGTGTACGTTATTCTCTCCAAGACCGGAAGAACTATTATTCTGGCACAGTCATCCAAAGTGCACTCTAGCATCAGATCTCACGTGACTGGACAATTCACTGATTACATATATGCATATCGTACTTGTAGGCAGGGCAAACAGACAGTAAACCGTCTTTCGTGCACTCCAATATGCAGCCATAGAGGAAGTGCATATGCCAACGGAGCCAATTTTCTCGCACGACTTGCGTTTACGGGCCGACGTACCTATCATATAGTACTATCGAACGGCTGGAGTCCATGCGGGATGCTTTTACACCTGCAAGTCTTTATTCCGCAGGGCTGAAACACAATCCTATTTGCAATTAGATACGCCTCGCCATCATTACTTTACAGAACACGTCTGTATAAACCTCGCGACCTGCTGAGAAAATAGGGTTTTCACTGCATTGTCCCTCAGCCGGAATTCAAGACATCAAAGTTGCACAAATGTCGAGTTACGGAGCAAGTTAATGGGAGTGGGCCTACACGCTCTCTGCGCGTGAATACACCTCTATTTTCCTCCGTCACTTTATCCTTTAGCAAGCTTCCGTGCATTATCCAACAGCTTCTTCCTATCCTTCGCATACTGCCTGATTGCCTCATCCATGCGCGCACCATCCATGAAAGCGCGTTTTGCCTCGCTCCCCTTGAAATTCTCCATGTACGACTTGAAAGCCGCTGACATCTTGACCACCTGCTCCAGGTGTGCCTGCCTCACAAGCACAGTCTTCTTGGGAGGATCTGCTGTCCTGGCCTCGTGTTCGGCAAGCGCCACGGCAGTTTGGAATGCTGTTGCTCAGGTCAGCAAAGTTGGCCTTCCAGAGTGCGGGAAGTTAGCGATGGATTAGGGAATTGGTGCGTACCGTTTCGAATCTCTCGCCCGTTCCACTTCAGCGTGAGTAGGGCTTCATCGCGTTCAACATAGGATTCTAAACGCGGATCGATATCGAAGTTCTCCTGCTCCTTACGCAGCTTGTTAAAGAACTGCTGCCAGATCTTTTCCCGGGTTTCGTCGGTCAGTTCTTCGTATTCAATGATGAGATGAATGCGGCTGAGAATAGCATCGTCGATGTGGCCTAGTCGGTTGGTCTACGCATACATGATTAGTATTCGGCAGTCAGTCGTGCTTATACTTGGGTTGCATACCGTCAAAAAGAGAATACCATGGTAGTATTCCATGGAACGGAGGAAAGCCGAGACCAGACTGTTTCTCTGCAGCTGCCCACTTGCGCGTTTCTCGAAGTAGACATCGGCTTCGTCTATAAGAAGGATAGCTTGCCATTGTTCGGAGAGACGAAACCATTTGGCGAGTTCTTTCTCCATTTGCGTCTCATCGGTGCCTGACGGTATGTTAATTATAATGAGTCCAAATTAAATTCTCGAGCACCTACCAATATCCGCACAGGTGAGGGAGAGGAGCGGTCGCCCTATACTCAAAGTTAGAAGCCGACTCCATCAAATAACAAGGGCGCCCATAGTACCAGTCATCTCGGCGATACACTCAGCCGTATAAGTTTTGCCAACACCAGAAGGGCCATGTAGTAGGAAGATCTGGCCCTCTCCTTTCCCCTCAATGGTGTCTGCGCTCCAGCTCTTTCCCCCTACACCGCCGACCTTTTCAGTAAGAGCCCTGATCATCTGCAGGCGGCGTTCCGGTATCTGAAGATTTTTATGTGCGTCGCTCTTCTTCAGTTCCTCGATGTAGTTGATATCGAGCATGCCTTCCTCCGCATCAGCAAGCAGTTACCAGAATAGACCCTCTCCTGCACTCACGGAACTGCCTTGTCTTCAAGACGAAACCTCCAAGACGCCGAGCAAACAAAAAGAAGTGACCATCATCTAGGTCATGCTTCCTCTTATATTCGGATGAGATGTTTTGATAGCTCGCGAACCTTCCCCTCTTTTTCGAGCCGATCGGTTCGTCGTTCCAGTACGAGTTTTCGGTGTATTCCACGTCATTGTCGCTCGTGATGAACTCTGGCATCGGCATAGCACCTTCACTCGCAAAGTATGCTACCGGATCCACCACTGCCCTTCCTTTGTAGTGCTAACAAGGTTTTAGCGGCGGCAGAGTGTACACTGGTGGCAGTCATACCTCGGATTTCCCGCCTATAACGGGGCCATTGTACTTAACCTCGAGGCATTTCTTTTCAAAAACAGCCTCAAGGATCTTCCAGCATCGTTTCCCTCTCTCGATGAGATGAGCCTCCAAATCAGAGTTGAGATTTATGGTGAAATCGCCCTCTTTTATCTCAACAGGATACACCGGCAACGTTGTAATGTCCTTTGCCCCTTCGTATGAGTTTATCGTGACACTCAGAGGAGTTCGATCGATGAAGTTACCTGCAGTCTTGTTAGGGGCAACGCGAGTAGCAGATAGCTGGGAGGCTCGTCCTACCGATGTTATCCAAGTACCATAGGCGAATGTGTAGGCGTGGCGCCGGGCTATTCAGCCCATCCAAGGTCAAGGACCGGACAATGAAGCCAGCTAACTTCTCTTCCGAATCACGGAAATCGTCCTTCGCGAATACGCGACTTCCAGGCTTGAAGAGCCTCCAGAGCATGTCGAATGTTGCCTTGGGAGGGGATTCCTTGTATCTTAATATCTCTCGATCAATCTTCTTCTTCCACACGGCATCGAGGTATGCTTGTAAGACTTTGAAGTCGTGGTATCCCTGAGTATCCGCGCCTTTGGCGGGTTCGCCGTTCGTATTGTCGGGTCCTGCTGATGCGTTGTCGGAGTTTTCCGATTCCTTTCTAAAATACTCACGAAGATCGTTCTGATGGTGGAGCAACATGTAATAAGGCTCTTCGACCGTTATGGTGTTGCCACCTAGCTCTTGGCCAGGGTAATAGGTAACGACAGCCCGGATGGCCTCAATGAGCGGCTTGGAGCGAATGACCATTTGCGACGTATCAATGGACCGGATCTTGAATGTCTTTCGCGGCTTCTCGGTACCTTCAGCAAGCGCTCCTTCTCCAGCAGCGCCTGCCGCAGCAGCTTCGGTGCTCACTGACTCTGTAGCGACGACATCACGAATAGTGACATGCGTTATAATGTCGAATACGGCCTCAGGCTGGATGGTGTACTCGTCTTCGTCTTTATCGGCCTCTTCTTCAGGATCAGGCGTGATGTCCGGCTTGGATGTCCTGTACTGGGACTTCTCCACTATAGCTCCTTGCTCGTCTTTGTAATAGATCCTGTATCTGATGCGTTTCGGGCCTGCGAGCCCATCTCTGTTATGGATACCGCCTGTCGTTGCCGCCATTGAAGCCCGTCGCCCTGTGGCCAGCATGTCAACTATTTTCCCGAGTTCGATGCAAGAGATGCACTTACCTAGGGACGCCATCGTTCCATTTGGTGTTCCATCATCGCCAGACACTAGAATCGAACGTTAATGTTGCGCAGCCTTGTTGTTGTGAAGTGCGTTTCCGTACCTGACTGTTTGTTGGCTGTCCCTTCTTCGGAATTAAGATTCGACATAATGTTATCGGCCGCTGGTGGGATCGATTCCGTCTGGACTTCAGCACCCATTTCGTCTCGAAGGCAGCTCAGGCCTATATGACTGTATGCGGGTCCTGATCAAATACACGTGGGTTGTTCGCCAGTAGCCAGCCTACCTATAGCTGCTTATATCCTGCCTTAATCCAACCAGCCGCATCCCCGCATGTAGTAAGGCAAAGCAATGGCCAGAATACGAGCTGATGGGAGCCGGTGCTCTGTAGGAAGACGCATATTGAGGCTTCTGCACGCTCTCTGATAGGATGACGGCGGCAAGGCTGGCCCCCATTTCACCAGCAAAGGGGAGCGCCTGCAGCAAAGAAACAGCTCAGCTCGGGCTCCCCGACACCATTCGCCAATACATACGGATACCACGTTGTACCCAGATATTGGTAACGCCCTGTATTATAACGTTAGCATCTTTACCTAGGTACGGAAAGCCTCCTCGCCTAACTCCAGTAACTGCAAGATTCCCAATTTACGTAGCTATCGCCATCCAGAAGCAGATATAGTATCTCAGAGCTTTAAAGAAGATAGAGTAGATTATGCAGCGTTAGTAAGTATATAGAAATTGGAACAAGCGGGATTTCATATATGCGGGGTTTCAGTGTTCCATCTCAACATTTAGGTACACCGCGGTTCTTGATCTAATCACCAGTAGTACAGGGAGCGCCTGCTGCAAAGAGGAAGTTCAGCTCAGCCCACGCAGCCGGATACCAATATGACAGCACATGCATATCCTATTTATCAGCACGGGAGCGCCCTCAGCAAAGAATACCTCCGTCCGGGCTGCTCAACACTAGTTCGGCAATACCGATTTATCCTGAGCGACTCTAAACCAGTAGTTTGAATGATTCTGACATCCTAGGGGCGGGTTGATATTTGCGACGCGCGTCACTGTTACTCACTGGCGCCGACGACCAGTTTCTCTTGCCTTGCGCTTTGAGACCAATCTTATGCAGCTTATCTGCAGGTGATACATACCACGTTCGCAGCCTTGTGTGCTTGGGCCGAGGAGCATATACTTACGTAGCAATAACCTTACTACTAAGTCATCTTTGTCCCAGCCTTGTATCGACGACTATCGTGTATCCCTTCTCTTCCGCCGCAGCTATCGAGACCGGCCTGTGCCATCTATTGCGATGAAGGATGCAAAACAACGAAAGAAGGCAGAGGACGAGGAGGCGAAGAACTGGAGTAGGCGATTCGCCAGGAACCTACCGAAAGAGATCGCGGACCAGCCGATCGGCAAGGCCATGGCACTGGATGAGCAGCAGAAACAAGAAGATGAAGAGAAGGAGATTTTGGGGCAATTTGAGGCTCTTTACGATCCTGCGAAAGCGTGGGTGTTGCGGCTATCCCTCAAGTTACGTAAACTCGTCTAAATTATACAGGTCTTCGAATATCTCGAGGGAACTGCAGGACGCAACGCGTGATATGGTTGAAGCTTGGAAAGAGCTCAAGAACATCGAGTTTACGGAGAAACGGCATGCTTTCCAGATTTTCTCGAGAGATAACCCCGATCAACAGAATGAGAGCGCTGAAGTAGGAACTATCAAAGCCCGGTATATGAAGTTGTGCGAGACGTTGAACAACTACTCGGGGCTGTTCAAATTCGTGCCTTCTGGTGATAAGTATATATCTCTCCTGACGGGCACAATCGAAACCATCGTTCAGGTAAAGTGCTTTGAGTTGGAGTGTGAGAGATGTACTGATCACAGCCAGGCAACGGTGAACCACACCAAGATTGGACAGGGATTCGCCGACGCTATAGACCGCATAGGCAGAGAGTTAGAGTATTGCTCCCGATCACTATCTGCTGTTCGAAATAGAGATGAGAGCCATCGAGATCGAGTGCGTACCAAGGTGATGGGAGTGTTCACTCTATGTTTCAAATTCCTCGCGCCATACGCTCGTTGGTGCAAATCCCGATTCGAGAGATTCAAAGACTCGTTGAATAAGAATTATTACGAAGACAAGGTCGAAGGCCCACTGCAGGCGCTGCTCGCGAGGTCGAACGAGCTAGAACGGGAAAATCAAATGCAGAGCAGAGAAGATGTCATCGAGCTGCACGGCAAGTTCGACGACCACACTGAGTGGATGAAGGACTTCAGCAAGAAGTTAGAGGACCGCGAGGAGAAGCGGGCTTCTGCCATTGTGGCTGGGTTGGCATCTGTGCGAATTGAGTTTAGCAAAGCCCTACAAGAGCTTGGGGAGAAGGCAAACGGTCAAAACGAGCTAGCTGCGAAGAAGTACTTGCAAGAGCAAGCGGAGGAGCAGAGGCGGAAGAAGGCGAACTTCCACTGGCGGAAAGCATTGCAGGGCATCGAGACCGGAGCGATCCCTCCGCCAGCCAATTCCGGAACTAGAAGGCTTCGCAACTGGGACGACATTGAAGCAGCGTCCCACTTTCTCGAAACCGTGGCAGATACGGGCTATCCCATTGATCTCAGAGAACTCCAGGATTTCAAGATTGCGCCACGTGCGTTCCATCCACTTGAGCACTGGATGACAACCCAGGAGAGCGAATGGCTTTGGATGCGAGGGACATTAACCCACAGCGAACTCAGTGAAGTTTCTACAGCCGCTTACTACACGGTCATTGTCAGCGAGCGGCTGAAACTGCCACTCGTGTCTTATCGATTTAGGGCGGATGAGTACGGTTTGGCGGAGAGTGTAGATTCAGCTCTTGAAGGACGATCGGTAGAGATGGATCGATTTGTCTTGATGGCGTATTCGATCATCCGCCAGCTGGTTTGGCTGCTTCCGAAGGAAGTCGAGACGGACGTAGATCTGAGTTCGGCGAGGTTCCAACGGTTGGACGGAAGCACGGAGAGCTTGCTGGACGCGTTTAATTTGATCGAGGCGCTCCTGAGTTTTATGCCCCAGATCTTGATCGTTGTCCTAGATGGGTTCCAGTTCGTCGATAATGATAGTGGAGTCTACGGTGATAGTACTCACGGCTACCTCGAGCTGTTCTTGGAGATCTTGAGGCAGGCCGGGACCAGTCGGACACTGAAGGTGCTCATCACGAGTGATGGTCGGTGCAGGACACTACTTGAGGAGGACGTTATCCACCTGGATGAGCAGGTCGAAGTGGGCCAGAGCGGGGACGGAGAAGAGCAAATTCCAGAGCTCTTTGATTCCTGGGTCGAAGACTTGATTGATGGTGAGTGAGTTCATATAGGTGACTGATTTCCGGCAAAGTGCCCCAGAGCTAAATCATAGCAGAAGGAATTTCGATAACCGAACCGTGAAGACATGGCAACGTTTGAGACGGAAGATTGGAGATGGTCAAATGACTGGCTCTAGGGAACGATGCTGCAATGTTGCTTCCAGTTGTTGCCAGGACGGTTCCTGTATGCTATTCCGGACCGTGTATGAACAGTGTTGCACTGGAACCAAGTTGGTTCTTACGTGAAGCCCACAGTTGAATACCGGATATAGGGAGTCCGGGGCCGCACCTCTCAATGAAATCCGTGTGAGTAGGGAGGATCATTTTCCAACCTTCCCCCGACCGGGGAACATGATTGCCGGAATCCGTGGCAGATAAGGCAGCAATGTGAAATTCCGTCATCCATGGGGAACGCAGAGGCCGATGCCAGCTTCAACTAGGACACGCGGCGTGTATTCTGCCAGGATTCGTCTTGGCCAATATCCTCGTACGGTGCTGTCCAGTGTCCAGTACATTGATGGAGGTACCTTACCCCGACGCACGGTTTTTCCATCTCTGGGGAAATCAGGCGCACGGTATGGTACACGGTAACAGTAGATATCCGATATACTGTGTAAGTATTACGATCGGAATTCACTCACCGGAGCCTTCCGAAGCCCTTTTGAAGCCATCAAGCCACGGATGAGGCTGTAGGGCTGATGAGATGGAACCTTTCACGGCGTTGCGGCGTGGGCCGGAACGGGAGACGAGGGCTTCCGAAAGACTATTCCGTTTTGGGTGCCAAAGCTCGGTAACGGAGATGCCAAGCGCCGACTTCTCGAAAAGTGTTCCGAGGAACATAGACAGTACTCCGTTCAAGGAGGCGATGGATTTCGTCCGGAAGGAGGTGTCATCATCAGGCTGCCTGAGCGAGAAGGACGAAGGCTAATAAGGGGCATGGGTGAAAGAAATTTCCAAGTGGTTACGGAGTACTGTGAGTACACCATAATAGGCGACACGTAGATGGCGCGTTCAAGGAGGGGGCAATATGGCATTGCCATGGGAATCGGCGAGCCCGGCGAAGACTGATGAGGTTGCAGTGATAGGCTCGCTGGGCAGTTGCATGCAGTCACTTCGACTCACCCGTACACAGTATTTGTGATTCTTCGGATATCCTTTCTTGAGGAGCTGCTAGGCTATCGAACTCAGCGTACGGAGTACACACATACATAGGGTACTGTGTAGCCTCTCGCGTGTTTTCCTTGAGTGGCCGAGCAATCCTCCCTCCTTGGAAGACTACGTATGAAACCCCTTTTACAAACAATTCGCGGGATTACATTTCTTACTTGTATAACGCCATCCTGTGTAGTAACAGTAGTTGACACTCCGGCCATGTTCCTAAAAACAGATGGTTAAACCAGCAATTTCCCAACCGGTCGAGCTTCCAGAATGTTTGAAGCGAGGGGCGAGATGTTGGATGCTGATTGGCCAGCTTCACGCTCGGTTTCGCGTTAAAGGCACGGAGCGAGGGCGTTCCGCCAGCCGGCGCCAGGGACTCGGTACGGGGTGGGACTCTCACCCACGCACGCCAAGCCGCATGTCGTCGGCCGGCTCATCACCAGAGCTCCTCCCGGCGAGCCCTTGGGGAGAGAGAGTCGCGGGGACGAATTTCGAAGGAGCTAGACCTTCTTGTTATTTTATTCCTACCCTCTCGCCCCCTGTCCTTCGTTATCCCTTTCTCCATTTTTCGCCTCTTCGCCTTTGTCGACTTTTTGTACATAGACCCTTTAATCCGTCTCTCCTTCGTACCTTTTCCTACTGCCTGCTGGTCGTTATATGCACCTACGAGTGTAGGCGGCCATTGACCGCGCCAGGTGGGAGACAGACATGATTGGCAACTTCACAGGCACTGCCATGGCCCACCCCGAAGCCGAGCGTCGCAACTCCGTCACAAACACAAATTCCAATCTTGTCGAACCCTTAAACAACGATTCGGATGCGTCCACCATAACTGTCAACCAGGACGCCACCCGGTCACGGGGTAACACCTGCAGCGACCATGACCCAGATCTCAAGGCGTCGGCCACCGCAGCACCACCCACTAATGCCGACCGCGACACGGACAGCGACGTCAACTCTACCGAGAGGAGGGAACAGGAGGTACATGCACTTGCACGCCGTTACACCACCCAGAGCCACTACTCGACTACCGGCCAGAACGTCTTCCACGCCGCACCCGGATCAGCCCTGGACCCCAATGGCGACAACTTCAACGCCCGTGCCTGGTGCAAGGCCATGCTGCACATGCAGACCGAGGACGAGCGCGCACATCCCCCGCGGACCGCTGGCCTTGCCTTCCGTGATCTCAATGTCCACGGTTTCGGTTCCACTACCGACTTCCAGAAGAGCATGGGAAATATCTGGTTAGAGGCTGTCGGTCTCGTCAACAAGTTGACTGGAAGGGGAAAGACCAAGATTGATATTCTGCGCAATCTCGAGGGCCTGGTGGAGAGCGGCGAGATGCTCGTGGTACTGGGACCCCCTGGATCCGGTTGCTCAACGTTCCTCAAGACTGTCACCGGTGAGACACATGGGTTCTACGTCGACGAGAAGTCCAAGTTGAACTATCAGGGTAAGTTGCGCAAAACGCCTTCTTTTCACACGGTTGCTGATTCAATTCAGGTATCAGTGCCAAGAAGATGGCCAACGACTTCAGGGGAGAGGCCATCTACACGGCCGAAGTCGATGTCCACTTCCCCAACATGACTGTTGGAGAAACGCTCTGGTTCGCTGCACGCGCTCGTGCCCCTCGCCATATCCCCGGTGGTGCTACCCCCAACCAGTATGCCGAGCACATGCGCGACGTCCTCATGGCCATGTTCGGTATCAGCCACACCATCAACACCAAGGTGGGAAACGACTACGTGCGAGGTGTGTCTGGCGGCGAGCGCAAGCGTGTCAGTATTGCCGAAGCAGCCTTAAGTCAAGCGCCCCTGCAGTGCTGGGACAACAGCACCAGAGGCCTGGACAGCGCAAACGCAATCGAATTCTGCAAGACCCTTCGCATGCAGTCGGATATCAACGGTACGACGGCATGCGTTGCCATCTACCAGGCTCCTCAGGCTGCCTACGATTTCTTCGACAAGGTGCTCGTGCTGTACGAAGGCCGCCAGATCTATTTCGGACGCACGTCGACCGCCAAGCAGTACTTCATCGACATGGGCTTCGAGTGCCCGGACAGGCAAACCGATGCCGACTTCCTTACTTCCATGACCAGCCCGCTGGAACGCGTTGTCCGCAAGGGCTTCGAGGGCCGCGTCCCGCGGACGCCTGATGAGTTCGCCCAGCGCTGGAAGGACTCGCCTGAGCGTGCTCAGCTTCTCCGCGACATTGAGGCGTATGACCAGAGGTATCCGATTGGGGGCGAGCATTTCCAGAAGTTCAGGGAATCTCGCAGGAAACAGCAGGCAAAGCACCAACGAGTCACGTCGCCCTACACCCTCTCCTACATGCAGCAGATCAACCTCTGCCTCTGGCGTGGTTTTGTGCGACTCAAGTCCGACCCTAGCATCACCCTCTTCCAGTTAATCGCAAACTCCATCATGGCCCTCATCATCTCCTCCGTCTTCTACAACCTCCAGCCGACCACCGCCAGTTTCTACCAGCGTGCCGCTCTTCTCTTCTTCGCCATCCTCATGAACGCCTTCGGCTCCGCCCTCGAAATCCTCACCCTGTACGCCCAGCGTCCCATTGTCGAAAAGCACTCACGTTACGCTCTTTACCATCCGTCTGCAGAGGCCTTCGCGTCTATGCTGACTGACTTGCCGTACAAGATTCTCAACGCTATTTTCTTCAACTTGGTTCTCTACTTTATGACAAACCTCCGGAGAGAGCCCGGACCGTTCTTCTTCTTCGTCTTCACCTCCTTCGTAATCACGCTCGTCATGTCCATGTTCTTCCGATCCATTGCCTCCCTGTCCAGGTCCCTTGTTCAGGCTCTGACTCCTGCGGCCATCCTTATCCTGGGTCTCGTCATGTATACCGGTTTCACTATCCCCACCTCGTACATGCTTGGATGGTCCCGCTGGATCGGTTACATTGACCCCGTCGGCTACGGTTTTGAATCGTTGATGATCAACGAGTTCCACAACCGCAACTTCGAGTGTGTCAATTTCGTCCCCATGGGTCCTGGGTATGAGAATGTCGGGCCCACGAACCGTGTCTGCTCCACTGTCGGCTCAGTACCTGGACAGCCCTATGTCAACGGCGACGTCTACATCGGCTCGGCCTTCAACTATCACCACTCCCACAAGTGGAGGAACATCGGCATCCTCTTCGGCTTCATGTTCGGCCTCTTGGGCGTCTATCTTGCGGCTACCGAATTGGTGACGGCGAAGAAGTCCAAGGGTGAAGTCCTCGTTTTCCGTCGCGGGCACAAGTTGATCAAGAAGAGCAAGTCCACTGAAGATCTAGAAGGTAACCCTACCGGCCGCCCTGTGTCCGCCGAGAAGACCAACTCGGACGAAATTGCCATCATCGAGCGCCAGACCGCCATCTTCCAGTGGAGCGATGTTTGCTACGATATCAAAATCAAGGGTCAGCCTCGCCGGATTCTGGATAATGTCGATGGTTGGGTCAAGCCGGGTACCTTGACTGCGCTCATGGGTGTGTCTGGGGCAGGCAAGACTACGCTTTTGGATTGTTTGGCTACTCGTACCACTATGGGTGTCATCACGGGTGAGATGCTTGTTGACGGCAAACCCCGCGACGAGTCCTTCCAACGCAAGACTGGCTATGTCCAACAGCAGGATCTCCATCTTTCTACGTCGACCGTCAGAGAAGCTCTTACCTTCTCCGCTCTCCTTCGTCAACCCGCTCATGTGCCTAAGCAAGAGAAGCTGGACTATGTCAATGAGGTTATCAAGCTCCTGGATATGACCGAGTACGCCGATGCCGTCGTTGGTGTTCCCGGTGAAGGTCTCAACGTCGAGCAGCGTAAGCGTCTTACCATTGGTGTAGAACTGGCTGCGAAGCCCGCTCTCCTTCTCTTCTTGGACGAACCCACCTCCGGTCTAGATTCTCAGACTTCTTGGGCGATCCTGGATCTTTTGGATAAGCTCAAGAAGAACGGTCAGGCTATTCTTTGCACTATTCATCAGCCCTCCGCCATGCTGTTCCAGCGTTTCGATCGTCTCCTCTTCCTCAAGGCCGGCGGCCAGACCGTGTACTACGGCGATGTCGGCGCAAACTCCCAGATCCTCATTGACTACTTCGTCCGCAATGGCGGAAAGCCTTGCCCTCCTGACGCCAATCCTGCCGAATGGATGTTGGAGGTCATCGGTGCAGCTCCTGGCTCTCACACGGACATCGACTGGCACCACGTCTGGCGGAACAGCCCGGAATATGCCGCAGTCAAGCAACACCTTGCCGAATTGAAGGCGGAACGGTCCCAAATGGAGGGCCTGTACCGTACCGAAACTGCCCAGAGGCGCGAGGATAAGGCCAGCTATCGGGAATTTGCCGCGCCGTTCTGGGAGCAACTCAAGGTCGTCACCATCCGTGTCTTCCAGCAGTACTGGCGCTCGCCGACCTACCTGTACTCCAAGCTGTCGCTGTGCATCCTGTCCGCTCTCTTCATCGGCTTCTCGCTCTACAACAGCCCCAACACGATGCAAGGTCTCCAGAACCAAATGTTCGGCATCTTCATGTTGATGACCATCTTCGGCCAGCTGGTGCAGCAAATCATGCCGCACTTCGTCACGCAGCGCGCCCTGTACGAGGTGCGCGAACGCCCGTCCAAGGCCTACTCGTGGAAAGCCTTCATGATCGCCAACATCACGGTCGAACTGCCGTGGAACACGCTCGCGGCCGTCTTCATCTTCGTCTGCTGGTACTACCCCATCGGGCTGTACCGCAACGCCGAGCCGACCGACGCCGTCAACCTGCGCGGCGGCCAAATGTTCCTCTTCGTCTGGATGTTCCTCCTCTTCACCTCGACCTTTGCGCACATGGTCATCGCGGGCGTCGAGCTGGCCGAAGCCGGCGGCAACATTGCCAACCTGTGCTTCTCGCTCTGCCTCATCTTCTGCGGCGTCCTCGCCACCCCCGAGCAGCTGCCCGGCTTCTGGGTCTTCATGTACCGCGTCTCGCCCTTCACGTACCTCGTCTCCGGCATGCTGTCGACGGGCCTCGCAAACACAAACGTCGTCTGCGCCACCAACGAGTACCTGCACTTTGACCCCGCGCAGGGCACCTGCGGCGAGTATCTGGCGCCGTACATGGCGGTCGCGGGCGGCTACGTCGAGAACCCCAACGCGACGGCGGAGTGCACCTTCTGCGCCATGGGCGACACGAATGTGTTCCTCAAGGCCGTCAGCTCGGATTACAGCACCGCGTGGCGCAATTTCGGTATTCTGTGGGCGTACATTGTGTTTAATGTGTTTGGGGCGTTGTTCTTGTATTGGTTGGTGAGGGTGCCGAAAGTGAAGAGGGAGGATAAGGGGGAGAAGACGGGGAAGGAGGAGGGGGAGAAGGCGGGGAAGAAGGAGGAGGGTGAGAAGACGGTGGTTGGAGGTACGGTGAAGGAGGTGCGGGAGAAGGTTACTGGGGAGGGTGAGGGTGATAGGGATGTGGGTGGGAAGCTGGAGGGGAATAGGCAGGGGGAGGCGGCGCTGGCATAAGGCTTTCTTCCCTCGTCCTTTTTTCTTTTCCATCGCTGTAGATTTTTCTCATGTGTCGTTTCGTGCATAAAGGTATTTTGTACCTTTTTTTTCTCTCTCATGTACAGCGCGATTCGGGGAGGACAGTCCCCTCTCTGGCATCATCATCTCCTTTCATCATCTTCCCTGCTCGTCGTTGCCGTCGTTGGCAAAAGTCGACGTGTTAAGAGCGCCGGTACATGCTGCTGGCATATCCTCCTCTTTTCCTTATTGCGTAATAGGTAATTTCTGTACAAAGAAAGCAAGTAGATAGATAGAACGATTATCAAGAGTCGACTGTTCGAGAAAACGTGTCCATGAAGAGAAGAGATAGAGACTGTGACGATGACTCGTACGTTGTCCAACTCCTCTCTTGCTTTCCTCGAGCGATGGGAGGGAGGCGAAATTGCAGTCCAGAGTCAGAAGCGCTGTAGAGGAGACGAGAAACCAGGGGTTGTGCGGAGGACAATGGTGTTGTGTGTTGCTCTCATGACTGCCATTCCTGTTTGAAAACCTTGCTGACTAGCAGATATCGTCTAGTATATATGTGCCTATGTATGTGTACGGGTTGTCGAGTCTCGTGGTTCTAATAAGGGGTTTGGCGCTTTGGCTGGATATCGTCCACCGTTGAGCTTGGGGCTCGCCAAGGCGTATCAGTCCAAGCCTTGGAGGAGGAGGTCCAACTTAACGACGAAACACTACTGTCGGGGGAAGAGGCAAATGCCGCACACATAGTCTAGTTAGGAAAGTCGGAGACGTGAAAGCCATGCTTATCGGGACGGCGGAGGCGAATTCCCATAGACCCAGGAAGTGCAGACAAGCCGTGTGCGACAACCCATGTGCGACAAGCCCATGGCATTTCCTCTTCCCCATTGTTGCGGCGGGGAAATGCGATTTAGCACCCCGGTGTTGGGGAAGGTTTCGCGCGGCGTTGGAAATGGAAGGACGCGTGTACATTGGGAGTTCGACTTCTGTCATGTCGGTGTTGCTGGATAGCGTGGAACGGTTCGAGTGTCCGGAGTAAATGGGTATGATGTTGGGATACAGAAGTCCTGGCCAAGGCGACAGAGAATAGCATCACCTTCACTTCGTACCTTTCGCACCCCTAGGCTCGCCATCGCCTCCCAGCGCATTTTGGACCATTGCTGAATCAGGATGTACATAGTCTCGGGAGTTGCGACGATGCGTGTGCGACAGGCGATTCGAGAGACCACCGTTGAGAGCTAGAGCTAGCTCCAATTTCCACTTAAGGTCCCCAACAGACGTGCCTATACCGCCGCTATCCGATTTCCCCTTTTCCTATTTTCGGCATATGGAGGCCGTCATGCACTTGTGGCCATGTGCGACAAGTTCCTCTGACGGGGCGAGGCGACTGGGATGGAGGCGAGGATGCAAGATCGAAGGCCAGGAATGGTTTCCCCAAGACCACCCAAGACGGAAGTGATTGTCCCTGTATTCACAGCCCTTGGCGTGCATATGATAACAACACTTCGCACAACTTCTTTGATGATTTGAAGATCCTAGCCTCGTCGTCGAGCTGGTAGCCGCGTATTGGTGTATTCCCAGATTTTCCAGGCGGCAATCTCGTCTGCGTTATGGCGGGGTCCATCTGCGACAATGCCTGCGCAAGACGCATATATGGCGGATGCTATTGCATTGAGGAATCCCTCGAGACGAAGCTGTCGCAACCGTTTCAGCTCGTTGGAATGCGACAGGACGGAGGTTGGCAAAGATAAGGTCCCGTGACGGATTGGTTGATTCAGCCTTGGAGTGTTGCGCCGTCCAAGCAGTGCCGCACGTGCGACGGGATGCGATTGAGTGAAGATAAATATCCAGCCTCGCTGCATCGTGGCATGATGTTGTTAGTCTTGTTGTTGTTGTTTACTTGGTTGCCTGCTTTTCCGATCCGGTTGTTCGTTTGAGAGAAAAAGAGAATAGGAAGACGAGGAGGTCATTGACTTGAAGAGAAGACAGTGATAGAGATATAGAAAGACCTACCCGACAACCGACATTATGACGGGTAAGTGCGCTCGCATTCCTACAACGTCAGCAACCATCGCCGAATGCTCAAGCTGGTCGCACCATGGCATTGCTATTGCCATGACACTGCGCTCAAGCACTCCTCATGGAGGGCCTCAAAACATCTCCTCCCCAACTAACCCCTCCCGCCAGACGTCCTCGACCACATCCTCACCGGCAACCGCCACTACCGCAACCAAACCCTCACCCACGACCCCACCTTCTTCGACACCCTCAGCAAAGGCCAAAGCCCAAGCGTGCTTTGGATCGGCTGCGCCGACAGCCGCATCCCCGAAACCACCATCTGCGCCAGCCAACCGGGCGAGCTCTTCGTGCACCGCAATATTGCCAACTGCGTGCACGCGGGCGACATCAACGCGGCGAGCGTGGTCGAGTATGCGGTGACGCATCTCAAGGTCAAGAAGGTGGTCGTGTGCGGGCACACGAGCTGTGGGGGTGCGGTGGCGAGTCTGGGGGATGCCGAGTTGGGCGAGGTGTTGGATAGTTGGTTGCATCCTGTGAGGGAGTGAGTATACGTACTTTCCAGTATCTCGCAGAAAGCCCACTTCCAAATCCGGAGAGGGAAAATATCTCTTGTCATGTCCGCTCTGGCGCTTTATTATTAGCGTCCTTTCAACAAACCTACCATACAGTAGCTTTAAGGTTCTTTCTCAAGATATCCGGACCAACGGCCACTAACCACCGGGGCCCTCGGCCCTCTCCCCAGACTCCGCCGCAAGCACAAATCCGAACTCGATGCCCTACCCGACGACAACGCGCGCGCCGTCCGCGTCGCCGAGCTCAACGTCCGCCAGTCCATCGAGGTGCTGAGACGGCATCCCGCCGTTCGAAGGGCCGCGTCGGACCGTGGATTGACGGTCCACGGCTTGATCTACGATCTCGGGCTTGGGGAGTTGAGGGTGTTGGAGGAGAGTGGGAAGGGGAAGGGAAACGGGCTTTGGAGTCCCAATTAGGGGGTGCATTTCGTGGTGGCGTGATGTTTGGAGGTGCGAGTATCACAGTATGGCCTGTTTGGGTCTTTTGGGACCGGAGGGACTTGGGAAAGTTACGAGGTCACGAGAACACAAAGAGCCCTTTTCTTTTGCAAAAGCCTACTGTTAAAGAATCAACGACGACTGTTCTGCGAAGATTTAATAGCGCACACACGAAACCTGCTATTGTGCGTGCATCACTTCCCTTCTCCAACAAACGAATTCTCGAGAAACCCCAGCCAAGCCTTTTCCCCTCGCCAACATTTCCCACCTCCACAGGTCCATCACATAACCATTCCGACTCCTTCCCCAGCAAAATAACGTTACCCGCATGCCCTAGCTCCGGAGGCCCCATAGTTCACCCCAGAATTTCCCCATACTTGTGGAGTAGTGCGGGTACACGGAGATGGCTCGGTTATTAGGGTTGTTTCTGGGCAACCGTACCTGCGACTCACCACGCGTTCGGCCGGAGCCCCGAGGTCATTCTTGAAGCAAATATGGCGCAAAAAGGTGGGTATCACAAGAGATATATATATTCAGGTCTCCCTCTCTTGCATCCTGCTTCCCATTCATTTCCAATTCATCACTCATCTTTCGAAGTTCTTCTGTTGGTGTTTCCGATCTCCCTCAAACACTTGTTCTCGAAACATCTCAAACTCCAAAACTTCCCTCCGTCCGAACTACCTACTGTGATACCTACCCACCCACTCCACAGTTCAAAGACTTCCCACAACACCGATAAAAGGGAGCAGCACTCCCCTCGTACCGCACGCACACAACTCAGAGAGGAGTATAAAGAAAAATCCGGCAAACACCACACTTCAACTCCTGCCAACACCCATCCCCAACTTCTACAAAACCTACACTTGTACCCACCTCTTCAGCTCTATCCACACCACCACCACACCCACCACCACAATGCTCGAAACAGTCATAACACCCACCCCACGCCCCCTCTCCCCTCCCTCGCGCCCCCGCCGCCTAACCCCCCGCACCAACACGGACGACCACAGCATGACCTCCAACCCCTCCACCCACACACCCAGCGACACATACCCACGCTTCAAAACCCTCTCCTTCACCCTCCCGCGCAACCGGTCCAGCTCCGCCGTCTCCTCTTCCTCTTCCTCCTCCTCCTCGACGCGGAGTACGCGCGCGCTATCGCCCGAGGCCGTGCTTGAGGACGACGATAGAGATGGCGGAGAGGGGTTTGAGATAAGAAGGCGGATGAGCGCGAAGAGTATTAGTGCTACTGCTACTACTCCTGCTGCTACTACTCCTGCTGCTACTACTCCTGCTGCTACTACTCCTGCTGCTGGTGCCGTTGGTGGTGGTGCTGGTATCACGAACGCACGTGGGAGGGAAAGGGAACGGGAATGGGAAACAGGGTTCGGAGTACGAGTATGAGGAGCCCGGCTTTCTTCCTGACAGTGCCAGTGCGAAGGATGGAAATGAGGCGGAGAAGTGGAATAGCGGCTATAGGTATCTGAGTTGATGTGAAGGAGGGGATGATATGATGATATGATGGGCATGAGGGGATATCACTTTTCTTTTTTGGCATCCCTCTGGCATATGGTTGTGTAGAGATGATTATATACCCTGAATGACAGTCATTTGTTCCTATCAACATGCCTTCATCTTCGTGTCTTGTTATGGGATAGGATGTGGTGTTGCCGTTCGTGAATTCACACCCGGACGTCCGCGAAGGGTGACCAGGTTGTTGCGTAGTATCAGAGTGCTGTCTGATAAGTCGAATTGCATATGGGATTCCAAACCGGCCGCTGCGAGTGCAGAAGGCGTAGATTTCTGCTGGAGGCTCTCGCATTAGCACCACATCTGCACAAAGGACCCACAAAGGATCTGGTAACCAGCGCTGTGGTTTGTACACAAGACATGCAATACGGATACTGATTAAGGATTCCTCATTACAGTGCCTGAACTAGAGTCCCGCGAGCAGAGCCCGTACGCTCGTTATTACTTGAACCGCCCAGCAAAGCCCGAGTGGACGCACGTATATGCCGCTCTGTGTAATGCAACCGCACCAAAGCACCGTGCTGAAAGCTGTCCGCCAAACCCGCACAGCATGAGCAGGAAACGACACGGTCTTCCCATGACCTCCTATCCAACGTGTGAAAGTCAAACATCTCTTTTCCGCCCGTTTTAAAGCGAGTCACTGGGACAAAGCCTCATGCAACCGCAAAGTGATGAGAGGAGAGCGGACTCGAACTCCAGAGACACCCGCACCTACCCGCCAGCCCTCGCACCTGGATGCTAAAAGGAACCCGCAATGCAAAAGGATACAAGAAGGGGCATGCTAATTAAAGGGTATAAGCAACTCTTTTGCAGCAGCCCACTGAAGTCGGGGCAGTGCGAAAGGGTAGTAAACATGCGCTAGAGCCATGAAAAAGAATACGGCGCAATTACATGATCACAGAGGGCGTGTCGATGTTCTGCTTGATGGACTTGTGGGGGAGAACGGAGCCGCCGTTGACGTAGACTTCATCGCCGATGGAGACGTCGTCGCCAAGCACGGTTACGTTCTCTAGGCGTGCCCACTTGCCGACGGTGCAGTTCCAGCCGACGATGGTGGACTTGATCCAAGCGTGATCCTTGATCTTGCTGTTCTTGAGAACAACACAGCGTTGCAGGCGGACACCATCGCCAATGACAACGTTGGGACCAATTGTAACATTGGGGCCAATGCGGCAGCCCTTACCGATCTTGGCCGAAGGGTCGATCAGGACATTGCCTTGGTGGACGTAGGGCTCGGTGACAGGAGTGAGGAGCTTGGAGCCCATGCGGGAAAGCGAAGATAGGTAGAGGCAGGTGCCGGAGATGAAGTCCTTAGGTTGTCCCACGTCCATCCAGAAGCCCTCCAGGTCGAATGAGTGCAGCTGACCGTCCTTGACCATGGCGGGGAAGGTCTCCTGCTCGATGGAGGTGGGCCTGAGCTCGATGCGCCTGAGCACACTGGGGTTGAGAATGTAGATACCGGCATTGATACGGTTTCCGACGAACTCGACGGGCTTCTCCACGAAACGATCGATCCGGGACGGGTGATTGGGCTTGTGCACCACAACACCGTACTTGGACGGTTCCTCAACCTTGGTTACAACAATGGTGCCCTCGTCTCCGTGCGCTTTGTGGAACTCGGCAAGTCTCTTGAACGGATATTCGCATGTGACGTCCGCGTTGAGTACGAAGAAGGGAGAGTCGTCCTTGCCCAAAATGCCCTCGGCGAGCTTGAGGGGACCCGCGGTGCCCAACGGTTCCGTCTCGACGGAGAAGTCAATCTTGACGTCGTACATCTCCTCATACTGCATAGTGAGTGTTACTGGGATATCCTCTGTTGGGAAGGCCATGTACTAACGCTCTTCAATGCCTCGGCCATGATCTCCGGTCTGTAGTTTACTGCGAGGACAATGTGGGTGACGCCAGCGGCGGCTAGTGCTTCTATTTGATGCTGAATCATAGGCTTGTTCGCGAATTCGACGAGGGGTTTAGGATAGGTGAGGGTCTGGAGACGGGGTTAGGGGCTTCAGATCCAAAGATGGAGGGACCGATGGCGCAACGGTGGAAGCATACGAGAGGTCGCAGACGGGTGCCAAACCCTCCAACAAGGATGATGGCTGTGAATTGTAAGAATTGATATTTTCAAGAGGGTGGACTGCTCCCACCTTTCATGATTACGGTGTGTTGTGAGCGACTGGAGGAATGAGGGGACTTTTCTGGCGGGTTTCTTAACGGAGCGAATTGCGTGCCCGGCAGTGATGATGTTGCGATTACGGAAGAGAGCAGAGTCTCTTGCGGGAGAGAAAATACGGTCGGACGGGCAAGCAGGCGGGCAACAAAGGCAGCGGGGAGAGGACAGCTGGTTTTATTATTTATGGGGGAGAAGGGTAACTCTCACTGGTAACCCCCTTGTAGTGGCACCCACGGTGGAGCTCCCTCCCTGGCCTGGCCCTCCCGCTTCCGCCAAGCCCTTGCCATTTTCTCTTCCCCCCTTTTGTTGCTCTCGCATTCGTCCGCGCCCGCCCCTTGCGAGTTGCAACCGTGGAGAAATGCTCCTCTCGAGGTCACCTGTGCGCTCTTTCGAGTCCACCATTGGCCATGACCCCACGCTCGTTGGACCCTGCGGCGAAATTGCGCGTTGTTGAAGGAACGTTGGAACTCGGGAAGAGAGCCGATCAGCTGACTGCCGGAGCTGTCCATGTGTGGCGTATTGTGGCTGACTGTGGCTGAGAGTGATCGAATCGTGTGTCCAGAACGGTACATAGCCTCCATCACCTGAGGACAACCTCGTACTACCCTCCTCGTGCCTCCTTGGAATGACTGCTTCTAGAAATCTTTTGGCCGATTGTAGCGGGTGTAGCCGAGCGTTCGTGTACACTTCATGTAACAGAATGGACTTTGAGGGTCGAAAACCCAAAGTCTTCCAGCAGCTGGTTACATCGTAGTGTGAATGGAAGACGAATAATCTGCTGTCTATTTTTGGACTCGAGACTGCTACTTGTACTTCAGAGTGGGTCTTGCTGAAGTTAGCAACAGATGGTGCTGGTGGCAAATCAAGAAGTCCATCGACTAACATCGGGGTATCGTCATGCTACTTTCTGATCCTCGTGCGTAGCCATCGACCACGGTGCTCTCTAGTCCTTTCCGCATGTTATCATCTGGGCACAGTAAACGGTTGTCTTAGCTAGCAGATGCACAAGTACTATATAAGACCTCTATTAGGAAGCCTCAGTAAGGGTAGGTGAAGGAGCAACATCTGATAGCCCCTCACTCGAGGAACAGAAGTCGCTCTTTGTCTTAGGACACTGTGGATATTACGAATTCCGAACGTAGCCGCGCTCCCGCCGTCATACCCTACCCCTATCGGCGTAGTCAGCAATATAATAGCAATAGAGCGTTTCACCGCCAAGGGCGACTCAGCAGAACCGAAAAGAAATAAGCTAAAAAAGGTGGAATAAGTATGCCTCCCAAAGCTGCGGGCATTGGCACAGGGAGTTGACTCTCAGGTACAATGCTGACCAAGTCAGCTTTTGCGAAAGAATGGGATGGTGCCGCTGAACAAGATGCGCCTGGAGATCTTGTAGACTCTCTACTCAGGCGTGCAACCGTATTGACTAGGTAACTGCTAGAGGAATAGCATAACTAAAAGTCTCATTGGCAGCTGGCCGCGCTTCGGCTGGCACGAAACTTCCAGGTGAAGGTCCCTTTCTGTCGCGGACCATGGTATCGAGACGGCCGAGGCCGTGGGTGCGTAGTGGACGTTCTGAATGACATCCATCTTGAATCGTAGATGATGCACAGCAAATTGAAGAAGGTCCTCAGTGAAGCAACGATTTCATTTCTCAGGGGCCAAAGAAGATCGTGTTCACGTGATCGTAACTTCGTAACATGTGTGACATAGAGCAACCGACAAGGAAAAGAGGCCGTCGTTGATCATAAGTATCGTCGTAGAGGAAGAGAATTGCCAGTTTTTCTGATCATGTTCTGCTTATTGCCTCAGCCTTGCGGACCGAGTATGATAACAATAGGTATCATGACATAACAGTTGTGCAATTTGAATTCAAGGCACCCGACCCAGTATCTCTCTGATCATTTTGGAACCGTCGCTATGCTTCAGACAGGTGGAAAGGAATCGAGAGCATAAGTCATCAGTCGTGACGTGAGTCTGTTTGAAGGATGGCCGGTAGAGAGTAACGAAAGGAAAGAAACAAAAATAGAGAAGAATATGAGATCGTAGTTCGTTTCGTCATGGTCGTGGCATATATCGTGGATGGTATCGCTGAGCCTGAGCCCTTCAAGTCTTTGGTCGTCGTGATATCGTTCTAGTACCCCGCCCGTAGTCGCCGATATTCTGGTGATTCGATAAGGTGCTATTTCAGCATCTGTATCCAGCTTCGCGGAGGCAGTATGTGCATCTCTCATGCGCACGAATCCCGCCACGACCGCAGTAACAGGTTGGTGCCGCAGTCGAGAATTTGCTGGGTCTCCGCCCAGCTGCCCTCTCCGACTCGAGTCCGCAATCACTGCCCCTTGGGCTGGCACCGCCACTTGAGCTGCTGGCGCTGTCGTAGTCATTGGATGAAACGGTGCTCCGTCTTCCCGTCCCAATGGCAACCGGAAGTCCTTGGACAACGCCACCCTGGCCTGGACGTTGGCCAGGGTACATGCCGTCGTTAACGGAGAAGTTACGACAGATCATGTAGGCCCGGGTAGCAGCCGCATTCTTTGCGAGCTCATCCGTTTCGTATTCCACGTCCGTGGAATACTCCCTGTTGTTGACCCTGACGGTACATCCGTAACCATAACGCGTGCGGTAGGTCTCGAACAGAGGATCCGGCCAGTGGCGGCGCTGGCATAAGCCTGTTGGGTAGTCAGTGACTAGCTAACGCATGCATATCGAGTAAGAAACACTTTGAAATACAAGATCTTGAAGGCAACGCCAATTCACACCATTGAGATCACCAGGGTTTGCTGGGATAACAGCATGGTAGCGTTTCAATACAGGTTGGCGCCAATCAATACAGATACAGCATGCTTTCCCTGCAGATTCCAATATCGTGGCTCTGGAAACTCTAATGCAATGAGACTAGACAGGCCTTACCTGTGAGATACATGATGTAGAACATGCTGAGAGTCGACGTGTTCAGGGTATACCAATTGGTACGTGTGGTGTCGTGAACTCCTGGACCCCAGACTGACCTAACCCGAGCCCGATGTATGCTGAACTGGCGTACGCTCGTTGGTGGCAGTCGTAACAAGCCTACAATGGCATTCGTGGCTCCTGCTGTACGACGGTGGGTGGGTTGGGAGGCTTAACAATTGCCAATGCGAGAAGTGACAGCTGGCGTGGTGTAGTCTGGGTACGGATGGCAAGGGAGAAATATAGGTCTGCAGAAATGGAAATAGAAGAGGGGGAGGCGACATATGCCTCCTCGTCTGTGGGGGTGAAGTGTAATTTATTGCGGTAGCCGAGCGGAGCGGGTATGGCAGGATATGCAACCGCTTCAGTTCGCCCCCGTCCCAGCTGGGGTCCGAGGACAATTGGACATCTAGTCGTCTGGAAATGAGCAATCTGCGGGCTTGTTGCGGCTCTGTGGGCGGGACCCATAATTGATGTGTTGGCGTGTGTTTTCGCCAGTGGAAGCTAGGGTTCCAGAATCCGACTAGCAGAATCCTCAACCTCAGAAGGGCACGGCTTCACCGGTTCGAACAGACAGCCTACAGGAGTTCAATTGGACTCGCCACTACCACTCCTGCCACTGCAGTAGCGTTATGGATGGCGGGACGTCGGACATATTACCTTGTGGTCTGTTCAAGGCGGGCTCTTGCTGTGGTACGATCGTAGGATCGGCAGGTTCAAGCGCCTGATGTGGGAGCGTAATTGTCAACTCCCAGTAGTACTCCGCTCTCGGCAAGACGATACGATGAAAATGCATTGATTGATTCGATCAAGACTGCTCGTACAGTTCAAGAGGGCGGCAGGTCGTCAATGCACAGTCGCAGGTGCGGAGAGCATGCAGAGCAGGGCAACGTCAGATGCTGCAAGCCCCATCCAGTGTTCCGTGACGCCAAAGTGCCATTGAACGTCTCTTGGCACTGTAATGATATACGGCTGCTTGCGCGTAGAGGGCACTTCCTGGAGATACCGGACTGGTGCCGGGGCGACAGACCTGGGACAATGACAAGCTGGCTTGGGGGGCTCCTCTTTGTCAACACCGGCGGGAATCGCGCCTGGAGAAGCTGATCACAGGAGCGCGGATTGGCGAACGCTATCGTGACTGAGGATAGGTGCGAGGCATGGTGGCTTGAAAATGGTAGAGCGTCACGCCCAGGACAACAGGCCCCTCCTGGCAGCAGGGTCCAGAGGGGACGATGGACGATCAATTGATTGCAGGAATCGAGGATTCGGAGAGGCAACGGGTTGGTGTTACCATTGACATGTCGTTGCCCCCCCCCGGACGACCGTGCTCATGCATGCGTGGTGAGTTGGCAAAACGCTTGACACTGTCGAGGTCAAGAAGCCATGGCCCATCTGCGCCAACGACCGAAACAAGCCTGGAGTCCCAGGAACCCCCAACGGCCGTTAACTGTAATGAATCGTTACTGTGCAGTTATGTCTCGTTTGCTGGGAAACTCGGTTGCTCGACCAGCGAGCGAGGGACGAGCAGCTCGAGCGGCATCCTCCATCGTTCATGAGATGCTTGGCGAACTGACCAGGGCCGGCACGGGAGTTCCTGAGACATGTTTTTGGGATTAGAGGAACGGAGGTGAACCCCTGCATTGTGCACCATGGCGAACACACTTCGTACTCGTTATCCGAGCCGCCTATCTCCTTTCGTAAGCAATATCTGCAGATATTGGCGAGGCGTGAACAGAGGGGCAAATGGCGAAGGCTTCGGCGGATTCTGCAAAGCATGACATCGACGCAGCGTGAGACGGGTGGACTTCAACCGAACGATGTGGATTTGATGACGACGCGACAGTCGCTGCAGAGAACGCAGTGAAGCGTGAGGCTTGCAATTGGGAATGAACGATAGGCTGGGCAGCCCCAACGAGGAGGAGAGACTACATCTGAGGATTCTTTTCTTCCTGTCACCCAGGTGCTGTTTGACGCGGGGCAGCAAATCGAACTTTGTAGCCGGGCGTATGCAGCGGGACTGGACGCAATGCAAGACTTCGCTGGGTAAAAGGCTGGAGGAGCTGGATGGGGTTGCCTTGTAGTGTAGTGTAGCGTTGAAATCACGACTACCACTTCACTTATGAGGTACGCTATGTTATAAACATCAATGAAAAGTTTCATCAACCCAGTGTTGGAAATTTACCTGTAATTTTTTATTTTGACCAATGAAATGCCATAAAATAAACATTACAAAAGCTGCGATTAATAACGCGTACCACTAGACAATAACCGCCGCCCCTCTTCACAACCCCAACCCGTGCCCCTTGGCGCGGGAGGAGAATCTGGGGACTGCGCGACACCAGCCGCGGACACCTGCGCAATCTAAAAGAATGGCGGTGAGGACAGGCCTAGTCAAGGGATGTTTTGCTTTCGTTTCCAAGACAAGGCTGTCCGCCGCGCTCTACTAAAGCTATCTTTTTTTAAACCTCAAACCCCGCATTTAAAATGTCCACATGATGATTGCAAGAATTTTTGACCAGAACATGAATCGAATCGCACCGGAATTCGGAGGGTGATATGATGATGAACGGCACATCTTTATCACACTGGTAGGCTTTGGAGGACTATGTATATATAGATGTGCATCAAGCCGCAAAACTGCCCCTTGTTACTCTTCCGCCCTGTGACGCCTCAGAGAGCAACATCGAGCTACTTCACGACGGTGACAAAACACCGTGTTACAACCGAAGGAAATTCGCATTGAGGCTAGACAAATATATGTTATTCATATCTGCCCAACGCCTTCCCTACCAAAAATGTAATCCCATTATCAAACGTTGGGGACAGAGTAGCGAGGGGCCACGCAGCACTGTAACGGTGACACCCGTAGAGGTTCACATCACATGATTTGTATTCACAGCTCTGTCAATGGCAACAATCAAGCCAAGAGACTCCAACGATACCTGGAAGCTTTCTCCAAATGGAAAGCCAGTCCTTGAAAGACTCTGTACTTGGAGCTCATCTCCAGGACGCTTCCGTTGAGACTCACTCATAGCTGCCAACGGTTTGTGAGATTCGAAACGCTGTTGCGCTGCAAAGATCAAATGCGTTCCCAATGACCACAAAGCACAGTGCAAACCACCTGCTCGCCTTGAACTTATTCAGAACGTTTCCGTGCCCCGTATCCATCGCAGTTTCATTCCACCAAACCCTTGACTTCATCCATCACCCTGACCCGAAACTCCAGCAGCGTTTTCGTCGACGAATGCGCCGATCGCGGTTTCGAATGACAAAACCCGCAAATCGCTCAAAATCCGTCTTTCGCCTCAAAGTACTCCCTGCACGCCATCGCCGCTTCGAACGGGATCACAAAAACCGGATGCACCTCCTCAACCACATCCTCCTCATCCCACACCTTGTCTCCCTCAAACAGCCCGTCCCCTTTCCAATGGAATGGCGCACCAAAAGAGCCCTTACCGACGTCCCCCGTCATCTTTTCATCAAACTTGTAGTTGTGCTGTGCGGCACTCAAACCTGCCAAGTTATAGCAGGTGTGATACGCATCAGGTCTCATGCCGGGCTTGTCTCGCAATCCACCCTTCTCGTCCTGCGCGGCGGAAAGAATGTACCGACCCAGTGCGGAGCGGTTCCAGAGGTTCTTGTCCACGGCGGCTTCGACGAGGGGCCAACAACCGCCGATCCAGTGCGAATAGCAGCCATCGACGAGCTTGTTTGTACGGCCGGCGTAGCCGCCTTCCGGTGCGCCCTGCCGGTATGAGAGCCACCGTATGAGGGCCGGCATGTCGAGGTATTTGTTCATTGTTTCTCGAGGCGGGCCCATGATGGCCAGGCAGCCTAGACCGCAGAAGGTGTAGGCGCCGTGTGCTTCGCAACCCGGGGAGGCGGATATGCCGCCTTCGTAGGTTTGGCATCGAGAGATCCATTCATCCAGCTTGTCCAAGAAGGTCGTCATGCCTTGGGCACGTGCTGGAGCATCTGGGGGGAGATCGAGAGGGAGGTTGAGGAGGGAAAGAGCGACAAGGACGCAGAATGCACCTCTTATGTCTTCTTCTCCGCCCACTGCCATGGTGAAGCCACCGTCGGCTTGCTTCATGCGGCCGAGATAGTGCCACAAGGTTCGTCGGTTGATGGATTCGTATGCCGCGCTGCTCCCCGCCATGGCGAGACTCAGGATTGCGGCATACGTGGGAGCAAGGTGTGGAAGATGTCCGAAGCCGCCGCCATAGCCACCTTCTGGGTGCTGGACATCAGTAAGAGTGTCGATGATTCTGAGAGATGTTAGTGCCGATTCAGGTGGTGATACGATTTGGAGCTCGACTAATGTAAGTCCCCGTACTTACTTTTGCTGGTAGTCTGATATGTCATGGCCCAACACCGTCAGTCCTGCCAGACACCAATACACTTGCCAGGGTCGCGCAGCGTCAAGGGTAGTATACGCAGCAGGTTTGTCCCCCAACCCTTGGATCAAGAACTTGACATGCTTCTCCCGCTGTAGCTTTGGTATACCAAAACTGTTAAGAGGGAAATTACTGGGGTTGCCTTCCAAGTAAGGTAGGATCTTGTCCAAGGTTTGCTGTTGAGCCCGCGAGGTCTCAGTTTGCAGATCGTCAAAGATGGGCATCATCCTGTTCACATAGACGATGTTATCGGCTTCGGAAGGTATAGCGGGCCCCAGGTCCTCGTAATCCGCGTTAGAATCAGAAGTGTAGAGCTCCTCGTCCGACAGCTCTTGGATGCGATTCGAGTCGAGACGCAGTTCCTCCAAGCGCGTGCGAGCGACCTCGTCATCGCTCTTTGCGGCCATGGTGTTTATAGTTCTGTGTTATGGGGTTGTCGTACCGATTGGACAAACAAGGGACTGTGAGATGAAATCCGCTAGTATTGTTCTCTTGTTAGGCGGGCTCCAATTCGGAAAGGTGAATGACTGCTTAGCTAGCGGGGTCACGGAGATCCCCTGCTATTATTGTTCCATTAGATCTTGTGGAATCCATGCGGCAATTAAGAATGTATGTCTCTTGCTCCCATGGCCTGACTTATGTTGATATGTTTTGCGATTCAAGCCCTCGAGGTGAGGTGGGACGACTGTACAGAACTACTTCCTAAATGGGGATAGATGTGGCACAGCCTTGGCAGCCGAGGCTTGACTCCATTCGCTCCATTCTATCTGAGAAGCTCATCCCACTCCACATCAACTGCACTCGATCCTTACGCAACAGTGGCCTTCCAGTCTGCAACAATCGCCTCTCTGGACTCCACAACCCAGCCCTCAGTCCGATGGCCTCACGCCTGCCATTCCCGCCAGCTCCTCCCCGAACGTTTTGCCCGCGACCGTCAATGGCTTGCTCTCCTGCAGCACAAACAGCATCCGCGTCCACTCAGTCTTGCTATGATTGATCCACTGATGCATAGTCCCTCGCTGTATCGCAACATCACCCCTCCTCATGATGCGCTTTTCGCCGCTGTCCAACAACAACTCGACCTCGCCCTCAAGAACCGCGCCGTAGTCCAAGCTCACAGTCCTGTGCATCGTGCAAGCTGTATTGGGAGGAATATCCACATGCCGAAGAACGGTACCTCCTGATACCACCAAGCCTGGTGCATTATTCAAGTACTTCTCATAGACATTCAGGTCCTCGTCGTTGTCCATGCTGACGGGGAAACCCTTTGTGGCGTAGCTGAGGGCGAAGGCGATGCCGTCTTCATTGGGTTTCATCTTGCTTTCCTCGTCGAACTTGTTGCTGAAGACCGCCTCGCCTTGATCATTGTGGGCCGTGATATACCGGTGGATCTTGGGAAGTGCGCCGGTGTGCGCCATTGTGGTTTATGGAGGAGATGCGACGTGCAAGAGCGCGGATTGGACTCGTTGAGCTGAACTTTGAGCGAGACTGAGACTCCTGACAACACTCCTTGTCGAGGAGAAACCGATAGATCTGCGTGCTGTGGGTAGCAGTTGAGGCGAACTTTGCGGACCGGAGTGTTCAGTCGTATAACAAGTGCTTGTTGGCGATGTCAATACGTTACACAAGCATGCACAATGCGGGGTTCGGTGATCCGGCTTCGGAAGCTTCACTGGAGAGCCATTGCTGCTTATTTCACAATATGTAAACGACAGTCCAGCCACACTAGTTGTGTTGTACTGCCCGGAGCATTGCCGCGAAAGTGCCCCTGATGCATCTTGTCAAGATGCGCAGGCAGTCCTCGAATCAGAAGATACTGAGCAGATCACTTCGAAACTGGGGAAATGATTGATATGGAACCCATTTGAAAGGCTCCACATGTGGGAAGGAGCCACTGTGGGGTCAAACTGCACTGCCCTGTTCAATAATGATACCGACAGTTTTCTGTACACTGTCGAAGTTCTCGCAACGTAGGCAGGCTATTTTGGGCTACAGTCAAAGTAGCGAGATGGCAACACCCAAAGATTCAAGACGACCGCCTCCTTTTCCGTCTATGACTGTTGGCGGTCGGTGGGGATTTCGAGACAACATGGCATTGAACTCTACATGTAGAAAACGCACTCAGCAATGGGATACGGAAGCTTAATCTGGGATTATCGACATCATATAGTCGAGTACTGATGTCAAAGAATGGCAGGTTCACTGCCCTTTTTGACTCGTCGACTCCGTTTATTTTCACCTTCGTAGTGTTAGGTCTCTTGTAGATTTATCTGGCTACGGAAAATGTGCACACGACACGGGAGAGAAGATATGTCCAAAAGGGGAAACTACTATAAACGTGAGTCTGAAAGCGCAATGAATTACTTCCCATTCGCCTCAGACCATTTTGAAAGCTTGCACTGCTGTCAGTTGAGCGGGTAGACCGCCTGGCTCCCACACAGATCAAATGTTTAAGCTTGCACACGAGCTGCCCAGCATGCAACTGTGCGTTGATTCCACCTTTGTTTTATTTTCCTCCCTTCACAAGAAGCAAAAACTCATCTCCTACTAAACAAACAGTCTATCGAAGCTACTTCAACAGGTACCCCAGCATTTAGCCTCGATGTTAACAAAAATCTTCCAAATCCGAACCGGTGAAGACTCCGTACGACACAGCTCTCCGCCTCACACCCCTATTCTTCACCGCACTCACCAGCGATGAATAGATGTCGAGGGAAACATGCGATCCTCGAGATGCGTCCCAAGGTTCAATGTTCTTTCACCATCTTCGATGACGTGCAGCACCTTCCCTAATGCGCCGCCAGGAGGAACAAAAAACGGACCGAAACGGCAAGCCCGACTCCCACAAATTGACGACACCGTATGTTCTGCTCTCCTGCATTCTCGCAGCATTTGCCACTCCACTCTTCTCGTTTCTGCATATACGCATATACAGGATTTGTTCTGGGGTTTGGGGGGTATTTGAGATGGGGGGTGTGGGAGTGTGTCGGTGTGCAGGCATCGCGGTGCTTACCGCCATCTGGGTAGGTTACAGATGGGTCGGTGAGTAACCGTCATGGCAGCTATTCCTTCTGTGTTTTTACGTCTTTCTTAGATCACAGCCGCCGTTTTTCTCGTCCTTTCGCATCATCTGTACATCTTCACGTGTCTCCTCGTCTCTGCGCTTCTCTGCACCCCCTTTGAGGCTCTTCAATTGGACTTCCCTTTCTTCTGTCTACTTTCATCTACTAGTGTCTCCAAGGCATACTACTATGCATGGTATGCACTCAGGGCTCCTTCCTGTGCGACGGTAACGAGACGATGATAGGACGACGCTGGCGAGAAACATACCATCAGGCGTATGCCGGTAGCCGAGAAAGCTGACACCCGAGGATTACTGGACGACCGTGGAATGTGTGACTGAGGTTCTCGGCGAGGCCGATTACGTGCGGAGGCTCACGACCTGCTTCAAGAGATATGCAAGGACGAAGGCAAGGAGTCCTGGGAGCACGAGCGAAGCACGACGAGTGCATGGCAGGATAGACGCACAGCGGCAACAATTGCAACAGGCAAGAATGTGGGACGGTTCGGGCTCAGGGTCTGGTGTTTTCCGTCAGTGTTGGTGGGCAAAGTACAAAGCGGCGAGATGCAAGATCAGGGATGAAGGGGCTCGACGAAACGCTCGCCTATGACGAGAATGCGACGCAAGGCAGGTTCGGCGTGCCATCTGTGGTGCGTGTGCTGTACTACGCAAGACTGCGCTGATGTGTGCATGCAGCGGACCTGAGGGGGCAAGTGGAGGCGACATAGCGTGGGAGTGAGCGTGCCTACACGAGGAGATGCTGCAGTACAAGATCATGGTTGTGCGTGGGAAAAGTGAAGAGGCACAGAGCTTTTCCAGCTCGAGCATCCCTTCTACACAGGACTGTGTATGTTGTAGGTCATGACTAACTGGTGCATAGGGGCGCCTCTCGCGGATGGATGAGACTCGAAGAGCAGGGTGTTTTATGTCCGTCAGCAGTCAATTGTGGTACATACCGGCGAAACTCCCTGGTCCTGGCCAGTGTGGTATCTGGCATGCAGCCATATGTCATGGTTCTATGGCGTATGTATATTCAGGTGGGCTTACAAGTTGGCTTACAGGTTACGCTGGCAGCATGGCAACGAGGACGACCAGCAACCTGTCCCAAGGCGGCGAGGACAGAGGTCCAGCAGAGAGAGGGGAACACAGCGACGCTTCCTCGGGCGGACTCGAGGCTTGCACCAAGGCAGGATATGCGAGCATCGTCCTGTTCTTTGATGGCTGCTCTGGTCAAGAGGGAGCTGAGGCGGGATGGATGAGGGGTCCAGGGCTTATCGGGGCTATCGATTGCGGGGACGGAGAATCGATAGGCTGCGAGACGACGAAAACTACTGGACGAGCTCGGCAGGGAGGCATCGAGGCTGGGGTGCAGGTGAAAGAAGAGGTTGTTGGGCATGTCCTTTTTTGGAGCCTTCTGTTCATCCCGACCCGTGGACGTTCGAGATGCTCAAAGGGGGAGAAGAGTGGAGCACGCCAGTGTGCCACCCAGCCGCGGCGGAAGAGGGCTGCTCCGTTGAAGGGGTCGCGTCGCTCTCATGAGGGAGAAGGGCTCTCCTCAGTCGCCTTCACTGAGAGTTGACCATCTGGTGTGGTCATGTATTGTGTTGGTGTTGAGGCCACCACTACTCTCGACAAGTGTGTCTCCTGTCGTTGGAGTAACAGTATATAGAGCACGACCCCACGTCGACTCCCAGATCTCCCCCGCTCCACCACCATCAACCTCGCCCATCACAACCTCTCTTCCCGCCCACCACGAGCAGCACCACGGGGCAGCCAACCGCGACGCCAGCCGCGGGCGCACAAAGGCTCTCTCCAATCCGTCCATCAATCAATCCTGCGCATCCCCGCTGCAGCTGTTCCTCTGCACCTCTCGGCATTGCCCTCTCTGGCCTAGCGGTCCCGTGCCTCTTGACCGCCAGTTGCTCGCTCCTCCTACGCACGGCCCCTTTAGTGGTGCTGGCTGCCCGCCCACTGCCCGCCCACTGCCCGCCCACTCCCTCTCACCCGTCGTCGCTCGTCGACTCTTCCGTTCCTCGATCAGTCCCACGAGTCCTCTCCATCACACCGCCGCTGTGCCGGCCCCTTGAGCGCTCACCACCGAGCGCTGACAACCACCAGAGTCCCATCACGAGAACCTCCTCCACCATGGATCCCCCTCTCGACAACTTCGACTCCTTGTACGCCTACGACGCGGCCTACGACCCCAACCGCCAGCACACCTATCTGCTCAACGCCCAGCACCACCAGACCTGGCCCTTGCCAGTCTCAGCGTCTCTCCCAATGTCTCAGCAGAATGGCCAGCACCAGGAGCAGCACCAGCAACAACACCAGGACCAGCGACGCGTCAACACCATTGCCGCTTCCGCTGCCCCCAACGGGCTCCCATCGACCTCCACCGCTGTCGCGCCCTTACAAACGTCGGGCCTCGCATTTCCCTCGACTATGACAATGAACCCGATGCTGGCGGACTGGATCGGCATCTCATCAAACGCCTTTTCGCAGCAAGCATACAACACCGACCTGACCTCGTCAATGGACCCTGTCAGCTTCGCCGCCTACGGGAACCAATTGCAAACGTCCCCCGTCGACTTCGCCGTAAACACATCCCAGGGCATGATGACATCTCTGCCGCTGGAGTCTGCACCGCAGTTTAGCATGATGCCCTCGACTTCGATGGGCCTATCGCAGATGGCCGCAATGGCCTCGCAACCGCCCTTTCAGATGGCCGACTTCCAACAAGAACTCGCAAATTTCGCAAACACGCACGATTACACCGCCGCCGCAAACGCCAGCGTGAGCTCCGGCTCACCGACCGAACAGTTCCTCGAAGTGAGGTCACTATCCAGCAGCGACGGGAGCTGGATTGATGTTGGGCCACACCGCAATTCCCACGATTTCTCCGACCAGATCATCTTCAACCCAGGCCAGGCCCTACACATCCGCACAAACTCAGACTCTTCCCAACAATCCGACGTCCCTCGCTCGGCTGGATCCTTCAGTAGCTTTGAAGAGATTCAATTCCCATTGCACTCCCCACAGTCGGAAGCCGAAAACAGCTTGGAAATGGTACCTTCCCATTCGCACAGTCACTCGGACTGCACTTCTCACTCTCACTCTCACTCCCATTCTCACTCTCAGCCCCTCAATGTCGCTCCGAACGGACTGCCCATGACCGATCCGGCCTTCGCACATTACATCTCTCCCACCCAGTCAGTCAGTCCTCCGGTTGCTCGCGCTGAGCCCGTCGCGATCAAGCAGACAGCATCCAGCTCGGCCTCCCCTACATCCTCCGGAGGCAGCTCACCGCCATCACGCCGCCGCAAGAGCCCGGTTGGGGCGAAACCCGCAAAGACCATCGTGAAGAAGCCAGCCCACTCGACCAAGAAGGACCACATGGGCGAGAAGCGCGTCGGCAAGCGGACCGGTCCTCTGCGTCCGGACCAGCGCCAGCAGGCCCACGAGATCCGCAAGTTGCGTGCTTGCTTGCGATGCAAGTTCCTCAAGAAGACGTGCGACAAGGGTGACCCGTGCGGCGGATGCCAGCCCTCTCACGCCCGCCTCTGGCAAGTGCCTTGCACCCGTATCGACATCAAGGACATTGCCTACTTCATGAAGGACTGGAAGGCGGATTACGAGCGCCATGTCAGCCTGGGCTTCTCCGTCGGCAACATCAAGGGTTTCTCGCCGCATGAGCGTATGATCTACATCACCCATGGATACGGTCACTACCTTCCCATCATGGCACGAGAGGTCTATGTCCGTGACGAGAAGTGCTTCGGCGTTGACTGGATCGAGACATTGCACGGCGTCCATCAGTTCGAGATCAACACGGCCAAGTTGTCTGCGGGCATGGAAGGCATCTCCCACCAGGTTCTTTCCGACTATCTCGACCGCCATGTGGATGGTGGCTTTGAGCGCTTCGTGGACGAGTACTTTGAGGGTACTTACTTCGTCACCGAGGTATTGAAGACGGCCTATCGCTTCTATTGCCGCGAGAAGCTTCCTGTCCTCCGCAAGGCGCTGAAGCTCGTCATTGCCTACAACCTCACTCTGCACGTCACCATGGTGGAAGGCCTTCCCGAGGATGAGCGTAACCTAGGAAGGGTGGAGGATGAGAAGTCCAAGTTCTGCGGCAAGACCGTCGCTCCTGTCATGATCAACTTCCAGGTCAAGTGTGCGTTAGCTGACATGTGGCGTGAGCTGCAGAAGGATGTGCTCGAGGAGCTGTCTGCGCTCTACTCCTCCGTCTACAGCGGCGACAAGCTGAAGAACTGGCCGACCATCTTCATGCTCGCTGCCATCCTCCTCGCCGTCTGGGAGCTCATCCAGTTTGACTGCTCCTACCGGGTCCCCGACCAGCAGGCTGTCAACAAGTTCCTCAGCGACATGGAGGGTACGCCAGTCGGTGTCATTGTCGGTTTGTTTTCGGCCATTTCTCAGAAGCTCCCTGCATTTACTGAGTGGGACACGCGGAAACACCACCACCTCCTCAACTCCAATCCAGCGGTGTGCGATGCCATGACCGAAGTCCGTGCGCACGTTACCAAATATGGTAAGACTATTATATATGTCCCAGTGGCTTAGACCGGCACTAATCCTGCATACCAGAGTCCTACCTGAGGACCCGGAGCGATTGCAAGTTTGACCGTTCCGACTTCGACTGCTTGTCGAACAAGTTCCTGTCGAAGCTGGTCATTCGGGCTAACTAAAGTCTTCCTGTCATTTTCATTCGACACGACTGCATTTTCACCCTTCCTCCCTTCATCACCACCTCATCACCGGCCCCAACATCACCTTACCCTGTCACGGACTGACGACATATGGGTTACGTCTTTGCGGACTAAGACAACATTTCACGGCTGACGATTTAAAAGCATGATGACGCTTGTGTCTTTTTGGATATATGCTCCTCACTTAGATTCCCCGGCATCACGATATGCCATGTTTACGGCCTCCTCCGGATTCTTTCTGCCCAACTACCAGACACTCTCTACGATCATGCTCAACTTCCTTTTTATGACGGAATGGCTCCTTGCTTTATGCTCACGATGGCCACGGAGACACGGCCACGATTTGATTTTTTGATCCTCTTCTGCTCTTTTCACTTCTACAGGCGTGGACGCGAGTCCTGCATACCGGATCCTCGCATCATGACGATTCCGGCACTTTCCTGGATACATCGTGCTTTTGGCTGCGCAGATGACACGTCGCATCTTCTCTTTGGACAGATGTTGACTGTACTTCTATGCAACTCTTTGCAGCGATGCTTTTTGCCTCCTTGTCTTTTTTCTTTCTCCTCTTCCCACGATTGTGTTTTAGCGGCATAGCGAGCAACTCAGTATCATCAATTACACTATTACCACGGCAACACCGGCTCTGCGTCTTGGGATATGGGGATTGCTGGCTGCAGTTGGCAGTTGGGAAACCTGGTTCCTCCTCCGTCCCTTCAGGTGGGAGGGATGGGTGGGCGATCCTTGCTTTGGAAGGATCTTTCTGGGATATCGCCGAGATTTCCTGGAGATACGACAACATCTATTCTTGACATTTATCCCTCCTTGGGACATCTGGAGCCGAACATGGTCTTTGCGGATTTTTTTGGCATACTCGCAGTGGATCTTTGGGGCTGGATGACATGCGTTTGGTGGTTTTGCTAAGCTTTCTTTACTCCTTTCTTGCCATTTATTATGCCCTCTACGTGATTTGATTTCCCTTTTTGCCTTTATGACCTTGGAGAAGGAGGGAGGGAGGGAGGGAGGGATGGAGGGAGGGATGGAGGGAGATAGGGACTGGGACTGGGACTGGGACTACGAATGGGAGTGCAGCTTGCGAATGTTTTGGGTTGTGTATCTATGTAGCTAGTCGTCCTTTCTTGCGCGTGAGGTAGACGGTAGACGGCGAGCAAATGCGAAGGGGTTTGGGTAAGTGATGGCGAGCTTGGGATTCGGATTAGTGACGCAAGCAAAATATTTACTGGATATATCTGAATGGCTGCCCCTTCTTGTGTTGCGTTTTCCTGATGCCGTGTGGCGTGATGGGATGTGATGGATATCAGTCTATTTGGTATTTAGTACCTCTGTACCTGCCTGCATCGACTTGTGGCAACCCCATCCATATACATAGACAGCCTCTCTCTCTCTCTCTATTCATTCCCCCCTAATTCTGAGACCGCCCCGGTACCACAAACCCCTGAATCTCCTTTGGCCTATACGGCTCCTCGAGGAACCTCGCATCCTCATCACTCAATTTCCACCTCACATTCCTCACCGCCTCATCAATCCTACTCTTACTCCCCAGGCCGATAATCGGACACACGCCCTTCTTCACGCACCACGCCGTGGCGACGCAGGCCATGCTGACGCCGTGTTTGTTCGCCAGTTGCTCGACGCGCGAGATGATTTCCTTGTCCGTGGCGTCGTCCCGGCTGTGGACGAGGTGCGCGAGGAAAGCGTCTGTGGAGGCGCGTTTCGTGGAGCGGTCGGACCAGGGGCGCGCGAGGGCGCCGCGGGCGATGGGGGACCAGGGGATGAGGCCTACGCCTGTGTGGTTGCAGTAGGGTATCTGCCGGGATGTTAGTGGAGGTAGTGGTACCTACGGAGTACACGATGGGGGAGGAGGGGGTTAGTAAATAGCAGAGAGGGAAATCTGCCTCCTTCCACCAAGCGGAAAGAAACGAGAGGAAAGGGAGGGAAAGGGAAGGAAAGAAAGGAAAAAGAACCCACCATCTCCCTCTCCTCCTCCCGATACAGCAAATTGTAATAATTCTGCATGCTAATAAACTTATGCCACCCCTTCCTCTCCGCGATATCCTGCATCATCTGGAACTCCCAGCACGCCATGCTGCTCGCGCCGATATACCTTACTTTCCCGCTCTCGACCACGTCGTTCAAGGCGCGCATGATCTCCTCCATGGGCGTGTCGCGATCCAGTCGGTGGATCTGCAGGACGTCAATGTAGGTGCCGAGGCGCTCGACGCTCGCGTCGACGGCGTCGAGGATGTGCTTGCGGCTGAGCCCCACGCGGTTGACGAGGGCGCCGTCGTTGGTGGATGAGGCGGCGATGGACGTGCCCACGGCGGATTCTTCGACGCCGAAGAAGCATTTGCTCAGGATGACGACGTTGGAGCGAGGGATGTTGTATTTCTTCAGGGCTTTGCCGATGAGGCGCTCCGAGCGGCCGTGCGAGTAGATGTCGGCCTGGAGTTGAGGCGGTCAGTACTGATGATTATACACCTCTATTATTACAGAGAATGCAGTGAAAGATGTGAGGAGTGAATAGGAAGGGAATCAATCATACCGTATCCCACGTATTGATACCCATCTTGTACGCGTGCTCCAGCAACGGGAGCGCTTCCTCCTCGTCCAGCACCCAGGGCTGCCACTCGCTGCTGCCGTAGCTCATGGCGCCCAGAATGACGCGCGAGACTTTGAGGCCCGACTTGCCTAGGCTACATGAGTTCAGCAAGAATAAATCTTTGTTACTCTCAATTGCCAACCTACTTGACATATTCCATCTTGTGCTCTTGCTCTGCCATGTTGACGATGTCTTCTTCTTCTTCTCAATCGTGTGGATATTGACGGGGGCGAATTGAGCTGTTGATGGAGAAGGATCCGCGCTTTAATATCGTCTCCGTTGCTGGAAACATCTCGATTCCAGGAAGCCAGCGTCGGAGGAAAGGGATATAACGCCGTGTCTTACTTCAGATTCCATTCCTCTTGTGGATATTCGAATTGAGTATGGGTGGAGCTCTATTGCGGGGTTACGTCTAAAGTCCGCATCATTTTGTCCGTGCCGTCAGAGGCGGGGTACCTGGCGATGTATTTAGAAACACCATGCCCCATGGCTCAAGACGACCACCACTCCGCACTCCGGGTTAGCACACAATGTCGCAAAACATACTCTGTAGTCACAGCGCAAATGGAGAACTGACGTGAGATCTGAACAGCACAGTGGCATGCTCAATTCCATTGAATCACCCCTTTCGGGGGTCGACTAGATAGTGATATCAAAACCCATTGCAGGTGACCTGCCCGTTATGCCCAAATCCATCTAAACGCCATGTCGAAAGAAGAATACCGCACCCATGAATCCGCTACTGGCCGCCACGCAGACGGAGCACCAGGTGGAGCGTCGACTCCTTCTGGATGTTGTAGTCGGACAGTGTCCGGCCGTCCTCGAGCTGCTTGCCGGCGAAGATGAGACGCTGCTGGTCCGGAGGGATACCTTCCTTATCTGCACGTTATGTTAGTGAAGCCCTTGTCACCCATCGAATTCGCGCCGTACCTTGAATCTTCGACTTGACGTTGTCGATTGTGTCGGAGCTTTCCACTTCCAGTGTGATGGTCTTTCCAGTGAGCGTCTTCACGAAGATCTGCATACCACCACGGAGACGGAGGACGAGATGCAGCGTGGATTCCTTCTGGATGTTGTAATCCGACAGTGTCCGGCCGTCCTCGAGTTGCTTGCCGGCGAAGATGAGACGTTGCTGATCCGGGGGAATGCCCTCCTTATCCTGGATCTTCGACTTCACGTTATCGATGGTATCTGAGCTCTCCACCTCTAATGTGATGGTCTTGCCGGTAAGGGTCTTGACGAAGATCTGCATACCACCGCGAAGGCGCAGGACGAGATGCAGAGTGGATTCCTTCTGAATGTTGTAGTCCGAGAGAGTGCGACCGTCCTCAAGTTGCTTTCCAGCGAAGATCAAGCGCTGCTGGTCCGGAGGGATGCCCTCCTTGTCCTGGATCTTCGACTTGACATTGTCGATGGTATCCGAGCTCTCCACCTCGAGGGTGATGGTCTTGCCAGTGAGCGTCTTGACGAAGATTTGCATGCCACCACGGAGGCGCAGCACCAAGTGGAGGGTCGACTCCTTCTGGATATTGTAGTCGGAGAGAGTGCGGCCATCCTCGAGCTGCTTGCCTGCGAAAATCAGGCGCTGCTGGTCTGGCGGAATGCCCTCCTTGTCTGAAAGCTGTCAGCGGCCTGAATAACGGGGTGGCGAGGGAGGAGTCAGAAACATACCCTGAATCTTGGACTTGACATTGTCGATGGTGTCGCTAGACTCCACCTCAAGGGTGATGGTCTTGCCCGTCAACGTCTTGACGAAGATCTGCATGGTGGCGGTGGTTGTTTTGATGTGTCGTGTAGATAGCGGGCGCTGGGCTGCGAGACAGCGTTGGTGTGGATGGGTAGAGAGATGGGGGGTAGTTGTGAGGGAAGTGGGAATGGGAGGTAAAGGAAGGAGGAGGAGGCAACAGGGCGGGCGAGGGGCTTAAGTAGGCAGGCGAGGGCGGCAAGCGGAGTGAGGCTGTGACCGGCTGGGAGTGTCAAAGGTGCGGTGGAAGGCGTGTGACATAAGCGGCCCGTGCCCGCGATGAATCAGGGAAGGAACGTTCGAGCCACTTCGAACAGGGCAGCAATCGCAGAGGCAACAGTACGAGCTCTGTTATAGTATTAATAACGCAGCACCATTCTGACAAATTTGACTTGTGAAATGGCGATGAATTTGCGTCTCCCATCTGCCATTGTTTGCAGTTCATACACAGTCCACTTGAGAGTCCACTCAGACTAATGCCCCCGCCTTCGGCATCGATGGATCGTTATCGTAACGCTCAGGCCAGCATTTCCCTTATCGGAAGACATTCCCTGCCACCAGCCCCTCTGGGTGTTCACCAGCCTCAAGACAGGAGAGAAGCATGGTGTTGATGTCCCATCAAATGATTCTGTAATTGAAAATCAAGCAAACACCAAAGTTTAGCCTCGGATGCACATTCTATGACTTTGTGATTACAAGAGCGAGCACAACGCATCTCGGCATCTCGGCAGAATGTCCTCCATCTAGCCCATCTATGCAACCCGCAGATCGAGCCTCCAGTAATTCGCCCTCGTGCAAACATCACAATGATCAAAAGCCGTTTTTCAAAAACCAGCCCATCTTGCTTTCTCAGCCATGACCTTGATGTGAAAACTCTCTCCAAATGGAGACGCCACAACTTATCCACGGCAAAGGCCAGTGTCACTGCTCGGCCATCGGTGACTCATCGCCATCAACCCGCTGTCGCCACACTCCACGCAAGTACTTGTACATCTGCATGCATGTGAATGTGTGCATCACGTGTATGCGGTTGACTTACCTAATCTGCGACGGCTCTGCCATGGTGCTGCCGTCCATCTGTGCACTGTTGTTCGATAAGCAGCATTGATAGCAACCTGAGTGATGGAAAATGTGACAAGCCGTGTTAGCAACTGTTTCAAGTTTCATTCTCTGTTACGAATAGCACAGGGGTAGCCGAAATCGATAGCTGCAGCTACGGTACAATCCAGCAAATTTGGCAGTATGCACTTCTGATTCCCTCGGGTTGTAAACATCCCAACAATCCCCATCAATCAAATAAACCCAAACCCCTCATTCCCCTCCCGAATCGCCATATCCAGCTTCTCCTTCAACTCCTCCTTGCTCTTGTACGCCGGCAGCTCCAGCCGGCCGATGCACGTCCTGCTTATCGGCAGCCTGTCCGGATACGGACTGTAGGCGATTTCAAACACCACTGCATCCATCCCAGTCATCGGCACCCGTTCAAATGCCGTCACGAACTTGAATAGCCTCCGCCGGTCCTCCATATCGTATCCTTCGACAATGGACCAAAAGTCTTGCACAGTAGGATGCCCGCTGTCGAACGTCTTATCGTTGTATATCGTGATGCGTTTGAGCTTCTCCACGTCAACGTTCTCCTCCCCTTCCACATACTGTTTGAGAATCTTCGGCGTAAGCAATCTGAGAGCCTTGGGATGGAGGCAAGTGCGGAAGCCGCGTCGAAACGCCGAGAGTTGCGGCGCTACGGATTTGGCAGTCAGCCAGAAGATGTAGTCTTTCACAAACTGTCGCCTGTTCTCGTACGTGACAAGTGGGATCTCCTCGTTCGATTCTGTGGAGAGCGGCTGCCGCCACGCGGGACTGCTGAGTGGTGGTAGAGCTTTGCCTTCAGGCCACATTTTCCCCCAGATCCCCTCTTGACCCTCGGCACGTTCAGAGTCGCAGTCAGCAGGCCACAGTTTGCCGCGGGCTGGCCAGGAATGTTTGCCTTCAGAGAATGCCTTCATGTCCACTTCGACATGTTCGCCGTAGGCGCGGAATGGGAAGCAGTAGTGAAGCTCAGCAGAGGCCACCTGACTCGGAGTAAAGGAGAGCAGTTGTGTAAACGATCTAGCCTGACCAGGCCAGCCGTCCTCAATGAAGCGAGGGTCATCCGGATAAGGCGATATGGACGAACTTTCGATGAGTAAATTATGATAAAATGCCAGTGGGAAGGTAAAAGGGAGGGGTATGCCATTATAGACGGCAAGTGAAAGAATAAGACCCAGTAATTCGAATTTCCAAGCTGGCTGGCGGGATGCCGGTTGGAAGTACAAAGGGTCATTTGTGAACATGCCTGCACCATGATTAACTCTTATTCCGAGAGAATGGAAATGAGACACTCACCCTCAGCAGGCTGAAAAGCTGCCCTCAGCACTGTGTTGAAGAACTCAGGCGTCACACCACCGGTATCTAAGGCTAATTCGCCGACGAAGGCCGTCTTCAGTGGCTTCAAAAACAAGCGCTTCTCATATCCTCGCAACTGGGCGAAAGTGGCCTCCAGGATGTTATGGCGTGGGACATGCAACACCAGAGACTTCTGGAGGGTAACCTCGAGCGACCGCGTGGCCCAATCGTCCCGTCGAGCACCAAAGCTTTCCATTCTGTCTTTCAGATCCCTCGTCTCCTTTCGACGCGCAAAATCGCGGTCCATCAAAGTGGCATTTAGCAGTCGAAAATATCTGACGCGTGTTTTCTCTCCAAACACGAAAGGATAATCGAACAGATGAACGGTATCCGGTTGCAGGGAATCTTCGTGTTCCAAAAAGTCGGCAGCCTCCTGGACAGGATCGATACCTGCTTCCAGCTCAGGGATTTCAAACCAATCTTGGTCGTACTCCAACTGGTCAACATGGGTGTACAGCCCTTTGACCAGTTGGAGCAAGACACCAAGTTTCGTCCATCTCTGAACTGTCCCTTTGCCATCCCAGTCTTTGATCGCATTGGCCCAGAGGAGGTCAAAGGCATGGGGTATAAGACACTCTTCCTCAATCCACTCCCTTGAGTGCTTGATGTTAATCATGTCTGCCTCCACTAATTTATCGATAACAATCTCCATCAATTGACCTTGTTTGAGCTTGCTGGAGAGCCTATATTCATAGAACGTGCGCGCGCCAATCCCACGAAGCAACCGATCGGCCAAGCGTGACGCCGCCTCACGTTCCCAATGGTATTCTGATATCCTTGTCGAGGTTGGATGCTCATTACGGCCACGTAGTGCCCAAGCCCTCATCGCACCGAAACAGAGGAAGATAACGTGAGCGGCTTCTTTTTCACTGGGATATGCCGGATCCGCACAATGTAGATCTGGATCTGAGTTTTGCGATGGAACCGGGGGTGATCTGAACAAGGGCTCCAAAGTACTCCAGAGACACGTGAATACAATTCTAGGCGACCTGTCGGCATAGAGCGCCTTCATCGTGGTTCCGTTTCGCAAACCCAGCACGAAGTCAGGGAACATATCTAGATCAAGCTGTGAGCCATCGGCGGATTGTTCAATGGGGCCCTCAGCGTAGAGTGAGCGGTAGATAGCTTCCGTATCGAAGAGATTCTGACCCAAAGACTTCGGATCTTTTCGTCCACGGCGTTGTTGCACGTCGATCTCCAGGTTGTCGGACGGGCGTTCAAGGGCATGCGGACAGAGGCCTTGAGTAGGACTATCCAGACTTGTGAGATAGTAAGCCAATGCACGAGCAGTAAGTTCCGTCGGAGGTCGAAAGGGCTTCATTGACGAGCGCTCGTTGTAGGTCCTGCATGTCGGTGTTGTGCACTTAGGATTCTTGCAGCCGAACAAGATTTGTGATAAATAGCTAGCTCAATGTCAGCCTTGGACGAGAAGAACTGCATACTGATGCGCACTGCTTTAACACCCGCTGCCACTGTACTGGCGTTTGGCCATTGGAGCCGTCTCCAGTTGTCGTGGGCGGCATGTCGATTGCTATGCTTTCTGCCGCAAACGAGTGAGGCGGGTAGAAATGCTCCAACAGCGGACGACGATTCGAATCAATTATAGCTGGTTGTTCGAATCAGACGTACGGAGTATAGGGTCTGCTGTAGGACTTGTCACGGCGGGACCCATGGCAACTCGCGGTTCCCCTTTTCCGCAATCATGTTCGGAGCGGATGAATGTAGCTACGCAATGGAGCAGGGGGGACTATCGCCACAGCAGACTGGAGGCTCCATCAGTTGTACCAAAGAGGGATTGCGAACTGCAAAGGCGAGGTTCATCAATGTTCAGGTTGACATTCTTCAAGAAGCGCACGTGAGATCTCATGGATGCGCACAGACCATGGATATAAGGGTCCGCTCTTGGCGCTCAACGTCACAGCGCCATCCCCGCGGTTCCGCCGCACAAGGTGGATTGATAATATTTGCCGCTCTCTTCTCCAAGTGGTGTCCTCCCTCTTCCGCTTGCCCTGGAGATTTGCGATTCATACATAAATACTCCATTCCGTACACGTAGGATCTTGGTCGCATAAAGAAGCCGCTACACGCGTGCCTTCGCATCCTGGAAACTAACGTTTGGTGCCAACATTAAATTCCCACCTGGACCCCGCGCCTATAAACGACTGTTTTGATATCTCCGCCACAAACAATCGCAGACCTCGCAGACCTCTGCTCACATATCCGTCGTTCTCCAGAATAAGCTACTATGGCTTCGACAGCGCCCGCCCAGGCCAATATTCAGGCCACTCACCCCTTCACTTGCAACACATGCCAGGTTGCTTTCCGTTCTAGCGAGCTCCAACGAGCGCACATGCAGACAGATTGGCAGTGAGTAGGCACGGTTCCAGTTCACTATCGCTTGCCACTGACTTCACCTGCAGCCGTTATAACCTCAAGCGCCGTGTTGCCTCCCTCCCGCCTCTCTCGTCGGAGATTTTTACTGAAAAAGTCCTCGCAAACAAGGCAACCGCTGCCGCAACTGCCGCAAAAGCCTCCTTTGAGAAGGCTTGTACAGCATGTCAAAAGACATATTATAGCGAAAATGCCTACAACAACCACTTGAACAGTTCAAAACACAAGAGCAATGCGGCGAGAGCCAGCAGGGCTGGACAAAACGATGACGCGGCGTCGGTCACAGGTTCTGTTTTGAGCTCTGCATTCTCACTTGGCGAGCCCATGGCAGAAAATGACGCTGATAGCATTGATACTGAGGCGGAGAAAGAATTCATTGAGGTAGTAGATAGTATGAAGAAGTCCACCCTGGAGGATGGAACAGAATCACCGGTACCTGGACGACCTGGACGACCGCACCATTCCGGTACTGCGGATCGGCCCGAGAACCCTCTCTCCAGGACTGCGAGCAGCACCTCTACTGCTGTTCGTGAGGCCGATCCGCTCCTGGACTGTCTGTTTTGCAATTACCGCTCGCCGAACTTCAACCTCAATTTGAACCACATGGGCCGTTTCCACGGAACGTTCATCCCAGAGAAAGATTACCTCGTCGAGCCCGAGAATCTGATTAAGTATCTGCACGAGAAGATCCACGTGAAACACCAGTGTTTGAAATGCCATAAGGAGGTACATACGGCTGCGGGCATTCAGACGCACATGCGCGACCGTGGCCACTGCATGATTGCGTTCGAATCGGACGAGGAACTGGTCGAAGTTGGGCAATTCTACGATTTCCGGAGCTCTTATCCTGACGCCGAGGATTTTGACGCCATGGAGCAAGAGGCAGAGGACTCTGACGATTCCACCTCGACGGCTGCCGGAGGGGTCAGATTGGGAGCGCGGCGCAAGTCTGTCACGATTGAAGGAGGCGACGAGGGAGAGGATGATGGCTGGGAGACGGACAGCACTGTGTCTAGCGTACCCACTGACGAGATCACGGCTCTACCAATCGATGACCGCACTCACCGATACAAGCTCCTATCGCAGTCTCGCCATCACTCCCACAAGGATCCTCGACCACACCGCAGCGCAGATGGATTCCACTCTCACGCACATCCTACACCGGTTGCCGTCTATCATGACGAGTACGAGTTGCATCTGCCTTCTGGTCGAACAGCGGGCCATCGCTCCCTCAACAAATACTACCGCCAGAATCTGCGAAATTACCCCGGCGTTGCGGAGCGGATGGAGAAGGCGAACCAGCGTATGATTGCAGGAGCGACCTCAGATTCCGAAGGCGACGTGGACATGGACCAGGAACGTGTAGGCCGCGGTCGCCAACTGGTGTCTCGCGCAAATGGCGGTCTTGGTATGATTGGTGCTAGTGACGCAAAGAAGGCCGAAGTGCGAGCCGTGGAGAAGCGAGAGCAGAGGAAGGCAGAGCGTGCACGGAACAGGTATCAAGCCGGTAATGAAAAGAGGGCCAACTTCCAAAAGCATTTCAGGGTGTGTCATTTACGCGTGATTGATATTTCGTTGCCACTAACGTATCGTTTAGGACCATCTTCTTCAGTGATCTCTCTTCGATTCAAAGAATTATGGGACGGATTATGTCTTTTCTGGATGGATTACGCATTTTACGAAATCATGGCGGGCATGGAAGGGGGTGCTTGCATTACAGCGGGTGAGTCACCAAGGACGGGATCGTACAGCAGGCCAAGACAGTACCTGGCCGGGTTTGGCGTAGTCAAGATATTGCTCACGGGAGTAGAACGAAATATGAACACTCCTTGTCCATTTGTCGACGGGCATGATAGCTACTCCTGCTTCTATCTACTCATCCAATCGCAGTGATCGTCAGCCATAGGGTATCTATCCGAATCCCACCATCACTATATGTCCCAAGACATAGCTTCTACTTGCTCAGGCATCTCCTTTCCCTACAACTTCCCTCCTTTCTTCTCTCCCTTCGGTCTCAAAATACTCTGCTGCGTCATACTAGCCACACACCTCCCCCCCTCATCCCACAACCTCGATTCAGTATAACTCCTCCCCTCAGCCCCCACCGCCGTCCTCAACTCCCTCAAATGCCACCTCTCCAAATCCACGCGATTCGTAAACACCCTCAGCGCAAAATCCAGACTACTCGTCGGCCCCGCATCCTCCAAAAACAGCCCACTAAACGTCAGCGGAGCAAACGCAAGCGCCCCATCCATCATCCACGCCAGCAGAGCCGTGTTCTCCACCTGGTTGGGCAACGGGTCCCGGGCGCGCAGCCAATCCGCCGTCGACTTCTCCGTCAGGGGCAGCGTGTCCTGCGTCGTGGGGAGATGTTTCGCGATGCCGGAGAGTTTCTGGGCGAAGATGCCTTCGGGGCATTGGCGGGTGTCGAAGAGGCGTTTCAGGACGGCGAAAGCGGTATTGAGGGCTTCGACGTGCTTGGGTTGCACTCTGCCGGATGCGACGAGTTGCTTGTTGTACGTATCTGCGTCGGGGAGGTTGGAGTGGTGGGTGTAGGTCCTGCTGGGTGGGGCGGAGTAGGTGAGTAGGGAGGCGGGTTCGGCGACTTGGAAGTCGGCGAGGGCGACGAGGCAGTTCCTTGTGCTCCCATCGTCTTGTTGTTGGGATACTTGTACGAGGCGCGTTGCGAAGGTTCGGGTTTGCCGGATGGTGGTTACCGAGGTGAGGAGGGGGTGGTTGTTGTTTGCTGGGCCGAGATAGTTTCCAGTGAAGGAGTAGAGGTGGTATTCTGGTTGCGTCTCGGAAGGGGTGAGGAGCGTCAAGGCGGCGGCTTTGTAGGCGGCGGCCAGGGCGAAGCCGCCGTAGGCGATGGGGCGGGCGTTGCCCATGGCTCTTGGGGGGTGGATGGTGGTGAAGGTTGTGGGGGAGAGGGATTTGAAGGCGAGCATTTCGGCCCAGGGAGGGAGAGATTCCGCCATTGTGGTATTGATGTGGTGATGGTAGCTTTAATGGGAGGGTTTTGCCTTCAACTATCTCTTTCAATTCACGGCGACGGGAGTGTTTTCTTCCAATTCCTTGCCGTAGTGAATGTTGCCCGCTGATACTGACTGCCCAAGCAAGTCGTGATGAAGACTCTCACGTTCGAAAGTTGACAAGGCCTGCGAAAGAAGGAACCCTAGAAATGGACCAACGAAAGACTGGAACAGGCAGACATTCAAACTGTGACTGAGAGTTTACTTCACGGTTGAGGCATCGCGACGTTGGATATACCTCGGACGACTAAACAGCCGCTTTGGTGTTGGAATTTTTACCTCGGCCTGGGAGTGGTGAATCCGCCATCACGTGTTGCATTGCCTTTTCCAAGATAGACCCAGGTAAATGCTCTTCCATCTGCAGTGTGACGGTCCTCTTTGGCCATGATAGAGTGGAGAGCGGTAGTATGGGGGTTCGAACGGTGAGACGCCACGACTGTAGAGGAAAGCAAGGGCGTGGATCTGCGGTACCAACAGGTGGACGACAAAATGGTTCAGGTACACGGAATCAGACCTACACGATATTTCGACTGAACCTCCATAACGGACGTGTTCTGAAGCAAAGCTTTGACTTTGCCCTGTCTGAGTAATTCCCATCCAGATTCCACTGTGCGAGGAGTTCTGCATCTGTACGGTGATCCTGAGAGGCAACGCTGCTTCCTGGATGCACTCGAAATACGGGCTCTTTGTATTTTGCATCCTAGATTTTATGAAGGGGGATACCAAAAATAATGATGAACCGCCCTGGGCCCTAGACAGTTTTGTAGTAATCTTGTGTTGTCCGTGATCCGGCGTACTACTCGTCCGGCGCATAACATGCTCTACTTCCGTAGTGGATGCTGCAAAAACGAAGGGATAATTACTGGGAAGAATGACAATGAAGGGCAAGATCACCTTTCACCGAATATCGGAATGGTTTACGTCTGTACGCCCAGCTGCTATCAACGGTATCCCAATTGTTAGGTCGGCCCGGTGAAACGGGCACCTCAGCTTCATGCTACAACGCCGCAGCGGGGAAATGACGTCCGTGGTCAGCTGAAGATGCCCGTCGGCCATTTGAATTTGGGGCTAATAGTGATGATGAGAGCTATATCGCCCAGATAACGCCCACAGCCAGGAAAGCTGATGGGCGCCTCGTGGAGCATCGTGACGGTGCTGGGGGGTTTCAACTTTTCAAACATGGCAGTGCTGGCGCCTGTCAGACATTCCAGCGTCGGCGTTGGAATGAGGGGCGTTGGGCGTCCAGAGGCGTCGCAGTGATGGTGATGGAGATGTGATGAGACGAGATGACATATACCACTTCCGGAAATTGAGGGGTTCGGGGTTCCGAATTCCATAGATCCCCAGCCACGACTCAGCCACTACGACGCATCATCCCGCGTTTAGCGTGAGTGACGCCCGGGAACCAACCAGGCCTGGATGCAACTCCGCCATTGCTCGAATGAAGCGCCATGGATGGCTCATAAACACGAGACTCTGTCGTCACATTCCCTTTGTTCGAGACTTCTTAAGTTCAGTTCTGGCCCTTCACTTTCTTACCTTCTCTCTGTCAAAATTCCATTTTCCATAGGTAGCATGAAGACAGTAATACCACTTCTTACCGCGTCCACATTCACCTGTCTGGCCAGTGGTAGACCTCCCTTATCCTTCAGTATGACATGCCTACTGACGTTGCCAGCGTCTGCCAGCATAGGAAGGCCAGAGATTAGTGCGCTCGAGAAACGTGCAACTCCTCAAGCTCCCAATGGCTACGCGCCAGCTCCCGTCGACTGCCCTTCAATACGGCCCAGCATTCGATCAGCCGCCGAACTTTCGCCCAACGAGCAGGAATGGTTACAGAGGAGGAGAGCGAATACCATCGAGCCCATGCGCGACCTGCTGGGGCGCTTGAACATAACAGGCTTCAATGCGCAGCAATTTATCGACAACAATCGCAATAATGCCTCCGCGCTACCAAACATCGCCATTGCTTTCTCGGGAGGAGGCTATAGGGCCATGACGAACGGAGCTGGTGCTCTCGCTGCTTTCGATAGCCGAACATCCAATTCGACGAGTGCCGGGCAGATTGGCGGATTGCTGCAGGCGGCAACTTACGTTGCCGGCTTGTCCGGCGGCGGCTGGCTCGTCGGAAGTATATACTCTAACAATTTCACATCAGTGCAGAACATCCTTAACGAGGGCGAAAACGCCGTGGTCTGGCAGCTCGGAAACACCATCCTCGAAGGCCCCCAGCAGAGCCGTGTGCGGATACGCAATACAGTCGATTACTGGACAAACCTCTATGACACTGTCACAGCTAAGAGTGATGCTGGTTTCGAAACCTCCCTGACAGACTACTGGGGCCGGGCTCTGTCGTTCCAGCTTGTGAACGCTACGAACGGGGGACCAGGTGAGCTCTTCACAGGCTGATATGGGAACTTTGGACTCACAAAGCCAGCATACACATTTTCGTCCATCCAGGATGACGAGGATTTCAAGAACGCAAATGCTCCGATGCCTATTCTTGTCGCGGACGAACGTGCACCTGGAGAAGTGATCATCTCTCTGAATAGCACCGATTTCGAGTTCAACCCCTGGGAAATGGGCTCATTCGATCCTACGCTCTTCGGCTTCGCCCCGCTGCGTTATATTGGGTCAAACTTCACCGCTGGCCGACTTCCTGATAATGAGCGCTGCGTGCGAGGCATGGACAACGCAGGCTTCGTGATGGGCACCAGTTCTTCTCTGTTCAATCAGTTTATCCTTAATGTGGACTCGGTGAATGTCTCCCAGTTGATCAAGAACGCAGTAACGGGGCTCTTGGAGGGGATAGGAGAGGCGAACAACGACATTGCTGACTATACGCCTAATCCGTTCTACCACTACAACAATGGTACCAACCCCAGCGCGCCGTCGAAGCGGCTTACGCTCGTGGACGGAGGATCAGATCTACAGAATATCCCCCTCAATCCTCTTATCCAGCCTATCCGCAAGGTCGACGTCATATTTGCGATCGATTCCTCTGCCGATACTCTTCCACCTCGTACAGGTGCACAGAATTGGCCGAATGGTACCTCTCTGGTGGCCACTTACCAACGTTCAACCATGAACAGTACCATGCAGAACGGAACTGCTTTCCCAGCCATCCCAGATACGAACACATTCGTCAATTTGGGACTCAACAATCGTCCTACCTTCTTCGGATGTTCTGCGCAAAACCTAAGTGGCCCGGCTCCTCTCATCGTCTATCTGCCAAACGCACCTTATACGTATAATTCCAATACCTCCACGTTCCAGATGCAGTATAACAACACTGAACGCAACGCTATGATCTTGAACGGATATAATGCAGCCACGCAGGGAAACAGCTCACTCGATGCCAATTGGCCGCAATGCGTAGGCTGTGCGATCCTCTCTCGCAGCTTCGACCGAACCGGCCAGACCGTTCCGGATGTCTGCAAAGAATGCTTTGACCGTTATTGCTGGAATGGGACCATCGCTTCCAATGAGCCACCTCCGTACTGGCCTCAGATGAAATTGAAGGCTACGAAGGTCACTGGCAGCGGCGCTAAACAATTTCTTCCGAATGTGTTCGCTCTCATGCTTGCTTCGATGGCGTCTTCATTCTTTTTGCTCTAACCATAATTTGGATACCCTGTTGTTATCTTGAGACTAGCTGTTTGTTGGGAAGGTCGATTTCAGATACCATTCGTTGTATATTAGGATCAGATAAATTCCATCACCATTGTGATATTCCAGCTCAGTAAGATCTATGGGGGAACCTTAGCGTGGCGTTCTTGATGTGGCGCACCTCTTGGACATCGCCCCGCACCCCTTCAAAAAAGTTCCCTGCCCCGCGACGAGGTGCAACTACAAAACATGGCAGCAACAGCGCTGGAGAGTGCACCAGTCCTATCTACACCCGATACGCATATCTTCGAAGATCCGACGCCCACAGTAGACGTTTCCAGTCTCCCACGGCTCTCAGATGAACAAGTAGCCCTCACTTATGAGATTGAACGTACGGTTCGAGAGATACGGGAGGGAAGATGGAAGAGAATAGCATTGCAGTTTCCAGATCATATGCTCGTAGATGCGCCCAGGGTGTACGAACAACTGAATAAAGCGTTGGAGAAAGCACGGAATTCCTCGAATGGTATTCAAACGCCATCGGTACTGCAAAACGGGAACGTTGCGGACGAGCTGGCCTCGGGAATTCAAGCTGCGTCTTTGCAAGAGAAGGAAGAAGTTGAAAGGCTTTTCATATTGGGCGACACATCATACGGCGCCTGCTGCGTAGACGAGGTGGCAGCGGAACATGTGGACGCGGATGTCGTCGTCCACTACGGGAGATCGTGCCTCTCGCCGCCGTCCCGCCTACCGGTCATATACGTCTTCACGGAACGGCCTCTGGATCTGGACGCCGTAATCACGACATTCCAAGAAACATATCCAGACAAGGACCAGAAGATTATTCTCATGGCAGACATACCCTACTCGCACCACATCCCAACACTGCACGCCCGCCTCCAATCCTCCGGTTACACTCACATCTACCCAACCGAAATCATCCACAACCCCTCCTCCCTCCTCCCCAACCGAACCACACCTCCCGAAGTCGCCGACTCCAAAGAGGCCCTCCGCCCTTACCACCTCTTCCACATCTCCACCCCACCAACGTCCCTCCTCCTAACCCTTTCCTCCCGCCTCTCCGCCATCCACATCTACCCCACCGACACCCCCTCCCCTTCCGCCCTCCCAGCCTCCACAGCCATGACGCTCCGCAGACGCTACGCAATCATAACCTCCCTCTCCTCAGCCCCCATCTTCGGCATCCTCATCAACACCCTCTCCGTGAAAAACTACCTGCACATCCTCTCGCACGTGCAATCCCTGATCGCCGCCGCGGGCAAGAAATCCTACACCTTCGTCGTCGGCAAGGTGAATGCCGCCAAGGTGGCCAATTTCTCAGAGGTCGCGGGTTGGGTCGTGATTGGCTGCTGGGAGAGCAGTCTGATGGAGAGTAAGGAGTTTTGGAAACCGATTATCACGCCGTTTGAGTTGGAGATGGTGTTGATGGGGGATGAGGAGCGCGTGTGGACGGGGGAGTGGGAGGCGGATTTTCAGAAGGTGTTGGAGGGGAAGGAGAGGACAGTTGCTGGGAAGGACGAGCCGGGGGAGAAGAAAGATAAGGTTGAAGGGCGGGTCCAGGACGAAGATGGCAATGAGGCGAATGATGCGGGAGACTATGATTCAGAAGAGGAATCCGCGCCGCCCGAGTTCGACCTTCGCACTGGCCGCTACGTCTCGCATTCCCGCCCAATGCGGTCCTCAACGGCGCCCAAGAACGAGCAGGGGGAAGGCGGCCAGGGTTCTTCTGCAAAATCGAACAGCACCGCGCTGGCAAAGCGTGCAAACGGCGACGTAGCACATGTTGGAGGTGTAATTTCTCCCGGAGCTGAGTTCCTACGCTCTCAGCGCACCTGGCAGGGCTTGGGTAGCGACTTCGATGTCGTGCCTGAGGACGGTACGGGTAATGCGAATGCTGCGCAAATGGAGGAAGGGAGGAGGGGTATAGCTAGGGGATATGTTGTTGGCGAGAACGGCTCGACGCACTAGATTCCCAAGGATAGTGATGTTGTTGTTGGAAGGAATTTCGAATCAGACCATTCTCACTGCCATATAACAAACATGCTGAACCATAGTAATAAAGTATTACAGTGATACATTCTCGACAGAGTTATGCCATGTCCCGCCGAAGGTCATCGCAAACCTTCATCCTGTTATCCTCAGAACAGTTCCCTCAACTCCCTGGAAACATTACGTCTCGCCCATCGTACGCGACCAGAAGCAACCAAGCCCTCAAAACGCCCAAAAACACAGGCAGATACCCTCCTAAGGCACCCATCTATCCCTTTGAGTCAATCACTGTCATCCCCCACCCGCCGCAATCGCCGTCAACAACTTCCCCATATAATTCCGCATCGTCAAATTATGCGCCGCCACCCAGAACAACTGCTCCTTAACCGGCGCGAACACCCTAGGCACCCACCCTACACTCTCTACCTCCTTCTCGGCAAGCTCCTCGCTATCGCGCTGCGCTTCCCTCTGAGCGTCGCTCAAACGCGGCTTCTTCGAGCCGAAGCTGCGTCGATGGTCGGGACTACCGTCACGCTTCCGCTTGGAATCCGATGGAGAGTCCGGGATTTCGTAGACGGAGGACGGAGGGTTCAGTTTTCCGAGTTGGCGCGCGAGGTTTCGTAGGACGAGGATGGCGGCGAGTGGGAGGCCGGCGGCGTCTTGCTGTGTTGTCTCATCGCTTACTGTGTTGAAGTAGCGGAGATTAGGCGCTGGCGCTGGGGGAGGAGCAGGTTCCTTCTGCCGGCTCTCAGTGGCGTGGCGGTTGTGGTTGTAGTCGCTGTAACGTGGGCCCATGCCTAAACTCCCGAGGCCGACAGGCTGTGAGAATTGAGGTTGGAAGTTCTCGTGCCGAACTTGAGCAGAGGTGGAGAGGAGGATGGAGTTCGATGGCGTGCGGTTGTGTTTGGCATGGACCGACTGTGTTAGGCCCGTCTCTGGAAGGTGAGTCTTCACATGCTGACCGATTTCGTATGCGGATTGGGTGCCCTTGGGATTGAAGTGCTCACATCCGCCCCAATGACAAAAGTACTTCTGGGATGCAGTGACAGCCACCGTATTGCCGTTCTCGACGTTGATATTCGGCTTCTGTTCCAATATCCACTTGCCATTTTCATCCTTTGGGATTCTCAAATGTGCCGAGAGTATGTGCTCCCACATCGCCTTAACGCCAGTGGTAAACTCTCCGCACTCGATCTTAGGGGTGGAATGCCTTGTGTCGGTAAATCCATTGATCCTGCTGGGGGAATGCCAACAACAACGCATGTATGGCTTCTTTGTAAGGGGATCGACAGGTGTGGAACGTGGTCGTATGCCGCGGATAGTGTACTTGGGCTGTTGGTTCGTGGCGATAACCTGAGCAGACGCACCCGCAAATGTCGAAGAAACATTTGTGATGAAATCCTTGGCCGGCATTAACGGCTTATTCTCAGGATGTGATTCAAGCATCGCCTGGAAGGCGCCATTGTAAGCCGTCCACAAGTGGATCTGGGTGATCTCTCCAGCTGAGTCCTCCTCGAAGCACGTGCGAAGCCATTGCGAGCTACGTTCCGGCTCGTCCAAGGTGATTAGTTGCTCGATAATAGCGGCAGAAAGTCGAGGAGCATCTTGCGCGGGTGGTGATGACCGTGACGTCTTGTTATTGCTACGCCGTTCCTCGTATGCGATTGCATTGTATTGAAGCAATTGGACAAGTTGCTTCACAAGTGCTGCGATATTGGTTTCGTTCGCGAGCACTTCCACGTTGTCGACGAAGCCGGTGTACAAGTAAAGGAAATCCAGGCATGCAATGCGTAATTCCTCGTCTTCCACAAGTAGCAAGTCGCAAATAGATCGTAGTGTCTTCTTTGAAACTCCTGGCAACTTGTTGGCCGCTTCATAATCCATGGCAATTCGGCCAAGGGCTCTCAACGCCGTGATCAGCCTTCCCCTATCTGAGGTTTCCAGCTGAGCCAATAGAGAGCGATATAAAGGATCCTCGGCATCTAATATCCAATACCTCGTCAACTGTTCTGCAATCTCAAGGGCATAATGCTGGAGCTCTATGACAGTGGCGTGATTGGGAAGATTGAGCGCAATGACGATCATATCCCGGACCGACGAAATTAGGGAGAGGAAATGGGCGTTTTCTGTAAGCATGACCATGTTTCGAAGAATGAGTGCTGCCTCATTCACCAAACCTAGGGCTTTCGCAACATCTTGTGGTAATAGGCCGTCCTTTATATCTAGTGTCTCCAGAGATCTTATCTTCTGAAGCAAATCGCGGGTTCCAAAGAGGCCGTTGAGTGCATTGGGCCGGGCGATATCTTCTTCGAGGTAACAAATCTCCCATCTAACACCGTAATATATCGATCCGACGTCAATGACCTTCGCGATCAGTGCCTCGGCAAGTCCGGGGAATTGATTGAAGTGGTATTTATCACCTCGCTCGTGGGATATCTTGACCAGATGATGTAGGGCGTAAGCCTGCTCCTCGGGATCGCCTGATCGCAGGGCGTGGAGGGCACGAATATAGATATTTGGGCCAGGGAATCCAGTGCCAGGGAGCATCATGCCTTTGACGGGTTGACCTCGTACCACTTTCCGATTGACGCTGTACTTCATGCGCAGCTGCCGGAAATGCTCTGGATTGTTCGCCGGCGTAATAACGGGCTTCATACTGGATGGTACGGCAGGACGAGGCTCGTAATTTGCTATCGTCATTGAGGCGCCGCTTGTTCCATAATTCCCGTTCGAGTATGAGTGCGGTGAATTCTGATGGCCAGTGGACTGGCGAGTCTGCCGGGTAGTCATTTCAGGCTGGAATAGAACGCGTTGGGGAGGTGCATGGCGTAAAGCTGCGAATGGTTAGCAGACTGAGGAGCGATGGACCAGCACTTTGAGAGAGCTGGAAGATAAGCTAGCTTACCTCGTGTAACGCGCCCAGTGCTCCCCGGATCGTCTACATCCATCTTATCTTCCCTGGGTGTCCGCTTGGCGTCGCCGTCCTCATCTGATTCTTCTGAATCCTCGTCCCCGGTTTTCAGCCGCTCAGCTTCTCGACTGGCAGGGCGAAAGTAATTCTCCCGAGTTCTGTTGAGAAGATCACCTCCTTTCGCGGTCACATCCTCAAGGATCTCCTTTGGCGGCGGCTCGCGTTTGTGGATATTCGTTATTTCGTAAGCACTATAAGGACCATTAGCGCCTAGGGAACCCAGTATTCACCTTCACATACGCGAGGTTTTTGTAATATACGGTCTTCACCAAGAAAGCCTGGGTGGTCAGGTTCGGGCTTCCAGGGAGGAATTCTCCCGCAATCCGTCTCCACGCGAGTTTGTTGCCCTTTTTGTCCGAAACCTTGTCGTAGCCCCCTTCTTCAACAACGCGTTTGTATAGGCGCAGCAGGTCAATATGTCGACTTCCGATCTTGGGCTCCCGTTCCAGAGTTGTTCTGCAAACCAGTCAACCTTTGCGCAGATGGTAGGCGCGCATATTCGTGTGCATGGAGAGAGCACCAACCCTCGTTTCTTGTGGTATTCCGCTAGCTTGTCTAAGAACTCCTCGTACTCTTGCGTACGCTCAATGGATGCTTCTCGCGGTTTGTTTGGCGCCATGGCACTCTCGCGCGAACTCCAGACGTGGTCGAAGCAGACAGAGAGACATGTGCCAGTCCGCGCCGGGTTGTGAATCGGTGATATCAAGACGCGTAGTGAAGGTGAAGCGCGCGCGCTGATTTCGCGGATGGAATTCTACTTTCTCCAACACCGACATGTCGCGACGATCTAGCTCCGATCTGCGCACGGATCATTATCACGTGATTGTTGGTTATTAGTCGTCACTTCCTTAACAACAACTTCTTCCTCCATATCCATCTCGTGGTGCCTTTTGTTCACGTACCTTTCGTCTCTACTTCCAAGTCCAGATGAAGTAGAAACTCTGATCGCCCGCTAATACCTCACTAATCGCAGGAATCATGCAGCAATCATCCCGTCTCCTCAGCTTTCCCCTGGCGAAGTATTCCAGGGCAGATGACGTCCCCAGAGATGTGGAACGATTCAACTGGAGCCATATACAACACAATCTAACAGCGGCCATTGACGTATATGGCGGAGCTAACAATTTCGACGGCCAGTCGGCCCAAATGCTCAGAGTGTATCATGGGGCACAGATCTTAGTAGGCCTCATCCTCAGTAGATGTGAAAGAGTGTCCACCTACGCAGCGAGGTCTGACTGGCACATCACAGGAAGCAGTTCCCATCCAGGAGATGATATGTCAGGCTGAAGAGGTTATCAAGACCATGCTGCAACTCAGAGTCCAGGTAAAAAATGAACAATTGCCGATTTCAGCATTAACACGCCGTCCCCTCTTCGCTCTTCGTTACAATCTGCCCGATGAGAAGGTGAGCCATCTTTACAACTCCCCGTCTCAAACTTACATACCCAGGTCCGTCGGATGCAGCTAAAGTTCATCTCCGATGATGATTTCGACAAGTTCTACAACCATCTCAGCAACTTGGGGCTTCGGATGTCAACCAGCGGAGGGAGACCGTCTACCGCGAGTGTCCAATCTACTGGCCAGTCCACACGATATTCTGGCGCGACTTGCCCGCCAACAAGGCTGGCTGAGATAAGCAATCGTCCCAGCACCGCTCTTGCAACTGCCTATGTCAGTCCAACTGTACCGAAGGTGTCGTCTCCGTTGGCACGGCATTCGATTACCGCAGCTCCCCAGGATGAACCGCCTAGAACTGCCAGCCGGCCGACCTCTGGTTCTACCTCTGGTGGGATAATTCCCCAACGTTATCCAGTCACTTCAGGCTCGTATCTCGCAAATCCGCTTGAGCCACCTGAATATTTCCCACGTCCAGACTCATCTTCGTCTAGTTTAGGTCGGCCTTGCAGTAGCGCGTCAAGAGATCCTGCACCTGTTTTCCAAACCGTCGAGGAGCATTCAACCTTCCCCACTGTTCCCTCGAGCGCCACAATGTTGTCAACGCACCGCAAGGTAACCGAATCCGCTCTTCCCCCACGGCGAGAATTGCCTTTTGCCAGGTCATCTCCTCCGAAGTCCTCTGGAAGTGACACGGCTCGGCCATTGAGTCGTCCCTCGAGCGGTAACATGGGCCCTCCACCATTGCCGGCACCCTCTCAACTTCCCGGTCGCACCCCCAGCTTCGGTCAACGCCATGGAAGAGAGGCGACTACTTCGCCTGCACCACATCATGCTCCGGTTGCGGTTACATCCAAGTTCACTAGACCCAGATCAGCGTCCAGTGGATTCTCTACCAGCCCCAGCGCCTTGAATCTGCCACCCCTTCCTCAGCCTACTTTTGTGGGCAGCACCGTGGGGAAGCTCCATCGCAACAACTCCTCGCCGGTTTCGTACGATATGACAACTGATCCGCAGAACACCGATTGTAGGGGAACCACAAGTTCCACAGCCCAGAACGCATTTCCCCCGTCGCCGTGTTTTCCGCCTACTCCAGGCTCAGGCCCTGGATCAGATTCACCGTACCAAGACCGCGCCATAGCCCAGATTTTTCAAGCTTTCCACGCCCGTACTGGGGACGCCCTGGCATCGTATGCGGCGAAGTCTGACGATGACCGGCGAGCGATTCTCAATGATTTCATGATGAAGTGCATCGACGACGACAGTTTCTTGACTCTTGTTGAAGACGTCTCTACGTGCTGGGCTAGGATCGGACTCGGCTTGGGGTGAGGCGGTGATGTGAGTTTCGAGCTCTGCGGCAGATGCTAAAGGGTTGATTTTTCGGAAGATGTGGCGGGGTCTGATGTTGCTCAATGCTCGACATTGATGATATATCTGGGATCTTTCATCGCACGAGGAAGGGGGAGTTTTACACATATTTATGACGACATGATAATAACACCTTACAACCAACTAATCCCCGCTTCGGACAACAGGTCTTGCACTAGACATGGGTTAGAGCAGCGTATCATTCCTCAGAATAGACATGTTTACCGACCGTCAGTATTCCCAGCTCACCTCCATGATTGTCATGGAAGCAGATCTTACTCGGATCCATAGGCCATCTCCACGACGAAGACAAAATTGCTCGTACCTACTCACCATATAGGGTACACTTCCATACCCCATTTTCCTTTTCAATGGCACTACTTTTATCATCAGATGCAAGAAAATCCACCAGATCGACATGTTTGATGCGAATCCATAAACATCCCAAGGGTCCCACCCCAAGCACAGATAACGTTCCTCTGTGTTGACTTATTACTCTCATTAGATTATCATCTCTTACAATAGTCTACCCAAGTCCTCGCTCGAATCTCCAGACCGCCTTTTATCTTCCTTGCAAGCGATTGAAACATTCAACCCAGTCGCCCGACAGAAAAAGACTGCGGAATTATCTCCGCGACCCACACATAAAAGCCCTTATTATATACTTCGTAAGGAGTACACTGTACTATGAACAATTGCGAGACTACTTCCACAACAGAACCACACAAAATTAATACACAATACGAAGTAGTAAAGTGAGAAACCCTCCCTATTCTGACCCTATCCTACTGCGTAGGCATGAACTACCACGGCAATCCATCCTTCCAAAATCTGAAGAAAATAAACCCTCCGAAGAATTGCATTCTATTCCGCACAAATTCACATTCCAATTCCCCCACCACCACAACCAACAAGCAGCCCGCCGCCAAGGAGAACGCTCTCGGATTGCATGCATACCAACCCATTCCCGTACTGTGTCTCTGCATGCGCAATTTTTGCCATTGGAACGCTTCGAATCCCAAAGGTGAGTGCCCAGCCACACAACTTAATAAGGCTACCCTACATACCAGCGCCCAGCCCCAATATGCCACTGTAAGCGCTGCGAGCGCTGTGAGCGCCAACAAATAATACTGCCCCTCCCCGGCTGAACGATGCCGTGCTAAGCTAGCTGAGGCGTATCAAGCTCGGCGCTCACTTGATGGTTAGTCACACCTGTGGTGAATAGGGGAAAGGATAGGAAAGCGGCTGTGCGGGTGAGGCGTTCTACCTCCTGTGACAGGCGTCCTGTGACCTATGCCCTTCACCGCAAGAATATGTGGAGCCAGACCCCTGCCCAATCAACAGGATGCTGCATCATGCTCCTGCATCGCTGTCCATGCCTTGAAACTCCGGCCTCCTTGGGCAGAATGGAACTCTCCGAAGGCCTCGAACCAGGCTGGTCTGGGTTGACGTCCACAATTCGACCACTTCCCAAGCTGTAAATGATGATGATGTTCAAGATTATTTTTCTTTTGTGCTGTAACCTATTCAAACAAACAAGATTGCTAATGCCCTGCCCCGTCTATATACTTTTGCTAAAAAGCATCACCTCAATACTATAAACCGACACGGTCTCCGCTCAATGGATTAGCCCGTGGCTAAACAAACAGAGGTGCTGGTGTGTGAATAGACAAAGGAAATCCAGGCAGCCGGCCGAGACGTCGAGCTGAGCCGCTCAACGAATGTCAAAAGATATCTACAGATGGTCGGAGTCTATGATGGGGATCTGGAAATCGGGGATATGGACAGGTTGGAATTAGAGTATCCAGCAGCGTCATGAATCATGGCGTCGTGAAGGCGATATCCAAAGAACTCTCTATAAGAAGTTGGGAAGAGAATCCGAGAAATTGAGCCCACTGACGAAATTGCTTTGACCGAACGTTGCCCAGGCCTCATTGTCTAAGTTGTCGTTGTAATCGCTGGGCATGGCTATCGCAGAAGGTTCGCCGAACAGGGTGCCCAAAAACACGGGACCCTTCTCGCCAAGGCTCGCACCGCCCGTCGTTGACGGGACAGTGGTGGACTGATCGGTGGAGATGGAAGTCTCAGTGAAGGAGGGCGTCGCAGTTGGGGCAAAAGCCTCCGTCTGCACAGCCGACGACGCCGCAAACACGGGATTGTCATCCCAGAAGAGAATGTTGTTTGCCGTCGACTGAGGCCTGGCATCAAGTTCCTCCAAATCCGAGTGGCTGGATGCACTCGTGAGCCCCGCGACGCTGTGGTGATTTGATTCGCCGCTATGAGAGATGGGTTGCGCCAGACTGTCGTTCAGCTTGTTCGGGTCGAGCGGCAGGTCCCCCGCCGACCACAGTGGATTGCCCAACCCAGCGGAAGGAATAGCCCAGTCGTCGCCTGGGAAGCTGGTGAGGCAGTCTTGCGAAGGCGAAGTTGAGAGGCTCCCGTAGCTGAAGCTTTGACCAACGGGTGCAATGGAGCTCGACCAGGGCCACTGCTGCGACGAGAACAAATCTTCCAACTGCGTCTCGACAGGCGAATTCGACTCTTGGCCAAGCGTGGCGCCCGAGAAGGAGAACAAGGAGGTTGCAACGTCGTTGGGCTTATCAAGCCCACCAGCGAGCGAACCCACGGGCAGGCTGTCTTCGACACGTTGGGAAGAGCCGAACATGGCGTGGAAATCGGTATTGGACAAGGAGAGGGTATCCATGGAGCGCTGATTCGATCGATCCGATAGCGTAGCGGACGGAGTCTGCCTTAGACTGGCGAATGCGGCACCACCGTGCAGGGTATGAGGACGGTTGAGCTTGTAGGGCGCCCCAGACTCATGGGCAGTGTTGTTGTTGCGGTGACAAGGCTTGTGGTGGCCATTGGCAAAGACGGTCAAAGTGTTTTCGGAATGGGCGGAAGTGAGTCTCGGTTTGGCACGCGCGGCGTGCAGGCTTAATTTGGTCGTGTCGAGCTTCAGGTCCAAGTTCTCCTTCTTCAGGCCGCAGATGCACTTTGCGCCTGAATGGCAGCAACAGCGGTTGCCGTTGTTGACTGGATCAAGATTAGAGGACTCGTCGGCACTGCTGTCCACCAAATGCTCACCCTTGGCATCGCCCTTGTCTTTGTGCTTGTCCTTGTCCTTCTTCTCGCCGCAATCGCACTTTGCGTGATGGGACTTGGACTTGCGAGCACCGCGGCAGTGCTCACATTGCTTGACAGGACGACCCTTGGGGTTGATGTGAATGAGTTCCCGATCTGGAGAGTGAAGGTTAACGCATTGTCATAATAACCCCAAGGCAGGGCAACGTACCAGTATGGGTGCAGCCGCTTACGCGGTGTCCTTTGACACACGACTGGCAGGCCCACTTCTCGCCATTGATGACGGGCATGGTGGAGGAGACACGGCCGACGAGGGTGGTTCGCGCCTGGCGAGGCTAGGGTGGGAAACAAGGTAGGAGATACAAAAGAGGACGGCGACGTAGCTACCTAGGGGAGCCACAGCCGCCTGACGAAGGTATCGTGGAAACAAAGCGGAAAGGAATTCCCAAGGGAAAAATAAGCGTGGGTATCTATGTCTACGATAAACGCAGGAACGCCGAACAGGGCTGGTCAGGGCAGCTTAGGTGAAGGCCAGGGTAACAAAAGCGAGTCGAGGAGGGAGTGGAGAGGAACCGAGGAAGAGGGAGAGGAGATGGGAGAGAGGAGAGGAGAGAGGAGGGGACCGAGCCGTGCACCAGAAGGCGCTGGCCGTAACGCGTGGGAACTGGGTCGCTGTAGGGAGGCCAAAACGGCAACGTGTGGGAGGTGTGAACCCGGTGTGTGGAAGAGAAAGGGAAGAGGTGAGGATGAGGATTATATAAGAGGGAGAGCGAGCGAGGACGGTGCGGCCAGACAAGGAAGCCGCTGCGGGCAGCCGGACGGCAGGCAGGCAGGCGGCGTCGAGATTTGGGCGTCGCTGATTGGACGAGCAGAGAAGTTGCCATTCTGGGTAAGCGTCGCTACAGGGGGGCAGGGGTGTGGGGGTTCAAGCTGTGCTTCTGCCCAGTTCCGAGTCCGACAAGGGAAAAGCGCCGCCCACGCTGTTTGTTGGTGAATACAGAGTACCTACCATTACTGTAGGTATGCACTGTTGGTTCCTATATTACTAGGGGACGAGTGTGGGAGTAGCGACAGACACAATCATCGCAGCATTTCGGTGAAATGCTTTTTTGCGCCTCTGTGGGTTGCTGCCCCACTGCCGCCCACTCTACCACAGTACGGAGTACGGAGTAAGCACATGGCAATCTGTTTCCGATGACCGTGATGACCCGCAGGACTGTGGACATGGTTTGTCGTTTTCCCCCTGATTCTTTTCTGTGCCCATTATTCTGTGTTTTTGTCTGCTGGCTGTGACGCAACCGGTCGGCGTCGGCCGAGGCACCTTTCGGCGTCCTTCGCACGCGACTCTGCCGTGCAACTTTTTAAGTCCAGCGGGCTGACTTTCTCCGAGCCGGATCCGCGCTGTCGTCAAAAGTCATCACGGACTCTTCACCCTGTTGTCGCCGGCGTCCCCACGCTCGCGGGCAGACTGTGGAGTCGTTGACGGTGGACGTGGGACCTCCCGTTGCCAAGCCGAAGATCGGATATTGTGTGCAGCAATATCCTTAAACCGCCCGCCCCTGCAATCGCCCATAGATCGCTCTCAGGTACATTGGCTACTGCTATATTCGCATGTATATTCACATGTACTGTGTAGATTCCAACCCTGCTACCTCCGGCAGGAACGGGCGCTGAGCCGGGAAGATGAAGCTTCACCCATTGAACATTTCCCAGCCCTGTGCAGACGCCCATCATGCTGCCCGAGAGCCGACTTGGAACGTTTTCGCTTTGGCACAGAGTTGTTTACTTGTGTCTGTTTGAAACCATCACGTTTTGCTTCCTACCTTATGCTATCTGTACTCCTCTACTCCGTAAATTCTCCGCCTGCATCCCTGTCGATAGAGAGAGCCGCAAATTAGCTGGTACGGAGTGCATCTACCCGGACTGAGATTGAGCCTCTCCAGGTGTTGATGCTTGCCATGGAACGCAGGCCCATCACCCGTCTTGCATATATATCATATTTGCTGGCCGATTCGAGATAACATGTTCTCATTCGTGAGGTGCACTTTTCCTCGTCGCTGGATACGATGCGGGTTGTGGAGACCACCAAATGTGTAAAGGATCCCGAACACCCTGCCCGCAATCGTACTGCAACAGATCGTCTCTCATCGCCTGTCCAAGCCTTGCTTCGACGCTCGTAACCACGCAGTTGTATGCCCTTTGGCAACCAGTGCAGTCAATGCAGCCAGCTGCAACGAGTTTGCGCTGGTCTTTGGTCGAGGCAAGCGCATGGCGCTCTCCCACGGCCGTCAAGCGTCGTCGGGACTCGAGATAATCCGGCAGCGACCTCACCATAAGTCGCTGAAAGTGCTCCAAGTGACCCTATCCTCCTCAATCTTGCCATTTTCTTGCGACGCGTCTCTCTGCTCGCATCATGGCTTCTTCACTCGCCTCAAATGCACCTCGACGTCGCCTTACGAGCCATCACGCTAGTACGAAAACCGGAAAGTGCCGTCTCCGTCTATCCCAACCCTCGGCCCTCAACTCTCATCGCTTGCATTCTCCCTCTCACCCAACCCGTCTCCCACGGCACCTCGCCGAGCCTCCCAGCTAGTCTTGAGCATCGCCGGCATCGCCTGGAATCCCATATCCAACCCCCGCGACACTGCCCGGATGGCTTCGAACGCGCCTTACCCCGAGCCCGACGCGTCCATGAGCGGCACAATGTATGGGGCACCTAATGGCGCGCCCTCGCCAGTGCAGCAACAGCAGCATATGGCTTCCGACGCCGATTTGCAACTTCAGGAGAACATTGCGCAACTCCAGCGGAGCAACGACATGATGCAAGCCGCGCCGGGACAACCACAGCAGCTTGGCCAGATGAATCCTCTGACTGCCGCCCATCACCATTTCCAATCACCCCCTCGACCCACGCACTCCCCTCAGCAAATGGCACAAACTGTCATGAATTTGGACGAGCACAACATGTATAGCGACCAGGACGCGTCTCGGAAGCGGTCCAAGGTCTCTCGCGCTTGCGACGAATGCAGACGGAAGAAGGTACAATTGCGCCTGGTCGCTTGCCGTAAACACCTTCGTGCTAACCTCCCAGATACGGTGCGATGCCACGAGCGAGAATGGCGCCGAACCGTGCTCGAGTTGTAAGAGAACCGGGGCGCGATGTCAGTTCAGTCGTCAGCCGATGAAACGGGGTCCTAGTAAAGGGTAGGGACACTGACGCCGTCTTATGGAGCTATTTCTGACGTGAATCCAGTTACATCAAGGAGCTGGCCGACCGCCTCAACTCGTTGGAGAACCAGATTCACCAGCATCCCCACGGTCCACCCCCTACCTTTGATTATCCGGTCGTCGGCGACCATTCTTTAAATGACCCTCATACCCCTTCTCATCTCAGCCGCAAACGAACGCACTCCATGTCCGAGGGTTTGCAAGATCCGCACAGGGGATCCAGTTGGTCTGCTCCCGACCGCGGTATGGAAACCTCCGTGTCTAATGACCGTTCCTCACTCACATGGCAAGATTTCACCACCAACGGTCAAACAATGCGGCAATCATCATTCAGCGACATGACCTTGGCTGGCAGCCTCCTCACAGGGTCCAACGAAGCTACTATCAAGGCGTAAGTCTCGCTCATTGTTTCCGCTTTGAAGCCCTCCGTTGACGGTATACCAGTTACTATAACTCCATCCATCCCGTTCTCCCGATCCTGTCGCATGATGCGTCGACACTGAATCGCTTAACCAACTGCTCGCCGAAGGTGCGGGAAGCCTTCTTCCTCACGCTGGAATGTGCGGTGCGCTCGGTCTCCCCATCTGGTGTACCAGGAGCGGACCTCAACGTCACGCAGCTCTTGCAGCAGGGCTTTGACTCACTCCACATCGCGGAGACCTCACTGGCTGATGTGGACCCTGCTCGGCAGTTCAACAATAAGCTGGCGTACTGCCAATCACTGGAGCTCTTGATCATTGCCTCTGATAAACCAGCTTCTACTAATGGGTTGCCTGATCCCGCGTTACTCCTAGCCCGTCTTGCCGGCATGGTCATCGCGACGGGCCTCTATGACGCAAAAATGCTCGAGCGACTGCGCGACCAGGATCGCGAGACCCTGGAAGAAGCCAGGCGTGTGTTCTGGGTTGCATTCATCCTGGACCGCTTTCTGGCGTCTGTCAGAGGAAAGGATTCCCTTCTGCCAATGCATTATGGTTCCGCATCTCGAGAGGACCTGAATGCTATGGGCGAAGTCGCATTCTACCTAGCTCGTGAGTGTAAAATACTCCCTCTCTCCCTTCCAAGGTTCTCTAACGATGGTTAGGTGCCGCTCAGATCCTGGCCTCAGTCACCAAAATAATTCGAGCAGGGGAGGTTCCTAATCCAGAGCACCGGTCTTCACCTCTCGCATCTGCCACTTCAGAGTCGTCAACACTGATCTATGATCTGATCGATGGCTTCCGTCTCTCCCTTGACCTCACAAATCTCGTGGGTAATTCGCCTCCACACCTCGCTCTTCAATATCTTCGCCTTCTCCTGGCAAGACAGCATACGCAAACGCCATCCAAAGACACTCTGGACATCACAAAAGAGCTTCTCCACAACCTGATTGTTACCCCAATCACTCCGCTTCACCACGTCTTCGCCTACCTTGTGGCTGCAGCGCTCACCGACCTTTCCGACCGGGTCGAGACCCAAGTCGAGGCTCAAGCCGCAATCAAGGAGATGGACGACGCCATCGCCAACGGCCAGATTGTACATCGGGTCTTCAACGGTACGGGCTGGGACATGGCGATCCGCAACCTGCTCCATCACAAGAAAGGCCTCACGCCAGCTTCATCCACTGCCGTCGAACGCACCAGCCCCGCGGCCCCACAACCCAACATGGCCGGCCTCCAGCACCTCGCTGCCGCCGCGGTGGGCGAGCGCGATTCCGCAGATGGACGGCCCGGCAGCAGTGGCGGACCTCCTGGTACCGGCGCGATTCCGCCGCCTGTACAGGACAGTCTCAAGAACGACGACGTTGCGGCGGCGATGGCCGCGGCGAGCGAGGCCGCGGCTGCGCAGGCACAGGCTACGGCGGCGGCGGCGCAGCAGCAGTTACAGGATGGTGGTGGTGATGGGGGCCATGGGGGTGAGAATGGGAATGGGAGTGGAAGTGGAAATGGGAATGTGGTGGAGGGGTTTTAGCGACTGTTTCCCTTTTTGGGGGGAGTATTTGATTTATGTGTTTGAAGCGGTTTTCTTCGTTTTCTTCGTGCTTTTGCTCTTGATGTTTTGGCGTTTTTGCTTGGGAAACGGGGGGGATGGGTATACCCCTGGGCTTTTTGGTTGGGTTTTTCGTACGAGATTGTGTATCACAATCGTAAGATGGGCTTGGTCTGCTAGAGGGTAGTAAATCGATGTCGATCAGTGGGATTGCGCTTTCCGCAGCTCTCAATCTATGTGTGTCTGGTCTTGGTGGTTTTCCTGAAATCCTGGGATTTGGCAATTCGAATACAGTCAGTCGACTTGTTTGTTCTTTTTCTACTACCGTTGAGTCTTCTGCATCTTTCGATGCTTTTTCTTCCTCTACAAGGAGGCTCCAAGGTGGACGAAGCTAGGTTAATGGGTCCGGGTATCGGGAGGGATGGTAGATAGGATGTTGGGTTTAGACCTCGGTGTGGAGATTGAAAGGTTAAAAAGTGGAAGGTGGGAGGTAGAAGGGGAGGGTTAGAGGGAGCATCAAGTCGTCTTTTCATTATTTTTCCCCTGCTAGTGCATACCGATCGAGGGTACCCTATGTATTTGAGCGTGAAGTGGAACGCAGGAGATATATGGCATCTGCGTTTGCATTAGTCGTGACTGGCATTTGTATGCGCATCGCCTTCTCTTCTGACTTATCTATATGTATAGATACGCAGGGATATAGAATAGCATAGGGTAGGGCAGAATTGGTTGGATACTTTGTACTAGCTTAGTCGGTTCAGCGAGGTCCATTATTATCTCATCCATCTCATCCCATCCATCTCATCCCATCCATCTCATCCCATCCATCTCATCCCATCCCATCACTTTCATCCTATCCCATCCCTAGAGACTAAGCCCTAGTCGTTAGTGCCTCTACGTAAGAACCTAAAGCTAATATACCCTTAGAACTGATTAAGACCACAACATCCACGTCTACATTCTCCTCCGACGCCAACCTACTTCCCCAACCCCTCATTCTCTCCCACCGCGATCTACTAGTCCGTACAATGGCCGGTGGCGCAACACCCTCTTGACACATCCACGTGCCGTGCTAGCTAAGCCCACGTCCTCATCAGAAGCGCTACTGCTATTTTGACTTCTATTCCCTAATAACATAACATGTAGGGCTCATCCTCCTTCAGTCCTAGTGCTTCCACAGGCCCACAGCCATGCCCTGCGGACGGCAGTAAGAGTAGCGGTGTTGACGACTTGACGAGGATCGGGACGGGGAGACCACAAAGCGGCACCTGGAGCAGCGGATAGTACCAGCTAGTGTGCCTCGACGCGTCCCAAAGCCCGCTGGGTCGCCGACGGCCACATCTGGACGAGCTCCGGCATCTCGGCGGGCATCGACGTCGCGCCGGCGTGGATCGGATCGCGCCGCGCATGCCTGGGGCGAAGAGACGGCGACACGCACCTCAACCCACACTGACTTCCCTTCCTCGTCCTGGTACCAAAACACGAAGCCACAGACCACTCCTCATCTTCTCCAACAAGTGCTTGATTCAACTTATCAGCGAAGAGCAAGTCGCTATCTATATTACATGACGACCCTAGCACACGGAACATAGGGCCTCTCTAGAGATCGACGATTTTGGAGTCTGCTAGGTCATCTGAATTCAACCGCTTCTAGCATCATGTCGCCTAGCTTTGGTTTCTCGAATTGAATCATTTATAATTTGCTAGCCCTTTACGCCCCCTTTTCTATGCAGCGCAGCTCTCATGCCCCTACCACAGCACGGCAGCTATAAAACAGGCTGCAGGGTTCTAGCTAACCTAACTCCAATTGTTGTTTTTTCTAGTGCTAGCAGGCGCTAACTAGCTAATACAGACGGCGCTCTTACTATTAAACGCACAAGGCACAGCAGATGTAGCCAAGTGTTTACCGCTACTCGCAAGAAATTTCTTCTCCTAGATGCTCCTTGTTGTATTAGTTGGTGTCGCATCTGTAGTGTGTGTGAACCTTGCAACGCTGTGTTGGACCACTATAATACATGGAGATTCAAACTGGGATATTTCTATTTATTTTGAGTCCTGGTCGGTCGCAGGGAGGGCTATCGAGTAATTGAGGCATGGATGGTGAAACCTACTTGGCCATCCTGACCTATAACTTCGACGACGTAGCCTGGAGGTATTTTCACTTCTTTTGCAGTCGTGTATATCCCTCATTGTGCCGTCTACGTTCGTTGGATCTATCAATTCTCCTCTACGGCCCTAGCCACCATGGAGAAATCAGTGGTGATGTTCGCGCACTTGAGAAAGCCGTGATAGCGAGCAGGGACTTCAAGCGCGAGTTCAGCAGGGCGGAGGACCTTGATACATTCATTCATTGTAACAGCTAGTGCTTGAAACTGGAACTTGGCTTGTCCGTGACCACAAGACGTACAGCAAGGGACCAGGGCCGATTAATGATCCATGAGCCTGGTATGGTTTCGAGTTCCTCAGAGATTTACAACATCTGCTCACGATAGCAGGTGACACACTAATCACTTGGAGACTCTGGTCGGCTCCACCTCGCATTATAGATCGTTCTCCCGCCTCGATCTTGACGTCCGGCCCGCCGGTGTTGTCCATGTAGAGCGGCACGCGCACAGCGAGGCTTGTCGCCTCCTGGAAGTTGACCTTGAAGACGTGGCTTTGGCCGCCGCGGAACGCGCCGTCTATGCGTGGTGCTTCACAGCTGATGTCGAGGTCCGAGAGGGCGGCAAAGATCTTCTCCGCTTCAAAGATTTGTCTCTCTTTTGTAACCATCTAGCGATATGGGGGAAGACGCTGTTAGAAGAGACGATGGGAAGTCGATAAGGCGGCGGTGTTGCGAGCGGGGAGAGGGCTGCATGTTAAGGAAACATGCACATCACGGTCGAGAAACGTTGCCGGGGAGGAACCATTTTATTTCGTGCCGTAACCAAGGTAGGAACCGACGCCCATGAACGGGTTAGAACACATCAGCGACAATAATGCCCCAGCACCCACTTCTGTCCCTTTGTCGAACACATGTTGAATGACCTCCAGGAACCGGCCTCCATCTGTGTCTTATCAACCAGACACTGTAAAGATGGGTGCCGTAAGGATAGTTTGGCGCATTGGCGTTGCACGTGCAACGGCAGCTTCGCTGCCACACACAGAGGTGCCGAGAAAAACCAGATAGTAGGGATGTGAACCAGGTCTAGCGGGTACTGTTATTCATTGTCAGCCGCCGGTGGTGAGAGTGCGGCGAAAAAAGGACCACTACTTACGTCCTCCAGCTTGAGATTGATGTTGGCGCTACCTTCGGTGATCTCGCAGGAGCCACTGATGTCGTTCCCCGGGTATCGAGCCAGCCGAAACTTCTTGTCCAAGCCGCGTTGGTTGAGCAGCTTCTTGAACTTGACGATAACGCGAGCTCTTTCTTGGTCCAGGGAGCGTCCTGCTTCTCAGCGTAGCGGAACTCGGTTGGCTTGAGCAGCTCGTCGTCGTCAAAAGCCCAGGGCTGGGGCTCCCGCATGCCGCTGATCCCGGCCGTCCAGAGGGGGTTGAGGTATCGTTGTACTCGACCAGCCTTGGATTGGGCGTCAGATCGAAGTGGCGGGTGAGCAATGGACAGGCCGAACGTGCGGTCCATGCCTGCGTTGACGAAGAAGTCCTTCAGGACGTCGGCAACAAGCATGTCACCAGCCACCTTGAGGAAGCCGTCGCGAGCATCCTGGAGCATGGGAAGACGCTGGAGGTGGTCAGAAAAGTAAGAGGCGACGGATGCGGCCGCCATTGTAAATGTCGCGTGTCCTGGGGAAGTGCAGAATAGAGGGTAGGCGGTGATTTGGAAGAGACGATGTGAAGGAGTCGTCACTGACATCTTCTTTATATCCAACCTGCTCGGCCAATCCATTGCCCGGCTTACACCAAGCGTTCTTCGTCGCTTCACTCTAAGACCCACAGCCTCCATTCTTCCCTTCCTGGTCAGGCCAGCCCTGATCGAAGTAAATCCACACATCAGCAGGAGTGTCATTCTGCTCCTTCACAAGGTCTCGTCCTTTGTAACATTGAACTCTGTCCGCGACCACACCTAACACTCTGCTCAATTGTTGCAGTGGACGCCGACGAATGGCCTGATACAGGCGTAACGGCCGATCCATGGCTGTGCCATGTATCACTTGCGTCGCTTTCGCCCTGTCTGCTTTGAACGCTTACTGGAACGTTTGGCCGGGAGCGTGTATTTTACAAAGCCCTCAATCGAACTATCGGATTCGTAAGCCTCTGTCTCTGACACTGCAGTGACAAAGCTTGGAGCTGGGCTGGCACCTGCATCACTAGTCATTGCCTCAGCTTCCACAGGATATGTTCTCTCGTTCGCCTGGCTAATTGCCTCGTCCCTCTTGTGTTTGCACCAGTCCCTTGCGTTCCTGTACGCCGTTGCACCTTGCCGGAAGGTGCGAGCGTTCCCAGTCATTCCCCAACTATTGATCTGGGTCATATGGTACTCTGGCCGGCCTCCAGGAGTGCATGGCGAAGCTACGTGGCTGGTGTACATCTTGAGAGTGCCATCATGATATGTAGAGGTTACCGTATATGCGTTGTTGTCATAGACGGGTTCAACTCTTCCATGTGACTGAAGGCTGTGCATGCCTCTCGCTCCCAACGCACCGTCGTAACAAGCTTGCCGTTTTGCCACCGCTGCTGAACCATCCGGCCCCTTTGCAGCTAGGAAGAAATTTGGTGCCAGGGGGAGAACGTGCTGCGTCGAAGGGATGATATGGCCGCCAAGCTCGTCCCGGATTTCTCGACTGCGCTGTTCTGGGCGGGCGCCGTAGTAGACATCCGGGTTGCCGGGCTTGAGCGTGCCATCTGTCAGAGGGTCGAGGTTGTTGAACGGGATTCCTCCTGAGCGGCATTTCGCATCCCTGATCTTGCCCTCAATGATGGGAATCACTAATTCTGACACTTGATTTTCTTTGGTGGCATGTGCATCCGCTCGTTTGAATTCCCTGAACTTTCCGTCGGAAAATTGCGATGGTGAAAGAGATGGTCGAAGTTGTGCCAATACGAGATCCTCCCAGTTGTTTGGTTCGGCAGGTACACTGCCATCAGGATATTCGTATGCATCAGGATAAATTGCGTGATCAACAAGGTGTTGGTGAAAGTTACGGCTATACGCCCCAGTGCTCTTTGTCTTCGTCGTACTCGTGGTGGGCTTAGTGCTTGAAAGAGTTGCGGAACTCTGGTGCCGGCTCCTAGAAGTCGACCGGCTCGAGCTCATCGTGTGTTCCGACGAATGTATAGGCTCGGGGAACTGGAGAGAACTGTCAGCTTTGACGAAAATCTGGTATATGTTGCAATACGTACGTTCCTCAGGTCCGACAGGTCTGGACCACCGTGCCTAGCCAATGACTTTATGTCTTTCAAAATCCTCGGCTTGCAGAAGCAAAGATAGTGGGCGGCGTATTGAACGTTTTGGCAGTTTTTCTTCCGTCTTGCAGCGAAGTTTGGAGTGACCGGCGAACAAGGTGGCCTTGGAGCAGCTTGATTGTTTCTTCGGTCTAGCTCCCTCAACGCTTGCTTGGTCAACCAGATCTTCGATAAGTTGTCCCAAAATGCTGCTGGTGGTTGAGAACCACTAGAATGGCTGAGCCTCTGCTTTTTCAATCTAGGCTGTGACGTTTCGTTTGGTTGGCGCTGCGCTGAACGTTCTCGTTCTCGTTTTCGTGAACTTGGGAGCGGCGGTTCAAGCCTATGAGAATGACGGATTGTGGGGACGTTGGGCTCTGCGAGATGGAAAGGCTGATTGAAGGTGGGTTGAGGGCGGCGCTTATATCGTGCGTGGTACACCATATCTGCAACTGAGAAGAGACATGGTTTGGGTTTGGGTTCGTGTTAGCTGGGGGTTTTGTTGGCTGAGGTAGAGCTGGACCGTGCTTTCAGGTGAATAAAGGTCATTACGGTGTAGGCATTGTCCTTAGCGCCACCGGCAAGCCACCATCTACCTACTGTGTACTCCGTCCTGTGTATGCAATGATAGGTCGTATGCTGTTTCCCTCTCTGGATCAAAACAGTGCTGCGAGAGGACAGTATGTTACGTCCAATGAGTCCAGGATCCTGGCCGCCTCGATGTGCGACGGTGCAACCTGCGAGTCCATCTATGCCAGTCAGACAGCCGCACTTGGTTGCCCTGTTGCTTTGAGACTTCCTTCACCTCCCCCAAAACACCAGTTACTTGTCTTGCCGAGGTTGTGCGAACTACCTTCCCCTTAAGCCAGTTGTCTTGCACGTGGTTCGACGAACGGATACTCCGGAGAAGTAGGACTAAGTTCACCCAAGCTGGTTAACCCTCCCCTACAACCCGCCGAACTCGACTTCTGTATGAAGGCGCTCGTTGACGACTGTGAGCTGGGGCGTTGAATCTGCATCTATTGTTCAATATAAGCTCAAGGCGTTTCGGCCGCTCCGACGAGCTCACACGCCAACCCACTCGAAGGACACACAACAACCATCCCAACTCAAGACGTGGCGCCATTGACACCCACCTTCCCAGTCTCCTCCTCAGATACATTGCCACCCCCAGGAAGACAACGTTCGATCGGATAGCGCATACGAAATCAGCTCAACCCAACCCAAATCACCTCCCTCACCCCAACCGCACGAAAACAGAAGCCAGACCACACATCCTCCCCGGCCCAACACCGAACATTGACAAAAACGCACAAAGTACGTGACGTGACCCAACCCAACCCAACCATCAACCATGAAGAACACACAGCAACAACAACAACAATAACAACAACAACAGAGAATAACCAATGGCATGCATGATAGCGATGCTAGTAATAGGAAGAGAACTAGGTAACGATATGTCCCCACCCACCCAACCAGCCATCCGTCCATCCATCCAACCCATCCATCACTCCCAAGATCCAGAACCACAAACCCACAACGAAGAAAAGCGAACCAAAACACCCACTGTACCCAAACCCCGACCAAACCCAAACCAAAACCCAAACCAACCCAGCCCCTTTCCTGCAAACCCACGCGCCGAGCCGAAGCCAGCAGCCCCTCTCGCAGGCAAGCCCGGCCCTGATCGTATCTTCCTAGCTTCCCAAAATGGTACTTACTGAACCCATCAATCTGTATGTGAATCTATGTAAACAATCAGGGGATGGTTTCCCCAATCCCTCTCAAAACCAGAAAATATGCCGCGGTGATCCAAACACCCTCTACATAAAAGCGCAACGAATTCCAATAGAGGAAGAGCAAGAAGAAGAGCAGCAAACTCGTCTTCCCTTCCTCGCTCCTCACCGATCTCCTCCCTCCCCTAACCTGTTCCACCCCAACCCTCCTCTCCTCCCCGCACTCCCGCTTCCACTCCCACTCCCTCCTCCACCCCTCCCCTCCTCAATGCTCCTGCGACTCCCGCTCTGAATCTCGCTCATCTGGAACAGCAAGGGCTCGTCGTCGTCCGCCTGCTGCGCCAGCGCCTGCTGGTTCTGCGCCGCCGCATGCCGGAAACTCCATCGGCTTCCAACGCCTCCCAGGCGCTGCCCCTCATTGGAGCTCGAACCCCCAGCTGCAGCCAGGCTGCTCGAACTGCCATGGTGCGAGGACAGTTTGCGAGTGCCGCCCCTCACGCCAGCACCGCCTCCTCCTCCACCTCGCATGGAGGGAAGATTCGAAGTCGATAGTGGGCGAGGAATGAGGTCGTCGCGAGAATCCATGGGTCCCACATTCTCCGTCGACGGTAGCCCGGCGCTCGCGAGCTCCGTCTGCGCAAACAGTCCGCTCGATGTCAAAATATCTCGTTCCCTCTCTCTGTCCACGTCATCGATTGGCAAACTCGCCGCACGCAGTCCAAAGATGTCCGGTTCGTCCTCCAGAGTGCGGTTTTGCTGGGCAGCCGAGCTCGAGCGTCGCGGGTGGTTCCATGGACGGGGTGAGGTGGGAATGTCGATCGCAGTCGTCGTCGTCCCCTGTGCTTCCGTCTCTCTCGATTCGGCATTACCGCCGCGGTTCTGCTCGGTTGCTGTACGGCCTGACCTGCTTCGACTCCTGCGCGGCTCATACTCGATGATGCTATTAGCACTGAGACGAGAGGGTATCGCAGGAGTATGCGGCGTATGAGGCGAGATGGGTTTTCCGGGTGATGAGGAAGTGGATGCGGAGGTGCCAGCAATCATCGGCGGCACGCTAGACAGTTGTCGACTAGAGGACGTGGAAGACCTATGTAGCAGCATCGACGACGTGACTGAGTCGGATAATGCTGCATGTGAGTCTCTGAGACGCTGATATTTCGAGAGCTGAGCTGTCGTTCGACGAGCTGTGGCTCCCTTAGAGACGGTGTCGCTCTTGTTGAAGCTCTTCAGGTCCTTCTTCTGCTCGAGGAGCTTGAGGAACTCGGAAATGTGCTCGTCATCCGTTTTGACGGAGCCTGAGCTGGCGGCTTCTCCCTCGTTGCCCAGCATGTCGGAACCTGGTTGATGAGATGAAGCAACACTCTGTCTGCCGCTGCTCAAGTTATCATCATCAAGCCTGCTGCCAACACGGCCATCTCCAGATGAGAAACGACTTCGCCGCTGACCGAAACTGCTACTGTATCGGGTGATGATGGGAGCGGTAGGTTTAGGGGAGCTAGAAGCAGAGGAAGCGAGAATAGTGTCGTTGGGCAAAGACGGTGTCCTGAGAGCAGTTTGCGGCAGTGCAGTCAATGACGTCCGATTCCGCGGCTGATTGAGCATACTGGGCCTCCCGAGTGAGCTGCTGGGCCTTCCGAGGGAGCTTGCTGGCGAAGCTGCAATAGCGGACGGTGGCTGTTGCGCCGGCGACGATGACAAGGAGCCCGCTTTGAAAGGCTGGAATGTAACGGAGGTCCGCCGTTGGTGGGTCTGCGCATCGGTGGAACGCAGAGACGACTTTGAACCTTGGGCGGTGCGGTGGTTAGGGGGTAGTTTCTGCGGAGGCGATTCCCTGGGCGACGACGAGGGCATGTCACGTACGGCTCGCAACGCTGTCATGGGGCTTGTACCTGTGGGTACACCCACTTTATGGAACGTGGACATGCTGCCGTATGCTTGGCCTAGATCGGGTGTTTCTTGCGGGTGCAGTTTGTTCACTGGGACCGATCCAGGGCCTTGACCGGGCGAGCGGGTGGACTGTTCGAGGTAATTGTCATCCAGGCCCATGAAATGGGAGCTCAGCAGAGACTCCGAGTCTTCCACGGTGAAGTCACAATTGGTACGGTATTGGACGGAGATACACAAGGGCCCAATGGGAGAATTGGAAGGGGTAAAGTCTTGGTACTCGAGCACATCGTCCGGGGATGGGTACAGAGGGATGCCCAGGGTGTCTTGTCGGGGAGTCCTGAAGTTGCCGTTGTAGATGCGGTAGTTGAGCTTCAAGGAGGGAAAGTTGGCGGGCTGTTTTGCGATATTCTTGTGGTACTTCCAGGCAGGGAGGAAGCGAAGATAGGCGTATAGCGATCGGAAGAGGACCACTGCCTTCTTATATACGTTCGGCAAGGGATCTCGAAGTTCGGATGGGTGTACGGAGGTTTTATCTCCTATGTATACCTTCCAACGTTCAAGCACAATCTGGGTGGAACCGCCTAGTCGACTGGGGGGCTCAACCAATCTATTCAACGCCTCCCCAACGTCCCACCGCTTGCCATCGCCGTCGTGTATGACCAACGACTGCTTTGAGTCTAGGCCCGCAATATCAAGATATATCTCGATGCACAGGGGCGGAGGTTGTCCGTGAACAGCATCCAACGTTTTCCACTCCCTCAGGTCTGGCGTGAGGATATCGGCTTCATCGATGACGACGTTGAACTGAAATGGGTCAGCGTCATGAGAGCACTATACGGAGCCAGCAACCGACCCATTTGTTCTGCCGTAGATCCCCATTCTGATTGAAGCACTGGGGTAGGGAGGCACGAGACGAGATGATTAGAAGCGCTGCTTTGGTAAAGAAATTCTGGCATCAGTCAGTATCGTCCGCAAGCGTGAGAGTCGGCGGGGGACGTACTTGAATGATTTGATTCACTCTATGCGAGTTGGTTTGATCGGTGTCTGGGGGTCGCTCTGGGCGGGATATCATCTCGCCGTCACCCTCCTCGGAGGCGCGGTCACCGTAGGAGAGGGTCTCTGAGTACGGGGAAGAGCGTCCGGAGTAAGGATCCCGCTGGTTGTTGGTTCTGGATGGATTCGTCTGGGGGTTGTTTGCCGCCGAGGCCGTCCGTGGGGAGCCTCGTGGATGTGGATACATGATAGGGAAGGGACAGGGAAGGCCCCTCTAACGATGGATGCGGTGCAATGTCTAAAGACTAGGCCTTGGAGAGGTAGGTGTGAATGTATGCGTGATGCGGCTAATGAAGGTGGAAGAGGCGAGAGGTAGTCGGAGCCATCACGCGGAGTCGCGGCGGGTGATGGCTACTGAGAGTCAAAGGCCCAAAGGGTGAGGGTTGACTGTCTCTCGGCGGACAGGGCCAGGCAGGGAGCTCAGGCAACAGTCATGTTGTGTGAAAGTGGTGCAGGGTGGGTTTTGGCGGATATTCCCAATGCCTGAGGCGTCGAGATAAGGTGGAGCACCAGGCTGGCTCGCAGCGTTTATGAAGGTGGTACTGCGAACAACAGGCGGGCTTTGACGAACCGCTGGGGAACGGGGAGACGGGACGGGATGGGATGAGGGACGAGACGAAGGCTGGAGGCGCAGAGGGAGTTGTTGGGTGCTGGGGAGTGGTGGAGGCCAGCCGGGACCGATTGGGAGAGCTCGTGACTCGTCGACCAGATGACGCTCCAGCTGATAGCAAAGGTCGGCAGCCGGGCAGGCGCAGAACCGCGGATGATAGTGAAGGATAGCGGGGACAGAGGGAGACAGAGCTGTAGACGCAACAGAGGAGGAGCAGTAGAGTAGCTGGCGATGTGCAGTGTTGTGAGGGGTGAGAGATGGTGAGGGTTGATGGGGGAGTCTGTTACTTTCTCGTCGGCGTCACCAACTGAGCACTGACATCTGGAAGCTCCAGATGTCGACTGGGTGGAACCCACTCCGGGCCGCAGGGTGATCCGCGCGCCGAAAAGCTATACCGCTTTGGGGACAGTTCTTGGCTGGACGACATTCATCTTGAAGCACGTCTTCTGTCACAATTCCCATCCAATGTCCTCCTCCCTCTTCATCAGAATTGATCCACTCGGATGAAGTCACTTTCTATCGCTTCGATCCGCCACCGGGGCTTCAGCCTTCTACGCTCACTGGAGATGCGGCTCGAGAGTGTCATTGCTTCGTTTCCCTGATGCTTGCAAGCAATTGGGCGGTGCACGCCTCAATACATGTTCAAGGCATGCTGGGACAGCTCCCTGGTCTGTTGCCTCGATATGTCTCCTCGACGCAGTGAATCTCTAGGCTTCAGTCATGCGGCTGCTAAAAAGTACACACCTGCATACACCTGCCTGTGGTGTATATAAGTCTCCATCGATTTGGGACGAAAACACTTCGCCCAGAATACCCCTCCCATATTTACTACTCCCCCACATCCCCTCTACAATGAATAGTTCAAACACAAACCCACTCTGGTCGTTGGAAATCTCTTGCCCTTTTCCAGTCAGCTCCGTAGACGATTCTGCAGTCCTGTTGTTCTACGTACACGTGTTTTGTGGTCTCACCGCCAGTGGTTCGTGAGTCGTCCGCTGCACGTATAGAGCCCCATCTTGCCGGCTGAATTCCTCTCCTTCTCCTCCACCCGGGGGTGCACATGATTTCACACCCTCTTGAACTTTTCCATTGTCTTTGATTGACTACAAGCATCTCCAAGTCGCCATGAACTTCAGTCCATGCCACCTAATCATGCTCGTGGGGGAGAAGCCACCCTGATTGGCTGCCGCGAATGACGGTTGATGAGTCCGACGAGAACCGACATCGCAAGACATTCGGCGCAACAGTATAGGTGGACTTGCTGATATCTAGATGCTCTGTCCGGAGACTGAAGCAGAGCATTCGGAGTCATCCTGAGTCACATTGTGTCCTTGCGACAAGTCCTTCACCCCTCCATCCATCTCGGTGCCCTTGTTTTCCCGCATTCCGACGGCGTCATCGCGTACTTCCACCCTCGCCGTCCCACATTGTGCTGAGCTGATATCTGGCAACAGTACCTGCGCATTCCAAAGCACGCATACTAGCGTGGTCGCCAACTATCAGAGTCTCCTGGCGCATAGTCAAACCCATCCGATCGACCTCCGTATCTCCCTGACCCCGCGACTTGACCGTTCTCGCCCTGACATTGCCACCTCCCGAGAACGCTCCACTCGAGACGGAATACAGCGTCCACCGCCTTCCCCGGAATTTGCGTCCCTCCTCGTTGCTTCGTACGCCTTATCGAGTTTTCGTTTGCCCCTCCCCATCTGAAATACCGGCGGCATTCCTCCGGTATCTCTCCCAGGAGTCTTCCTTGAGCTTCACGCCCGGCACCTTTAAATAAGCTTTGGCTCTCCGAGGCCATAGCGAGGTGCTTATCGTCGAAGCAACAGGATCGCTCCGCTACCGTCTCGGCACATGAGTGGCTATCTCTGGAAATACTATCTCGAAGATGATCTCGACAGCTTCCGCCATGTCTTGGGTCATACCACATACACAGCGCGTGCGGCCACACAGAAAGGCATCGCTGGCTGGCAGGGAACCAGCCATGGACACGATGTAAACAGCAGCCCTGGGAGCCATGTTGCATCTCCTATATCGAGCATCAAGGGGCGCAGGAACCAGGGCCAACCCCCTGTCTCCTTAACCCGGGCCGACATCAACAGCCGCGATAATGTTGGTATGACGATCCTGCACCATGCTGCGTCTTCTACATCTCCAAACGCTCTTGGCTTCGCGCAAGCCCTCTTGGAGCACCCCTTGGTTGATCTCTATATCCAAGACGCGGAGAATGGATGGACCCCCCTGCATAGAGCCTTATACTTCGGAAATATTGCCACTGCGCGCTTGATTCTGCGCAGGGACACAAAGGACATTCTTGGTCACGGCTCGGGCGGCTACAATCACCATGCTAGGGGTCTGGTGAAGATCAAAGACAAGGAAGGCTACGGCCCGCTCGATTTGTACTCTCTTACCATCAAGGACCGCACCCTAAACCCTCAGGACACGGTAGAGATCGATCCAGATTCGGATGACGAAGCCCATGGCGACAGCGGAGATAGGGATGAAGACAGTACGAAAAATCATGTTGCCCCACAGGTACTACTGAAGGGTGATGAAGTCTTCACCTTCGGAAGCAACAAGAACATCACGCTCGGCTTCGGAGACGAAGATGATCGTCAATTCCCTGAACGGATTATGCTGCGGAGACCAGATCATTTGCTGCAAAGGTTCTACCAGGAACATCGAGAGGCTCGATCCAAGATTCTGAATTCACTAAATTCGTCTCATCACGATTTCGGCGGTGAGCCGCCAAAAGCGGTGACCGACCTTCCCGTCCACATCCGCAACACCCCTATCGTTATTCAGGATGTGCAGATGTCAAAGCTGCACACTGCCATCTTGACGACAGATCCCGTTGCGAACCTTCACATCTGCGGCCATGGTCCTGGCGGCCGATTGGGAACAGGAAATGAAACAACGAGGTATCAATTCGCTTGCATTGAAGGCGGCGGATTGGGTCACAAGAAAGTCTCCGCCGTAGCCCTGGGACAGAACCATACCTTGGCTATTACGGACGAAGGTGAAATCTTCTCTTGGGGAAGTGGTGCATATGGTCAGCTCGGCTATTCGCTCCCCAAACCCTCTCTGAAGGATGATGATCCTGTGTCCACCCTTCCCCGACAGATCTTTGGTCCACTGAAGAGGGAAATTGTGATCGGTATTGCTGCATCTCGGATCCACTCAGTGGCGCATACATCGTCCTCTCTCTACACGTTTGGAAAGAATGAAGGCCAACTTGGCATTGTCGATTCCGACGCTCGATCCCTGGAATTGCAAACAACTCCCCGCAGGATTGCTGCCTCGTTGTTCTCCTCTGCTATATCGTCGGTCTCGGCTATAGAAGGCGCCACGATCTGTCTACTAGAGAATCATGAGGTGTGGGTCTTCGCCAATTACGGTTATGCTAAACTCAGCTTCCCCTTGGAGGGTTTCACAAACTACTTCTTGAAGGAGAGCTGGCTCACTACCAAGTACGATAAGACTCCAAACAGAATCACCAAGGTGACTTCTGCTGGAGACACCATTTGCGCACTTGCCACGTCCGGTGAAGTCTTCACCGTCACGCTCAATCGTTTCACCTCTGAGGCGAGTACTTCAACCACGAACCCAAAGCAGATTCGCGGCGCATTCTCCACCCCCCACAGAATTTGGGCTGCGAAGAGCGGTCATATGGCCGCTAGGGATGTCGAGGTTGATCAAGACGGATCCATCATCTTGGCGACGCAATCCGGAAGTGTTTGGAGGCGTACGAAGCGAGCGACATTGAAGAATGCAACCGCTTCGGGCACTGGCGAATACAAGCCCAAGGACTACAAGTTTCTCAGAGTTCCAGGACTGACCCGGGTTGTTGCTGTGAGGGCATCTGCCTTTGGTGCTTATGCAGCTGTCCGGAAGGACTGCGATGTGACCAAAACGCAGATTGGGGTTGATGAGCCTAAGCTGTGGAATGACGTGGCCTCCCTTCTCTCCTTCGGTGATTTGTCCACTTATGGGGAGAGGTCGGACGACGGAAACCCTACTCCAAGTTTTCGGCAGTCATCATCCTCCAGAGTCGGACCGCTACACGGGCGCGCTCTCCGGTCCAAAGACCTTGAGGATGAAGTCGCAGCTCTTATCGCCAAGACTCTATCTTCTGGCAGAGTTTATGACATGGAGCTGGGCTCGACAGTGTCGGACATACGTATACCTGTGCATGAGTTTGTCATATCCGGTCGGAGCCGTCCGTTCAGAGAGTTCATGGCAGAATTCCGCTCTCAAGAGGCAGACTTTGTTGTTCCAGAGCTCTTAACGATCACTCGCGAAGGCGGAAAACCTGTTGTATTGCTGCATGGTTCCGACTTCCTCACCGTCTTCAACTTGGTTGTCTACGCTTATACCGATACTGTTGTCGACTTCTGGAACACAACTCGTCAGTTCCCCACTATGGCCGCCCGATACCGTGCAGTGCGCACCGAGCTCATGAAGGTTGCCTCCCGGTTGGAACTGTTGCGACTCGAACCGGCAGTGCGACAAATGGTACAGCCCATCCGGTCCATGGACTCGGATTTCAGGCTGGCACTGGATGATGCGTCTTACGGCAACAGTGGCGACGTCATTGTAGAGCTTGCCGATGGCGAAATGCTTCTACACTCTGCCATGCTCTGCCAGCGCTGCCCATTCTTCCAAGGCCTCTTTGGAGGCCGTGCGGGGGGCCAATGGCTTTCTGGAAGGCGCACTGACGACTCGCCCCATATTCGAATTGACCTGACACATGTCGAGATGCATCTTTTCGAGCTTGTGGTTCGCCATATCTACACTGATGCCGGGGAAGAAATCTTCGACGATGTCACAAGCGAAGATCTGAATGACTTCCTGGCGCTTGAAGAGCTTTTCGATCACGTCATGGATGTGATGGGAGTCGCGAACGAACTGATGCTCGATCGTTTATCCCAGATCTGCCAAAGGCTGATTGGCCGTTACGGTAAGCCGTCCTGGGCTTCGGAAAGACATACGTACTCACAATCCGTCCAGTCAATGCCCGCAATGTCTGCTCCTTGCTCAATGCTATTGCCCCAAGCTCGGTGGCAGAGTTCAAAGATGCAGCATTGGAATACGTATGCTTAAGTCTGGAGGCTGTACTGCAAAACGGGTATGTAGGATGATTGGAGTTGACCTAGGCCTGTCTGACAATCATAGGTCTCTGGATGAACTTGACGAGGATCTTCTCCTCGAGCTCAATGAAGTGGTTCGCGACAACCAGCTAGCCAACCTACCATTCGTGAAAAGCGGCAGAGCTGAGGCTTTGTTATTCGACAAGTATCCTGAGCTTGCGGAGAGAATCGAGAGAGGCAAACGTGCGAAGATCGATGCGATAGTGCTATCGAACAAATTTGCAGAGAATGAAGGCCTGGCGTCCACCTCCTTCCGAGCGCAGAGCTTGGAAGAGATATCGTCGTCGCCGCTTCGCCAGCGTGCTAAAAGGAGAGCATCACGAGATGCGAAAGCTGCTGAGAGCCCAGCGCTCACTCCCCAGCTCAAAGCAAAGGGCTCCGTGGCGGACCTTATCTTCGACATGTCCGATGGTGGGGAGGAGGGTGATGCAGCGACACAGAATGACCGTATCCCCGCTCCACGGTTCACAGCAGCTCCGACTAAGCCGTCGCTCAAGTCTCCGCTTTTGTCTCCTGAGGAACGAGCGTCTCCGTCCGCATCGAGGAGCACACTTCTGAATACACCGCCATCATCCCGTCTCCCACCTCCAGCTGTTGCACCCACCACAACCCAGACTAGGACGCCTGACCGGCCATGGGGTGCAATTCCCCTTGGGGGTGACCGACTTGGTCTCAAGGACATTATGTCCCAAGCTTCCTCTAGCAGCCCATCCAACCTCACGCTCGGTTTGCGCGAACAGAGCAAAGGAGAGGGCGCTTCGGGATCCTTTAAGATGTCTCAGAAGGAGCGAAAGCGACTACAACAAGCACAACAACTTGGACAGTCGGAGAAAGCACAGCCGGCTCCTCCATCCGTCTCGCCATGGCAGGCTATGTCGAAGCGAAAATTGACGCCCTCTCCTGGACCTAGTAGCAGCCTGACTACAAAACCGTCAGCGCAGAAAGCTCCAGCGCAAGCCGCCAATACACCTGGTGGACCTAGTACTCCTCAGCTGACGATGCGTCAAACTATAGCTAAAGGTGGAGCGGCAGCTAAGCAGACGAACCAGCCCAGACAAGAGACCCCACGCTCCGCATCTACAAAGATACAAACGGAGCATCGACCCTCCTCTGCAAACGGCCCTGGGATGTCCGTCTCGACCGCGCCCATCCCAACGCCTCGCTCTGTCCGCCACATTCCCCTCCCGTCGCACTCACCCACCTCCCCAAGCCTGCATCTCACCATGGAAGAAATCTTGTATCAGCAAGAAGCAGAAAAGGCGTATATCAGAGATGCAGCGGCGAAACGGAGCTTGCAGGAGATCCAGCAGGAACAGGAGTTCCAGCAGTGGTGGGATCAGGAGAGCAGGAGAGTGATGCTGGAAGAAGAGCAGAGGAAGAGGGCGGAAGAGCGGGCGGCCAGAAATGCCAGGGGTAGGGGTCGTTCAGGGAGAGGTAGAGGGAAGGGGAAAGAGAAGAAGGACGGTGAAGCTGCTGCGCCTGCTGCTGCAAATCATGCTCCAGCGGAAGCGTCTGCACCAGCACAGACGTCTTCGAGACCTGAGGGCGGGGAGAGGGGCAGAGGGAGAGGGAGAGGGCATAAAGGAGAGCGGGGAGGTGCTGGTGGAGGCAGAGGAGGTAGGGGTCAGGCACCGCCGAGGGAGAGCACGGCGACTCATCAACCCGCTGTGGGTAGAGCAAAAGTCGGGAGCCAGGCTTGAGTCTGGCTTCGCGTTGAGTACCCTGAAGCTTGTATGCCTATCTTTTTGCATTGGATGTACTTGTAGATGTAGCATCCGTATCGTAGAATAGATTTTCAACTCATGGTTCTGCAAGGATAGTCTCTCAAGGGATCCGATCCTCTAGCTCCGCAAATGAATTTGCCAACACTCAGTCAGATAGCTATCTCTCTTAACCTGTATCCGAAATCCCACCACTAGCCCTGGAGGGGGGAGATGAAGGATCCATGTCGGCCATTTTCACGTGACTTTGTGTAGCTGACTAACCGTTTACATAAACCCCCCAAGCTCCCACGCAAAATCTGCCACACCTCATCCAGCTCTGTCCTTCATCCACCACTGGCAAAACGAAGCGCGAAGGGCGCCGCACATCCAATTCGATCTCCAGCGCGCTTCCCCCCTTCTTCGTCCGCGCATCCTATCGTCCTCTAACATAGCACTAACCCTCCCTCTGCAGCCTTACCGCCTGCCCGCTCCCTCTCCACAAACCCACCGGTACGTTATTCCTCCCTCCTATCTCCTTCCTCGATATTCAATCGTGGAATATCCGCGTTCACTTACATGATGAGTTGCCATTATCTTTATAAATTTGTTTCAACCCCTTATGACAAAATCTTCGTGATTTGAGACTGGCTTTTTTGAAACTCTGAAAATCATTCTTCTTTTTTACTGTCGCTCTGTGTTTTGGATGATTTTGTTTGGGAGAAAGGCAATGAGTGCTGACGATGTTGCGGGTGCTAGGATTTCGAGTGAGGATGGATGTGATGGGGTGGTGATGGTGATGGGGATGGAGCGGGTGGAGGTGGGTGAGGGAGATTGGATATACAGATTCGGGGATTGGTGAAGGATGGATATTATAAGGGAGAGGTATATTGGAGGTATGCTGGTTCTGTTGGGTATTATTATAGCTCAGACGAGTTCTAATCGTGTCTCTAGTAGCAGAGACCGCTGCGCTGTACTGTACATCCATAGCTTCCCCAATGCAATGAATCCATCCACGCAACCCCTACTCTTCCCCATCGCACGCACGAATCATCCATCCAATCCACACACCTACACCTCCTCCTCCTCCCATTCCGCAGTCCCAGGCGGTAACCCCGGAATGCTAAAATCCTCCACACTTCCGAATCCATCCAGCCCCTCATGCTCCAAGTCCAAGTCCACCATCCCATCGCCAACCTCAGCTTGGTAAAACCAACTACTCAACTTACCCGGACTCGGAAAACTCGAGGGGATAACCAAGGTATCCGGCCTCAGCGGCGAGATCTGCGTGCCTTGCACAGTATGCGGACTACTACTGGGAACCAATTTCTGCGGCGTTGCTATGGCTGAGAGCGTATGCGACGAGCGCGGGGTGCTCAATGCGGATAGAGCGCGCGATGGCGCTGGTGTCGTTGACGCCATGGCTGTCGTTCGTGTGGGAAGTCGAGGCGTCGCGCTACCAGGCGGAACAGCAACAGGAACAGCAGCAGCAGAAGCAGAACCATCCACCATCTTCCTCGGCGTCCCAGCCAAACTCCTCTGCATAACGCCATCCCCATCCCCATCCCCATCCACAGTCGTAGCCTGGCTCAACGACGACCTCTCCTCCCACCTCTCCTCCCGACCCGCTTCTTGCATCCCCCCTCCCCCCGTGGCTCTCCGCGGCGTCTCCAGCACGTCCATGTAGCTATCACTTCCTACACCTACAACGGCCATGCTGCTCGATGGCGGCATGCGCGGCGGGAACTGCGAGTAGGACAGGACGAACTCGGATTGCAGTTGGTGCTCTGCGCTGCTGGAGTGCGAGGTTTGCGTTTCGGGTGAGGGGGAGCCGGGGGCGTTGATGGGGTGCCCGTCTAGGTCGAGGAGGGTTTGGGTGGGTGTTGGTGGGTGGTGGGGGTTGGGTTGTGGGGAGGGATGGGGTGTTTGTGTGGAGGGCTCGTGTTTGATGGCGATGGTGATGGGAGGGTGATTGGGAAGGTTGGAGGGGCGTGGAGTTGGGGTTGGGGTTGCTGGAGGAGGAGTGGAGGTGGCTCGTTCGTGGTGTGGAAATGGAGGGTCGTGTGGTTGCTGCTGTGCCAGAGCAGCGTTGTGTATTCCTTCTTCCTGATCCATGATGGGAGCTGGCTCGTCTGGTGTATCACCGTCTCCTCCAACGGTCTGAGATCCTTCATGGTGAGCAGCACGATTCGTTGAAACACCAAGCTCAATCGAATCCTGTCTCCCCAGCATCATCTCCAACCCTTCCGCATCCTCACACGCCCGATCAATCTGCTCCAACATCGCCTGCGTCTCAGCACCAATGGTCTTACCAGTGGCGGGATGCTCAATGTTGTATATAACCCTCTGCGTCTCCGGGCCGATAGCATCCCCCAGTTCCGGTTCTTGATTCTCCTCATCATCTGTCAGATTGTCGTCTTCATCTTCTGAGTCCTGGACGAATTGTCTTCGAGCGGGAGGGGGACGCCGTATTTCAGAAACGCATTCTTGAAAGGCTACCTTTTTCCGCTTCGATGGCGTGTCTAAAGGCTTCTGTTGAGTGTTTGGCGTCCGCTCACTCAAGGGACGGCGAAGGGAGCGAGGTGTCGGCTGGGTGGAAAGCGGAGTCTCGGGGGGTGATTGAGATGAGGGGATTTCCCGCACTTTCCGTCTTTCGGGAGTAGCGAGGAGGCTGAAGCGTTTCTGAGTTGCCTTGTGAGGTGTGGATGTTGTTTGTGGATGTTCGACCGGCGGGACGGTCAATCTGCTCGTTCTTCGTCGTGAAGGACTCGGCGATTCTGGTGTACGAACATCCTGAGTGGGCTCTCCCACACTCTTCCCGCCTCTTCCGAGACCCGTCTCATGACTTCCATTATCTCCATCAATCACCACCTCTCCAGCCGCTTCGAACAGCCCACTCTGCGCAAGATGCTCGGCCAATGCGCTATCAATCTCCACGCCCCCATCGTCTTCATCCTCGTCTTCCGAATCGCTCCTCTGAACCATCCCACGTACCATCTGCGTCAAAGTCCGCTGTTTATCATCCTTGCCTCGCGTGCTCCCCCAACTATTCCTCGAAGTCCTTTTTACAGGCTTGAACTCCGGCTCTTTCTCTCCAGGCCGTGGTTTGCGGCCTTCGACCAATTGTGTCATAGTTGATTGTCTCCGCCTTCTCGACCTATCTTCTCGTTGCTGTTCGGATTCTGAATCGGACTCGGACGCAGTTACTGAAATGGGTGATTGGGGCTCTGTCTCCTCGTCACTCGCGGCGTGAACAGATGATGTTGTAGCGGATTGCCGTGTCGTTTTCTTCGCGGGCCGTCTTCTGCGCTTCGCCGCCGGGTGTGCTGTCGCTGTGTCTAGTTCCCCATCATTGTCCTGTGCAAGCACATCGCTGCGTCTCTTCTTCCCTCCTCCTTTCGCCTGCATCTGCGCTCCTCTCTTTCCACTTCCCTTCTGTTGCTGTTGCTGCCGCTCCCCCGCCTCTTTTTCCGCCTCACTCTCGCCATCGCTCTCGTCCTCAGCCTCCGAACTTCGCATAATATCCTGCCTCCTCACTCTCATCCTCTCGGGCAGAAACCTCATTTGCTTCTCTTTCCCCACGTCGTCATCCTCATCCCTCCTCTTCACAATCTTCCTTCTATGCGGAAAATATACCTGCTTGGGGAGCTTCTTGGTATAATAAACTTTGAAATTTGCTTCTTTATTCGATTTCCGCGTTTGTGCCGGCATTTCGGCGTTGTGATGTGGAGAGAGGTTGCCAGTGGCGGTTGATGATGGGGGAGACGCGTCCAAGATGTTGGGAGACGCGTTTCGTGTTTTGGTCGCGTTTGGAGGTCGGTTAGGCCGAATGAGGACTAGCGCGGTTTTGAACACCCACCTCTAACATCAACTCCTCCAGGTCAGCACCTAATAATAATGCATCGCACAAGATAACAAAATATTAGATGAGGTCGTTCCATTCATCTTAATTGATGGAATCATAATTTCCTGACACTAATTTCAAAGCGATCCTCCATTCGCTGATCTTCCGATGCGGATAATCCAATGTCCAAAAGAAGTAATGCGAACCCAAAAATGAAATCCCTCCCACCAGATATTATCTCTGAAACACCACGCATCATCCAGTCATCGACTCTCCTTAGCTCTGTACTTCCTCCCATAATCCCGCCATTTCATCTGAAAAGCAATAAGCAGCACAGGCAAAACGCTAACCAATTCTCCCAATCCCGCATACGCTGGTGCAATTCTCACCTTGACGAACGCACCAGAAGCCATCAGAATGGCCACAACGTTGTATATCGCGGCCCAGCTGAAATTCGCAATGATCCGTCTGTACGCCGCTTTGGATATGTCGAGGAGTATGAGCACGTCGTGCAAACGCGTCGTCATGAGGACGACATCCGACGCACTCTTGGCCACATCAGTGCCTTGATTCATGTGTACTCCCACGTCCGCTTGCTTCAGGGCAGCAGAGTCGTTCGTCCCGTCTCCACAGAAACAAACAACCCGGCCGTCTTTCTGCAACTCGTGGACATAGCGTTGCTTGTCCTCTGGCTTGCATCGCCATCGAGTATGAGCCTTGGGTATGTTGAGCGTATGTGCAATCGCGTTGACGGGTCCTTCTCCGTCTCCACTGATCATGTGAACTCGAATATTGCGAGCTTGTAGCAGACGTACAACTTCGTCTGTCCCTGCGCGAGGGCGGTCCTCGAGCCGAAAAGTCGCGCACAATACTCCCGCAACAGTGACACAGAGGAGGGTATGTTGCGATTCCAATACGGAGACACCCAACCATTGAGGATTGCCAGCACGGACTTCAACCAGTCTCCCCTCTGGCTTTCCCCTGACGCCGTTGCCCGGTTCGCTTTGAATATCCAACATCTTGGCTGGGACGATATTTTCGCCTTTGTTCTTTTGATCTTCTTCCATCCAATGGATGACCGCAGCAGCGACTGGGTGTTTATCGCCTTCCAATAGACCCATGATCATGCTCTTGATATCTCTCGAACCAGTGCCATCGTAATCCACCACTGCGAGCTGACCCTTGGTCAGCGTACCCGTCTTGTCGAAGACGATATCTGTTGTATTTCTAGCAACCTCGAGCTTTTGTGGATCTCGGAATATAATGCCGAACCGAGCGGACGTTCCGCCTGCTATGAGAACAACCATCGGAACAGCCAGTCCGATTGCGCAAGGACAGGAGACAATGAGGGTAGCAATAGCATAGGTCAACGCTCTGACTACAGCATCCGCCCATCGACGGTTGTTGTGGTATCGATCGACAAAAAGCCAGATTAGGAATACGAGGATGCCGATGATGCCAATCGCAGGTACGAAATGACCAGCGATTTTGTCCGCCAGAGCTTGAACCTTGGGCTTCGAAAGCTCCGCATTTTCAACCATAGTGGCAATCCTGCTGATAGAGTTTTCATGGGGTAGTTTCGTCAGCTCAACCACAAGCTGGCCTGCTCCGTTCATCGTACCGGCGTGGACTTGGTGGCGCAGACCTTTTGCTACGGGCAACGACTCCCCGGTGATCATTGACTCGTCGACTTCAGAACCTCCATAGACTACCCTGCCGTCCGTGACTATTCTGGTGTGCGATGGGACTTTGAAATAATCCCCATATTGAAGTAGCCGTGCATCGATCTTCCGCGTAACTACGCCTGGTCCAAGAGGTCCTTCTGAGATAACGAGCAAAGCCTCGTTGGTCTGCAATGACCGTATTGACACCGACTTTGCGGCCCTGAATCGCGCGAATTCGTTCACGGCGCGTCCGAGGAGTATCAAAGTAACCAGTAACGTAGAGGTTTCGAAAAAGGATCCCGTCTCAAGAGGGCGCTCCTTTATCAAGAAAACATACGAGACGACACTGAACACGTATGCTGTTGTCGTGCTCACCGCAATCAGAAAATCCATTTCGAAAAGGCCGGAGTGTACCAGGGACTGTAATGCGCCAGGTACAAATTCTCTAGTGGCTATTGCTTGTACAATGGTTGCTAGTGCGAGGGATGCGTGAGCGTAACCTCGATTGTCGTGTCCCACTGGCGCCCATGCAAAGACCAGAATAGGAAGCGTAAAAGCCAGAGAAACAAGGAACATTAGGCTAGCACGTTTAGTTTGATAGAATCCAACTGATAAGCTTGGATGCGATCCTATCGAGGCCAGTTGCAGATCTCCATTATGGCAGATGCCCTTGTAGTATTCGAAGACTTCCCGAGCGCCGATTTGTTTTGCGTCATAATGCACTCGTATCGTGTGCATGAAAAGACTTGCTCCACTGCGTTTTTCCTGACTGATGGGTCCCACTTGCTGGCCTCGTTCGGTGTTATCCAATTCTCCAGGTGCTGTACTGCTTCTTCCGTTCAATAGGGCAGCAGGGGTCCAAGTCTTCTTGTCTCTTGATTCTAGCCATGTGACACCGAAAGGCTTCGCTGCACCGTATATGTCCCAAGGGTCGCTGGCCTGAAGTTCCAAGATTTGGCCATCCGGCTGCTCCAGTTGTTCGAAGGTGTATCCAGTGTCTTTGTGCAATCGGGATATTACGTCTTGAATCGATAGCTCGCTGGTATTCAGATCAAACTCCACTCTCGCCAACACGATGTTCACCGTATGGTTCCTGATTGCTGGAATATGCGAGAGAGCCTTCGCGAGTCCGGACTCGCAGCACCCGCATTTCAGGCCGCTGACTATAAGGATGATCCTGTGGAAACAGGCCGGTCCTCCTTCGCCTCCGTCTTCGACTGAGCTGTACAGAGTCACTGGTTCTGTTAGCGACTCTTCATTGCGAGTATGGGAGCTTGAACAGCAAGTACTGCAATCCTGAACACTGCTAGCTTTAGCACGGCTTCCGCTTTCACAAATGGAACCGGCAGGTTTGGGTGCCATGGCGTGGATCCTCGGCGGCCTTGCCGGCTCACAACAACTTGACGTTGTCGAAGGATGGCAGCAGCCAAGAAATTTCTGGGAGAAAGATTTGTGCGGTTTTGGCTTTGGTCCCTTTTTCAGGGTGTCTTCAATCAATCCCGGATTAGTCGAACTGTATCCCTTGTGCACACATTTCAACGTCCCTTTTGAAGGCACAGGAACAGGAATATCGGAGGCGGTAGTGATACTCTGAGATGGGGATGGGATGGGACATTCGTCGTCCGAAGGGTACCTCGACTGAGGTAAGGCGACTTGTCTATCAGTAGTGGTTGATGGCTCCTTTCCATTTTGGTCACCTCCACAGCAGCCCTTGGACTCGCAGCAGTCGCGTCCAGAACCGGTCATCTTCGCCTAGCACATTAAAGAGCCAGGACAAGAAGGAACTGGAAAGAGAGGTTGAATAGAATGAGAGAAAAATAAAAGAAAGAGTGGGGTTTCGGGAAGAATACGTAGTATCAGAAAGTTGGGAGCGGGGGGTGGTGCTGTACATTGAGCGGTGACGGGAAACAGGCGGATCATTGCGCAAAGATAGCGGGGGATCCGACAGTGAGTGAATAATCAAAACCTTCATGAATTCATTGCCGTGGCTTCATATGGTACGACGATACAAATAGCCGGGATACCAGCAGGCTCGATTGGCGGCCGCTGTGAATGCCTCCAATCATAACCATTGCATCGGGCTGAAAACAGAAGAAACCCGACCATGGAGGTGACACAAAACCATATTGGTGGAGGAAGCTTTGAGGAATTTGATAGTAGTCTTGAATATTGCCAGTGACATGATAGCTTCTCGTGATTAGAAGGCAAATTCTGGCGCGTGTCGGTCACAGAGGAGGCGCTATTGTGCAGGCGGGCTGGTGACCGGGAGTTGTACTACTACATCCCGCTTGTAACGTGGAAATATCCGACCGTTGGATACGGGCCCCGCGCCGTGTGCAACATAGATAGTTGTTCGTGCTTCGCAGGGTCACATGTGGGAGTTTTTGGGCATTCACTGCCAAGCAATGCGAAGCTTCTTCTTGGCAACCCAAAATCAACCTTCCCAATCTTGATGAGCACGTGACCTCGTGAATGTGGCGTCATCGACGTACATCTTCTGTTCTTACATTCTTACTTGGTGAAATCCACCTGGGCACAACCTCTTACCCTTAGGACTGAAACTAGGCAATCACTCTCTCTATTTTCTCACCGCTCGCGCTTCGATGCCACCTCTCCGTTCTCCCCACGCTTCACAACCTCGGGTCTGCCGTGCGCTGCTTCACAAGCGACCCACAATACAAGTATGAGCAACACGCGGCGAAACCTCCGTAACACGCGAAGCGCATTATCCACTCCGCCTAGATCCTCGGTCCGGCGAGCAAGACCTGCGCAGAGTGACGACGACGTTCCGGATGTCTTCCGTGAGATGCTGTCGGGGACAGACCCGGACGAAGACGGCAGGCCGCTAAAGAAACGAAAGAATGCGTCGTCCGCACGCGCAACAGCTGTTGAAGTGGTGGCAGAATCCAGTGCGCGGAAGTTGATTCCGAGTGGTCGACCTTCTTCAAGCATACATGAGATCGCAACTCCTTCGAAAGCCGACGACGTTGCCAACATCGAAACGCCCGGAAACCGCATCCCTCAGACAATAGAGGCATCAGATGCTTCAGAGGATAGCGACTTTGGGTGGGAGGATGCGCTTGCGGAAACAAATGACGAAGAGCTGGGTACAGAAGAAGATGGGGATGTGGAGGTGGGCGATCTATCGATTACGATTGGTGAAAAGGAATCGCAGGGCCAAGGAAGCGTGAAAAAACTCAAGAGACGAGGTATAACTTCCGCCGAGAAGAAACAGCGATTGGAAATTCATAAGCTGCACGTCCTCTGTTTGCTATACCACATATATCGTCGGAACAGCTGGTGCAACGACCATAAGGTTCAAGCCGCACTCAGACAACTGCCCTCCGCAAAGACCTTGTCGAATCTTGTCCCTAACCCTGAGTACACGCAATTTCAAGCTTCCAAGCGCTTCATAGATGGAATGAAAGACTTGAGCTCATTTTGGTCAAAGAGATTCACAATAACGGCACTGGGTATGTACAAGCCACGCTGGACAGATGGGGACGCAGACATACCGGACTTCTCCGCTTTTGACGACCTTGACCCACCTACGGATTTGGAAGATTTCCGAAGGGCAGCCACTATATTGCACGGTTCTCAGGATGTTGGGGCGCAGTTGTTTTGTGCACTTTTACGTGCCATTGGCGTAGAGGCAAGACTGGTCTGTTCGTTGCAATGCTTACCCATCGTATCGATCACTCAGTCAACGCCTCATAAGCAGTCACCAGCGAAACATACAATCCCCTTGGATCCTTATAATCAATCCAATGCCCTCTCTTCGACAACGGTACGGACGCCTTCACGACCGAAGCGGCTATCGCGACTCGAACGAGCTATCGGTGAACGGAGTAAGGCCATCGGCACAGGTGTTGCCCCGAAGCAGACGAAGAAGTACCATGCGCCGTATCCCGTCTACTGGGTCGAAGCCTTCAACGCCGCTCAGCAAAAGTGGGTTCCGATTGACCCATTGTCGACGTTCACGGTCGATAAACCAGAAAAGCTGGAGCCACCTCTAAGTTATGCGCAAAACACGCTTACATACGCAATTGCCTTCGAGGAGGACGGCACAGCAAGGGATGTGACACGACGGTATGCAAAAGCATTCAATGCTAAGACTCGGAAACTTAGAGTTGAAGCTACAGAAGGTGGCGCGAGGTGGTGGAAGGGTGCGCTGAAGGCGTTCAAGCGGAAGAGACCACTTGATCGAGATCAAGTTGAGGATGCACAACTCGCCCGCAAAGAAGCTGCAGAAGGTATACCGAAGAACGTACAAGATTTCAAAGGGCATCCAATCTATGTTCTCGAGCGGCACCTGAGACACAACGAAATCATACACCCAATGCACCAGGTGGGCAAGGTCAATGTGGGATCCGCAATGAACCCCAAGTTGGAACCGATATACCGGAGAAAAGACGTTCACATTGTAAGAAGCGCAGATAAATGGTATCGACTGGGAAGGGATGTCAAAGACGGCGAACAACCATTGAAACATGCGAAACCGAGGAAAGGAGTTCGACGGTCAGTGCCACCGGACATGGAGTTCGACGAGCAGGAGGATGAGCTTGGCGTGGGTCTATACGCACTGTTCCAGACTGAGGTCTATGTCCCTCCGCCGGTGGTTGGAGGCCGTGTTCCTCGCAACGTCTTTGGTAATCTGGACGTATATGTCCCGTCCATGGTGCCACCAGGAGGTGTGCACATTCGACACAAGCTGGCCTCGAAAGCTGCGCGCATCGTTGGGGTGGATTATGCCGATGCAGTCACCGGCTTCTCATTTAAGGGCAGACATGGTACGGCGATAATTCAAGGTGTGGTCGTAGCGCAGGAGTACGCCGAGGCCGTGCAAGCTGTCATTGAAGGGATAACATACGCTCAAGAAGAAGAAGAGAACTCACAGCGGAGTGCCGAGGCTCTTCGTATGTGGAGGCGATTCCTGCTAGGTCTGCGGATTGCACAGAGAGTGAATGCCATCGAGATTGATGGCGAGACCGGGCCAGTGATTGATGTGCAAGCAGAGATTGAGAAGGAGGACAAGCACATCATTGAACAGCAGCTCGCAGGAGGTTTCTTCATGGAAGAAGGTGCCGCCATTGAGCCTCCGGCAAAACCCACAAGGTCTTTGGGCTCTGGGTTACCAGACGACCGTTACGGTGGGGGCTTCATTGCGGACGAGTATGAGGAAGCCGGAGGGTTTCTCCCTGAACAGCCTGCCAGTGGTGGCGGTTTCATACGCGATGTGGTCAATCAGGGTGGCGGGTTTCTCCACGAGGAGAATGATTCAGGTGGAGGGTTCATACCTGAATCTGCTAATGTTGGTGGCGGATTTATACCCGAGGCACAGGCTCAACGGGCCAGCCATACACCGGAGCCATCTAGTCGAATGACAGGTCCTCAGGAAGGCGAGCATGGTATGGAAATCTCTCATGGGATAGGTGCCGGTGAAAACGTGGAGAGCGGCTTCATCCCTGGGAACGAGCCCCGGCAGCACAATGTAGAAGATCACTCCAGGGCGCCTGAGGCACAAAGCAGTGTGACAGGACTTACGCAAGATGTAGGCCATGTCCAACTAAAAGATGCAGAAGAAGGCAGCGCCGCTAAATCGTCTCCGGGAGCCTCTGGCACAGCTCAAACAAACCCTGAACCGGCTGAACCGCCAGGCTCTTCGCCTTCAGAAGCAGGCTCATTGCCGCTGGAGGACCCAGAGGATGAGGATGCTGATCCTGAATGGTTGGTGGATGTGACGTAGTTTCTTGAATATAGAATTGAATAAGAAGGTGATACTCAAGTACAATCGGATATTTTCGCACCTGATCTTACAACCTACATCACCAATGTAAATGTACAATATTCTATACTCCTCCAACACATATTATACACTCGAGGTCATACCGCCCTCCAATCCGCTCATCTTAGAGGTTTCACTCCCTTATGAATCGCCGCGATCCCCAGACTCAGGTCCTCCCACCCCTGCCCTGGCACCAAAAACCCAGCCTCCTTAATCATATCCCTAAACTCTTCCTGACTAGGGAACCTCTCGATACTCTCCACAAGATACTGGTAGCTATCCCGATCCCCTGCGACTAATTGCCCAATCAGCGGAATAGCACTGAAGCTCCAGCGCTTGTATACCGCATCGAAGAGTGGGTTGTTCACTTTCGAGAACTCCAGACAGGCAAAAACACCGCCGGGTTTGAGCACGCGGTACGCTTCCCGAAGCGCGACGTCCTTGTGCGTGAAGTTCCGGATGCCGAACGCAACAGTATACAGGTCGACGCTGGAATCCGGAATCATATCCAACTTCTCCGCGTTCGCTTCGATGAATTTCAGACGAGGTGACCGCGCGTACGGAGTCGCGAGTGAGCGCTTCCTTCCCTCGGCGAGCATATCCGGGTTTATATCCGCGACGGTGACGGTGGTATGGGCGTCGTTGTTGATGGTGGAGGCGTGGTCGAGCATGCGGAAGGCGATGTCTCCTGTTCCGCCGGCGATGTCGAGGATGTTCCAGCCTTGGGGTTCTGAAGGAGACGAAGGGGGAGAGGTGAGCGGGTTGCGGCCGGGATTGAGGTTGCGGACGAAGTGGTCTTTCCAGAGGCGGTGGATGCCGAGGGACATGAAGTCGTTCATGGTGTCGTAAGAGGAGGCGACGGAGGAGAAGACGCCGGCGACTGGGGTATTGTTAGTAGTAAGCTTTTACGGGTATGGGAGAGTGAGTATATACCCTTCTGCTCCTTCAATGCCTCTGCTACCGTCTGGAATCCAAAATGCGTCGTCCCTGGTTCATCTTGAGGAGATTTCGGCGTCGGTGATTGGTGCTGCGCCAGATATTGTGATGAGGAGAAAGCCCGCTGGGGAACCTTTCCTATCCTTCTTCTTACATCTCTGCAAAGCTGACTGCGCACGAGAGTCCTGGGCGCTTGTATGGCACTCATGGTTGTGGATGCTCTCCTTCACCTTTCTTGGCGCGAAGTTGTCAAGCGCCAATCCCCGAATCCAATCGCACCCTTGTTCCTTTCAAGAACCGCGGGCCGATGCTGGCCACCTCTATCCGAGCGCATCAACTCTACGAAGTACATACCTTCATCCTCCCCAGTATTCACCGTCATGTAATGCCCAACACCATGTCTCTCCGTGCCAGCACACGCAGGATACACTGCAGCAAGCTCCTCCATCCCACGACTTATCTTCATACCCGCCAGACACCCAAAGTCCCAGTGGGATGGCGCCAATGCCGCGCCGTTGCTTCTACGGCGAGTGCGGAGAGGTACGAAGGCTCTAGTTCAGGTTACATTGTGTAATTGGCGCTGGAGGTACGCAGTGCTGACCTTCCTGTTTGCACCTTTAGGGTATTGTTCCCTGGTGCGCTGAATAGCAAATTTACGAATGAGATGGCGTTTATTCGACCCTCGACGCATAAGGCGATTCCGACGTACCGCGTTATGGACCAGTACGGTCAGGTTATAAATAAGGAGGTGGGCGTAGATACGGAAGATGAGGAGGCATTGACGTTGTACCGGAATATGGTGTGCTGTATGTTGCAGTCGAGGGAAACACGGGTCTAATGCAAAGGCTAATTCTGGGCCAGTGAGCATAATGGATCTGCTCATGTTTGAGGCGCAGAGACAGGGTAGACTGAGCTTCTACATGGTAAATCCCGATTTCCAGTAACTTCAAACTCGTTGTCACACGCCTTACTACTGCGAGAATTGCAACCTTTGCGTTACAACTTATACTAACGCATCAGATAGATGTCTGCTGGGGAAGAAGGCATAGCCGTTGGCACGGCAAGCGCTCTTGACCCGTCCGACGTAATTTTCTGTCAATATCGCGAGACAGGCGTATTTTTACAGCGTGGCTTCACCTTGGACCAGTTTATGAACCAACTTTTCGCGAATAAAGAGGATCTTGGGAAGGGCAGGAACATGCCGGTACATTACGGCAGCAAGGAGCTCAACATACACACCGTCTCATCCCCACTTGCTACACAGATCCCGCATGCAGCGGGTGCAGCATACGCCTTGAAACTTCAGAATCAGCAGCAATCGGATAAGCCTCCCCGCGTAGCGGTATGCTTCTTTGGAGAGGGCGCTGCGAGCGAAGGTGACTTCCACGCGGCTTTGAATATCGCGGCGACGCGGCAGGTACCGTCCATATTTATATGCCGCAACAATGGCTACGCCATCTCTACCCCTACCAGTGACCAGTACCGGGGTGACGGTATCGCTGCTCGGGGCGCTGGATATGGAATAGACACCCTCCGAGTGGACGGGAACGACATCTTTGCCGTGCGTCGTGCCGTCAAAGAGGCTCGCAGGATAGCGCTTGAGAACGGCGGTAAGCCGGTTCTCATCGAGATGATGGCATACAGAGTCGGTCACCACAGCACATCAGATGATAGCTTTGCCTATCGTCAAAAAGTTGAGGTCGAAGACTGGAAGCGTCGAGACAACCCTATTACTCGGCTAAGGAAGTGGTTGGAAGGCCGCGGCGTCTGGGACGAGGATAAGGAAAGGGAGCTTCGGAGCAGCTTACGAAAGAAAGTCCTTGCTGCTTTTGACAAGGCGGAGAAGATGAAGAAGCCCCCTATCGCTAGCGCTTTTGAAGGTGTTTACGAAGAGATTACGGAAGAGCAGAAGCAGCATATCGAGGAGCTGAGGGACATTTTGCAGCGATACCCTAAAGAGTACGACATCGATCAACATGAGGGAGGCATAGAGTCTCTGTCCCAATTGTTAGAGAAGAAATAGAAAATGTTGGAGTCGCAATCGGAGCCTCATTGGCCATGTCGGTCCATCATCACATACAACATGAGTTACCCAAGTGGCCTCTCTCAAGAGACGATGTATATACTGTGTAATAATAGGGTTTGTTAGTAGGATGTCCACGATTGAGTTTCCCCAGCCTGGAGGAAAGCACAACCCTTGCAGTTATTTACGCCAAGAAAGAGCGGACAACACGGACCCCAACAATTCCAGTGTCTCCCAGCTGTCCCGACTCCACATCCCTCCCCCACCAACAACCCCCGAAGTCCACCTACCGACTCGTCATTTCGTACATTCAGGGTACTCCAGACTCATTGAACGCTCCTCTCCAGGCTCAAGATATTGGACTCCCCGGGATATCCAAAAATGAGTCTCCAACTCCCCTCCCTCGCCGTTAGGCCTAGGGGAGGTGTTTCCCACTCCACGAAAGCTGTCATTCTGGTAGGGAGCTCGAATGCCAGCGCGAAAGAGAGACTAATAACTTCAACAAGGTCGGCGGACCTTCTCGTGGAACTCGATTCCGGCCCTTGTCTATGGAACTGCCAAAGGTGTGTTAACAGAAAATGCCACACGTCGGCTTGTTGCTGACTGTTCAAGCCACTCTTCCCAGTCGCCGGCCACCCTATAATCGAACACTGCTTCCGAGCGATCGCAAAGGTCCCAGAGATTAAAGAAGTCTTCATAGTCGGCTACTATGATGAGTCGGTCTTCCAGCCTTTTATTCACTCGATCTCTACGACCTTCCCCCAGCTGAGCGTGAAATACCTGCGAGAATATCAAGCACTAGGCACCGCCGGTGGCCTCTACCACTTCCGAGACGTCATATTGAAGGGCAAGCCGGACAGGTTCTTTGTTTTGAACGCAGATGTGTGCTGCTCATTTCCCCTGAACGAGATGCTCAAGCTTTATGACGACAAGGACGCGGAAGCTGTCATGCTGGGTACCAGGGTTACCAACGAGTCGGCCACCAACTTCGGTTGCATTGTGTCTGATGCTCACACGAAACGAGTCCTGCACTACGTGGAAAAGCCCGAGTCTCACATTTCAAACCTCATCAACTGCGGAGTCTACCTCTTCTCGACAGAAACCATCTTCCCGGCTATTCGCAGTGCGATTAAGCGGCGCACTGAGCGCCCGCGGATTCTCAACTATCCATCCTCGGAGAATCTACAGTCTTCCTTCTTCCAGGGGGACGATGAAGATGAGGACAAGGAGAACGCTGTGATCCGCCTAGAGCAGGACGTTCTTGCCGACATTGCAGACAGCAGGCAGTTTTTCGTGTTGGAGACGAAGGACTTCTGGCGCCAGATCAAGACGGCGGGTTCTGCGGTTCCGGCCAATGCGCTTTACCTGTTGAAGGCTTTCCAGTCCGGAGCTGAGGAGCTTGCTGCTCCATCTGCCAATATCATCCCGCCCGTCTACATTCACCCTTCTGCGCACGTCGACCCGACAGCAAAACTTGGTCCCAATGTCTCGATTGGTCCTCGCGCAGTCATTGGTGCTGGTGTCCGTATCAAGGAGTCCATTGTTCTGGACGACGCTGAGGTCAAGCACGACGCCTGTGTGCTGTATACCATTGTTGGGTGGAGCAGCAAGATTGGTGCGTGGGCTCGTGTTGAGGGAACACCTACTCCGATCACCAGCCATAGCACCAGCATCATCAAGAACGGACACAAGGTGCAGAGCATCACTATCCTTGGAAAGGAGTGTGCTGTTGGGGATGAGGTTCGGGTGCAGAACTGCGTCTGCTTGCCGTATAAGGAGTTGAAGAGGGTGAGCTCCCAAAGGTCCCCCCTTCTTTCGTGTTGTGCGGTGCTAATTCAATTTTCAGGATGTCGCCAATGAAGTCATTATGTGATAGGTTCATCTGCTTTATACCATAGCATTTAGCGTTGGTACAGGCCTAATTAATACGGGGCACAGCCGAGCGGTGGTGCTGCAGTTTTCATCAAAGATGACACTCGCTAGAAGCTTAATACATTAGAGCTGCTCAATAGGGCGACCTGGTTGTTTGCAGGAGAGTGTGTTGACTAGCCGTCATTGAAGGGGACAGCAGAACTTGAAGCAATCATCTATCATAATGGAAGCAGTATGCTCGTATCCTCCGATACCATCAATGCATTTAGAGCTTTAGACTAGACCTTGAGGAACGAACTGCGTTGAGCTATTTGAGCTGGGAAAGAGGACGAGATACTTGCACTAAGCCCTTTGTGGCAACGCCATCCGTTTGTCTCTCTGGCCGCTCGACTCGCTCCATGCATGTTCCTATGATCAATTTACCCCTCAGAAAAAAAGAAACGCGTGACACACACTCCCTCGGTTCAGATCGAAGCCCGCATACGTATAGCGAGCCGCACCCTACTTGGATCTGCATCGACTTCACGGATGAGCGCTTTGACCTCGACGTAGCTCCACTGCCTGGTGGTATCGAGAAGGTTTTATCCACTCAGGTCAGTCTCTCCAAGGAACAGTATCAAAAATTTTTTCTTGTTGGTATCTTGAGGAGATGTATAACATCACATGAAGAGATATACTTGGTCCAGTCTTCCCTTTTGAGTTCGAGAATCCCGTACTGTGTCTTGCGGATCAAACACATACAGTGACAGCCCGGAAATATCTAAAGGGCACAGCACATCTTATGGTCAAACTGTGAGCTTGTGGTTGACTTGCCCAGAACACATATCGTTACTCTCGCTGGTTCGATATTACCAAAGTTGCCATCAGGATCTCAGCCAATTCCAACACCATTATATCCCCATCCTTCCACAATGACCACCACCTCTCCAACCCCCTCCTCTCTCCCCATCATCGACATCTCCCCCTTCTTCGATCCCCACTCGACCCCCTCCGCCCGCTACGCCACCGCCACCGCCCTCAACACCGCCTGCACCACCTACGGCTTCTTCTACCTAACCGGCCACGGCATCCCCGAGTCCAAACTCAACCGCATCATCTCCCTAGCCCGGCAATTCTTCTCCCTCCCCCTATCCGAGAACAACAAAATCAAGCGGCATCACGCCGGCGGACCTGAAGGCGGCGACGGAGCGAGGGGTTACCAGGGCATGGGGGAGAACGTCACGCTCGGGCGGCGAGATATGCACGAGGCGGTGGATTGGTATCGGGAGTGGGATCATGCTCCCAGGGAGGAAGGGAGTGGAGGAAAGGGAACGTATAAGATGTTGCAGGGTCCGAATCTGTGGCCGGAGGAACCGGCGGAGTTGAAAGAGGTGTATGAGGCTTATGTGGAGGAGTTGCAAGGAGTGGGGATGGCGGTGGTGCGGGCTATGGGGGTGGCGTTGGGGCTGGGTGAGGTTGGGAAGGGTGCGGTGGAGGGCGAGGATGAGGAGGTTTTTGTGAGGGCGACGGAGAGGAGTTTTTGGGTTATGCGGATGATTGGGTATCCGAGGCTTGAAGGAAGTCCGGATGTCGTTGGGGCGGATGATATGGAGGCTTTTTCCTGCGGCGAGCATACGGATTATGGGTGCGTGACGCTGCTGCTTGCGGACCCGACGCCGGGTGCGCTGCAGGTCCTGCTCAAGGACGGGAAAACTTGGCTGAATGCGGATCCGATTCCGGGCGCTTTGGTTGTCAATATTGGGGACATGATCCAGAGGTGGACGAATGGGTTGTGGATGTCTACCAAGCATAGAGTTATTCATAAGGGCGAGGGATACAGAGTTTCTGTGCCGTTCTTTTTTGAGCCGGGATTCGAGGCCAGGGTTAGACCTCTGGCGAGGTGTGTGGAGAAGACGGGGGGAGTGAAGAAGTATGAAGAATGTGTTTATGGGGAGCACTTGCTAGGCAAGGTGGGAGGGAACTTTTACGGCGGCGAGGAGGTATAGCTCGTCAATTTTACGACCATGAACAACTCGACCAGCGCTCCTTTGCCTCCCCCAAGAAGAGCTCAATCCTTTTCCATCACAATCGGGATTCCAATTAAGATTCCAACACCTCAACCTCGACCCCTTCCCCAAACTCAGCCTCCAACTCCCCCTCACCCCCCTCCACCGTAGGCCTAGCCACATACCCACCCACACCGACCTCCCACCCCTCCTCCTCCGCAAACACCCAATTCACCTCCCTCAACGGCTGCCTCTCCACCTCCTTCCCCTCCCCATCCCTCACAATCTGATAAACCCACAAACTCTTTCCCAACGCATCCTTCTCCCTCCTCGCCTCCACCGTCGCGCTCGGCCTATCCCCGGCCTCTTGCAAGGGGACAACGCTCCAGTCACTCCATTGATCGGTGCCCACGGTACTAATGTACGGTTTCCCGTAGTAGAATTCGATCCCCGTCTTGAGCCATTTGTCCTTTTGGCCCGGTTTGGTGAAATGGAGGAGAAGGCCGGCTTGGTCGTATTGTCTCAATGCGGACTGGGATGGGAGGGTGAACGTCAGACGAGCTCGCTGAAAGGAGGAGAGAGGGTACTTGGGCAGAGGGGCCGGGTGGGTAGGTGCGGAGAAGACGTCGCGGCTGGGTGGTTTGCGCCAGATGTCGGTGCCAGCGGGGGAGGAGAGGTTGAAAGGGGGAACGGTAGTGGTTTTGGTGGCGTACGTCATTGTTGGGGCTGTGAGAGCGAGTGTTAGGAGGTAGGTGATTGGACTGGTGAGGAGCATTTTATAGAACTGGGTGATGGACTCTTTTTATAGATGGGACGAATAGAGTGTGACTTGAAAGACGGGAGTAAAGGCCACGTAAGTTTTTGAAACTAGTGGATCCACAGAAAGGAAACTAGAAGACTGCTCGGAGCAAAAAGGTAAGCACTTACAATTGCAGCTTCGTTGTCTTTTGAATGTGAGTCACGGAGCTGCGGGAAACATGCCGAGTTGAGCAGCCTGGAGCTGTACTCGGTTTCAATGTGGGGTTTATTGCTTGGCGCAGACGTGCTGCAACTTCGAAATGGAATTGCATGCAGCACTTGGGCAAGGTAGCATTGAGTTGCATGAGTCGCGCAAAGCTGCCTTTTCAGTGATCCAACTGCCGGTTGTTGAGCTCGTCATCTGTCTCGAGAAATGCACATCGACGCCTAGGCGAACCCGGTGTGGAACATTGCATCCTGCTCAATATCAGATATGATGGAGCACCAGGAACCCGAAAGCAAGATTATCACAAAAGGGAGAACATGGACGGTTTGTGGATGCTTCGCTTCGTAGGATATATACACATTGTACATGTTCTAGATGTCTATTTCTTTTCACCTTCTTTCGGCGGTTCCGGCTTAGGTGTGGGTAGTTTGAACTGAGGATTGTAAGCTCATCTTGTTGACTGGGAATGGGAAATTTCCTAGACGAAAATCCACTTACTTGGTCTGGCGTCCTGTCAACACCAGGCCCCACAGGTTCCCAAACTGTGGACCCGCCACGGAAGTTCCTGAACGCCTGCGTCATCTCCAGAGGCTCGTAAACAATCCTCTTCTTCTCTTCATCATACCGAATCTCCGTGTAGCCGGTCATGGGGAAGTCCTTGCGCAAGGGATGGCCGTCAAACCCATAGTCGGTCATGATGCGCCTCAGATCCGGATGACCGACAAAGAAGACACCAAACAGATCATACACCTCCCGCTCATACCAATTTGCTCCGTCATACAAGTCGCAAAGACTGGGGACAGGCGTCGCCTCGTCGGCGTAGGTTTTCACTCTTATCCGGGAGTTGTGGCGGATGCTGAGCAGATTATACACGACCTCGAACCGCTGGTCCTTGGTGGGATAGTCGACGGCCGTGATATCAGTGATTTGGGTGTATTCGGCCGCAGTGTGGTATTTCAGAAAAGTAAAGACTGGAATAACGCCAGACGGGGGGATATAGATGGTCAATTCGTCCTTCCACACGGAGAACCTGGGTCTTGTCAATGCGGTCCACGCTTGATTACCGGAACGTTATGCATACTGCTGAATGTACTTGGGCAAGCACGACATCAGGTACTGGCCGTATTTATGCCGCGCCTCGCCTATCTCGGTGTACTTGTCGGCCGGGTTGACAATGGGCGCCTTGAGAGTGCCCGCCGCGGTGCGCGGAGCGAACTGGTGATGGCATCAGCATCTAATCCGCATACTCAACGCGGGTCAAGCAACGCACTCTCATATTGGGTGTGTTCGGGTCCTCGGAGACGACATCTTTGGCCCGCCGAGCAGTTGTGGTGAAGGTGCGCGCGGCAGTGAGGGAGGCGGCGCAGCTCGCAGAGCGCACGGTAGCGCTCAATGGCCGGCCTACAGAGAGACGGAGAGCCATTGGGCGGTGCGAGGGCGTGCGGTTGGTATCTGCACGATGGGACGATGCAATTGATGTTGTCGTTCGGACGCAGTGATGTCGTCCCTTCCAGGTGAGGTCGCTCCCAAGCTTCGTTGCGCACGGACCGGGCCTTACTTTCCACGTGATCGGCCCGCTTGTAGCGCTAGCGCCTTCCGCCTCAAGCCCTGAGCGCAAGGCCTGCCGACAACCTCCAGAAACCAATCTCTGGCTCCACACCGCCGTCAGCTCTCAAACACACACTCTCTCTTGTATTTGCGGAGTCCCCATCGTGTTTATATTCGCAGTTCATCAATTTCGCGCATCTACCATACCCTAATCGTCCTCTCCGCCCCGACCTCGAGTCTGGTCGGCCACATTACGCTGTCATCCTCGACCAGCCGCCACCGCATCGCGTCCGGCCAGCACACTACACCTACACGCCACACACACAATGTCTCGCATACAGCAGGACCAGTTCGTCGAGGACGAGGAGGACGAGTCATGCCCCCTCTGTGTTGAGGAGTTCGACCTCTCGGACAAGAACTTCCGGCCATGTCCCTGCGGCTACCAGGTACGGTTTGTCGACGCATTTAGCAAAGCCATATCGCGTTACGGTGCTAAGGGTATATCTAGATATGCCAGTTCTGCTACAACAACATCAAGACAACTCTGAACGGGCTTTGCCCAGCCTGCAGACGGCCGTACGATGATTCGACCATTGAATTCAGGCGTATCACTCCCGAAGAGTGAGCTCCGCCCCATCCCCTTCGGTTTTTGTCTTCCTAACCATTTTGCAGGCTGGCCAGGCACAAGCAGCAGATAGCCCAGAAAGCCAAGAAGAACGCCGCCTTGCGACAGAAAGAAGCGCAGAAGGCTGAAGCGGATTCGCTGAGCCGGAAGCATCTGGCGGGATTGCGCGTTGTTCAGAAGAATCTCGTCTACGTTACCGGACTCACCCCCACAATACGAGAGGATCGGTTACTTGACACTCTACGTGGGAACGACTACTTCGGCCAATACGGGAAAATCATAAAGATCGTCGTCAGCAAAGCCAGGGAGAACGCTCAACACCAACAGTCTGTGGGCGTATACGTCACTTTTGCAAGAAAGGAGGACGCTGCAGCATGTATTGCGGCCGTTGACGGTTCGCATAATGGAGACAGGACCTTAAGGTGCGTCCATGCAATGTTCCTTTCCACCAACGGTGAGACTGACAAATTCTCAGAGCCCAATACGGCACCACGAAATACTGTAGTGCATATCTTCGTGGTGAACAATGCAATAACCGGAATTGCATGTTCTTGCACGAACCCGGCGAGGAAAACGACAGCTTCACCCGTCAAGATCTTTCCATGATGAACTCTATCCAGACGCAACAACCTAACCAATCTCCCGCAAACGCCGCTCCGCCCCCTCATCGTGGACCGGCCGTGGCTGCGGCGGCGGCCCCCATGCATAGGCAGGAAAGTAGCGATACTCATAGTCCGACTGGAGATGCCCCTGGTCTGCCTGCAACCGCAAGCTGGGGAAGTAAGGCCGCACAAGAGCGCCGAGCCAGCCGTTCTACCGTCGCGTCGAATTCTAGCCCCATGGTGACGAACGCAGTTCCCGCGCAGGCTCCCAAGGCTCTAGCGAAGAACGAGGAGGTATCGAAGAAGAAAGAGAAGGAGAAGGAGACAGAAAAGGAGAAGGAGAAAGGAAGGGAGAAAGAGAAGGAGGAAGCCAAGGAGAAGGAAAAGACAGCTCAGACTGCGCCCCCTTCTCAGGCCAAGATCCGGTCCGCTGCACGACCCTCTCAGCCCTCGATCCCAGGCTTTGCCGACCTTCTGAAATCCTTTCCTAAGTCGAGCTTCAAGTTCGTTTTCTCTTCTGCTTCGTTGTCCGACGAAGATCTGCAAGCCATTTCCCGTTATCCGCCGCTGATTGAGCTCGACGGAGGTGCCAAGCGCCGTGCTATGAGGGAAAAGCAAAGAGAGCTGGAAGCCCAACAAATCGAACGGGAAGCTGACCTGAAGTCAGTTATCCAAGACACTGGTGCTGAACAGAATGAGGATAATGGCGAAGCCACTGCAGGCGGTAGTTTGCAGCTTGGTGGTGAGCCCGAAGAGAGACATGAAGCCGGTCTTGGTCAGGGGAATCGTAGTGCGATTGCACCTCCGGGCCAGAACCCCATATCGGCTGGAATCTATGGACCGAGCTCTTCTCTCACTGAAGATTTCGCGAGTCTAGGCTTGGGTTCCCGTGGCTTGACGCCTCAGCAGCAGCAACAACTGTTACTCTCCACCATCAAATCTGGGTCGCCTCACCCGCCTGGACTTCAATCCATCTTTCCTCAGCAGCAAACTCACGGCCAGATGGGTAACGCTCCTGGTCACGTCCGCCACGCTTCCCGATTCAGCTTTGCGAATGACAGCGCTTCAGCTTCCTCGTCCGTACAACCTGTGGCGAATCAAAAGCTCATGAACCAGCAGTCTTCCATGATGCCTAAAAATGCTGGCCATTTCAATCAAATCTCTCAACACCAGCCGATGGGAACCCAGTTCTACACCAGTGGGGTGCAAGGTCCACCTCCTGGCTTGAAAGCAACAGGTACCCCTCCTGTCAGTGGAGGCGGCATGTTCGGTCAGGGCCATGGATTCACCACCGGCGGATTAGGGTATGGAGCGACTGCTGCTGCCAGGAACACCAACGACATGATGTATCAGGACCTGTTTCGTGGTAGGAATATGGACAGCGGAGCTAGGGTCGATACTGGAAAGCGTGAGTCAATGTTTCCTTCTTTTCTTAATCAACACCCCACGACCTCCACGCCGGCCCCTACCCCTGGCCTTCTGACCTTCCCTTATGGGCCTTCGCCTGGCGCTTATCAGGAATCTGGTTCGCAAAAATCTAAGAAAAAGGGAAAAAAGCACAGACATGCTAACACTTCCTCCTCTGGGGGAGGTGGTATAGTGGATGTTCAAGACCCAAGTATCTTACAGGCAAGGCTCCATCAAGGTGGCGGAATGCCGGGGCAGGGACTGTACCCTGGTCAAGGTCAAGGTCCCTTTTCCTCCCTGTATGGAAATAGCAGTTATGGTGGCGGCGGGGGACGGTGGTAGCGTTCGCAGCTCTCCCATTCCGGCCATTTTTGTCTCTCCGATTTCATGTGCCTCCCCTTCACCCTTCATCGGGGGCCCTGTATTCTGTTTTATTCCTCGTCTTTCACTTGTTCACAATGGTCGCATGGCGTTCTCGGAGGGCATCGGGCAATTGCATCAGCACAGTCTACGCAACACGACAACCTCTGGTTGTCTGGCGTCTTCGAGCTTGGGTCGGCCGTTGTCATTTATCACAGACTCTGGCTTTTTCATGGTTTCACGGAACTTAAATACCTTGATCTCTTTATTCTCGGCCTTTTTTCGACGAACATGCTGCTTTTGCCCAGGTATCCAGTCGTCCTCTCTCGTCGTCTTCGTCATGGCTATCACATGTACGTAAACTCCCCTTCCTGCCGCGCTAGCCGGCATACTTACGAAATAATTAGAGAGTTATTTCCCACCATTTCTTTGCCATGTACCGTGACGAAGATGCCGAGAGAAAACCTGCAGCTCGTTCTTTCAGACGATTGCTTCGTTTCAGCGCTAGATGGGAACCACCGTCCGGCGACTTATTATCCGCCGCCCTCCATGACTTTTGATTCGTTCAAGTTATTGCAGTTTTTGAAGAACTGATATGCTAACCTTCCACGCAGATGAACCGCTTTTCAGCCCCGAAGAACAAGCGACCGCTGATGTTGACGCTCTGGTCAACGACGATGCTCAACAGATGAAGCGCGATATACCGATTATTCCTCCAATTTATGAGCATCCTCGCCGAGCTACACCCACCATCCCACCAGGCTTCTCCGCTCCAGTTGCACATAGGGCACTGACCGAGCACTCGACGACGCCTATGTCACGAACTACATCAGCAGACATCACTCCTGCTGCTTCTGTCGTACCGGTCTCGCCGGCCAGCGTGCCATCCGGCCAAGGTCAACAGCGGCGGGAAGTAGTCATCTCTGCGGTCGCAGCTCCTGCCGAAGCTTCGAGTGCCAGGCCTTCGGATCCTATGGAGCAATCCGGTAAACCAAGTCTGGCAAAGCCGCAGTCCGCTCCAAAGACTGCTACAGCGGAGTCAGTCGAGGTTGTCACCCAACCGGAGCAGAAGGAAGCTCGACCAGTCGGCGCTGAATCTCCATCCAAACCGGTTGTGAAGTCCAAATCAAACAGTAAAAAAGGGAAAGATGATATTGTCGCTGAATCAGCAGCCGAGAAAGATGTCAAAAGCAGTGCACCCGCAGCAGCAAGCCCGCAAAAAGCCCTTAAAAGAAATACGCCAGCAGCGACCACCCAGAAAGACGTCAAGAACGATCCAACGGCACCAACCGCTGCACTCTCCGCCAAACGGCAGCATATCGGGAAACTAGACCTAGCTGTTGCCACGGATGAGTTGGACGCTGGGCAAAAACACCCGTCCAGTCCCTTGAGGACCGACACCCCGTCCAAAACGGGACGCACGGTTCCTTTAGCTGCAAGTAGCTCCGTACCTCAAAGTCCCGCCGCAGCGAGCACCGGATCTCCTGTCAAACGGGCAGCTGCACCGCGGACGATCAGAGTTGTGCCTACGCCTAGGACTGAAACGCCGCCGACGCTCCCAGCGGTCTCAACAGGCCCAGCTCATGTGCCAACTGTCGACAAGTTACGTTCTAGGCAGGCTAGTATTGCGTCTATCAATCAACCCGGTACACCCGCAAGCGAATTGATTTCAGAGGATACTTCCATAATCACATCGGCCTCTGTGTCTCGTGCCAGTTCTCCACCACTCGTCGGCGGTAAAGTGGGAAGTGCTCCTGTTAGGAAGAAGACAAAGTCCCAGGCCAAAAAAGAGCGACAGGAAAGAGCACGACAGATGTTGGAAGAACAGACACTTGCTTTGGAAGAGCAGGCCAAAGCTGAGCCAGAACCAGAACATGCTCCCATCGTAGGGCGGAAGACGAAAAAGAAGAAGTCTACGCCGAGTGCTGCCAAGGTTACTGCAGCTCCTGCCAAAACCCAGGCAGCTTCGTCGAAGGATGGCCCCACCCAAGAGGGCGAGGAAGGTGAACCGAAATCCTCGCCTGCACCGACTGTTGGGGCGAAGACGGAGGTTGACGCTCATGCGTCTCAGTCTCCCGCGCAAGGAACTCCGGAAACTGGTCCAAAGGAGAAGGGCAACCTCACCGCTCAGGCCATCATCGCCGATCTGCAAAAGAGCGGGGAGCTGTTAGCATCTACCCTTGAGTTTTTCAAACCGTTATCGTCTTCACTGGCCCACACGGCTCGTGCCGCTCAGTCTGGCGCTACTATAGCGCCGCAGGACGCCAAATTGCACTTCACTCAGGCGGACTTGGAAGCGCTAGCTAAGAAGCAGCCTGTGCGACTGAGCGGTCCGGATGGCAAGCCAGATTCCAGATACTTGATCACCCCTCAGGGGAAATTTCTGTGGGGGCTGACAAAAGAGCTAGAGGATAAAGCGCTCGAACTAGAGAAACACATTGAGGAGCTAAAAGGACCGGCCCGTTTCCATCCCCAACAGCGTATACCGCATGTTCCTAGTGCTGCCCCGCATGCGCAGTCCAGGGATGTGCTGCCGGCCATAGCGACTGCACTCAAGGAGGCTGGTGCTAAGTTAAAGAGCGGCAGTGCCGCCGCTGCAGTCCAAAGCATGCCGAAGATCGATCCCAATAATCAGAACGCCCACCAACAACCAGCACCGCAACAGCAAGCTCCAGTTGATGCCGGCGCCTACCTCAATCAATTTGTTATTCCTAGCACGGACAATCCCTCGCCTAACAGTACGCGGACCGAAATGTTCGCCGTTGGTGGCCCGCCTGGTGCAGGCGCGGGCAATACTTCTGTCAACATTGGCAAGATTGCCAAGGCTGCGAAGGTGGTTGCTGAAGGCGGGACGTTGAGCAATGAACTTGAGGGCATGGGCGTCATGGCTGCGGATTTGCTTGGAGGCGTCGTTGTCCAGGGGCTCGAATGGCTCATGAACGCTGGTCTGGGCACGAATATCCATCAGGATCTCAGTGTGGATGGGAAGGGAAATATCACGCTCGGTGGCAACGGTTTCGACGTGCAGGGATTCGTCGACGCGATGGGGTCTGCGGGCGGACTTGGGGGAGTGGAAGCAGCGCAGGCCGGACGCAGAGGGAGGAGGAGCGTCTTGTCTGTTGCCGAGGCGGAGCAGGCGATGCTCGCGGCGAAGAAGGAGTATGAGGCGTTGGAGAAGAAGTTGGCGGCGCTGATGAAGAGGAACAGGAAGCTGGTGGGTGCGACGAGGTAGAGTTTCTAAGGAAACTGAATGAGGAGGAAGATTAGCGGACTGTGCTCCTGAGTACGGATAGGTGTTCCTGGTCGGAAGGAGCATTCTCGGATGCATTTTACGAATCATGTCTATTGGCGTCGTGCGGGCATAAGGCATATGGTATACCATGGCACGTATTAGGGTGCGGTTGATAGAAGCATCAAGTTCCAAGATAGCAAGGAACCCGTTCAAAGCATTCAAACAATATCAGGTTATACCCAATCCCTTCGTATCAAGCGATCTTTATTCTGCCATTCAATACGTCCATGCCCTCAAGGTGACGGTTACTCGATATCGCACCTCAACTCCAAGAATGACGCCCACCTGTATGATTGAAAACTTTGATTGTCTATCTTAATACCATACACCCCGCCTTTTCCGATCGCAATTCTCCAGAAAAGTACGATACAAGCCTGACCCGTTTCCTCTTCAACAAACGGCGGCTACATGCTGAACCAAACCCAATCAACCCAACCCAAATCTTCGCTAATGCAGGCACCACAAAATCGTACAAAGGAAATCCAGAGCGCTCGGCGACGCACGACGCTAGGGATGTTATACAAATGAACGATAACAACGAAAGTGTGCTTCTACCTTTCCTTCCCCTTGGCCCTCTTCTCCTGCAGGTACCTCCACCCGCGAGTCGGCCCCGCGGTGAAGAAGCTTTTGATACTTTGCACCGTGGACGGCCACTTGACCGTCTGATGCACCGCCCTCGCCACCATATCCGGCAAATCGGTCTCACCCGCTATGCGCCGGTCGAAGGGGCCGCCGAGCTGCTTCTTCAAGATGCCTTCCTCATCCTTACTGGCATCCAGCATTTCCTGAAACTCGCGACCGGGAATGGCGAATTTCCGCTGGTAAAGGAAGTACAGCTTCTCGCGGAAGGATTTGGGTAGGCGACGGACAATGTTTCCGCGCCGCTCGGGATCCATGTCCTGCTGCAGCCGGAGATCGAGCTTGGTGTCGTCCATCCAGTCCGGGTTTTGTATGGCCTTGTCGTCGATGTAGGAGACGTTGGGGAGGGACATGATGAGGTCGTGGTAGAGGAGGCGGAAGTTGCGGATTTGGTGGGTGACGATGTTCTCAATCTTTCTTGGGTTTTCGCTGCCATAGTCCATGCGTGGGTCGCCTTGGTAGCTTAGGCCTGCGATTGTGCAGTACAGTTGTTTCTCTGTGAAGGTGGGCGGAAGGAGTAGGAGCGAACATCGGACTGCAGAGAGCAGGTTGCGCTGGTTTGCGACGCGAATGCTAGGTTCCTCGAAGAGGATCTTGACGGGCTTGTGAAGGCGACCGGCTAGATACAATGTATCCCAGTCGGTAAGGTCTCGGTGAAGTGTCTGCAGACTGACGACGCCATACTTGATCATGGCCCCGTTGACATCAACATAGGGATTGAAATAGACGCCCGCGCCATATTTATCGTTTACATGGCTCACGATACCGGAACCGAGAGAGCCGAGGAAGGAGTAGTGATCGCGGTGACGAGCGAGGTTCAGCGAGTGGAAGTGCTCTGTGTAGCGAGCGGCCACTATAAAATCAATCATCTTTCCTCCGCCTTTCTGCCATTTCAATATAGCTTCCGGAGGGTTGGGATGCGGTGAATTCGTGATGCGCGAGGTAGTTACGTCAGATTGCGGGAAGACGCCGGAACCGTAGGCGAAGGCGTAGGTGACGGGTGGTAGTTTCCGGAGTATATTCCTCAGAGCTCTTTTGAACTCCTCATTCGTTTCTATCAGCTGATTCTTCCCGAAATCCTTGTAAGGTAGTTGCGTGAATTCCGAAAGCGTTTGAGCTTCATCTTCCCAGTCGGGGGGAACGGCAGTAGTGGTCTGTGTGGATGATGTCTTAGAGGACGAGGTTTCGTTAGACGCGAATCGGCGAGCGTAACCAGTCAATGGTTGCCTCCGCACCGCTAACCGCAGTATCAGAGGTCGTTGAGCCATGTTGGATGGAAATTCAGGCCTCAAGGCGTCATCGGGTTTGACAGGTACGGCTTACTAAGGAAGATGCACGTGCTTCCGCGGTGCTTGGCCGACGCTTGGCCCGCCCCGCTGCGGTAAACAATGTTGTTTTGGGACGCGACTTCCGACGTCCATCCTTCTCCAAAGCATTTGGAGGCAGCGCCCACCAACTCCCGCGATTACCACGCTGCGCCTGCCGAGAGATTCTAAACCCAACATATAAGCTTTTGGAGAACTACAATGAAGATACTTCCGCCTTCATTTCAGGCCCGTCTCGAAACGTTTGGCTGGGGACCGCAGGGAAACAAGCCGCCGAAAGCAAAGGCGCGTCGTCCTTCGGCGCGCTCGAAGAAAGCCGGCACCACGACGGAGGTCATAAGCTGGCCCCTTCAATCCCCGGCCCCATACGATTTAGCCTACGCAGGATTCATCTTCAAGCCCACATCCGCGAGCCCCGACAATGTCCAATGTTTCAATTGCGGCTGCCAGCTCGATGGCTGGGAACCCGCCGATACGCCTGCTTACGAGCACCTCACACATTCGCCTACTTGCGCCTTCGCCATCAATATCTGCATACGTTACCGCCAGGGTGACCCAGATCGAGTGGAAGAAGACCCCCTGAGCGAGCATATGATGGCCGCGCGTCGCTCGACTTTTGGAGATTACTGGGACTTGGACACATCAGCAGGATTCCCAAGTGTTGAGCAGGTAAGGCTGAAGTGGACGCGCCATCGAATTCGCTAATACCCCTTACCCCTTACAGATGGTCGAAGCAGGATGGTACTATGACCCTAGTGAAGAGAATCCGGATGGTGTCACCTGCCCTTACTGCTCCCTGTCGCTGGATGCCTGGACACCTACCGACGACCCTTTGGAAGAACATCGTCGACGCGAACCTACCTGTCTCTTCTTCACTCTGAAAGAACTCTACCACCCTCTAGAACTCCCACAAAGCAAGAAAGGAAAGCGCACTTCGAGCAGGACTAGCAGCGCCTCCACGAAGTCGATTACCAAGAAATCATCCACCGCTAAATCCAAGGCTACGAAAGGAAAGGGAAAAGTGGCAAAGCGCCAGAGCGAACAGACCAATGCCAGTGTCGATATATCGGAATTGCCTGTAGAGGTTCCGGTGTCTAAGCCAACGAGGGGGAGGAAACGCGAAAGCCAGTTGACGGAGAGCAGCATTGATTTCTCAGAACCCCCTAGACCCGTGAGAAGGACGAAGCGGGCGAGTCAACAAACAGACAATGGGCTCGATTCTTCAACCCTTGTCAAGCCCGTCAGGAAGACCAAGCGACAGAGCCAGCAAACCGACACTGGACTTGACTCCTCTATAATAGTAAAACCCGGAAGGAAGACGAAACAGCAAAGGGAGCAGACAGACACTGCGCTAGATGTTCCCGAATCCCCCAAGCCTGGCAGGAGGACGAAACAGTTGAGTCAACAGACTGATAATGGCAATCTTTTCTCCGATCCTTCCAAGCCCATCGAGTCACCCAAACCAGGCCAAAAGACAAAGCGCCAGAGTCAGCAAACTGACAATGAGAATCTCTTCTCGGACCCCCCAAAGCCCGCTCCAGCGAAACCCGCCAGGAAGGCGAAGCGGCAGAGCGAGCAGACGGACATGAGCATCGATCCACCTGCGCCACCGCCCGCCAAGGCTAGCAGAAGCAAAGCGACGAAGCGTAAGAGCGACCAGATGGAAAGCGATCCGCCAGAGGGCGAGTTCCGCAGGAGCAAACGCACACGTACCAGCGATGGTAACCCGCAACTTGAATGGCCAACCTTCTCTCCTCCAGAATCCATGATTGCATGTACCCCTCCCGCCGTGTTCCGCCCCGAGACCCCGCAGGCGGTGACTCCTCCTACGCCCGTTCCAAAATGGAACCCCGTGGATCTCGAGATATTCTTTGACCGAGAGAATCTCCCAGCGATTACCAAGCTCACCAGCCCGGAGAAGCGGATGACGATCGAGGAGTTTCTCATGCATGAGGCGAAGCGGCAGGAGGAGAACTTGAGGGTGCAGATGATGCAGCAGGTTGCGAAGCTGGATGTCGAGTATGCGCGTGCGCTGGCTGCTGTTGATGAGCTTTGAGATCGTGAACAGTTCATGTCGCTTCTTGTGTTGGAGATTGTGGTTGATTAGTTCCGCTCGTCGGCTTGGATGTTATTTGTAACCTCATATTGGTCTCTGCTTTTCTTGCTGGTTCATGTTCTTGGTTCTTGTTCTCGATTGTCGGAAGCTTTGTGTCTTTATAAGTCTGGGCGTTTTGATTTGGTACGCTGGCAAGCGTTTGAGCGTGGCGCCTGGAGTTGGTGCGTGAAAGATAGAAGTTGCCCTGTCCTACTTTGTCGTTTTGAGGTTTCCTTCATGCATTATATGACTATTTCAGGCCAGATACCATGCATAGGTGCAACAAAGCGTGCGCATCATTATCGCATTATTCCGACAGTATACTCTCCCTGATTCTCTGTAAATTGTCCAAGAAGCCTCCACTACTCTTCTGCTGCTGCTGCTGCTGCTGCTGCGCCTGCACAGCCGGTACCTCCCTCTTGACACTCCCGCTCCCACTTCGCCCCGGCCTGGGCCTCTGCTGCTGCTGCTGCTGCTGCTGCTGGACGTGCATCTGCACATACTCCCTCTGCTTCTCCTCAGCCAGCTTGACCAAACTCTCGACGAACTTGATCCGCGCCTTCTCCTCGGCCGTCCCCTTCCACACACCCGCCAACTCCCTCAACGCCTGGATCCTCACGGCGGCAGCCTCAGCACCCTTGGCAGCATCCTCGGAGCCCATGATGAGATCTGCAATCTCGGTGCGGAGCGCTAGGGCGAACTCCTTGCCGCGTTTTTCCCGGTCGGCGACGGAGTCCGCAGTAGTCGTAGAAGAGGAAGGGTTGTTTGAGGGAGAAGAGACGGAGATGAGGGAGGAGGCGAGTGAGGAGGTGGAGAGGTCTGAGGGGGGTAGGGTCCAGTGCATTGCTTCGCCGAAGATTTTGATGACGGAGTCGAGGCGGGTGCGGATGAGGGTTAGGGTGCGGAGGGGGGATGTGGGGTCGGATGGGTTGGTGGTGGTAGTAGGGGTGGGTGTGGGGGTAGATGTTGTGGTGGGTTTTGAGGCCGGGTTTTGTGTTGTTGAAGGTTCGGTGGAGGGTCGTGTGGGTTCTTCATTGGACTGGTTTGCAGGTGGAGCTGTTGACAGGCCGCCTGGGAGGAATTTGGATATGTCGTCTTTTAGACCGTCGGAAAGTGTTTCTGTAAGTCCGATGGTTTCGCCGCGTAGGAGTTCCACTTCGTATGCCAGACGGCCTCCACTCCGTAGGATGTCATCGGTCAGTTGGGTGAGGATGGCGGATAATCTCGTTGTATGTGCGTTGAGCTGGGAGACGAGGTCCTGGGTTTGGGAGGAGAGTTCACTTAGAGGAACGGCATTGCTTTGCTTCAGCGGTCTGGAGGAGACGGAGGAGAGTGCGAGAGAAGGAAGCGTGGCATTGAGGTAATCGGCGGGGTCGAAGGTGGATTGTAGGAATGGTTTGAGGGTTGGGTCGGAGACGTGTGCGGATTTGGGAGCTGTGGGTTCGTTGGTGGAGGTGGAGACTGCCATTTTCAGTGCATTTTCTTTCCTGGGTTTTTCTGCCTCTTTCTGTTGCTCTCGGGCCACAAGTGAATATGTTCTGCGGGTGAGGGCGATGCCAAGGTGGGTGTTCGTTGGTGGAGATGGCGGCTCGGGCGCTAAGTTGCTTAGCGCGCAGACACCATATCGTTCTGGGGTTAGCCGTGCGGCAGGGGTTCAGTGATGGATTGATTTATTGGGTGCTAAGTGAACGTCACTCTCCGATCTGGAGGGTGGTGAAGGGGAGAAGGACGATGATGGCATCAGAGCAAGGTGTACTACTGCCATCTTCACATGTGCTCGACCTCCCCATGGGGCACAGCACCTTTCACGGGGAGAAGGGGGGAGTGAATGTGTTGCGGGTGAATGCATTGACCCTCCCCGTCTCTGTTGCCTGGCGCCCAGAGGAGAACAGAGCTCGCAAAGTCGGACACCCTCCTAATCCTTTGCCGGTGAAAGCCAAAGGATGCACAGCTCGAATTGGCAAACCTGAGAGGAGGGAGAGGAGACGAAGTAGGTGCGGCGTTGACGTCTCTGCCCGCAGTTGCCCCGCCACGCCGACTTTCCTTCTCTCTGTCACATCTTCACTCACAACCTCACTCCATCCCCTCACTCAACCCCTCTTACTGCCACTCTCTACTTCTCTTGTCTCAACCCTTCCTCGACCTTCACTGAATTGGTACGAGGCATCTTATCTGTGTCTCGCCAGTCCACTCGAGCGCCTCCGTCGTCGCTCCACGCTTCCCTTCGCTTCACCTTCTAGTGCAGACCTGAAGCGGCATGAGCTTGATTTAATACGCTGCACATCACCTCCGCTCTTAGTGTCTCATCTCCGTCATTTCCACCTGGATCGGTCTCCTCATAACTGCTTTTGATCCCGCACCAGCTCAAACAAACGCCACGTCTATAAGGAACAACTTCGTACCAAAACACCGACGAGATGCCGCGAAAGGCGTTCGTGGCGGACCTGGCCAAGGCTGTCGAAGGAGTAGCCATCGCAGGCATATCCAATGTCAAGCCTTCCGGTGACGATGGGGAGTTTACATTCGATTGTGCTACCCATGGTGTCCAAGTCCGAATCTCTGCATTGATTCCAGGTATGACATCTTCCCGCTTCGGGTATTCCTTCCATCTTTGGCCATTTCGCTGACTCCTCCGCGTAGACGTTTCGGAATACCCAGAAAGTCATTCATACATGCTCTTCACAGGCGAAGATGCCCCGGCAAGTGTGACAGATAAAGTAGCCAAGATCTCCGACTCGAGTGCGGGAGTAACCGTCACACAGCTGCTGCAGCTCGTTTCGCGAAGGTTGGGAGCCGTCGATTCAGACGGCGACCATGAAATGATGGACTCACAGGAATTCTCTGACGAGGAAGCCGAGGAGGAGGAGGAGGAAGAAGAGGAAGAGGAAGATTACTTCTCCGACGGACCCGTCATGCCGCAGAAGATCACTGCGTCAAATCCCAATGCTTCCGACAGCAAAGCCCACCCTCGTTCAACTGCGTCTTTCCGACAACGTATCCGCTCAGATCTGCGAATTGCAAAGGCGCATGGCTTCAAGATCGGCCATCATGGTGGGCTTCTGGACGGTCATAACTCCTATGTCAGTATCTCCTGTCGCGTCGCTAAGCTCGGAATCTCAGGCGAAGCCATGAAAGCTTGGGACTTGTTGCCGTCCGAGTATGTCATCCTCGTGTATTATTACCCTGTCGGGTACAAGAGCATGGATTTCTTGACCTGCGACGCCACTACCGCTCGGCGTTACGTCGACATGCGTGTTGGCGTCAGCTCAACATATAAGCCGACAAAGCAGGAGGCGTTACGTATGTTCACGACTGTGGCTTCGGAAAATAGGACGCATCAATGGCTTCAGAAATCCCAAGAGGAGCCTGCTCATGACGCCACGCGGTCTGACGAAAAGGTTCGCAAAGGATTTCGCGACGCTTTCATTTCGAAACCCCTTAACGGACTCCTAAATGATCGTCTTCTTCATCTCCTTGTTTTAAGGTACAATGGCATGCCCTGGAGCGGCGCAGAGGCATATTTCAACGATTATATCGGCACGAAACGTACGAACTCGGATGGTTACGAGGACAAATACCATGAACAAGAGCAGGTAGAGAGGATATATCCGTCTATTGTCACGAGCGACCATATACAGGATCCGAAGTATCATGTCCACTCCTTTCCACTCGTTGGTATGCAGTTTGTACTGCGCCATCTTGTTCGGTGTACCGAGTTTTGCTTGGTATGCTTCACCAAGATGCCAGAAGGTCTTCAAGCGATCAAACCATACGTGTGCGACAAGCCTCTGTGCTTGTATCAATACATGTCCCTAGGCTTCGGACCGAGCATCGAGCACGAAGTTCTCACGCAGCCCAAGGTCGTCGACCTTCTCATCAGCTTCTGCTATGCAAGTGCCCGAGCAGATTCTCTTAAGGACTTTCCCATTGGGCTTGGCTTCATGGTACCACCGATGGAAGCTTTTGAGAAAGACTACCCGGATTATTCGTACCACTATCCTGGAGCCCCATACCAGGTACAATCAGTGCCTTCCGGTACGGAAACCAAGGAATCAGTTGGCTACAACATCACTGTCAATTACCTCAAGCGAGAGATGCTGTTTCCGGAAGACAGCACGGGCTGCCCTTTGCGAAACGGCGACTGGGTTGCAATTCGCACGCACAACGACAATAATGTGGCACACTGCCGGGTAGTCGATGCAACCTATTACCCTATCATAAACCTGAGCGAACGCGGTAAGTGCGTCTTGTCTGGCAACGTCAATCACACATTATATAAACCTTCGATGCCATTACTGCTGGCGCTTCACCCCACACCCCTTCCTTAAACCTGATTTTGATCTTTGCTGACGCTTGCCAAGTCCTCCCATATGTCTCAGCATCCAGTTCTGCTAACCAGTCTGCCGTCGGTCATGGTAAGTATACCCTTTCCCCAGTGCGATGGTGTCTGCCCATAGGGTTCTATCAAGCCACTATCTGCTGGGAGTTTTTCCTCATACCCTTCCAAACAGCTTGGCCTGACAAGTGCTGACATTTATCAAGCATATCCAGCCGTTCCAAACCCAGCAGCCGCCTCAACAGGTGTGGAACCAGCCAAGGATGAATTCATCCCAGGAGAAGTTTTCGTCTACAATGTGAACTTCGACAATCTCAAACCACCGGAGAAGAAGAAGGCTATCTGCGCCATGCTCGATGTACTTCCCCGGGTCACTGAGATGAAAGACTACCTCAGAAAAAATGCGCGTTCGCTGCTCCGCACATGGATCAACCGCCTACCTCCTGCAGCTCTTGGCATCTTGCGCTGGATCATTGCTTCCAATCGTGCTTGCATCATGCAAGTTGAAGATGATAACGATCGGGTGCACGACATGTCTGGTTGGGCACAATTTCACTTTGCAATGGGTGCGCCAGACAAGGAGCGCCGCTTTCAGCAGGCTGTGCAAGAAACAACTCGTCGATTGAATCTCAAATACCCTACCCGCTTTGCCTGGCATGGGAGTCCATTTCATAACTGGCATTCCATCATCCGAGAGGGTCTTCATTTCGAAAAGACCGTTCACGGACGCGCTTATGGTAATGGTGTCTATCATTCGCCCTACCTGAGCACGAGTTTGGGTTATAGCAATAGTACTGGTGGTGGCGTGGGGTGGAGTGGCAGTGAATTTAGTGTAATGCAGGTATGTGAGACCACATGCCCCCAACACTATTCATCCGCTTGACGTTACACTCGAAACGCCCGAACTAACACGTCTCTAGGCGATTGCCTTGAACGAGATCGTCAACGCTCCGTGTGAATATGTCTGCAGTAATCCCCACCTTGTCGTGGCGCAGCTCGATTGGATCCAGACGCGTTACCTGTTCGTTTCAGAAGTTCCTGTCGTCAAACCGCGCGATCCAAAGCCGAAAAACATTATTGAGCAAGATCCGTTGTTGCCGGCGGAGTCGCACAACCGTCAACCTTTGCTGATTCCGGACACCTCTCTCCGAAAACAGCATGCGGAAGATGGGCGCTTGAAGCATCAAGACTCAAAGCGCCGAAAGATGGGAACTGGAAACAGTGCCTCGGACCCCATTAACCTCGATGACGATGATGACGGAGGCAGTGAAGCCACGCTTGAGGAAGACAGAAATATCTTTCTGTCGGATGACGAGGAGCTCTTGGTGCATCCTTCAGCTGCTCCGGCGTCTACTTCGGTGTCTGGCCAAACCTCTACTTCGGCGTCTCGTTCGGCTCCCAGTATGGCTAGGGGCAAACTAAAGGCAGGAGCTCTTATATCTACGATCAAATCCAAGGTGTCGGGCAAATCGGACAAGCAGCCTCCCAAAACCCCCTTGACCGATTTTGAGCCCGGCAAGCTCGATTATAAGACGTTACCTATGCTTGCTCAGCCAACCTGGGCAACAACCTCTACAACGAAGCGACTAATGAAGGACTTCGACAGTCTCCTCAAGGTACAGGAAAAGGGGCCGCTCCACGAGCTTGGATGGTATATTGATCCCGACAAGTTCGAAAACATGTATCAGTGGATTGTGGAGCTGCATTCTTTTGACCCAGATTTGCCTCTGGCACGGGATATGAAAGCCAAGGGCCATAAAAGCATCGTCCTTGAGCTACGCTTCGGTCATCAGTATCCAATCTCTCCTCCCTTTGTGCGAGTAATTCGACCACGATTCTTGGGCTTTCAAGAAGGAGGCGGTGGTCACGTCACTTTGGGAGGCGCAATGTGCATGCAGGTACGTTGAGGCATCTAGTAGCGTGATGTACTCGAATACTAACGTTTGCATTAGCTCCTGACGAATGACGGGTGGTCTCCCGTTTCCTCCATCGAATCTGTCCTGATTCAAGTTCGCATGGCGATATCCAGCACGGATCCCCGGCCTGCTAGATTGGCACCCGGCGATCGCTCAGACTATGGTATCGGTGAAGCTGTTGAGGCCTTCAAGCGTGCCTGCAAGATCCATGGTTGGAAGATCCCAGAGGGATTCGAGGAACTGACGTTAGGTCAGGCTGGAGCTCTGAACTAGCAAGATACGGCAAGCACTGGGACGGGCATAGAAACGGTTCTTGCGTTGCGCTCAGAGGGATGGGGAACGGCGTTGGGAGACGGCGCATAGGACTTCATCGGGGCCTGTTCAGTGCATAATAAGTTTGTATTTGGAATGAGTTTATGGCTGGTGGCGAGCTCTGGAGTCTGGAGTCTGGTCTTCCGACTGGCGGGGCGGTGCAAGCTAAGCCGTGTATTAGTATGTCAGCGGTGCGAACCCGGACGGTAGCAACAGTACCTGGCAATCCAGATGCAGCATCCGTCAGGTAGCTGTGTGCTGGAAACGGAAATGAATGATTGCACACAGTTTTGGAAAAGTGACGTTGAGCTGAAACTGACATGATACATTAAGATTCATTCAAACCGGGACGCCAGCGCTAATACCCAGCAGCCCCCATCCGCGTCGCATGTGCTCAACCAATACTCAAAGATTGTAACCCCCGTCCTCCAAGTTTACTGCATACCCAAGAATCCATACTTACTCATCACTTAAAAACAAAACCACACAACCGGAATATGGAGAGAGAAGCAATATAATAATCAAGCGGCCACCCACCCATCCATCCATCCACTTATCATCCATCAGTCATCCCCAACTAGATCCAAAACCGCAACCTGGCTCTCCCTCCAACGCCGCCTCTCCTTCCCATTCCGCACGACTGTTTTGCCTCCTCCTCTTGCTTCTCTTGCTCGTCCTCCTCTTTCGGTTGTCGTTCGCATCTCATCGCCACCACGGGAGACACTCACAGGACTACTACTATTGCTGCTAGTACTACTCGCATCAGCAAATTCCCACGTCCCGACCCCGCTGGCGCGCAGCTGGATGACGCGTTTGCGCTGGGTCCGCGCGGCGCGGTGGCGTTTCCATGGTGCCTTGTCTTCGTTCTGTTTTTGAGGCGGTGGCGGGGAGGCAGGGCGAGTACGCCCAAGCGTGGAGGTGGTGGGATCGAAGGAGTTTGCGGAGGTGGAGGGTGCGGCAGTGGCGGTGAGGGGGAGTTTGGGTAGTGGTCGAGCAGGAGGGGAGAGGTCTAGAGTCAGGTCCAGGGTGGCGATTTCGGGAGGAGGGGTTTTGGAAGATGGATTATCCAAGCGGGGTGCAGCGCGGCGGGTTGGGCGGGTGGGTTTCGATGGGTCGTTGGGGCCTGGTGCTGGTGTGGAAGTGGATGTGTGGCTGGCGGAGGATGTGATGGAGGAGAAGGATGTATTGGAGCAGAGTGATTGGAGTGGAGGTCGTGGCTCGAATGGATCTGTCTGCGTGCGCCGGGCCTTTGCTGTTGCGTTGGGTAGCGTGGAGTTGGTAGTGATGGCGGTGGCAGTTGCAGGACGGGGTTTAGAAACAGGCTTAGGCGGCGAGGCCGTGAGATCCAAGATGTCTATTCCGGAGTCGAGCGTTTTCTGGAACCGCGGCGGAGCTAGGAGTGGTGCTTTACTTGCCGTAGGCACATTGGCGGTGCGAGCTTTTGTTGGCGTAGCTGCTGGCGAGGATAGTGTCCATGCATCCAAGGTCGTCTGCTTCCCTTTACTCGGAGAGGCAGTGACTGATTTCTGCCTCCGGACTCTCGGTTCTGGAACGTCCCTAACACTCCGAGTTCGCGCCTTTTTAGCTGGTAGCTCGGATGGCGAGGGTATTGCCGGTGAGGTGAGGAGATTCAATGTCGGGATAGCGTTAGGTGGTGGCGTTATGGGTCGAGCCAAGGGGGAGCTCAGGTCTGCGGGAGAGGTATGCGATCGTGCTAATAGTCCTCGTTTGCGTCTCTTAGTTACACTCGATGGCAGTTCCCGGATGGGCGATAAGCTGTTCTCCCTCGGTCGCTGTGCGGATACCGTACTTGTTGGTTTGGGTGGTGACGATGAAAGCAAGTCAATGAAGTTCGATCGCTGAGGCTGTTGAGCGGGCTTGGAGGGCTGCGATAACGAAGTCTGTGGCTTCGAGACCGGTTGCGATTTCTTTGCAATGGGCTTCGTGATCCTTCCAAACTGTATTATTGACGCTTGTGATGCAGCATCGGTAGCCTTCGCAGCCTTGGTGGTCCCAGTCTTCTTGCTACCCTTCGCCTTGGAGGCAATCTTATTCGCCCCCTTGGATGTGGCAGCCCGTTTGGGCATTCGCTGGCTTGCTTCCCATTCTTCTGCGGTTAGCGGCACCCCAACTTTGACGAACGTCTCCATCACCCAAGCCCGTGCAGGTTTCAAAGGATCAAATTTGGTGGGCCCGCGCTTCTTCGGTTCAGTCCCGTCTTCATCGTCACCAAACTCGAGGATATCCAAGTCTGGCTCAGCCGGATCTGCTGTGTCTGTCCCTGCATCCGTAGACTCAAAATCATCCGGCTCTTCCTTGCTAAGATCGATTTTCACCAACTCAATCGGAGTGTAGCTGACGCGGAGTTCGTTGGTATTGTCCGTTATAGGGTGTTGTCTTCTACTGTGGATGCCTTTGACAAGCAGCGACTCATCCTCCCGAATTGCTTCAAGGTTATCGGAGATGAAACGGTCCTGCATAGCTCTCATACGCAGACCACGGACAAGCATCGCGGGAGCAAGACAGCGGATGAAATGCTTTGCGCCTTCGAGCTTGATCCAGTCAAATGCATCATGAGTGAATGTGCGCAAGCCTGGAAAGTCGATTTCCTTATCCCACGTCATAGATCTTCGCAGGTTGTCCAGCGACGCCTTATTCGACACCACGGGATTAGTATAGTAGGTCAAAATATCGAGACGCGGAAAGTCATCTGGGATCTTGATCGCACCGTGCTTGGTCGCGAAGAATTTGCTCTCATTCGTCTTGAGCTCGTGCTGTAGTCGCTCCCGCCATTCCCGTATCCCAGCTTGGTCAGACTTCTTAAGCCTACACAGGTCTTTTCCGAATCCAGCTCTTGCAGCTTCGCATGCGATCTTAGGTCCGCAGTTGGGAATTCCTTTGGGCACGTAGTCTCCTCCGCTCATCAAGGCGACGAGTATCATCCCTTCCGGGTCTATGCCAGAGCTCCGAGTCCTTTCAGCATCGTACACATTGACATGCGTAGGCGTCTTTCCGCTGGTCCCTGGCTCGGGTGACCAATTGCGGATTGTTATGCCGCTGCCGAACATGAGCGTATCCACATCTTCGCTCAGTACGGCATCCACAATGCCCTCTCGCTGTAGCAAGGCGCACTCGGCCTCCGCCTCGCCCGGCGCATAATGTATAGGGAATCCAAACTGCTTAATCAACTGCTTGGCAAGGAAATCCGGCACCGAAGACACATGGCCGCCTGTCTTCTTCCCCCGCTTGAAGGGCGGCTTGTTCGGACCGTCAAATACGAATATAGGATGTATACAAAGGGCGATCAGACGAAGGAGTCGATAATAGAATGTGCGTGGGGCTGGATTCGTCCCTCCTTTTCCGGCTTGTATTTGGAAAAGCCATATCGATACATCTATAGCAATGCGAAGTGGACGACCGGTCTCTTCGAACTTGTCGACGGCGAGCTTGGAGAGGGCGATGCGCTGGCCACTGCCGATCTCCTTGTAGATGCTGCAGCTATTAGTGAAGATCTTGGAGGTTGTTTGAGCAAACCTTACCCGTGAATGCCCATTACGCATCCATAACCAACGAACGCGACTCTGCTCCCTTGAGGTGTTGGCCTGGTGTGGTGATAGTATGGCTGCTGATCAAGGCGGCGGAGCGATAAGATAAGATTAGATGGTTGCCATGGGCGACGGGCTAAACAACCTTGGAAGCCCTGGAGCAACTGCACACCCAACACCCATTTTCCCATTTCCAAACGACATCATTGCCGCCAACGCTATCTTTACACCTTTCCACCCGGCGCAACACCATGGCTCCTCGAGGGAGAGCGCCCGTGGTGAGCGACAGTCCAGATCGGAGCTACGAATCATCACCAGATCCGCTCAATGCATCTATCAATTCCAGCACATCTAAGGCGCGACCTGCGCGAAGGCGCATGGCTCAAACACCTCTCGCTTCAACATCTCCCAGCAAACAGAATCGCCAGCCTAATGTCTCTGAGCGGCTTATGCACCTCTCTTCACCATCCAAGTCTATGGTCATGAATACCGGCAGGCCAGGCGGCGCGAGCCCGTGGCGCATCAAGGTTACCGTCGAGGCGGAACCCGAGAACTCGTCGGACGTTGAAAACACATCGCCCTCAGTGAGACATGTGGAGCGCAGGACGACTACTACCGTGCCTTTAAAGGATGGTGATGCCTCATCTCCGCCTAAGCGTCGGGGCAGACCCCGGAAATCGGATGTCGCAGGGAGCGCGAAGAGCAGGCGCGCGGGAACGCCTGTCAAGCCAAGGAGAAGGCGATCGAGTGTGAATGCAAGTATGTCTGAGCCAACTGTGCTGGAACCGTCCAGTACAGCCTCACCCAAGAAAAGGCGAGGGCGACCGAGGAAGAATGTGCAGCCGGAACCAGAATCAGAACCACAACCGGAGCCAGACCAGGAACCTCAGCCTGACGGGGAATCAGAATACGAACCCAATCACGAAACCGGGCTGGAACATGAACAAGACGAGGACCCTGACGCGGAACAACTCGAACCAACCAATATTCCCTGCGCAGACGTTGACGATGATCACGCGGATACGGAGATTGCTGCAGAAACAACTGTAATTCCACTCATTGAAACAACATTGGCCACACCACAAGGTACCCCTGTACCTGTGCCTGTACCTGTTCTCAAATCCACATCTCTGATGCCTCCCCGGGAGCAGTTCAAACAGCGACCCCGATCTTACGTTGAAGAGTATGAGGAAGCAGTGAACTTCGGCACACCTCCTGAGACCGACCTGCGCAGGCGTTTGAAGGAACGGAAAGGCACACCTCATTCCAAGGCGGCGAGGAAATCAATAAGCACATCCGACGATGAAAGCGCCATCGATACTCCATCCGGCACAGACGAAGAGCAAGCACCGCTCGAAGTTGACGCCAGAGATCAACAGAGACTGGCTCTCGAGGTGCAGTTGGAAACACTTCGAAGAGGAGGCCGTGACGAAAGTGCGAACGGAGAGATTGATACTTACGCATTTGATGAAGGCGAAACCCGCATGCCGGATGACACGACTCTCTGGGAGAGCGAGAATTTCAGCATGATATCAGTCGACTCGTTGCCAAGTTGCGGAGGCCTACTCAGTTCGAATCATCAGAAGTCTACAGGAACCCTGGCCACAGGTGCCACTCATCCACTCACTACGTCTTATCTTAATATCCCTGCCGCGAGCTCCTCCAAATCTGCAGAAGTTTCATCACAGCAGAAGCAGTACTCTCCTCTCCAACGGAAGACATCGACAGTAGCCCCGCCGCCCGAGCAGCCACAGGAAAACTCACGAGAGCGACATGAAACACCAGCTATGGACCAACGTTCTCCGTCGCAACCACCGGCTTTGGAGCCAGCGCAGTTTGCTCCATCGGAATCACCGCAGATGGACCGGGCAGTAACAGCAGGTGTCGCACTTCAGGGTCTGGTGGATCCATCGCGCGGAACGCCTCAGACGAAGAATGCACAGGGAGGCAGCCTGGAAGACCTGTTCAGAGGATTCAGCGATGGAACAAGGAAGGAACTTCAAGCAGGGCTTAGGCTTGGACAGCAACTCGCAATGCGCAGAGAAAACAACGATTCGAGTCCTTTGTCTAGGTCGCCAAGACCCACTCTTCCAGATGCATCCGTCAAATGTGCCTTTGTCAAGCACCCAGAGACCCGGCTGATCACCCCAGAAAACCAAGAAGATCAAAATTCACAATTACCTCCACCGGCTACTGACAATGTAAATGATGAATACCCCACGCTAGTTGTTGAGGAGCAACAAAACACCCATCTTGTGAGCCCTGAGTTGAGCGACGACGAAATGAGTTGGAGCAACATAATTGCGGCAGGTTCCGAGACTATTGAGATAAAGGGCGGTCGAACATTGCTCACGGCAACTAACCCTCAAGGGGAGCAGATTCGCGGCCCAGATGTCTATGTTGAAACCAGACAGAGCGAAACTGGACAAGTCGTCACTGCATACCGAAGTAATGGAGAGCAAATCATTGGGTCGGAAATATCGGTGGTTGCAGACGAGAGGGAGGAAGTAGAAGGACGAGACAATGAACCCCAAAGCACAGTCACGGCGCAGGAGCAGGGCGAGGACTATTCTGATATTTGGCAAGAGGAAGCGAGCAGGTCGATGACCGATGACGCGGGGAGTTCAGAGGTCCAAAACCGCAGAGGGCCAAACTCACGGAAAACGCGAAAGGGCAAGAGCAAGACACCGGACGCGCTACCCAATGGTGGACCTATCGAACCACCTCGGGCTAAGCTGCCACGAACGCGGCGGCCCAAGTTTCAGTATAGCGACGAGGCCGAAGAAGAGCAGCAAGAACTGGATGTCGCTTCTTCCCGTGTAAAATCTGCTCAGGAGTCTACAAAGCAAAATCAAATGCATCGTGCTGTTCAAGACAGTGCCATGCGGGATGTTGACGGTGGCGTCAGCGAAATCAGTGAGCAGAGTGGTGTTTTCTTCCATCCCGAAGTTTTGACCACACGTCCTGAGAGAGAGCGTAAGATACAGCGCATAGAAGATGTGAGCATGTCTCTGCTTCTGGATGACGGGGAGGCATCGGTTCCGGTCTCTTCTCCGGTACTACAGACACAGTCGTCCGGTGCAAGCAGATATCCCTCACCTAAATCCCTTTCACCTGAGGGCAAGATTTCATCCAACCCTCCTGCTGTGGATGAAAAAAAACAGGCATCCTTACCAGCGGACGAGGGGCAAAGCCTGAATCTGTCGTCACCAGCTCCCATCAATAGAACTCCGACTACGTCCAAGCCGAATCCCTTCAAAGATACCCCTCCACGATTTACCCCTCGTCAATTCACGCCGGCTCGGAGCAGCCCACTGAGACAGGAGCTTCGTGGATCCGACGCAGAAAGCAGCTTCGACGAATCGAGTCTCCCAGTAAGCTCGCCCTTCCGCACTCAGGTAGACATGAGCAATATCTCCATCGCGTCCCATGAGCAACAGCTCCTGCAAGAAATGGAAGGAGTGACCGACTCGAGCATTGTTCGCGTGCGACGGGAGGCAGACGCTCGAGCTGAGGCTTATGGATCCCCATATCGTACGTTGCATGAGATTGAAGAAGTTACGGAAGTGTCGAGGAGTGAGAAATTATCGATAGTGATGCCCAGCTCGCCGCCTGTGCGCTTGTCAGAAGCAGCTGGGCATAGCAGCGTTCTCGGCGACGGCACGCGCGAATCTACGCTTCTGGACGATGGGGATAGCTTTATGGCCGAGCCTATGGACAGCAGTATCTTGAACAGCAAGCGCAAGCACGTTCGAATTGCTCTCGAGGATGAGCGGACGCCCACCTCATCAAGACGGAAAACAGCACGACATGTTAGTCGTCCAGCGAAGAAAGTCCCCGTCATTGCCTCCGCCCCGCATGTTGAAGAAGACCCAACTAGCGGACGCTCAGGATCATCCTCATCTTCCAGCGGCGGGATCCTGAACCGCCTAGGCAGCACCCTACCCGGCACCCGTGGTACTTCTACAGCACAAGCCACCTCTCCATCATCATCATCACCCCGTCCGCCAACACACCCCGTAGCTTCACGCTTCGCCCCCGGTCTCCCCAAAGCCAACCCCTGGACAAAAACACACTACAAAACCCTCGATACCCTCTTCCACCTCCACAGAAAGGACGCCACGCTCTTCGACCCTGTATCCTCAGCCGTCAACGCCGCTCTGCTGGATCACTTCCTCTCACAACCGGGAAACGACAAGTTCCTCGGTGCCATATACACCTCGTGGGGGTACAGCGTGACGATTACGGAGCCATTGGTTGTGATTGCCGCCGTGTATCTGTGTAATATCCTCGTCTTGAAGGACGGCGCGGAGTATGAGAAACGGAGTGGGAGGGCTCTTGAGCGCGGTGATGTTGGTCCTGGTAGGGCTGGAGCGAGGATCACGGCCGAGGCGGTTATGGAGCGGTTGGCGACGGTGGTGATGGGGCGGGCGTTGAGGAGGGATGAGAGGAGGGGGGTCAAGGTGAGAAAGGAGGGGAGGTTGCAGGTTGTGTGGGCTGGGGAGAGCAGTTTGATGGGTGTGTAGGGAGTGAGAGGGAGGGGATGTCGTTTGTTCGTTTCGGTCTTTGGGGGGCGCTTGGGGTGAGGAGGTTGAGGGTGGTGTGGAAGGGTGTTTGTGGTTCTTTCTGTAGGATAAAAGGTACCTGGATGCTTTTTCTGCTTTGATGTGGATGGTTTTTGTAGAGTGGAATGTATTGATGTCTCTCGTATATGCATGATCTGGCTGGATAGATATTGTCGGCCTGTGTCCTCGCTGCTTCATGAAGATTTGGTTGGTCAACCACCATTTGCCAGAGCCGATGTCCTGTTTTGCCGTGCCCTTTAGGTCGAACTACACTCTCTGCTTCTGTCAAAGAGAAGAAAATGCAGAAGCAGAAGCAGAAGCAGAAGCGAAGCAGAAGCAGCGTCATGTTTCGGCGACTGCGAGTTTGGAGGCGTGAGGGTGGCGCGTTGGAGATTCTCATGCGGCATGACAATTTGGATGGGAGGTGTTTGGGGCGGGTGAGAGGGGCGGAGGCGAGCTGGGGAGTTGAATGAGGTTGAGTGGGAGTACGGGGCGTGGAAGAAGGCAGCAATTTGAGAGTGTATTACCCCTGCATGGAAGAAGATTTTAAGATTTCACTGAGTAGCCAAGTGGTCTGAAGTTGGACATGACTTCTGTATATATATTCCCTCAGAATCAGAAGGCAAGACATATTCCCACCATCTCGCCACCCTTAACTCACCCATAGCCATTCCCAAATACCAATCTCCCAATTAAATCTCCCACTTCCCATATTACCTCGAGTGATAATTACACTCACATACACGATCCTCTAGATACTTCGCTCGTCTACTTATTCACCGAAAACACATACTTGGCCTCGAGCACATAGGGCGCATCCCCGGGCCCAAAGATCTGCTTCTTCTCGCGCTGCCACTCGGGGTGATTGATGCCGTCGATCCAGTCCTGCACCTCGAGGACAACGCAGCCGTACTGCTCGACGACGCGGGGGCGGCCGTCGAGACCTTGGGTGGACTTGATGGGGAGGGTTCCTAGGAAGTTAGTTAGTCCATTCATTCTCTAAGTTGGGGAACGGAAACGGAAAACTGGATTCGGCGAAAGGAAAGGGAAGCAAATTTAACATACCGTTCTGCCCAATGCAGTTGTACACCTGGAACGCGTCCTGGTCCGTGTACACATCGAGCTGGATGCCCGAGAAGTCGCTCGCCAGGCTCGCCACGGGCCGCTCGTTGCGCCAATCGTAGCTGCCGTACTGGGCGCGATTCACAATGTAGCAGTTGTCGTAGCCGGTGCAGTTGGTGCCGCAGTTGCCCTTGAGTTCGGGGGCCGTCAGGTTGGCGCCCAGCTGTTTGGGGGAGGACCAGAAGTCGTTGACCGAGTACTTTGTGTTTGCCAGGATGTCGCCGTCCGGGATCAGGATGCCGTCGACGGAGACGCGCTGGCCCGAGTAGGGCAGGGAGAGCGTGTGGTTGAGCGTCGTTGGGGTGGCGGGGTTGGCGAAGCCGTCGAGGTTCCAGTAGGCGTGGGAACTGAGCATGATGGGGGTCTTCTTGGTGGTGGAGAGGGCTAGCATCTTGATGTGCCACGTGTTGGGGCTGACGGTGTAGGTGATGTAGCTGATGACCTCTCCCGGGAAGCCTTCCTTGCCGTCGGGATCGACGATGGAGAAGGTGATGGAGTCGGGGGTGTAGGAGACGACGGTGAAGTTGCGCTGTTGTGCTGTTAGGGAGAGAACGTTGGAAGTCAGGTGCGAGGCATGTGACGTACGAAGTCCCATCCGTCTTTTCCTCCATGCAGAGTGTTCTTCCCGTTGTTCTCGTTGGGGGTAACGTGATAGTCCACCCCATCGATATTGAAGGTGCTGTTTTTGATGCGGTTCGCATACCGCCCTACATCCTCGTCAGCCGACTCGCTTCTCCACATCCCAAGCAACGAACTCCTCGTCTCATGGAATCAGGGTACACATACCAGGCACACCTCCCAGATGAGGATGGAAGGGATCCACAGAGTAGAAGCTCGCATTGTCGAACCCCAGCACGATATCCCGTTCCACGCCATTCTTGTCACGGATGAACAGATTCGTGACGGAGGCGCCGTATGGGATGAACTGGGCGCGGATCCCCTCAGCAGAGATCTCGTACTTGCCATTCTCATCGGGACCAGAGGTGGCATTGGGGTGGGAGTACTCCTGTCCCTGACCCAAGGCAGAACCCACGGCAGCGATGGTCGCAAAGGCGAGGGAGAGCTTGGAGAAAAGCATGGTGGGTAGGATATTTGACCAGCTACCGGGTGGGTGGGACGCAGGTTCGAAGTTGGGGTGGGTGGGTGGAGGGGAGACGGTGACGGGGTACCGGGAGAGGGTGTTTTATATTATGGAGTCGATCTGCTGATCTGGGGGGGTCTGGGAAGCTACGAGGTAATTGACCGTCACCGCCGCGCTCTCTCTTGGGAACCCCAGCTTCAATACGTACACAATACGCGTACAATCCAGTCGCGCCGATAATCCGGCCGTGATGCTAGCTCTTGCGCGTCTTTTCCTTCTGAAAGCGGCGGTTCTAATCGAGCGGATTGGAGGCGGAGTGAATGGGTACGTCGCCAGCAAAGTAGCTATACGATCCTGGGGGAGAGGTCGAGCTACCCATGACGGAAGAGCTCCTCACTCTCGGGCAGACTCCAATACCCAGGTCCCCTCCCCCTCCCTGTGAATGCATCATAGCATGCAGCACATGCATCTAACCGTCCATCTCCTTAATATCCATCCCGAACTCGCCTATGGTACGCGTCCCGGTTGCGCAGCTGCATAGCCCTCATCGAGCCGGCGGATGTTCATCGGAGCATCGTGATTCGAGGAATAAACAAACACGAAGCTGTAGGCAAAGATGACATCCTAGGCATGCGAGGCTGGGGAAACGGTTGAGATGCTTGTGCAGCCGGCGATTGGGGCTCGCTGCGATCCTTGCTTCCGCTGCTGGGCAAACCTCGGCGGGGGATCTCGGCATTTGCAGATCTTCAGTGACGGGGAATGTTGTCGGATCGTGACGACAATAGTCGAATTGTCGTATTCTGATTTCTGGTCTTGGAAAGTTTACTGACGTACAGAAAGCAGCAGAACAGCATCTCAACAAAGCTTGCAGAAGTCAGCCTAATCCCGTCACCCCCTTCTCAACATGTCCTGAGAGTATCCGAAAACACAACAACCTCTGGGTATCATAGCCTCAAACGCCTTCTGGAAAAAAGTATGATATCGAAACATTAAAAGAAACGAAAACCAAAACAATCATCATCGTCAAGGTCGTCTCTTCGTCACCATAATCTAAGCTCATCGTCTTGGCTGATCACGCTCCCGCCGCATCTTCCTGTCCATCCTGCTCTTCCTCCTGCATCGGCTCCCCAGCTTCAAAATCGGCCAGAAAGGCCACGTAATCCAGGTTGATATCTCCCTGGGCGAGAATCGGCCGCGCGTCCGTGGGCAACAACGGCCCGGCGTCAGTGAAGTTTTCGGTGACCAGCTCACCGCACGCAAATGGCATGGCCATAGGGCCTGGTGGTGCTGGTACACCAAAGGGAGGAAGAGGAGGAAAGGTCGGCGCCGGAGGTGGGAATCCAGCGAAGCCCCCCGGGTACAGGGTCGGGCCCGCGTTGAGAGAGGCCCACTCTAGAGGGAAGGCCATGGAGGGACGGAATTGAGGAGGAGGGAGGGAGGCTTGGCCGGGAGGAGGAAAGGCAACGTCGAAATCGGCCCAGCCGGGCGCCATGGTGGGTGGAGGGTGAGGAAGGAAGGGGCCCTGCTCGGCCGGGAGGAAGCCCACCGAGTCGAACTCACTCCAGCCTGGTGCTGGAGTGGTGGGTGGAGGAGGAGGGAGAGGAAAGAAGCCGTTTTGAGGCGGCTGGAGAGGGAAGGCCGGCGCCGTGGGCGGAGGGGGTAGGGCAACTGGAGCCCTGTCCAGTGCCTCTTCCTGGCCTCGTGCAGCGGCCGCAGACTTCTTCGAGGCCCGCTTCTTCGGCGGCAGCCTGCAACTGGGATGGTCGTCCCAAGCCACGTGGGGAGGCTTTCCGTACCTCGCCCAGCACCCAAGCTGGGTGTTTGGATCGGCGATCCTCGTCCCCCAGTGGTGCTTCTTGACGTCGTGCTTGTTCGGGAACGACCTTCCGCAGAGGCCGTGCACGAAGTGGCCTCGCGGGCGGGAGCCTCTGGCGGTAGGTGTTGTTGGAGTCGTAGCTCCGGAAGACAGGGAAGCGGAGCCCGTATCAAGGGCGTTGAGCCGGTGCTCGCTGGCATCAACGCCCTGGGAGGAGAGGTTTTGCATTGTGGTATCTCAGCTGGTACCTAGGGAAAAAACGTCAGCACTGCTCCCAGTAGGAGAGGAAAAGGCACGAAGTGGGCGGATGAAGCGCTCTTATATGCGCTCTCAACGCGTGTACGCGCGGTGAAGGTGATGGTGATTGACAATAACAAGATGAGCGCCCGTAGTACGCGTGGTGAGGTTTCCAGAGGGCTCATTTCACTAAGTTGGTGAAGTGAAGACGAAGAAGGGTGCTATACCTTGCCACTCCATGCAACTTCTGAAAACATGGCCCATATCAAGAGGGATACTGGTGCCTTCCTTTGACTTGTTATCCAAAAGTCACCTCGCTCCAATTGATGGTCCATCGGTCGGTACTTGGATCATAAACGACATGTGCTATGCTCCTCCTTGCCGTCGAGCCAAACCAATCTTCATTGTCAGACAAAATGAAATCAGCAGGCTTTGCTGTCTGAAATGCAACTATGGTAGAAGCGCTGTTCCCCATGGCAGAGACAATTGCCTACATTTATCGGAATGGCCTTGAAGTCTCAAAAGCCGAGTACAAGGGACTCAGTGATAGCATATGCATGCCCTCGTCCCTCGTAAAGCTCTACATCGAGGCTTGCCCAAAAGGGGACTGCAGTTTCCATGTCGCGCAAACCGCTTTCCCATGATATCTCCGGCAATATAACGTTAAGATTGCATTCCTGAATCAATTGCACCACGGGAAGCGTTCCATGTACTTCATATTGGGTCATTTGTAGATTGGACGTCGGAAGGCCGAACAAAAACACATCATGACAATGCTCTTGTAGGCGCCGTGCCAAATCCGACCATTCATGCGTTCACAGTGCCAAGTGTGTCCTGCTGGCCCCTAATAGGGCTTGAGTGGCTCACAGACTGAGTTCGCTGCCATTCAACAACCAGCGGGAGATGTAGTTGCGCATCCTTATCGACATTGTAGTCGAGATGGAAGTCGAGATGGAGCTGGAACTCGGGGTTCACACCAACTGTCCATCCGGCTGTCTCCTTCGGGTTGACATCTTCTCGGCTTAGACGTGCTGCCTACAACATCGACTCGTTCGCATTCAGCTGTCCGCCGTAAAAGGAACCAATTCCGCCTTGCAACCTGATGGCAAAAGAGAGGCAGATGTCGGGCCTCTCAGTGGAGCAAGCAGGGTTCGTTTAGGATGTTGTCAAGATTGAGGTCATGAGTATGCGTACCGTGGAGGTTATCTCGCCATCGGCAATGAATAGATGCCATGATTTACCATGATGAGCTCCGGGAAGGCGTACTTGACTGATCGCGTTCAGGGGCTCTGAGGGTATGTCTGTGTTATGTTTGAGGAACACAGGTGGTGGTATCATTGTCAAGGCTTGGGCAATTGTCTCAAAATCGAAGTGGGAAGGACGAAATGTTCAGAAAAGAAAAGTGACGGGAACAATAGCTATAAGCAGAGGGCGACTGGCCGTATCAATCGCTCCACCACGGGATGTCGACATCCTGTCACGTGCCTGCTGTTAACGGGAGTGAATTGGCATCCATGAGCGTAACGGCGGCACACGCCTGCCCGTTCCCCATCGACAGCTTGCACCATCGCAGTAGAACTCCCTTGATCGCAAAGAGTGGGAATTGTGATATATATATATATTTACAAGATCAGCCCCTTGTGTGGCGTTGTCTACTAGAAAACGGCCCAAAGCGGGGTGGCAGGGCTGCTCAGTGGTGGTGCACACACGCGCCCCCTTCCAGCCCTGTCCTGTGTGGCTCCACCATAAAGTTCAACGCGTCGCTTCACCCTCTTCTCCACCTTATACCCATCTATCGCCCTCCACTCTTCCCTTTTCCATTCTGTGAAAGCGCGACCGACCGTCGCTCCCTTTGCGCCGAAAATGCAGCCCCAGTATCGGAACTACCCGATTCCCGCACAAGCCCATCATGCTACGCCATCGCGTCGTCCGCCTGGTACGTACTCATACCTTCTTCTGCGACTCCCTAGCAATCCTGCACCACAACCACTACCCTACCACAACCACGACATTCTAGAGCCTGCTTCGCCGCAGCTATGATCCGGAGGGTTGACCTAGAGCTGACCTTCCGCAATGCAGGCCCTCTGCCGCCCCAGCAACCACCGCCTCCGCACTACAATGCCTCTCATATCCAGGCCCAGCAGCGCGCCGAACAGGAGCGTCGCGAGAAGCTGCGCCGCCTGGCCATGGCTCCGACCGACAAGAACATTCCCGACGGTGTCGAGGACATCTGCATCGGCGATGGCGTCGCGCGCTACCGCGAGCTCCAGGAAGTGGAGCGCACCCTCGATGCGACCATGATGCGCAAGAAGCTGGACGCTGCCGACACCGTCAACCACTCCCGCACCCGTCGCTATGGCACCATGCGCATCTGGATTTCCAACACTGCCGAGAACCAGCCCTGGCAGAGCAGCGGAATGGACGCCGACGCTTTCGACTTCGACACCGGGAACGCGGCCAGCTACACCGTCAAGATTCAGGGCCGCCTGCTGGATGGGGACAGCGATATGGGTTTAGGAGAGGACGACGAGGAAGAGCAAGCGGAAGGGGAAAAGGATGCCGATGCCATGGAAGACGACAGCGCCGAGCCGACCAAGTCCACACCGCCGCAGAAGCCAAAGGTCTTCTCGCAGTTCTTCTCGTCCATCACCATCGACGTCGACCGTGCCAAAAGCCTGCAACCCGATAACTTCACTCAGATTGTCTGGAACCGGGCCGAGAGCCCGGCCAACGCCAAAGACTTCAGCGAGCTCGTCTTCAAGCGCAAGAGCGACGAGAACATCAACATCACAATCAATCTGCAGCCGCTCGTGCCCGACCGCGCCGAGCGCTTCCGGCTGAGCAAGGGACTCTCGGAACTCCTGGATACCGACGAGGCGGATCGCGCAGAGGTCATGATGGGCATCTGGGAGTACGCGCGCGCCAACCACCTGCAGCAGGACGACGACGAGCGGAAATTCGCCTGCGACGCCAACCTCAAGGCGCTCTTCGGGCAAGACATGTTCTTCTTCCCGCAGCTCCCCTCGCTCCTGAAGCCGCACCTCATGACGCTGCCGCCCATCCAGCTTCCCTACACCATCCGCGTGGACAAGGAGTACATATCGCCGTCCCCGGATTCGGGCGTCCCACCTTCCCGCCCAACCATCTACGACGTGCCCGTCCTCCTCGACGACCCGCTCCACCAGCTCGTGCAGAACCTGCTCCGGCCCAGGGACGCCGTCGAGACGCTCGAGCAGATCCGCGCCATTGACGAGCAAATCGTGCTCGTCATGGGCGCCGTCGCGCAGTCCAAGGCCAAGCACGCGTTCCTGACGAGCATGTCCAAGGACCCCGTCTCGTTCGTCAAGCGCTGGCTGTCGTCGCAGAAGCGCGATCTCGAGGTCATTCTGGGCGAGGCGACGCGCGGCGGTGGCGAGGATGCGTCGGGCCCGGAGTGGCATGCTGGGGGCGGCGAGGGCGTGTGGCAGAGCGAGGTCGCCAAGGAGAGCGTCGCGTTGTGGTTGGCGAGGCAGGGTGTTAAGGGGCATTAGGTGGTGCTGTTGATATCTATCTATGCTTGCGTCGTTGGTCCTTACTATAGATACCCTTGGCTCGCCTGCTCTTTTCTTGTAGGCGTGTGAGTTCGCTGGATGCGGAGTATCCTGACGCGAGTCGGCGTTTTGTAGGATCGATTTGAACACAATAGGAGCAGGTACGTCGAGGAAATGGATCTCTGCAGCCGTTGCTACCGATCGCGGAGACATCTCAACACCCTCAAACTTATCAAGTTCAACCTCACCGAGCTCAAACTACCTATATTCCTCTCCGTCCCCTCCGTCCCCTCCGTCCGCGTCTCTCTCCTCCTTCGATCGGCATCACCACCAACAATATTACCAGCTACACGAGCACCATCATATCCCACCAATCTGGCTCTCGTGTTCTCGATGCCGACACTTACTTCTCTTCTATTCAGATGGAGCTGGAATGCGGGGTGTACTGTGCTGCGTCCACTAAATAATGGGAGCGAGGATACATGAATCCGAGGATAACGGCGAGACTGAGGAGGAGCGCGAGCGAGCGTGCGTGCGCGGCTGAGGCTGTATGTATGTATATCTGCCAGGCTCGCGCCAAGAGTCACGGTCGCGACCTCAGGAATCACCTATACCAATGTTCAAAAGAGCGGGAGACAGACACCCTTTGTGGGAACCGAGTCCATCCTTCTCAGTCGATGGCGCTCATCGGCGTTTGCGCAAAAGCTGTGTGGGTTGAAGGAAACCAAAACTCAAGTGTATCCATCATGATAAATAGACGGGCTCCAGGGTTTGATTATGGGAAAGGGGAGAAATGGGAAAACTTTGTTTCGTTTCGATGTCCACGCAGTCAATAAGTGGAGTAGCTCTATCGAGGCTATACCTGAGTCCATGACCCATTGTAATACTTAGAGTTAACAATGTGTATCTATGGCTCACAGTGATGTTCCCATTGCAGGAGCAAGTAAGCAAGCAAGCAAGCAGGCTACGTACCCAGCGCAAGTATGCACTCTTCGACAACAGCAGGTAAAACATCAACGCTCCTCTCAGCGCTTCCAAAGCTGGTTCAAACCCACCTCTACCCAACTAGCGAATGCAATCACACCCAACCACCCCATTTCTTTCTGATATCGAGACTTGATAACAATACACCACAACTCTCTACCCCTCCATCCACCTCTCCAGCCTCCCCATCCGTGGCGGCGTCTCATCCAAGACCTCCAACCCCTCCCTTCCCCCTCCATGCCCACCATACCTCATCCCAGCAGCCTCCAACTCCCTCCTCATCATCTCCTCCTCGGCCTCTCCCGAATTCTCCTGATCGGCATGAGGCTGAACCTGTCCATGTCCACCACCGCGTAGCTCCAGCCGCGACGCCGACAGGACCGGAACAGGCGGACGTGCCGCCATCCCCATCGTCGCTGATGTTGATTCCCGAATCGGGTACACACGCGGACGTTGAGGAGGGTCTTGACGGCGCCGACGACCGTGGCCGTTGGTTCCGGAATGGAGGTCGAGTGAGGGGGTAGGGACCGGGGTGCGGCGACGAGGTGGAGCATCGTTGGCATTGCGGACGGGTTCCAAAAGGCTTGGACGAGATGGCCAGACAGAATTCCGCCGCTGGGGGGCTTCAAGTCGCACTGGTGCTGGGAAGACGGCAACACCTGCGCTAGGCACAGAAGCAGGCGGTGAAGGTCGCCTTTGCGGATTGTTTGCGAAACTGACTCTTCGACCGGGACTCAAACTCGGTTGAGAGACCTGGGTTCCGCTGGTATTAGGGGATGCCCCAACGGGCAGGTTCTCGCTCGAGTGTCGAGCTCCACGTTGCGGACTGTGTTCGGCGGATCCATCTGAAGGGTTAGGATGAGCGTCCGCTCTCGTCTCTAGAGGACGCTGTCCGACGTGCATCCCTCGCCGGCGCTGGCTAATCCCCGAGGCTCCGCCAGTCACATGGAAAAGTTCCAACTGGCCCCTATCCATGACAACCCCCCGAGGGGAGGGAAGACGCCGTTCCACCGCATTTGAAGCATCTTGGCCAACGTCAACATCAACAACCCGATCTCCCGGTGTCAAACGAGGTATGTGCGCCTCCAAGCGGGAGTAAGGGGCCGCTGGCCGCGGTGACAGAGCTTGTCCTCTGACCGCAGACAAGAGGTTCGGCAACGAAACGCTTTCAATCCGAGGGAGTGGTGGGGCTGGGAAGACGGCACTTCTTCTGTTGTTCTCCGCTGGACGACGCGAGATGAGACCTTCCCGAACAACGTGTCTGAATGAACCCGCGCCACTGTACTGGGAATGTGGGAGCTGCTCTTCACTCCGTGATGGTGTGTCGCTGGGGCTATTGGAGATGGGGACTCCATACAAAGAATAAGGAAGGCTAGAGTCAGTGGATGCTTCGCTTTGCCGAGAGATGTGTCGTTGGGATCTACCAATGGCACCTCCTAACTTATGGCTTGAGAGGGCGTCTCTGCTCCTCCCGAAAAAGCTCCTCGTGCGCTCCTGAAAAGCGTCAAACCTGGTATGTCTTCTTTTGGAACAATGGTCTAAAGAAGAGCGCGGCTTGGTCGTTTCACAGGATTCGATGCCACTGGATCCTGCATTGAGAGAAGACGTTGATGCGGAGCCAGGAGCCGACTCCGTCCTGGAATTGACCGCAGAATGGCTTGCATGCTGTGCCGGTACCGCGTTGGGTAGAATGTGTGGTTTTGGAAGCATCCTACTCTCGTGGGAAAATGAATGATCCGATATGGACGGTATCGACATGTCTAAAGTTTGACTGCAGTCAACTGACGACGAGTGAATGGCTGTTTTCAAATGCCATGCATTTGCATTCCGGGACCGCGGATGGGGCTCCGATGGAGACAAATCAGATGTGCCGTTACTAGTAGTTCTGCTGGCATTCCTCGCCCCGACAGGCTGATTGCTTCGAGGCATGGGGGCATGGGTGCCTTCCTCATGTCCTCCAGGTGTACCATTTCTTACGCGGCGACTATCTGACAAAGCTGGGCCAGGTGCAGGTCTGAAGACAAGCTGTGTGTTTCGAATCGGCGATGGGAAGGTCGAGGGCTCGTCCGTCAGGTCCTCAGTGTACGGAGTCATGACTGGCGAAGTGTGGCCCTCGAGGTTCACCGAAGGGGTAATGCTTGGGTTACCTCCCTCTCTTTCTGCGCGAGAGGGCCAATCGACGCCGCCATGCATGCCATAGAGGGCTTTACGAGGTCGAACATCGGGGCTGTTGGCCAAGTACCTGCGGGCAGTATCCAAGGAGCGAACGGGTCCTCGCTGCAGCCGTGTTTTGTTGCGGGCAATGTCACGCGTCGCCTCCTCGACATCCTCAGCCGTTATGGTGATCTCGGAGGGTCTCAGGCGGAGCATGGCGGGAACTGCGTGTAGTGAAGGAGAGGCACAGAACTGGAGAGTTGGCAATGAGAATAAGCCGACGGATAACTAATGGCAGAAAGCTGGGAACGCAAGAAACAAAGGCATTTGAAGAAACGAGACAAAGTGACAGAAGGAAAGAGGAACATGGCAGAATGGGGAAACAGTAGTCACTCGTTGCAAGAGCATGTCGACCTGCGACTGCTCTTCCTGAGGCCAACGGGACCGCTGAAGGAAGGGGGAACTAGACATCTGATTAGCAGCTGAATGGTTAGAGAGACGACAAAGAGAGTATTTCCAGGCCAGGCGTGCTCCGTAACCATGACACGCGACTGCAAGACGTCGTGATGGTAGATGAGGAGGATGCACGCGGGGTGACACTGCGTGAGGAGGAGCAGCTCTGCAACACCTATAGCTTTCACAGCACGTGCTGGTCATTCCCAAGCAACGCTCAGAACCCTAAAGGGTATGTTCAATGTTGTCCATTATGTAGTATTTGGTGATAACGCGACTGCTGTGGTGTTGAGGTTAGGGTAGAGAGAGGGGTGGGGCAATGATGGCATGCCTACCGCCCGGCGGTGCACGCGTCTCGTTCTCGCCTCGGACCGACGACCGTCTGTGCCGAGCAACCTCAGCACTGCCAGATGCTGCTGCGCCAACAAGACGACGACGACCACCACGACCACGGCCCTTCGCATCCTCCGCACTCCCCGCACCCTCCGCCCTCTCTTCGCACTCTCCTCACCCCAGGTCCGCCGTATGCTCATCCGCTGCGACGCCATTCACTCTCTTGTCGCTGGCCACCGGGCCTTCCGTCGCGCCCTCGACCAGCCCTGTGCTCCCCTGCGCTGCCGACCCTCCCCACGCTCGTTACCCCCTCACGACCGTCACCATGAATGGAGATCTGAGCCTCTCACAGTCGCTAGGCGGCTTGCGCATTGCGAATCCTGACGAGGACCCATCCTCGCCGTCTCCGCCGCCCTCGCAGCCCACCGCCAGCCAGAACGGAGCCCCTGCCCCCCGATCCTCATCCCCTTCGCAAGCATCGACGGAGAGCACCCTCACCATCACAGATAAAACGCCTCTGCAAGACCATATCTCCTCCCCGCCTCTCCACGACCAGAACCTGTCCATGAGCCAGTCCCTCGACGCGGATACCGCGACACCCCCTACTGCTCCCTCTCCGCTTGCTGCCGAGTCCCCATCAAAGTCCTACCCCAACAACCCGCCGCTATCCCATCGTCAATCTTTACCCCTCGCACACCATGCCCAGCAGCAGTCTTCTGCTCCTCAGTACACTTCCAGCCCCGTCGGGCAGCCGCGCGGTGCTCCCTTGTCACAGCACATGCGCGATAGGCCCATGACCACCATCTACAACCATTCGAACCTTTCCTCCAGTTCCGCAACAGCCATATCTACCCCGGGCTCGTATCGCTACAGGGACGACATGATTACAGGAGATATACGGCGGACCAGCAGTTCCAGGGTTGCTCCGACAAGCAACATGCATGGCGTTATACCTTCCCGCGAGTCCAGCAGAAGTGAAAGGTACCGTCAACCAGGTCAGATGCCCGGCGGTAACGGCCCATTGCCTCCGCGAAGGAGTTCCCGAAGGCTACCCGAGGGGAATCCTAGTTCGAGCAGTGTGCCGAGCATGAACTACTTGTCCAGTTCGCCGTATGGCATAGAAGGCGGTCCTCTGCATAGCAGCGAGGAATGGAAAGAGAAGGGAGCAGCTGTGTCAACAAGGCAGGAACTGGATCAGAATGGTCGGCCTGTCACACGCATCGTTAAGAAAGGTGTCAAGGACTTCAATTTCGGCAGGACCCTCGGCGAAGGCTCCTACAGTACAGTGCTGGCCGCTACCGACCGCCAGACGTTGCGAGAATATGCCATCAAGGTTCTGGACAAGCGACATATCATCAGGGAAAAGAAGGTCAAGTACGTCAACATTGAGAAAGACACCTTGAACCGGTTAACCGAACACCCCGGCATCGTACGTCTGTATTACACCTTCCAGGACGAGCGCTCCTTATATTTTGTTTTGGACCTCGCTTCCGGGGGTGAGCTACTGGGCTTCCTGAAGAAGATGGGAACCTTCGATGTTGAATGCACCCGCTTCTACGGCGCCCAGATCCTAGACGCCATTGATTATATGCATGCCAAGGGCGTCATACATCGGGATCTAAAACCGGAGAATGTACTACTGGACGATCAAATGCATGTCAAGATTACCGATTTCGGCACGGCAAAGATTCTGGAGAAGCGGTCGGATGGATCTAACTCTGGCGACCCGCTTGATGGTATGGAGTCGGAGCGGGCACAATCGTTTGTTGGAACCGCTGAATACGTCTCACCTGAACTGCTGACTGAGAAGAACGCTTGCAAAGCGAGCGACCTATGGGCCTTTGGCTGCATCATCTATCAGTTGCTCGCTGGCCGACCCCCCTTCAAAGCGGCGAATGAATATCTGACTTTCCAGAAGATTGTGAATCTGGAGTATTCCTTTCCAGATGGATTTCCTCCCGTCGCGAAAGATTTGGTAGAGAGACTGCTGGTTCTAGACCCCATGAAGCGGTTACCCATCGAACATATCAAAACTCACGAATTCTTTGATGGCATCACTTGGGGTAAGGGGTTGTGGAAACAAAAGGCTCCAAGACTGAAGGCATATGTTCCTCCGCCAAGGGAGACGATCAGTCTGAACGGTAATTACGATCCTTGCCCCTCACAAAGCATTCCCATTCTAACACATTGCCAGCTCCTACAACCCCTGGTGGGCCCGTCACGAACCAGGTCCGGCCGCCCAGGCTAATCACCGAGTTGCCACCCCCAAGTCAGTTGGATATCGAATGGTCTCCTGTTTTGACGAAGAGGGACGAGCGCATTTTGAAACTTGGCAACATGCTGGTTACGCATCACCATCCTGGTCACCCCGTTGGTGGGAAAGACGAAGCTGCAGCGGACACACCTAAGAAGTTTTCGCGTTTCTTTGGCGGTAACACACCGAAAAAACGACAACGTTTGGTGATGATCACCTCCAATGCTCGTGTATTGATGTGCGCCGCGGGCACAAACGACAAGAAGCTGAAAGAAGAGATCAACCTGCTGTCACCGGGTTGTACCTGGAGAAGCTTCCAGGATTCGAAGGGACTAACCGCTTGGTTGGTCGAAACGGTCTGTATTGCCTCCGAGCCATTCGTCCAACAGAGAGTGTGCTGATCAGTTGGTAGCGTGACAAGCAGTTCGTATTTGAAGACTGCAAAAGCACCGTCAGCGACCCCAACGGAAGCAAATACTCCACCCAGGAGTGGATTGAAAGCATTGAGCAGGCCAGAGACTTCGCCCAAAGCATGGCCATGTCTTATTCAGGCTCGGCCTTGAACGACCTCAGCTCAAGCTTATCCAGTCCCTCCAGCGCGGTAGGAGCCGATGCCGCCCTGGATGGCGTCAACATCCCAACCGCAAAGCATCTTAAAAAAGATCATGGTGATGCTGATTCTGTCAAAGGGCGGAAGCGGTTCAGTAGACGACATTCGAAGAACGGCCTTGCGAACTTCTAGAGCACATACCATGACCGCACTAGATCATCCTCATACGTACCTACACCTCGACTGTCAAACATTGGCCATCTCACCATCCCACTATTCTACTCTACAGTCTCCCGGTTCATCTCTGGCATATTCTGGTTCCACCGCACCTCATCCATCATCAAGCGACCGGCGTTGTGGCGAATAGACTCTCACACACTGCACATTTTTCCCTTGTGTTCTCGCTTTGGCTCATTGAACATTCCCTGCATTTCGATGGCCTCGGCTCTCTAAAGATTTCCCTACTTCCTTGTTGTGGCCTTGATTTGGATCAGAGGGGGTTGTTTTGCTTGGTGGTGGCCTCGGGGCAAGAGGTTTGTTGATCTTCTCTTTTCGCCCTTATATATACCATTCTCCTTTGGTGGCCCAATTGCTGGCTTGAGATTTCGGGGGTCCACATTCTCTATGTAATTATGCCACGTGCTAGTACTGCTCGTAAAGATGCCCGCGGTCGTTATAGACCTGCGGGTTCAACTATGCTTGTTCTCAATTTGCTCTTTGCTCATTAGCTTACCATTACTCTAGCTACGGACTGAGGTAGACCAGGGGGTGTTCAGGCTTGTAGGGAAGCTAGAACTCCTTGACGGCATCGGCAACTCCTAAGGGTTTCTAGTTGTTAGTAGTTGAATGCGATTCCCTAGATTTAGCTATATGTTTCCAGCTTTTGATGCAATAAGATATGCTACGCTAGTAGCTACAACAGTAGTAAAAGTCAGTGACTAGGCAAACGTGTCATCTGGCCCGTACTACTAGAAGGGGGCAAGGTCTCTAGAACCGTGTTTAGTCAGCGGACGGGACTGGACGGTGTATGAGAAGGAAGAGGTCACGTGCCGTGCTGCCAAGAGCGCCGACCGAGATCGCTGGAGTGCAGTCGCCATCCAAAGAGACGACCACCTAACAACCCTCACAGCCACCTCTACGATGCCGACTCGCCAACGCAGTGTATCCATATGAGTTGAGCGTCCACTCCTTCATATCCATTCAAAACCTACTCATTACTGGTTGTCAATCCTGTGACAGCGGCTGCCGCCGCATTGCAGTCATCATGGCCTTTCCAGCGCCCATAACTGTTCAGGTATGTTTGCCACGCTACCTAGCTTCTGAACCTCCGGCGGTTCTAACAAGTCCCCTTCCTCAGACTATTACCTCCACCACGACCGATCTGTTGCCCACAATGTACACCGCATTGAAGGCGCCCTTGAAGCGCCTTATTCGACCGCAGATTGCTCAACGCGCCGCGGTACATCAATCCGCGTCGTCGACACAGACATCGCCCGGTCCTAAGGCGCACGCAAATACCCATAATGTCGCTCTTCCCGATTGCCTCCAGTCCCTCTCCTTAGCTGCGTTACGGCCTGGAGTCGGCGCTCTGAAATCGATCCCTACGGCCTCTGGAATGCTCTTTGCTGGTAGGTACCCTTGCCGTTGATGACAAGAGCGCCAACACTGACAGATACAGTACCTCACAGTGGGCTTCGATCTGCGAAACCGTTCGCCCAGAGTTTGCCTTTCGGCTTGGTGGCGAATAGACAGTACTCCACGATATCGCGCATGACCCGATCCTATAATCCTCGTCCGTTACCTAAAGTCGGCAATGTCGGGCTGGCTCTGGCCCAACAGCGAACGATCTTCGGTGGCCCGTCGCAGAACGTACTTGCTCGGCTGGAATTGGCCGCTAACAACAACCCTTCTAGTCCCACGGCGCAGGCTGCATTCTATTCCGCCCTCCTTCGAGCGAACATGCCCCAAATAGTAGTGGACAGGTATCGTTCCGGAAGATTTGCTACGGGCGCAGCGGTGGACAACTTCTATCACAAGGCCCTCGAAAAGGTCGGGCAATCGGATCATGGTGCTGTTTCCCAGGGACAACATACGCAAGGCTACGCCAACCTGACACCCCAGCAACTACAAGCGGTTGGTCAGGCGGTGGGAACCCACTCAAGTGGCTCCCAGATTGGAAGAGTCCGGGCGGGGTCCGGGGTAAAGAATGACCCCCTCTATGTTGTGGTGGAGGAATCCATGTGGAGCACCTTCTTCAAATGGTTCCGATGGCTCCTTGGTTTCGCTCTTGCCGCTTACGTCGCTCTCGTCTTGATCACTCTTTTCGTCGAAACCAGTGGTGTTTTGAAAAAGGTTGGTGGCGCCACTTCCGCAGAGGTCCGGCCCGAGTCGCAGAGCACACGCTTCACTGACGTTCACGGCTGTGACGAGGCCAAGGAAGAGCTCAAGGACGTCGTCGATTTCCTAAAGAACCCCGAAAGGTACAATAAGCTCGGTGGAAGGCTTCCAAAGGGCGTCCTGCTCGTGGGTCCCCCTGGAACCGGTAAGACTCTACTTGCGCGTGCTGTGGCAGGCGAGGCTGGCGTCCCCTTCTTCTACATGTCTGGGTCCGAATTCGACGAGGTCTACGTTGGCGTTGGCGCTAAGCGCGTGCGTGAATTGTTCAGCGCTGCGCGTGCCAAGGCTCCTGCGATCGTCTTCATCGATGAACTTGACGCTGTTGGCGGGAAGAGAAAGTCACGAGATGCGAACTATCACCGCCAGACCCTGAACCAGCTGCTTAACGATTTGGATGGCTTCGACCAGTCGACTGGCGTCATCTTCATTGCTGCTACCAATCACCCCGAACTCTTGGATAAGGCACTGCTTCGACCGGGCCGTTTCGACCGTCACATCCAGGTTGCGTTGCCCGACGTGCAAGGGCGGTTGGCCATTCTCAAGCACCACACACGCAAGATCCGTCTCGGTCCTAATGTGGACCTCACCAACATTGCACGCGGCACGCCTGGATTCTCTGGTGCGGAATTGGAGAACCTGGCGAACACTGCCGCTATTCGCGCTGCCAAGAACCTCAGCAAGTATGTCAATGTTGACGACCTTGAGTGGGCCCGGGACAAGATCATGATGGGTGCGGAGCGTAAGAGTCACGCTGTTTCATTGAAGGACAAGTTGCACACGGCTTACCATGAGGGCGGCCATACACTGGTCGGCCTCTACACGAAGGGATACAACGAAGTGCACAAGGCTACTATCCTACCCCGCGGAATGGCTGCTGGTATCACCTGGTTCCTTCCACGTGAGGAGGCTCACAAGTCCAAATCTCAGTACCTAGTTGATCTCCAGGTCAGCTTGGGAGGGAGGTTAGCGGAGGAAATCGTCTACGGACCCGACAACATCGGCGATGGTGCGTCAAGCGACATTACGAATGCAACGCGGGTGGCATATAACATGGTCACCTCGTTTGGCTTCTCCGACGTTCTCGGGGAGGTCGACTTCCGGTCCAATTACGAACAAGTCTCACCCGAGACAAAGCGAATGATTGACAATGAAGTGCGGCGGTTGATTGACGAGGCACGAAACCATGCCAAGGAGCTGTTGCTCAGCAAGCGTGAGGAGCTGGATCGGCTGGCCAAGGCGTTGGTCCAGTATGAGACGCTGGACAGGGAGGAGATTCTGAAGGTCATCAAGGGCGAGTCTCTGCCAGACCGTATGGTTGCTGCGCCGGATGTTCAGATTAAGATTCCTGAACCCTCGCCGCCTTCAACGCCTCGGATTCCCATTATCCCGCCCGGAGTGGGGGGTAACGGGGAAGATCCGGATCCGCCGTCTGCGTCAGGTGTCCCGGCATGAGCATTTGGTGTCTTTCAGCATCGTCTCCATTTCTCTTTCGCCGTTGGGCGTTCTTAGGGCGGGTGGGCATAATCACGCGTTCCCTGTGCATTACCTCTTCAGCATGTTGAGGAAATCCGGACTTGACAGTCACCCTTTCCCCCATTCCTTGTAATAGTAGACTGCGTTATAGCGAAAACGAAGATTTTGCATGACGAAAGCAAGCGAAGATTGAGCAGTAGAGGTACGAGGTGAGAGGTGGAAGCAAGATACCGAGGAATGGTGGGGTTGCGGCCCCGCGGCACTGGACCTACGAGTGTAGCATAGGAGCTTAAACTAGCTTTGTCCTTTCACGCGTAGCATGGAACGTCAATGCATCATTTACTACGAAGAGCAATGTCCACAGCACAGTCGACAGAGAGATGGGCCGAGTTGGCGAGATACTCTGCGTGTGATGTAGGTGCTGGACCTTGAAAACCCAAAAAAGCTTCTTGGAGAGCTCTCGACTTAGTGATACGGAGTTAGATTGCAGACGCGCTGCTGAAGCTCAAGGTTCCCGGTGCGGGATTCCTGCCCGATATCAGTGAGACAAGATTTCCTCTCTGCTTGCTTCTGACAGGACTCCGTATGTATAATGATCCCAATTGACCTCTAAACACAGAACCGATACCCCGGCCCTGCTCCTCCTCCTCCCCTTCATCATCACCCCCATATACCAAAATCGTCGCCCCGGCATCTACCTTCCTCATGGTCCCCAAACCCTCGCCCTCCTTCCCCAACCCCCTCCCCGCACCCGAAAACATGCCCGAATCGAACCTCTCCGCCGAAGAAGCGTCGACACCCTACGCAGACCTCACGCGCCCGGACACCATCGTCCTCATCTCGCAGCCCCCAGATCAAACCTGCGCCGTCGTAGGCGGCATCATGGCGCTCCGAATGCAGAAACTCGGTGCTAGGGGCATTATCGTCGACGGCCGGGTGCGGGATCTAAGTGCGTTGAGGGAATTGGGGATTCCCGTGTGGAGTCGGGGGACGAGTGTGGTAGGTGCTGGGGCGGAGACGAGGTTTCATGCCAAAGAGGTGGCCGTGAGGATTGGAGGGGTGGAGGTAAGGCCGGGGGATTTTGTGGTGGTTGATGAGGAGGAGGGGGGTGTGGTTGTTTGTCCTAGGGAGAGGGTGGGTGAGGTGTTGGGGTTGCTTGCTGGGGAGGAAGGGTTGGTCGGGAGGGATGGGAGGGTTGTGGAGTGGGTGGAGAAGGGGGGGAGTGTGAGGGAGGGGTTTGAGATGTTTAGATAGGGTAGGTTAGGGGAAGGGGGTGGAATGGGGGAGTGTTGGTGGGAGGTTGTTTGGGGGTGGTTAAAGAGAGGTTTGGAAGAGCGGATGTGGACGGGTTGGAGGGGCTTGTTAGGTTTGGTAATTATGGTGTCTTTCTGGATTTCTTGATTGATGCATTGTATTCATAATAGTAGAGGAGGCAATGGATCCAAAGGTATACAGAGAGCAAGCCCGTCACTAGGCAGACCAGCCAAATAGTCATATTGATCGATAAAAGCATTGTACGGATCCGGCAATGCTCACAACATCTCAGGACTCATTGGTCTGTCCGAGTATGCCTCGCCTCCGACTTCACGAATGTCATGTCTGTGCATCCAGCTAGTTAAGGACTTGAACAGAGGGTCAGTCTCGCAGTTGTTACCTCGATTTCATATGCATAGAGCACTCGGAGTTTTCCTACACAGAGGATCTATTAGCATGCTCTTGTTAGCACTATGGAGTATGGGCGCTCAGAAACAGGGGTTATCTCTGCAGTCAGTACCATAGAACACTGTGCATGAAGAGCAGATATCAATGGCATCGCAGTCCACTCATCGCCCATCCAACTATGCTGACGTCCGCTTACATAATCCAATCCGCCTTGGCGCTCAAACTTCCCACTGACGCCAACCTCACCCATCCCAGCAATCAACCCCATCTCACAGCTCCAAAACCCTCCATTACATCCCGCCTACCTCAACAATGGGCATCACCGACTTCATCTCCGCCGCCTGGGACACCTTCTCCCACCCGTCGCCCGACGCCGAGGCCCCGCCCAAGGGCGGCGTGTCGACCGAGACGCCCGCAGCCGGCACGGGCGAGGAGAGCAAGGAGGAAGCAGAAGTGAATGTGCAGGATAAGGTGAAGGGAGGGGAGGAGCCGCCGCGACATGTGCCTGGGACAGAAAAAGATGAGAGGGCTGTGACGCAGAGGGAGGAGGCGGAGGAGGCTGCGGAGGAAGAGGAGGAGGAGGAGGAGGAGGAGGAGACGGTTGATCCTAAGGTTGTGCTTGAGGAGGGTATGTATGCTTCTTTTCTATTTGTTGCGGGGTCAATTGGATGTTGGGAATTGTTCGGGGATGCAATTGAGTGGTTCGAGCGTGGTTATGGTTGTTTCTTGAGTGGAATGGCCGATGGGATGTTTGCATCCGGATTGGGAACCCATTGCATGACCAATTGATGGGCTGGAGCTAACAGTTGTTTGCATAGAGTGCGCAAACTCCAAACAATGCAGCTCGGTCAAGCATCATTACGACGAGTGCGTTGAGCGCGTGACTGCGCAGGTTGAGAGAGACGGGAAGCCCAACGAGGACTGCGTCGAGGAATGTAAGTTCCCATCTATCTACACTATCCACAATTCTCGGGAGATGACAGAGCTAATGCGTGTCAAAGTCTTCCACCTTGTCCACTGCGCAACGAACTGCGCCGCCCCCAAGCTCTTCGCCCAGCTCAAGTAAATCCGCTCGTCCGACCACCCAGGACACTTCTGCATCCGACTTGTGCTACCGAATCTCCCGATTCCCATGCGAGGAACTGCGAACGAATGGCTTGATAGACAGACGAGTGTGTTTCGGATCCCGTCTAGACGGTTGATTGCGTTGAGCGAGATGCTGGCTGGTGAGCATGGGCAGGTGTATATATTGAAGTCTTGTTAGAATATCACTGTACTATTTGGCGCCCAGACATCGTATCGCTAATCCAGAGTCATCGTTGGCATGATAGCTGGATGCTGACAACCTCCGACGCCGACACCGCTTTCCCCTTGACTGTGGCACCTTGGTCCCATCTATTGCTGCATTCATACGTGGGTATAACTTCGTCCCAATACTTATAATCACTGATGAGTATCTGTCATACCCCCGAGTAGTCAATCACCCTGGCCATCCTCACCCTCGCCCTCCCTACCCCTCGCGACTCCATTCCCACCTCCTTGAACCTCCCCCTCCCCCTCTCCCGCCTCATCCATCCTCAACCTCCCCTTCTCATGCGCCAACCCCAATCTCTTGACCCCCAACGCCAACGGGCAAGGCAGCACAACCATAGCCACACACGCCTGAAAAACCAGCGCCCTATACATATTCCCTGGCGGTCTATCGCCCCCAGGAACCCGCACCACCTCCCCCTTCCCGCCCTTCTTCCCATCGAGTTCCGACTCCCCCTCCTTAAGCGCATTCATCACGACGATGAAAATCCCACCAAACAACTGGCCCCCAGCCCAACACATCGTGCTCCCCACCTCAGGACTCGCGGGCCACGTCACCTCGACCAAGTACTCGAGGCTCAGGGGCAGCAGGGCAAAGCTACTAGCGCCCAGGACGGCAGCGAGGATATACGGGGCCGGTAGACCGCGGGTCTGGGGCGCCCAGACGAAGGCGAGGTACGCGAGGGAGACGAGCGGACACAGGGTTTTGATGCCCAAGAGGTAAGCGTGCGTGCGGTCGAAGAGGGGCGACGTGCATGCCGCGGTGGCGAGGCCGACGAGGATGAGGAGCGCGCCGCAGATACCGGCTTGGTCCTCGGTGTAGGCGTAGGGGTAGAGGAATTGGTTGAGCAGGGAGGAGAAGGCGTTGAAGAGGCCGACGTAGGTGGCGAAGGTGAGGAGGAGGAGGTAGAAGGTTGGGTTGGGGAGGAGGGAGGATTTGAGGCTGGGGAGGAGGGCGGGTTTGGCGAGGGTGGAGGAGTGGGTGGGTGGTGTTGGGGGTGCGGAGGGGAGGAAGAGGGAGGGGAGGGTCGAGAGGGTCGAGAGGAGGGTGGTGAGGAGGAGGATCGAGGGGACGGTGGGGAGGAGGGGGTTGATTAGTTGGGCGAGCTGGGGGGGAAGGGGTTAGTAATTATTCCTGAGGTTGTGGTGATGGGAGGGATCGGATGGCAGGGGAAGGATTACGGGGTGGAAGAAAGTTTTGATATCTATACTTACAGCACCACCAAAAGGATTCGCCAAACTCGCCAGCGCCGTTGCTGATACGCGTCCTCGCTCCGTGAACCACAAATCACTATACCTCGTCGGGGCCGCGAGGACAAAAGGTTGCGCCAAACCCGTCACGATCTGGCCGAACAGCACGACGCCGTAGTTTCCGCCAGAAACCCGCGTGCCGATGTAGCGGATCCAGTTACCTACGAGGAGGAAAGCCGAGGACCAGAGAATGGCGTGTTTGGGGCCGCGGTGGAGGGTGTAGATCGTCACTCTATAGGATAATGATTAGGAGGGAGGAAAAGCGCGACGGGTATTGGAAATGGAAACGTACGGTGATATGACGACAAACGCGAACAGAAAGCCTGTACTCAGCCAGTTGATGGCCGTCTCCGAGACATCGAAGTACTCCGCGGCGGTCGCCGAGATGGGCGCAAATGTTAACCACTGCATAGCGTCAGTTCTTCCAACCCTTGACACAACTTTCCAACATCCCTTCTCAAGTAAAGATATACGGGACTCCTTCCAGACGGTATACAGGCAGGTAACTCAAGGAAATAAGTGCACATACATCCCAACTAACAACGATATTCAACAGCACCAACTGCGCCAACCCAAACCACCTCCTCTTATACACCCGAAAATGCGCATGGCTATACGTCTCCCTCCCATGCCTCAAAAACCCCTGGCTCGACCTATGTCTCCTATGCCCGGGCCGACCGTTCGTCGTCTCTTGATTCTGCTGTCCGGCCTCCATTTCCCCATCTCCAGTCTCTCGTTGATGGGTAGCATCGTGCCTCCGAGTCTCGGCCGCTGCGGGTTGGGGCCTCTCATCAACTATCTCTTTCGAATGCCTCCCACTCTCATTCGTCTTTGACGCGCTGTCCGTCGATCCGACTGGCACATCCATATCATCCATCTTAATCCAGCCAGAGCCCGCTGGCGGGGACTTGAGGCTCATGAATGCGGTAGCAGTTGTACTCTTCTTTGTCTTTGCACCATCGCCCTCATAAGAACTTCTTCAATACATCGAAGTCTAAATCAGTGACGAAGCGGAGCAGCGTCGAAAACAACGTCGGGCTTCACCTCACCTCAACGACCACGGTCTTGTGACCTGTTCGGGATAGGGAAGGAGGATATGCGAGAGAGATAATCCTTGCGCTATCCCCTTTGAAGCCGGAGTGCGGGTTAGCGTGACGGTTAAGTGCTTAGCGGCGCGGCGGGGAATGACGTTTATTTTGACCGACGACCGTGACTTTCTACCGTAAGTATGCTGTTGTTGATCTGAGACGATAGATATCGATGGTAGAAGAATGAGTGCGATACATATGCGGTTGCGGTGAAAGGGGGATATGCGTATATATGTATGACACTGTCTTTGGCGCGGGACGAGGAACCTAGCTTCGCAGAGTCAGCCCCTGAGGCGCTCGATAATTTAAACAGCCACGGGTTGGGGGCTGTCAACATTGGCCTGGGAGATTTTGGGGGCGGAGGCACATCACCATTAGCAGGAAGCCGTTAGTACGGCTATATTGTGGAGTTGAGGCCTCGTGTTGGACTTGGAGTTCGGTATGTGACGATTCCTTGCGATGGAGACATGGAACGAGCTGCAAAAGGTTGAATTCCACGGTCATCATTGGCATACAAGATGATCTATTGTATCCTTCCTTTAGGCTGCAAGCGAAAGGCCGCAGCAATACCAACCCTTTCATCCGAACCTCGCTCCTGTGAAAAACACCATATATTGGCAAACACTGCCAATACCCATCCAGTGACGCTTGATATGCAGCAACACCAAAACACCATAGAAAATGCCCTGAATCACAACCCTCGCAGCATACCCGGATAGAATACACAAAATTCCGCAACCGTGCCGACGACCTACATCGACCGCTCGCTTATTGATTTAGCGGACGCGTGTGTGGTACAAGCCATCAGCAACATCTGTCGCAATAAGCTATTTCTTCTTGCCCTTAGCCTTAGACTTGGCTGGGGCCGGACTGTTGGAGACAACACTGGTGGCGCGCGAGGACGAGACAGTGGAGTCGCGCTTGCCCTTGACGTTATCAAGTGCCTTGTTCTGCTTCGTATCAGTCACTGATGCTCCACCTCCGCATGGGATACACACCTTGACGCCGTTCTTGGCCTTCTTCTTGACTGGAACCTCGTCCTCCTCTTCGCTCTCTTCCTCCACCTCTTCCAAAGTGCGCTTGCCCCTCTTGTATTCGCCATCACCAAGCTCCCTCAGCACCGTTTGAATCAGAGTATTGCAACGACGGCCAATCTCTTGCGGTGTACGGCTGAGGAAGAACCAGTCGAATCTGAAGAGAGGAGACTCTCGGATCTCGTCTCGGATCTTCTCAAAGACCTCTTCTCCCTCAACACCATGCTTGTTGAGCATGACGAGCAGGAAGCGATCTTCGTCCTCGGAGTAGACTCGCTTGTTCGTGGTCGATACGGTGTACTTAATGGTCATCTGCTGCAGTGGCATCCGGTACATGCTAATCTTCTTCGCAAGCAGGCGCTTCTTCTCCTCCGAGAGACGGACGCGAGCTTCGCCTTCCTCGATCACGCCGAGATGTTTCTGCCAGTTGTCCAGAGTCTTGTACTTCTTCCAGAAGACCTTCGCATACTCTTCGATTTCCTCTGCAGTCTTGCCATCAACTTCCTCGGCGATGCCTTCATAGTTCTGACGTCCGTACTTGGCCGAACCGTTTAAGAACTGCTGGAAATCACGCTTGTTCCATTCGGGAAAGCCCATCGAGATCAACCGCTCTTTCTCCTGCTTCTCCTCCTCAGTCAAGGGCACTGCGTTGTCAATCTCTTGTTGGGCGAGTTCCTGATCAGCCAGTCGCGCCTCCATATCTTCCTCATTACCTTCAGGCAGTGGCGCCTTGAGGTTGTTCTCCTTCCGATACCAAGCGGTCTCCTTATCTTGAAGTTCCTGCAGCTGCGGTGGGAAGAACTGATAATCATGAATAACAACCTGCTTCGGAGCGCGAGGGACCCGCTCTTTCTTGGCTTCTTGTCGATTGCCGGTCATGAGTGCCTGTCGATAGTACTTGTCCATGGAGTAGCCGATCTCTTTCCGCTCACGCTTCGCTGGGTTGATCCAATTGATTCCTATCTCTTTCTTGCGCGGCTGGAATGTTTCGCCGTTCCACTCATACGCAGTATCCGATGTGAACTTTTGCAAATCATCAAGACCCAGTTTCTCGTACTTGGCATTGAGTGCTGCAGTCCGCTCCTCTCCACGCTTCAGAATGGCATCAATATCATCATCGGTAAGACCATCGGCGTTGGCGGCTGCTCCCACCCCACCCTGGCTCTGGAAGACCTTGTCGGCACCGTGTTGGATCATTGACAAAAGTTCATCCTTGGAGGCTGCATTCTTGACAGGTTGTTGGGTCCTGCCCTGCTGAATGACAAGCTGATCAAGACGCAGTTTCTGAGCCGCACGCTCGAGGACTTTCTCCTCGATTGCGTTTTCGGTGACGAAGCGGAAAACATGCACCTGTTTCGTTTGCCCAATACGATGAGCACGATCCATGGCCTGGAGATCGGCTTGGGGGTTCCAGTCGCTATCGAAAAGGACCACAATGTCGGCGGTTGTCAGATTAATACCCAAACCACCGGCTCGAGTAGTCAAAAGGAATAGGAACTTCTCTGAACCTTCCTTATTGTACTCATCGATAGCCGCGATACGGTCTTCATGCGCAGTGGAACCATCAATGCGGCAGTACTGATAACCACGCATGACGGAATAATCTTCCAGAATGTCAAGTACACGGCTCATCTGAGAGAAGATAAGGACGCGGCTGCCCTGGGCTTTCATGCGCTTGAGCAGCTTGTCAAGCATGACCATCTTCGCAGAGTTGTTGACCAAGTGTTCATCGGTGGTGTAAGGCGGCCCAGGCTCTGCTCCGTCGAACAGATATGGGTGATTGCAGCACTTCCTGAGCTGCATGACAATGTTAAGCAGGCGGGTCTTTGACTCCTTCTTGCCTGCAGCACCATTGACAGCATCGATATCCTTTTCGAGGATTTTCTTATACCACTTGACTTGCATGTCGGACATGCCGACATAGAGATTGACTTCCTTTTTGGGGAGAAGCGACTTTTCAACGTCGCTCTTGACTCGGCGAAGTAAGAAAGGACGGAGAACCTTATGAAGCTGCTTCACAACGGTGTCGGAATCCTCGTCTTGTTTCGAGAACCAATCGTCGAACGCCGCAGCATCGCCGAAAACGTCGGGTAAAAGGAAGTTGAGCAGAGCCCAGAGCTCGTGCAGATTGTTCTGTAGCGGGGTACCAGTAATGAGGAGACGATTCCGGGAGTTGAAGACGCGAATGATCTGGGCTAGCGAGGATTCTTCGTTCTTGATGCGATGTGCCTCATCGATAATGATATACTCCCATGCGAATTTCTTGAGATACGATTTCTCACGGAGAATCATCTCGTAACTGGTAATGCACACATCGAACTTCTCATCGACAAGTCGGTCCTGTATCAACTGAGCACGCTCTTCCTTGTTTCCTTGCAGAACAAGAACATCGATCTCTGGAATCCACTTCTTGAACTCGCGCGCCCAGTTATCAAGCGTAGACTTGGGCACAGCCACGAGGTGAGGTCCGGTAATACCGCCGATGAAGCGGAGGTATCCGAGGAATGAGATGGTCTGGAGTGTTTTGCCTAGACCCATCTCATCGGCCAGGATACCGGAAATACCGTTTTCGTGGAGAGAGATAAGCCAGTTCAGACCCGCGATCTGATAGTCACGCATGGTTCCGCCCTTGATATATCCAGGCGATTCGCGGAAGACCGTCTCATAGTGCCCACCGTGCTTCTCGTCGCGGACCAGCTCGGCATCCTCTTCCTGCTCCGTCTTGCGACGCCGCTCTGCCGCGGCGCCTCCCTTCCGCAGCTTGCTGCTCTTCGCTTTTGCCTCGTCCTCTGCATTCTGACGGTCGATTTCGGCGAGAACCTCCTTGATGCGCGGGTTAGGGTTGGTATCGATGAAGTGGCGAAAGAGGTCGGTAAGGCCGAGGAGATATCGGAAACGTCGAATCGTGTCGTCTTCCTATCGAGCACTCAGTTAGCTAAAGCTGAGCAACGGGGCCAAGAGCCTGAAGCGCCTGTACCTTTGAGACGCCTAAGCGATCGTGCTTCTTGCCGTAGATACTCTTACGCATGTTGTAGACCTCGGACCGTCGCTTGCGGCCGTCAACGGGTGTGGAATCACCGGCTACGCTGCTTGCTGTGGTGTTGGGGTTTGTGTCTGAATCCTGCGAGCTTGTCAGGTATGAAGCAGTAAAGACGCGGGGCTCGCGGCGCGCTTCACGTACCGTATAGTCGGGAGTATCTTGGTAATACTGTGGAAGCTCCTATTAGCTCTTTGACACGTAAAGGCGCGTAGCCGGGTGTCCGGTGGAGTCGTGGGCGGTGAATGGTGTGAAAGTGAAAGGGCAAGTGTGCCTTACTCACCAAAAACTTTTCCACCGCACGAGGGCGGCCAGTCTGGTCTTGCATCTCCACATCCTCACTAGCAGAAACATCGGCAGTAGAGGGTCCATCCGACTCGACGTTACGGGTGCGCGAGGGCGCCATGTTGCCCTTCTGGGCCGTATGCGGCCTGTGGTCCTGCGTTGATATTCGAAAGGGTGGCGAGAGGATTGACAGCTAGATGCCGATGCGACACCAATCGGGGAATGATGAAGTAGTAGGCGCGTCGCTGGGTTTGGTGTGAAGTATGGGCGAGAGTGAGCCCTGGGGGATTGCCATGGGTATATTGAGAGGGAGCATTTTCTAAGGTTCACAGCCTTGGCGCGCTAGTGGACACGCTCCCTCCACCTCCTTCGCCTCATCATCCCTCTGCATCCGTCAGTTATCAGTGACAGTTACTGATGCGCCATTCGACGCGTCTCGCAACCTTCTCACCATTTGAACCTCTTCTAGTCTCGTTCTTCCCTCCTCAAGTCCCGTTTTCACGCGATCCAATGACGTCACCTAATCGCCCGTGTGTTGTTTTTGAGTTATCAGAGAAATGAGCAACTCAGTCTGACGAGTCTGTGATATTGGTATATTGTCATTAACGAGAATTCTTCCTTTACCCTTAGGGAAACCGCGGTTCTATGCTTACAGATGACTTGAACATTCGCAGACCCTTAAAGCATTCCGTTCCAGATGGATAAAGAGCTCCAAGAGAGAACCGCTTTCACCTTGATCCTTTGCAACATGCGGTTCCATCATTATCCTCTAAACTCTCTATGAAGCTGATTTCTCTCTCTACATGAAGGTCTATATCGATTCTATTCATTATTTTACTTCAGTCATTCTATGTTTGAGGTTTTGCACCGCCACGATCCGTACCAGCCACAAACCCCCGAACCCATACAGATTAACATCTTATTAACCTCGGACTCTCCCTACATCTTGCACATTCGCACATCATGGACAGACCCTCGAAGCCCTACGTGCGCGATTTAGAGTTCAGAGGCTTCATTGAAGGGCTCACCTATGTCGACGACAAGTCCCAGCCACTCTGCCATTATTTCGGTGGCATCCCATATGCTATACCCCCTGTCGGGCCCTTCAGATGGTGCAAGCCGAGGTCCCTGCCTCCATGCTACAGATATGGCACGCGTGTGAACCCAGGCCGATATACAGAGAACTGCTCCCTATGTCCTCAACCGGGCTTTAATGAGGGGTTGAATGACTCTTTGTGGGATGAGGACTGCTTGCAGTGCAACATCTGGGTACCGGCTGGCGAGCCGCCGAAAGGAGGTATGAAATACGATTTCGACGAATTATACGTGAATATGCCAGCTAATGCGTCCAATAGGATGGCCAGTTCTTGTGTGGATACGTACGTCCAGCTAGAGGAGGCAATCAAACCATTTGTAACCCCTGCTAAGCCTTACCAGATGGCGGCTTTCTCCAATTCGGCACTCCCAGGGACATAGATTTAAGAGCCATGCTCAGCGAAACATCATGTAAGGCCATTGTCGTAACACCCGCCTACCGTCTCAACGTCCTCGGCTTCCTCGCCAGCCCAGAGCTCAGTGCAGCATCGTCCGAGTTCGCCGCGAACGTCGGCTTCTGGGACCAGAGGCTCGCTATCGAATGGACATGGCAAAACATCAGCTACTTTGGCGGCGACACCTCCAATATCGCCGTCGGCGGGTACTCCGCTGGCGCCCACTCGGCTTTCCACCAGCTATCCTACGACCTGGGCGTTCCCGATTCCAAAAGCATCATCCGTCGCGTCCTCATGTTGTCCAACGGCCCAGGCCTGCAACCCAAGTCTCTATCAGAAGCTCAAGAAAAATTCGAAGAACTCCTCACGAACCTCAACATCCCACTCGCGACCTCTGCCTCGGAAAAGCTCACCCTCCTCCGTTCCCTGGACCCCAAAACCCTCCTCAGAGCAACCTTCAAGATGAAACATCACCAATTCCGCGCCATCACCGACAGCGCGTTCGTGCGGCCCAGTCTCTTCCACGAACTGAATTCCGGAGCCTTCGCGCGTAAAATGAAGCAACGCGGCGTCAAACTCATCATTGGCGAATGCAGCGACGAGCACTTCGTTTACGGGCAATGGAGACCGCCCGCCAACAACTTGAAAAGCCTGTTTGAACGCCTGCAAGCGGATTACTCGCTTCCTGCCGTCGAAGCCATGGTCAAGTATTACTTCCCTGACGGTAAACTACCGCCGGGAACCCCGAACTGGCAGAATGCGTTTGGTAAGGTATATGCTAATATGCAGATCCATGCTCTCGAGCGTGGGATGCTCGACGCGCTTGTGCGACATGGTGCCGGCGATCTCGTGTACCGGTACCGGATCGAATACCGCGCACGATGCTGCGATAAGAAGTGGCCGAAGCAGTGGGGTGTGACGCATGGAACGGACATGGCGTTGTGGTTTTGGGGCAACGGGGAGGAGTTGAGTGAGGAGGAAAGGAAGATTGTAAAGGAAGCCTTTCATGATAATCTGGGTAGGTTTCTGAGAGGGGAGGAAATGGAGTGGGGGACGGAGCCGCTGCACGTGAGATGTTTGAAGGCTGATGGGACGGTGAGGTGTGAGAAAGATACAGGGTTGGAAGAGGGGAGGAGGGTGTGGGATCTTTTGAAGAGGGCCGGGGCGATGGGAGGGATGGAGAAGGCGAGGCTGTAAGATGCTTGTGAGGGGCACGGGTTTGGAGGAGATTTATGGTATTAATGCACGGCACGTTGCAGACGCGAAGTCCGTTACCTTCAACGTGGAGATTAGCAAGCATGCCGGATTGGCAACGCTCTGAGTTCAGCCAGGCTTCCAAGGATTGAGAACCTCTTTCAGGAGGCGTGCACGTGGAGTCTTGGGTGGGAAACTCGAGGCAAAGACGTCCACGCTGTCTTTTGAAAGGCGGACTCCATACATAGCCTACACATAGCCTATTTTATGTGCATACTCCACTGGATCCGACTTGGTAATGGCAGAGAGACTTGTATGTCTGAGATGCAGGACTTTGGCAAATATATGCCACTCTCAAAATGTTGGAAACTGAGTTTGCCAACGTTAGTTTCTTCATTCTCCAACAGCAAACAGCATGATCAGCACCATCCTCCTAACAGTGAATAATATACAGCTCACATGAACCCTAGTCGTTCCACTTACTGCGTGAGCCCGCACTCATTCATTCCACGGGCAATATCACATCTACAGCACCTAACGACACTCTACTAACTTCCTCAAAAATGGGACTTGCCAAGCACAGGCAATATGGCCTACAAAGCTTTCCCTTGTGTCAGGATATTTCGGGCTGGAGAACAAGATAGCTTTGCTACACTCTATCCTTTTGATGAGATTAGTATCTGGGACGTCAGACGTGCTTGGAGTCTCCCTGCACCCCAACTTCGACGTTCGCCATGTCGAGATCTTTCTCATTTCACCAGAGGCACTGCCCCCCAACACATCTCCATGCACACACCTCACAAGACTCCACATTCATATAACGCAGAAGTATCGACAATCAAGCAGCCAACCCATCCATTAGATTTACCCATTCCCGAAGGGGCCCAAATTTAGGGTATCAACTCTGCTAGGCCCCTCACAGCCATTCTAACCACCTCACGCCCGACTAACCCTAACCACCCCCTTCCGCACAATTCCTTTTCATCCCTCGACAATCATCCCCAATCGCTGCGGTCGATCCCAGCGGGATGACGACGCCCTGCTCAAACATCCGCGTCGTCCGTTTTCGCGCAATCCTAATCCGCACACACTTCTGGAGCGAGGCACCTGGTAGTATCACCTCTTTCCCCGGCTCGGTGTTGACTACGTTAGGGGCGCGCGCTCGCTAGGTCACTGCATGCCAACCCGAGGAGGGCTCCTGCTGCCCGATGAGCGCGGGCTGGGGACGTTGGAGCGCTTGAGCGGTTGGTAGTGAGGTAGCAACCGTCACGGCAGCACGCTTGTTGTACCACTGCTCAGAGGATGGCATGATCGGTGTGCCGTAGGGGAGTGCGGGTTGACCTGGAGCTGGTGAGGACGTTGGACTGGGTGCGAGTCCACTGATGGTGATACGGTTCTGGCCTGGGTTCACGGGAAGTGCCCTTGCGAATGTGGAATTGGAGGTAGCCAGGTATTGTATCCGGCTGTTCGGGACGTGGTTTCTTGGTTTTTTGTCCCTGACAAGCTCGGGAACGTGTGAATGATGTAGGGGGTGTGTTGTGGTGGAAAGTAGCGCAACTGCCCCATGGAAGCAAAACCAGCACTTTGCGGAACCATGGCCTCGTTCCCTTGCCTTGTTGATGCAGCTATAGGGTCGATTTGCAATGGATCATTAAGCGACATTGACGATGCTATCCCAGCTGGGTGCTGGCGCCTTGACAAACATGCACATAATGTACGAAGTGCAGCGTTCCCGGTTCCAAGGTTCTCTGCGCAATATCACATGTCGGATACGCTAGGAGCGATCCATGTTCGTTGTGAATGCACAGTCATGATAAGGTTGGGTGTCAACGATGATGGGACAACTTCAACCGTTCGGGCGGACAGTTTCTTCTGCGAGAAAGTCTCGAGTCGACGCATTCGTATTTGTATAGGACGTGCCAGACCTCGTACGGTGGGACCTCCGGGTAGAGAATCGACCATGGAATGCTCTCTCACGGGGCTCCTCCTCTTCATACTTGGGCGGACGCATTGCATCAAGATCTTCCCTTGATAGAGCTCTTAACGGAATAGCCAATCCACTCGCCTGGGCTTGCGCTGACCTTGTATCCCCCTGTGTGACCGGGACCTCATCGCTCGGTTGATAGGGCGGGGGTGCTTCGCCATGTTCGTTCAACCCTTCTTCGCGTCTGACAAAGGTCGTTGTCTGGTTGTATCTCCATGCTCCATGTAGCCACCGTCTTGTAGTAACCCAGCCATCGAGGTCCCGAGCCAGAGCATCCTGTCCACTTAACCGCATCTCCTCTTTCCGCCGCAGTCTCCGCCGGCGAATCCACCATAACCCGACCGCAACTAATACTCCAAATGCAGCGAGTATGAGAAAGTAGTAGTTGAACACGCTTTCCTTCCGCGCCTTCTCGGGGTCAATAGTGCTCGATATGTCGCCGGCGGGGGGAAAGAGTGGAGGGGATGACCCTGGAGTCGTTCGGCTCGCCGTAGAGGAAGTCGTGACATTCTTAGTCGGCGAGGTCGTATAAGAGGTAGTCATTGAGCGGGAGGCATCGAACTCCGAGGCGGCGGAGCTGGTCATGGTCGGCGCGTTGGTCCAAGTTGTCGAGATGCCATCTGTCACTGATTGCCCGGCTACAAGAGTGACGTTGGAAATCAAGAGCAGGAGGAGCAAGAGACCTCCATCGTGCGTCCATCCATGCGTATTGAGCTCCATCCCCGTTATCAAGTCACGCCATGAAGTGTCATACGGGATTACCGGACGAATGTTCGCCGAAAGTGAAGACAGGCAGCAGAAGGGAGTGGAAACGCTGATATGAAGGAGCGTGGATGGGGAATGAAGGCGCCTAATAGCCTAACGCATTTTGACGAACTCGAAACTTCATTTGAAGTCTCCAAATATCTCATACAAAACGTCCCAGGACATGGAGAGGAGACCGCCGCGATGACCATGCTGGTGTCGGCCAAGAATGCCCTTGCACGCTAGTCTCATTACGGGCAAGCGCCGGCTGGTAGTGCAGATCCAGCTCCGTTTGCACGGTCCTAACAAACACCCTGATGGACGCGAAGCCTCCTTAAATCAACGACACTTCATCGCCCTCCTGTATCCAGCATCATGGTGAAGGCTGTCAGAGGTATATTTTTGCATTATTGTTTGACAACGAGGACTAATCAGTGCATAGGTGCCCTCGTCAAGTGCGACGCATCGATCAAAGCCATGTTGGTGGACATAGATAGCAAGAATCGCAACGACTTCATCATTGAGGAGTTGGATGAGGAACATGTCCTGGTGAAGGAAACCAAGGTAAACGAACTCAAACAACGGTTACAGGATGTAAGTTATGCAGTGCTTGACCTCGTGGAACAGGGCTGACGTGCTCAGATGATGAAAGCACGGCTCAAAGAACCAGAGACATCTGATTCCGAGGGTTGAGAGCTTCACGAGAAAAAGCGACGTATGGACGAGAAACCACCCAGGGTCTGGCTTGACTCGACATCGCGATCATGTCCTTCGTCTATCACATGGCCTGTCTCTGCTCCGCCCCTTCAACTGCGGGAATCCAGCTTGGTCGGGATGGGGCAAAGAGTTCGGCGACAGGCTTGGCCTGCTCCAAGGCGTCGAAGTCATCAAGCGTACCGACCTGTAGAGGAGTTAGAAGAATACATTGCGCAACCCCAGGCGAGCAAGCACACGTACCGCGACGACCTTTATGCCAGGCGAACTCTCAGTCTCGCGCCACATCGAGGAACCGCAGTCTCCGCTGTGTCGTCGTCAGTATTTGCGTTGGATCAGGCAGAGTGTCCTACCAGAAGTAGATCACGATCCTTTTCCCTGAGTCGGCAATTTTGCTATATTGCTTGGGAGTGCCCTGGGTCACCTTGAACTGGCCATCCGGATAGAGAACGTTGGTGCTGTATGTGGAACCTGTGATCCTGTTAAAAGCAGTGACACCGCAAATGATGAGATTGAAGGGTTGACGCCTAATAGTACAGCCCTTGTTCGCTAACAACAACAAGGAGATAGTGCTTGCTTGCCTGTGATCTTCCTGCAATCTGTGCAGTGACACAGAGCCTGGAGAACGGCCATCAGAATGAGCCTGAATCGGAGACTGGAGATGCTTTACCTTCACCACAGGGTCGCCTTCGAGAATGAAGCGAACATTTCGACATATGCAACCGCCTTGCTTTGCCATATCTGTGAAAGACTTTCTGGTTCGGTCTTGGCGTTATTCAGGAAGAGGAAAGGAAGATGGTCATTGAAGACCGGCTGTCTTCTCGTGGGGTTTTATACTTTGTATCGACCTCCTCTCCCCCGGAATTTCACCCCTCCATGTGGCCAAACACCTAGCCCCAGCCGCCCACGTCACGCCGCTAACACCACTGCCTAGAATCATTACTGTGGGGAATACGAAGACAATTATAGCATAATGCGTATCTACTTATCTAATGTGTGCCTGTGGCCCTGTTAGTGCTTACAGGCAGCGTGTACACTCGTAACTGGTGATAGAACCCCGCCATCATTGATGTACAGTATGGTTCCGTGTTGCTCAGTTCTTCTACAGGCAACATCTCGAGCTGGCTACAAGGGCTGACTCCCCAGAAAGCACCAGTTGATGCCACTGCCATTCACAGCATTTACGGAGTAGCACTTTCTGCGTTACGACCTTGAGTATTCCAGTTTGCTGTTTGCTTGTTGGGTAGCTAGAGAACCGAATGCGGTTAGATCCCACGTGAATGCGCGCCACGCACGCGCGCCTTCCGCACATCATGACACCGTGCTCAAGCTACCTAGGTACACCGACAACCCATTTCAACACCTGAATCAGCTGCTTTGAATTCCCATACCTTGGCCACCCCACAATTACGCCCTGCCCATGCCGCACGCCGAAAATGTCTAACAACAATGCCGCATTCCCCAACGTGTGGAAACAGATGGGCTATGACCCTCCCCGCGGCAGATGCAACTTCAACAAATCATATATCACGTCAGGCTGCCCGTGCTTACGCTTCATGCTTCACCCACTGAAGGTATGTGAGCTTCGAATCGTATCTAGTCGAGCTCGCGATTGACTTCTCTGTAGAGTGCCTCCGGCTTCGAATGCGACGGCTGCGGTCACCACGCCTCCTTCCATGAGGTTGCCAATCTACCCGAAGAGAGGATTCGGCTGCTCTTGAAAGACCTGGACTACAACAAGAAAGAAGAGGAAAGAGAAAGACGCAAGAAGCGCCAGCGAACGCTGGACTATGACGATGGCGACAACAGCAAAATCTCCTCGGCCGGCCGCTTGCTCGAAGAGGATGACCCTACGGGGAATGATGCGAGGGAGAACCGTATGCCGGGTGGTCTAACATCCGTGTTCAATGCCATAACCGCAAGGAACAGCGGGAGGACAACACGGACTACGAGATCAAGTGCGTCCCGTGCGTCGATGAGGCGGGCGAGGGGCACGAACAAGGAGGCATCGGATAGCGAATATCAGGATGTGATCTCGGTGGATTGATCATATCGCGATTGGCAAGGGGCATGCAATCAGTCATACTCCTTGCAAGCGCGACTTCGGGATTGAAAAGGGAAAGGAACGGACTGGCGTCTCACGGACCGGCGTCTCATTTGATCGGGACTTGGTTAAGGAAAATGCGTATATGATACCCAATACACACACACTACTTTCTACTCGATCTGGTTGGGAGCAGAGACAATCGATCAGATGCTCAATCATACTGCAGTTTTCATCTAGAACTGTATTTCCAGAAAATTTCCCCATTGGGACACCGCCGGATTTATGATGTAGAATGCCAAGAAATGATTGTCGCGTCCCTGCCTTTCATGCAGCTTGCAGCTCAACGCGAACCTTTAACTTCTCCAAAATTCAGGCTACGCTTTGATGCCTCAATGAAACAATCATCCTAATTCTCCGATTTCAATCAACACAACCCTCCTTTCCTAAATCAAAGTGCGCTCCCGCGCCCATACCCTCACCATGGCAGCAACCCCGACGCCCTCCACCCACACGCCCCAAAAGCACCTCCCGGCCTTCTCCTCCCCCGCGCCCCGCAGCGTCCCCGCAACCATGAACTTCGACTCGCCCGCCGCGCTGGGCCTCATGACCGAAGGCGGCGTCGGCATGGGCATCAGCATGAGCGGCATGGGCATCAGCAGCCTGGGACTCACGGCGAGCGCAATGGGGCGCGCGGACGAGGAGGAGCGGCGGCGGAGGCTGGAGGGCATTATTGGGACGTTGAAGGCGAGGCCGGGGCGTGTGAGTCCGAGGGGGATATTGGAGCTGTGTAGGAGGGAAGGGTTGGAGGTGGAGCAGGAGAAGGCGGCGTTGGTGTTGATGATTGGGACCGAGGGGATGTGCGAGGTAGGTTTGGGAAATGTAATAACCAAGAGTTTCTCGCTGGAGGTCTGACGGCTCGCAGATTCCAGTGCGCAATGGCGAGATCGTTGCGGACGGCGTGACGTTGGAGCTCACGCACGACCGGCACGACTACGCGGCCACTGCTTCGCGGGTACTCGGCGATAGTCTAAAGCCCATACCCGGACTCCCCGAAGTAAATCTCACACTGGAGCGATTCTCGCAGAATCTGGAGAAGCTGCTACGCATGGACAAGCTGAGCAGTCCGCAAAATGGCGGAGTCAGCTGCTACCAGGCCATATTCGGGGTCTACGCGAGCTTGAAGAAGCTGTTTGATCACGAGAAGAAGATGGCACTGGCATTGCTGGATGCAAACGATCCACTTGCGGACTACAAGGCTGAGCGGGACGTGTTGTGCAAGAAGAGCGGGCGCCCCCGACTGAATGCCGGGAACTGTCTAGGTCTCTCATTAGAGTACTGGATGGACCGACGGCATCTCTTCAAGAAAGACGATGCACCGCACCCACCACCCTCAGAAGCGGCAAAACGGGACCAAATGGAAGTCGACCGAGCGACATCAACCACCTCCTACTACCCCGAAGACAAGGACCCCTCGACTCACAAAATCTACTCCCTAACCATCGAATGCGAATCCTGCCCTTCCTCCATGTACCCGCCGATCCGCATCTCGGACGCCTGGATCTCCGACGCCATTGAGAAACCGCCCTCGGCAACATCCCCGGACATCAACACGCTGCTGCTCAACCGCCCCGCGCTCGACTGGCTCGACCCCCCACCGACATATCTTCCCTCCCCGACCTCTGCAGCCTCGGGCGGCGCAAGCGGAACTGCAGCAGCCCAAGAAGACTCCATGGCCCTGGACAACGCACCGGGGCGTCTACCCAACATCCGCTTCGTAGCCAAATTCAACCCTCCGCTCGTCGTCCCTTTATCCGTCTTCGTCTCCATCCAGCAACAACTCCACCTCGACGTGCCGACCGACATCCGCGCGACCACATTCACAGGCCTGGCGCTCCGACCGGGAGAAGTGGATCCCGGGATGAGCGGCACGGGGACGTCGAGCGTGACTACGTCTGAAACGAATGTCCTAGTGGTGGTGGATAGGGCGACAGGCAAGGAGGAGGTGAGGACGCACCGGAATGCGCTGCATGTGCCGAGGACCGAGTACGCGCGGACGATGGAGCAGGTGGCGTTTAGCCATCCGCGGCAGCTGGTGGAGATGTTGCCGACGCTGAGGCAGTATGCGTTTGTGACGGGGTTGATGGTGGGGACGTTTGGGGATGGGGCGAGGGAGGAAGACAGGAAGGAGGGGAAGGGGGGAGAAGATGGAGACGAGTGGGCGAGGTTGGTGTCGGAGCCGCCTTTGTCCCCGGGGAGGGAGAGACGGGGAAGGGATGGAGAGGTGGGAGAGGAGGAGATGGGTAAGGGTAAGGAGGAAGATGAAGAGAATGGGAAGGCCCCTCTACAGCTGGATATCACGCTCTCGTACGCGCCGCCCGCCCCGCATCTCCGGCTCGATATGCCGCATCCAGGTCGAGAGCAGGAGCAGGGGCAGAAGAAGAAGCAGAAGCAGGAAACCGCCGTCGCAGCAGGGCAAACAACATCCCCGCAGGCCCTCTCATCAGCGGGCCTCCTCTCCCATCTCCTGGGCGAAACCACCGAAATGGCAGACACGGAGGCGATGGAAACGACGATGCCAAATGCAGACGCAGACGCAGATCTCACAATCACGCTCGACGTCCTGCCCAACGCCGAACTCAGCGTCGGCGCGCAGGGTATTCATCATCATCATCGTCATCACAAAGGCAAAGGCAAAGAGCGGATCAAGAGGGAGCAACAGGATGATGCAGATATGTTGGACGGGACTGCCCATGAGGATGACGATGACGACGACGACGACGAATCGGCGAAGAGGATCGCCAGGGCGTTGGACGTGTGCATGGACATTGGGGTTTGGGCCGAGTGGGTGAGGGCTGAAGTTGGGCGGGAGCGGTAAAGCAGGTGGTCGGTGATATTTATGATGGAGAGAGGGAGCAAGAGATCGGGGGCAAGAGATCGGGAGCAAGAGCTGCACTGCAGGATGGGAGCGTTTTGAGATGGAGATCTAATATCAAGTCTTGCGACAGCTTGTTTGGAGGTAACCGCCATGGCAGTGGAGCCAATCAATAGGAATGATACCCCTTATAGAGATCTACTACAGAATCTACCGGTACTTTACAAACGGGCCCACCTTGCCGCCTATGCAGGTACAGGGGGACTCAGGGGACTACCGCGGAATTCAACAGCAAGCGAGCCATGCACACAAATGCGTAAGAACAGCGAATATTGAAACCAGTACTCCGTATGCATACTCATTCTCCATCTCGCCCCTATATTACATACAATCCATCATATTATGTGTGGGCATGTGTGCAAGTATTCTTCAATCCAGGATGATAAGACATCAATTGTGACTCTCGTCTCTATCAAAAGCATGCCCGATTCCCAAGCCGGATCAATAAAAGCACCATCGCTCCCAAATGATCAAATGGACCAAAACACGGTCTAGTGCACTCCCATGAAAAGCATGTGATGAAGCCGTCAAAAAGTCCCGAAAAGAGATATTAAGAAGTCAAAAGAAAGGGGTATAACAGCCATGGCATCAAGAAGCGTCTACGGCTACGCCTTCTCCGCGGCCTTGCCCGTCTCGGCGGACTCGGACCTCACCTGCGTCTTGTAGATATCAGCACCCTCGACCTTTCCGCAGAGCGTCTCCACGATGATGCCGGTGATCTGGTACGGGTCGGCGTTGGAGGCCGGGCGGCGGTCCTCGAAGTAGCCCTTGCCCTCGGCGGCAACGGCGCGGGGGACACGGACGGAAGAGCCACGGTTGGCAACGCCCCAGCTGAACTTGTCGTACGACGACGTCTCGTGTTGACCCGTCATGCGGAGCTGGTTGTCCTCGCCGTAGACCGCCATGTGCTCCATTTGGCGGGCAGCCAGCTTCTCCATTGCGGCTTCAATGGCAGCCATACCGCCCTCAGCGCGCATCTCCTTGGTGGAGACGTTGGTGTGCAGACCGGCACCGTTCCAGTCACCGGGGATGGGCTTGGGAGCGAAGGTAACGCGGACACCGAACTCTTCGGCAACACGGTGGAGGATGAAACGGGACATCCAGAGCTGATCACCAACTAGATGGACTGTTAGTTGCAAATTCCTGAGAAAGAGATCAACAATGGGAACACTCACGCTCAATGCCGGTGCAAGGGCCAACTTGGTACTCCCACTGAGCGGGCATGACCTCGGCGTTGGTGCCGGAGATGTTGATGTTGGCGTACAGGCAGGCCTTGTAGTGGGCCTCGACGATGTCACGGCAGAAGACCTTGCCGGTACCGACACCGCAGTAGTAGGGGCCCTGGGGAGCAGGGAAACCGCCCTTGGGCCAGCCGTACGGCCAGCCGTTGAAGTCGAGGAGAGTGTATTCCTGCTCCAGGCCGAACCAGAACTCTTGATCCTTGTGAGCCTCCATCAGGATGGCGGCATCGTGGCGGAAGTTGTAGGCGTTGGGCTTGCCATCGGAGCCGTACGTCTCGCACATGACGAGGATGTTGTCGCCCAGACGGAAAGGGTCGGGATAGAAGGCAACGGGGCGGAGGTAGACATCGGAGTTGTGGCCCGGGGCCTGACCCGTCGACGAACCATCGAAATTCCACTCGGGGAGGTCTTCTACCTTCTCGGGCTTCTTGTTAAGGGTCTAGTGACGTGAAGATCAGCAACTGTTCATGAGGATTCCAAGGCAGGGTGAAGGTGAAGAGTGATGCAGTTGCGGTTGCTGGGAAACCAACATCACCCGGCTGGGGATCGGTGGCGTCACAGCGGCGGCCATCGTGGGGCAGGCTCGCGAGGGCCAAGGCCGACGCTTATCGCAGAGTTGCTGATAAGACGTCGCCAATTGACAAACCGGGCCCACACCCCTGCAGCCAGTGGCGTTGCACCGGAGTCAACTGCAGTCATCCCGCGGTTGGTCGGGATTTTGCAGACTCGTGTGAAAGGGCAGGCAAAGAAGAGGCGTGATGGTGCTCACCTTTGACTTGGAGCGAATGCCGTTGGAACCGTCAATCCAGACGTACTCGGCAATGATTTTGCCGTTCTGCGGGAGTTGGAGATACTTCTGGAGCTGCACCGTCTGTCAGCGGCCGAGTACACGAGACACGCGACCACGTCTTGGGAAGTGCATCGAGGTCGGAGTACTACTCACGTTGGCGGTATTGGAGACAATCGATGCTTCCGTCTGCACATGTGTTAGCAGCCATTCCCATTGCTTCGAAGTCATGGAGTACGCGTACCATGATTGCGGTAGTTTTATATGAATGTGTGAATCGTGAAAGAGCGAGAGATGTGTGCCAGTTGGGAGGAGTGCAGTGAGAGGCAGAGCCCGGTAACGACAAGAGTCGAAAAGCTGGGGAAGGCGGAGAGGAGGTTTGAAATGATGAGGAGCGAGGGGGCAAGGAGGAAGCAGTGGACCCTTATAAGGCTCTCCGGTGGGAAAGGCCGAAGCGTGTATGTGTGAATAATGTGATGGGTTCGGGCAGTGTGGCGGCGGGGCGGGCGTAGATAAATGCTCAGGCTAGGCGTGCCAAGCCGTGTCGCCGAACCAGGCCTCCGTGGGATGGAAAAAAGATGGAAAGATGGACCCGCGAATAATTCGAAGAAGCAAGACGCGTTGCCAATCATCCTTCCAGTATTATCCAGGAGTAGTCCTGACCCTCCCAGAACCTCCCAGACCCCCTCCTCCCCAACAACTGCTATCTACCCACCACTGCTCTGTACCACTGCACCACGCTACCCCTGGGTTCACCAGGCGTGGGAAACGAACGCCCACTTCCTACACTGTATCATTATTGACCCGTGGACTCGGCAGCCCACGTCTGTACCGAGTACACACGCAAACAACCATCTTTCCCACTCATCACGGCTGCACGCCGTGTGGGAGGCCAAAAGACACACTTCTCCAAGGGCCACCCTACACACTATTCTTGCGCGGCTTTGTTACGGGAGCGTTCGACGCAATTCACTTGCCTGCCCAGCCTCAGCAAGCCAATTATTGGGCCGCCGTTCAAAGAGCCGTACCTAGCACCCGCCGGCTGGGCGCAGCAGGGCTCCAGCCTCCGCCACCATGGGTTCCGACTTTGACCGTCCTGTGCCTGGATAGCATCGCGACCTACTAATTTACACGGGACCAGAACAGCCAGTCGACGCGATGGCCCTGCCATTCCCGTACTGTGTTCGGAGTACTGGTATCCTTCAGCCGCCTCACCGCTTCGTCATCTACACAGTGCACAGTACCGTGATGATGATCTTTGGCCAGTGTTTTGACTGACCGAAGGCGACCCCTGCATGCGACAGCTACTCCAGACAATTCTTCCTCTGATAATTGCAGGTGCTGTCGGCTTTGGAACGTGCCTGGACCGCCATCAATTCCCAATAATACCGGTCCTGCTGTCCACACCCGGTGCACCTGCAAGCATGGCTATTTCCCTTCCTACTTTTCCCTAAACCCTTCTGTTTGTCGCTCTTTGAGCCGTCGACTTCGCCACAGATAAGGACCCTCACGTGGGGAGCTCGGCACCGTCATGCGGGCGTAAGCCAACCAGAACACGCCTCTAGCCTTGCCCCGAGGGGTTTCCGAGGTCTCCAGCGCCCACCCACATGCCTAGGTACTGTGTACTCTGCGTGCAATAGGAAGAATAGGGTCTCCATTCTTGCTGTGTAGCGAACAGCACATGCGCCCGACAGTACGTACCGGTAGTTCATGTCTGTGTATCCAGTTCACGCGGTGGGATAATACCCTTTCTGGTAGTCCCCATCTATTCCTGGCATTTGGTACTCCAGAGTTGCATGTGGCGCAGGCATTTCTAAAACTGCGCCATCAGTGGCCACTGCTTGCGTTGCGCAACCACAACTAGTGGGGTGCGGTTATCCTGGGTTTTCGACACTCCATTCATGGAGATGTGAGGCATTTCTTTCTGGCAACCCCCTTTTCCCGCGCTTCCCATCCCCTTCCACAGCTTCGAAAGGCATCAATCGTGGCAGCCCAACTCGGTCCACGGCAACCCCACGATGTGAATAATAATCCGAATGAAGTTGATATCCGTGAAACAGAGTTGCCAGAGCATCGAAAAGAAGAAAAATAAAAGCCGCAAATCCAACGGGCCGTTGCGATGTCGGGCGTTCCCCACAGCTTTGCGGCTGCAAGCATGGGAGGCATGGGTGGGCTGAACGCCAATCTGCCAGCGCGCAGGGGGATTCGAGATAAGGAATTCGCGCGCTGCTGATTGGTCGCCCATGATTGATGTCCTCACGTAATGTCCGCCGGGTCTTTGTGAAGTGTCTGTGTCAAACTGATAACAATCTCTTTCACCTTTTCCGACGCAATTTGTGTCCACAATTCCTTGTGGAGAAAGGCGGCATGTCGGGCAGCAGCACCTGGGGAAGACGGGAGGTTGACACGAACTGTCCCGACAGGCGGGGGCTGGCTCGTCCCGTCTAGACAAGGGACGAAGAGCTCCCAGCGAGGCGCCCAGACGAGCCCGGATGAACCTGACAAACTGCTTTTCTGCTAACCTTCTAGAAGATCTCGTCAGTACACAGCACACCGAACGTCAGGACTTTTGCTCTCATCTCTTGAGGGTGCCGCGGTTTGCTCGCAAAGGTATTCTCGCCATTGGGAAACCTGCGGACCTGCTAGTTTCATAGATGTTCGGCACGATGCGACTTCGAGGAACAGGTGAGAGGTCGCGAGAAAAGATGCTCGTTTCAAAATACTTGGACTCTCCATCAGATGGACGAAGATTGGCAGTCGGGAAGCCTATATATATTGCATTGTGTACAGCTCTCTGGAAGACATGCTTTGACATCCATGGGAAGCTGCCGAAACAGGATTCACTGCAGCCGACGTCAGTCTCAAACCATCCAGGAATACATCAAGGGCTGTCCTGCAGAAGCCTGCAATGAAAGCAAGGCCAGTCAGCTTATCGACGCTGATAGCCTGCTCCCATCAATGACTGGATGCAGGGCACAGATGGACGGGGAGCAGATCGCCGGGAGCTAGAAGATATGAAGGCTGAGCAGGCTGCCTAACAGGTTTCTGGTAGATCCGGGGGAGGCGCAATCGGTTCGTCCCGAGAGTGGCGACGTCCTTAGATGCATTCACCGTGCGGCATGGATAGGGAACCGCTCAGTGCCCAGGTGCTCATCTCACGGGTAGACCCGGCTAGCCGCCCTGGTTAGTACGAAATGTGCCTTGAGAAACACCGGACTGGAATAACATACATGTTCCATTGGCAAACAGGCTTCTTGCAACTCATGGTGCTCCTCGCCCTTTAGCACGCAATCGTGAGGGATGCCGTCACTGCCCAAGCATATCGCCGGGCAGCGTGGTATGTCATGATTGCGGTCAGTTTGTTTCCAATGGCGAGCTGCACTACGGGTTAGGCACTATCGCGTAACCGCATTTCCAGTTGTAGAGAAACCAGAAGTCGGTTCACGAAGAGACTCACTCACGTGACCTGATGGGCAATGGGCGCAAAGTGCATGAGGGCGGCCATACCTGGCTGCTGATGACTGTTTCCATCTCTTTTCCGGACACAAACATATCCGATAATGGTCGACGTACGTCGGGTGAGGCGTGCTGTGGTTTGCTTGATTTCACGCTGTTATGGCCGAATAGTTTCCTGAGACGAACGGATCGTGACATTGGAGGGCGCAAAGCCGCAGTCAACGGCCCGAGGAAAGCGGTGCGACTCGGACGGCTTTCAGCTTGGTTAGCGGAAAGTGTCGTGAAAGCAGTGATGGCAGTTCCCAGTGACGCATCGCAGATTAAGGTGGAAGCGGAAAGGGGACAACCTGGGTAGGAAGGGGGAGTACGAGAAGTCCTCACTCGATGATCGTAGAAGATGGATTGAACCGCGACGTCATAACCGCATCTGGCAATGTTGTGGAAGGTGACTCCTGGCGTGCCTTCCTCGGAGAATCTGCGGACTAACACTTTCTCGCCCGTCTTCAACGCCGTCTTTGAAAGGTCAAAACAACATCCAAGCCGGCAATGCTCCTCTGAATAAGCGATTGTACAGGATAAGGAACTGGTATGCGGCCTTGTGCATGTCCTTACTGTGCAAACTCATAGGCTCGTGCCTCACGTCAGTCGTGGGATGTTATGCTAGCAAGTATAGCGCTTATTATCGTCCTTGAGGACACTGGGATCAAAAAGACCTGCAGACTCAGCTACGAGCTGTCGACGGCGTGCCATAATGTAAATCTTGTCTCGAAGCGGTCCTTTAGAAATCAAGTGCAATGGCCTGAACGTAGGAAGAACGTACTCTCCCAACCGTAGCAGTTTTAGAACCCCTTTGGTCGCTTCTCAACCTATGGAGTTGGAAATCGAATATGCAAACGAGAATCAACTTTTACTTCGTGGGGACGGAGTTCCCTTTGCACCAATCAGATACGTCCTTTGCTCAACGTGGACGCGATATGGAAAGGCATCTCTCGAATCCAACGGCCATCCCACAGACTGCAGGCATACTTATACGTGCATGTGCTAGGTCTAGTTACTGAGGTGTGGTAAGCCAAGTAATCTCTACTAACTGTAAGCAAAACAAGTGATTTATAACGTCTGATGAAGAGCAGCTCCTGATTGCTTAGATAATACTCCATCAGCCGCGGTCTTGGCACGCATACACTACTTCTAGAAGCATACTAGGTCCATAAGCGGTTAGTTTCCGCGAACACTCGGCGAACGCCTGCCCAGGTGTGAAGCCGCAAAGTCCCAAACCCGATGTGAATCAGGGGTCTCTGCATGTGTAGTTGAAGCTCTGAACGTGGTTCCGCAACAACTCAGAGTCGCCGGAAAGATAGCTCGCAGGCCCCTTTTCACAGTCCGCTTTCTACTTGGTAGGGAGTAGATGCAGTTGTGCAATGTCTAACCGCGGGAGGAAACACCAGGGCAACTAGAGACTAGAGACTAGACTAGAGAACGACGGTGCTGCGCTTACGAGTCAGCCAACATTACTTATCTAAGGAGAGAATTAAGATCTGAGCAGGTGTTGGGAATGAACACCACGAAGACGATGTTTTAATGAAAGGAACGTGAGAGGGATTCTACCGATGCAGCTGATGAAACTCGTGATCGTGCATCCTCTAGGTAACCCTGTAGGTGACCCTGTCGGGTTGTCTGGTTTCGTTTTGAACAACGGCCGCATTGGAGAACGTCGTACCTGCGACGTTCTTGCATGTATGTATGTATGAATGTATCTAGGCTTTCTTTTCAGCTAGCCAGAGACGAGCCTAGTCTAATAATCATCGTCGGTTTTGAGTCAGGAGAGCCTCTCGGGCTCGTCGCTGAACTGTTTCCGGGCAAGCAGGAGCCTCGGGAATCGACAACTGGTTGGATAGTGGAGCGCTGAGAGATCGACGACAAGGATGACCCTCTCACAAAGCCGTTGCACCCTTCCCTTCGCAGCAAACCCCGAAAGGCCGCGACCTCCTATCCTCCCTCTCCTCCCTATCCTCCCATGCCGACGCCTCCTCTCCAACCCTCCATCCTTTCGTCTCACCCTCCAGACGAGCTGGAGCGCTCCAGAGCTCGAGCAGCGCTAAAGTACAGAGTCCTCGATGCGCCGCTAACCTGCCGAGCACAATCCCTCTCTCCGGAGCGCGTGCGTTTGTGCGACACTCTTTCTCCTGCACACTTCCAGCTATTGGCGTACGACCGCTGCGCCTGCAGCTGCTCCTCCGCCCGCCCCCAGCTTAATCACCGTCGTTCGAACGTCCCTTCGCTCCGGCTCAATTGAACCATATTACCACTGGCCATGCATCGGCAGACTTGCTCAGAGGCGGGCGATTTCCCCTCTCCGCGCTCGAGCAGAGCCCCCAGCTTTTGTAGCGACCGGCCCTCGGTCGCAGGCTCAGTGACTTTCCAGATGCCCTCGACCGCTCGCCCTGCACCCGCTTACATCGCTGCGTCGGTGGCTTCTCAAATCGTCACCGACCATCACAATGCCCAGCTGCAAGACGACGTTGCCTCCCAGAGCGGCCTCCCGGACTTGACCCACGCCGTCTTCTCCGAACAGGCACTAAGTCTGCTCAATGCCTTCCTTGACCACCTCCTGTTTGCCTTCTTGTCGACCGCCCGGTCGCCGTCTCTCACAGCCATCCGCCCTGCCATCACCGACGTGCTCAAGCCCCGCCTTGCACGCGAAGCCACGGCCACAGCCGACGACGAACTGCAAGGGCTTTTAGGCGGCGAAGATGAAGATGAGTTCCCCGAACATGTCAGCGATTCGTTGGAGAAGTGGGATGTGGAAAAGGTATGGAAGCGCACTCGTCTGAGGATCATGGTATACACGCGTCTTGGGGAACTTGAAGATAGCGACGAGCAGCGCTATGTGGAGCAAGAGCGTGGTCTCAGCATGGACAACAGTGGCGGTGACGAGGCAGGGCTCGTGTCTTGGGCGTCTGCTATCTTCCTTACCTCGGTGATTGAATATATCGCTGAACAGACCCTTCTCGTTTCAGGGCAAGCGTCTTACGCACGAATGTATGCGAAGCTCAGGAAGGCTTCGCAAGCTTCCGAGGAGGGGGAGCCGCATCAACTTGAGCGCATTGTTGTCGAAGACTTCGACGTCGAGAAGATTGCTCTGAATTCCGCGCTTGGTAGGCTATGGCGGACGTGGAGGAAGCGCGTGCGACCCCCCCTAAGGCCCCTTACACCTGCCGGAGGACCCAGGGCCGTCGCAAGCTATTCTAGTCTCCAGAGCCGCAAGATGAGCTATGATACCATTGATGCCGTTGCCAGGGGCCAAGACGGTGTCCCGGAGATCCCAGAGCACAAGCCGACCGAGACCGAAATCGCTGCAAATATTCCGCTGCCAATCGGAGACAACGACGTCGAAGAAATTGAGGTTCCGGGACTGGCCCCTGAAATTGAAGATGGGGAGGAGAGCAGTGGAGCACAAACGCCCGTCATGCGGCCTCAGCGTCCTTCCAGTGTCATCATGCCTGCCGCTGCTCATGAGATTAGGAAGAAGATGGCGAAGGGGCGACCTGTGTCGATGCCTTCACCAGACGCGCAGCCTCTCACTGTACCCGCACAGGTGGAAAACAACGGTGTCGAGGCGTCCGATGCCGAGGATTTCGCAACACCAATGGAACGGCCTTCAGAAGACGAGTCGTTCATAGTGGACGAGCCGCAAGAGGGAATACATGCGGACCGTGACGACGCAGGTGGGGAGCCTGACGCTGATATGGTAGCGTTTGCTGCCTCGACTGGTATGGGCTTGGGCATGAGCCCTGTCTCCCCTACACAGTCTAGTGACTTCGAAAACGAGGACATGGATACGATTGACACCCCAACCAAGACGAGTTATCCTGAGCCACAGGTTCTTCACTTTAAGAGGATGTCCATTGAGAAGCCAGGAACCCCAGGGCTAGTCCGTACGTTTTCTACCCGCAGCCAGCGAAACTCTCCTTTGCCAACTCCCACTTTAGAACAGACATCCTACTTGAATGATGCGCAGACTGATGATGATCTGAGCGGCTCTGAGGCCATCGGAGTCGCCCGTACTTCCAATGTCCCGATTGCTGCAACGCAATCGCCGCCAGCGGAACGGCCAACCAGTGAGGATTCAATGGACAGTGCTCAACGGAAGCAGCCCGACAACCAGGGCTTCGTGGAGCTCGCCCCTAGAAACGTCACGACTACAGCTGCTACTCTACCGCATCGCAAGACACCCAGTCCGGAAGACTTCTCCCGACCACTTCCCAATCGCGCTCCCCGGCAAGAAGCTCTGCGAGAGCACAATGTACACAGAAGGGATGCCACACCGCCTCGGACCCGTGGATCTCCTTTGACTGTATTGCCTGAGACCGAGAGCTGGTCCAACCAGCCACAAGAGAGTACACACCAGAGACAGAAAACCTCGGACAGCTATCGCGGCCCCTTGCCGAATGGCAGCCCCAGAAGTCAGAAGTCTGCACGTGCTCGTGAATCGCCGGTGGCAGCTAGCGAACGCCAACCAAAAAGGTCAGGACCGGAAATCTCCCCATCATCTGGCACAAGCTTTGGCGAGGGAATCTCTGCGGAGAAGTCTTCACTGAAGCGTGTCTCGTCTACTTCCACGAGCCGTTCTGCATCCACTTCGATTCTTAACGGCGGCCGTGATTCGGACGTAGGCTCGAGCCGGCCGCGTGGCTTTAGTGGGCGCATGTCTCAGGAGGATCGGGAGAGGGAATTCGATTCGTTGGTGAAAAGCGAGGATACAGTAAAGTTCACGCTCACTCCACAAAGCATGCGTGATATCGACGTGGGTTTGCTCATATACTTGCTTATCGTCCCAGGGCTGACGCATCTTCCAGGAACCAGCTCTCTCTCGCCAGGTGGAACCATCCAGGCCTACCGCAGCATCCGTCACTGTCTATCCACGTGTCAATGCAAATAAAGAAAATCAGTTTGGCTCACAGCCTCTGCCAGCTCGAAGCGCGTCACGCACCAACGGTCATGCAGGCCCCAGCACGTCCAAGCCTACCCGCAAACCTCTGGCACGAGAACCTCGCATTGAGGCTGAGTCCATGCGTGATTTCGCAGACTTCATTCGGTCTACGGGTCCGTCTCCTGGCCAGGAGCGACCTGTTCAGCCGTTCGTCCACGTGCAGAACACTGGGACTCGTTCTCCTAGCGGATCGTCCCCTTCAATATTTGGGCGGAAGATGTCGACACGGCAAGCTCCGAGCTCGTCCAAAGCAAGTTCGCTCATGGGAGGAGACGGGCCGTCAGCCAGACCTCGCGTCCACATGGAGCCTCGCAGCCCTGCAGGTCAGCGTACTGGAAACGATGATCTGATTGATTTCATCAGACAAGGTCCGCCCGATGATGGGCAGCCCCGCATCCCGCGCTCTGTTGCGCCATTCAGGTCGACGGTCGACTCGGACCAGTTTGACCGCATGCTAGACGAAAACAGCAACATCGAGTCCGCATATGGAGGCTCTCAGGTGTCAACCATGTCCAAGCAATCCGCCAACTCCAGGACGGGCTTACTGCCTGCCGCGAACACCGTACAGCCGGCCTACTCGAACACGGCGCAGAAGCTCACTGGCAGCATCTCCAGCCCCGAACCCCAAGTGCAGCGCACGCGCCGCCGGGTCAAGGACCCATACGCCATCGATCTGACCGATGATGAAGAAGACGACTTGCTCACCGCCCTCCCGCGGCCCGCCCAACGCAAGGAAGAATCTCTCATGGACTTTCTCAATTCCACGGACCCGCCTCCAAGCAACAACCCGCAACCACTACTCCTCGATAAAGAGACGCTCGCAGCCGCCAAAGCCCGGGCTGCCAGCGCTGCTTCGAATCACTCGGCATCCGCATCCATCTCCTCAGCAACCGCCTCCCAAACCGGCAGCACCCGCAGAGCTCCCTCTGTGCAACAGAGCATCATTTCTACCTCCATCTCGTCGGACGCACCGGGCGTTATCCCCCCTAGACCGAGATTACAAGCCAAGCCCGCGGGCGCGAGGGAAGCTATCGTCGGCCGCTCGGGGACCAGCGACCTCGCGGATTTCCTGCGCAACTCGGGACCGCCTGAACCGCGGGCGCCGCCGGTGGCGGAGCAGAGGAGGGAGCAGCCTAAGAAGAGTAATGCGAGGTTTTGGCGGAAGAAGAATGTTGAGGTTTGAGGATTGGGGAGAGGGGTGAGGTGTTTTTGTGGGGGTTGGCCGTTGTGATGTACAGGTTAGATCTGTTGACCTGTTGATGTAAAAGAAGGATGGGAAGATGGATGTTGACTATGATGATGCGCTCCTTATTTTTTACTTCTACGTCCGCATATTATTATCATGTATTCCTTTTTTTCTTCGATGCCGATTGGGACATGGGTGCCGGAATGGCCTTAGCTCTTCGAAGAGTTTCGACTCCCTCTCTAGCACTCGTCAGCTTCTGAGGCGACTTATACCATTTCCTCAACTATATTGTACTTATTGGTTTTGTTCGCTTCTCGCGCGCGATATCTCATCTCTATCGATCTCCTTACGAGAGTCGTATCAAGATTTCTGGCTCTTAAGCCTCTACTTGCTCATTCTCCTCTTCTTGTTTCCCGCCTTCTTTTTTTTTTCGTCTTCTCCCTCTTCTAAACCCCCACTGTGGATATTGATGCGCAATGAGGCCACGGCTCTTCTCCCATCGCCTTTCAACACACGCACACTCACAGACACACATATATCCTCTTGGAGAGTCTTGATATTCGTCGCACATACGGAATACTGCGTCGTGTAGATTTCCCCGTTCGTGCATTTCACGTTTAGCTGTCTGTGTTTACTTAATATTAGGGTTTTGGGCGTGTTGGGTACATTTGGGTCTAGTTAGGGGAGGGTTTGTTGTTGGTATGTTTGTTTATTTTGTTTGTATTCATGCTTGGATTTATGTGTATAGATGGGGATTATCTAGTGAGGAACGGCGAGAAGAGAGGAGAGGACTGCAGTAGAATGGGACGGGGAGGGTGGACGGTTTAGTGGTGTATGTTTTGCCGCTTTTCGCGTTGAGGTAAATACATAACTGCGCTTGTTTACTGTAATCTAGGTATAATAAGTCCTACAGCGAAGCTCTACATTTATTCAAGTTGTGCAACAAAGCTCTGCTAATGGCATTGTTGGGTAGAGTTAATTGAGTTGTGCTGGCTAGGGTAGTGATATTAAATGGGTGCGTAGACTTGTAGATGCTAATGGTTGGTAAGATATAGTAGAGTTGTGGCGGAGAGTAGCTTCAGAGCTGAAATGGTTTGTTATGCTATAACGTGGTTCACAAGCGAGTGTCGCACACAAGCGAGTGTCACACTTTTTCCCCGCTCTAACCTACCAACTTTAACGCGCGATATCTCATCCAATATGACAACTGATTACTCCAAAGAATGCCGCATGCAGCTAGCAAAAACCGCAGTTCAAATAAACCCAAAACTAAGTATCGCCCGTGCTGCAAAAAACTACGATATCCACAAACGAACACTTGCTCGTAGAATGAAGGGAACTCAGTCGAGAGAGGATACACGCAACGCACAGTCAAAACTCACTGTAGCTGAAGAGGAGGCGATTGTTGAATATATTCTTGACCTGGATTCACGAGGGTTTCCACCCCGAAAGGCTAATGTTCAAGAAATAGCAGATCTTCTACTTAAGTCGTACGATGCGTCACGCGTTGGAGTCAACTGGGTTTTCAACTTCATTGCACGACGCCCAGAGCTCAAGATGCATATCCATCGTGCCTACGACTATCAGAGGGCCCTCCAAGAAGATCCTGAAGTTATTAGTGCATGGTTCCACCTGGTTGTTAATATGTTTGGGAAATACGGCATTACCGATCACAACATCTACAACTTCGATGAGACCGGCTTTATGATGGGTCAAATCCAGCCATTTATGGTTGTTACATGCTCAGACCGAAGGGGAAGGGCTAAGAGGGTACAGCCAGGTAATCGAGAGTGGACAACAGTAATTTGCACCATTGCAGCAGATGGATTTGTACTACCACCTTTCCTGTGCGTAAAAGGCCGGTTCTACATCACTTCCTGGTATGCCAACAACCAAATTCCCAATAACTGGGTTATCAAACCAACTGAAAATGGTTGGACTGATAACCTAACGGGTCTCGACTGGATTCAGCACTTTAATCGCCACATGGAGGCATGGCGGGCTGGCGTATATCGCATGCTTATCCTTGATGGACATGGGAGCCATCTCAGCTCTGAATTCAACCAGTACTGCAAGGAGGCAAAGATTATTCCGCTCTGTCTACCCTCCCACTCCTCACACCTAACGCAGCCACTTGATGTCAGTATTTTCAGCCGGCTGAAAAAGGCGTATGGTGCTGAGATCTCAAAGCTTGCTCGGGTCCATATCACGCATATCACCAAGGACGACTTCCTTCCAGCCTTCCACACTACCTTCGAGCAGGTATTCACCCTCAAAAATATACTTAGCTGTTTTCGAGGGGCTGGACTTGCCTCTCTCGACCCGCAGGCTATCCTCTCAAAGCTAGATGTGCGTGTAAATGCTCAAACACCACCTGGCTCAGCACACAGTGAACCTAACCCTTGGGTCTCTCAGACACCGCACAACGCGACTGAAGCAATTTCATAGTCAACACTAATTAAAAATTGCATTGTTAAGCATCAAGGAAGCTCGCCAACACCAATTTTAGCGGCTGTCGACCAGCTAACAAAAGCAGTAGTAGCAAATACCCACAGTCTTATGCTTGTTAAGGATGAACTCAGGTTACTTCAAGAGGCAAATGTGACCCTTTCAAAGCGACAGCATACAAAGAGAACCCGACTACAGGATTCAGGACCTCTAACAGGCGAGGAAGCTAGCCAACTTTTGGTTCAAAAAGGTGTTGTTAAGGAGGGAGATGAGAATAAGGGTGCTGAGGAGAGTGAGCCAAAGAGGCATAAAACAGGTGTGCACACGTGTGGAGTCTGTCGTAAACCCGGCCATAATGCAAGAACCTGCCCAGAGGCTGTAGATACTATTTCTCTATCAGATTCCAAGTTATAGAAATTTATTTAATTGTGTTTTGGTGGAGATATCGCTACTTAAAGTTGGTAGGTTGGAAAAAGTGCGACACTCGCTTGTGTGCGACACTCGCTTGTGAACCACGTTAGAGGATTATGAGCACATGACATCTCTATTCTTTGGGATAAAGGAAGCCTTATTCTAGTTCTAGTTCAAGCTACTTATTTTGTAACTCTAATATACTAACAGAGACAACAACTATATCCTAATTCCTTATTAAATATCCTAAATATATAAAGTATCTCAAACTCATCAGAAGAGGAACCCCAAACGTTTCGCCTCGCCCCTCCAGCCGTAGCCTCCGCTTCACTTCTCCTAGTTACGCTCCAAGATTCGTCCGCTACCACCCTCAAGCGGCACCACATACGTCGATACTACCAATTACTTCAGCTGCTACAGTTCTTCAACAGCTAGAACCAGCGGCCCCGCGGTACTCGCCCATCCCACATTCTTACACCTTATCCCATCCAGCGGCCGGCCACCCAGACACGACAAATAGCTATTCGGCAGGCCCGGGCTATTCGCACGGATCTCCTCGGTGCCGGCGAGAATCGATTTTCTTCCCGTGGCACTTCCAACAAATCAAATCAGCTACATCCTAGAAGCGAATGAATGGCACTTACGGATCACTTTCCATCTTCCTAACAGTGAGCACAAACGACGTTTCCGTGAGAAGTCCACTGCTCGTAGGACTCAGTTGGAATTCGAAACCGTCTGCGTCGCAGGGGAGAGGCGTTGTGGGTATTTCCTTCTCGGGCCAGGGTGCACGGCAGGGTATGGAGGGGGAGTTTGGGGCGACGGCGATGGTGAAGGCGAGGGAAGAGTTGAATTTGTGGGCTTCGGGCCATTGGCCGCCGGGGAGGCCCGAGTCGTGGCCCATGAAGTGCACTTCGAGGGAGGGGATGGGCCAGGATTGTGTACGGGTGGCTAGAGGGGCGGCGAGGGCGGTGGCGCTGAGGAGGAGGAGCGTCGTGGAGTGGGTGAGGTTTGGGCGCATGATGGCGACGGTTGTTCTGGATCAGGGATGCAGGTGTGATTTTTCTGGTGACTTTGGAAGGTGTTTAAAGGGTTTAGGAAGTGTTGGGCGGGAGAAACGTATGTTATCTGTTCGACTTCGGTCGTGTACGTAGTATGGTGAGCAGTTCGAACAATGGTTTCTGGTGTAACGGATCAATAGAGTCTGAATGCTGAAATAGTATGTCAACGGCGGTCGGTGCTCTTCTTTTATAGCCTTCTGTGGCACTGCAGGTTGTACGGGGTACACTTCTCAACCATGTTTGACGGCATGGTAGCATCCCTACAGAACGATTCTCACGCTGTCCCTCAACAAACATCACCGCATGGTCACGCCAACGTGCAGCGGAGTCGGAAGTCGCGCAGTTGTACCGATATCTCGATGCACTTGACAGATGATATCACGGTGTAAGGCTCACACCCTTCGGGCCAGAGTGGTGAGTGCTGCAATGGTAAGGTACACCTAGATAGGAGCTTATTGGGGTGACGGTCATGTCGGTAGCAACGCGGATAACTGTTGACAATGAAGGCCATGAGCAGTGGAGATCGCGTTATCGACGTACCACAGCGTAGCATTTCGGTGGGACATTGGCGGCAGGGCCGGTATTGGGAAGGATGAGACACTCCGGGCTGCCTTCGACTAATAATACAATGGATAACGTGGATAGTTTGGCTTCATTGTCACGCAAGGATGGTAGATATCTTTGGCTGGTTTGCCATCGCGTCTGCGAAGAGTGATCGATATGCCTCCCAACGGCAGAAGAGGCAGAGTGCCCGTGTATCACACAGATATCAACAATCGGTTAACACGTTGTAAGTCAAATTACCTTTGAACTGCGTTCATGCCCAGCCAGATACCGCCGCTGCACACAGATACACCATCTAGTCCTCCTCCGATATTCTGTTTTTGTAAGCCTGGCTATGCAACTCATAGATGCAACCCTTACAAATTCTGGGCCTCTGCTATCAGTCTTGCATAACGCCACTTCCGCTCTCAAATGTCGCACTGCATTTGTACAACGTGAAACGGTCGCCACATCATGGCAACATCGGTCTGTACACACATCGATTGCGCTTGACGATATTTCCCGACTGTTTCCGTTGCTCCCCGAATTATTAAACATAGATGTTTTTCAAAATCCGGCACTAGTTAGTCCAGCTCAGTGCTACCTGCTCCTCGGCTAACTCTGCTCTCAACCGTATTTACAGCAAAACTCCTTAGTCTCACTCGAAGAGATCCCAGAATGCTTAAACTACCATGCATCAAAATACCTTGAGAAGATATTGCAGTATCGCACGTTGCATGGGCACAGCACACAAGAGATTTCCAGTTCCCAACAGATTTCAATAGACTCGCATCGAGCTTGCGGGTTATCGGCCGTGTTACCACGAGGATCAAACACAAATCTTAATTTAGAACTTGCGAATAGTGACCTGAACCCAGTATTCTAGCGATATGGATTACCATCTCAACCAAGTCAGCTCCGTTTCTCCCAATAGTCTTATCTTTGCCTAGAAATTTGCGCAGACGGATTAGGGACAACGGTCACCCGAACTCCACGTCCCGACTCCATTCTCAAGAATGATCTCGAAGCTGAGGTATGAATAAATATGGCGCTCAAATGGAACCCCTGGCCAGGTGTAACTAAAAAACTCTTCTCTTTTCCACACCACGCTCAAACTTTTCTATAAACTTTGGCCTTTCTCGGGGTACCGACTCTTGGCCAAAAGTTACACCCGCCATAGATGATGCTGTTTCCCGAATTCAGGCGGAACACAGAGGTGGCGACAGCTGCAAAGGACGCCAGGGGTGTCATGTAGTGCATGTTTGTGTCAATATTAGGAATGCTTGTCCGTGACTATATTAGCATTGAATATAAAGGGATGTCCAGGTCTGTTAAGGGTCTGAAGCTAGTTGTAGAGGTTACTCTATAGTAGTGTACCGCTAACCTGTGTCGACGAATCCTATCCGCGAGAGTGTTTCGCATTTTCAACAAAGCTCAGATCATCAAGTTGCGCATGTCTGCTTCAATGAATGCCATGCATATTGGCGGTGTCTTATTAGGCCTTTGGCCGCAAGCTCAGACGTCCATTTCCAATCTCACAACTTTATCAGGATTGAGAATACATTTAGGATCCAAGGCCAACTTAATCTTCCTCATGAGATCCACGCCACTATCGCCCACTTCGTCCGCGAGCAGCCCTGTGAGTTTCAACCCAACACCATGTTCCCCTGTAATGGTACCGTCAAGCTCCAATGCAAGCCGTTGCACTCCAGAGAGCAGCTTCTCTGCTTCCCCTTTCGCGTCCTGCGGGCATATAATGGCAGTGTGAACGTTTCCTTCGACGCATCAGCTACTCAAGTTCGTGCCGAACTGGGGTAAACACTACCGTCACCAACATGACCAACGCTTGCACAAAACCAGTTTCTTCCTTCCGCGCTGCCTCTTACAATCTTCTCGCTTCTGTGGATGAGCTCAGCCATCTTGGAAATAGGGACAGCGGCGTCGGTGTGCAGGAACAAGTCACTGGGGTCGTTCTTCATGGTGACCAGTGCATTTGCAAGGCATTTTCTAACGCCCCAAATAGCCTCGATCCTTCTCCTCTCATGAGAAAACTCGACCTTATTCGCTCCATGATCAGAAAATAACTGTGCGACAAACTGCATCTGCTCCTTTACAGTCTGAGGCGACCCTGCAAGCTTTACGAACAATGTTGGTGCCACTTCAACGGTCTCCCTTATTAGACCTGATTGTGCAATTGCTCCCATACTAGGCCCATCTAGAAATTCAATGGCCTCTAGCAAATGACCGCTCTTCAGGATTTTTACTGCCACGTCGACCCCATCTTGCAGAGATCCAAAGCTCGCCATTCCGACGTGGAGATTCTGCGGAAGCGCTGTGACTTTCAGAACAGCTTCAGTTACCAATGCCAGGGTGCCTTCAGAGCCAATGATAAGATGCGTAAGATCGTATCCCGCTGAGGACTTTCTTGGCCGATTCCGCGTCTTGACTACAGTTCCGTCTGCAAGCACAAGTGTCAGAGAGATGACCCAATCTTTCATTGTCCCGTAGCGGTATGCGTTGGTGCCAGAGCAAGACATTGCAATCTGAAGAGTTATCATCAGCCTACATTGACAACCGGTGACATCTCAGAGACTTGCCATTCCTCCAATTTTCGCTCCTGGAGCCGGATCTGGTGGGAAGAACAGGCCCTTTCCCTCCAGCATCTGATTCAACTCTACCCATCCCACATTCGGCTGCACTACCACATCCAAGTCGTCTTCGTGGACTTCTACCACCTTGTCCATGTACTTGAAGTCGATGCAAATGCCGCCTCTCGTCGCTGTCAAAGCCCCACCAAGGCTTGTACCACCACCGAATGATGTGACTGCAATGTCTCGCTCATGGCAGGCCTTGACTACCTTAGAAACCTCGGCGGTTGTCTTAGGATAGAGCACTGCAGCTGGTCTCTCATCATTCTTGGCTGGAGAATGTCTAGTTCTCGATTTGGATGTGCAATTGTCGATGTCTCGTGAAAAATCAATGCCGCAAATAGCTTCTATGAGGTTTGCTATGTTCTGTTCTGTATGATTATGATGAATTGGTGCGATCTCGGAAAGCGGAAGCGTGGATTTAGTCGATGGGGTTTCCATGGCCAAAATGTATGGCCCAAAGGAACGCGTAAAGAAACCTTGGAAGAAATTGACGGAAGTAGAATGACGGCGCTGTTATGATGTTGTTATACTTGTACAAATCTCTTAGGTCCCTCAATTCCTGTCTCCTCGATTAACCCTCATATGTGAGACCGATTAGCCCTAAGCCGAGGATGTTCCAGCCCGCACCCCGCTCTCTATTTCAAGCATGAAACGTTCCTTATCGGGCTTAGCGTGTGGGGAACAAAGAATCAGAATTCACAACTGCTCGGCTGTAAATTTCCCAGTTCGACATAGAGAGAACTCTTACTTTTTGCGAATTTATAAGACGATTATAGTAGCTAGAAATTAGGTACAATTTTGCACACGTGTGCATTTTACTTGGGCAAAATTTTAGAATTTGTACACGTGTGCAAGTTTGTGCCTAAAAACTCTACTATTAAAATACGCTAGTTTTAGGCCTAGGAGCTAGAATATAGTAGCTACAAATTAGGTACAATTTTGTATATGTATACATTTTACTTAGGCAAAATTTTAGAATTTGTACACATGTATAAAATTGTACCTAATAACTCTACTATTAAAATAAGCTAGTTTTAGGCCTAGAAGCTAGAATATAGTAGCTAGAAATTAGGTATAATTTTGTACACGTGTGCATTTTACTTAGGTAAAATTTGTACACGTGTACAAAATTGCACCTAATATTAGAAGCGGGCTGTTTAGTTCTATGGATTGATCGTATTCCGTTCCTCTAAACAGAGCGTCGATATCGACGTAACCTCTAGCTTTCCGACATTGCATATTTCGCCTGTGCAACGGGATGTGATAGGTGGCCCCCCCTTCTCTCCACTATGGAAGACATGGTCTCTTGCCGTAGCTGGTAGAAAGCGATTTCCCCATCAATGCTGAAACGTATAACTGAAGACGCCTCAGACAACAGAGCAAAGTCCCCTAGTCCCTTGACCTTTCAGCGCGGTTTCACGGTCTGCAGTTATGCTACTGAGACTTGTACAATGTTGCGAGCCTCGACTTCCGGCTCTTCGCCCAGCAACGGAGTTGAAGAATTGCCTTGTCGTCTATTCTGGCTCGAAGAGGATGTCATTCAATGTTCTCAACTCAAACTGCCAATCATGACTCTTCAGTCCATGGCATCCAACCTGCGCAATGAGAGATTGTTGCAATTGCCAAGCAGAGTGTTTTCTGAGGTTTTCATAGCTTATTTTTTCAGGGTTGTTTGTGAAACAAGCAGAAAATTGAGGTCCGCGTGCGGTGCTCAGTCCGGTTTGTGCACATTTGTCTCAACCTGCATCCAGTTTGCTTCGCGTGAAGCACCGTCAGTTGCCTTGACGTGTTTCGCAATCGCCTCTGGCCTATATTTAAGAGGATATAAAGGTGAATTCCTCTCTTCCTCATTCTAGGAAGTCTCCTCCGTAAACTCCTCCAATTTCCTTCGACTCTCCATATTTCTTGACTTTGATTCTTTTCCAACCTCGAAGATCGAAGCCCAAGATGGTAGTCCTCGAATCGGAGAGCGCTGCATCTACGCAGAGGGCGCAATTGCCTACAGGAATCCGCTACTATATCGTTAGACCCGACAAAACTATGGTGCCTCTTGTGCCTGCAGACCAACTTCCCTTCCAGCTGAACGGCATCCCACGCCAGCTCAGCCACCAACAACTATCGTCAGAGAAATGGGAGTACTTCGCGGATACCAACGATCCGAAGACCATCTTCTCCGTACGCGCGTGGGACGCCGATACTGGGACGCATAAAGCCCCTTCTCATTCTCATCGTGACATCAGAGAAACCAGACCTGCACGTGAAACAACCGTTGAGCCATCTACTCCACCTCGAACACATGTGGCGCCCGATCACAACGTCAGAATGAATGCCAACGACAAGAGATCCACCCCGGAAGCAAAAGAGCATCCGAGCTCACCCAGGTTTTCCCAGCTGGAGTCCCCAAGGCTGCCTGTTTCCTCCTCACGTCCAGTTGCGCGTGAGCCTGAGAAGTCCCCTACGGTGAGCCAAATGTGCCGAGATGAAAGTCTGTGAAGCTGATTGTTCATATAGTCTCTCACAGCCAGCATCGCGAACGTGTACCGCAAGGATGCGCAACGCTTGGGATATACTCCAGTCTTGCCACCTTCAGGGATCAAACCTGACGCCTCAAAGAAGGAATATTGCACGCATTGGATTAGCCGTGGCGAGTGTGCCTTCATGGCTCAGGGCTGCCTTTATAAGCATGAGATGCCGTCACTCGAGAAACTGCGGGAGATAGGTTTCAAGAATGAGCCAAGATGGTGGAAGGAGAAGAATGCGATCCAATCGCGTGGACCGACTTGGATGCAACGCCGCTTGCAACATACAACCGAGGATGAGAACGATGTCGAAGAGGGTGAGGTCATCCCAAAGCCTGGCCAGGAACATGTTCATGACCTATTCAAGAGAATCAAAAGCTCATCCGATCGTACTGTGATGAAGCAACTGAATCAGGAACGTACAAAAACAGCCTTGGAAGAGGAAGCCCGCCCTACCACCGTATCCGCTGCGAGGGAACAGACGTCAAACGCTTCCGCCCCTCTCATCGACTTTGAACCGCCCGTAATCACTTCCAGTCGTCGATCTTCGTGCAGTTCATCTAGCGCTGGGCTGAGTACGGATACAGAGCCGTCTTCTAGCGCTAGATCGAGCGGCACTGGCCCCCGGGTCCGTCGGTCGGGAACGAGGGAGAAGTCTACGACAATGGACCAGCGTTCGTCACTTCCACGGGAGAACTCCGAAGCAAAGTCCCAAACCACAAAAGTCGTCCCGTTTAAGCGTAGTGGCTCTACAGTGGGTTCAAAGTCAGTCCGTCCCCACACCTACCCGAACCAGACCGCCAGCGCTAAGCCAGCAACTAAAGGTGGGCTAGCCCTGTCAAAACACGCCGTACCAGCAATCACAGATACCCTTTCGGCAACTACTCGGACCCGTATGGACGAAGATGAATCTTCAGCAGGAATCCGGAAGCAACTCAACAAGCTCAAGCGCGAGCATCATGCGAACATGAAGCAGCGCCAAAACGCTTCGGAACAGAAGTCTCTGATTCCAGACTTGATATAAGTGTCATTCCATCATGAAATATATTTTTGTCGACATACAAACAAGAGCGCGGTCGTAACAGGGAGTTGTGCGTCGGTCACTGCCACATCGGAACTAATCTCTCTCTCTACATCGCTCGCAGCACATCTGGCGGATCAAGGAATTTCCCTTTCGGGTTTTCATTTACTGTTTTTGATACTGTCTGGTCTGAAACCTGGCGTAGCAGTAAAACCTTTGGCTCCCGCTTTCTCATTCCAAGACTGAGGAGATCATAACGTGAAAGGTCGGTATTTGAGTTAACAATGTCCTCATGCGAGATTTCTTCACGGCTGTTTCTGTCTGCTTTTGAATACATATTGTCTGTTCTTCCTCCCGCCAAATAAGAACATCAAGTTACTATTTATGCCAATTTCCACGTGTCACTGTCATAAGCTTGGGTGAATTCCCACCACGACCGCCAAGCTCCCCATTACCCTCTTCTTCCCCTTCTCTTCGGCAGTGATCATCTTATTACACTCTCAAGTTCAGAACATACTTTCTCCCAGAGTAAGCCGAATAATCATCGCGACTGCCATTGGCTAGTTTATCGTTCATTGATTGGCCCGCAGGCTAATATAAGGTGCCTGGCATGTTTGAATATATCTGAGAATATATCTAAGAATGCCCGTCAAGACTTCAAGATTCCACCAAACCGCCGGATATGGTGACATTGGGAGCTTACACAAAGATCCACGACGTCGACAGATGCATCTCAAACCACGCATCTGAGGTCTTCCCAAAAACTTGCAGGAATCATCCGACTTGCCAATCTTCCTTCGACGAACCTCATCTCTGGTCGACACCTTCTCCAAATTCCAACACCCTATGCTATAACCGCCATCCCCACATACCCCAAGAAATCAATCTCCCTCGCCTAACACGCTTGTCTAGATCTTTCGGCGTCAAGAGTCTCGGCTCCCCATGTTCATCCAATCCCAGCGCATGCATTTGACTATCTTCCATTTACTTCCAATATCGGCGAACGGCAGTTTGACGATTTGTACCCAAGTTTGACGATACGTATTATGCGTTCCCCTCCTTCGAGCACGTTTTCTCATATAGAAAACATTTGGATGGTGGGCGTTTGTTAATATTAGAGGACGAGACGGGCGACTGGACGAATGAGTGCCGGCAGTTTGGATGCTACTTCCCGGGTTGAGTATCTGGAGTGTTGAAAGTTGGGAAATATAAAGCCGACGATGGGCAAGAGCAACCTGACGGCTCTGTTCTTGTTTGACTGATCTCTTCTCTCCCATCTGTCCGCCTCACCCTACCAACCACCTCCTCCAGAATGAAGCTTACCACTCTTCTCCCGCTCTCCCTCGTCGGCCTCTCCGCCGCTCAGGCACCGGCTCCCTACACCGACGCCAAATCCGGCGTTACCTTCAATACCTACATTCACCCGTCCAATGGATACTTCTTCGGCATCGCCCTCCCGCAAAACACGACTGGCAACACAGACTTCATCGCCACGATCGGCGGCAAGGGAACCGGATGGAGCGGCGTCAGTCTCGGGGGCGGCATGCTGAACAAGTTGCTGATCGTGGCGTGGCCGAATGGCCAGAACGTGGTCAGCAGCTTCAGGAAGACGGCGTAAGTTTCCGCGATTCCCATCTCCCTTCCACCCCTCATCCCCAGTGAACTCTCCCTTCAAAATCGGAAGCTAACCCTTCTCTCACAGGAACTTCGGCTCCCCACCCGTTGCCACCGGCGCCTTCAACCAAACCGCGATCGCCAACGGCACCTACACAAACGCCACCCACTGGACCTACACTTTCCTCTGCAGCAAGTGCATTCTCGCCGACAAGACAACCTTTGGCGCCGCCGACACCACTGCCAATTTTGGCTGGGCCTTCAACGCGCAGGCTCCGGCTCAGAAGAACAATGCTGGTAGTACTGTTGCAAAACATTCGGATCAGGGGCAGGTGGCGTTTGACTTGACAAAGGCCAGGAGTGCGAATTTTACTACGTGGAAGGGGTATGCGGCGCCGCCGAAGGTGGCCAGGGGATTTGAGGCTTAGAAGAAGTAAGATTTAGGGAAAAGAGGGATATGGGGAACTAGCATATATAGTTGGGACTTCAAGGTGGATACACAACCGTCGAGTTCTGGAGATGAATTAATGGTAGACGCTGAGACGATCACGTGATGTTCACATTCACCGCGGTGACTCTTTTCCTGACTCCTCTCCCTAGGTATCCCCCAAAGATCGACCCGGGCAGCGCCTCTCCCGTCACTGCACAGAGACCTGAAGGGACTTGTGGTTCAACAAAGCACTGTTTTCTCAGCGGCCATTTTCGGCCCACAGCAATGCAGTGATTATCCCCTCCGCTTTCAGCCTAAACATTTTTGACCCCAGCCGAACTCCCCGAATCGGAGCGATCAAGGCACGATCACTGAGTGGAGAGAGAGATTATACGGTTCGAATCTGCATTTCCCGCATATACTTAAAGCATCTCATATAGAGCGGCCAATGTGATTGGCGCACAAGTGACGTTCCACTCATTGGAAGCCGTGATGCTTAGGACGCGGCTGGACTCTAGCGGATAGATTGCTTGATATGGACAAAGATAAGTGAGTTTTGTGTCCGTTTTGCTAGTTCTTTACTGATGCGAGAAGAGTGCGATGGAGTCGGCTGTTACTGTCGGGGTCCTGTAGGTGCAAATACAGCAGAGAGACGAATGCAATGTAAAAATAGCACTCGGCGACGGTTTCTTTAAAGGTCAATATCGCGCCTTTCGAGGAAGCTGACTCTTTGGGCAAAAGTTGTATCCGGACTTTACTCCCCTTGACCCGACCGACTTTCCGCTTCCCGCACCAGATTCCGTACTGCATACGATGCAAAGTGTGGGGCCGGCACGTTACAGTCCCTCGAGCTTGCTTTTTTGATTTCGAATCTCTTGTTTCTCCCCTCTCTGCATCTTGTCGACCACTCCTTCCGCGGCACTCTTCGCCTGTACAGCGTAGCGATCCGCACCGTGTCACTTAGGCTTGGCCAGGAAGCATGCGGTCCCCTGGGTGCTGGTTTGGGCTCCTACCCCTCCATATCTGGCTCTTGACGTCGCCTGGACTTGCGGAAGTGAAGCCGTATATCATCACGGCCGCCGAGTACAACACCGAATGTAAAACGTGCCCGAGGTCGCTATGCCCGAATGTACTGGCGTATTCCACGGATGATAGTTTTAACGCTACGTGCTGGACGAGAGGCACGAGGATCATTGATGGGAAGTACGATGTTCCTCGAAATCAGTATGTCGAGAGGAAGTGCTGACCCGTGGCGACGTAGTCTATGGTTGAAGAGCGAGGCAGGCTGTTATGTAACCCAGTATGATGTACTGGAGTACGACGGCGACTGTAGGCGTGCACCGTACTTTGTCGGACAATAATCTGATACTGCAAGTAGACACGACCGATCTGAAGTACTGTGGCAAAGCCTCGGAAGAATGGCACATAACAGAGGAAGATGCGACAATCCGATACAAAGCAGAGTGCAGGATATGTCCTGGTATCAGCTGTGATATTGTCGCATACCTACGACAAGACACCGATGTGACTCTTACATGTTGGACTACGGAGGGTCAGGTTGTCATCGACGATCCGTAAGTTGAGATGTCCCGCTCTTATTGACTCTGCTGAAAGCTGTTAGCTACTGGCTGAAAACGACGAACAATTGCTACGTTTCTCGGAAACATCTCTACTCAAAACCAGACATAACATACTTAGACAACTGCGGTCCTATTCCCTTGCTGGAAATTGAGAAACACAACAATGAGAACGGCACATCCGATGTGAACAAGCGGGAGGCGGCTCCGGTACCTGAGCCGGTCGAGCTTGCACCAAGCTATTTGATCAACGTCACCGTTGGCGAGGAGTATGCATACTGTCGTAGCTGTGCGAAGAAGACATGCAAAGCGGAAAGGCGGTATCCCTTCAACGCAGAGGTGTTCTTGCAGTGTCTGGTACCCCCGAGGCCGAGCGACGGAGCTAACGCGACCTATTGGAGCGAGACAACTGACTTCTGTTATGTGGAGAATTCGGACTTCTGGGAGTCTCCGGAGGGCGACTGTAAGTCCGACGCTTTGCATAATCACAGCAAGACTGACCGAGATTAGACTACCGTATGCCGCTTTGCAATTATTTCGAGGATCCTGATTACGGAGATGATGAGGAGGAGGGGAAATAATAGACGTGGGGCCGGCGCTCGATATTTTCGGTGCTCCAAGCCCTGAGCTCTCTGGGTCTGTATAATACCGGTCACTTCTTGTCAATATGATTGTGGAGTCTCGCAGTCTTTTACCTTCGAGTGCACGTCTAGAGGTGCAAAGAATGGGGTTACAAGTACCCTTGCATGGACGGCTTCTCCACCCACGCCTCACTCATTCTTCTTCGGCTTAACCGGCGCATTTCCCCTCCCCACGCCCATGCCATACTGATACACCAGATGACCCCCTAGATACGCTGCATAGACAGTCACCGGAAGTGCCACAACTCCGCTGAGGAAAACATTCGTATCGCTGGGGGTATATCCCTCCACATCCCTCCTCGTCCACCAATTCCACAACGCGCCCACGACAGTGACATCGTTCAGCAGCGCATGCAGAATGGCCGTTCGCGCCTTCTTACTCGAGATCCCCTCACGCTTGATCAGCGGCATGACCTCGATGGCACCGGTGATTACGGCAGGGACGGAGACGAGGAGGAGGGCTCGCGTGGTGTGGTATGAGAGCTGTGGAAGGAGTTGCGGAGCCAGGTCATCGAGGGCGAGCAACGAGAACAGCTGGTAGGTGTACTTGGCGGTGGCTGGTTGTCGAGAGAGGAAGGTGAGGAGGTCAAGGGCGCCCGTAAGCACTGAGAAGGTGACGGGGAAGTGCACGGTCGCCGGGTGGGTTGGATGTCTGTTGTATTCTGTTACATGCGGTCGAAAAGAAGATGGGAAGCATGTGAGAGGGCTTACTGAAACATTATGTTGGTTACTTGGGAGAGTGACGGCCGAAATTAGACGTCGGCGTTGGTGATATGTAGTCGCTGGGAGCTCAATTGATATGTGTGGGATGAAATGAATACGATTACTCTTCTATCCCAACTGGTGGAAGTGCAAGAAACAGAAGTTGTCCTATGCATGTATAACTACAAATAATTAAGCCATGACGAAATGGACTGGGCAGCCAATGGGAAGGAACGACACAGCGGCGCACCTTATTGGTCAAGCGAGTGTGGCTAAAACTTTCCAAGTGCGGTTAGACCATCTTTTGGTGGCTGTGCTTCACACCCCTAAGGGGAAGACTCGGAGAGTTGTGTAGTATGCTCCTCTTACACAGTATTCGCGCGATCGTGCCCTATATGTTTCCTGTCTCTTTTTATGCTATAGATGTAGCGCTTTTGGTTCCCCTCGCCTCCTTCGTGACCTTCTGCTTTCTTCGCGCCTGTTCAATGTTGGAATCCAGCGAGCCCCCTTTTTGAGCCTTGACAACAAGCGCACTTGTTCCTCACTGAGGCATCGTCCTGTCTTCATGACATGGACCACGGGAAAGCGTCCCCGATTCAGGGTGCTATCGACTGGCAATCCGACCCGTATTGGCGGCATAGACGCCTCTCCCCAGCACTGCTTCAGATCCATGACATCCGGTTGGAGGCGCGGCGTGTAGAGTATGGACCCATGCTGGAGATGACAGAAATTCTACCGTCCACGCTTGCTCCGGCTCTAGCGAACAGAGACAAACTAGCTAAAGATTTTCCTTGTGAGGAGATCGCAAAGGATCGAAATGACCAACATCATCTCCGGACGCTGGCGGCTGAGTACGGGTGGCTGAACGTCTTGCGCAGCGATGAAGTCCAGCAAACCACATCTGATCCACAGGAGATGAGGAAATGTCGTTGGATACACATTTCTAGCAAATTCTCGGATTATCTAGCCGGTTGTCTACTCGGTCTTTCGGACTGGAGCAAGAATCCTGGGCAGGTGGCGATGGCGTTGCAGCAGCTTGACCATTGCGTCTATCAGAATGAGCGGTTTTCCAAACATGGACGATATTTTGCGCCCTTCGTCCAAGATCTTCTAGAAAGCGACATCCAGGACGGGGGACATGACGGTGAAGGCCCAATGCTGATCAGTGTGCCGTTCTTAGACTGGTCTGTAGAAGGACCGTCGCCACCACTACGATTTCAAGTGGACCCAAGAGAAGGGTATCAATCTAGCCGAGGCTCTTCGCATCTATTGAGGTCGATATTGCAGCATTTCTATCGCCTTGAGGATACCGCGGATCGGGAGCCGCAACAGGTTTTCACCAAGCATAAACCATGGCTTACAGACCGCGAACTCGATCTGAAAGTGCGGCGCTGGTATGGACATTACCCTTCGGCGCTGAACGTGGACGAGCTGTGGCTACTAGTGATTGATAGGCGCCATGTGGTGACCTTCAGCAGTAATCAGTCGTGGAAGTCGACTTGGCCGCCCTTACAACTCTCTGCTCGAATCAGATCGGTTTCTTTCCGCGGGATGCGCAATACCTTTCTGAATTCTCTGACTGAGCCGGACTACACTTCCTATACCCACGTCCTCACTGCGATGAGTGGAGCACTTGGCATGCTGCACCGGAGTTTCTGGAGCGACATTACGCTTTGTCTGTCAGACAGATACGCAAGTTACCTAGGGCATCTGCAGTACCGCCTACATCGAAGCCCAAGCACAAAACTTGTAATGGATCTTCTCCAAGTACAGGAAGAGTTGAACATCATCATACAACTGACGGACCAGCAAATGGAGCTGGTGAAGGCCGTCCGAAAGGCCCTAGAAAAGGCCAATCTTCCCTGGTCGCGATCGAACACTCACCTAAACCATGGGAATACAGGGTCCTTGTCTAACCCTGACACAGCAACATACCGACAATTGTCGTTTTCTCATCTTTCGGATCCAACTGCCCAACTGTTGGAGAACCTACGTCGAGAATACGCGGATCTTTGCGATCTCCGAGAGAACAGCAACTCTTTAATCAACCGTACCATCCAGCTTGTCAATATGCGCCTCGAGGATCATGGAAAGGCCATTCTCGTCTTTACGATCGTCACCATCGTATTCCTGCCCCTCTCCTTCGTGTCCAGTTTCTTCGGAATGAACTTCTCGGATATCAGGAATATGGAATCTACACAGCGGTTGTTCTGGATTATATCTGGATCCCTCACTGTGGGTACGGTCGGCTTTGCCATCTTTTTGGCTTTCTACGGGCGAGGTATTGTAGATGGGGTCATGGGGTGGAGGGAGAGTCGCAGGCGTCGGGCGAAACCGACCCAGCCGACACAAAATCTGCGGCCTCGTAATCAGACTAGCTTCAACAGTTTTCAGGTGCTAGATAGCACGACCCCCAAGGCCTTTGGGGTGTTCTGAGCTGTCTACTTACCCAGCGCTGCGTCAATCACGTGACGCATCTGTGGCGCTCAATTCTAGGACCCCGGCAACTTACTGTGGCGCTACCAGCCCTCACCTTCCCGACTCACGAACGTTCCCGAAGCTTCCTTACCTCATCTCGCGAATTGCGCCTCTCAAAACAAGCTCCCACAGTTTCCTCGAGGTACTGGGCACACTCCACAGTACTACACCCTCCCGCTCTGCTCCTTCTACCCTACCAATTCCGAGCGCACTTCCAAAATGGCGACCGCCACCGTAACCGTAGACGACGACATCATGGAACCCACCCTCCAATCGATCCTCGACCAAAAAACCCTCCGCTGGATCTTCGTCGGCGGCAAAGGCGGCGTCGGCAAGACGACAACCTCCTGCTCCCTCGCCATCCAGCTCGCCAAACACCGGAAATCCGTCCTCCTGATCTCGACCGACCCGGCGCACAATCTCAGCGACGCCTTCAACCAGAAGTTCGGCAAGGACGCGAGATTGGTAAATGGCTTCGATAACCTGAGCGCCATGGAGATTGATCCGAATGGGAGTATTCAGGATCTGCTCGCTGGGGGAGGTGAGGGCGGCGAGGATGCCATGGCGGGGTTGGGGGGAATGGGGAGTATGATGCAGGATTTGGCGTTTAGCGTGAGTGACCGCCGACACATTCCCTAGGCATAAATGCGCATTCCACGGAGAAAGCAAGCCCGCTCTTCTAACTGTTTAATGGGTAGATACCCGGCGTCGACGAAGCCATGTCCTTCGCCGAAGTCCTCAAACAAGTCAAATCCCTCTCCTACGAAGTCATCATCTTCGACACCGCGCCCACCGGCCACACCCTCCGCTTCCTACAATTCCCCACCGTCATGGAGAAAGCCTTGGCCAAGATATCGCAACTCTCGCGGCAATTCGGACCCATGCTGAACTCGTTCCTTGGGGGCGGCGGACGTCTTCCCAATGGCCAGAATGTAGACGAGTTGGTGGAGAAGATGGAGAGCCTGCGCGCGACCATCAGCGAGGTGAATGGGCAGTTCAAGGACGCCGATCTCACGACGTTTGTGTGCGTGTGTATACCAGAGTTTTTGAGCTTGTACGAGACGGAGAGGATGATTCAGGAGTTGAATTCCTACGAGATCGACACGCACGCCATCGTGGTGAACCAGTTACTGTTCCCCAAGAAGGATAATCCATGCGAACAGTGTAATGCGCGGAGGAAGATGCAGAAGAAGTACTTGGATCAGATCGAGGAGCTGTACGATGAGTTCAATGTGGTCAAGATGCCCTTGTTGGTGGAGGAGGTGAGAGGCAAGGAGAAGTTGGAAAAGTATGTTTTCCCTTTGTCGATAATGGTTGGCGAGATGGGATGCTGACATTTGGTGCACAGGTTCAGCGAAATGCTGGTCAAGCCGTTCCAACCGCCGGAGTAGGGCTTCACGAGAGATATTATTGACTAGACATTCCACCTTGGTGTCTAGTCGAGTTTACGCACCATGGCCTGTGGCTTCCGTAGCGAGAGCATCTGAGATTAGCCCTGGCCTACGGCTCCTTGCATATCGATTTGTAGCGAGTACATAATACCCCACTAGTCTCCATCCACATGAGTCTGGACTCGTCTTCGCATAGAAGAATTGGTCGAAATTAGATAGAAGGCGTACGAGGACATGATGAGTTACGTTGAACGAATATATCCTCATTGGTCATGGATCGCTCGACGAAAAGTGTGCTACATCATTATATCTGGACGTGTCTATGCTCCTCATGAGAACTTACCCGCGAAGTCTGCTTCACAACCAGCACTCGCCCGAGAAGTACCTGGTGTGGAGTCACATCGGAGTTGAGTTTATCATATCGAACAAGACATAAATCCTTAATCATCAACGCCTTATCATCGACGCCCTGGTATATGAACCTCCGTTACGAGCAAATCTGTAGAGACCGGAAATTGTCCCATTGGAGAACTCTTTACTCCCAACACCCACCTCCAGATACTCGCCCAGGACCTGCGACGCCAAACACGCCTGAAATATCGACCAATCTCCCATACCTCTGGCGTAGTAACGAACGTGCCCCAGAAATCCACCCATTACATCCAGCCCGCATCATGTCCCTTCCCACGGATCCATCAGATCCCTCAAACCCTTACTCACAAGATCCTTCGCCTACCAATACGCACCTCCACGGGGTTGCTTGCCTACTCCACAAGGGCCGCATTATACGCCAGGCGATTCGACGTCCCATTAGGCAAACCCGAAATCTTTTCCTTCAAACTCAACTCCGCAATGGCCTCACAAAGTTGCGCAGTACCCAGGTTCTTGAACGACAGCAAATACGCCGCCAGACCCACGACATGCGGCGTTGCCATGCTGGTTCCGCTGATAGTATTAGTCTTCCCATCGTTCCAGGTGCTGAGGATTTGGACGCCAGGAGCGATCACGTCGACGAGCTCGCCGTAGTTGGAGAAGGAGGCCTTGGCGTCGTTGATGTCGGAAGCGCCTACCGTGCAGGCGGTGACTTCGCTGGACGGGGAGTAGTTGGCGGCGTCGCGGTTATTGTTGCCGGCGGCGACGCCGAAGAAGACGCCAGCGGCGACGGCAGCGGCGACCTGATAGCGGGTCAGAGAGGGATTCTGAAGTATGAAAGATGGTGAAGGTTGATGGACGGGGGAGATGAGCGAAGAAGACTTACAGCTTCGTTAACGGCAGTGGACTTTGCACCACCCAAACTCATGTTCGCGACAGCGCCTTTAGGGCAATTGCGCTTCGGAGCATCCTGAGCGACAAAGTTGATGCCCGCAATGACACCCGCGACAGTGCCCTAGCATTTCAGATCAGTGCTTGCCAGTGACACCCTAAAAAATGGGCCCACCCACCGAACCACTACGATCCAGCACCTTCACGGCATACAACTTTGTCTTTTTCGCCACGCCATAGGTCTTCGATCCAATCGTACCTGCAACGTGCGTGCCATGGCCATTTCCATCCGAATCCTGGTCGTCGTTGGCGAAGTTCGCGAGCCACTCTGCTCCTACAATGGTTGTAAGCTTACAATATCCACTACGTTAAAGGAGAAGCCTTTGACGTACTGCCTTCAAACTCCGGATGGCCAACGAAGATACCCGTATCAATCACATAACTGCACGTGCCTTCTCCGGCAGAGCTGTCATAGATATAAGTAGTGTTCCCCTTTTCCTCATGCGAGATCCGGCCTAGACCCCAGGGAGCGCCATCATCAAAGAGCCAGTCCTGAGTGTGCATCACAGCATCTTGGGAGATCCAAGCTACCTATCCCGGCGTCAGCACAATTTCAATAATCTTGTATCCGATTGATGTGAAAGTGTGTATACATACCGCATCCAGCTTCTGCAACTTAGAAACCGTAGCCGCAGAGACACTCCCAGCAAAGCCGCTGAAGTCTCCGAAATCGTAATCGAAGTCTGGAGTCGTAGCCAGGAGAGACTTAGCCTGCTCGAGGTCTTTCTTCGAAGCCTCGGGCTTCATCTTGACAATGTATTTGCCTGGAACGAGAGCAGCATTGCGGGGGACGATGAGAGGAGCCGCGAGGGCTGATGGCAACAAGACCAGGAGGAAGGAAGCAATATGCATGGTGCAGTGACAGTAAGAGAGCGCGGATTGGAGTAACGATAGTTGAAGTTGTAGAGAGCAGGAACGTGGACTCTGGGGCTGGACTCTGTCGAAAGCTTGAGATCCAACGGCGTGAATGTGGAAAACCTCGGTCCTTATATACTCGTCCTTCCCGTCCTTTTATACGCGTCCTTCAAGTGCTCTCCCCAGCGGAAGGAAACACAGCTCAACCCATACTCTCTCTTCACCTTCCAGAGTAGTCGACGGGAGCACAAATTCCAGTTCGCATGCAGACCACTTCCATCCTAATCAGGCAACCAATATCATGATGCGGTGAGACCATGTTCGAGGTGTTGTTGAGTAGGATTGTAAGTCCAGGATAGATGCTGGGATCGGCACAGGTGGTATAGCTGCGGCATGCGTGGGACCCTTGGCCGGCACCGGCCCCGAAGACGAACGAGACCACACCTTCTCTTCGACGGGGCCATCTGGCCATCCGGAATGCACTGGCGAACTGCCGTTCATGAGGGACTATGACTTCATTCCCTAGCGTCAACCACAGAGGATGAGGTACAGTTCGAAAGCTTGCCGCACAAGTGTGCGACACCTTTTTACAGAAAGCCATAATGGCCTAGTCTTGCGATCTTCTGAAGGCGTCCGTCGCCGATATCACAGGCTGGTCTCATTGACCAAGTTTCTGGAGATCCACACGAAACCTGACAACGGTCCGGTAAAGATGCGTGCAATCAAGCCTCTGATCTTCACTAGCGTCATCAATCGGCTCGCATCAAGGGGGCCAGACACTGGATCGAGCACTGCCTCTTAGATATCTTGGCAGTGCGGACAGGACAGGTACAGGTGCGGATGCGAGTATGAAGTTGGAATAATGTCCGAACGATATCAGGTTCCCAAAACTTGTCGTCAGGCAAGGGAGGCACACGATGCATGCCAGGTGGTGAAATCCAGCGTTTTCTCCCTGGAGAGTCGAATCTATGGTCAGCAAGACAGGTGAGCATGACCTTCCAGATGGCGTGGCACCTATCACGGTGCGATTGGCTTCGGCCGCTCAGAGCTCTTGTTTACTGTCCATCGCGATAAGCAGCGCTCTGAAAGCCAGCAGAAAACATTACCAACGGTTCACCATCGCCGTGACGATATCCCTATCATTTCCGCGAACTTGGGTCAACCAGGATGTTGTGTCGTTTTGTAAGTCTAGGCAGCCAGACAGGGCAGAAGCGAGTCAAGGATGGGCCGGCCGTTGGCAGGGTCAGGACTGCATACTGCGTGATATCCCACCCTTATGACGAAGGAGGTCCAAGAAGAACAGAAGCAGCAGGATAACCGCACGTAGGTAGTGGTGTTGGAGTGGGGGAGGGTCTTGTGAGAGCGGACATCAGGACGGGGTCCGTGCCCGGATATATTAGCCCTGTCCATAATGCTGGGAAAGGACCAGGATAGCACGCGATGTCCGAATATGTAAGCTCAGTGAGACTCGATTCGCGGAGGTCTCCGGGCTGTGTGACTGTCAATTAATTCGTCATCCTATAGAATCAGAACAGAGCTGAATGAGATGGCCGGTGGATGAGTACCTACCACATTGGGAATACAGAGGAGGATGGTGTTACATAGAAGGCATGCAAGCCAAGTGACAGCAGCACGTATCCATAAGGCGTACTGGAAGAAGCCCTTGCAGGATGTGACGGGATTTGATTTCTGCGCAGGGATGAGAAGAGTAGAACTTGGCACCATGGGCAGGCTCGTCGGAAGTTGAAAGTTTCCGGAGGATGCAACGATTAGGTTGAATATTTGTCAGACTAGTCCACGACTTCGGGGCGTAGAGAACATATGGGAAGAGGCCGGAATGGTTTGTGGGGATCAACGATACTGGAGAGAAGAGAGGCGCAGCGGACTGCATCACTATAATGCAGCCTGCTAAGGACATGTCTTCAGGCCCGGGTCGAACATTTTGTGTCGGTCGATTGTCCCAGTTTACATAGGTACCCGGTGCATGGCTCACATAGGTTGCTGATGCGGGAACATAGCAATGGCGGATCCATCATGGGAATGTAGGCTGCCAGAGTAGGGTACGCGACTTCGACATCTCGGAGTGTTTGATTCTTGTTTGGCGGTATGATCCTCTCTTCTCTGCCTTCCGGCCGTAATAGGGTACACAATACTCAGTCCGTGCCGCACGATACTGAGCCCGTAAAGTCTCGTTTCCGATTTTTTGGTTCCAACGATTTGGAAGCAAGAGCTTCTGTGCCATTCGGAAGATGATTAGCCTGGTCAAAGGTGCTGGGAGAGCAAAACCGCGACGAACAGGCAGTAGAACTCGGTGCCTATGCAAGTGGAGGGAGCCTTGACGCCCGAACGTCTGGCGACGATTGTTGCTGTAGCGTTGAGGTCCGGATAAAACGGTTTTGTGTCTTCTCCTCACTTCCAAAGCTGGCAGGTGGGTTGTTGTCCCGCCTCGGTGAATGGCGCCTTCCCTCGACGTTCTCTGGAAACTTCTCTAGAGGAAACCCTTCCGTTGGCTATGTGGATTGGTACCCCGTCTGGATGTCCACGGCTGGAAAAGGGGCGTCCATGGCAAGCGGGGAAGGCCGAGAGAGAGTCGAGTTCGTCCGCAGAACGGATCGCGATCGTGAGGTGAGTCCATGAGCTGCGGCGATCGAGTGATCCGCACTACTTATACGAGTGCTGCCTTCCATATGTGTGTATCCGGTTGTTGCAATGCTATCCCCTTCAGCTGGCCGCTCGTCTCGTTCTTATGCAATGTCGCTTGCACGCGTACGCCCATGTGAGCGTACGCGGATCCTATCATGCTGGCATCATAATGGTGGCGTATTGGAAGAAGTCGAAATGATAAGCAGACAGTCGGGATGGCTGCATGGTGGCCGACCATTTTGTGGTCATTGATTCAACGCAGAACGCAGTCGAACGATCGCGGCGAAATCTAGCCCTGCCTACCCGAGGGTGTCCGCGCCTCAGAGTTGAGGTCGAAGGCCGCGGGAGGTCAGAATCGCGCTGCAATTGGTGCAGAATTGGAGAATAAGGATATCCTCTCGGTGGTCGGCGGCGAGTGGTGGTGTCCAGGTGATGCGGAGCGCGAGGTCAGCTCTTTACAGCCCCCAGCTGGCTCTAGCAGCTATCGTATTGTTCTGCGAGGTTTGCAAGCTAGAGGGTGGTTGCTGGCCTGTTCGCGCCCCTTCCGGTGTATGCTTTCTTTCAAGGGTTGGTTGCGAAAGGGCGTCTTGAGCACGGTTTCTAACCACCACCTGCTGTAGCTCTTCAAGTATGATCTGGCGTTGCTGACGAGGACAAACCGCGACCTTTAGACAAAGAGCCACATCTGACACAAACCAATGAACTACAGCATGCGTGCTTCACCGCAGCATTCCAGCTTGAGCCGTGTGCTCCTCCTTTGCAGACGTTCCCCAGGGTGGATGAGGTTGGAAATGCGCGTCGCCTCCCTGAGGCTTTCGCTTTCCAGATATTGCTTTTTCCTGTCTTAAACCACTTTGGCACAAAGCTGTGCTTGACCAGCAGTCTTGTACCGCATCTTTATGGCCCATCTGGCAAGTCTCTCGTACCCTAGGGTTTAGTTCATTCGGTCCCGCAGACAATTCCGACGCATATGCCTCCAATCCCCCCATTGAACCTCATCGCGCAATCATCTCTTGAATCTCTCCAGCCCTCAAAGAATGAAACTGAAACATGTATCCGAATTTGAATCGAATGATGTCGACATCAACCATCACCACAATTCGCACAGCAGCCCCAAACTCTTAGCTTAATCTCCACAACATCCTGCTCCCAATCGCATCTGCCCCCTGAGCGCTCCACAACCTCGCCAGTGATCCGGAGCAGGATGTTCAATATAAATTAATGTTGAGCCTCCTTGTCCGCTGCACGCTAGAGCCAGAGTATAGATTGAGGGTAATCAATCAGCTATGGTGTACCGAGCGGCTGTTGGGAGGGTGCAGAGCGTTCGGCTTCTGGCGGGGTAGAGGAATTGCCCAAGTGAGCTTTCGATGCTGGTGGAAGAAAAGGCGAGTTCGTTATTCACATTCGGTCTTTGAGCTGGACAATGTTTTCATGCAACTTTTCCACCGGAAACGTCGATATCACCCATCTATCTCGAATCTACGCTTCCTGCAAACGACCCAGTTTAAGCGTCCCTGCATGAACTTCCGAGCGGGCCTCTCCCTCCCCCAAGGGTCCAATGCTCTCGGTAGATCGCACTCAACTCTGCACATCATCTACTAGTATATTGTGTACCCACCCACCCTCTACCCAACCATTCCCATACCTTTCACTCATAGGTATCCAACCCTCGATTATTCAGCGGGGAAACCCTCCACCCAACCCAAAACAGCACGCTCGCACAAGCACCCGTGCTCATCAACCCGCAACAGCGCCCACAAGCGGCTGATCCATGCAATTCGCCGCCCCAGAACCCTTGGGAAGCACTCGCGGGGGATTTTTCTCAACCCAAGATTCAGGTGAGATCCAAATACGATGATGGAGGGGCGATCGGAAGTTTATTAACCTTGGAATGCTCCATGGATCGGCAACTAGGGTTTAAGGCTTTTTGAGGCGCGGAGCCGTTGGAGCTTATTTTGACATTACATACATACCTGGAGCTAGAGTCGTCGTTGTGTGAGGCTCAAAAGGACGCAGGTTGGACTGTTTGCAGTTGCATTTATCAGACGTTGTTTTCCAGTCCACTTCTCGGAGCGGACGTCGCTCGCTTCGAACTCGGGGGTTGCTCTCGAATCCTCGCATGAACGACGATATTGCCGCAGAAACGTCGCTTTAAATGTAAAACTTCCGCCAAACAGGCAGAGGCTGATCATTCATCCTCCATATCACATATGCAAGCGATCTGTTGCACGGGGTGATCATTCGTCCAGTAGCATATACTCCAGTCTCATATACTCATCCAGGCAATCTGTAGACCATTCCAGATGATCCACCCTGGGGGCATCATTCATTCAGCACATCACTCTCGAACGAACGCACAAGTCGTGAAATAACCGAAAGATGCATCATTCGTAGTTCATGCTGACTATCGCTAAACCGTGAAAAAAATGGATCTGCTTTAAACCCCCCTTCCCCCCCCCCCCCCCCGGCCCCAAACAGCAGTAGATATCACGGAGAAATATCGAGGAAGTAGCCAAGTGGCTATGAGGTCAGCAATACCACTCATGCACCAGCAACCTGCAACAACCCGTCCCACTCGGCTGGGAATCTCCTCTTGGCGAAAAGGACTCAGCTCAGTCCCACTCAGCTAACAAATAACGAACAGTTTCAGAAGGCATTTAGCCAGAAGGGTTGCCGTTGAAGACAAGGCGGTTGGGGGTGCCGCTAGGGGCGCCGCTGATCTTGTTGGTGGAGGCGAGTTCGATGATGCGGCTGGAGAGGGCAGCGGGGCTCTTCTTGCCCTCGAGGCCGAGGAGGTAGGCAGCAAGACCGGCAACGTGGGGAGACGCCATGGAGGTACCTGAGATGGTGTTGGTGCGGGTAGTTCCGCCGATCCAAGCTGAGAGAATGCTGACGCCAGGAGCGAAAGCATCGACGACGGAGCCGTAGTTGGAGAAGGAAGCAATCCTGTCACTGGAGTCACTCGCGGCGACGGTGAAGACGCTAGGCTCGGAGGCAGGTGACGAGTTGGCAGCGTTCTGGGCCTCGTTTCCGGCGGCGACGGCAAGGAAGAGACCGGCGCTCACGGCGTTGGCGGCGGCGGAGTTGACGGCGGTGGACTTGGAGCCACCAAGAGACATGTTGGCGACAGCGCCGTTGGGGCAGCTGCGGGTCTTCTGGTCGTTGGCAGCGAAGTTGATGCCAGCAATGACACCAGAGTTGCTTCCGGAGCCCTGCGCGTTCAGGACCTTGACAGCATAGAGCTTGGTCTTCTTCGCAACACCGTAGGTCTTGCCACCAATGGTACCCGAAACGTGAGTTCCGTGGCCGTTACCGTCAGCAGTGGAGCCGTCACCGGCATAGTTGGCAAGGTGGGTAGCACCTTTTGCAAGTCAGCTCCGTATGGAGATGTCACAAGCCATGAAAGAACTTACGGCCCTCAAACTCGGAGTGAGCGGTGTAGATACCAGTGTCAATGACATAGGCGCATGTTCCAGCGCCGGCACTGTCATCGTACTGGTAGTCGGTGCTGCCGCGGTTGACATGGGAAATACGCGCAATACCCCAGGGGGCTCCGCTCTGAGATTGATAGGCACGCTGCTGGATACCGAAATTGGCCTGGACAATGGCGTCCTGCTCAATGTATTCGACCTACGGCAGTTAGCAACTGTTTCCCCGCCCCACCGGCTGGCGAACTTACACCGGGGAGCTTGCGGAGGATGTCAACAAGGTCATCAGCCAACTCAGCGGCGAATCCCTTGTACTTGCCGAAGCCGTAGACGTGTTCAGGGCCCTTGTTCAGGAACTGGAGGGCTTTCTGGAAGACATCGTCGAGAGCGTCGTGCTTGAACTTGACAATGTACTTGCCGGGAACAGCGTGGCCTTCACGGGGCCTCAGGACGGGAGCCTCGTTTGCAACGGGAGCAGCGAGTGCAACCGACAAAAGAGCCGCAAGAGCGAGTTCGAAACGCATGGCGACGGTGGGGAGAAAAGGAGACCGGGAGTGATGGACCAAGGGTTGTTGCTGCTGGTGGTCTGGAGACTGAGTGGTTGAGCCTGGAGTACAATGGGGTCGTGAGCGAGAGCTTTTATATAGGGATTTGGTGAGAGGGTCGACTACAATGGAAGATGAGTAGGGGTGCTTCACCTTCCAATTAAGCTTAGTAACGCCGAACTGCGATCCGGTCCAGTGCCCACCTTGGCCGCTAGGTACAAACGACGTGGGCGGCGATGTTTGTCCCCACCCTAACTAGGAGGTGATGGATGGGTATGCCGGTGGTATTGCCCTCGACGGCACTCCGTTAGGCTCGACAGCGAGATGACAGGAAGGGTATCATGGAAACACCACTCACGGCAAGTAAACAACAGGCGAGGGAGCCTCGGCACCCATGCAGCGCCATATTAAAGAGCTTTGCCAGTTTAGGGATGTGGATTGGATGGCGTCTGCGTTTCAAGGTTGGATCCCCGTCCCTGCCAGATGATCGTCACCCCCAAGGGGCTTTGCGTGATAAGGCGAGCGCCCTGCGCAAACAAATAATAATGAGGCAGCATTGGTGGCTGATTAACATTAAAGCTTGTATGGGGGAGCCACAGAATGATGGAGAATGCAATTCGCCCCACGGATCATGGACATGCCGCGAACCCCGAGCATGCAACATGTTTCGAATCGTCCTGTTCGGAGTGTCCTAAGTACTAGCGAACCGGACAGTTTCGTCTGTTGATTCGCTGTTTTGGAGATTTGTGTAGCGGGGTGTTGGCCTAACAGAGTAGTAGTCTTTGGGCCTAGTCGGGTCACAAAAGCAACCTTGGGATGATAGTGGCGCTGCATCGACGCAGAGCAGCAGACAAACAACCCCTGAATGTCTTGCTCCCAAGTGGCAAGGTACCGGGACGAGCCGTCACCGCCACCTCCACAGACCAATGAACCGTCAGTCCTGGATCGCCGATAGGCTCGTATTCAACGGATGGAGATCTCTGTGGCTGCATTTAATCCCTTTCGTAGGAACCTGGAGGGCTGAGAACAAGTGCTCCCACGGGATGCACAACACCACGAAATCTGGAAGGGAGAAAAAGGAAACATATCTCATGGCATCTCGCTCCACGAATAGTGTCCGGATCCGGTCCTCCATATGGAGCGCGGTGATACGTCGGATTTATTAGATTAATAGATGAGCAAACCGGTTACTCGATTAGAACGTCTTCACCACTGGGCTTCACCATCCACCTGGTCCTCGCATCTAGGGGGCCAAGCGATGGGTGCGAGGCTGTACAGAGTAGTAAGCTGAAGAGCGTAGGAAAGGGACGAAGGCGGCAGCCAATCGGGGCGGCCATCGCGCTTCACAGGCCGGAGATCAGAGTGAAACCGCTTTGCAGCCTTCCTTTTGAGGACATGCATCCTGACGCAGATCCTCCGCCTTGCACAGGACTCGGCAAGGTAGGTAGAGCCACATGAACTCGTTGCCAACGACTCGATGCGACCGGCTGACCACCCACTACTGTGACAAGCCTGCGAGCGTTGCTAAGAGGCTTTCCCCATGAACCCGTGCAACCACCTCCTTCTTTCGGCAATATCGAGCGTGCATTCAATATGCTCAGCACATGTCGAAGCAACCATCCTCTTGATAACGCGATAACCAAACCACAGGCCAGGAGAGGGGAAGGAAGCCGGGACTGGGAACCTGGGAAAGCTGCGAGTAGCCGCCGAACAGCACACTGCGGAGCCTGACCGAACGGACGTCGATCTATCTGAATCCCACGGACAACGCATCGCTCAATCAAGTTACCGTCCAACCAGAGGCCCGGCGGCGAAAGAAGAGGTGCTTTGATTTTCTAGCCTTCCAACAAGGGAGCAACGGGGGATCATCCTGATACCACGATCTCAACTAGCCGGACAGCAGCGCGCCGGCGGGCTCCGTCTACGGTTTCGGGACGGAAACGAGATGGCAGGAGGGAGAGACGTCGTGGCTTCATGCCGTCGTCCCGTCTGGCTGCTTGCAAGTTGCTGAGGTTGCATGGGCTCCCACTCCAAGATGACTTTGACTGACATGGCGTTGTTTTACCGCAGAATTCGCGATCAGGCAACTTCAGGATGGAGGCGACGAGCGGGCACAGGGGATCAAGATGATGGATAATGGCGAGAGGTGCGGAGAATTTACCAAGGTAGGTGGGTCATCCAGAGGCTGGCAGGGGAGGGCTTCGGATCAATGTTCATCCATACCCTAACCGTCCTGTTCGGCAGGGCCCACGCAGAAGTCTCCAGTTAAGCCTCACAAAACTGATGCTGATATTTTTCGAATCTTCGAACCATCTGTTTCTACCGAGGTTTGAAAATGAACTACTTCTCTGGGTTGCAGTCGCGCCCGCATTCGTCGAACCTTGTAAGGCAAGTCAAAGGAGGTTCGACCAGAGGAACGCCACACGATCCCCTATCGAATGGCCAAGGAGTACTTAAAAGACCCTGTCACTTTTAATCAGGAGGATCTTCCTACTACAGAAGGGAGCGGAACACTACCTTAGGGTATGCATGCGGCGTCTTCCATGGTCGCACATATCTCACCAAGGAAGAGTATGGACCAATTACCTACTTACTGAACAATGAAAAGATTACAGGTCAACTACAGAGGTTTCGGTATTTTGCTTCTCCCAAGCAGAAACAAGAGATTTCGAATCTGTCGATGTTTAAACACCATTGCGTTGTGCAGATCACTGTAGGTTCCAGCCTACATCACTGATGGCTCGTTTCTGGAATCCCCAACCTTTTGCATCCGGTTACCTACCCTCCCCCTCTCCAATACAAACTGATGCATACGCTAGCGTCCCAAACTGGAAGGCGACAACTCCCTCTAAGCATACTCACTGCATTCGAGCTCGAGGGATGCCTAGCACAGGCCGACGGTGTTTGAACCAATTAACACCGCCGGAGCAACGGACTTGCTGTAACATCTAAAGACTCCGGCGCTAGAGCGGGAGTGCTAGCAATCACCCGCATTCAGTGCCCATCAAGATGTTCGTCTTGCATAAGATCAATGGCGGAGCCCGGGTCTATCTGATGTGATGGCCGCTACGCGCTTCTGTATGGCGCAAATCACCCTAAAATGTTAAAAGATAGGCGGTGTAAACATGGCCTCCTTCCCTAAAAATGCTAGAGTAGATGGGATATCATGCAGGTCCCGGCGACGTGCATGATCAGAGGGGAGAGCGCTACGCCCACTTCAATCCAACATTGCCTAGGTAACAGGGTCAGAAAACCGTCACATGGTCTCGCTTCCAAGCATGAATGGTCTACTTCTCTCAATTCCTCACGATAACTCTTGCGCATAACCTCCTTCCAGTTTCTTCAGAGGCCGAATGGGACATGCATGGGGAACCTGCATTCGGCAGTCCCCGTCACAGCAACACGTCGCGATACCTCCTCAACGGAGCGTGGCTCCGGATTGCGTGCTTTAATACTGCAGTGCACACGTTCTCCTTTCCTTGGACATAGAGATAGCGAATATCAAGGCGCATCCGGCTGGTTTGGCGTTAACCGTCAGCCACTTCGCTTTGGCTGCGAGTGTTATAAGGGAAGTATGAGTACTTCGAACAATCGCTGGAACACATCGTCGTTACTGACAGGCGAACTAAAATCTTTTGATCTTCGACCTTTCAGTAGCACGACCATCCACGAGATCTACATCATACTCTGCCACCAGCCTGTTCGAACGGCAACAGTTCCAGTTACACTCTTTACGGCCCCAACGCGTCATCCATTCAAACCCAGATGTCTCTATGCAGGTTCATATGAATTCTCAAGGAGCCTCCTATTCACCTATCGAATCCCGTCCGTCCCACCGAAAGGCGGGGAATCATTGTTGGTAGTGAGACAACGCATGCAAGGGGCGCATCCCTTACGCACGCTGTGTCACGATGCGTTGAGCTTATTTGGACCTCGTCCATGAGAGTCCTCGGTCAGTGCGCGAACAAGAACTCCCCGCCACAGTACTTAGCGATGAAACAGATGAGCAAAGCGCAACTTTGAAGCCAGCCATACACTATATGGCAGAGACTCACCATATCTCAGTACTGATGTCACTCGTGTTGGGCCTTACCATCGGAGTTGTAATACCTAGATCACCAACTACATGTCAACGCTTCATTGAAACATGCTTAGGCATTTACGTACATGAGTTTTCCCGTTGCTCCCTAATCTCTTTAGTTGCGCCTTACTTATGTCGTGCAATAACACTCCAGAGCATTTTCTTCTGCATTATATCTGTGCATGCGCTAAATCAGCTGAAAAATGCCGTATATATAGAAGTTGCATATACGTCGAACATAGACCCCAAAGGTGTGACCTGTCTCGATGCAATATTTGCATCCCAGAATATCCGAGACATGTATCCAGGGTCGGAACCAAGCTTGAAAGACTTTTTTAATTCTGAATATTCATTCCCAGGTCTACGTTTCATGCAAGTGTGGTCTCAGTAACAGTGCGTCGTCGACAGATGTCCAATTTACGTGATAGCAATCAAGAGCACCGCCTTGGAGCCCTTGAGGAACATGGACTCAATTTAACTGCGAAACCCCTACGGCCAAGTTGCCATCCGTGAGCCTCTGTCTGAGTGGACTTATGATTATGTTTCGGAGTTGCCCTCCGCTAGTATGACAAGGACGTGGAATGTATGCCACTTGTGGTTTCTTCACCCTCCGGTGTCAACTGGTACAGCCCAGTTGGCAGCCATCGCCATCCCGTTGAGTTTTTCGTGCATCGCCACCGAAGTTACCAATTGTATAGATATTGGCAGGAATATATCGTCGTCCAACACTTCAGATACATCCAAGCAACATGTCGTTATGCAGTTGGGGCTGCACTGACCAATCGCTCGTTGGACGATGCTGTCGTCAATGCTCTTCCAGGGGGAGAGGTGTAGGTAGGCAATCTGTGTTGAGGAACATGTACGTATGCCCTGGGTACTCTAGGGTAACGTTTGCATACATTGGCGTATAAGTATTCCACTTTGGAATGTATCTCTTTCCCTTCCGTATGAAAACTATCTGAGCAAACCCAGTCTCCTGACCGTCTCGACGCCAGTTACCTCTCTTTGGATGCAAAAACTGTGTTCTTTCTTCTACCAGCTATAGGAAAGTCTGGAACAACTATGATTACCTATATCACTGCGCTAGAACCTTGTGACTTCTGCGACAATTTTGGAGGTCTAGTTTTCAAGGCAAGGTGCCTCACCTGCAGTTGATCGCTAAAGTCAGTGTTGAAGTAGAAGGACTTCTTCTCTTTCTAAATATACGTTAGTATTGGAATTTGTGAACTCTGTCCCGTATACGTAGTCCTGTGTTATATCCGCGGAGGCAGAGAGCGGCAATTTGCGTCCGAGTTGACGTACGTTTAAGACAATCAAGCAACAACAGTTCCAGAGGTGCGAAGTTTCTATCTAACGGTGACCAATAACGGCAAGTCCTCGATTTCGTGCCCGATATGTGGAGCCGTCTTGTTCTGTACACAGTATGAGGAGTTGGAGACAAGGTCTCGGACCTACCCTGAACATCCTAAGTTGGCCATTATATACCTATGTATCCCAAACGAGGATCAGAGCAAGGCCCTGCTGATAGCGTCCTGAGCTCACACATCCTTCCGCACTCAGAAACGAAGGATTTCCCTCGCAGATGTACAAAGCTTCGCCGTTACCGTAGTGGCCCTGTGTCGTAGCTTCACTGTGGCCGCCAAACACCATGCCATGGTCTCGCCTAGGCCTAACGGTCTCCTATGCGGATTATCGAACTCTGTGTGTGGCTGTGCATGTGTGGCGCAAGCTGGTTAGCCAAAACCAGTTAATCACGATTTCTCCTACGCCGAGTAACTGAAGCAAATAATGACGTCTTGTCTATCGGGGAGGAGATCTTGTTGCAGTTGTTCCCTTGATGGCAGAATAAAGACCTGCTGTTCACTTCGACGGATGCTCTTGAGCTTGTCTGGAGACTGAGCCTCACCGGATTGACTCTCGGCCCGAGATGGCTTGATTCGGCGAGTGCCAGAGTTCTCGAATATTCCAACTCACCATGGCCATACTTCAACCTTCACGTTCCTCCTTTCGCACCTTTGTTGTGCACTCTGCTTCTGCTTTTCACTTCTGTAGCTTGAGCTTCGGTTGACGGACCCTTTTTCAAGTAAGTTCCAGCCATTTGCGCGCATTTTGTTCTCTCTTTCTATGATGAGATCCAAGCTGGCACCAGTCCTAGAAGACTTGTACTCTTTTGATGCGGATTAGCTTTTGCGGAGCGATGCTCCTTTACCTGATTACCCAATTCTTTGAGCTGCGATTGTTGGAAACTTGGTTCGGCAGTTGCTAATTCCATCGTCAGACCCTTCCTGCATTCGTCATCTTATACCCTCCATCACGATGGTTCTCCACAATCCCAACAATTGGCACTGGGTGAACAAGGACGTGTCTGGCTGGACGCGAGATTATCTTGACAAGGACCTTCCAGGGATCTTAGCTGAGGAAGATGGGGTCAGCGCAAAGGTGGACCGCGTCATTAGCATGGATGGAGACGTCGATGTGAGCCAGCGCAAGGGCAAGGTTATTACAATCTTCGATGTTAAGCTGAAGCTGGAATACTCTGGTATGTGTGTTTCGGGTTGCGGACGGTCTCAGGGCGGCATGCTGATTCTCAGGCAGGCAAGAACAAGGAAGGCGAAGAGGCTAGCGGAACCATCGTGATTCCCGAAGTCGCTCATGACACGGAGGTAGACGAGTATGTCGTATGTTCCCTTGGCTCCCATTCCCTCCCCTCTGTGCCTCTTGTGACCCGAGCTAACATACGGCGAAGTTTGAGGTAGACGTCTACTCAGATGACAAGAGCAAACAACCAGTCAAGGAGCTCGTCCGATCCAAAATAGTACCGCAGCTGCGACAGCGTCTCGCAAAGCTGGGACCGGCTTTGATCGAAGAGCACGCGAAGGATATCCAGCATGCCCCAGGCTCCAACCCCTCGAGCGGCTTCGCAACACCGAAGATCTATTCAAGCTCCTCGGTGAACAAGTCATCCGACAAGGTTGCGTCCACATCGAGCACGACCCAATCCAGCGGTGGGAAGCTCGTCAACACTACCACCATCACCGATACAGCCGAGTTCCGTACCACAGCCGCCGAGCTGTTCCAGACCTTCACCGATCCTCAGCGCCTTGCTGCCTTTACGCGATCACCCCCGCAAAACTTTACCGGAGCGAAGCCAGGCGGAACTTTCGAGCTATTCGGCGGCAACGTGTCTGGCGAATTTGTCGAAGTGGAAGAGCCGACGCACCTCGTGCAGAAGTGGCGGCTAGCGCAGTGGCCGCAAGGTCATTATTCGACGCTCAGCATCTGGTTTGACCAAAACGATGTCGATGCCGTCACGGTGATGCGCGTGGAGTGGAAAGGGGTTCCCGTTGGCCAGGAAGAGCCCACCAAGAACAACTGGGGCGAGTACTATGTCAGGAGCATCAAGACGACATTTGGATTCGGAACGGTGCTGTAGGCGTACTGCTTCCGTTGCATAGCATGCATGCCGCTCTGGAATAGTGGAGGTGGGAATCTTGGGCGTTCTTGGGCGAATGATGATGATTGATGGATCATGATTGATGGGCATTACTCAGTATAGCTGAGCGGGTTACCTAGAAGACACATGCATCACACTGTATTCTGCCTCTTGGCACCAAACTGGACAACTCCCTGAACTTCCTCCGTACGTTGATTCCCAGTCGGGGCGACTTTATTGGCAAACACCCAATAATGCTATAAGTGGAGCTTTGTCTTAGAGCTTATTATACCTACCATAGTAGATAGAGGCGCTTAAAGCTAATTTCAAGGTCTATTCTATTGCCACGCCTCCTAGCGGACCTGATAGACATGAAAGACAGCAGTACAGAGGAAGGAGGCAGTAGTATCGATGAAAGCCCTGGCTCTTTGTATGAGAATCGGCCAAAGTGTAGATTCGGCGGCTCCATTGATCACTCAACGCTCACCATTTGCTCGATCTCAACCCCTTGAAACTGCTCCCAATTGCACTCCGTACTGCTCAGCAATACCTACGTTTGAATTTTGTCACACCTTCTACTCATTATGATTACATGATTTTGCCGCTGCGTTTTGGAGCCCGACGAAACCAGTGTGATATCAACCCGAGCCGCCAGTCAGCGCATGCCATTTGTGTCTTGCTTACTATCTCCGGGAGTTTTTCTATGCACTCTTCTTTATGAGTATCCTGAACAGTCTTCATCTCGGAACCGGGACTCACCACCGTGTTCGTAGTTGTTGGTATCGAGCCCATTGACCTCTCTTCTCTGGGCCGAAAGCGGGTGCAGCAACGACGTATCCCTCCTCTGTCTACCCATCCCCATCCCCATCCTCCCCACACAAACCTACCTCCTCCTCGTCGACAGCCGAGTCCCTTTTTGTCGGGCACTCGGCCCCACGGGCATCGGCACATGCTCCTCGCCATGAAATTCCGCGAGCGGCTCGAGGTCGAAAGGCGCACTTTACCCAATCTGCAGGTCGACATGCTGGCAGAAACAGTGCAAAATTACGCTCGTGTGGCGAAATTGTTTGCGTCGTCGTGATTGCGAGTCCGGTGGTGAGTGGGTGGACTACGTTGGCTCTTGGTGCTGCTGGGCATCTTGTTCGGCAGGGCTGGGAGAGGGCTGCGTTGGTGTGGGCGGAAAGAGAGTGAGTGGTGTTTGGGAGTGGTGTTTGATGAGGAAGGCTAGGAGGAAGGGGCAGGGATCTTGAAAGAAAAGGAGAGGCTGAGGGTTGTATAAGGATTTGGTGCATGGGACTAGGGAGGAGGAATCCTGCAGAGAGCGCTTTGCGTTTGGCTAACTCCGACTGCGATCTGAATGGACGTCATGTTATCCAAGGCAAGGAAGTCCTCGATTTCGAGCGCCCTTCTTCCCCGACAACGATCCATCTGTAATGCTTAGCACGTGACTTTTGGAAAGGCACTTATGAATTTCCGAACAGAGCCAGTACAATGACATTGCAAAACAATATTCGAATTACCGATTCGGTAGAAATAAAACTGCCCCGCTGCCGGATACTTCTTGACCTCAACGCCTTCCATTGCTCGTATGCAGTCCAATTTAGTTGTGCAACGCGATACCAATGATAATACAAGGGAAGAAGAACACGTCCCGTTTCGATGCAGCGAGCAATGTATGTGGATAACAGTCGGGCTACTCATAGATCGTCAGGCGGACCCGAGAACAGCGCTATACGTATTCTATGGAACTGCAAATGTTTGTCAGTACGCTGTATATACAGGGGCCAGAGGAGCTTACAGCAGGCAACTTGGGAATGATAACCGCGATCGTTGCGATGGTGTTGATTAGGAAATACGTCAAGTCGTAATGGGTATAATGGGTGCTGACCAGGAAGAGCGCGATGGGCACCATGAGTAGGAACTTCTTGGTGGGCGTGTACTGATCTCCGTTGTCGATCTGCTCCCACATGTTGAGGTTGTCGTAGGCGCCGCTATTGAAGTCAAACGGCACGCCACGAACATAGTGGAACATGATGTACGAGCCAACCATGTACGACAAGTTGGTCAGCGTCCATGACGTCTCTTGAGAGACTCCGGGAATGATGTCGAAAAGGACCTTGGCCATCATGATGAGAACAATGTGGATCGTCCAGGCACCTACAGGTACTCGATTAGCATCTTTCCAATCCACGAGAAAGTCTCCAATGTGGCTCACCCTTTGCATTCACCCAATCCGCATTCAGATTTGGAAGAGCAGCCTGGTCGCTTAACTGCTCTAGGGATTCCGGGGGCTCTTTGTACACCAAGCTACTCGACCGCCTCCTACGGGCCTCCCGCGCGTCCAGAGGCATGTTGGCGGCTGACACGCTCAACTTGTGGGGTCGAGGGTCGCCAGCAAAGCTAAGGCGGGAAGTACGGTTGAGAAGTATGGGTGACAGTTTGGCGGTATTGGATATAGATCGGGGGATAGGTAGCGGCGGGGTATGGAGGCGGTTGGACGAGCCCACGAAGACCAAGAATATGCGGATGAATCTGATGGAGGACGAGAGCGGTCCGCGCGGAAGCTCTGGCTGACTGTGTGCGCGTATACCTTCCGGGTGGTCGGAGGGTTGGTAGTAGGAATGAATACAGGAGTGGGTAGGGGTACCGCGCAAGAACACCAGAGCAGAGGCAATCGGCGGTAGATGTAGATTTGTGCCGCAGAGCACTGGGAAAAGGAGGAGACTCTTTTCCCAGGTGATGAAATTTCGGTGGTAAAAGGAGAAAGGGGGGAGACGCTCGGGACAGAGGTGTGGAGTGTGCCCAGGTGGTGTTGAATCCGCGCAACGTCAACGTTGCTCTTTCGGGAAGGAGTTCACGGCTCAGCGCTTGGACCACCTCCAACGCGGACAGCATCCCCGACCTCACCCCAGCTTCACCAGTCGACACGCCGCGCTCACTCCACACCACTCCTCACACCATAACTCCCTATCCTTTTCTCAAATGGCTACGGAAGCAGATACTCCCATAGAGGGCGATGCGCGTGAAATCCTGCCAGTCGATGCGCAAGACGCGGCGCACAAGGCTCCTGTGAAGCGCTCATGGAGGTACGGGATCCCACAGGCAGGCAGCTACAAGCGCCGTCTGCTGACTGTCGCAGGCGCAAATATCGAAAAATGCGCCTCAAATTCGAGGAAACCATGAATACAAGCAATAACCTCATCAGAGACGAGTGCAAGGCGATCGCAGTAGCGCGGCGACTGCAGGAGCAGAATGAGTACGCGACGAATGTATGAACATATATATTCCTTGGCTGATTAGTGTAGCCAAATTCTTGAAGCACTTCTCGACCTGAACGAGATGACGCGCCTGCCTGCAAACCTTCGATTCGATCTTCGCGACCTCTCTGAGACCGGCTCCCATCTAACCTTACCCGAATCCGAAGCACGAGCGGATGCCCTACAGCGCAGGTTACAGGAGCTCCGGAACGACATGGTAAATGGCCTAATCACGCCCGAAGACTTCGCACAAAAGTCAGACCAGCTCCACACCCAGTCAATAATACCTACCCGGTCGCTGGCGGACCTCGAAGCCAAGGTCCCACATACCACCCATCCGCCCGATCCTCTACCAGAGGGTTTGCTGATTGGCGAAAACGCACCCAGTTACATGTCACCTGCACACGAGGAAGAGTACCTCCTTGCAATGGATCAAGCCATCGCCGATCCGTCAATATACGACCCGGATGCGCACGACGGGCGTCCCCTTCGCCTGCCGCAAACGCGCCACCACATACCTACTGAGAAGGAGCTTTCCATCCAGAACCCAGATAGCGTCTACAACTGGCTGAGAAAGCACCAACCGCAAGTCTTCCTCCAAGATAAAGATGTCGCGCATGCGGAGACGGTGTCGGAGAAATCTTCGGCGCGGCCGGCGACCACGTCAGGGAGGAAGCGACATTCCCACGTCTCCGGAGCTACCCCAGGACTAAAGAATGAGGAGATAGACGAGGAGCTGGGCTTTATCCCTGAGATGGTGACTACGAGCGGTAGGGGAAAGAGAGGGCATAAGGGAGAAGACGACGGCGCATATAGGCCTAAGGGTAGTGGTCGGGGTTCTAAGAGAAAACGGGAGGACGGCGAGACGAGCAATAGAGGAGGGAGGAAGAAGAGACAGAGTGCCGCTTCTGCGGTCGTGTAAGGATTGAGATTGGAAGGTTGCATTGGAAGCGTAGGGCCCGGTGTCTGGTGTTATATCGGTCCTCATTGTTGCCTTCAGGATACTGTCTAGGGGTCGCCATGTGTACTTGTTATTGTACCGGGACTTGGGCTGGCACAGGTGTGGATATGGAAGGTTGGGTCATGATACCCATTCAATCACTGCGAGAGCTATGCAATAGACAAAAGGAATTGCGCAGTGGACCTTACATGGTTCCAGAGGTACCATATGTCTCAAATCATAGAGGACTAGTACCACTCAATGCGAATGTGATTTTGAACATTCCATACTGCGAATCCAAGATATACAAGTGGCCATCCCTCCCTAAGGAATTTGTGATAATCTATAACGACCTCAAATCGTACATGATCACGCTCATACAACAACCCCCTACTACCGCAACTGCGGCATCTTCCGTCCCCTCGTCCCCACCATAACCGGCTCCGGCTCAGGTGTCATAAAGGGCAGCGCATTCTCAATGACCTTGATCCCATCCACCAGCGTTCCGTTCTGCGTCCTCTCATCATCCAATTTCAGCTGCTGCGCCCTCTTCTCTTCGAGATATTTCTTGCGCTCCTCGGTCAACTCCCATTCTTTCGGGAACACATGTCGCACCTTCGGCTTATGGTGTCTGAAATCGAACGGCACATCCGCAAACGTGTCCTTGGGATCTCTCGCCTCGGCCAGGAGCTTGGAAATGGTGTCGCCTAGGAAGCGCTTGTTCTGCGGTAGCGTGTCGAAGAGTTCGCAGGACATTTTTACGAGGTCGGTGGAGGGGTTATAGCGGGGTCCGCAGAGCTTGATGAGTTTGTCTTTTTGTTGGGATGTTAGGTTTTTGAGGTCGGAGGGGGAGAATTCGACGACGACTTTGTTGGCGGCTGGGTGGGATTCGCCCAGGTAGGAGGTATAGCGGAAGCGGAACGGGGTGGCTGCGGTGGGGAGTTCGAAGGGTTTGGCAAGTTCTGTTCGGGACGGGTTAGTGCTTTGTTCGTCTTTTGGTTTAGGGAGTCGGATTGTGCTTACGTCCCAGCAGAGGGAGCTCCCATGCAATCATTCGTGCGTAATGCCTCATGTCTCGCCGCTCTTCCAGTTGTCCGTGACCATGACTGGTAATGTCGTCTCCATAGTAATCCTCATCCGGGCCCAGTTCTTCCTGTCCTTCAGCCCAGAAACCGGGCTTTCCCGTCGTGGGCTCAATGACGAAGTCCTCGTCCCTCTCCAGTCTGTAATGATTCTTCCAGGGTTGGCCACGCTGGCCTTTCCTCTGAGCTTCGAGGATATTGGCAGGATCGAGAGCTTCAATGTTCGCCATAAGGCTCTTGACTTGTGCGGCCTCGGTCTCCTCGGGAGAGGGCTTCGGCGGCTTCTCTTTCCTCGCTTTCTGCTTCTTTGCCTCCTCTTCTCGTGCCATTGACATCGATACACCCTTATTATGAGGTACAGGTTCCGCCGTTGTCAACACAGGATCCTTGGACACAAGCTCCGGCTTTGGAGGGTTGGCATTCTTATCGAAACGCGGTTTGGGTTTGTCGTCCGCCAGGGGCGCCGTCGAGGACAATGACCGTTGCCATTGCTGCTGCGTTATCCGGCGCGAGCAACGCGCTGAGCTGAACACCAGCCGCCGCGTTACTGACGCCATTGCTGGTGATGGGAGGTTGTCAATCGACGCTTTTTTGCGGAGAAGACCTCCGTGCTTGGCGCGATGGAAGAGAGTTCCACCGATCTCCGGGTGTCGGTCATGGAAAGCTAGGCCTAGTTGGTACATCACCATCGTCAAGGACATTGGACGACTACAAACAACATTGGACCGGAACATTTTTGGCCGCTTAAACTTATCGCATTCGTTGTCATCATGGCGGATAATTGGACGTGGTCAGAGGGATCGAAGATGAAAGTCTGCTTTGTCACAACAGGAGCAACAGCGCCGTTCACAGAACTCATACGAGCGGTATTACAAAGGTCGGCTATTGATGCGTTGCGCGATGCAGCATATACGCACCTCTTGGTTCAATATGGCGTCGCAAAAGACGTGTACGATACTTTTGCGATTGACGCCAGATCCCATATCCAGACACAGCCTGAGAAGGGAGAGTTGATTATCGAAGGCATGAGCTTCCGGCCTGAGGGACTTATGGAGCAGTTTCGCCTGGTGCAACAGTCGAACGGATTGGCTATATCGCATGCCGGTATGCCTTTTGAAGACCAAGTTTAAGATTCAGGTCGCTCAGGATGATGAACAGGCTCTGGCTCTATTCTTGAAGCACTCCGCTACGGCGTACCGCTGATCGTTGTGCCTAACACTGCATTGCTGGACAACCACCAAGAAGATTTGGCTGTTGCCATGGAACGGTCCAATTATCTTATTCGTGGCGATGTCAAGTGAGTACGGCGAATTCAGTGCGCGGTTTAGCTGACCCTATGTTTCAGCGACCTCGCGCCTGCCATTCGAAAGGCCGAGGACTTTAGACGGAAGATGGCTCAGTTTCCACCTATCACGAGCGGAAAGCACCGAGAAACTAAAAGTTTTGCGGCCATAATGGATGAAACTTTGGGAGTACTTGAATGAGGTCAACCAAATCATCTGTAAGGAGCTTCATCGTGAGGAGCGCTGCCGATCCGTACCCACAATGCAGTAGCAGTAAGCCCTCGTCACGCCCTCGTCCATATCCCTCGGATTTGTACAACATTTCGACGACACGTCTCCATCCATACGGCGGGCTCCCCAAGCTTCCGTTTTGGTGTGGTTCTGTAAGAAGTCCTTACGTGGGATCAGCCAACTGGAGCTTCCCGGTAGCCTGAGATACGACGTTCAACGCAGAATACATGGCAGTGCTTACCGTTTACCCAGGCCGCTGGTGTTGCAGTCACGTAAAGCGTCAACTCGAGGACTCGGGTTGGAGTATCTATCGCGAAAGCCAGAGGAACTGTGGCAAGCCGAAGTTTTTGGGGGCACCCCTCCCATTTTGCAAAAAGCTTGTAGAGTTTGAGTCTATTCAACTACAAGGCTGTGATTTCTAAGTTTGATGATTTCTCAGACTGGTCGAGATCAATGTTCGAAGGTCCTCTTGTCTGTTCATCACAACATATGAGACTTTCGGGTGACGCAGACATAGTTTCTCAGTTGAAAAGCCGAATTATATTCGTCCACTCAATGATCTCGAACATCCTTGCAGCTGTGGATACCTGCATGGGAAAACCGATTTACCGTCTCCTTCCGTAACGCTGGCTAAGGCAATCTTTGAGTCTAGACTGTAGGTTCCTTGGCCGCTACTGGAAAGGCGACTCTGTATCTTCCCAGAGACACCCTGTACCATCCGACATCATAAAACATAAGTTCACCGGTCCAGCCAGTCCTATTCCTCTCCATCTCACCACAGCTACCACTTCTCCAAGCAAGAACCTTATCGCGTCCCAGGCGGCTCTATCAATGTTCTCCAGATTCCCTGTAGCAAGACGACTTCTCAGTCAGTGGCGTTGGCGACTATCGAGGCGAGCGCGATGCGCGAAATGCACTGACACACCAGCTCTGATGAATTGCATGGACCGAGTTTATCCAAGGAAGCACACGTCTTCGCGTCGACCAAGTCCCGTCTTTCAGCCGTACATTTGACTTCACTGCTAGAGATGCTGGCTATGCCTCTCTCCAACTGCACATTACCTCGAAAACACTGGAGATAAGTTGCTTATCTTTTCGGGTTGGTTCAAAGTACTAGTATAGCGACATTATTGTCAATCATTGGTTAGAACTGACGCTCAAACAGGCAGTGAAGGATAACGTGAAAGTCATCTTTGCGTTGTCATACTCCGTCAAAGGTTAAGCCGTTCATTATTGTGGGAACATCAACCTTAGGACGACGAATGTTAGGTGAGTTATCTTGGGCGAGAAGGTCAGTCCTTAAGGATCACAGGATCATGTCATAGGCACAGCAGAATTGTTGAGTGGAGATGATATTATTGTTGAGAATATTGACACTGGCTAGGACATCCGCCTCTCATGAGGTAGAGTCCATGCAAGCCGTGTATCATACAGGAAAAGAATGCAGAAACCCAGATTGACCGCCACCACATTGCACGACCAGTAGCCCAAGCGCGTCAACGTGTCCAAGCTTGTCTATATGCCGTTGCCGTCTACCAGAGTACCAAATGCCGTCTTAATGCGATGGGGATATAACACACCAAGGAAATGGAATCCGAAAAGATCATGATCGCGGCGTCGAAAGGAACGTCGTCAAGTCACGAGAGTCGAGAAGATTGGTACGAGAGCCTGTTGAATGGTCAATGTCGACTGAGCAAGACCATTGGATGAGAGCGTTACTCACCTATTTGCAGCACTTGTACCAGCCGGAAGCGTTGGAGCACCACCCACAGCGACGGGAGTTGCATTCCTTGGCCTTGACGCAAGGTTGACCGTATCCAAGACCGGCGATGGCAACGGGATCGAGATCAGTCGCATTGATAGCCGGAGAGAAGTCGACATCATCGGGACCGAAGTCGGTGGGAGGCTCAACACCCTTGGCGGCGAGTCCAGCAGAGACCTCGGCGGCCTCGTGGATGACTTGAGGACCCGCGACGACGAGGGTGGCGAGGCCGAGAAGGGCGACGACCGAGAACTTCATGTTGATGAAGAAGTGAGCTGATTGATTGGGAAAAGAGTCGAAGTTGATTGATGTTGAGAGTGACTTCGAGTTGGAAGTTGTGGTTGATCCAAGAGTTGAGTTGAGGGAAAGGAGTCGTAGGACTGGAGGGTATTTATGTCAACGGAGGGCGCAATGGAAAATGCGCGCACCGCCAAGAGGTCGAAGGTAGCTGATGTGGCGAGTGATCGCGAAGTCGAAGTTGTGGTTGATCGAAGAGTTGTGTGGGTTGCGATGGGGGGTAGCAGTTGCAGGAGGAAAGGGGTATTTATGTCAACGGCGCCGCAACAGAGAATGGTGCGCACCGCCAAGGAATCGTAGGTTGACCGTGTTGCAAGTGATCGCGAGTTGCAAGTTGTAGTTGATAGAAGAGTTGTTGTGGGTTGCGATGGGGAGAGGAGTTGTACGTCTGGGAAGGGGGTATTTATGTGGACGAAGGACGCAACGGACCACCCACGGACCAATCGTGGATGGTGCGTGATCAAGGAGAGACGTTTCGACATCCTTTCTGAAAGTGACTCATGGCCCGTGGAGCAAGCATGCGCCATGAGAGATTTTCGTGATGGCATAGTGAAAGGGCGAGTCCGGCATAGTGCGGACAACAACGCACAGAGCCGGCCACTGACGGCTATGGGGACGGTATTCCGCATTGTGAAAGCGTCGGGTATGGTTTCTGCATAATGATGACGTCTATGAAGGCACAGTTATGGCCCCATGAAGTTGACATTGTGAACGTACGAGTACACCTTGGGAGTGGACAATGTGCCGCCTTGGAGCAACAGCTGCCAATTCGCAATTCCGTAAGCAGATGAGAGAGCGCGTTGTACGGCTATGTAGATTGTTTTGGCGGAACTAGCTGGTCGTTAAGGGAAAGGTTATAGTATAGCTACCATGAGACGGTGTACTCTCAACATTGGAACGGCGCAGTGTGAGAAACAAGAAGAATCTTGCACAGGAACAATCATCATTCTCACAGTTGGTTAGATAAGGCGCTCTTGCCAACCTTGGCAACAGTTTAAACCAGTTCTCCATGTTGCATGCCTTGTGCTTTCTCAATGAGCTCGCAGATGCCGCTCTTTTAGCCCTGAATCACTAATCTAAGTCGATTTTGTTGGAGTTATCTGGCAGCTTCCATGTCATGTACAATCAATGGAGCAAGCACGTGTAGCAGGCACTTATTTACTATAAGTACTTGCTCTTTTCCATCTCATCTGGATCTATGGCCTAGGTCCAACAGATTTCGCAACTGTAACTGCGGTTACAAATCATCTAAGTATTGGCTCTTGATATAAAGGCATACGATGGTAGATGCCGTGGCACTATATATTGCCCTTTTGAAGTAGCAATGTCTTACACCTTGCAATCCCTCCCTTACAGTTGGGATTGGAGATAAAGTCTCCCGGCTTGGCATGACCTACATGAGCCCTAAAATGTACTCCAGTTTTATTGGCAATGCGCAATGATATTGAACAGCTATGCCGTGAGCATTGTTACCTTCTATAAACAGTGCGCAGACACTGCGCAGCCACTGCGTGGCTCTCACCACTGGCACCACCTCTACCCAGTCCCAATCGGTCCGCCTCTTCCAGCATATTCCTCACCCGCAACCCACCCTAGCTTGAGCAACTGCAACCACAACTTTTATCCTGGACCAACCCAGTGATCCACTCCCTTTCAACCGCGCCACTCCAACCATTGGCCACAACTCAACTCTGACCCAAGCAACTGCAACCACAACCTTTATCCAAACCGACGGGGGGTAATCAAGCCTTTCCACGTCAAAGATGCCTACTCTTCGAACTCGTATCAAGGAACGCAGGTGGAACATCCCCTTGGCAATGACCGTCTGGCTCCATCCGCCTCCCGCAGAGAAGCTCGCCTGTACAGGACGCGAGTCCGGGTACACTTTCAAAAACCGTCTGCCGGAAGCACAGGACGACCCAGTCATTCGCATGATCATATACGCCATCCGCCGTCTGGAGCGTGAGGATCTGTGCATGGCTGCGGCGAAGATTCGGGTTTACAACGCTACAAGTAGTCGACCAATCTGGCCACCCACTCATGGAAACTCAGACAGCGCTGTCAAGTTCTACATCTTTCATCCTTATTATGAGGAGTTCCCGATGACAGTTCCCATCACAGTTCTCCCCGATCGAGGACGTCTCACCCCTGGCGCAATTCAAGTACGATTCCAAGGCGAGTGGAAGCGTCTCATAGACTGGTTGCCGACCATTCTAAATCGCGATATGCTGCTAGACGGATACAAGCGTTCCCTGCAGTCCCAGCAGATATCGTGGGCCAAGAACGGAAAATCCTTCCCCTTCATGCGACTTCCGCCGGAGATTCGAAGGATAATCTATCGCGAGGTCATAGGAGATGAGATCCATCCATTCAAAGTTGCTAAGGGTGGCCCTGTCACGCTAGGGCGGCCTGTTCCTAGAGACGCGCCGTTCTCCTACACGTCGGACTTCTTTGAGCGTGTCTTAAGGATGGGAAAGGCCTATGTCAATTTGAATATTCTCTATACCAACCGGAAAATTCGCGGAGAAGCCTTGCAAGCAGCTTGGGAAGGGACATGGAAGCACTTCGAGAATTCTTACAACTTCCAAGACATTGCCACTGAGTTCGTCCAAGATGATGGCCGAGGCCGATTTTCGAGCCCCTCGATTGGCCGCCCTCAGGGATACAATTGGCTCTCCAGAATCGAGCTAAACTTATATACTCGGGAGTACTTCGAGTTCTTTGGAGCGCGACTCACTTTGGTTCACCGGCAGGTTCAATTCGATTGGCAGCAGTCTCCAGGCGCACTTCTTCGCACAATACCCACGTTGACACATCTTAGTTTGGGCTTCAAAAACCCCTATTGCTCTGAAGAGAATTGGATCACACGCCGTGATCCATGGGGACAGTTCTACGAGAACAACTACGAGGCGCTCTACAACATGGGGCTCTGGGCCATTTTCCCCCAATGTGGCTGTCATCGCACCGCGGTCGAGTGGATTCTCAACTTTGCGTTCCCCTGCATCAAGCATATTCGATGTGTCATCCTGACTGGCTGCGTCAAGACTGTTCAGAAACGTGCATGGGAAGCCATCCTTGCAACAGAGTACAAGGAAAGCGCGTTGAGTTATCGAACCCACGGCTACGACTGGGAGGAAGAGATGGCAAAGATCAAGTCTGCCACTGTATACGATGCTCCGGTATGTTCATGCCCACTGTCATGCATCCGCTACGAAGCAATGGACCAATTGCACAGCGAGTACCTTGACCTTGCCAAAAACTTCGATCACCATGACGAGTCTACCCCGGAGATCTTGGAACGCGTGATAAGGGTCAAGAAGCAAGTGTTGGAACTGTTCGGGGCCAACATACGGGTCCGCAATCTCAAATTATTTGGACGCAACTCTGAACTAGTTGCTCTAGAAAATGCGTTGAAAGAGGTATTGGTGCACTACAAGCCAGGCGATCGTATTGAGGAATGCTCATTCCTGGCGCGTTGGAGTTGGGGGACCGCTCCCGACGACTGGCAGTTAGAATGGTCATGTCCAAAGGGGCTGCTACTATGAATCATGTCAACTGTACACTAGTAGTAGTAGGACTCACGGAGGATCATTAGAGGTAAAGGTATCTGAACGAGGAAATGGTCCGCTATCGGTCATGTCAAGTGTAGCAATGAGCGTCTGAGTGTCCTCTACTTGGATAAGTCCGGTGTAAGCGTCAGTCGCGGCCGCTAAATACACCTTCATTGTACAATCCTTTCCTCTGTACAGTGCGTTAAACGAAATATGTGCGCATTATTTAGTCAGATAGTAAGTGAACCTATACGCCACATGCAATTATACCTGGCCTATTGATAGACTGAATCTGTGAGACATGTGCGCGAGAATTGTGACCTCGGTCTTTGTTGCTCCACGAACCAATCTGCTCCGGATGAATCATTAGTCCATCCGAGCATGCGCTACAACGAATCTCTCCATGAAGACTTCCGTTTAGAAAGGATGCACCGAATCGATTATGATTTTGATGATTCGATTAGGCTGCGGCGCTGTTGGACTTCACTATTCAGTGGCGTAGAGGTCATCCATTCCGCCCCCTCATGGACACGGGTTCAGTTTGTACTATCGGGCAATTACTATCGTATGTCCTTATCTTCTTACGTCTCTTCGGAGGGCCTTGAAGTCATTAAGAAACCAAGACGCTAATATGAAAATGTTATGCTCCCTATGCCTCCCCATTATTGCTTTCCAACAACAACATAATACGAGCCTTTAGATCCTCATCTTCGCGCTATAAGACGGAGGGGAAACGGGAACCCTTTTCACATCCACCTTTACGCAAGTCGGATTCTGTGGCGGCCCCACGCCCACAACCCAGTTTAGTGTAACATATCTGCAAGGCCAGAGTTAGCACCGCGGACCTTGCATTGTATCTTCCCTCATCAAACATACCTGTAACCACCATAGTTTGTTGAACAAGCATACCAGTTATACACCGGGTTCAAGTGATACACGGGCGGATCCTGCGTATCGTCGATGGCACTCAGGATATTCAGCTTTCCCTCGGAGTCAAAATTGACAGTCACCGCGATATCATCGCCGGGATAAAACAGAGGCATCGCAACATTGCTGGTTGGGGAAAATTGGATTCCCAAGGGCTGTGAGAGGGTGAAGTCCGATCCGCGAAGTAGATACGTTATCCAGCCGGAGGGTCCAGGTGTGGCGTCTTGTGTAACGGGCTGCGAGTCCGATGTGTTGAAGCGGAATTGGGCTGGGGGGATGTTGTTGGGCTTGGAAGGGGAGAGGATGCCTGCTACACAGAGGGATTCAATTGCGGCGCCTGTGTGGCAAGCGGCGAGGTATTGGCCGTTGAAGGTTTGGTCATCGGAGATCAGGACCAGATAGAAGGGTTCGGATTGGTTGGTGTATTGAGCAATGGCGGAAGCTGAAAGTGCTGCCAGCACGGAGAGGAGAGCGAACTTCATGGCTAGGTTTGGGTATGCTGGTCAGGTTTGGGACGAATGTATTATCGGTTGCGGAGAGGTAAGAGTGAAATGGAGAAGTCGAGATGAGCTGCGTTGCTGGCGGAAGGTAAAATGTTCTTCACAGCGACTTTCCATGCTGGCTTTATACCCATTGGTTCGCACACCGGTAATCTTCAGGGAGGAAGATTTGTAGGTTATACGTCGGACTATCCGAGGGATGACGTCTAGGTGCGAATGCAGTGCAACCCCTCACCATGCAAGGCAAAACCTTCTCCACATCTCAACACTGTGAACGCCGATTACGGTAATGACGGCCTTTGAATACATCAATGAATAGAGTTCCATCACTGTGTTGCATCAGTTCCAAAAAAGAAAGGTATAATCCCCACACCCACTTTGTACCCCTGGTAATCGTTAGATATAACGGAGGTCCCATGATCGGAATACATGCATGAGGGTGATGACGAAGCTTCTCTACCGGCATCTATACTCCATCGTACTTATTTCCAATAGTTAGCCATGGCAACCTGTTTTTAGATTCCATTACTTGTCACCGACATTTCCGAATTCCGAATTCTGCATATTCAAGCCCCAGGCGGATCATAGGCTACGCCTTTTCACCGACGACGCAACACGCCACCATCACTTGCGCCCGCGGTGGTAGTTGCCGCTCCGCTCCAGCTGTCATCCTCCTCTTTTTCATACTCTTCCACGCCGGCTACACCCTGCTTTTGAATCCTCCACCAGAAGAACCACGTGATCCAGCAAAACACAACGTCAAAACCCACACTGCTCACCGCTGGATGTTCCAAAATGGCATTGATCATGCCTACGATTCCCGCGTAGTTATACGCCAGTCCGGTAACGTGCCGGTAGACTAGAAATCCTGCAAAAATGGTCACTCCCCAGAGGTACTTGTACGCCCGCTCCATGAACTCAACGTCGTCGTCGGGGAAATACCTCGCAGGTACAATTGCGCGCGCAAGAGGCAGCACGAGCAAGGCCAGATGAGGAAGCAAGAGCACAGGCAGGAAGTTTTTGCTGTGCCAGTACACATCATCCGCCAAGAGATAGGCCGGATACTCGGTTGCAATAATGGCTGCAAAGTTGATGAGCCAGGGCCCTAACCAGCTTCTCTTGCTGGATGACGCTACTGATGGTGATGGTGGTGCGGGCGGGCTGAGAAGCAGGGCAATGAGGAACAGGTTGGTCGCAAAGCTGATGGATACGAGCTGCCCAATGACCATGAAGACCCAGGTGTGCCGGATTCCTCGTCTTACACCTATCGGACGGTTCAGTTGTTGGGCGGAGAGTTTTGAGGGAGACCGTTACCTTTCTGTTCCAAAACCAAACCCAAGGCACACGCAAAGAAGAAGATTTGTTGTGTCCACCAATAGCGCGCATTCCCAACGATCGCGATCTCCCAGGCCTCCTTGAATAGGGAAGTATCCCTGAGCCATAGTCCCCAATGGTTCTGATCGTCCGAGAAGTCGTAGTATGAGCGCCACATTAGCCATACTTGGTATGAGACCTTGAAGTACCGCATCATATAGTACCATGTCGTAAGCAAGCTACCCGCTGCCAGACTGATAAAGAGGAGCACATGTCTCCTGGGAGGAGGTCGTGCAGTGGTTGACTTTGAGAGGACAACGTAGTTTTTTAGAAGTTTCTGCACAACATATGCGGTAAGAAGGGCACAAGTTCCCAGGTAGCTAAAGAAGATAAGATAGGCGCGAGTGTTTGTATCAGCACCCGCTGGTACAGGCCTCTTATTCATGAATGACCGTGGTATGTGATCGTTGGGGTAGCCGGGCGGAAAGACTCCTGGAGGAGGCATCAGGTTGGTGGAATCGGGTTGAGTACTCGGTTAGCCTACCGTTGAGACTTAAAAGCGCGCGGATGTGGACAGCGAAACGTGTTCACTGCGGGCCAACGGGTCAATCCTCACTCCGTTGTGAGGGTTGAAGCTGGCAATTCACTCTATATTGATTAGGGCCCGTGCGTCACACGTGGGGAAGATCACGTGGAAGTATAAACATTTGAATCCCCACAATTTCCATAAGTGGCTAGCTCGATCTAGCTCTGTCGATCTTAAACTTTCTTTCAACCTTCAACCTTCCCCCCCAAAAGATCCTCTCGAGGGCGTTAGCAATTACTCTTGTGGAGAGCCTCATTCAATGCTCCAATCTTTTCGTGCAATAATACCAGACAGCTGGTGGACAATTTCGTCTGCAACTTGTGGAGGTGCCAGAAAGTTCGGTAAGTCGGTCGCCACGGATATGGAGCCGGCATGATGATGTCAGACCTCGGACCAACCCTAACCAAAAGTCCCCAGACTTCATCAGTATCCCAGATCGATAAGGACCGATAATTAACGGCAATCTTTCAACAGCCTCTCGTTATGGCGGATATAGATAGACCTGGAGAAGCCGTCGCTCAAGCAGCCGCTGAGGAGATTGATCATGCCAGGGTCCTTTCTGAACACCTCGTACCTGGTTACACAGCTGATTTCGACCCGGCACCCCTTGACTCTTCGAATAATATGGAATCTCCCAATGCGGGTGAAGGCTCCAATACAGAATCCTCGCTCCGACTTCAAGGCGGTGATATTCACCGGGACCTCTATAGAATTGAACAACGATCGAAACTTGGCAGGCTCCACCAGCGCGCCGCCACCTTCTCCCATCTGCCAGAGTTCACCTCGGAGCCGGACCATGAAGAGTTACCTGTATCCGCACAACTACTCCCCGGTGGTTTCAGAAGGCAGTTCTTTCAAAGGCAAAGAGGGCGGCTGAGTCGCTTTGCCTCTCCCGTCGCGGACAACTTCATATCGTTCCTAGCGCTGTACGGCAACTTTGCTGGAGAAGATTTGGAGGAATCTGAAGAAGATGAGGAAGAAGGAGCAGTAGAGGCAGGAGAAGCCGCGGAACGCCGACCCCTTCTTGGAGCTCGCAGGAGTACCAGACGGCTGAGGGAGAGAACGAAGGGCGATGCTGGGAATGTGAAATCGTTCTTCACACTCATGAAAGCATTCATCGGCACGGGTATCATGTTCCTCCCTAAAGCGTTCAAGAACGGCGGCATCCTCTTTTCTTCCATTACCCTGCTTACCGTCTCTATCGTAACCTCGCTATGTTTCCATCTTCTCCTCGAGTGTAGAAAGCGATATGGCGGTGGATATGGCGAGCTAGGTGCCGCCATTGGCGGTAAGAGGCTGCGGTCCATGATCTTGGGGTCCGTCGTCATCTCTCAGATCGGATTTGTCTGCGCGGGTCTCATCTTCAGTGCGGACAACCTCCACTCATTCTTCAAGGCGGTTACGAAAGGCTCGACCACGCCAATGTCTGTCAACCTACTCATCACTATCCAACTGCTCGCTTTAACTCCACTTTCCTTCATCCGAAATATGTCTAAGCTGGGTCCTGTCGCACTTCTTGCCGACGTCTTCATTCTCATCGGCCTGACCTACATTTACTCCTACGACATTTCCAAGATTGCTGAAATGGGTGGTTTCCACCCATCTATCAGACTATTCAATCCCAGAGACTGGACTCTTACCATTGGCTCAGCCATCTTCACGTTCGAAGGCATCGGCCTGATCCTACCTATTCAATCCAGCATGAAGGAGCCGGAGCGGTTTAACAAGCTCCTCTACACCGTCATGGCCCTTGTCACGGTGATCTTCGGATCCGTTGGTGTTCTCTGCTATGGCACATTCGGAGACCGCGTCAGTGTCGAGATCATCAACAACTTCCCCCAGTCCAGCAAACTAGTCAACGCAGTACAGTTCCTCTACGCAGTTGCAGTCATGGTGGGCATGCCTGTTCAGCTCTTCCCCGCTATCAGAATCATTGAAGGAAAAATCTTCGGCCATCGCTCGGGAAAACGCGATCCCACTACAAAATGGACGAAGAATATATTCCGGATTTCTATCGTCCTGCTTTGCGGTATCATTTCAGCGGTTGGCGCAACCAATCTTGACAAATTTGTCGCACTCATCGGCAGTTTTGCCTGCGTGCCGCTCGTCTACATCTACCCCGCCTACCTGCACTATAAGGGCGTGGCAGACAGGCCGTATCAGAAGGCGCTCGATATCTCCATGATCGTGGTCGGGATCATCGCAATGGTTTATACCACAGCCATAACAATTGTGCGGTGGGCGGAGACGTGAATCGGAGGTGCACTTCCTGAACAGCAGAGCCGGGTCGGTGAGAACTTTTCAATACAAAATGGATTGTAAATGTATAATCTATGTTTATTGCTACGCTTGTAGCACGGCCCTTTTCTGCACACTCCATCGCTCTACTTTTGCTCTTGCTCAGCCACCCTAAGTGGTCTACTAAACCTACATTCCACGGGCATGTAAAGTCGCCGCTGTGATTCCAATCTACACACCGGTCAAATGCCACCGAGACATTGCGTGCCATCGGTAAGATTTTCGGTGGGCTCTTCGCTAGTCACATCAACAAGGTGGACATTATTTTAACAGGAAATGAAATATCACTTGTGAAGAGAGAAGATGGGCCAGAACAACGGCTTATATCTATTTTCTCGCTTTAGAGGCTCATATCCCTGCAGTCTTAGTTACTCTCGTGTTCCACACTTATGAAACGAGCAGTGATAATCACCATCTTCGGCGCCCCATCATCCTTCTCTTCATCATCGTCGTACGCGCCTCTATGGCTTCTCAACTCTGTAAGTTTGGGAAATTTCTGACTGACGGACCATCGGTCACTAGGAATGGCTTTTCGAATCTGAGAATTCCACCCTTTCTACTCCGTGGCTGATTTTAGGTTGTTAGAAAGGTAAAGGTGATGGTAGGGCAGGAGAGGAAGGAGAAAGGGTGAAGAATGAGGCCCTATATATCTGCACTAGAGAACAGATATGTTGCAAAGTACTTCCCGTTCTATAATCGTTTCTCAGGCATTAGGCATAATTATAATGCTAGAGAAAAACCGGCGATTACCACCACGGCTAACACCACGACATGTACACACCTTCACATGTAACATATGTCTTTCTCGGGATGAATGTTTCTTAGCCTGTCAAGCCTCAAGAACAGGAGCACCCGACCTCATTAGACGCTGTCTCTTTTTTTTTCGATTTTGTCGGCTCCCGAGTGTGGTGTGAGAGAGCAAAGAAGCAGAGGAGAGCGGGGAGTCTATATAGCTAACCTAGTATACTAAAGGACGCAATGAGTGAGCTTAGTGTATCGTAAGCATAGTAGAGTCTTTTCGAAATGGACATCTAAAGTCTAGGTAGAGCTGTTGGTATCGCTACTACAAACTAGTTTCAACATTGGCGCAATAATCTATCTGCTTTCCTTCATCATCATCATTAGCTCTTTACAGTGTGTCGGCCCTTCAATCCTACAAACTACAAATCCATGTACAAAAAATGTCAGGTCCTCCAAAGCAGCAACATGGATAGTACCTGGTTGCATTTGAGAGCTAGAGAAGAAGGATTTGCACCTAGAGTAGAATGATTACAAGGATGGAAAGAGTAATATATACTCCTACTGGAAGGTACAAACGCAACGAGGTTCACGTGAAAGATATTTAGCGACTTGATGAACACCTAGGGTATATCTGAAAGTACATATGTATTTTGAGGATCCGGCTCCATGTTTTTAGTATCGTCACCACTACCATTACCATACCCCACCCAACTCTGGGAACACAGAAGTTTGAGCATGTTCGTCTCTACGAAGATAAATTCTGAAAGATCTTAAACCACTAGACGTCATGAGCCTTGTCGTCTGTCCTCTATTGTGCCACCAACATTCAATTATTTTGAATTGGTATTTCGAAAGCCTAAAGGGTCAGGCAGCCGTGTAAGGAGAGGAGGTAGAGCAATATTACGTGTATTCGAAGAACATTTAATACTGCGAGCAAATTTTCATGCGTTAAGGGATTCTCCAACAGCGTTCATAACGACAGGCATTCAAAATTTCGAAGTAATGATTGCAGTAGCTTCAGTCATCACAATCACCATCATCAACACCGATACCATAACAGAAGAGGTTGCCGTCTATACTCTTTCCATTTAGAAATTTAACCCAAGAACATCTGTGAAGACGCTCGGCTTGCAGTGAGTCTCAGCAAGACTGGCAACATTCACGCTTTTGCAAGGACTTTTTCTAGGACCTCAAACTGACACCATCAAAAGGCATCGTGAATCTTTTCAGTTTCCAGATTTCGTACAAAATAAGTGCACGTTAGGGGAACGGAAAGAAAGAAAAAGAGGACGAGCTTTATATACCCGCTCCGGCGCAGTAGAGAGAAACGGCTGCCAATTAGTTCAGACCTGCGGACTTGTGGTTGAAATCGAACTTGAAGCGCAGATTTGATGATGTGCTATGAATTGGAGTGATTATCGTGATGATTATAGCTATTATTATTCCCCTACCCGTCTCTTAAAACCCTCCTTGCTTCTCTGCCGCTACACCTTGTCTACCCTAGGGTACCTAAATAAAGTTACTCGCAACGGATGTGCTGCTACACGTTGTTATTCTTGAGACTTGGACACCGGAGTCGCACATAAGACCACTTGTACTACAGAAATAACATTTCTATCCTTTGTTCTTTTTCGAACCAGCCTCATGAGCTCGAAGAGTCACTATTTTTGAGTGTTGCGAAAGCTACTCGCAACAACTCAACTGTAACGAACATTTCGGGAGACGGCAAAGAAACACAGTTCATATAGCCTCGCAAGTGGCCCCCCATACGTTTTTGCTTATATTAGGGTTGTTATTTTACAGATAAAGATAATAGTTTCTAAAAGATCAGCACATGTAGGTTTAACTATAGACGCATCTTATCATCTTCATCACTACTGTTACTGTTACTACCCCTGCCACGGCCACTGCTTTGCCCAACGCGCATAACAAAGACATACGTCTAGTCCTTCAAATTCACCCTAGCCAATTTTTGCAAAGACCCATATTCTATGCGCAATGTCAATTTTCGAATCATCGAATTATCCCGCTACAACCGTGAAGCGGAAAGCGAGCAGGAGGACGCGGGACAGACGACACCTGAATACGCCAGCTGGCGGGCGATACAACAAAGTCACAAAGCACGCCAGCATATATAGTCTTTTTCAATAGCATGACGGAGCTAGGCTTATGAAATTTGATGACTCTGGTTCTAGATGCTGATAGTCGTCATCCTCAAAGGCAGTAGTTCTGTAGCCTCGGCTTATTCTTACTGCTGCTTGTAATCTCCAACCTTTCTCCACACCATCAAACCGCCAGGTAGATTATTTTTGAGTTTGATAAGTGATATCACGCAGCGTAACGGAGGAAGGAAAGTGCTAGATAGGAAACCGTTCATATACGCAAGGTTGAGGGAAGCACGTGCGCGTGGCGCCTCTGCAGTTACATTTCTCGGAGACATAGGACTGTTCGACTCGGAACTTAGAAAAGTTTATGTGCGTCGGTGAACATTATTACCATCATGATTACTGCAACAAAACTTAACCTTTTCCGCGCGATAGCCCATGGGATACGCCTTCAAATTCTCGACAACCTCATCCTCGCTTTGTCTCTTGTTTTACAGAAATGCGCTGTGCGTGGTGTAAGCAAGGAGAGAGAGCTAGTAAACGGGGTTCTTATATGCATATTGTGCATACCGCATATATAGTCTACGTCTGTGCTTATAAGACTTTCTAGGACATCGAGAACATCAAGACATCGGATTTTGCGATTTGATAGAATGAGTTGGTTGATTGCTGATAACCGGCATTGTTGTCACCGGCAGACGTGCCGGCTGTTTCTGGTCCTCTTCTCGTGCTTGGGGTCCTCTACAGCACCATGTGTCGTATACGACCCTGATTTTTGTTTCTGGTTAACGAAAATGATTTTTATCTTGTGTAGAAAGAAGGAGGGGAAGGAGTACTAGGTAGGAGGCACGGACTTATATACACTTGGTTCTTGATAGGAACACATGAAGTATTATTTTACGGCAATCGAATTCCTAAGAGAAAGGATAGCCCTTCGATCCTACAAATGTCAGGAATGCCGTATGCCGCCGAAGCTTATCATCATAATCATCATCACTTCAGAGCTTGGTACTGTTTCCACCAGCCCTCAGGATAGAAGTCGATGCTTCAAAGTTGCCCTAGGGTAGGTTGCGCTTAAACACACCGCGACACCATTCGAGCAATACATCGTCGTTTTTTAACAATACAAGGTTTTTTGCAGGAATGTGTAGGGAAAGAGACTAACTTGCGACAGGTGTTATAGATGTAGTTCGAGCGCGGCACATACCCTTAGGGCAAGCTCCCCCTCTTGTACGAAATTTTCTCACCATGCACAAGAAAGTTGCACTTTCCAACGCGAGGAAATCAGCGCTGATATCTATCATCACCATCGCAGGACCTACAAGTTTCCAAGAAGCCATGTTGATGTTCCCTGCTGAGACGCCTAACCGCGCCATTCACTCCTCTGCCCGAATCTTGAATAAAGCACTGGCTTTTGGTTGAGTAAGGAAGAAGTAAGAGTAGGGAAGGAGAGTGCTTTTATAGGTCAAGTCTGCCCGCGGCGCATATTGCTGTTGCCTGCATTGATTGAGAAAGCAGAGAATGTAAGTACGGCGCTAGAGGTCCTTGAGACCGGTATCATTGATATTGGGAACTGTAGTTACTGGTAGATGTTAACGTAGATCATCATCATCATCATCATCACCACTATAGCACAACCCTGTAACCCATCTCATTACTCCACCAAAAGCAACGTAACTCACATTTTTCTCCATCCATCGGACTTCTGACGCTCAGCACCACACCCTGGCTTTACTTCCGCCGAACAATCCTTTCCATTTGTTATCTGCACAGGTTTTTGCGCACCACTTCCATCAGCTCTTCGCCGCGCGCTTTAGGGAAACAAATCTTTATTTTGCGATGTGTGAGGAGGAAGAAGAATAAAAGATAGAGGAAGGGGGTTTATATACCTGTGTCTAGAGGCGGCGCATGACCCCCTTGCGGAGTTGGCGTTCGAAGACCAGTGGAAAATGCAGGCTACCGCCGTACTTGTAGAAATGCGACGATGACGATAGTGCTGATAATGAGGGTGATCATCACATGTGTGCTGAACTGCAGAATTTGGCGCCGATAGTGATAGACTGGTGCACATACTCAGAAGGGTGAAATGCGTGGCACGGTGGCAGCGCCATGGTTCCAAATAGTCGGCAATTTTGAGTTAGAAAAGCGACTTAGTTGTGCAAGGAAAGAAGCAGTGGAACGGGGAAGTACGAGGTTCATATATGTAAGCTTGGGGAAACACATAAAGCCTTACTCTGACCGGATTCTTTGTAAACAAGTATATGTCGGACGTGCCTATGTTTAAGAGTTTGATTTTGAATATCACCGTCTCCAGAACTTAATTCGCTCCCTCTAAACTAGCTTCTTCTCATTGCTTAGGCGTGCTTACTCATCTTCTTTACAGCATCGCATTTCCAATCTTGCTTTTGGTTATTTCTCAATAGAGGGTGGGTTTTGCGAGGTTGAAAAGGAGACGGGGAGAGAGTTGAAGGAGAAGGGTTTATATATCTTAGTTAGCGTCGGCACGTGGACACTAAGACAGCTGTGCATCTTAGGACCATTGCTCTAATATTATGAGAGCGTACATCACCGACTATGGACACAGTTGCAAGGAGCATCAATGTGCCTAGGAGGAGCGATCATCACTACCACCACCACCACCACCACTACTTATCCATCCTCCCCTCCCATCGTAACCGTCCATCACCTCGCAGCAAACACTCAGTTCACCAAAATCATCGCAACAAACATGTTTCCCCCGCAAGGATCTCTTCAATGTCGAAAACGCAACACCACCTTTAGTCCCGGCCCAGGCAACAGCACTTCACCCTCCATGCCTACGCTTTCGACTGATTTGGGCCAGCCCCATCACCGGTTCGGCTCCTTTTTTTGGAAGTTTTATTGAGAATAAGTGGACATATGCAAGAGAGGAGGAACGGGAGAGGTGGAAGAAACGGTGAATATATACAACGGGCTCGTGGTGGGATACAGAGGCTTGAGGACCATGAGGAGCAATAACGCGGCCATGTACCCGGGCCCAGTTATTCGGTAGAGCATTAACATGAGAATACCTTGTGCTCAGAAACAGACGAAGTTAGATAAGAACCGTGATGATGATCATCACTACGCAGAATTCAACCGCTCTTGATACTTCGCTCTCGGATCCTCGACAACGCCATGACCACTCTGAAAATATCTTTAGTTTTATCGAGGAGACTTTCATGAACTATAAGAAAACAGAAGAATGAACAACGAGGACGAGAGGGGTTTATATATTCTAGCGTGTGTAGATCAGAGAAACAGCATAAAGTCCTAGATGAAATTACTCATGTATTTACCGGCATCGATGCTCGCACATACTTCCTAGAAGATTAGATAAGGATAATCATCATCATCATCATCATCATCACCACGACACAGCTCCCACCCTCTCAATCAGATAATCCCACAACCCGCACTCAGATCGTCAACAACAACATGAGCTCCAAGTCTCCCAATTTTCGGTCCCACGCAGTAACATTCGTGGAATAACTGAGGTAGAAGGATAAATAGGGAAGAAGATGGAGGTTTATATATCCGACTCACGGCAGCAGCACGTGCACTCTCTTACCGAAATCACTTCATAACTTGAGAACGTCAAACTTCGCACTTATCAAATCAGGAAGATTTGGATTGATGATGATGACCATCACCGTTGCACTCGACTGAGCACAACTCGATGATGTTCTACGCACTCTTCCCAGACAGTGCCATGCTGGTGGTTGGTTCTTCAATATTCGGCCAAACCATGCGGTTTGATGAAGTGTGAGGAAGTAGAAGGGGGAGTACGCAGGAGAAGCGGGGTTTATATAGCTAGATTAGGGCCTGGCAATAAGGATTTACATGTCACAGGATTACCGAAAGGACGCGCCATCTTTCCGAAGACATACCTATGTACATGTAAAACTTTCTGTTAGGCGTCAAGAAGGCGACCTCAATTTGACTTTGAGGAGCTAGTAATCATCATCACCACCATCACCACCATCACCATGTTTCTTAACCATCAACAGTACAGAAATTTCAACATTTCCCTACAAGCCCCAGGTTTCCTTGGCCTGACCATGCCAGCTTTCTGAAGTTTTTTTTTGATCTAACGAGGCAAGTTTTGGAGAGCGTGAAGAGGAAGGAGGAACGGTCGGTGGTACGATGGAGGTGGTTTATATATGTGAGCGTGGAGGCGACATGTGATACCCTGCTTCAATGTTGCCCAGGTGGTCAAATACAGCTTCTTGGATCAAATAAGCTTTTCAAACCATGATATTTGGAGCGATGAAAGGAGCGCCGATGATGATGATCATCGGGAATAAAATCATCGCATTTTGCGTCAAGCCCATCGATTCTGAGATGCTTAGATCCATGATACAATGTCCGCTACATACACACCTGTTTAGATCTTCGGCAATACAACATCATCAATCTCCCACCCGTCTACTTCTTCCCCTCCCTCTCCTTCCCCTCCAACCTCCTAATCCCCTCCTTCGCCCTCTCCCTCCCTTCCTCAAACCCCACCACCTTGGCCACACTATCCGCCTCCTCATACTTCAACCTCGCCTCCTTCCACCTCCCTTCCATCTCGAAAAACTCGCCTAGATTATGCGTCGCCACCGCACATCCGACGTCGCACTCCTCCGTCCGCTCCGGAGGTGCAATCGTCGCTGCGTGCTCTATCGCTTTGTTGGCCCACTGTCTTGCTTGATCGACTAGCTCGGCACGCGACGGCGGTTTAGTGGTAGGGAAGGAAGATTTGGTTGGGGGCGAAGTGGAAGGGGGTGGAGGTGTTTGTTGAGCAAGGCAGGTGGATATGTTGTTCACTAGATATGCGTGTCAGTGGGAGGTCATGCAAGGGGAGTGAAAAGGCGAGATATACTTAATACGACGCTGTGGCAGGATTTTTGTGGACAGTAGGATAATGCTTGCAGGAAGAGCGGTGTGGCTAGGTAATGTTTATCGTTTCGCTCGTAGTGGTGTCCTAAGGCTGGACGTAACAGTTAGCGGTATGCTTACTTTTTGCCATTGACATACGCGTAGACGGTGAATATAGGATGAGATCGAAGGACATACATTCTAATGCGCCACCGAGCTCCTCATCAGTCAAGAACTCGCCCTCGCCTTCCTTGACGCCATCCTTCTCGCGCCTGGCGCGCTCCTTTAATGCGATTTCCACCGCATCCACTAGCCTCTTTTCCGCGTCCTCGGGTTGGTTCATGTATTTTGAAGTGTAGAGCTCCCCCAGCTTCACGTTAAGCTGCACAATGACCTTCAACACCCTCGACCGATCCCCATCCGTCCAGTGCCTATCACTGTACTCATCCATCCACCGCTGACAATCCACGCGCATAATCTCCAACACATCGCACGCCAGAGGATAATGCCCCGCCTGCTCGAACAGTTGACTGATGGCGTACTTCACACCGAGGATTTCCGGGCTGAAGGGATCAATGCCCATCTCGTTGGCGATCTGTAGTGCTTGGCGGAAGTACTTGTTCGCTTCGCGAAGGTCGATGTTCTTGCCTTTGCTGTAGTAGATTGCTCGGCGGAGCTTTTTTGCGACGGGCTCAGGGAAATTGTGGTATGGGGCGATGATGACATTCTGGTAGTACCAGGGGAGGTAAGTGACGGCGAAGCCGGTGAGGAGGAGGATGCTGGGAGTATGTTAATCATTCGAGTCCATACATGGCTTCACTTGGGAAGACATACCAGCCCATGGCAAACGGAAACAAGATAGGGTTCCTATTGTAGTTCTCCTTCATTCCTGCAACAAATGAGGACCGCTGCCGTCGTCCAGATTGCTGCTGGAGGGGTGCCCATGTCCGCTGGGGGAGCTTTGAGAGAGCTTGAGGGCGAGCTTCGCATTGCGCAAAACGCCCGGCTCTAGGTACAGCGCGGGGCAGAGCTCGGGAAAACATGGCGGAGGAGCTCAATTGAGCTCACAGCTTGTGGTGCAAGCTTAGTTGAAGCTGGTTGTCACTGAAAATGATGGTCGTTGAAAGTTCGTCGATGTCGAAGTGGAGAAACGGCGGACGCGAACTGGGGAGGTGTAGGGCTGAGAATGACGTTGCTCTGATTGGCCCCGCGACGGGAGCTGGGCACCTCGAAGCAGCTGTGAGCTGCTGCCACACCAACTCCTCTACACAATGCATTGACAAGACTTTCAAAATGTGCGGTCGATACGCGCTGGCCTTGGTAAGCTAATCTACCACTTGGAGGAATTGCATGTTAACCACGCGCAGCGGCCATCAGAGGTGAGACGACAACTCGAACAATCGCATATGCCCGTCGAAGAGGCACCGGAGGACGAGGATAGTGTCCGAGAGACCTACAACTTTGCCCCAGGCTATCATGGCCTCGTATATCGTGCTCACGGGCCTGAATATGGGGGCAGAAAGGAAGGCGAAGAGAAGGAGTTTAGTGACCATCAAGATGGGCTGAGCACAGAGACGAGTAAAGAGGCTGCAGCCTCAGAAGTCTCCTCTAAGGGCCACAAAGACACCAAGTACAAGCTGCAGGCTATGAGATGGGGTAAGTTGTGTGATGGTTCGCGGAGCGCCTTCCAGGTCGGCATGCTAACTGGGACTTGCCTCAGGCCTCATTCCCTTCTGGACGAAGCGCAACCCTGACTACGGGTCGATGATGAAGACGATTAATTGTCGCGACGACTCTCTGATTGAAGATCGCGGCATGTGGACGAGTATGAAGAGGAAGAAGAGGTGCATTGTGGTTGCACAGGGCTTCTACGAATGGCTCAAGAAGCCCGGTAGCAAGGAGAAGATTCCACACTTTGTTAAGCGCCGCGATGGGCAGCTGATGTGCATGGCGGGGCTGTGGGATTGCGTCCAGTATGAAGGTGAGCTCTTCTTTTGATCCGTTTCGTCGAGAGGGAGCATGGCACGGCCATCCTCAAACTGCCAGGGGATTCAATCCCTCGTATGCTACGGCTGTGCTCTGTCAATCTTCAGTCACTGCACATGGGGCGCATAGTATACGTGGAGTTTCCGGGTTTCTTTGCGCGCACAATGCGTTCCCTGCGTTGTACGTCCGAGAAGGCTGCAACACTGACAACCGACCAGACTCCAACGAGAAGATCTATACCTATACCATCATTACAACCAACTCCAACAAACAGCTCAGCTTCCTGCACGACCGCATGCCGGTTATCTTGGACAACGGGTCGGAGGCTATCAGGACCTGGCTGCACCCGGAGCGCACCGAGTGGAGCAACGAGCTGCAATCTCTCCTGAAACCATTTGAAGGGGCGCTGGAATGCTATCCGGTGAGCAAGGAGGTGGGCAAGGTGGGCAACAATTCACCGTCCTTTGTCATTCCCGTCAACAGCGCCGAAAACAAGAGCAATATCGCCAACTTCTTTGGGAACCAACGAAAGAAGGGCAAGACGTCTATGGAAAAGGAAACTGCCAAAAAGGAGGGGGAGGTGAAGGACTTGCCCTGTCCGGGAATCAAGGCCGAGCACGACATCGGTGAGACTCGTGAGACGACGTTCCAGATGGAAGGTACCGAAGATAACGCGCCGTTACCTATCCCAGGAAGGGGCCCGTCTGAGGGCATGCAGGGCGTCAAGCGGGAGCACGGAGAGGTCGAGGATGAAGGTGACACAGCCGAGAATGCACCACCGCCGAAGCGGAGGATCGACGCACCAACCGGGCGAGCATGGCAGTCGCCTAGCAGAAAGGCGGGAAAGGGTTCAACGACTCCCACAAAGCCACCGGCAAAGTCTTCGAAGACACACAGCGCCACGAGTAATGCCAGTGCAGCGAAGGCGAGTCCTGCCAAGGGCGACGGCAACCGGAAGATTACATCGTTTTTCGGCAAGTGAGGTTGGACGCCTATCCATATGGATACCAGAATTACCTATGTTGATCATATCTTGTTGGGCGACCGCGCTTTGGGGTTCGGTGAAGGCGAAGGTCGGATACGTGTTGTATGTGGCTCTGTCTGGATTGTCTTGGAAACGCCTATGAGCATCTGGCGGTGAGGTTGACCGAAGGGACATTATTGGACGGCGCAAAATGGGCAACAGGAGGCACATGTGGAAGCGAGGGTGATTCGCGGAGAAGACGGGAAATACCGCGCAGGCCGGGGGGCAGGTGACGGGACTGCGATGCGTGTCAAGTCGTCCCCATCGAGGTGGAAAGCCAGGCCAGCGTATGAGGGTGCAATGGAGGGCCCGAGACGGTGGAGGAGAGGGACTTTGCCCGGAGACATAGATTGCAAATTGCGCGACAACTCGGAGCTGCCAGCAATAATAATATGCACGACGAGTGCGCGCGAGAAAGCATGCGCAGTTCCTCGCCTACTATACAGCCATGTGCATTTTGTTATTTATTACTCGCGCTTGGTGGAACGAAAAGCATTTCGATGAATTGATTTGCGGATTGTGGATTCCTTGGTGCGATCGTTGTGCTGACAGTCTCTCCTTTTCCCTGACCCCAAGATGCTAAACTATCGGAAAGCCTCTCCCGCCACCCGCCCGCCCGCGCCCCGCCGTTTGCGAGGCTTAAGCTTAAGGCGGGTGCGAACGGTGAAGATGGATCGAACTGGCGGAGCTGGGGAGCGGATGCCAGTGGTTGGCTGTTTCAATTCTGTTGTGGCCGGGTCGTGCTCTCGCTCAGGAGCGTTTGCCTGGTTTCGCCAGCCCTTGTCTGGTGCCCGTATCCATCCATGCCATGTCCATACCTAGATAGATCCGTGATCCTCGGCGCTTCTCCATCTTCCCTTTTCTCACCTCCAGTTCCCCACAGATCTCCGGTAATACGCCCCCACTGCTACTCCACATCCGCTACGCCTTCATCGCCTTCATCGGAAGCTTCCATGGACCACCGCTAGTCTGCCCATTTGCAATGCTGGGTTTCACGCCGTCCTTTTCTTCTTCCTTCTTGCTGATGCATAGCATTGTTTGGTCTTTCTGAGCTACCGACTTTCGCTATCTCCGCCAACGAAAAAATATCATCGTCTCCCTCCGCATGCTACTCTCACCTCCCTCTGTCTCTCGCATGCTTTTTGTCAGATACCCATCTCTTTTGCCTCGAAGGCATAATCGCTCTCGACCATCTTTACGCGTGCGTCATTTTTAGCCGCATCATACAGCAGGCCCTGTGCTGCCTCATATCCAATGTCCCAAAAAATGCTCTCCCTCCTAGACCTCATCTCCCAAAACCAACCGCACTTCCAAACCCACCAAGCCCTCCTCGTCATTGGACTCCAAAACGACTTCATCGAACCCGATGGCCGCCTTCCCGTCGACACCCGCAACGGATTCCTGGACCGCATTACCGCCGTAGTGCCTAAGCTCCGCCAACTCTCCACCAACATCATCTGGGTGCAGACGCTCTACGAAGCCGACCGGCTTGCCAACGACCCGAGCACGGGTGAGGGCGATGCCGTGGTTGTAGGTGGTCTCGTGGACGCCGTTGAGAGCAGCACCGACGACGACGACGACCTACCCAAGGAGCCTGAGCCAATCGCACCAGCACAGTCGAGAGTGTCACGACGCAAACAGCGAGCCTTGGATCTGCTCAAGAAGGTTTCTTCCAGGAGACGAGCCGCACCGGCCGAGGTGTTGCAGTCAGCAGAGGAGGATGAAGAGCTATTCCTGCTGCGGTCCTCCAACCGAACCCCTGCTTGCATCCCTAATTCCCCGGGCGCCGAGTTCGTCGATGCGGTCAAGGCGAGCATAGCGAAGACGGATGCAGTCCTACAGACGACGCACTATTCCGCCTTCCTCGGGACCTCCCTCCTGCTCATCCTGCGCGCCAAACTGGTGACCGAAGTCTATATCTGCGGCTGCATCACCAATGTCTCCGTCCTGGCCACCGTCATCGACGCGGCCCGGCACGGCATCCGAATCAACATCATCTCCGACTGCCTGGGATACCGCAAGCAGAGCCGACACGATGACGCGCTCAAGAAAATGGTCGACTATGTCGATGCCAACCTCGTGACCAGCCGCGACATCCTGCAGCGAGACGTCACTCCTCAAGATGGCAACCCCCGGTCCGAGTCCGGCTCCAAGGACACCGACAGCGCCCTGGAAACCCGCGTAGGCGCCCTGCGAGTCACGGAAGAGGGACGACCCACCTCCTCAGCTGCCTCTACGAAGACTTCGTCCCAAAGCAGATCCGCGACGGTCAGCGGACGACCTAGGAACCTGTCCGACGCCTCATACCCGGAGTCGCGTCTGACGACGGATACCCGGCTGAGCGACGAGCAGTTTGCGGAGACCTTGGTGCAGGGCGCACAGCTTCCGAAACGGGAGGAGGATGCAGCTGCGCCAAGGAACGAGATGGTGAAGAGCAAGATACGGATGCGGCGGAGGCCGCACGAGAAGAAGAAGGAGAAAGAGGGTGAGCGGTCGAAAGGGGAGGGTAGTGGGAAGAGTAGGGAGAAGAAATCGTCGACGGCAGAGAACAAAGAATCTGAAGCTAGCAAAGATGCCGAGAAGACTTCTACCCCGACACCGAAATCGCCCATCGCGACAACTGCAACTGATGCGAAAGCACGGCCTGCTGCAGTTGTGAAAGCGGAGAGCAGTGACAACCTCAATCGCAGCCCTTCAAAACAGGCGCAGGCGCTCAAGCCTTCCGTTTCTCAGCCGTCATTGTCGGCCGAGAAGAAGGGGGTGGAAAAGAAGCCGTCGCGGATGCGTCTGGCCTTGTCGCGCAATTCCAGGAGCGAGTCAAAGAAGGAGGATAGTCCTAAGATGTCGCCCTCGCCTGCTAAAATAAGTGAGGCAACTAAGCAGTCGCCTACGACGACGGTTCCAGAGTCATCCAAGACCAAAAAAGGAGAAACACCCAAATCGCCATTGTCTCCCACCAAAGCTACATCGTCCCCTAGCAAACCACCAACGAAGACCAACTTCAGCTCCCCAGATCACTCCACCAACTCGAGCACTCCGATCCCGTCACGCACAAAACCCGTCCCACCTCAACCCTCCAACCCCTCAACCTCGAAATCCAAGAAACCCCAATCCCTCGCCACATTTCCCGTCCTCGGCCCCGGCGACTCCATAGCAGCAGGCGACTCGCGCATCCTCTACGACTTCCTCCCGCCCACCCTGCGCCACCACACCGACCGCTCCAAACCCCTCGTGGATCTCATTTTCCCCTTCCTCTACACCGAAATCCGCTGGCAACGGATGCTGCACCAAACCGGCGAAGTGCCCCGCTTAGTATGCTGCCAAGGGGAATTCGGCAGCGACGGATCGATGCCCGTGTATCGACATCCGACAGATCACGTGTTACCGTTGATGCATTTCTCCCCAATGGTCCAGGTCGTGAGGAAGAGGGCGCAAGAAATCGTCGGACACCCGCTGAACCACGTGTTGATCCAGTTGTATCGGTCCGGGAACGACTATATATCCGAGCATTCGGATAAGACGCTGGATATAGTGCGGGGGTCGAAGATTGTGAATGTCAGTTTTGGGGCGCAGAGGACGATGCGGCTGAGGACGAAGAAGGCGTCGTCGTCTGGCGCTGTTGACTCTTCTCCTTCTGGTGGAAAAGCAGATAAGACGACTGATACTCCGACCCCTGAGGCGGGCGACGCACGAACAACGCAGCGCGTGCCGATGCCGCACAATTCCATCTTCCTCCTCGGTCCCGCCTCCAATGCCAACTGGCTCCACAGCATCCAAGCCGATAAGCGTGCCGCGTCTGAGCGCAGCGAGGCCGAGCTTGCGTACAACGGGATGCGCATCTCACTCACGTTCCGGCACATTGGGACGTTTATCGACTCCGAGAGCGGCACCATCTGGGGCCAGGGTGCAACGGCGAAGGAGAAGAAGAATGCGCGGGACGTCGTTAACAACGACGAAGGCGCCAACGAGAAGCTTGTGCGCGCCTTCTCGAGGGAGAATCACGGCACAAGCGAGGAGTTTAGCTGGGAGAAGGAGTATGGGAGGGGTTTCGATGTATTGCATTTTCGGGATGCGCCGCACGAGGAGGAAGAACCGATTCTTTTCGCGGGCGCGAATGAGGTGGAGAATCATATGATTAGGATTTTCCTGGCGGAGAAGGGGATTAGGTATATTTTGTTGCCGGCACCGGTCCTTCTTCCCTCGGATAGCGGGAAAGCGGGTTCCCAGAGGACTAGACAGCCGACGTATCGCGATGCGGATACGCATCACACCGAGGTTCATAGCGCGATACCGATTCTTTTGTACCTGGATCGGTACCAGCCGCTTGATCGGGGCGAGGTGGGGAAGCCGGGTGTGGCGAGGAGTTATGAGGTTTTGGGCAGGGCGGGGAGGTTGGTGGGTGCGTGGGGGAATATGCGGAGGGGGGTTCCGACGTTTGAGAGGGAGGTGGTGGATTTGTTGGATGGGTTTGAGGAGGGGTTGTTGTTGGGGTCTTCTTGGGATGGAAGGGAGGATGGGGGTGGGGAAGAGGGGAGGTATATTGCTGGGAGGAGGTTTAGTGTGGGGGATTGTGCGGTTTGGAGTTTGTTGGACGAGGTCATTGGGCAGTGGGAGGAGTGGGATGGGGAGAGGTGGAGGTGTTTGGAGAGGTATTATAGGGGGCTTTGGGAGGGGAGGCAGAGTGTGAGGGGGGTCAGGGGAGAGTTGTCGGGTTTAAAGAGGAGGCAGGGTGAGGAGGAAAGGGGTGAGGCAAAAGACAAGGGGAAGGAGAAGGAACAGGAAGAGATTGAGGAAGAGCATGATGAGGAAGAAGAGGAGGAGTAATAAACCTGGGCGACGTGCGACCTCAAACTCTCATTTTCGGCCCGCATCGAAAGAAAGCGTTATAGCGGACATTGATCCGTTTATGCGGCGTTTCTGGCATCGGCATTGCATTGGCAAAAAGCTCAGGGTTCTAGTGGTTTTTACAACGTTTGGACTCGTTGATTTACTGGCTTTCGTTTCCGCTATAGACTTTCGATTATTCTCTTGACTGTGCCATGCATGGGTAATGTCTATCATTAGGTGAGTCGCAGGCATTGCAGGGTTTGGAGTAACTGCGGAGTAACTGCAGAGTAACTGCACACGACGGCATAGTGCGTCGGTAGAGCATAGTATTACATTGAAACGGAGAGTAATGTGGTGCCCCGCGTGTTGTGAGTTAGAGCAGCTATCCTCTGTTGCATAATAGTAGGTCAATTATAGGTCGCAGGAAAGAGGCGTTCACCAAGTTAGGACTGTGATATGCCAAGACCGGAGCGGTGAAATATGACACCGAAAACCTTCGACTTTCTACCTCAACTGGTGACAATGTTGATCTCAAGAGGTGCTATAGCGATACATTTCCCTCCAAGTCAGATAAAGCCGCAGCAATGCCCAAATATAAGTATACCTCCAAGTTCGCCATGAGCCAATGTACTGACCGCATTTACTCTTCTGTAGGTTCCGCGACTCACCGCAACCTCGCATCGCGTCCTTCTAACAGCCCTCCAGGCGACTACTGCGATGTCTACCTTACACACGACTCCATGAGCGTCCGCAAAGCGCACAATGCCGGCCGGAACCACTTGCGCAATGTCCAGTCATACTATGAGCGTATGGAAATCCGCCTACTTGTTGCAGGTGCGGAGCTGATGGCGATGCGCAGAGATCTCGAGCGAACAAACACAACTGGTCATCAATTCGATAACGGATGCGTACAGTGCGGAGGGCCAGGCGAATCCTCTGGCGCAGCCGCTTCCCGGGATGGGCGGGTTTGGGCCGCCGGTGCCTGGGTTTCCCCCGCCGTTTCCCCCGCCAGGTAGATAGTGGTCGTTTTGCATTGCTTATAATCACTAACATCGCACAGGAATGCCCGGTATGCCCCCGCCTCCTTTCATGCAAGCCGGGCGCGGAGGACGTAAGTCGACTATACCCTCTCGTCTGTATTCAGATCTAACAGCGACAGCGATCCCCAACATGCCACCAAACATGCCTCCCTTCCCGCCACCACCCAACATGCCCGGAGGACCCCCAGCACCAGGCGGGCCCGTGCCGCCGAACATGCCATTCCCACCGCCCAATATGCCGTTCCCTCCGCCAAATATGCCAGGTGCGCCTCCATTCCCTCCGGTTCCGGTACCAGCTGGATCGCCTCCTGGCAATATGCCGTTTCCTCCTCCCGGAGCGATGCCGCCGGGTCCGCCTGGGCGCGGGTTTCCACCATTTCCACCGCAGGGTGGCCCACCTGGGCGACCTTGAAGTGCTGCGGCTTGCAGGTGCGGATCGATTTTAAACTGCAGCAGGTCAATGGCGGATTGTGTCAGGCGTCATGCCTTATCCGCCTTCTCAAGCACATGCCAGCTCCCAGAGGGCTTGACCAGCTGGTTGATCTGAATGGCAAACAGGTAGACTGTGCCATAAGTCAGGCCTTGCTTGCAGAAGGCTTAGTTTCCGAGGGAAGCACATGGATCTCTATCGTATCGGCGTTAATCTGAGAGAGATGGTCATTTGGCGTTTGCATCACTGGCGTTGAAGGGGTATTGCCCGTTATGGGCATTTTGGTAGATACCATGACGGCAGTCAATAAATTTCTTTCTTTCCATGCTGATGCGAAATCCAGTTCATATGTACATCATGCTTGTCAAGAATAAGATTGTCTGTGCTTGTGAAAGATAGGCTTAGAATGGATACAGAATGTGGGGTATCAAAGTTCACATGCCCTCGGCCTTTTTTCATAGCATAATTCAGAGGAATCAGTCATGTTCGATACTTTGCTTACCCCCACTACGTAACATCGTCCGCCAAGCAGGGCCTCCTTGGCATCCGTCGCCCGGAGTGGAGCCGAGAGTGGTGCTAGCGCGCACACTTGCGAAAATGGAATTACCCTCCTAGCTACGAGAACCTCACTTCCATTCGAAGATACCCACGAGTGCGCCCGACCTCCCCTAGACAGCTTCAGCCACTCCTACGCAATCATGGCCGAGCAGTTGGTTCTTCGCGGCACCCTTGAGGGCCACACCGGCTGGGTTACCTGCCTGGCTACCTCGCTGGAGAAGTGAGTGCGGTGCGAACGCAGAGACGGGACAACAGCATACTGATGGGATGGACAGCCCCAACATGCTCCTTTCGGGTTCCCGCGACAAGACCCTCATCATCTGGAACCTGACGCGCGACGAGACTTCCTATGGTTACCCCAAGCGAAGCCTCCACGGCCACTCCCACATTGTTTCGGACTGCGTACGTTGAATCCCAAGATTCGAAGCAAATTGGATAGCGAGGAAGTCCTGTGGCGGCTGAGCTGACAATTGCATGCAGGTCATTTCTTCCGACGGTGCCTATGCCCTCTCCTCCTCGTGGGACAAGACTCTCCGTCTGTGGGAGCTCTCCAGCGGCGTGACCACCCGCCGCTTCGTCGGCCACACCAACGACGTCCTCTCCGTCTCCTTCTCCGCCGACAACCGCCAGATCGTCTCCGGTTCCCGCGACCGGACCATCAAGCTCTGGAACACGCTCGGCGACTGCAAGTACACCATCACCGACAAGGGCCACACCGAGTGGGTTTCCTGCGTGAGGTTCAGCCCGAACCCCCAGAACCCCGTCATTGTCAGCGCTGGCTGGGACAAGCTTGTCAAGGTACGTTTTTGCGTCAGAAAGGAGGAGGAAACCACATTTGCGTACCCTTTCCATGTGATGATCTGGTTTTCTTTAAAGTATTTGCTACTTCAGAGCGTTCGCGCTATGAGAATAACATTCACCCGAACTGATTGATTCGACAATTCCGACGTTCCTGGCGGGAATACCGTTTGAAGCGCAAGGCTAATATTGCCTAGGTTTGGGAACTCTCCACCTGCCGCATCCAGACCGACCACATTGGTCACACTGGCTACATCAACACCGTCACCATCTCCCCCGACGGCTCTCTCTGCGCCTCCGGTGGTAAGGACGGAACCACCATGCTTTGGGATCTCAATGAGTCCAAGCACCTCTACTCTCTTACCGCCGGTGATGAGATCCACGCCCTAGTCTTCTCCCCCAACCGCTACTGGCTGTGCGCTGCCACGGCCTCGAGCATCATCATCTTCGACCTGGAGAAGAAGAGCAAGGTCGACGAGCTCAAGCCCGAGTACATGGAGGTTGGCAAGAAGAGCAGGGAGCCCGAGTGCGTGTCTCTGGCCTGGAGCGCCGACGGCCAGACTCTTTTCGCCGGTTACACCGACAACCGCATCCGCTGCTGGGGCGTCATGGCGAGGGCATAGAGCGGTGGCTTAGCTTAGGAGTTGGCTGGCTGGCGATGGACGTGTCACGATTCATTCTGTAGCATGCCCATGGGGAACATATAGTGCGGGATGGTATTGGGGATGGCTAAATTCCCTTCCGGTATTGCACTTCAGGCGCTCAGAGTCAATGAAAAATTCTTCGATTCAGGTATGGACTGATGTAATCCGTGGATGCCTAGGTGATTACTTGTGTATGGGCAGGAAAAGTATGGGTTTCGATGCAAGACCAGTTTGGATAGAGCCTACATCTGACGATCGTTATCATAAGCGTTCGCTTGAATTGGGAATGTGGCTTGGTCTACTTTTGATATGCCTCCACCAGGTTCAAGTCTCATGCATATTCAGGAAACCTTACACACGATCACCCTGCATATTTGAATTCCGATGACTGACCTCGCATGATAAGGGCTATGTGAGTCCAGGCGGAGATGAATTTGGGGTTCCAAGATTGGTACATTCGCTCTCTAACTGCCATCTTAGTTCTTGAATCTCCACCCCTCCTGGAAACCCCTTTTGGTATGGTAGACTAACGCGCTAACGCGCCTGCTCTAGGGACACTGAAAGATAGATTCCGCACATACCTCCCCAACCTACAACTTCTCAAACGTCGGCTTCCTCCTCTGCAATCCACTCAACATAGCATCCTTGACATCCTTCGTCTGCACCATAGCCGCATTCCAAACAGCCGTATAACTCAACCCATCCTGCACGGGTCTATCGCGCGAATAATTCAACAACTCCTTGGTCCCCACGATCGCCACGGGACTCTTACTCGCAATCAACCTCGCCTTCTCTAACCCCGCAGCCACCGCAGCATTCTTATCATTAAACACCTCGCTAACGAAACCCACCCGTAGCGCTTCCTCGGAATCAAAGACGCGCGCCGTCAGACACACGTCTTTGACCCAGGATGCGTTCCCGACGGCGTGCGGCAGGCGGGATAACGTGCCGATGTCGGCCGCGAGGCCGATGTCGACTTCCTTGACCGAGAAGCGAGTCGTCGTCGTCGAGAGGCGGATGTCGGCCGCGAGGGACAGGTCGATGGCCAGGCCGTACGAGATGCCGTGCAGGATCGCGATGACGGGTTTCTCGCACTTTTCGACGGATGTGATGCAGGATTGGAAGTCGAGGATGTGCCGGCGGAGGGTGGTTGCGGTGCGGGCGGGGTCCGGGGAGGAGGTGGTGGGTTGGGAGAGGGTGCCTTGGGATGCTGCCTGGGGTTGGTTGGGTGTTAGGGATGGGGTTGGGGTTTGGGGGGGTGGTGGTTGGAGAGGGACGGGGGAAGGGAGGAGGTTTACCTTGACGTCTAGACCTGCGGTGAAGGCGCGGTCGCCGGCGCCGGTGAGGAGGATGGCGCGGACGTGGGGGTCGAAGGAGAGTTTGCGGAAGATGGTGGAGAGGTTGAGCCACATCCTGGATATTTGTTAGGTTGCCATTGGTTTTCTGATCATTGCTGGAGTCCTGTAGAGAGATGTGTAGGGGTGAGATGGTGAGGAATGGGAGAAGTTCAGGGAAAGGAGAGCTTGGTAAGGGAGATCGTAAAGAGCATCGTGAGCCCCGGAGTGAGATATGTAGAGATCGAGAGGGAGGAGTGGCGTCTTGCAAAGGAGGAAGAAGGAATAAAGGCACATCTCTCATGATGCCCTCTTCTCTCTCCCTTCCGAAGTCTCTCATCTCCTAATCTCCCACTCAGTTCCTTCTCCAATCCCAGCACACCCTCACCAACTCCCCCTCCCTCACTCTCCCACAATCTTCAAGTCAATGTAAATAACACAACAGTGAATAGAAATACCAAACCTACTGCTCGAAAAACGCATTCAACTTGTCCGGCCGATTAATCTCCACATGCGCCACATACTCGGCCGGAAACGTGACGTTGAAGTAGTCGAACCTGTAATCCTGGGGCGAAGGGTGGTGTGCCATGACTTTATTTATTCCTTTTCTCTCCTTTCTCTCGAGGTTCGTTACGGTGGTTCAATGATAGCTCTTTCTCAAGGTGATGGGTGATAGTGGAGGTAGCTCGAGGCGGCAAAGCTGGCTTTTCCTTGTATATCCAAGAAGACTGGTATGTTGTCAAAGGGAAGAGAATACCGGACGGAATATCTACAACGAAAGGGAACTTCTGACATCTGACTGCTTTCTGCGCTGATGCCGCGGGAGGAGCGTGAGCTTGCGTTGAGCCTCGGTAACGGAAAGGGTGGTTAGCTCGTTACTGAATTGGACCTAGTGTGCTCTGTTCCATATGAACGACAAAACCGATGTACGCCGAGGACGCTATCTGCACCATCGTACATAACAGAGACAACAGTTATAGGTCGCAATGTTGTCACTTATTCTATGACAAGGTCCCAATTCTATAGAGTGCCATATGAGCTATCCCTCGCTACCAAAACCAATACACCAACAGCAAACAAATGCACAACCACACTCATCTAGGTCCAAATGGTCGCGGTCCTAGAATCTGTCTCCGGCCTCCGAATCCAATACCCGTCCCAACACGATTCTGGCTATCTCCCCCGGTGTACCCATACTGATTGACGTCCCAGGATTGACCCTCCCCAGAACCTGCATTGGGATCCCTTGGAGCGTTCTTCAAAGCCTTTTGTGCCTCCTCCCACTCCCTTTGCCTTTCCCGCTCACGCTCCATCTCTCGTTCGAGAAGTGACTTAGACGCCCAACCTCCCGCTTTTGTCTTCGCTTGAGACGCTGCGCGGCGAGCATCCTCTGCCGCACGCTCCGACGTAGATGTCAGTTCCGGAGGAATATGTGTCGCTGGCTTCGGACTCGTCGGGACCGGGTTTGATGCTAGGTAGCGATCTGTTCGATTTGTTTTAGCATACGCAGCTGGGTCCGGGAGGGGTCGAGATGGCTCCGGTAGAGGCCGAACAGACGTTCCAGTTGGCAAGACTTCTTCAGGCAGGGGCCTTGGCTGCTGAATCCTGCTCTGATTCTCGTTCCACTGCTTTCGTAGGTAATCGCGTTCGTCCGCCTTACTCCAGGAAGCTTGGCTGTCTTGCGGAGATGGAGCTCGCGGTGGTGGACGCGGCCGACTCCGTGAGCGCTCGCGCGTACGGCTTTTCGATCGCGAGCGTAATTTCCGCCGCTCGTCGTCTCGTAGCCGCTCTTCTCTTTCCAACTGGTACAGTCTTTCGCGTTCCTTGGCCTCCTCCAATTGACGCTCTAACTCCTGAATGCGCTCGCGCTCGGCTAGTAAGTCTGGGTCGTTCTGGCTGTTCCGACGGCTGCGTGGTTTGCTTCCTTGTTCTGCTTGATACTGGGACAAGTACTGTCCCCTCAACCGGGCGTCGCTGCCAGCACGCTTCCGTCGAGCCTCTTTCTCAAGCCTCTCTTGCGCCTCCCGCTCCTCCCTCTGCCGTTGCTCTTCCTCCAGCTTCCACCTCCTTTCTTGCTCCTCCCATTCGCGCTTTTGCTGCTCAAGCCGCCGCTGTTCGGCTTCTCGTTGCTTGCGCGTTTCCTCCTCCCATCTGCGCTCCTCTTCGAGACGTTGGCGCTCTTCTTCGGCCTCACGTTCAATGCGACGCTTGTTCTCTGCCTCTTCCGCGAGCTGTCGTAGGCGCTGCTCCTCCGCCTCCTTCTCTTTCCGCTTCCGCTCCTTCTCCGCTGCATTGGGTACATGAGGCCCGGCGCTTGTGATCTGTCGACGCGCTCCAAATGCAATGCCTTGGTTCCCCTGACTCGCCCCGCCCATGTAACCGTACTGGTGGATATTCCAAGCCGGTGCTGTTACTCCCTCGTCAGCCTTCTTACTCCAACTGGAAACGCCGCCTGGAGGCGACTTTGGAATACCATTGGAAGTTTTGGAAGTGTTAGAACCACCTGTAAGAGTAGGACTCAACGCCCTGTCCGCAGCTGGCTTAGATAAGGGATTGAATGTAGTGGATCCGCCAGCACTGCTTGTACTTATTCCTCTACTTCGTCCAGGTCCTGGAGACGAGAGCGATTTACCGTTGGAAAACGAACCGGTGGCAGAGGGGCTTTGCGGGCCAGCACTCCGTTTGGGGCCTATGGTGGTTGGGATTCTTGACGGATTGATGGCATTGGCAACTCGGCTGAAGGCGCTCAGACATTGTAAAACTTGAGCAGGGTCCTTGGACTCGTAGAGGTCGACGGTGAGGAATCGGTCGTGGGACGGCATGCTTAGCGGCGGCTGTTCGCATGCGTGCAGGAAATGGGAAATGTTTTCCATTTGTATAAAAGGCATAGGCGATTTTTTGAACTTGACGCCGGGGTTTGGAACCGCAAGATTCACGAGTCTGGACTTCGTCAGCATTGCTGTCTCTTAAGACCTGCCTAGGTTGCGAAATGCATACCTGCACAGCACTGTTCCGTCCTTGAGCGCATCGAGTAAATCTCCCGGGGGTAATCGCTCCCCGAGAGTATCCTCAATCCAACTCCGCACTTCATTCGCTGCCTGTGGAGTATATTTCCCCAGCCGTAGCCTCTTCATGTCTTGGTCCAGGGACGTTACGGACGCCATACTTCAAGGATCGGGCACCAACCGTGCCTACGCAGTGTGAGATAGCGGTGCGCACTATGAAGACGCGCTCGGTGGTTGTGATTTGGCGTAATGAAGAGATCACGAGGTAGGCAAGCAAAGGTATGGTAGGAAAAGAGTGGTGGAACGTCGTTGTCATTGCATGCCAACATGTCCTGGCGGGGAATTCGGGTTGCGGGGAGGCGGTGCGTCCGCCCCAGCCACGCCGACGCCACGCCGCTGTCGTCACAGGCACCAGGGGAGCGTCTTTGCAGAGTCGCGAAATGGCAGTCGTCCAAAAATCTTCATCATTGGCAACATGGCGCGTGGTCCGGGCCTAATACGTCGATTATGGTTTACCTGGAAAATGCAGCGGTTTCCGTGGAGGCGGAAGTGGTTGGCTGGTAAGTGATTCTCAATCTCATTGCGTCCCATTGAATGTTTGCTTGTTTAGTTTCTGCCCCTGGAAAATGTTACTCATCAGGAGCAGGTTTTGATCTCGAGGGCAACACATTCTGGGAATTCAAAGATCCCCTTCATCACGCACGGAACCGCCGAATACTCAAACCAAGGCGCTGGACACACCTTGGAGACGTCAACATACCACCCCAATGGACACAGTGGCTACGCAATACCCGCCCCGACCCTCCCACGTTGGCCGAGCTTCAAGCCGATGTTGCCAGACGCGAGCGGCTGAAAATGCTTGCCGCTCAGGCAGATGCCCGATGGGCCTCGAAACCGTCAATGTTAGATACCCCTGATAGACAGCAGCCTGTACAGATGCTCGAGTCGAGAGATCCGGGATCCGGTATCGCACAGTCGAGTAGAGACAAGGTAGCAAGTAGCGAAGGAGAGCCAATTTCAATAATGAACAGTCAGGAGGAAATCACCAAGCATAGGCAGGTGGAACAGACGGGCGAGACCGCAGTGAAGAAGAGAAAAGTCAAGAAACAAGAGCAGGGCGATTCGCCATGGAAACAAACACCGAGAGGAAACCCTGGAGACGATTGGCAGCCTCAAGGCTGGACACCTGGCGCAGTAAGGCCGAGGCGATGACGATACGCATAGTAATGAACAAAATTCCACAGACTGCAGGTCCACTTCGTTACCAGCCGTGCGACCCTCTGATCGCCGATGCACGAATATTCCATGTATTTGAGACAGCTCGCCTCAGTTAGACGCGATCAGCAGCAGGATACATATTGGGTATTGCGTTTCGCTCTGGTCACGATTCCACATCATGTGCTAAATGCTATAACCCCCTCTGGCCTCACTGGTTGCTATTTGTGCGACTAATCATTGTTTGTTCTCCGTGATATGCTTATTTAGGTAGCTCACGGTCACTACAGAGGTTCAGATCCTCATGGTCTTGACCACTTCTCACAATTCAATACCAATCTCATGAGTGGATCCATAGCGCCCCACGAGAACACCTCAAGTGCTCTGACCATCGAGTAATCCCTTCGAGTCCCCTCTCTATCCGACTTCTCAATATGATCGATTGGAACATTAGCCTTACCGTTCCAGCTAGAGAGGAGACCCCGCCAGTGAAAGGCCGCAAGGAGGGAATGGAGCCGGTGAAAGCTTCCCTCGCTTTCACAGAGCCACATTAGCCACACGAAGCTTCCATGGCTTTCCAGCCACTGGACTAGGTATATAATTCTCATAATACCGCCTGTTCCTCCGTACCAAAACCTTCGTGACCACAACCTACAGGAGAAGCCGCATCCTCAACCAGTTCCAAGTCGAAAGTGAACACATCCTCCAGATATAACGCGCTCACCATCTACGGCGAACTCGAGGATGAGCCACCCGCTACTCCGACGTATCAAACGTTTTCTGGCCTCGAATGACTTCAATCGAACCCTTGTTGTCAGGATGTACCCTCCCCCGGAGGACTACTACCCACCCCGCTCCCACAGGTACACCCTCGAAGACTCCCCTGGCTATCCAGGCCGCAAATTCGACGTCGTCCTAGGGCAGATTGTGGCAACGATTCAACATCTTTGTATCGACAACATGGTGTTCGCCGCTGCAAATATCCGTGTCTGGAACCTGACCAACTCGCCATCCATTTGGCCTCCGACTGCGAGAGTTCCTGTTAAGTTTTATGTCTTTAAGCCATGCCATGAAGAGTTTCCAATCGCGGTCCCCGTCAAAATCGCCGATTTGAGCGCACCAATCACCGGAGATAACCTCATGGTACGAGTCGATGGAGAGTGGAAACCCTTGACACCATGGCTGCTATCTCTTCCTGATCCTGATCAAATTCTCAAGGACCGCCCTGATTCGAGTATATGGGCTCAGCGACAATGGTGGAAGCGTAATGGCAAAACGTTCCCTCTTATGAAGCTCCCCGTGGAAGTGCGGATGAATATATATAAGCACGTCCTCGGTGGTAAGATTTACCTGAGTACTGCTGACTCCCGTCATGGTGGAGACCAGATTGTCACACTCTGGTCACACGATAGCTGGGATGGTATGCCCACGCCACCTCATGCAGGGTATTATGGGCCGCTGCCTGCGCGTAGTAGCAATTGGTGGATGGACTTGGACGCGTTCGCACCAAGCAGGCCGAGCTACAGCATTCTCTGGGTCAGCAAGGAAGTGCATGATGAAGCGACCGGCGTGGTCTGGAGCGGTACGTGGAAGTGCTTCCTTAGCCCTTCGCTGTTCCATGACGTTCTCCAAGCTCGCCTTCCCAATCGATATACATGGCTGACTCGGATTGAATTGGACTTCGGCTTCTGTCAGTACTTCGATTTCTTTGGCGTAACAATATTCCCATCTCTCAGCAAGACCGAATCCGAGTATGAGGGCCTCTTACTGAGCATGCGATACGAGAATCTCCGCGACGTGCGCCTACGTTTCCGGTGCGCTGACTTGGATAACCCCTGGTATGAGTTTAAAGTCACTCACCACTCGGAAGACTGGTTCGTCGATGACGAGAACTACTCGCACATGGAATACGACTTGTGTCAAAGCACATTGGTCGATTGCCTCATGCATTTTGCCCTCCCTGTTCTTTCGAAATTCCCTCGAGTCCGCTTGGTCGGATGGATCGATCCCCGAGTCAAAGAGAAGTGGGAGTACATCCTCAGCCGCGAGTACGATCCATTCAGGGCATCCATATATGACTGGCAGAAAGAGGGCAGAGAACTTGTGGGTCTGCCCGCGTACAGGTTGCCACCATGCCGCTGAGGACCGAATGACGTGGGTTGCTACTGCAGGTCGATACATACCTAGGCGTTTGGAGCTGGATAACTGGAAAATGGAAGTCTGTGTGGTGTGGGATTAATCTTTGTGTATTGATCACTCAGCTCCGTAATGATCGACTTGGGCTTGTACCCTGAGATCATGAATGGATGGGCCGGAAATCTGGTGGATTAATGCTATGGAGGCCAGCGGTGAGATTTCTGGACCCTGGAGGAAGATTCAAGGGCCCTTTCAATTGTGTCAACTGCGATAACTGTGTACATTTGCAAAAGCAGCATTTTACTCCCGCTCCACTCAAAGCTACACTAATAATCAATCTTGCTTCCGTATTCGGTCTCTCTAATGTGAAATTGCTCGTAATACTTGATTCTCGCTCGTGTGCCTGACCCAACCGAAGTACGGAAGCAAAAGAGTCTTCGCACTCCTCCTCGCTGAAGGACTCTGTCCCGGAAAACTCATGAGACCACACTTCGGATCTAACAGTACTCTCTCGCGTGAACGTACTATCGGTGAGACACCGAGAGCTCGTTACTCTGCGTTGAGCGATTGGTCAGTTGCAGTTCTTTCGAGTCTTGAAGCGAGTGCATCGGTATGGAAATGTCTAATGAGATGGTTCCTTTTGGGTCAATATTCCTGACGAAAGAAAGAGCCATGGTGCGATATATCCAGATACTTCCCATCAAGGTCTGCCATGCAATTGCACCTGCAGCACGGGCCCAGCGAAAAGACTTCGACATCAAGGAAGTAGCTCCTCTGGCGGACTAGAGAATCTGGGACTGTGAAATTCGAACGATATTTAATCGCAATAAATCAGTGAAAAGCCAAAGACGCATTAGAAACTACAGCGTTACAATATCCTATCCCGATGAGTCCAAAAGTTTCGGGAACACTGTATCTGCCACGTGTTTTGTCATACGCGATAGTCTCTATAGAGGTGATATCCTGTTGTTATCTCAAAACCAAGCCAGTCAAACTCACCCTGCATAACTTATGCATTGTGGCTACTAGAACCTTATGGATTGAGTTACCTCCGAGAGTTCTAGGCAGTACGGATCATACACTAAGTTGCACTCTGTCTAAGTTGCGATAGATACATTCTGAGTTTAATAAAGGCCTGGTGGATCTCGTCTCCTTCTAGATCGCGGTTCAACCGCGTTACATCCATGTTTGGCCAAATGAAGCAGTGCCGTGGATAGTTCCGTCGTCTACTATATTATTCTTCATCATTACAATTATTCCTCGGCTTCTGTGGTTATGCACCCTTTCTGTACCGTTCCTTGAATTCCAGAGTTGTTGTATTTGTCCCTATATTTTTCAATAAGTGACTTCGAGTTGGCCTGCGGTCCGTAGAGAACGAGCTCTGACAGATGTTGAGGAGCATGCGTAATGAGCCATACAACGCGCTCATTCAACTCTTCGGTCCATTCATCATCGTGGTCGAACACTCGGTAGATTTCGGGCGGAACATTGTGACGGAAGGCGAAGTCCCTCATCTCAAACAAATCACAAGGAACTGGGCAGGAGCACCGGGGAGGAGAGTGCGACGGGTATTTTCCGATGAGATCCATGTCGGCTTGCCAGTTATACCCGAGTGTTTCCGCCTCGGACAATCCTTTGCGAGATATCTTTCTTCGAAGACGGTATCCTGTTGCCAGACGATGGGTCCAACGCTCTCGTACCTCCTTTTTCACGCACCCGGCCAGAATAACATTAGGTATGTGGTGAATATAGGGGTACGCAAACGTCAGGATCCAGTCAACGACGGTCTTGTAGCAAATAGACGTTCGCATGTCTCTATACATTTCGTTCGATTGGAACCAGTCTGTGTGTTTGTACAGTGCCTGAAACCACTGCCACGGGTTAGGATCCATCATATTCTTATAATAATGCCTTCCGCCATAAGGGCTGCGGAAGCGCAGTCGAAGACTCTTCAAGGTGTTGATTCCCTGTAGTAACGGTCCCATCGAAAACCCCGCTGACGCATGTAGCGCAGGATGGATTTCGACGCCGAAGAAGTCGAACCAATCGGAAATTGTGAAATCAAGCTCAACCTTGGAAATCCAGTTGTATTGCGCACTGGGCTTGTGAGCCAAAGAGATGACCTTGAAGAAACTGGGTGGAGTGACGAAACACTTTCGTGTGCCGACCCAAGCGGCGTTGAGGGCCTCTCGTCGCACTTGCTTGGAGACTCGAAGAAGCGCATAGTTCGGCGGTTCTGTCCCGGGAACCGCATTCTCTCGACTGCTGTAGGCCTGTCGCCCCAATACCACGTGTGACTGGCCACCCCTTCTAGGAACCGTCCGAGTTTCGAGGTGCATATCAGGCCCTCCAAGACTGAACTGGTATATGCGTAGACGGATTTCCAATGGGAGGCCCATAAGGTCGAAATTCTTGCCATTCCGGAGCCACCACATTGACTGGGACTTTGACAACTCTTTTCCCGGAGCTAAGAGCTTTTGTCGATCTGGTATACTGATGATGTAATTTTCCAGTGTGATCCATTCCCCAGAAGAGCGCACCAATATATTGAGATCGTCGATATTATCGCTCTCACGGTTATAGATTGCGACTGGTACCGTCCTCGGAAACTCTTCGTAATTTTGTTTAAAAGCGTAGAACTTCACTGGGCAGTTTCGATTTTCTCGAGATAGCGGCCAAATCACTGGGCCAGATGTGACCGGAAAGACACGGATGTCACTTGCAGCGACGCAAATGTCCTGGGCGCTCAGTGTAGAGACTGTTTTGTGAATAAGGTTAAGAACGGGATCGTTTAGACGTGGCATGAGTTTGAACGGTGTCATGTCGTAGCGGATCGTGCGAGTGGTTGAGGTCTCGGAGGGATGCAGAAGTACTGTGAATTGTCTTTCCAGGCCGTAGCCTCCATTCTGTGCTTTCTTGTAGCGATTCTTGAATCCGCGCATGTTTAGAGAGAATGTACACTTATAGTCCGCTTTGACTATCGCCTGTAGACGCTCCGTGGTTTTATCGTAGACGCCTGGTTGATTTTGAGGGTTTTATATATGAGGGCAGAATATGTGCAGCTTACGCTGGGCAGCATTTATATCTTGGAAAAAGAAGCATGTGAGTGAATGACGTTAACAATGCATGAGGCGTACCGGATTTGCCTAGTGCTCAGAGAAGAATGACGACGTTGTCGACTAGCGTCGCAAGCGTAGTATCAGGCTTCTGAGCTTTTAAGTCATCAACGTAATGATGGCACCGCAATCCCCCAGTGGATTTTGCATATTGCATTCTAAGCGCAGGCAGAAGGAGTCACCAAGCAGCCAGATCGCCATAATGTTACAGACGAAGGTAACAGATCGAATTATTAACGTATTTTAGTCCGAGAGAATTGACTCACTGATTCTCCAGTCCACGGAGAGAAAAGATGCCGCACCCTAACGTTACCATCGTAAGTTTCCAGGCACGATAAAACATTTGGCGGAATAAGGAGAACCAACATAATACGGCTTGGTTCTGCAATAATGCAATATATTCTCCATGTATTTGATTTAATAAATCATGACAGTTATGATTAGCAGCGTGTCTTAAATATCTGTACTCTGGCGTAAAAGTGATGCCTCAGTGTGGGAGTGGCAGTGCTTTTATGAACGGTCCGAATGTTTGGCGCTAGAGAACATAGGGCCACAGCGTTACCATAATATCACATGCTAGTACATTATCGATGACAATGTGAGCGCGAGTCATATTCATGTGAACAGAAACGTTGGAACTGTCAGCGATCGCGCATGATATATCCTTTCAGATGATTATTTGGTGTGGGAACCGAACTCAAGGCAGCTTACTAGCGGAATGTTTGCGGAAGAAGACTGGGTGAATGTGGGACGTCAAGAGATATATACTAAGTTCTATCCATCTTCAGGTAGTAAGCAGTCGCTTCACGAGTTTCACTACCGCTATCACTTGAACATCGCTCACATTGACGAAGCCACACTTAGTGTACATTGGTGAACCATGACAGCCGAACCACTTTCAACCGTCCACGCTTGACCCGACCCATCCCTAGGCTTCCAGTTTAGCATTCGAGTCGCCATCTCGCTTCAGTGGTGATCAAGGATAAAGCGACTCGTAATGCTCCAGGTTTCTTAGATCCCCGACGAGGATCAATTCGAACCAGGCGTCGTTCTTATAATCATAGATGTAACGACTCGGCTCGCGATCGTAGTACTCGGAGTCATTTTCCTTCCAATGGAGTTGGATGCGTGTCCACAGATCATGAGCCCGATGAAGGAGGTCTAGGGCAAGCTTATCACCGTAGTCGAATTTTGCACTGCGTCCATTGTATTGCCACCACCACAAGAAGGCCCCGTGGTCGAGCGCTTCTCCTTTCCCCTCCGTAAAACGGTAGAGAACATGTGCGCATTGGCTCGAGGGTGTAAGAGTATCATCGCCTATTTATCGGCTGCCAGCGACTTTGAATGCCTGTTCAAGCGGTTTCAAGTTCCGTTGGAGGATGGAGGAGTACTGTAAACGGTCTGTCAAATCCGTAGGGTCCATGAGCGTGCTTATCTGTACCGTAGGGTAACAATGATATGGATCTTGGCATAATTGGAAGATGTGCACTTTGACGAGCGGTTTCCATCGTTATGCGTAGATGTTCGGTAGTGTCGTAGTAGCCTAGTTGATTGCAAACGTTTTATATAAGCGCAGACAATACACATCCGCCTCCTGGCAGGTTGTATTTCGTTAAGAAAAGAGAAATGACGGTGCCTATCCATAGGCGGGACATAGAATAAACCGGATTTTTGACAGAGATCATGTCAGAATCGACCTGCTAATCCTACAAGGTGCGTATGAATAACAATGATACATTGATTTCTGTCGAGAGTTGTTAGATATTAATAATTCCACGGAGTGGACGTGGGCAATGTGAAACGGACAGATGTCCCCGAAAAGGGTACAGAGCCTGTTCTCACTTTCCCAGTAGATGACGGGGGATAGAACGCTTGGAGGTGTTCAGAGTCCTATGGCTTAAAGGGGATCTGCCTGTGGATTGGCTGCTATTGCCTTATATAGAGCACCTAGATATTTGCTATACGAAAACACAGAGGGTCACGCGTTCAAAAAAACCTTCGGGACAGCGTCATGGGAACGTGAGGGTGGTCTAAACACAAGCTGATCGGATTGCTTGCAACGCCCTCTGCGCAGATCTTATCATCAAACCAGTCATTTAGGCCAATCGGACGACCCTGATTGGGGTGCTTAATGATGCTAAGAATAGGAACGTCGGCTGCATTGAAAAGAGCTGGTACAGCAAAAGGGACGGAGATCACTTTGACACTTCGTCTCTGGACCCCGCAAACACTCGGGAGACTCAGCTGGCTTGCAGTCAGGAACGTCTCAATACAGGTATCAGCAGAGCACGCTTTCCCACCTATCTGAACCCCCTATTCAGAGTGTACCTGACCAATTTCTCCCCCATGAACTGTACGTTCCCATCTTCACGTTGAGTATACATTGTTCGTGACGCCACCTCGTGATGGTCTGACCCAAATAACCCAAGCACCCTTCTAACCTCTGGCCGCTTTTCCGCCGAATTTCTCATCTTGACTCTCTTATATACACCGCACTCAAACGCCAACGTTTTGCTTTTTTGCGTCGCCTACCATTCCAAAGAGAGATTGGGCTCGCATTCAAGCTGGTCGGGCCACTCCACTGCACCATTACAACGCAGGGGGCAGACACAAGCCGGCACCACGTTCGAAGGAATTTTTGCGATGCACATGGTTAAAACTTCCCATGGGTGCATGTGAGTGCGGAGGACCTTCTCCCAATACTTCTTTTGGCCGCTCTCGACACTGCCGAAGAGACGAACGTTCGGTATATGCTTGACATATGGGTAAGTGAAATGCATGATCCAATCTACCATGGCCTCGTGACATGGCGTCTCTTTAGCACCGAAAAAAGTGTTCCACGGGTTGCTGGATCCGGGGCTTTGGAAGTGGAACTCGAGATGTGTGAGAGTCGTCAGATTCCGGATCAGCGAGCCTGTTGGCTCGACGTGCAAGTTGTTGGATTTGATGCCGAAAAGCCGGAAATAGTCCGTGTGACTGAGATTCAACGCCATCCTTGAAAGCCAGTTCACCCTTATGGAAGCGCGTAGGATTCGATCCACGACACGAGGGCCAGCTGCGAATAGAACATCCTCGAGAGTATCCAGGTCTTCGAAATGTTTGACGGTGCCCACCCATGCTGCCTTCAGCGCTTCTGTGTGAATTCGCTTGTTCACGAGAAGAATGTTATAGTTGGGTAGGGTAGGACCGGTCCAGTTGTATATGTGACCTTGATTGATAGATTTCGGCCCCAGAACGACTCGACCCCCGATGACGAACGGATGAATCTCTCCACCAAGGGCATGGCGTAGGACTTCAAAGTAGAGCTCAGTGGGCAGATCCATCAGTGGAAAGTGCTTGCCATTGCATCGCCACCAAACCTGTTGTGTCTGAATTCGTCTGGCTTCAAGTTGCTGCTTATCACGGCACCAGTACCCATCCAAGATCTTAATATCGGGCAGCTGCAGAAGCCATGTGCGCAAGGATTCCCACCGTGACTTGCTCCGAACGAAGAGTTTGTCGGCTGAAAGGCCTGCGCGGCGGTCGAACATCGCCACTGGCACAGTCATTGGAAATTCGTCGTAGTAGGGGTGGAAGACGTAGAACTTCACACCAGAATCGCTCTCCCTGTTTCCAGTCATTGGCCATATGGGTGGACTTGAAGTGGCATTGCGGACTCGAATCTTTGCCGCCGCAACATACATGTTGTCTACCGCAAGCTCTCGGATGGTTGCCACGATGACTTGAAGAACGGGGTCGAATTGACGTTCTGGAAGCTGGCAGTCTTTCAATGAGTACTTGTAGTCTGGTCCCGGGTCACAGAGCCGGTCGGATGGGGGAGCGAATATCCATGTAGTGAAAGCGCGAGGTAAATCATCGGTACCTCCCCGGTTGAGATATCTCAGGCGCGTACAAAGCCAAGGCATTGCGAAGACATCCAGATAATGCTGGTACGAAGGGATTAAGAAGTTGATTGTTAGAAGTATAGAAGTTGCTGTGGATGTGGTTGCACGTGGGGTTGCAAGGAACGCGCAGTTGACGGGTTGACAGACAGAAAATAAATAGAATTATATAGGCACGGATCTGCATGTCGAGACTTTCACAGGCGGTTCTGTGTTTGGAGTGAACCGCCGCTCGGTTGAGTTAACAGCCATACCGCTTCTTGCTTCCGTTTCCGACGAATATCCAGTGAAAGGATGCAGGGGCATTTCCAACGTCGTAATTCTTCTGCTACACTTCAGAAGCCGCCGGACCGACAACTACCGGTTTGCTTGTTGTAAAAAGGCTTCGCAAACATGCGATTAGATAGATTGTGTTAGCAGTGTTGGTTTCGTCATCCAGTGCAAGTTCCCCCGCGCTGGTGAAGAAAGTACAAAACAGTCGCCGCTCTGAGACTGATGAAAGACGGACCGCTCCCTGAAAGTCGCTGGAGGGAAACTAGATAGAAGTTCGATTCGACGTTCCCATGTAATTTTGAACGCGAGCGTGTATTGGATGAGTTTTGGAAGGATGATTCAAATGAATCGGCGGAAATGATGTTGTATCGATGTAATAGCGGCTATCGCGCTGTTTCTGAGATACCATTGATTAAACTTTGATCAAGGCAGCTGTTGTCTTCCAGTGAATGTGATCTTCTCATCCTCTGTTAGCGAGGTGTATGAAACAGGCTGTGCTTTCTGGATGGCTGGCTTACCTGGCTGAAAGTATGTGCAACAAATTTAGAATTGTTTAATTGAGAACATACCTCTATACAGTCTCCGCTGTATGTACAAGTAGAGCAGAGTCAAGATTGGAAGCCTCGCTTCGTAATTTTGATATTAGCTGACCGCGCCATGTGAGTGGCGAATATTATCAGAACCCATTCATATAATGGCAAGGCGGACGCAACACCCATCTGTTTTCGACCACATCGATCAGGGTCGTAGCCTTAAATAAGTTACGATTATAGCAGCTGATTTATTTGAGTTTGGTGGTTGACAACAACACGGCACTGATCTATCGGAGCAAACAAGGTGTCAAACCCAGTAGTCATGAATGACTTCACGCAGCACTACACTTGTCTCTTCAAGAACAAGGTTCTCGATAATCGATATCTGTAACAAATCCTGAATGACAACTTGACAAGAGGTTTGGAAGTTGAATGATGAACTCGGAAGATTGATATTCCGACCGCCCTTGTTTGCCAAGGCCGTCGCTATTGCTCTTTACCTGGACGGCAGGTCTACGCGGGCTGCAATGCACATACTCCCACCCCTCCCACCCTTCTTCGAACCTCGTACAACATCTGCCCGCCCATGACACCCCTCCAAATGTTTCAACATTCTCCCAGGGATAGACTCGACGTGTAATTATGGTCGCCGACACTTTGTGGTGTCCATGAGAGGCCCAATCATGACTGTCGCAACGCAACCCTGAGTGCCGTAACTCCATACCCAACACCATCCACCGTCATGGCTCCCTCGAACCTGTTCGCACATTTCAGACCCGGCCATACGAAACGCAATGCCTCGAGCACCAGTCTGCCTTCGCCAAGTGCGCCCAATTCCATAATAGCTCCACTCCCATCCGCAACACCGCGTGTCATCGACAACATTGCCTCTCCACGAACGCTAGACCATGCAAATCATGCCTCCGTATCGCCCATTTCTCCTTACCCCCCGCAACTTCCACCGATTCCCCGAGTAGCTTCGCAATTAGACAATGAGGGAAGACACTCGAGGAAATACCTCATTAGCGCTAGACCACCGGAGACAATGCTGGACCCCGTCAAGAGCATCCCATATAACGGAGGAGACGTCGACGACGTCGCGGTAATATCAGGCGAAAACACCGGACAGAGAATGCAAATCCCGCCATCAGCCCCATATGCACAATTCCCTACAGAGAGGCCGCGGACGACGTCGTCGTTGCTGTCCCCACCGAACCTCGCTTCCGACCATCCAACCTCCCACACGTCTCCCTCACCATTACCGTCACCGTCAAATATCGCCTCCAATTATACAAAGCACTCCAAGTCTCAGGCATCTCTCCTCGGCGGTTTGAGCGAGAAGTTCTCTGGCGCAACTAAATCCTCCAGCACCCCCAGTACACAGACTCTAAAGTCCGGTAAGTCAAGGCTGAACCTCCGTAATCCCATGTCTCTCTTGATGCGCCGCCGATCTGGACAACCTATACAAAGCCTCTCAGACGAGTCGTTGGTGAGCCGCCTGTCCCCGTCGAACATACCTCCGATACCCGATAACTACGATCCCAGTATTCGTGGTCGCATAGTGCACGATTTCAGTGCCCCTAGGCCAAACCGCAATTTTTCGTATAATGTCACCCACGCCGGTGACGAGGATCGGGGCGAATCTGGGAGGTATAGTCCCCAAAAGACTGAACGCGAGCATACACCAATCTTCAAAGAACATTTCGATGATGATACGAGCTATGAGCAATCTCAAGCAGCTATACGTGCGGAGACACTAGCGAACAACGAGTTCTTAGCAAGAAACACTGTTCAATCGCCTCCCTCGCGTCCGCCACCGGAAGCTCCATCTAGAAGACCTCCTCCCGTTCCAAGTGATTCACCTGCTCCTCATCCAGAATTGGAACGGGAAGCATCCACGCAGGCTCCATCGACCATTCTGTCCCCAGTCCAGGAAGCTCCTAGCCCCACGGACGGTTCGGCAGAGTGTACGCCCAAGAAGCGGACTTCGAGAACAAAATCTCAAGCCACCTCACGATCGCGGGGAACCTCGCTCTCGGAGTCGTCCTTCGTACCCGCTGGTCTGCCCGCACACTTCACGAGCAGGGCATCTCGATTCAGCTTTCAGATTGGGGGAGGAGAGTCGACCCAAGAGAAGATGCTCGAGGAGAGGCATAGGCGGAAAGCCGCTGAGAAAGCCGCCAATCAATTCCCGACTTCGCTTGATGAAGAGTATGATGGGTACGACATGGACGATTATGACATGGACGGCGACATGGAGGAGGAGATCCCAATGGTCGGAGACTACGGGAAGTGTGAAGCGATGATGCTGGGTTCAGAGGCATCTGGCGCCATGGAGGGAGGAACTCCAATAACTGGCGACGCCGAAGCGCCTGAAGTCATGCTCCTTAGTGCAGACGTATCGGCGAGCACGGTAGTCGCCACTGACTTACAGGCTAGCATTTCCGCGACTGCATCCAAAGCCAATGGTGCATTACATCGCTCGTACAATGCCGAAGGCTTGTCTATTACCAGGTCGGGACAAATACATCAAAAAGATCTGCCATCGCTTCCTGATCGGGCTACAGAAGATCTCAATCAATCTTCAATTCCACGGAACAGTGGTCAAATGCCATTGTCTTTACCAGACGCGGCCGGGGAGAGCAGCATTCTCGAGTCGGACCATGAAGCGCTCGAGGACGATCTTTATTTCGACGATGGGATGATACAAGAGCAAGGGCTTACTGCCGAAGCGGCGGATTTTGACGAAAACGTCTTTGACGATCCATCCGGGCCTCTGTTTGCTCGCAAAATTGAGCCATCTACCCAGAAAGATCGCCGCAGTACCCTTGCCTCGAATCCTGCAAATAGCGCCCCGGCCGAGGGGTTGGACCAAGATGAAGAGCAAAGGCATTCTCATCCTGGAGTGCGTACCTGTGCCGACACAACGCCTCAAAATGTTAGCATTAGTGCCTACCATAGCGCGTTGGCCGAAGCCGCACAACGTGCAGAGGCAGAGGGTCGCTTTGCACGCAAGCCCAGCGTGGATGCAGTCGAGAGCCCTGAAACGCAGGACGGTTCGTCTATGAGCGGTTCGCGACCTAGTCTTGGTCCGGACGATAATCGTGTTAGTCATGAAACAGCTGGCTTTTCCTACGACGACGCTCTTCTTGGGGTGAATTCCAGTTTCACCGATAGCTACGACTATAGCGATTTCGATGATACGGGCCTGGAAGACGACCCAATGATTGCCGAAGCAAACGCAGAGGCGTTGGCCAATGACTTTGAAGGATTCTATGGTCGTGAGTTTGGTTTCTACGCCAGTGGCCCACCAGACTCGTTCGGCGCATACGGTGGCTACTTTGGGTCCTCAAATCTCGGTAGAAGCATGAGCGGACGCAATGCCGTTCAAGAGCCAACGCTTACGCCTATTACGGAGCGCACGGAGAGCGCTCGAAATTCAGTCACCAGTCTCAATCGTCTCTGGTTAGATGGCCAGACACCGTCAAGTCCTGGCTTGCTCCAACTTGCACGCATGAGTCCTTACGGCTGGTCAGACGCTGACCCTACTATGACGTTTGAAGGGCTGAAAAGGCTGCGCAAAACCACATTTGGGAGCACAACCAGCCTGTCGAGTTCGACTGGTAACAGTCCGCGCAATCACAGCCCCATGGGCGTGCAGTATGTTCCTCGGAACGCAAGTGCGATGTCCAATTACCCTATTCACCCAAACTACTCGTCAGACACCCTAGCAGACGCTAACGAAGAATCGCAAGAGGATACCCCACAATACTGCTCACAGCCTTTTTCTCCGATAATACCGGAAGTCTACAATCGCGACGACGGCATCCGTGGATCTAGGCCAGAGAGCCCAACGCTTACCGCAGACAGCTATAACGCTGCCTTTGGCGGCTGGCTCCAGCCCGAGCCGAAGGCTCCAATGCTGGAACCCTCTCCCGAATTACCATCGCTTGGAATGTTTGAACAGTCCCTAGAGGCTCTACGTATCGATACTAGTCCTTCGTCGCCTGCTATGGCATCTTCGTCGGATGCTGCGGCTCGTCGATCTTTGGGTTTGGTGTCTCCCGTCTCAACATCAAGTCCTGTCACTCCAGGAGGCAGCTGGAGACCGACCCACAGTCGCAAGACAAGCACAGCCGATAGCGTCACGTATGTACGTGAGCACGACGACGATTCTGGTCAGGACAGGTGGGTCCTTGAGAAGAGACGTACCGTTGAGAACGGAGAGCTTGAACTCATTGGAAGAGAAACCGTCCGTGGTACGATTTGAACAAGGATTGAGTTTTGTGGCTCCTGGCCTTGTTGAAGAGGCCTTTGGCGCCTCATGGTAATAATGTCTAAGACGATTACACTAGTCAACGCATTGTACTTGAGTTGTAGAGCCCCATCGCCTCTGGTCCCCTGTTGCCCTATTTCTTCTCTGCATGGATTGCATGGCATGGCGTATCGTAGCGTAGCGTTTCTGTAGATTATTGGTGTTTCTGGGCAGGGCGGCACTTAATGTAATACCTTTTGGGCTTGACAAATGGTAATCGACAAGACGAAGATATGAAATAGGAACTAGGCTTGAGCCGGTCTTGGCTAGAAAAAGATGAAGGGTACGCTACTGAGGATAAGAAAACACATCTCGCTCCGTCTTATGAAGCTCATGTAGTCTGATTCCTCCGGCATAATCAAGTATTGAAGCGGTTCTAATAAGGTTCGTGCTCCTAGCTCCGGTCTATGGAGCTTTAATAGTCTATAAAGCTGCTGCCTGGTTGCATGTTGACAGGTAATAGAGATGATTGACTGACCAAGTCATTCATCCACGTATCTCGCCGTGGAATCCATGATACCTTGCAAGCAAAGACACCACATTGGTTCCTGATAAACTCATCTAAGGAGAAATTACCCGATCCTCCTCAACAGTTGCCGAACCGCCAAATGCTTGCAGCCAGCATAGGTGATTGGCTAGAACACCAGATTCCTGGCGTCTCATCTACTTGGAATACCCTCCCCACAATACCAAGCTACAAGCCCCGAGACTTCCTGACATCGACCAATCTAGCCGAAATACGAGCTGTAAAGGCGCGTAGATCTAATTGGTTCGCGGTAGCTCGCAACTGCTAACATCCTAGCCATATTGGAGATCTTCGTAGCTTCGTAAATCCTACCTTTGCCGAATTGGATACTTGGAGATGAATGATAGACACCGGTTGGATTCAACAACTCGGCAAGTGCGCGCTGCGTGTTCGAAGAGAAGACAAGGAGAGGTATCGTTGTTATAGTCCCCTATGGGTTGACTTCGCCGCCTCCTCCATCGTCTCGCACCGTGCCCTACATAAAATATTACTCTTTGTGTTGGCGGATTGGACATGATTGCAGCGGCGTGGACTCTTTTCGCTGCGTCACTTCTTCTCGGGGTCGATGCAAGTCCAACGAAGCGGTCGTTCAGCCTCAATCGGTTCGCGCTTCACCACCTTGACACGGCATCAGTGCTAAAAAGATGTCTAGGAGAACCGATGGCTTCCCGTATCCTCTCGATGAAGTAGACAAGCTAGAAGAAGATGGCTTGGCCAAGTTCGAAGCGTATCTCGCGAAGAAAAAGACCTCGTCTCATGGCTGCACGCTGGAGAATGCGGGTAAGAGGATGGAATGGTGCGAACCTTATATGGTAATCTGCAAGCACGGACTGACTGGCATGTAGGCATGATCTCACCGTCGCCCAGCGGGAAGAGTATATCCAAGCAGTGCTTTGTCTCCAGAAGAAGCCTCCAAAAGCGGATACGGCGAAGTATCCGGGTGTGCTGAGTCGGTATGATGATTTTGTCTTGACGCATGAGACGCAGGCGATGCATCTTCATTCAACCGTGAGTCGAGAGATATTCTAGCTTTTCCGACAGAGGTTGATGAGCACTCTAGCCACATCTGTTCCCAGCCCATCGCCTGTACATCTGGGCGTATGAAAAGGCACTTCGTGAGGAATGTGGCTACACTGGATATCAGCCTGTACGTGACGACGAAACATTCATCGGCATGTCATTACTAACATCGAACGCAGTACTGGAATTGGGGAAGGTAATCAACCAGCTTCTATGAACACTGCCTTCTTCAAACAGAGCACTGTCTAACACGCACACTAGAACCGCAGCCGATCCACTGAATGCCCCAATCTTCAACGGCAACATGTCCAGCATGGGCGGCAACGGCCTCAAAGCCGACTACCCCGGCGTCCCAACCATGGGATTCAAGAAACCCTATGATATGATCCCCGCCGACCTGGGCGGAGGCTGCGTCACTCAAGGCCCCTTTGCAAAGTATATTTCCTCTCTCTCATCCACTAAAATCTCGCAACCTCATCGAACAAACACGTAAATCAAATAACCACCTCTAACCCCAACCAGCATGACCGTCTCCCTCGGCCCCATCGGCACCGTCCTCACTGACATCCCCAAAAACCCTCGAGCCGATGGCTTCGGATCGAACCCGCGCTGTCTGCGCCGCGATATCAATCGCTACGCCTCGTCGATGCTGTACGCGAATTACACATACAATCTCATCACGCAGGCCGACACGGTCGATTTGTTCCAGAGGAATATGCTGGGTATGCCGGAGAAGAATGATTGGGGTGTGCATATGGCGGGGCATTATACTATCGGCGGGGATCCTGGTGGTGTAAGTCATGATTCTCCGTGTTTTTATATTTCAAAACCGTCTCTTTTCTCGCAAATTTCTTGCAACATGCTACCTCGAATTTGAAGTTCCGCTTACAGCTCTCAATCGGCAGGACTTCTACTCGTCCCCAGGCGACCCCCTCTTCTGGTTCCACCACGGCATGGTGGACCGCGTCTGGTGGATCTGGCAGATGCAGGATCCGGAGAAGAGGATGGGCGTGTTACCGGATAATCCGCCCAAAGATGATTTTGTGGATTTGAATTGGACGGCCGAAAGGGCGCAGACGTATGATTTGAATGATAGTATTGGGGGAAATGGGGGGAAGTTTTGTTATATCTATGTTTGAAAAGTGACTTGGAAATGGAGGTGGAGGGTTTGTTGGGCGTGTTTGAATAGGGATGGTGGGTTGTTAGGATGCGTCGTAGGCTCTTCACGGTCTTCCATTTGGCACGAGTGATGAACGGAATTTATGTGCAATTGAACGGTATTCTGCGCACGCACTTAAGTTACCCGCTCTCTCCTCAACCTATATCCGCCATAACCGAACACGTGATCTGTTCACAAGAAAGTACAGAAGTCGAGACTGTGGAAAGATCCAAATGTTCTCCAAAAACCACAAAAGAAACGAACAAGAGCCCGGGCTCGTAGCTCTTAGTTTTTGAAGCAGACCCGTCCATACTTGTATGTGTTCTCAGCTTAGAGATTGGCTCTGCGGTTGAAAAACTCATTCAGGCGCTTGATTGAGTCGGTCAGATCGCTGAGGGTCAGTTCCAGACTACTGTTGGACCCTCCAATGCGGGTGGATGGCGGTCCAGCATGGTTGACGGTCTCCTCCAGGTCAGTGTTAGATCCGATTTGGCCATTCTCCATCGGCTCACTTGCGAAGTGAGCTACTCGTACCCTCGCCGGTTGCTGTAAGGCAGGAGCATGGGAATACGTCGTGGTCACACTGTTGATGGTATTGGAAGAATCCACTTCCTGTGTTAACCGGCGCGCCGCCTCTGCGTGGTACCTCGCGAGCGCGCGGTGCATCTCTAGTGCAGTTGGCTTTAGGTCACTCCGAAGGGGAAGGTTGTCGAGAATCTGTTGGGGCAGCATAATTGGCCTGTGGCCAGTACCATGTTCCCACGCCGCCAGCTGCTCGAGGAAGCAGTTGATGCAGCGATCGAGTGACTGCTGCAAGTCCTCGGATTGTTCTTGAGTGTAGTCTTCAGTGGGTTCGTGTTTAAACATTGCAAATGCCGGTGAGGTTGTGCAATTGAGTTGTTGTACCCTATGTAGTAAGGGAAGGCGTCGAGGACGACTTCACTTTCACCGCCAACTTCCGGGAAAGCATTTCTCTAACGCTAGATGCTTCGCGTCCCTCCAATTCTACGTGATTACCATATGACTTCTGTTCTTCTATTTCCCAAGAGTTCTCAAATGGGTCGGTAATAGATAGCTACCCTAGGGTAGGGAGGACTGTGCCTTGCGTGCCGTTGAGGACATGACAGCCATTCCTATCCGAATCAATATTGCCCAAGGCTTCATGAACATGGACACGAAGGCAAATTTACTGTGGACGACATCTCTGTCTGGCATATAATATGATCTCGTGGGTCCACCCATGGCCAAACCATCGGGATTACACTGTTCCCTGCACAGGTGCTTTCGCTACTGGGAGAAATCAATTACAGACTGTTTACAGAGGTTACAATGCCCTTTGCAACTTTAGTGCCACTGTAAGTGGGCTTCATGGACACAACTAAATTAAATAGAGAATACTACTAAGTTGTACACAGCGCTATATCGGGCATGCAAACCTGTTTGTCACACTGCTAACATATATCTAACCACTCTAAATTCCAGTATACTACTATTCTCTAAACGCACACCTAATTTAACTTTAGAATATATACCTACTAGCTTAGAAAGCTTTAATATTATACTTTTGTTCTAGCTATATACATACAGCTTAGGTGTTATCAAACGTTTTACGTAACTGCGCATCGTGTAAGCTCTATTAGTATATGCACATATCTCTCTCTAGCTTGAAAATTAGCAAACCTTCCAAAGGGGTATTACTATTTTCTGTATACTCTACTTTATATAAGTGGCTATGTATATATTCCTCCCTGCGGGGAAGAAACCTTAATATACCACAAAGACTGTGTTAATATGGAAATACCAAATAAGTGTAATTATATCGACAACCTGTACAACAAACAGGGGGAGCGATATGAAACTTATTGTGCCACGGGTCGAAATTATTCGGAGCCACATGCAAACATGAGCACGGTCGAAGTGTTGTCTTCGCTTATGGCTTGTACCCTACGCAGCAGAATAGTGCGGCGCAGTTTACCGCCCCGCACTTGTACCCGTTATCCTACAACTTGTATTACACCCTAATCAATCATACATAGGTATTTCTGCACTTTACACTTTCCTGCGGCTAAGATGACCGTATTCGACGAACTTGCCGAAACGGACGGGGACAACGAATTCAAGGCGTGGTTATCCAAACTCATCGACGCAAAGCAAGAGATTGTCGCCTTTGTCTCTTCTCGCCGACAAGGCAGTCCGGAGGGAGAATTTGACGGCTATCTAAAAGGCTCGTTCAATCTCAGTCTGGTTGTCAAATTTAACGATGGAGGGCCAAAAGCCGTGATCCGCTTCCCGAAACCTGGTCACACGGCCACAGATATCCGCGACGAAAAGGTCAGGAATGAAGTCCATTTCTTGCAATTTTTGAGCGAGAAGACTACTATTCCTGTGCCGCGCGTAGTGAGTTGGGGGTTGATGAAAGATAGCCCTCAGCTTCTGGGTCCTTTTATAATTATGGAATATGTTGAAGGTGTCTCGCTAGCGACGCTTTTAAAGCAGCCAACGCAGACCGAACAAGACGAAGTGATTCTCGCGACTGACGTGGACGACACGAAGCTGGATTATGTATACGAGCAACTCGCCGATTACATGATACAGTTCTCGCGACTGGACTTCTCTGCAATCGGAGCGATAGCAAAGGATCCATCTTTAGACGAATGGGTTGTTAACGAAAGGCCGTTGACCTACAACATGAATGAGTTAATGACCGTGGTCTCAAACTACCCTACAACCGGATTTCCTACGGCCCCGTTCACGTCCGCAAAGGCGTTCCTTCGCTCTCTCGCAGACGAGCACCTTGTCCAACTCCGAACCCAACGAAACCTCGCCAATGACCGAGAAGACGCTAAGAAGCGGTTCATCGCCCGCCATCGATTCAAGCAGCTGATCTCGCGCTACTGCTTCGACGATACGGGTCCTTTCAAACCCTACTGCGATGACCTCCAACCCTCGAACATGCTTGCGGACCCCGACACTTTTTGCATCACAGCTGTACTAGACTTTGAATTCACAAATACCCTTCCAGCGCAGTTTGCCTACGATCCACCTTGGTGGCTACTACTACTGGGTCCTGATATGTGGCTTGAAAACCACTCCATGGAAGAATTCATGACCCGCTACGTTCCGAGACTGGAGCAGTTCTTGCGCGCTTTGGAACGGGTGGAAGGGAGGACCAATTGGGGAAGAAGGCAGGGCGATCAACCTCTTTCTGCTCGGATGCGTGAGTCCTGGGCGACCGGGAGGTTTTGGTTTGACTATGGGATTAGAAAGAGTTTCGACATCGATGCGGTGTATTGGGCCGCACTTCATAAAGAGGGAGATGATGAACTTGACGAGGAAACGGCGAAGGGAATTGAGGAGTTTGCAGATCTAAAGATGGACCAGTTGAGAGCTTATGATGCAGAGTGTAAGGCCCGATTCTCGTCGTGACAGTTGGTTATTGCAAGCCCTGCTTATTCATGTGGCCGGTCTACGAGAGGTGTACGGTTAGTTGACTTTAGATCGGTTGGCCTTCCAATCATTTCAGCACGATTCACTGTCGACATGTTCGTTTATTGGAAAAGCCAAAGCAAAAAGCTAATGTTCCAGTCGTATTTCGTCGACACCTCGCAAGCAAAAATAATTCCACGTCATAAAGCCCAAGAACCTGTGTTACTCCTATCCTGATGTCTAAACGCTCCTCGACTCCAGCCGCAGTGGAGCCGCTGAGCACAGCACTGAACTTGTGTCAACCACTCATTGGCCCGAAACATAACGCAGCTATGCTTGGCTCGCATCCCTCAGAATACATGCGCCCCAGACTGGCACTTGTTTGGCTTATTTGGCGTGCCAGGCCAGCCTTTTCAATGCTTAGAATTTTATCCACATTCATCTGCAGGATGCCTCTCATGCAGTACTTAAGCTTGATCTGTTCTTTTCAGTGTAGAGAAACTGGGCACCGAAGCAACGATAATGAATCAGCGGGTAGGTATTCTTAAGATGAGACAGGGTTGAAATTGAGTATTTGACTATGCGTGCAATTGAAGAGGTCAAATAACCGGACAACATGAATCGAAGACGATGAAAAATGACCAAAACGAGACAAATCGAAAATGACAACAGAAAGAAATGAACGCAGAAATGCGAAAAGATCTAGAACTGGAAACCGCTCAAACTCTGCCTAGACTTAGACAATCATAACCGCTCATGCGTAATGGTAGCAGTAGAAGTTATCGGTAGTAGACAGAAGCTTCTTCAGCTTGCGCTTCCCATCAACAATGCCGAAAGCAAGCTTGTCTTCCAAGGAAACAGGTGTGCCAGAGTGATCTGAAATGATGATCAGTATCTGCATGCAGATCATAAGGAGCCGAGACACTTACCAATATCCAGGGGCTTCTTTGTACCTCCAACCTGCTTGAGCCGATTGGCAGGGTCCTGTGCTTGCCAGATCGAGTAGAGGCGGTCGATCTGGGCGTGAATAAGATAGAACATGGGGTCTCCAGGGCTGGCAAAGGGGTCATTCTGAAGTCCACCAACGACGAAGTGCCCTGCCGGATGAACAGCTGGCTGGCTTGGATCGTTTACTTCGAAGCCATCGATGCGTCGCTCAAGGCAGTCGACATTTGGGCAAGTAAGGAGGTATTGCTGGTTGGCGACATCGAGCATCTTGGCCCATTCGAGATTGAGATCGCGGCGCAGGCAGCGCGGGTTGTAGTTGAGGGCTTCGTTGTACTTGATAACCCCCACGCTCTCTACATCCTCGAATAATTGGAACGGTTCTTCGACGATATCGGTGACGTTTTTGATAACTTTGTCCAGCTCAGTAAGAGGTTCCGGGTTCGTTGTTGATGGGGTATCGATAGTCTTCGGGATAGGGGCCGTCACGTTTCCAGCAGGAGGACTGATGGTCTGGTTAAGACCCAGATTGACCTGTGAAAAGTAAGACTCTGCTTATGCATGGAGAGAGCCAGTCACTTACGATGAGGTCTTTGAAGGGGCCGGTCTTCAGACATCCGCCACCGGTGCCAGCAGGAAGATCCAATTTAAGGCCGAAAGCTTCCAAATGGGTGGAGCCGTGGGCAAAGTACTCCCCATTACTTCCCATCGAATAGGGACTCCCGTCAAAAAGAGGAGAAGCAAGCAGGTTGGCAGAGTCAAGGGTCCAATCCCAATAGGGTTGGGCGCCCTTGTAGCCGCATTCCTTGCGCAGAGCCTGCTCGTACAACCATACGAAGTGACGGTGCCAGGCAAACAGGTGACCATTGAAGTGGATCTTGTCACCTTCAACAAGATGGGAGGCTACAAAGTCATCGAGGCGGTTCCTTGCACCTGGAACCTTCCTTCTATTCGCCTGTGATCTCTTTCCAATGAGACATTGCACCGCAGTGATGTAGTCGGCACGCTCATTCTGGGACAACGAACGCCTAACACACAATGAGGACGAGAAACGTCACGAGAAGGGGAGAACCCACCATTCTTTGCGTGTCGTGACGGTAGAATGTTTGCAGACCTTTTTGGATTTGTTTCCATCTCGTTTCGAGAGGGCAGAATTGATTTGGTCATTGTACTTGCTGAGCATGCCAATCATGTCCACGGGGATAGGGTCTCCAATGGCACGAGATTGCGCTGGCGCAGCTGTAACAAGAGCAGCACCCAGCAGAACGTTGCTGCAGATGCTGGTGAAACGCATTTTGAAACGAATGAGCCGGAAAGAACTGTGAAAGAACTGACAAATGCGAATGCTCTGAAGGAAGGATGGAACGCAAGATGGACGACGTATGTGCAGCTTCTTATAGACAACTTGGTGGCTTCTCGGACTTCACTGTGCGCTCCTACCTTTCGTAATGGCTCCCGGATGGCAGTGTAGCGGAACTCAAGACGAGAGACTCCGGCGACCCAGCGTGCGGTGGGCGCTCATCGCCCCCTGATCCGTAGCCATACGAGTTCATTGAATGCATTGGTTCCTGAAGCTGACTACGGATGCTAGATCTCAATGTGTCCTGTGCTGTACGATGGAAGTATACCGGACGTCTCAGTGGTCGATGACGGCTCGAGGCGAAGACACGGGCAGAGGAGCTGAGGCCAGCCACGTCTAAGTATGGGCTGCGCCATAACGATATGATCGCTAGTGGCTGTATTGGTGGCAGATCGGACTCGCTCAGGATGCATCGGAGTTTTCCACGTGTTGAAGGCGGCTCTGCAAGGTATCCAACCGGGTCATCGGGAGCGTATTTTTGGATATCAAGTCAGATAGTCGGTAGAGCTGGGGCTCAGTACTCAGGTCTAGATTCTAGACTGGCGATGATGTTCACCGCTTGGTGGGTGGTACAAACGGGTGCGTCCGTTGATACGAGGGGCTCAACCTGCCTCATTTCCCCCATCAGCCCACGCCACCCATGGGCTGATCCGACCTGGACGGATGTGGCTCCAACGAATCCGGGAGCGGCGTGGTATCAGATGCACACATCTGGCTATGGATGTGTGGGGTGACTTTTGGATGATTGGTGCACTCACTGAGATGAAGTCAAGAAGGGGTCAACTAGGGGAAAGCCGTTGCATTCTATATCGGGATTTACTCTAACTGGGCGGTAACGTGCGGCTAAACAGATTAGCGCACGGAAACCGGGTTTAGCCGACGCCGATGTGAATCTTAATCCAACTCAGCTCTTGTGCCAGCTGAAGCTCCATCCACCAAACAGCCTTCGGTCCTCAGAGACGAGTCCTGTCTGCAACCTCATCCGCAACTCCTTCAGCAGCTTCCTCAGCAGCCCTATCGCTGGCTTCCCGGCAGCTTCTCCCTGTAAACGAGCAATGGCATCGTCCAATGCGCCCCTGATGTTGTATTCCCAGATCCAGTCGAACCGATGCAGCAGCTCTGCTTGAAGAAGATCAGAGTCGCTGCCAGCGAGGCCCCTCATGGCATACGTATCGCCAGCGGTGCGACTGGTTGCGACGACGAGTTGGGAACGGGGCCGCCGGACGGCATCGTACACCTTGAAGGCATTCATGAAGCCCCAGCCATGGGACTTCGCTTTGCCCAACAGTTCGGCAAGGAAGAGAGCGTCCTCTACAGCTTGTCCTGCCCCGGCCCCTTGATGCGGAGTCGTCGCGTGGGCAGCGTCTCCCAGCAGTACCACTGGGCCCTTCTGGTAGCAAGGTGCCGGTTCGTGGTTGAAAAGAGCCCATTGATCTGGTTGCTCCAGCATCTGCAGCGGGGTTAGGCATCTGCAACATTCGATGGACTGATTCGCTCACTTTGACTATGGTTGTGACCGGCCTTCCCCACCCTTCAAATTCTCGCCGCATATTGTCCCCACGGTGTTTCAGCACCCAATTGGCGTGGCTCCAGCTCTTGTTGTTTAGATCGTCCCGGAAAGCTACCACGTTCATGGTCTTCCCGCCATCAATGGGATAGGTGAGTACATGCCCATTTGGTCCCAGGTACATCTGGCTGTTGCTCGCGAGTTCTGCTCCCAGTCGCTCTACGGCCGTCTTCATCGGTACAAGGCCTCGGTAGACATATTTGCGTGTGTAGGTGACGTTGTCGAGCGGATTTTCTAGTCCCAGGACGTACTGTCGAACGCAGCTTCTGATTCCGTCGCAACCAACGACATATGCGGCGCTGACCTGGCTGCTGTCGTCGAAGTGGAGGAGGACATGCTTTCCTTCCGTTTCCTGGATCTTAACCAGCCGCTTTCTGAAGCGTACCATGTCCCGGGGAATCAGGCTAGCAAGCGCGTTGAGAAACCTTGCCCGATGGATACTGCTGAGGCCAGTTTGCCGTTCATCTTTTGTCTCCACTTTTGCAATCAGCTCGGCCTCCCCCATACCCTTTCGAAAGTTGATCCACGTAGCCTCTTCGCTGCTGAAGGCATTCTTTGTAGCCAATTTGTGGAATACTTCTGCAGCAGCCGGGTCGAGCAATTCCAGCGCAGAGATGGCATTGGGCCCGAGTGCTATCCCGGCTCCCAGCTCAGTGAAGTCTTCGCCAGCTTCGAAGACCACCGCTGGAATACCACGATGGCGAAGCCCTATCGCCAACGAAACACCCCCAATGCCTCCACCGACTATGGCAATAGCTCCATCGGGAACTGCTGTTTGTACGGAGGACATGATCATGAGAGAAACGGTATCCTTGCAAAAGACGTATGAAGGTTGGGAGTGAATGTCAACGTTGATTCACAGTGAGTATCAACACGCACGTTGCCATTTTGTTCATACCGGTAATTTGACCTTAAGGAGATCTCCGGAACTACCTCACCTGATCCGTATGCCCAGTGCGAAGTGTCTTCCACAAGCGAAAGCTGAAGACTCGGCGATGTCTATGCACTATTCCTGTAATACAGCTCTATCAGTAGCGCGCCACGTTCTGCGCTACAGGCACTTTGTACGACGGCTGTCTCCGTGTCAGGGCTCAGCCCGGTAGACTAAGTGGACTACACCGCCACCGTTGCCTGTGCGTATCCGAAGCAACACAACGTCTGCGTACGGGGACTCATCTGCAAACACAGTCCTATCGTCGGTGATTCAGCTCGTCAACACGCTCGGTTCGAGTACGAGCACCGCGCCAACTGCATGTATCAGTCCGTTGCTGTCATGTCCGCGATGTCTCACATCTGGAAATACATGTCAACATGTGGGCCATGTTGATGCCGCCTTCAATGGCCCCATTAACCTAGGTCCAGCGATCGAGTGGCGTGCTGAAGCTACTAGTACGTGCGGCCTTGGAGCAGAGCAGAGCAACCTATTGCTACTCCGGTCCGACCATACAGTACCCCACGAGGGCCGGCGTAGTCCGGGAGATAACGAGTCGGGACGTGTACATGCGTTGTAGCTCAGGTCTGCGCCTTGTACTCAGCCGTAGCACGAAGATAGTATCCTCACAGACCGACGAACAGCGAATCCATGCCGGATTGCCGGTGCGAAGTAAGCATCAACCAGGATGGCTGTGATAGCCACCGACTTTCTACGGTGTGGATCGAGACTGCATGTCTCTTCGTCTACGATCCGCCGAATAGGAAATCCAAAGGCCCATCACTGTCGTCACAGCTCGGGCACCCCGGGGATCGGATCAAATATAAAAATGCTACGTCCGCAGTACATCAAGTCGAGAATAACAGATCCCGAACCAAGTCCAGAATAATAGATTTCAACCTTCAAGATGGCTCCCTATCTCAGCGTCACTTCTGTGGATTCCCCACAACCCGTCCACACTCCTGCTTCTAGCCGGTCCATCTCACCCGCCCCTCTCGACTCTGTAGATCCGGAGGATGTTGCCATCATTGGCATGGGATGTAGGCTGCCTGGAGGCATCAGCAGTCCAGAGGATCTTTGGACTGCCTTGATGGATAAGAAGGTTGCTTCTGGAGATATACCTGAAGCTCGCTGGGAACCGTATTATAGAAGAGATACCAGGAATTCCAGAGTGAGTTGACCGGTGATTCCAGCATGTTGAAACTGCTAATTGACGTATGTATAGGTTCTTAATCAAACAACGAAGAAGGGATATTTTCTGGACAACATAGCCGACTTCGATGCCGCCTTCTTTGGTGTTTCGCCGAAAGAAGCCGTGCTAATGGATCCTCAACAGTGGGTCCCTCCTCCTATTCCTCGAGACAAATGCGACTAATGCTGGCTACAGGAGACTCACCCTTGAGGTAACATGGGAAGCACTTGAGGATGCTGGAATCTCGCCTCAGAGCCTGGCAGGCAGCAACACTGCAGTCTTCACTGGCGTCAATTCCGACGACTACTCGAAACTACTCCTCGAAGATTTACCCGGAGTGGAGGCCTGGATGGGCATTGGCACGGCGTATTGCGGTGTTCCGAACCGCATCTCGTATCTCCTGGACCTTCGTGGCCCATCCACAGCCGTCGATGCGGCTTGCGCGTCCTCGCTCGTAGCGGTACATCATGGCCGCCAGTCTCTATTGACTAGAGAATCGGACTTGGCCATCGTCGGTGGTGTCAACGCCATTTGCGGGCCAGGTCTCACAAGAGTCCTGGATGAAGCCGGCGCCATATCGAAGGACGGAGTCTGCCGATCATTTGATGATGCTGCCAACGGCTACGGTCGTGGAGAGGGCGCGGGCATAGTAATCCTGAAGCGACTCTCTGATGCCATTCGCGACAACGATCGTATTGTAGCCGTCCTCAAGGGTTCCGCCGTTGGTCAAGACGGACGCACCAACGGCATCATGGCACCCAACGGGCTCGCACAGGAGAATGTTGCACGGACAGCCCTCGGGTGCATCGATCCACTGAGCATACAGTATGTGGAGGCTCACGCAACGTCAACCTCAGTTGGCGATCCTGTGGAGATAGGAGCCATGGCGAAGGTATACGGCTCCAAGCGCGACCCACAACAACCGTGCTTTGTCGGCAGCGTCAAGGCAAACGTGGGCCATCTGGAAGCGGGTGCTGGAGTGATTGGTCTGATCAAAGCTGCCATGGCGTTGGAACGGGCAGTCATACCACCGCAGGCCAATGTACGCACCCTCAATAAGAAAATCGACTGGAAGCGGGCTGGAATCGATGTCGCCCTTGCCCCCACCAAGTGGCCACAGACGCAGGGTAAGCGGAGAGCGGCCATCTGCTCCTACGGCTACGGTGGAACGGTATCGCACGCGGTGATTGAGCAAGCACCCTGCGCACCTGCGATGACTGGTCGTGGAGAAAAGGGCAATGTGCCCCGCTTGCTGGCACTCTCAGCACCTCAGGAGAAACGACTCGTCGACGTTGCTGACAGTCTTGCGGACTGGATCTCCAATGCAGGCACTAACTGGTCACTGGAAGCCATCCAGGTCGCCTTGTGTACGCGGAGAGCAGAGCATGACTTCCGTGCCACCATCCTCGCCTCGTCGCATGAACAGGCCAAGGATGAATTGCAGAAGTTCGCCAAAGGCGAATCGTCAACGAATTGCATTGTGGCAAGGACGCTCTCCAAACAAGACAGGAAAGAAGTAGTCTGGCTGTTTTCCGGACACGGTGCTCAATGGTCCGGAATGGGAAAAGATCTGCTTGCTCAAGACGCCGCTTTCCGGCAGACAGTGGAGAGTCTGGACGACGTTGTTGATGAAGAAGTCGGATTTTCTCCACTCAAGGCCCTGGAACAAGGCGATTTCACCACTTCCGACAAAGTCCAGGTCCTCACCTATGTCATGCAGGTCGCACTGGCTGCATCGCTTCAATCCAGGGGATTGCGCCCAGGGGCCATTATCGGGCATTCGGTTGGAGAGATCGCCGCCGCTGTCGCTGCTGGGGCCTTGTCAGCCCTTGAAGGTGCCCTTGTGGTGTGTCGTCGTGCTCGCCTATACAAGCAAGTGATGGGTAAGGGAGCGATGATTCTGGTCAACCTTCCATTCGCACAAGTCGCTACAGAGCTCCGGGGCCGGTCCGATGCCGTGGCTGCCATTGACTCATCCCCAAATTCCTGCGTTGTGTCTGGAACTTTGGAGGCGGTCGACGCTTTGGAAGCGGCATTCCAAGCTCGGCATGTCAAGACCTATCGCGTCAAGTCCGACATCGCTTTTCATAGTCCACTCCTCGAGACACTGGCTGCGCCCTTGATGGACGCTCTGGATCATGTGCTTCATCCTCGCACGCCTCATAGTAAGTCTCCCACTCTCCCTTTGCCCACACATTTCTAACTGTGATAGCTCCGCTCTACTCCACTGCATGCGAGGATCCCCGCGAAGTCACCTCTCGAGACCCTGCATACTGGGTGCGCAACATGACGAATCCTGTTCTGTTGACCAATGCAGTAAACGCTGCAGCTGAGGATGGCTTCAAACTGTTCTTGGAAGTGTCCAGCCACCCGATCATCTCTCACTCGGTCAATGAAACGCTCATGAATCTCGACGTTGACGACGCTCTGGTCGTCCCTTCCCTATTGCGTGGAAAAGAAGCCGATGCCACCATACTCAGGGCTGCTGCAAACCTCTGGTGCAAAGGAGCTGCCCTGGACTTCCAGACTGCCTTTTCCGGATTACCTTGGGCAACCAATCTTCCGAAGACCAAGTGGCGTCACCAGTCGTATTGGAAAGACATCAGCACCGGCTCTACCAGCATCGATGAATGCCACGATCGGGACGCGCATACCCTTCTTGGACGCCAGATCCCCATTGCAGGCTCGGAAGCGGCCATCTTCGCGACTAAACTGGACGACGAGACGCGCCCGTTCCCTGGGCGGCACCCACTTCATGGTACTGAGATTGTACCGGCTGCTGTGTTATTCAACACTTTCTTGCATGCCACCAAGTCATTGTCGCTGTCTAATGTCCAACTCCGCGTCCCTGTTGCCATTAGTGCGCCTCGAGATGTCCAAGTGGTCGTGGAAGGTCAGGATGTCCGCATCATGTCCCAACTAATCCAAGCGGAGCAGACGAATGCGTCGTGGCTCACTCACACCACGGGAAGGGTTAGTAACGCTCTGGACATTCCACAGACCATCGACATTGTTGGCATCACGAAGCGCATCGGCCAAGAGCTCAGCAAGACATTCACGATTGACTATCTTGCCGCCGTGGGTGTGCCTGACATGGGCTTCCCGTGGACTGTCCTCTCACATTATGGAACGACGAAAGAAATGATTGCTCTTGTCGATGTCTGCCCCGAAAAGAAAGATAATGAGAGTTTTCCGTGGCAGCCATCTTCGTGGGCTCCCGTATTCGACGCCGCCACTTCCATTGGCTCCACCATCTTTTTCAATGAGCCGCGCCTGCGTATGCCCGCCCACGTCGCCAACCTCACCGTAGTGCGGGACGCAGCACCACCTAAGATGGCGTACATTTACGTCAAGGATTCCAGCGAAGGGAATATTGGTTCCGCCTCCGACGTCACCGTCACAGATGAGCATGGCTCCGTTCTTGCTAAATTTACCTCGATGCGCTTTTCCGAAATCGAAGCGTCACGCAAGGGCAAAGACGACATGCAGGGTCTCGTTTTCGACCTTGCGTGGCCACCTGCGCGGCTGTGCGAGGTACCGTACGCTTTGGAACATATTGTGTTTGTCGGGGACGAGTCCCGTATCGCTGGCTACCAGTCCGAAGTTAACCAGCGAGGCATCAAGGCGACCCGCATCACCTCGCCTGCGGAGTTCAGTAATATCGATGCCGATTCACCGATAGCTCTGGTCTATGTTCCCGAGACTGTCGTTGACGATTCCCCTGGTGCCATCTCGGAAACGGCAGAGAAGAACTGCGAAATACTTCTGGATTTGGTCAAGGCGACCGTGGCTAGACAAAACCAAAGCCGAATCTTTGTCCTCACTCATGGTGCCCTCAACACCGACATTGCCAATGCAGCGCTCGTTGGGCTGAGCCGCATCATTGCAGCCGAACAGCCCAGTGTATGGGGCTCACTCATCGATGTCGAAGATAGTCACTTCCCGTTCCAGGCTGTCAAGTACGTTTCAGGCGCTGACATTGTCAAAGTAGAGGACTCTGTCGCACGCGTGGCTCGTCTTCGACCACTTCCTGCTCGTAAAGCGGTTCCAGAACACAGTCAGCTTGAAGTACGACCGGAAGGTACATACATCATAACTGGTGGTCTGGGAGACTTGGGACTTGAGGTCGCGGAGATGCTTGTGGCCAAGGGCGCCCGAAGATTGGTCCTGGTATCCCGGCGCAAGATGCCCGCGCGCAAGACGTGGACTTCCTTGGAGTCGAAATGGCGAAAAACGATTGACAAGGTCCTTGCACTCGAGTGCAAAGGAGCCACCGTTTATACTGTTGCGGTTGATATGGCGGCGACGGATGCTGCTGAGGAACTGTCCTTGCGGCTGGAAAGTCTGAATCTGCCACCGGTTCTTGGTGTTGTCCATGCTGCTGGTCAGTCACAGATTCTATACTTGTGCGGAGTAACTGACTTGTATAGGCGTCATTGATGATCAATTTGTTCTCGAGACTGATCCAGCAACGTTCAATCGGGTTCTTGCACCCAAGGTCCGCGGCGCCCTCGCCCTCCACTCTCTCTTCCCACCGCAGTCACTGTCCTTCTTCGTCCTCTTCTCTTCGTGCGGTCAGCTCTTTGGATTCCCCGGCCAAGCTTCCTATGCTGCTGCAAACGCTTTCTTGGACAGCCTGGCATTGCTGCGCAGGGCTCAGGGTGACAATGCACTTGCGCTCCAGTACACTTCCTGGCGCGGCATGGGGTTGGCTGCCACCACGGAAGCTAGCGCCGAGTTCATCGAGGCGGAACTGGAGGGTAAGGGAATCACCAGCGTGAGCAGGGACGAGGCGCTCAGTGGATGGGAGTATGCGGCCGGATTCAATGTCGCCAATGCAGTCGTCCTGCGATGCCGCGAGTTGGACCATGATGAGCCTCTGCCCGCCGACATCATCGAAGAAGTTGTCGTGCGCAAGCCGACTCCAGTCGCTGCCGCAAGTGATGCGTCTTCCGGGTCGGATAATCCTTCTCCATCCGCTTCTGCGGCTTCGATTCCGCCTCCCGGCCCGGAACGCATTAAGTACCTCATTGGAGCTATCACCGGCTGCGTAGCTACTGTGCTGCAGCTCGACCCCTCGGACGTCGACTCCAAGGCCGCCCTTCCAGACCTGGGCATGGACTCTGTCATGACAGTTGCACTCCGCAAGCAGCTTCAAAAGGTCCTGGGCGTCAAGGTCCCACCTACGCTAGTCTGGGGCCATCCCACAGTAAGCCATTTGGCGAAGTGGTTTGAGGATAAGATTTAAACTGGGAAATATGCTATCAGACTTTAATGATTTCATAGTTCTTTCTCTGTTACGGCTATCGGATCGGCTCGGCGTTGGTAAAGGGATGGTGGTTTTCAATTTGTCCCGAATATATCTCAAATATATGCTTAGCTTATTGACGACTCATCTGGCCTTCCTTCTGACCGCAATCGAAATCAGCGCTTTAAGTCTGCTCTGGATACGTAGCGCCAACAGTGGGTAGGCAGCGAGTCACCTTCCGAACACTAGTACCACCCATGTCCCTCCTCCCCGAGCTTGCGATTCCTCGGATTCAAGCTAATCATCCGCTGTCCGGGAATCGCATGGCTCATTTTCGACTCGAAGATGCCCGCAGTCGCCCTCCTCCCTACATGGGTGAAACTGTCATAATCCGCCTTGGTCCCCTGCACAGCACAGTACTCGGGGCTTGCAGTCGGTCCACTCCCGTCGCCCAGATCACTCCAGCGCGTCACCACTAGCGCATGCTTGAAAGGATTGATCGCGTCGTTTTTATCTTCCGTCAGTTTCACCTCTACCAGGTATTCAGTCGGACATTCAGGGCACCTCCGCGCTGGCCGGCAGAAATCGCACATGACCGCCAGATAATTCGGATGCGCTAGGGATCGACTCAACATGGGATGGGACCTGAGTTGGCGGAGGTAGCTCTGCGGTGGCTCGGGAATATGCGATAGCGCGCACTTGACGATGCGCATCAGCTCGCCGTCGCGCCAGTGGGCACAGACGGAGAAGTACGGCAGATAGTCGTCTCGCGGATCGTAGAGGAGATGGCGCATGGATGTCTGCGTGAGGCCCGGCGCCGCAAATACCTGGCTCCGGACGCGGGCGAGGAGATGTCCGTCGTGCACGGTGTACCGCGTAGTGTGCGTCCAGCCGGTCTCAGTGTCTCGCCAGCGCTGGCACAGCAGTTCGGGGTCGATGCCGTGGTTTTTGGAATAGATTTCGTGGCGGATGGCGAGTTGGATGAAGGAGTAGGGGAGTTGGTGGCCGTGGACGAGGCGGATGCGGGGGAGGTAGGAGGAGTAGACTTTGGGGCAGTTGTAGAGTGGGTTGGCGACGAAGTCTGTCTTGAGTCTCTCGTGGCCCTTGCGGATTCTACGGTGGAACTTTGCGCAAGGGAAGCAGTGCAGGTGATTTGGGTAGTAGCGATCCAAGTCGCTCAGGAATAAATTGAGGTGGTGGTGGTTTTCGGGGAGGGCGAGGACGCGCAGCGGGTCACCGCCGACCTTTTTCTGGAACGTTTTGGTGGTGAGGGAGAGGCGGGCGACGTCGGCTGGATTGAGATATGAGGCGATTCGCTGCCAGACGTGGTCTGGGAGGTTCGCAACCAATTGCTCGAGTTTCTCATCCCTTTGGATGACCGAGTCCCTACGGTCCAACATGTGGTCATGTCCATTTGCAGATCTGCCATTGCTGAGGGTATCCGAGCTGCTGCCGTACTGCGAAAGACCATGTATCATGTCCGTGTAGTCGCGTCTTGTGCCTACCAGAGTCGACGTCTCGCTGTAGATTGGGTAATCGTAGTTCGTTTCTCCGAGCTCATTCACGTCCGCTCGGAGGTCCGAAGCTTCGGGCGGAGTCAGCGTTCGAGTAGAAGTGGCAGCTGAACTTTGATACGAAAGCACGGCCGGGAGAGATGTCACTGGAGCCAGGCCCGATGTTCGATATGAGGTGCCGGAGGAGGAAGTTCCATTGGAAGCTCCGTTTGAGCTCTCGGAGTTGCGCTTCTGAAGTTTGCGGGGCAGTTGTCTAAGTCGAGAGTTTGAAGCTCCATCTTCCCCAATGCTGTTCTTCCTCAGCTTGTGCGCCACGCGCGATAACCAGTGGTGGTGAGATTCTCCCATGTTTGGTGCGGGCCCTCGCACGCAGCTCGTGGTCTGTCATAGCCGGGGAAGTGTGCGGAGGACATGTTGAGGATGTCCGGAACCATTGGTACTTGTGGCGAGGGCTACGTAGGCGTATGGCGAGCATGGCGTCGAAACACCGTCACATGCAAAGCATTCCACCTATAGGGCAGTAGTGTTAGTCAATCGACTTCGACCAATGGAGAGTTGGCTGTTGTGGAACGTCGTTCTAGAACGATACGCAAGAAGTTGATATAAGAGTTACACTAACAATGCACAAGCAAAAGCTTGGCAAAGCTTAACCGCTTTCCACGTGCGCTAGTGTTGACGGCGGATACAGGGCCTCAACAACCACAATCTCTCACACCTCAAACAGCGCACACCACGCGTCCTCAGTCAACATGTCCGTCCAACCGACTCCCTCACGGCCTGCTTCCGAGCGCCGCACGTCGTCAATGCAGAAGCGCCAATCCATCCTCCCAAGACCGCCATCACTCATCGTCGACCCTTCAGTCCTTATTGCTCAGCATGTGCAAATAGCAGGCGCAAACCCAATCACCATTGGCCCAAATGCCATTATACACCCGCATACCAAGATCAGCAGCGCGATGGCGCCGGTGGTGATTGGCGAGGGCGTGATCGCGTTTGAGAAAGTGAAGATCGGGGTTGGCATGGGAGAGAGCGGGATTGCGGACAGCCGGCGTAGCAGTGTCATGTCTCCTGGGAACCGAGATTCGCTTCGCGGAGAGGGGACAGTCTTGGGTAGGAACGTGGTGATTGAGACGGGGGCGGTCGTTGAGGCAGCGGAGGTGGGCGAGGGGACTGTTGTGGAGGTTGGGGCTGTGCTGGGGCCTGGGTGCGTTGTTGGGAGGGTGAGTCTCTTGTCTCTTCCCGCGGAATAGTCTGGTCGGGGAAGCTGATACAATCTGAACAGTATTGCACAATTACTCCGACAACGATACTACCGCCAAATACGCATATTCCTGACTTCACGGTGGTGTATAGTGGCACCGAGAAAAGGGTGGATAACACGTTGCAATCGCGGCCGGAGCTTTTGGAGGCAAGGGCTCTTGTGCACAAGAAGCAGATCGATATGTTCAAGAGGTTGGTGCCGAATAATATCGCAAAGTGGGCATGAGAGCGGAAATCAGCTACCGAACATCCCACACAGAGGTCGACAGGGCGAGAGAGCTATTTCTGGCCACTGGAATGATGCTTCTGTCGTTTGTCAGTTCGCGCCACCGCTCATTACTGCAGCCTGTGAACCCTTCAGTCAGGGGGGGAACCCTTCAGCTGGAAGAGGTTTGCAAGAGGAGAAGGAGGAGCTGCATCATCCCAAGAGTGTTCCCAAAGTCCGACGGAGCTGCATCCAAGCAACAAAATGGAGAAACATGCGATGCGTTGCTGGAAGGAATTGAATTCCCGAGGTTTCGTGGCGTTGCCTTCAGGCAGCAGCTACTGGCGAAAGAACGAGACGAACGCCTCAGAACCGCTTCTCGTATGGGTTGTGCGTTTTCCCGCGCAAATTCCGTTAAAAACCTATCATCCAGACGGAAGGCTCTCACCGTGGGACGTATGGTACTGGCGTTGGCAAAACCTGAGATGCAAGTTGAACCCTCCTGCTGAGACGACATCTCTACGTCCTCTACCTTGCCACATGAGTAACACTACTCTGGACCTATGTGACCGCCACCAGCAGGAGCTGTAGCTCAGATATTCAAGTCTGCCGTGGAGCATCGAGCTGCAGGTGAAGCATGTTCGGGAGCCAATCGGGCGCAAGCACACTGCGTTGCTCGTATACAAGTTTCGAGGGGTCGACAACCAGCACACGCAGCCCTTCTCGAGTTCCGAAGAGTTCCGGTGTGGTTGAATCATTAGCTTGAGACCAGCTCTTTCATCTATAGGTGTAAATGCCTGCATAACCTAGGGTCAGAGCGGTATTTACTGCGCCGCAGAGCGCCAGAGCATCCCCTGCGCCACGTGAGGTGTCGTGCGGTACTCCGGTCAACGTTCACCAGTCGTTTTCATTTCATGTTTTCTCCTGTTTCACACAGAAAGCCTTAGTACGAACTGTCAAAGCCGTCTCTTCCTCGGATTGATTGTGTGGCCGCGGAGTAACACAAAGTGAGGTGAGGTTGTTGCGAGAGCTTGGCGTCCTCCAAATATCCATCTCCGAGGTCTGCTCACAACACCAAGCCAACTCCCCTGGCATGACTTCCTATGTACGATACAACTCCGCATTATCCAAGCCGGGTCTCGTCCTGCTGATGGGCTTTTATCCCCAGATCCCCCACAAGAAAACCTAGGACGAACTTCTTTGTACTCAGCATGATGCTGCCTGAGATTCCTCTCCCTCCCCTGCCGAATGTTGGTGCCCCCTTTTATCGGCCACTAGAAGTTGAGCTGTGTGAGGACGCCGCGCGCAATGGCGATCTGAAAAGGGTCAAGGAACTCGTCCAACAGCTCCTCTACAGCCCTCGTCCATCGTCTGAGACCCTAAAACCGCAGCCGACATGGTTGTACAGTTCGATCACCACCGCCATCGAGCGCCATGACCTCGATATGGTGCTTTTCCTCCTCGACGAGAACGTCACAACCCCAGATGACCTCCCCTTTGAGGGGGCAGTACGTTGTCGAGCTTTCGAGATATTGGAACTATTCCTACAGCGTGGTTGGGATATCAATAAACCCCTGCATCGGAACGAACCGCCCGTGTTAAGGTAACTCCCCCGTCTCAGGCTCCTCGTCCCGCTAACAGTCTTCCCATATTAGCATTCCCCTCTGCACAGGAGACAAAGAAATGGTCATCTGGCTACTCGACCACGGCGCCGACCCCAATGCCCGCTGCGCCTGGGACTTTACGCCGACATCGCAAGCCATGTTATGCGCGCCGCTCGATCTTATAGACTACCTCTTCAACAGCGGCGGCGGCGATGCACGACGTGGAGAACTGCTGCAGTACGCCGTCCTGAGAGACAAGCCTGATGCATTAGATATCGTGCGACGCGCTGTCGAGCACGGTGCCCCGATCAACAAGGTCATGTACGAAGACGAGCCCCAGGTGTTTTGGGAGCGGGAGCCATTTGGGTTGGGCACCCCGCTGCATCGCGCGGCGGAGTTTGGGAAGGTTGAGATTGTGAAGTACTTGCTTGAGCAAGGAGCCGACCCGCTCAAGTTGGATAGCAGGGGGAAAACGCCACGCTACTGGGCAGATATCAAGGGTCATTCGGCCGTGGTTACTGCACTCATTCATGCGGAGGATCAGTGGAGTAAAATACTGCGCAAGGAGAGTAGCAGCTTGTAGGTCGTAGAGGTGTGGCGAGATTCTAAACAGTTTATCTTAGCTTGCAATTGGTGATTCCGCTTTCCTGATCTAGGCATGGAGGAAAGTTGAAATCCGGCTCCACCACGTCTTTCGAACGCATAAGGATGTGTCGATAGTGCTCTCGCGCATAATGATGTGAGCTTCTGTATCGTTCTGTTTCGTCAGGCGGAAAAGAGGTAGCATATCAGGCGTTGAACTTCGTCTGCGCAGGTAAAAGCAGTTAGTTAGTACAAACAGCATTAGATTAGCTTAGCTCTACGTTAGCGTATAACTTCCTTAAACTAACGTAATAGATTTTTATATAAGAAATTAGCATATAGCTTAGATTGACTATGTATATGTCTAGGTAAAAGAAAGTTAAGACTTATGTTCTAGGAAGTACCCTATTACCTAATTCTATACTGCTTCGTCAATCACTATAGCGGCTGGTCAGCGACAGCTACTTGATGGTCAATGACAGTGTATCCGACACTTCGAGGCCACTGCAACTGGAGCTCCTCGAAATGGCTTGTATGCACGCGCAGTCGAACCGCCCATCAAAGCTGCCTGTGGTTCAGTGCACTCACTGCTTCACACAGGGGATTGGATATCAAGCCACCACGGAGTCAATATCGAAAATATTTAAGGTCACTCGAGGCGCTCGAATTTTGAACCGGATCAACTCACCATCCAAATCTTCACCAGCTTCAACAAACACTCGAAGTCGTCTCCGCTTCTTTCTGTAACCATCATCAACATGAAGGTTTCCACTGCTTTTCCCATTCTGGCTCCTGCCCTGACTGTCGCCGCTGCCCCGGCTGTCGGTATGTCTCCCTCTGTCTCCCTGTGTCTCTTGTCCCAGGCTACGACATCCCAAGTCAGCGAGGTTGCATTCCGGGTACTGGCACTCTTCCGCAGAACACATTTCCAACGACCCAATGTACAACGCGATCAGGACTTTGGCCAAGCGAGGGAGCCGCGGCTTCATCGACCCTTGCTGCGACGTTGACAATGGATGCCGTTCGGCATGCTTTCGCGGTGACAAATTCAATCTGCTCTCTTTGAAGGCCACAACACCGGCAGGTCACGGAGTGACGGAATGGAATAGTGTTGGCCTGATTGTTACACGCTTGGGGTTTGTTGAATCAGAGAGTAAGGGTGGCGATATTGAGCATTGCCTTAGCACAATCTACGTTTTTTCCACCAAAATTCTCGCACAGTACAGACGACTGTATTCGTCTGAGCCGTAGTGCAAATTCTCTGCTACGCCGATGTTCCCGTAGTGGCCGAGTAGAAGGGTCGAAAGGTAGGTCGGATGCGGCATAACTATCCTCCGGGACCTGGCTCTTGTCCCTGGCGGCCCCGCCATCATAAGTTAATAACCCCGCTAAAAGAGCCGTGGGACGGGAGACTCATCAAACATTTGACCAGCAACCACTCAACCCAATACGCCTCACGACTCCACAAGACACAGTTAAACCATGTTGGAAATAAACGACTTCATTGTCGCGAGAGGCGGAGACCCCGAGAAGATCAAGGAATCCCAAAGGCGGAGAGGAGCGCCCGTGGAAGTTGTCGATCAGGTCATTGAATTGTTTGAGACAGCGCGGAGAGGTATATACCCACACAATATGCGCAATTCTACATCGAGAAATCACTAATGCAATATAGAACGGTATGCGGTAACTCAAATCGGTTCCGGTTCGTACTTTCGCCGCTCCTCCTCATTTTCCGGTCCCGCATGCTAACCCCATGCGCCTATAGAGATCAACGCCATCCAAAAGCAGATTGGACAAAAGAAGAAGGCGAAGGAGGATGCGACCGACCTACTAAAACAGAAGGTCGAGTTAGAGAATAAGAAGAAAGACCAGGAGGCTGTCGCTGTGGCCAAACACAGCGAGTTGCTGGCCCTGGCGAAGACGATTGGCAACTACGTGGACGACTCCGTGCCGGTACATACCGACGAAGCGAACAACAGGGTGGAGAGGACTTGGGGGGAAGTCTCTGAGAAAGCTGCTCTTTCGCACCACGAGGTGTTGCTCAAGCTCGGCGGATATGATCCCAACAGAGGCGTCAAACTGGTCGGCCACAGGGGCTACATGCTCACTGGCCCGGGAGTTTTCCTGAATCTGGCCCTCGTGAACTACGGCCTCTCATTCCTCTATGCCAAAGGATATACCCCCAGCCAGCCCCCATACATGCTGAACAAGGAACAGATGAGCCGCACGGCTCAGCTCAGCCAGTTTGACGAGGAGCTCTACAAGGGTGTGTAGCATGAATGAGAGACATCGCATTGGCTATTCGGGATTCTAATGTTCTTGCAGTGGTCGAAGGTGGAGACAGCAAAGAAGACCGTTACCTCATTGCCACTTCGGAACAGCCCCTCTCATGCGCTCACGCAAATGAGTGGCTGCAGCCCAAAGATCTCCCTATCAAATACGCAGGTGAGCAAGATCTACTTGACGGTCGTCGTAGTGCATCACGCCGCGCAGAAATGGACTTTCACAGTCATGTGCTTTCTCCCACGGTTGCAGCCTTTTGCATTTTGCGTTATATATTCTGTATTCCATCGCAGTTGAGGGCGTGCAAAAGCTAACTACTGTGCTTAGGATACTCGACAAATTTCCGCAAGGAGGCTGGATCACATGGCCGTGATGCATGGGTATGTTGCTCAACACTTCATGATTGCTTCCGCTAATATAATCAAGGGCATATTCCGCGTCCATCAATTCGAGAAAATCGTAAGTCTTCCTATATGGGCTATTGAATTAGACGTTAATTCCCCCTTAGGAACAATTCATTTACTGCACGCCCGAGGAGTCACCCAAGTGGCTTGAGGAGATGTTGAAGACGTCCGAAGAGTTCTACCAGTCGCTGGGACTGCCGTACCGGGTAGTCAGCATCGTCTCTGGTGCGCTCAACAACGCCGCTGCGAAGAAGTACGACCTTGAGGCGTGGTTCCCATTCCAGCAAGAGTACAAGTCAGTGCTTTGGTCATCCACCCTGCTGTTGGTCATGCTAATGTTTAGTAGGGAGTTGGTGAGTTGCAGCAACTGCACGGACTACCAGACACGAGAGCTGGAGGTCAGATTTGGTGTCAAGAAGGGCGGCAAGAACGCGGAATCGGAAACTGAGCGGAAGCAATACGTCCATGCTCTTAACGCGGTAAGCGGTGCCGCCGAACTACACTGAAGAAACAGGCTAATACTCTTTCAGACCTTGTGTGCTACCCAGCGCACACTTTGCTGCATTATGGAGAATTACCAGACACCCGACGGTACGGGCATGAAAGTGCCGGAAGTACTGAGAAAGTATATCCCTGGAGAGCCCGAATTCCTACCGTTCGTGCAGGAAGTGCCGCAAGAGAAGGAGGCCACCAAGGTCCTGCCACGGAGGTGAGCGATGATGGCAGGCGTAGTTACGAATAGACTTCTGTATGGATCGATCTCTTTCCCGTTATCCGGAGCTTTCTGAATGATGCAAGGAGCGAGATAGCGGTCACGTTTGTCAAGCAGGTCATGCACAAGAAGCCGATTTCGAATAGATGAAACGTGAAAGAAGGTATCATATCATCAATCCGTCCAGCCAATACGTAGCTACCAACTAGTAGCTATATCACAGAAGCCAGTCTGAGCGAAGCAAAGATTCTGAGCGAGCCCAGAAGGGGAATATAGCCTCTACCCACTTCCGTCGTGCAGAGACTGTAGGTGTGAACATCCAAACCACTTCCCTCGTAAGCGCGCCTCAGCGCGCATAACAAACAAACTCACCACTCACCAATGATTAATCCACATCATCATCCGTATCAGCCACAACGCTCACCCCGCGAATCCCCTCCTCCTCCTTTCCCACCCTTATCCCTTTCCCCGTCCCCTTCCCCTCCCCCTCCTCCTCCACATCCGCCTCATCCCCATCGTCCTCCTCACCATCCCCATCCCCATCACCATCCCCACCTCCTTCTTCGCCACCACTCCTCAGCGTAGCTTCCATCTCCGCCCTGCGCTGCGCCAGACGAGCAGCGAATTGGCGTCGGGCGCGCGAATTGCGGTTATTGGGGATTTGCAAGGGGGGAGGCACGTCGTCGTCGTCATTGTTGCTGTTGCTGTTGTCGTTGGTGGTGGTGTCGGAAGGGGGTATCGTTGAGCCGGAGGGGGTGAGCCGGTCCTATGTGGGGAACGACGGATGTTAGCGTCGTTCTATTTTCTGTTCGTCGGGGATGTTGGGTAGAAGAGGAAGGCTTATAGGGAAGTAAGTTGAAAAGAGAGACGAGATGGAAGTGCGATGGGCGATGGATTACGCGGCCGAAGGAAAAAAACAGACAAGATAGCATCGACATGAAAGGACGGCCAAGATGGAAAGGGAGCACGACATATGCAAGCGGCTCATCGGGCGCAAAACCGCCAGCTCGGTCGGTCCATTTCCTCCCCCAACCCCCCACTCTTGCTCTCTTCCCCTTGGCCATCACTGTTGCACAGACGTCACCCAGGCATATTGACATTTCTAGAAGAAGCAGCAGGGGCAGAAGCAAGGAGCCACCAACGCCTGATACTCCATGGGTATTTCTACAAATGTCAAGACAACCCGAGCGACATATGTACAAGTGTATGCGACAAGTGAAGGATGCGAGGAAGATCGGGCGTGGATGCCCGCGGACCCTTCTCAACCAATCCCACCTCTTCTTCTTCTCTTCTTGACAAGAAAAATAATGGTACCGTATGAAAACGCACCAAGTGACGGGAAACATGAAAAACGCACCGAAGCGCACACGTATTGTGACAAGTCATGCATATAGATTATCGGTAATCCATCTCGACGTCTTCGAATGAGAGTTCACCCACTTGTTCCGTGTCATTGATGGGCCCGCTGCGGACCCGTTCCCCTTCTCGCTCGCCGTCGCCCTCGTCCATGTCCTCGTCCTCCTCGTCGCTCGAGTTTGTAAAGCCGCTGAGCAGTGTGCCCCCAGAGAAGGAGTACCCGCCACCGTTGTTTTCGGCATTGCTGAGCTCCATGCTGTCCAGCCCGATGGAGCCGTTGCCTCCGAGGCCGGAAGATGCGCCGTTGTTATTGTAGCTATTGGCTGCGTTGACGGCATTGAGAACCGCTTGCCTTGGACCTACGCTGTGGTCAGGACGCACGCCACCCAGGATTGCGTTATCGCGATCCCTGGTCTCGGCCAATGTGTGCTCAATGTAGTCGATCCATGCTTTGTCCATGACCTTGTCCAGGACCGTTTGCGAGAGCAACTCTGCCGGATGCCGTTCGGTGAACTTGAGCACCTCTTCTGCAATCAGTGTGAGGTGGCCCATGTAGCCTAACCTCATGTTGTTCTCGGCCTGTGCCTTGTCACTAGCTTGCTGGCCTTCGATTATCCGCTCCGTGATGCGGCCGGTCTCAAAGAGATCAATGGCCAGACTCCTATTATAGCCTCGGTCCATGAGACCATTGAACACTTGTTGGACGACATCGTAGACCACATTGTGAAGAAAGTTATTCCAGGGGAAGCGGAAAAAGAAGTCCTAACAACAGATTAAATGGTCGAGCGCACACGGGACATCTGCTACCACGTACCAGGATCGTCGGGACCACTCTGTGCTCGACAAACTTGATCTTGAGGAGATCGCCGACTACAGGTGATCCATCGATATCAACTTCATACTGATTAGCGTACTGGTTATCACCACCCCCAACGAGGACAGAGCGAGTGCTGCTCGTCTCATCAATTGGTGTGACCTCTGAGCCTTCGCTCTCAGCTGGACCTGCTGTAAATCGTGTCGAATCTGGATTTTCTTGCTTCGAGACTTCGCTACCTTCGGTACTGCGCTTCCCCGAGAACAAGGGCGCCGGGGTATCCTCCGGGCGGGGTTGAATGACGTCCTCATTTTGGCCTTCCTTGTTCAGCTGCTGCGTTAGGAGTGATGGAGCTTCCTCCGGAGTCTCAGAAGTTGTGGTGGGAGGCGGAGACCGGCGATCGCTCATGACTGTGTCATTGTCCAGGTCAAGACCACCCACTCGCGATGTTAGTCCCGCAGAAGTGGGCGATTCAGCGTCATCTGCAACCTTTGGCGGAGTTGGGGCTTCTGGAGATGGTTCCTTCGTCGGAGACAAGGGCTCATCAACGAACTCTCCATCTCCTTCGGTAGACTTCTCTGAAAGGTCCTTCTCGACGGTACTTGTGATGGTTTCTGGGGAAGCGACGTCCTTGATGTTCGACTCCTTCTCGTCTGACGCAGCCTCCGAAGCCGACACCTTCTCAAAGTCATCTTCCGAGCTATTCTGGACTTCGAGGCGTTTAACCATCTCCGGCGCTTCGCTCGACGGCGCACGAGCATGATGGAATCCATGGCTATCCACGCTCGTGGAAAAATCGGCATTATCATTGTCCTCCGTTTCCGTCTTTGGGTTGAGCTTTCCTTCCGCCTTCAGACGCTCACGCTCTGCGTCCCTTCGCTTCACCTCGGCCTCACTACCGCGTTCGTTGAGAAGAGCCATGTTACTGCAATGCAGAAGCTCGGCCATGAGTTCGCAGGTCTTGAATCGGTCGAACCCTAGGGGCTCGATCTTCTCTCCAAAAGCCGTCTTCAGCTCCCTCCTTCTCGTGGTTGTGGATCCATCCTGGTTTACTACTGTGTGATTTGGATTATGCACAAGTTCCATGAATTGCGGTATGTGCTCTGCAAATTGGCGGAGCAACGTTCCAAGATAGATGGGATCGGTATTTTTGGGAACAGGCCCTATCTGGTTGTCCAGGTCATAGTCTGAATTGTTCTTCCTGATTACTTCAATGATGATGCCTACGCCTACGGTGAGCGGGTTACCGCCTTGTAGCATGTCCGCAATCAGCTGCTTAATGCAAGGCTCGGATACCAGCTGCCGTGTCAGCTCGTTCGGGCCAATCACAGACTGATCTTGAGTCGTAGCATTCGCAGATATGGTTATTATGGCTTTGATGAAATCACCGGCGGAGGTTTGCGTAGAGGGACTCTGGTCCGGAGATAGATTTGCTAGAAGCCGGGGGATGAGGTCCTGCGACTGCAGCCACTAAAGGGGTCTGTGAGTGAGACCGTAATATATGGGGAAAGTGGAATTACTCACATCAACGATACCCTGCCCTTCGCTCTTCTCCAGACTTATGATCTTCAAGAGCAGATCCATGATCATGGGACAGTCCACATGCTGCAACATATCCGGCACCACGTTGTCTATCGACTTGAAAAAGTCCAGCATCTCTTCCATCTTACGGTCGAGAAGCGACTCATTCACCTTGGTGAAGTAACCAGCCTGTACTGGATCCAGCGGGGCCGGCTGCTTTATGTATCCCCAGAAATGACGGAGAGAATCCGGATTCTCCATGACTGCCTCCGAGATGGACCACACTTCTGATGACAGGATCTCGCACGCCACATAGGCATACTTCATGCGCTTGCTCTCGTCGCCATCGCCCACTTCAGACTTTGTAATAGACGAGGACCGCGCCTTGCCGGTCACCTTCCCGAAGAAGCCTTCCTTCGAGGTATTTCGAGCTTTGTCTCCAGCATCAGGGCCTGAGCTGTCCTCATCGGGAGACGGCGCAGGCTTGGGAGCAACGACGTAGCGGAGTAGGCGGTCGAGGACCTTGTCGTCCCGGAGATACTCGATGAGCTTCGAATTCTGCTGCTTAAGCTCTTGTATTAGGTCGGACTCGTCTAGTAGCTCCTCCAATGTGACATCGGGCTTGTCGAGAATGCTGTCGATGGACGACAGCTGTGCGTAGCCGCCGAATCGCCAGAACATGGTGAGAGGGTCCGGGCTGCCTTTACCGCAGCGGGGTCAGCGAGGGGCAGCAGAAGGGGGACCGTCTCATGAGCGGAACGAGCGTCTGCGCAGGGCGAGAATCCATGCACTGGATACGGAGTACTGGGGGTACTTAAGGGCTGTTGGTTTAGGTACAAATTCGTGTGGTGCTTCAAGAGGGATGAGTTGTTGTTGGCGCTGTGGGGAATATCGGTGCTCCGCGTGAGCGGCCGTGCACGACGCCGCAGAGGACAGGGGGAGCAGAACCCTGGAGATGATGTAATCACACCAGGGAAAGCGGACGAAGAGATGGGTTTCCAGGTCGCAGAGAAGATGGCCGAATGTAAAATCAACTTCGCTGGAATGGGCTTGTACAAAGTCATCAGTCGCGGGGTACCAGGTATTGTGAAGACTCGAAGAGACACTGCGCACGTGACGGGATGGCGGTGCCAGTTCCGGCCAAGCATTCACAGAAACCACCTGGGCATGCCACCGGATCTCGTAGGCATCTACTCCGTACAAGTGTACACGATATCTCTATAGCATAACCACCTCTCATCCGTATCTACCACGACCTTGCAAAAAGCATGAACCGCCTCTTCGGAGCAAAGAGCACAGCACCCAAGGCCACCCTGAACAGCGCCATCTCCAATGTACGCCGCGACTCTCGCCCCACCCCACCATTGCCCGTCACACACTAACAGCCACCAGGTCGACACCCGGATAGAAAGCATCGACGTGAAGCTCGCAAAGCTCAACGGCGAGCTCACCGTCTACCAGACGCGGCTCGCCAAGATGCGCGACGGCCCCGGCAAGACGGCGATCAAGCAGAAGGCGCTCAAAGTGCTACAGCAGCGCAAGATGTACGAGGCGCAACGGGACCAGCTGCAGCAGCAGTCGTGGAACATGGAGCAGGCGAGCATGATGCAGGATAATCTCAAGAACACGATGGTGACGGTGGATGCGATGAAGACGACGACAAAGGAGTTGCGCAAGCAGTACGGGAAGATCGATATCGACAAGATTGAGAAGCTGCAGGATGAGATGGCGGACCTCATGGATATGGGTAACGATATCCAGGAGAGCATAAGTCGGAGCTATGACGTGCCCGAAGAGGTGGACGAGGCCGAGCTGGATGCTGAGCTTGAGGCGTTGGGCGAGGAAGTCGATCTCGAGGGTGTTGGAGAGACGTCAGGAGTACCCGCCTTCCTGCTTGATGATCATGCACCACCACAGTTCATTGATGAACCACCGGAGGCGAATAAGGTCAAGGAAGCGGCAGGTTGAGGCCTTCTCCGAGCGCGGACTATGATTGCATTTGAGCAACACAACACTCGAAATTCGCTCGCACATACATGTTCTAACATCCATCGAGCCGGAAGTATGCTTCGGCGCATATTTGGATATGATGGTTTCGCATGCTCCAGGAGTATGGACTTGCTAGCAATGGCAGGCCGTAATCTTGTTTTTGATACCCTTGATACTCACACTTCATATCTCTATCTACTTGACAGAGTCTAGCATCGCTCTGTGATACATGCTATACGCTACCAGCTGCCCTCTAGATGTTCACTCTTGCATGACCAAAATAGGGAAGAAGTCGCATATCTCCGCCATCACCAGCTCACCAACTGCTTGCACCGATCAAACCCACCTCTCAACTGCCTCTCAGGCTTCACCACCTTCCCCTGAAGCACCGTATACCTGATAATATTCTCGCAATCCTCCGGCCTCACCCTCGCCAACCAGATACACTGCGCCGCCTCCCCACCCTCCTCCTCTTCCACCTCCTTATTCACATCCAGCACCACCTCCTTCCCTTTATCATCCTCCACCTTCAACTCCTCCAGCGCCTCCTGCAGCCCATGCGAACGTCCATTCAGCTCCTCCTTACGCTCAACGGCAGATACCTTCCGGTATATCATGACATTTGCCGAGAACTTGTGGCCGCCCACGTGGCTTATGAAGTAGATGCCGACACCGCCGGGCCGCTCGTCGTGCAAGTCGCGATGGAGGCCGAGTGGGCGCAGGTGGCGCTCGAACTCTTTGCGGAGCAAGGGTGCGGATTGGCCGCAGCGGGCGTCGCGGGTCTTTTGGCTGCAAAGGAGAATGAGATATTTATGTGGGCAGGGGCGAGCTTTGAGGACCGGCGTGGATGAGATTGAAGGGGCGGGTGCCGATTCGGCAGGTTGGTCTGAGGTGGTTTCGGAGGTCGGGAGGGGCTCAGGGTTGGGTTTCGAGGAACTGGGGAGCGGCGATGTGTTGGTAGGCCCTGTATTTACGAAATTGGCTATCAATTCGGGAGTATTTTCCGGCGTGACGTTGTCTATGAACTGGAACGATGGCAGAAGCAGAACGGTCGTGCTGTTGTCGGATCGATCGGGTACTGGTATATCAGATGCGGATAACATAAGGCGCTACACAGCCATTAGCACTCATAAATGGAAACCGGATTGTTGTGCGAGTACTAACACCATTGCTGGGCTTGACCTTGCTCTTCTTCTCTACCGCTTCCATGATACTCCCCTTCTCATCCGCAACGTCGCGTACCCAGTCCGTCTTCCCGGTAGCTACAATCAAGTGCGTACTCCATCCCTTCACATGTCCATACAGCTCCTCCGTCTCGTCAATCGAGAAGTTACGCGGGTATTTCACCGAGCAACTTGCGCAATCATGGAGGCATTCGTCACCATCCACTGCGGGGTCGGTCTTCGGGAAGAGTGCATCGCCCGTAGGTGCTTTTGAAAAAGTTCCGGGTAGGGGCGAGCTAGGAATACTAGCAGAAAGCTTGTAGTAGAGATTCTTGAGTTTGGAAGTCATTCTCGTATCGCTTCCCAGAGCTTATGGTCGTCCGAAGTTCAGGGCCAAGGCGATTTATCTGATCCAAGGCTGATTGATAAGATCGCCAAGAAAATGCGGAATTAACAACTCGAGCCTGCGGAGATAAAGCGTTCGTTTCAGAGAATTGGCCTCGAAGGGCTCTTCCAATTCGATGCTTGCGAGGTGACTAGTTATAGGGAAGGTAGCATCGCAGGCCTCCAACAGAATGCCGGCTTACGACACGGGATATCGATGATAGAGCTTTTCTCCAAATGAGGACATTCGCTCACCGGTTGTTATCCAAACCTGGTCAGGACTACGCATTCACAATTACGCGTCCACACCCTTTGAGTCATCGATACCCAAGCCAAACTGGAATCTGCGTGCAGCTTACGAAAAATGTCTTATTGGTTAGACTACCGTGGTCTTACAACGCCCTGAAGCATGCGACTGAAGACACTCAATGGTGCTCCCCTCCAGGAGCATCTTGACTTCAGCGACAAGGCTCTACAAGATATTGGAGAAAATCTCCCCTTTAAGGAAACTATACAACGGACTGTATACGGCTCAACGGCGTCTTCAGAGCTAGAAAATACCCTTCCTATCAAATGGCGACGGCTAGACCCTCACAACAGTCGACTCCGGACCGGATGGTCTCAACCGTACCTGCCAGGCGGGACTAACAACAACAACTCCGTATTTCCCTCGTTCGGACAACTGAACATTATCCCGGCCTCAGTTTTAGAAGAATCCAACATCAACGAAACGACCCTCACCCTAGATGGAGACGACGATCCATCCCACCTCGACTTCCTCAACCACTCCCTCATCCTGCACGACACCCTCCTCTCCTCCCAACTCGCCCTCCCAACCCCAGAAGACTACTCAGACGCCGACAACACAATCTCTACCTCCTCCTTCCTCACAACCTCCTTCTCCCCAAACCCAACCCCCCTCGCAACAGTCGCCAGCGGCATCCCCCAAGCAGAACCCCCCTCGTCCTCAAACACAACACTCACCCTCCACCTCCCCCCCTCCCTAACAATAACCCCCCTCTCCTCCCTCCCAACCCCAACCCACCTCCTTACCATCTACCCACAAACCCCAACCCCCACCCTCCTCTGCGTCCTCACCACCCCCCCAACCACCCGCACCATCCTCATCCAAAAACGGCGCGCACCTTACAAAATGGACCTCACGGAACTCTCCCTCTCGGACCCCACGAGCGCAAACTTCAAAGTATCCTTCTGGTTCCGACCGCAGGGTCCTCCTGCCCCCGGCCAGGCGCTGCAGAAGCAGAAGCAGAAGCAGAAGCAGGATAATAATCCGGCGCAGACGGCTCTACGCGCAACGCTCGACTCGCTGCGCACGGGCGATGTGGTGCTCCTGAGGAATATCGTGCTCAATGTCTTCCGCGACACGGTGTACGGGCAGGCGCTGAGTCCGCAGATTACGAAGGCAAGGACGACGGTCGATGTGTTGGCGAGGGCGGGAGAGGAGCCTGAGTATAAGAGGATCGTGCCTGCGGGGGTGGAGGAGCAGTTTGCGAGGGTGAGGAGGTGGGCTAGGGGGCATGTTGTTCCTGAGCGGAGGGTGGGGAAGAGGAAGGGGAGTAGTGGAGGAGAGGAGCGCGGGGCGGTGAAGATGGGGAGGTTGGGTTACGGCGTGGATGACGGGATGCCGCCGGATACTATGGAGGGTTGAGCATCGGCGATGCCGAAGGTGCACTATTTCCGAGCATGGTTGCTCTGACGGCTGTTGGGGAAAGTATGATATCCCTTCTGGTTTGACAACGTACCGGAACACTGCGCGAAGCCAATCTTACAATCTGGACGGCCATGTACTCGTCTGTCTTCGTATACGTATATGCGAACGGTTTATCCTACTGTGACATGGATATGCAATGGGCTGTCAAGAAAACACTATAGCGCACGGGAACCACACGGCTGCGCCTAGACCTAGCCATAATCCACCAAACCCCCAACTCACTAACTCAAGTCAAACCCAGCCCCAGAAAAGGCGCTATACAACAGCTTCTCCCGCAAGACCTTCTCGTCCCTATACATGGGTAGCTTCAGCAAATTCACGCACGTACTCGTGCTCGGCAACCGATCCTGGTCGCTCCCGGCATCCCTGATACTAAACCGCGGATTCAGCGTGCCAAACCCGAGCAACGGCGCTCGAGGAGTAGACGTGACGAACTTGAGCACAGCCCTGCGCTCGCCGTCAGAGAACTCCTTCATCACTTTCCAGAAGAGCTGGATGGTCGGGTGCTCCTGCCCATCGGTCCCAATGACATACGTCCCGCCATAGGCAGTGTTGCGGCGAAGGTCATCGATGTCGATGGAAGACTGGGTGCCGCTGACGAGGGTCTGGAGCTCTGACTGGTTGAACATGCTCAGCCAGCTGGGTTGGATCATGGTGCTGAGGCCCCGGAGGAAGGCCGCGGTCTGGGCATATGGCTGGTTTTGGAGGCGATGCCGCGCCATGTAGCTGATGTATACAAGACGGTTTTGGTTAGTCACGGGAATGTCTGAACCACCCGGCTTGAGCTCCCTCGTTATGGCTTTGGTCTTCTTGGGCAGGGTTGAATTGTCGATGACTATGGTGTCCGTGACGGTGAAGTTCAGAGCAAAGTCTTCAACATCCCCGGCATAGGTCTTTAACTTATGGAGTCCCTGGTAGAGTTCCTCATCGAGGTCGCGGAGATCGTTCAGGGTAGGCCGATAGCCGGATTCGTTGGGTGCTGAGCCAGTGCCTCCCGTAAGAGGCCATTTCCGGAGAAAGAAGGGTGCGAAGTTAACATCCACCAGGATGCCTTCGTACAAGCACTTGCCGATAATACGGCCCAAGAACTCGTACCGCTGGAGCAAGCGAGTGATCAGCTGTCTGAATTCGTCCGAGCGTTCGCTGATACCAGCCCGCTTTATAAATTCCTTGTACTCGTCGATGGCGGAAGGGTTCGGATACAAGAGGTGCTGGTCGTTGGTGACGAATAGTTCGATGTCGTTGAAAGGCTCAAATGCGCGGTTCGTTACGCTCGTCAGGAATTCTTTAGTTACTCCTCCACCATCGATGCCCGCCTCAACAGCATCGAACTTGTCCACGAAGGTGATCTGTATAGGTTCTTTGAGCCCATCCCCCAGTGGATAGAACCGCTCAAAAGCATCCTCAAACTCGTGGCCCCGCCTAATCGTCGCAGCATGCCTTTCCAGCTGATGGGGAGCATCAAACCCTTGCATGATCCGTAGTCTCCACGTCTCGGGATCAATACCGCCTCTCCGTTTGATCATATCCAGGTGGACAAATTCCCTAAATATCTCCACCCGTGTACTGAATGGGATGAAGAACGGCATATTCTGCAAGATTTCCAGCCTGGGAGCTACGGCCTGTAAGTACCGTCTGCGTGATGCCTTGCGTTGTTGTCGCTGTAGTCGTTCTAGCCTCCGCTGCTGTTGGGTCCGGCGAGTGCCAATGAGCTGTGGCCCCTCTTCGAATTCTTCGTCCTCCTCCTCGTCACCACCCTCTGCGTCCTCTTCGGCAACTTGATGTCGGCTTTCCTCCTCTTTCACGACCCCGGGGATGAAGCTGGCCATGTCGAAGCGCGAGGTCATTAGCCAGTGGTCCGCAGGCAGGAATTTGCGCCTAGAGTCCCTCTCGTAAATCATCCTGAGCAGTCCGGTGACAAGACCCTTCATATAATCGAGGGTGAGTCCTGGAACTCCGCCAATACACGGTTCACTGGTCTGTTGCTGAGGCTCAGCGTCGACGGCTCCCAGATCATAAAAGCTTAGAGTAGCCGTGGTGGCCTCCTGTTCCTCTGACGTAGTGATCTCGGAAGCATTAAAGTACAATGTGAAACCCAGATTCTTTAGAAAGGTGGTGAGGTTCTTAACATCGTGCAATGATAGGGAATTGTCGCGAGGCTCGTCCGAGAATGGGCTTTTGCCAGCTGAAAAGAATTCTTCGTCGTCCGTGACCTTCAGGACAAACGTATAGAGTTCAAGGAAAACAAGGATGACCCTCCATTCATCTGCAGTCCGTGCATCGCGGTCCAGCTCCTGTTGCGGGCTCTGATACAAGACGGCGGAGGGCCCCATTCCGTTCACTGTGGAATCGCTCTTTGGTCGCAGAAGGTCAACTGCAGATCTTGAATCGCTGAAAATCGTGTTGAAAACCAATGACTGTACTGTTGCCGCCCAAAAATACCTGATTGCAGGCATTTTCCTCAGATTTCTTCCGGCTGGGGAAGGCCCAATATACAACCACATCCGGATCTCGTCACCTCGTCGAGGGAAGAAGCGGAGCAGAGCTAATGCATAATTCGCCAGTTGCCGAGCCTCCTCAACCTTACTGTCATCTGACTCTGATGATCCCGTTGCACCGGATAGGAGAGTCCCAATCCCTTCCTGATTCACAAGGGAAAGTATCTGCTCTTTCAAAAAGCTGGTGACCTGCTCGTTTGTTTGAAACGAACCTGGCTGATTGAAGCGATCGACATCCGTATCCGGTGCATCAATAATACTGGTGGGGAGGGAGTTGAGAAGAATCGAGACCACCGTGACGAAGTCCGTGTGCGCCGAATATGCCTCAGGGCTGCCGAAGTTGTGAGCATGCCGATGGAAATATATGAAGGTACCCAACAGACGCAACCTCGCTTCATCCGTTGCCAATTCTCGCAGTCTGCTGATACCAGACGTCTTGAATAGGTTCGCCAGCGCATTCGCCAGCAGCTTGTAGTTGATACTATCGGCAAGGAACTCTCGTATGCGTGCAGTGACCGGCGATGTGGACTCTGCGCTCAGCACCGGAAGTGGCATGAAGATGTAGCCAAAGGCTTCGTAAGCATTCAACGTGTACCCGGAAACAGTTTTTAGAGGGACCATCACAGTATCCAAGGCGAGTTTGAGAGCGGTGTTTGGGGCAGCCTGCTCGGAGGATGACAGCTCAACTAGAGAAGAAACCCGTGATACTACGCGTGCGAGCGTCGTGTAAAACTGCGGAGCCATGCGAGCTGTCAAGCCGGGTATCTGACAGGTGAGAAAGTGTAAAATGGCGAGGTAGTTGACAAACGCCTCCCATCGGGAATCCAGCAGCTCCAACTGGCGATCCAGGATCTTGATTGTGATTCCTTGCAGCCTCGCGTATGCAATAGGCCATGGTCCCGTTGGATCGACAGCGTGAGTTTGAGCGGTTTGAATCTGGCGGCGTCCATAATGACGTATCCTTTGCAAGTCGTCCACCCTGCGGGTGTTTGCAAATCGTACCAGGCGCTGTAGCTGTGCGAGAGATTCCTCCACGGAAGGGTAAGGTGTGGTAGTAGAGAGGGTGTCGCCGAGGGCCGAATGACCCTCAATCCCGTCCCACTCCTGTCGGAGTACATCAGCAATCCTCTGTCGGTCTGCATGCCCTCTCCACACTCTTTGTATGATTTGTGCCGCCTTCAGCGCCTCCCGTTCCCGCTGTCTTTGAGCCCTCTCCTGTTGTGCGCGGTCAAGAGCCGCCTGTGACCCAGAGCCACTCCCTGTACTCCCAAATGCATGTGTCTTGCGGCCGGAAAGGTTGACCTGTCGAGGTCGGCGAGTGCTCCCAGTGAACGAGGTAAACATGGTGGATGAGTGGAGATCGGTGATATGAACACCAATATAGGGCTGGTGGCACCGGAGCTAGGATAGTCCAAGTACACAGTCAGTTACCAGCGTCCAGGTTTGTAGCTCCAAGAAGCTATTCCGCCACCTACAGGAGGGGGTGATGAAAGCGAGGACGTCAGGCTGCAAACATGAGTCCAAGAGGCTTGATAGCACTGGATTATGGATTACAAGGAAATGAAGTGAAGAATTCCATGGGCTTCTACCGTGGAGTCCAAGTCAAGAGAAAGTGCGCCATTGTAAGTTGTCAGCAAGTAGCTCGCACCACCAGACGTAACTCCGAGATAGATAGGAGGTCCGTGCGCAGAACCCCGGGCTTTCCCGCGGGAGTGTCGTGCGCCACAGCTTCGGCTGTGCACCTTTACAAGAGACAAATGATTACATTCTTAACGTGTCTTACACTTTTATGGGATACAAAAAGGACATGCTAGCTATATAGAAGCCGCTTATCCAGTCCCTATTGGCCACACTAGAGAAGTACTCACTACGCACCCAGGAGGAGCGACCAATTTTCTCCCATCTTCCTTAATCATCAATATGATTGATAATTCCAGCTATCCAAATTTCCAATACAGTCTGAACTTCCAGCCTTCACTCAAGGCGGAGGGTCCAAATCAAGACCATCTACAGTGAGATGGAAGCTGTCCATGCGCGAATATGAGCCCGCGACATCAAGGTCCAGCCTACCCCTTTCGCAATCTTCAAAGTCGACCTCAGTTACCAGCAGACCTCCATCCTCCACTTCCCAGAGCGGTCCCGCAAGGACTTCACCCATTGGTGAAATTATGCAGGAACCTCCACGACAGACGAACTCCTCACCGGCCGGAATGGACAATTGTGACAGCAAAGCGGATTGAGGTTTGAACGACTTTGGTGGCGTAGCGCTGGGTGAAACCTCGTCGTCGTGGATGGCGGAGTCTCCATTAGGTTGACCAGCGTTGGGCCCATCCTTGAGACAGGGGAGGCAAATCTCGTTATCACCTTCTGTCACGACAATTGTGCTCTTTCTCCTCCTCACGGTAACGTGTTGAGACTGCCTCTCCACTCCAGTATGTTGTTGAGATAGTTGCTCATGGTGCGCATGGCTCTCAGGTTCGTTCTTCTGACATGTGACCCAAGCTGGGAGGTGCTTTCTCCGGACACACTGGTTTGCGCTGACGACGAAACACCTGCCCTCGATGCCTACTGTCCTCATCAAAGACGCCCAGGCGTCCCGCGCATCAGCGGTCGGCGCGAACCAAAGATTGACGTTCTGGGAATACAGCGCCTGCCTCAACAAGGGCATGTAGTTCTCCCAACAGATCGCCGCCGCCATGCACAACCTCACACCCTTGATCTCCGTCGTCACCGCTCGCAACGTCGATGGTGACCCCTGGCCCCAGATTGTCCGTTCCGAGCCCGTGGGCATGACCTTGCGTCGTTTGCCAATGATACCGTAACGGGGGCACACGTACACAACACCGCAGTACAATGTGCCTCCGGCCCGTTCCACCAGTCCAGTGACGATGAACACGCCCGTTTCTCTCGCAATCCTCTCCAATTCCTCGCGTGTCCCATCCCCGCGATGTTTCCTATCCTTTGGAAGTGGCAGCTTTCGCTCTACCCAATCATCCCCAGCTCCGCGAGGAGTGTCGCCCAGGTCGACCGCATCATGGAAGTAGTGCAGGAATTGGTTCCGTCCTTCTTCGGTGCGTCCGCCCACGGCGTTTCCGAACGTGCACGAGCGCGGGTAGCCTCCGAGATACGCTTCAGGGAAGAGTATGATGTCAATGCCTTGTTCGGCTGCGGACTTCGTCGTCCGTTCGAGTGCGCGGACAGTCTCGGGGGTAGTCGAGAGCGTGCGCGATTGCGCGGACGCAATCTTGAGTTTCTGGGGCATCAGGTTATGGTCAAGAAGTGAGTGGTGAGTATAATGGTGACAATTGGAGTATGGATAGGTGTAGGTTCTTAACTGTGAGCTCATGGGAGGAGGAGAAGGCATCGGCTAGACCTGGCTAGCCCCGGCCAAATGGTGGGGAACAACCAATGAGGCACGTCGCTGATGGATGCCGCGGGACACCAATTCCCATGCAGAGCTGTAGCCAACACCTGGGCATGTCGAATTGAAACCACTTTCAGCGTTGAAAGACAAACAAATTGTATTCAGTATTCATTGCAGTCTTGATATTCCGCACCCCTACCCACACACACCGGGCTTGACGACAAAACTCCTCATACTTAACTTATGGCTATTCTGACGGAGGGAATCTCCCTCACGGGAAAACCGCTGCCCTTCATCCTACACGGCAGAGATCGAACTCTTTGCGGCAAAGCCTGATTTCCGTGCCTTCCATTGTATGTGCGTTCGGTCGATAGATATACATAGATTCCTACCTAAAGCAATTCGCTCATCTACAGTATAGAGAGTGACCTGCGGTCTGATTAGAGTTAAGATCTGCAATTAGAACCCCGCCAAGCCCCGCTTTCCAAGAAAGGGACGAGCCTTATCGATAGCGAACCTCTTCACAGGAATCCAGGGACGGGTATTTGGAATTGATATCACAGCACATTGTTATACTCGATTTGACGACGGCCGTATCTCATCCGGCTTGCTATGGAAACCGATCCCGATGTACACCGTGCCATCTCGCTGAAACCTAGTCCGTTTCACGCCTACCCCCCACGCGCCGAGCGAGATCACAGTCCCCGCCCTTCCACGACCGATCGCAACGTCGCGAAAACAGACGGGACCAGCACAGCGCTCGAGACTGGCAAAGGTACAGATGAACACGATGCCCATGCCCGCCACGTCGCTGGTCGGGAGAGCGATGTCGAGCGCCAGACCCTCCCGCACTATACCCCCGACAACGACCCCTACCGACTGGCCGCTGCACTGAAGCCTCAGGCGGAACTCGAACGCATACGAGCAAACACCTCTAGGAAGCGTGACGGCTTTGGACCGATCACACTCAACAGAGCCGCCAACCGTGCCCGGAAGTTGGAGAAATTCTACGAAAAGCAAAATGAGAACATCGAGCGGCTCCTCAAACCCGTCGACGACCATCGCCGAGACGCAAAGGAGGAAGAGGGCGCCAACCACCTAAAGTACAGAATCGCCGTCGTCGGCAGCTTCGTCGCCAATGTCCTCCTGGCTATCATTCAGCTCTACGCCGCCGTGTCGTCCCTGTCTCTCTCCCTCTTCACAACCATGGCAGATTCCCTATTCGACCCCCTCTCGAACCTGACGCTGATCCTTTGCGCCCGGGCGGTCAAGCGTGTCGACGGCCGCAAATTTCCCTCGGGAAAGGCACGCATCGAAACCGCCGGCAACATCTTCTTCTGCTTCCTCATGATCACCGTGTCCGTCGTCATCATCGTCGAGTCCATAAGAGAGCTCGCGACCCACATCGGCGGCGAGGTCAACGGCTTCTATCTCCCCTCCGTTATCGCCGTCTGCATTGCCTTCACGACCAAATTCTCCCTATTCCTGTACTGCTGGGCCATCCGCAACAAGTACTCGCAAGTCCGGATTCTGTGGGAGGACCACCGGAACGATTTGTTCATCAATGGATTCGGTATCTTGACGAGTGTGGGTGGTGCGAAGCTTAAGTGGTGGATTGATCCCATGGGCGCCATCGTATTGAGCGTGCTGATCATCTTCCTGTGGTCGAGGACCGCGTACTCCGAGTTCCAGTTGTTGATTGGCGTGTCGGCCGATACCCATATGTTGCAGCTGATCACCTACATCTGTAAGTCAACGCACTCAAAACGTTTGATATGCGAATATTGATCGCCTCAGCGATGACGCACTCTCCCGCTGTCCTGGGCATCGACACCGTCCGCGCCTATCATTCCGGCCCAAGGCTTATCGTCGAAGTCGACATCGTCATGGACCCTGAGGAGACGCTGCGGGCTACCCACGACATTGCCGAGGAGCTGCAGATCAAGTTGGAGAGTCTGCCTAATGTAGAGCGTGCGTATGTGCATGTGGATTACGAGACGAGCCATGCGCCGGAGCACTTTCTCAAGAAAGAGCTGTAGGCGGTGAGAAGTAATGTGAATACTCGGTGTGCTCGATACGTCATATGGTTTGATTGCCCGTACATATTGTTTAGAGCAGTTGCGCTGTTGATAGCGAGCTATTGGGTATGTAGAGGCTCCACTTTAGAAGTCGTGTTGTGTTACCTTTACTATAAAGGTGTCGATAGATCGCAACTAATGTTATCACTCACACACAAGCGCTGTCCTTTATGCTGCTGCACTATCACCACCAGTACCGTGATTTCTTTTGTTGGTAAAACAGCTTGCGAAAGAGCAGGAAGGAGATAGATTCAGAGCTCAATAGGAGAAGCCTGAAATACCTGCGGAATTACATGGTGATGAGATTTATTAGCAGCTGAGACGAACACAGGCAGGAATATGCACGGAATGCGTCGTTGCATCTATTGACTTATTGGGTATCAGAACGTATTCTACATCTCAATCCCCCGGATATCGTGATCTTTACTTAACCCTTATTCCCCCTCTTCCCACCTCTCTTCTGCCGTTCAATATGTCCCTTCAACGTCTTCCTCACATCCACCAAACTCCTCTTCTGCTTCCCTTTCGCTTTACCCAAGGTCATCAGGAAGTTCTTCTTCCTCGCCTTCTCTTTGTTCGTCGTACTCTTCCCCTCGGCCAATTTCTTCTCCTTCCTCCTTGCCGTGGTACTTTGATGATGCTCCTCTCTATCTCCCTTGGCCATGGCTATCTTCTCTTCCTTCGTCTTCTTCTTGCCAAGCAGTGCCGGAGCTTCAATCTGGTCCGCCGTAATGGCATCATCAAAGTGCGTGTTAGCCAGCGCAGCACGGCGTTTCGCAGACGGCATATTCGACTTTACGGAAGCGGCCGCCTGGAACTCGCGGAGCTTGGCCAGATCCGCAGGCGTCATGATGGTGGTCGTGAGGAGTTTGGAGAGCTTCTTGCCCTCGGGCTCTTCGCTCTTGGACTTGCTTGTACCTTCTGTGGGATCCTCGCTGCCCAGTTTGGCTTTCTTGGCTGGTGGTTCTTTCTCGTCTTCGCTGTCGCTGATGACGATGTCTTCACCATCGCTTTCGACGTTGATCCAGCCACCGGAATCGTCACTGTCATCTGACTCCACCTCCCAGTTCTTCCAGTCCTCGGCCTCGTCTTCTTCCTCTTCGTCCGTCGCGAGATCAGGTGGAAGACCCATCGCAATGCGCTTCTTCCGCCGCTCCTCCTCCTTCCACTTCTCGAACTCCTCGAGGCCCAGAATCTGTGACGCCTCTTCTTCGCCAAATCTACGCTCTTTGAGCTGTCCAGAAATCAGGCCCAGTGCAGCATCTTTACCCCTGTCACGCTTCTTGAGCAGCTCAGCTCCCACTTCGCGGTAGAGGCTGAGAAGACCCCTCGCAGCCATCACAACGCCCTTGTCCTTGCTCTTGCGGTACGTGACAAGATCTTGTAGCAATGTGTCATTCATTGCCAGGGGTTGCCGAGCGCAGATTTCGCGGATAGCGTTCAGTCCCGCAGCTGCAACCTCTGATGCAGCCGCTTCCGAAACGAACTCGTTGGCAATCTTCTGCACAAGCGGTTCTAGGACATCCGGAGGGACAAGGTTGTGTGTAGCCTGCGCTAAGCAGGCGAGGAACGATGTTACGGAGGCCTGTCTGGGAGTGAGGTATTTCAGGAAGTACGAGTACAAGGATATGACGGTGAGTTTGTGAAGGCCGACTAGACGCGAGACAAGGTTGAGAACCAGTAGTTTTGACTCCAGTGGAAGTTTCGATTTCGAGTTCTGGACATGCTTGGAGAACAGAGTTTCTGCGAAGCCTTGAGGGTCGTGCAGAAGGTGCAGGGCGGAGAAATTGAGCGGGTGGGGCGCATTCTTCTTCTTTTCCTTCTTTTTCACTTGGGCGGCCGCCTTCTTTAGCTCTCGCTCCTTCTTCTTTGTCTTCTTGTTGATGCCGACTTGATGGCGGATCTTATTGATGTCGATGTCATCTTCTCCATCGCTGCTCTCTTCGGCAGCCTCCTCACGTTCCTTGTCCCCGCCTAGGAAGAAGCGTACGCCTCCTACTATCACCTTCTCATTGTCCGCTAAGCTCGCCTCTTTCATGATCTCGACAGCTTTGGCGTCCGTCCATATTTGCCGCTTCCACAATTCCCGCGTGATTTTGACGGCCCAGATTCCCTTCGGCGATTCCCGATCAGATGTGAGGAGGTTGAAAAGGACGGTCTGGATGGTACGATTGAGTCGGTGATTCGTTCCTTTGGAATTTGAAACGCGGAGGTCGGAGAGAATCTTGCTAAACAGTAGCGCTCGGAGACTGGCAGCAGTGTTAGTCTTTTGCCTTGTAAACGGCCGTTATGCGCACCTCTTGCTGGAAGTAGTGACAAGGATGGGAAACAATGTGTTCAACAGAGTGCTGGAATCAATAACATCTTTGTTCCTGAGTAACACCAAGCTTCCCACAATCTTATCTCTCAGTTCAATTTCTAGCTCATCGTGGTGTAAAGTTAATAGTTCGATGAGTTGATTAGGAAACTGTGCGGTGACCGTAGGATCTTGAAATAGGTCAACAAACTGACCCCTCCGAAGAACGTGTAATTATACATACAGCAATCAGCGCAGTGAGAGACAAATTCAATAAGCTCCCGTAAGGACACAATCCCACTATCATCGGTGGTAGAGGGGTTGCTCAGGAAAAGTTCGCGAAACGTCTCATATTGGTTGTACTGGTTTTGGAAATCGTCTTGGTACGATGGGGGGTCTCGTCGGCACCGATACTGTAAGCTGGCAAGATCCGCTTCGACCTTCTCGAGGGCCCCGACCTTGCGCTTGACCATCGTTGCGAGAAATTGGTCTCTGGGTCTGTTTGGGCGGCGGAAGCTGCCGTCCTAGGAAATTTTGGTGGAGATGGCAGAACGGGTAGGCGGTGAGGGCTGCTAACGGCAGTATATTTCTCCGACTCCGACTAGCCTTCACCTTCACCATTCGTTTGCAAGATGCGCTCAAGACGCGTATTCGGCTTTAGCCTTCTCAGATACCTAGATTTTGGGGCTTGGTTAACCTCCTAGGAGTGGCCCTGATTAGGCCAATCTTCAACGTTACCAAATCATCGCTTCTTGCTCCATGGCTCTCAGTATGCAGCACAGAGGGTGTACCCTCATACAGCCGTTTGCAACATCTTCAGCTTCACCGACTTGTTTAATCACGCTGTGGCGGCGTCATGGATTCTACAACTTTCTCTTCACTCAGGAGGGTGAGCTGTCGCCTGCGCCACGTGCAAGTTCGCAATCTCTCTCACCCGCGTTCACCTGGTCTTAGAGGCACATTATGGACTCCAGTTTGCGATCAAGCTTCCATAAATAACGTGGAGCCTGGAAACTCCGACGCTTGTTATATATACTCTGTCTTTGATTTCTTCCGCTGACGACAGCCCCGTCCTGCAATTGGACTACGGCTTTTGACTACCACGAAGCGCTTTTGATAGATCAACGCGACCATGGAGTCGAAGGCGATTTCCGCGATAACCGTCGGTAACGTAACTAACTGTCAGCCTACTAACCTCATCCCGCATCATTACAGTACCCGAAGTAATGCGGGACTGGGGCCTCTAGAAGGCAAACAATATAACAGTTCCGGCGAAGAATGGGATAGCGACTCTGAAGAGGAGGAAGCGGACTTGGATATTGATGGCCGTAGGCACATTGCCACGGGGGCCAGGCTGGACGGTGTATACTTCTGTGACACTGACCCGGACGATACGAACACGACAGTTGTTCGAATCAACAGAATGGAGGAGCAAGAAGCAGTTGGCGCTTTGCAGGCGTATTTGGAAAATTCCTTGCCGGCAGAATTCTTCCAGGATGGATATGGCAATGTCTTGCCACTGGAACGGTTCAAGCCTCACGAGCTCGCGGAACTTCAAGCCAAGTTATGGACGGATGTCCCACGCGAAGAGGCTGCTGAGGAAATGCTACTGATAGAGGACGATCTACAACTCGCGAAGGTGAGCCTGAGCGTTGGACGCATAGCAGAAGAACTCGCGCATTGTAAGTCTACCTCAACCGATTGTGTTACCCACAGAGTCGGCTACTGAACGATGCACAGCGCCTCGTGTCTTCGTCCTTCACAACACCACTCGGCCGGGTTGTTCCAATCTAGCCTGCCCGCAACCTCAGGATACAACCGAGCGCGAGATTGTGGTGCTTGAGCCGCTTTTGAACTTCGCGAGCCTAACTGCCGCTGAGATGGATTACTTTGATGCGGACATCATTGTCTTCCGTCGCAACGCTTCCTACTATGAACAGAATTGCTTCGATCTGGACATGCTACCCTTAGTAAGACAATCTCCGAGGTTTTGTCTGCGCTGCTTGGGGTCCCTATGGAACATGCGAGTACAGGCATGGGCGTGTATGGACAGGGAAGAGACAATGAAGCAGCTGGTGAATGCCTTTCAAGAGACACTTAACTTCTCCTCGTCCGAGGATACCAGCGTTACAAGCAGCTCCAGTTTCGAGGAAGACAGATCTACCGGGACGAGTGGATCCGAGAGCAGTCCCATTCATACAGATAACCATTCACCGCCACTCCTTCAGTTGGACGGAACCCGGGTGTTGAGGACTCGGCATTCACAGGCAGCTCCAGCCGCGAACAATGGCGGACATTGTGAAAGGGCGTCAGGGAGGACCCTTCTGGTCACTCTACCATTGCGTCCCAGTGCGGCCAACCAACTCTCACTGGTTGCGTCCTCACCTTCAAAAGGCTGTAGCAACCCAAACCAGCTTCCTCACACAACCTCCCTCAACAACCTCGCAAAGTCGGTTATCAAGATGAATGCAGGCTACACGGTAGATGCCAATGGGTCTCCGCAATTCTCCGGCGGTGTCAATATCGGTAGCTCAGGACGTGCATCGGATCCCACGGGGTCCCCCCAACCCTTCCAGAATATCAATACGGACTCGGGAGACAACCTTGGTGCGGCTACTTTGCCCAACTCCTCAAACGAGGTCGATATGGTAGATGTGGACTCGATGGGTACTCTGACTGCGTTCGGCTCGCCTCCAAGTCTGGATCGTCCCGGCATTCCTCGTCCCTTAATCCTCGAAAGCGTAGATAGGGGCATCTCTGTCACCGACACGGAGAAGAAGCCCTCTCCAATCAGTAGACAAGCAAGCCCGTCTAAGTTCAGAGCGCAGTTTCCCAGGGACTGTGAATCATCAGGCAACAATAAAGATCAGGCAACGCCTTCGCAACCGCCCAAACTAGTGGTTCCTAGGATTTCCGTGTACGACCTCCCGCCTATGCCGCTCTGCTCCTGCCGCAAACCCTGGGAAGGACGAATGGTGCACTGCTCCAATACCGAATGTATCGTTGGATCCTACCATCACAAATGTCTGACTGCGAATGAGAAGCGTGCAATTCAGCGCAAATCAGGCAAGTATCAATAACCCTCAATCTTGCATTGGATTTTTTCTCTAACTTTGCTTCTTAGAAACGTGGACCTGCGAGATCTGCAATCGCGAAGCTGAGCGCAACTTGCAGCCGCAAGGCTCATCTCTCGATTTCAGAATCCCCTTCACGAAGGAGGAGATCATGGGGCGTCTCGCGCTCCCGGCGAGGGCCGAGGGTGTGCATGATCCTTATGGGTTGGCTTCGAATCCGCCCGTGTGCTATAAATCAGCTCCGCCTGTCCGTGATGATGGTAATGAGGTGGTGGAAGGGGAGGTTCTCGGCGACAACGCAGATGAGTACGGTTACGAGGATGATGGAGACTACGAGGAGGGAGGTTACGGGGAAGGAGGCTACGAAGAAGAAGGCTACGAGGAGGAAGGAGAGTACGAGGAGGAAGAAGGCTACGAGGAAGAGTACGAGTACGAAGAAGGCCAGCCTGGGAAGCCGGATTCCGAATGTTAAGCATTGCGAGGGACTCCAACGCTATCATGATGGGAGGTGTCATATGAATGGACGCAGCGTGGGCTACTACCTTTGTGTTGAGGCCACCCGAGAACGGTGGGATTGTTCGTCTACCTAAACTCCTTGTAATCACGGGTGGCGGATTGGATCTTCCGTTGGGAAAGTCCAGGTTATCGGCTGAGCGATTGGACTCGATAATGTCATGGTCTCTCATGGGTAATGACACCATGTAACGAATACAACGCCGTGAAATTAATTCCCAGTCACAAATCGCGTAGAATTCCCCATCTCGTTGCGCTGTACACATTTCCGGACGCGAATAATGTGCAATGGTTCTAGAATCTCGGCTTCGTGATTTTGCTGATACGAAGTTGATGCGTCTTCTTGGACGCGATCCGGCCATGCGCGAGATATTACTTGAAATGGAATAGTGGTTTTCGTCAACCGACCTTAGGTAAACAGTAATTTAGGGGGTAACTTCAGCGACAGCACAGCTATTTGTTGCCAGTTGCCCTTATTGGCTGATTTCGGGATCTGTACATATGTAAAGGATAAATAGCAGATTAGCACCTCAGCGTGCCGCACTGCATCTACCTTCACCCAGCATCGCCATCGTCAACATAACGACTGCGCATTCCAGAGCTCCGCATCCCCAACCAAGGACCCAATGTTTTACCCCCA